AACCCAAACCCAAACCCAAACCCAAACCCAAACCCAAACCCAACCACAAACCCAAACCCAAAACCCAAACCCAAACCCAAACCCAAACCTCCAAAAACCCAAACCCAAACCCAAACCCAAACCCAAACTCCAAACCCAAACCCAAACCCAAACCCAAACCCAAACCCAAACCCAAACCCAAACCCAAACCCAAACCCAAACCCAAACCCAAACCCAAACCCAAACCCAAACCCAAACCCAAACCCAAACCCAAACCCAAACCCAAACCCAAACCCAAACCCAAAACCCAAACCCAAACCCAAACCCAAACCCAAACCCAAACCCAAACCCAAACCCAAACCCAAACCCAAACCCAAACCCAAACCCAAACCCAAACCCAAACCCAAACCCAAACCCAAACCCAAACCCAAACCCAAACCCAAACCCAAACCCAAACCCAAACCCAAACCCAAACCCAAACCCAAACCCAAAACCCAAACCCAAACCCAAACCCAAACCCAAACCCAAACCCAAACCCAAACCCAAACCCAAACCCAAACCCAAACCCAAACCCAAACCCAAACCCAAACCCAAACCCAAACCCAAACCCAAACCCAAACCCAAACCCAAACCCAAACCCAAACCCAAACCCAAACCCAAACCCAAACCCAAACCCAAACCCAAACCCAAACCCAAACCCAAACCCAAACCCAAACCCAAAACCCAAACCCAAACCCAAACCCAAACCCAAACCCAAACCCAAACCCAAACCCAAACCCAAACCCAAACCCAAGCAAACCCAAACCCAAACCCAAACCCAAACCCAAACCCAAGCAAACCCAAACCCAAACCCAAACCCAAACCCAAACCCAAACCCAAACCCAAACCCAAACCCAAACCCAAACCCAAACCCAAACCCAAACCCAAACCCAAACCCAAACCCAAACCCAAACCCAAACCCAAACCCAAACCCAAACCCAAACCCAAACCCAAACCCAAACCCAAACCCAAACCCAAACCCAAACCCAAACCCAAACCCAAACCCAAACCCAAACCCAAACCCAAACCCAAACCCAAACCCAAACCCAAACCCAAACCCAAACCCAAACCCAAACCCAAACCCAAACCCAAACCCAAACCCAAACCCAAACCCAAACCCAAACCCAAACCCAAACCCAAACCCAAACCCAAACCCAAACCCAAACCCAAACCCAAACCCAAACCCAAACCCAAACCCAAACCCAAACCCAAACCCAAACCCAAACCCAAACCCAAACCCAAACCCAAACCCAAACCCAAACCCAAACCCAAACCCAAACCCAAACCCAAACCCAAACCCAAACCCAAACCCAAACCCAAACCCAAACCCAAACCCAAACCCAAACCCAAACCCAAACCCAAACCCAAACCCAAACCCAAACCCAAACCCAAACCCAAACCCAAACCCAAACCCAAACCCAAACCCAAACCCAAACCCAAACCCAAACCCAAACCCAAACCCAAACCCAAACCCAAACCCAAACCCAAACCCAAACCCAAACCCAAACATTTCCATCAATAATTTTCCATGTTCATCATCTTCCTCAGGAGTTGGTAAATGAACCTTATTTTCACCACTGTATTGAATAATGCAAGTTGGAGAAAGCTGACATTCTTTGTTCTCCAAATAATACCAACATTCTAACATGGTCACACCCAATGACCAAATGTCAGACTTTTCATTTGGAGCTTGTGACATGTTGAGAACTTCAGGAGCCATATATAACATGGTTCCAACACCTCTTGTATGTCTATTGGTGAGGAGTGCATGAAGTTTCTTGCTACTTCCAAAATTAGCAATGACAGCATTTCCATTCTTGTCAACCAAAATGTTGTCACTCTTCAAATCACGATGAATAATGTCTTTCGAGTGCATGTAATAAATAGTTTCAACAATGCTTCTCATGAGTCTTCTCCTTGTTTCTCTACGTTCATGTGGTTGATTACTTTTCATAGTCATGATATAATTTCTCAAATTTCCATTGTAATAAGGCATTTCAACATAAGCATGATGTGTTTCACTCTCCACAAACACACCATTCACCTTCACAATTCGATCACATTCACCTAATCTGATAATATTCGTAATTTCATTAATGATAAAATCATAACTTTGTGAATCAAATCCAATTTCTTTCAGAACCACTTGTTGATTGTCCTTTTCCATTAAAAAAGCAGTAGAAAGACCTTTGTGCAATATCTTGATCTTTTTGTACTTTCTAATGCAAGCATTATGGAGAAGTAAATTGTGTGACAATGCCCATTTGTGGAATTTTTGTTCCAGACTCAACTTTTGATCATCACCAAAGTTTTGGAATAGTAGATTTTCAATCTCGATGATCACTTCCGGATATTGATCAATTGAGTTTTGAGTTGTTCCAATTCTTGCTTAAAGCCATGGATTTGCGAGGTTAACTTTTCTTTTTTCTCAACAAACTGTTTAGTTTCTTTTTCTGGAGCATTAGATCCTGCCTTTTTCTTTTTCTTCAATTTGATCAATTGAATATTGATTTCATCAACATCAACTTCACAACTTTCAATTTTTTCTTGTAAATCTTTGAACTCGTTCAAAATCTTGTCAATTTCCTTCTTCTGTCCAACAATACCTTGTAAATAACGAGATTTAACAGATAATTGTTCCAGAGAATGAGCGAAGATCTTGTCCTCTTCGGTCATTTCATTCATGGATGCATCATAAATCTTGATGAATTTCTTTTTCTTTGAAAGAATGGTCATCTTGTTCAATACACGATCGTAATTCTCATATTCTACAAGTAATTCATTTCTGAGATTGTTTCTCTTTTGAGTGAGTTCATTCACACGAGAATTCAAATCTGCAATAGACTCACATTGAGAGCTGTTCAAACATTGTTGATCATTGAGAATCGATTTGAATAGATCTTGTTCACATTCTTTCAATTCTTTTTCGAGTTTGTCAATTTTTCTTTTGGCTTGAATATCTAAAGGAATGTGACAGTTTGATAATGGATCGTTCTTAATTTCACTTTTGAGACAGTGAATGAATAAATCGATGTCTAAATAATGTTTGTACTCGGGATCTGATTTAAATTGAGTAATCACTTGTTGATATTGTGAAATTTGATCGAACAATTCGTTTGTTGTCAATTCTTGTTCAGATAATTGTTTGATCAATTGCAAGTTCTCTTGATTGTGTTCCATTTCTTGTTGTGAGAGTTTCATTTCAAGAATTTTCACTCGTTCTTCAAGTTCTTTGTTTCGTCGTTTCCATTCGTCTTCTGTTTGGAGTTGTTGTAAATTAATGTTTTTTTCTTGCGCAACTTGTTGAGCAGGCTCATCAATTTGAATATCATTGCGGGCAAGAAGAAGTTTCACAATTTCCAATTGTCCTTTCTCACATGCAATGTATAATGGAGTCTTTTAAAATGAATGAATTTTAGAAATAAGGTCAATAATACTTACACGCTATTTCATGAGTTGCAATAATAATAATAATTGAATTGAAAAATTCATTCCATTCAACACATAATAATCAATACTTACATCCTATTCCATTATTAACAACAATATTTGCCGAATTCCCAAACCCAAACCCAAACCCAAACCCAAACCCAAACCCAGAAAGAATAATGATTGAATAGTAAACCCAAACCCAAACCCAAACCCAAACCCAAACCCAAACCCAAACCCAAACCCAAACCCAAACCCAAACCCAAACCCAAACCCAAACCCAAACCCTGACATCAATTCCATCCACATTCAACAATAATTTCACAATTTCCAAATGCCCTTTCCAACATGCATTGTGTAACATAGTTCTACGATTGTTCTTTTCATTAATAATCGGACGCAAATCCATTCCTCGTAATTTATTCAAATCACCATATTTGATGGCGTTAAAAGCACGATCAATCACTTCCTTCCTTTGTTGCTCGTTTGACATGTTGCGCTGTGAGGATGAATGATTTTCAATGAGACAATTTTTTTGATGACGACTGTGACTTGATTTGTGTGTTTCAATAAGGGTCATCACGGTACTTGAGAAGACCCAAAAACTCATCAAACAACAACATCTCAAGATTAGGACAATCCTAATCCAAAAATCATGAAAATGAACTGCATACCTTCACAGTCAAAAAGCCACTCACGGACCATTTAACCATGCTCAAACATTGAGAATTAAATTTTTCATTAAGTTTCCATTGATGGGTCTTCCAAAGATTGTATTGATAGAATGACAAGTTTGCTTCTCATGCTACTTGTATCACTGTGTTGCATTTTGAAGTGTTGGATGAGATAGACCTTTAAATGGAATGCTTGACAATGATGTCATTCAAATCAACAATTGTCTTAATTGAGTCACATTGAGAGTTAGAATCACTTGTTTGAAATTGTTTCGAATTTGTGAGAGAGTGGTGAGAAGTCTATGTCATTCAATAAATAATATGGAAGCATCCGTATAAGATTGAACATTCAATACTAATTTCAATCAATAATAATCCTTTCCGTGATGTATTGGTATAGTTGACGCTCCATAGTACTTGATTTTCTTTGTTGCAGAAAGCAAAGACGATGGGTGAATAAATTTCATTATCCACCGTTATTGCAATGATGTGATAATATCCACACTCGACAAATTTAATTCGTTTGCCAATTTGAGTAACTTTAAAAAACGACGAAGTGGATGAAAATTGACTATTTCCAAGTTGGCCATAATTGTTGGAGCCTTTTAAATATAACTCACCACCTGTCGTCAACACTAATGAATGTGAATCTCCAAAACTTGCATGACAAAAGTTCTTGCTCTTGTTCGTTATCATCTCTAATATTCACTTTTTTGAAATCATCTGAAAATCCCTTTCCAACAATGTACAAATCTCCACTGTGTGTTAACATGGCAATTGAATAAAATCGTCCAATCATTCTCTGTACATGTTTTAACACATCATTATCTATTTTAGTATTAATAATCGTTGCACGAGATGAAGCATTTTGGAACCACTTGGTCATGCAACGATGCATGTTAGATCCATAACCATACAATACTCCGTCTTCGGTCAAAATGACACAATTACTGAACCACAACAAATAAATTTGATTTTTGGTGAACATTCGCGAGAGTGATTCATATTGCTTGTATCCATCATCGGAGGCTGTTCCAGAGAAAGAAGCATCAATGACTCACTGTGTGATGATGAGTGTCTATGATAATACAATTCATCATCGACTGTACAAAACAATACCACACCTCCACCTGCTGCCACAAGCTTCAAAGGTTTGTGTTTCGTTTCTTTCGGAACAGAATCAAGAAAGTTGGAGCTACTCCCACATATTGGTTTAAGAAAATTGGATTCACTCGAGGAGCCATATTCACCAGAGATGAAAACATCGTTGAGTGTTGGAAGAGGGAGAGAAGACATGTTGAGATTAATATTTTTTTAACGAAGGGGATCAGTAGTATTATTTTAATTTAAAAGTTCAAACAATAATATTGTTACTAAGGTTACTTTTTGCTTTCCTGTCGCCTGTGAAATCATTAAGAGAAGACATGTTAGAGCAGGTGAAGGACATGCAAAAACTCCTTCCACAACGATGCGGAACTTGAGTGTCAATCTTGGACTAACTTCTTCGCAGATTATATTATATATATTGTTATTACAGGACCAAATCAAGGATATTGTAAAAACTCGCGAATTTTTCAGAAACCAACCAAAAACACCCCGAATGGCACAAAACGCGAAAAAACCAAACAAAAAAAACACTCAAAGGAACACAAGCATCTCCTTCGAGTTCATTCCATCTTTGAAAACTCCTCACAAATATCTTCCTTTGTCCTTCCGTTGTGTGAAACTTTTTTGCAAATCTCCGTAATTTTGTCCTCACTACTCGCTCTCTCTCACTACTTTCCAGCCGATTTAAACTTCTTCAACAAAATGCCACTCCCACGAAAGGTCTACGTTCTCGGTGGTTACACCAGTAAATTCATTGGAAAGGGTCATCCTGATTTCATCCACAAGAAACACCCTCTCTTTGGTAAACAAACCAATCCAGATTTGAAATGGTACTTGATGACAGCCATTCAAGAAACCCTCAAGATGCATCAATGCAAAGGAGAGTTGGTAGACAAGATTTTCGTTGGTAATTTCGCAGGAGAATGCTTTTCGAATCAGGGTCATCTTGGCTCAGGTGTTTCCGAAGCCAATTCTGGTTTGTTGTACAAGCCTTCTTATCGATTGGAAGCTGCTTGTGCTTCAGGTGGTGGTAGGTATTGTGTTGTTTTTAATCATGATGAAATTGGGTCAATACTTTGATGATGATGGTTTATTTCTAATTTTATAAAATTGGTGGTGAAATGAATCATTCATGGCATTCAAATGGAACCAACATGATGAATACAATATTACCATTCTTCTTCACTATGATGATATGGTCTTCAACCTATGTCCATGAATGGTGCAACATTGATTCTGTACTTTTCGAAATGTTCTTGTGCATTTCACATCAACCCGCACAAACCACACACTGAACCCACTCAACAACAGTTGCTTTCAATGCTGCTGTTGACTCCATTTTGGGTGGTTCTAGTGATGTTGCCCTCGTGGTTGGAGCCGAAGAACAGAACACTGTGAGTGCCAGAGAAGGTGCTTCGCATTTGGCCAAGGCAGCTGATTTCAATAGACAACGACCTATTGAGGAGTTTACATTCCCAGCTCTGTATGCCATTCGTAAAATGCATTATTTGAAGAAGTATGGACATTTGGTCCGATCTGAAGATATTGAAGCTGTTGCATTGAAGGTAAGTAGTCATGTTAAAGCTTTTGGGAGGATTGAAGTGTGTGTGAAATGAAACTCACTGACGAACATTTTGTGTGATGAATTCCGATGTCAAATTCATTATTGTTGACACACAATATAGGCCTATGCTGCTGGTAACAAGAACCCTCTTGCTCAAATGTTTAGTGTTAAACTCGATCAACAAGGAGTTTTAGAATCTCCAAAATTTTTGACCAATCCAGAAATTAAGGAAGCCCTCAAGATGTGTGAATGTTCTCAAGTCTCTGATGGAGGAGCTGGTTTGTTGGTTTTGAGCGAAGAAGGTTTGCAAAAATTGGGTGTTCCAAAGTCACAAGCTATCGAACTCTTAGCTTCTGAAGTTGCTATTGGAAATTTATACAATGACACACCAGAGACATTCTCCGATTTGTTGACGACAAGAGCTGCTGCAAAGAGAGCTTATGAAAAGGCTGGAGTTTCGCCACAAGATATTTCTGTTGCTGAAGTGCATGATTGTTTTGCAATTGCTGAAGTTGGTATGAATGAAGCTCTTGGTTTCAGTAAGCCAGGTGAAGGTGCATTCTTGCACTTGACCAAACCAATGGTTAATACAGGAGGTGGTTTAATCGCTTTTGGACATCCTGGTAAGTTTCACAAAAGTGTTTTTAATTTTTATGATTGTGATAATTTTTGATCATCTCGCACGAATGTTCAACGTGTTTTTTATCACCGCAATTTTACACAGTTGGTGCAACTGGTGTTAAACAAATCAATGAAGTTTACAAACAAATGAAAGGAAAAGCAGGAGACTATCAGTTGAAGAGTAGTTTGGAGCTTGGTGTTTGTGCCAACATGGGAGGAAATGACAAGACTTCAGTCGTTTCAATTTTCAAGAACTTGTAAAGGGTGAACTATAATTTTTAGCATTAGCACGGATAAAGAGATAGCTCAGCAACACACTTGAATTTTTACTTGTAACTAAATAAAAACTCTAGAGTCTTCAATTTTGACTTTAAAAAATCCCTTCTTAATGACTAGTTATTGTGGTTGACTTGGTTGATGATTCTTTTGCCGAGTTCAAAAAATCAATGACCATTGGCGTATGTGGCGACGTGCCGAATTGCTGCAGCAAGAACTTTTCAATATTTTCATCGATAAGCGATTTCTTGTGATTTGTGTTTGGATTTTCCTTAATCAATTTGGACCAATGCTCATGGAAGGCGAGAGCAAACTGAAAAAGATGCATCGTACTTTGTCTGTCATTTCTAACTTCTTGCAATAGTTCGAGCAAGAACGAGCTGTCTGAATCAACGGAACGGAAGAATATGTCAGCTGTGATGTTGGCAATTAGGGCAGTATTGTTTGCAGTATTGCTATGTCTAATCAAAATGGTAATCATTGTGGCAAAATTTGCAAGCTCCGCTTTAGCGTAGGACCTATGTCTAATTCTGCTCGAATCAAGGAGTTTTTTCAGCCATAAAAATGCTTTCCCTGCTTGGTTGGTGTTAATATAGCCAACCATGATTAAGGCAAAATCTTCAAATGTGGGTTTAACGTTGCTTTTAGGATTGTTTCGGAGACTTAAAAGCAAATGCTCTGCCTTTTCGGGTGCTTTAAACTCAAATATATATTTTTTGATAATTTCCGATAACTCATTTCTTGTCACGGTATTACTAGCAACCAGCATGTCGAATAATCGTTGTGAAATCTCTAAACTAGTAGGGTTCATTAAATAGGAAGACAGAGTCTTGGAATCCCAAATGATATCAAAATTTTCTGAAAATATTTCGTGAGAAATGCTGCCCGCTTTGTTGTTTGAAGAATAAAATTGGGAATATTTGTGAAATAATTCAATTCTATAGGCTCGTTCCTCACTAATAAATCTGTATAATAATCTTGTTGGTCCTTTGTTTCGAGAGAAGTGATAGACAAATGAATTCATTATTTGAGTTCTCAGGTCAAGAGTACTTTTTAAATGTTCCAAGAATGGTTTCTGTTCTCCAGAAGATGATGCTGTTTCGTCGATTCGTATCGAATTCAAAATGCCTCTTCCAAGAGAGGTCATATTTTCAAAAACGGAGAGAGCAGAATACGATTCAAATAGAGGATCATAGCTGCGAGACAATTTCAAATTAATATTCTTTCTTTGTTTTGTACTGGAGTTGATGTTGTCATTTTCTTTTCCATAGTCTATGGAGTGCAAATATGAGAACACAAGTAACACATTAAATTTGTAATGCTCCATGAATGTAAAATGCTGAATTACTTTGTGAATAGTTGTCTCTGAAAGATATTCACCATATCTTTGTACAAGCATGTATATTCTATCACATATTGTGAACGTCATGTTGTCCAATTTAGATGAAGAATACAAACTCAAATTTGGAACCATTGTGTTTTCTTCTGAATTACCAGACAATGAGGATCGGGAAGAATTGAAATCTGACCTGAGCTTTTCATTCTTTTTGATAAATGATTGAATTAGAAGAGTAATTCTCTCCCGAAGATCATCATTGGAGATGTGCTGGTTGTTGTTGAGAGGAGATTGATTCGTGGTTGTGTTGAAGTTATTACTCGTTGTTGATGTATTGGCGGCGTTAGGATTTACCCATCCTGCTGGTTCTAAATCCAATTTTGAATTTTTTCTCTCCGATGATGATGACTTCCTATGATTATCTTCATGGATATTGTCCGAGTAATTATTTAATCGGATTAATGAATGATGATAAAACGATAATGTTTTTCGAAGAAATATTTTCTCAACTATTGGTTTTGCTCGTTCAAACGAAAGTTCTCTTCCACGGTGATGGCGCAAGGAACAAAATGGCAGAGTCAATCCCAACGATTTCTTCATTTTTTATTTATTTGTTTTTTCTTTTTATTAGAAAGCCACAACTCTTACAAGATGTATTAGAAGACAGAATTCCACTCGATATCACCAATAGACAGATAATCATTCGTTTTCATATGAAAAGGCCTTGTGCTGGATAGGACGAGGGAAGTGATGTTTTTCACCTTTAGATTCATCGATCATCACCAAGGTTCATCATGATTCGCAAGAAAAATAAGTCAACATGATAACCAACGATCATGCACACCATCAGCCAAAAAACATTTGGGAAGAATTACCATTAGAAATTCTTCATTGTGTATTGGAATATTTGGATCCGAGAAATTTGGTGAATTTAATGTGTGTTTCTTCGAATATTCGGCTGTTGGCCATCAAGTTTATACTGATGGGAGTTGGAGAGAAGGAATATATTAATGAACGATTATTGATGAAGATCAAGCCTAAATATACCAGAAATTTGTTGATTCCCAATGAATTCTCAATGAAAAGTTTAAATTCTTTTTTAGATGTTTTGCTCGGATCGGAAAAGACTGACAACGAGGATAGGCAGTCGTTCTTTCTTCCGAGAATTAATTTGAGTATTTTTGAAGTACCATCTTCTTGGTCAATCTTGAAAAAACTTGAGAGAGTGATTGAAAAATATCATGTCATGGAGATAGTTTTGCATGTATCTGAAAAATCTGACAATGTCCAGCGATGGCTCAACGATACATTGAACAAGAATTCAATGAAACAACTCACACGATTAACTGTGATGTATCCTATCAATAGCTCTTTTCGATATTCCTCCAAAGGAGTTGAGCTGTCCATTTATAAGCCTCTCAAAGGTACGTTGTTCATATGAATATTGGTGATGATAGGAATTTCCAAATCGATGAAGTTCTGAATGGTTATTTCATCAATGACGAAAAAAGTATTGAAAATCTTTGCTCACATCGAGAATTGTGTAATAGTTTAGAAGTTTTAACACTATCATTTTGCTTTGAATACAATAGTAGTATTTCAACATTGTTCGAGAAAGCATTCAGAGCTGTGTTAAGATCAATGCCGAACTTGACAACTCTATATTTTGATTTGCCTTCCTCCATATACGTTTTCTCAATAGATGATGAAATGGTGCATTTGTTAGAATCAACAAAGTTGAGAGTTCTTCGAATAGATTCACCAACAGCTATTTTCATGCAAAAAGCGACAGAAAAGACTTTTGAGAAATGTTTACCATTGATTGAAGAGTTGTATTTAAAAGTCAATTTTAACCCAAATACTTTACATTTTGGATACACAAGCTTACCAATTTTTCATAATGAAGCAATAACTGTGTTTTTTCCTCCTCGCCCTCTAAAAAAGTTATTGTATTGCCAGTCTGTAGCAACAGAAGCAGCGGTGATGAAAATTCAACAGGTAGAAACATTAATTATTCATTTTGAAAGTTATAACAGCTTTGGTAACCTACCTTCCTTGAAAGCACAACGTTTAATTTTGCTTGGATTTAACAATGATCATTTGAAAGACAAATATTTAACAGATATGTTCCCATACACGAAAGAGATTATATGTTACGACTCCAACTTCAAATGCTCTTCACTATTCAATCCACAAAGAGAGACTCAAAACGTTCTTGAATCTATCATTCTTCAAAGTTGTTCGTTAGACATCACGGATGGGGTTTCAACTTTGATATCATCATTGAGTTCATTTAAGGCATGGAGAACAGGATTTTACAACCAAACTTCTCATCATGATCTTTCAATACTTGCCATCGAAAAACAGCAACGACTTTCGACTCTAAAAGAAAAGAGAAGGAACAAGGAAATGATGGGTAACACCAAATTGCAAACGTTGGTGTTAAAAGATTGCCAGAGTTTTTATGATGTCTTTCTTATGGAATTACTTTCATTCAATACGCCTCATTTAACAAAGATACAACTAGAAAATTCATATTCAATCTCTGAGGATGAATTAGAAATTTTATTTGAAAGCGTGAAAGCAGAAAATTTAACAATTTTTCAAATTCTTGGACCTAAATTTAATAATGATTTGATCATGAAGTTTCTGGAAATGATTCATTCTTTGGATAGTACCACTCATGAGATATTGAACAATGATATTCATGTGGCTTTCAATGGCCCTTCCATTACATGTGAACTCTTTGAAAGGCTTTCCAATGAACAGTTGCAAAATATTTCTGTCATTTCATTGCCAGATTCCACGCTTGATTGTGAAATATTTATGGCAATTTTGGAGCGTTTAAATCCCATCAAGCTCAAAAAGCTTCAAATTAATTTTGGGAAAACTGGACCAACTTTTGATTTTTTCAAACATCTCAAACGATTTAACATGCTAGAACAAGTGTATATTAGCGGAACAGCACAACCAGCCTCTGCCTTGGAGCGTGAACTCTTTAAAACATTTTTGTGTAATGATCTTTTGAGGGGAATGGAAAAGTTGACACTATTCTTTTTTGACTGTCCTGATTGGTGTAAATTCTCCATTAATGAATTGGAAATGTTGAAACAGCAACTGAGAAGTTTGAGTCGCTCTGCACCAAAATTAGTACTTCCCTTCGATAACAAGAGTTGCAACGATACAATGGATCCACGCAAGAAAAACCGTTCAAACGGAAGCTATTGTGAAATTCAATAATAATTTTGTAAACAAGTATATGAGTTTGTCAAACTTCCTCAAGGAATCCATCATCGATGATGCTGAAAGTTTGTTGTTGTTGTTGTTGCAATTTGACCCACCTCAATCGAATCCTTTTTTAGATTCCATCATGTACAAGACCAGAACACAAAACAAAATGAGTCGACAAGAGGTCTTTGGAGGGGGTGATGAAGATGACACCACCACCACTGCCATAGAAACGACAAAGCTCTATTCATTACATCGGATCAAACTGTTCAAACTGTTTGCTTCCTTCAACACTTTATTTACAGCCATTGTCATTATTTACATGATCATTGTAGGTATTTAGTGATGAGATTTTGTACGTCAGAATGACTTTGTCCAACACGGGTCATATCATTTTGTCATTTGTTCGTCGTACGTTCCTAATAATAATCATTATAACAACAACAATAATCATAATATATCCATAATTTATTATGAACTCACACCTATAGGTGTTTATCATTCTCGGAATTGAATTGCAAGGAACTCCTACCAGTGGTTCCGTGTATTCGGTGCTCACATGGACCTCGTATCTCTCCTATGTATTGGAAGCCATTGAAAGTTGTTGTTTGGTTACTTGCATCATGGGATTAATTGCTTCCTTCACGAGACCTTCCGCTGTTTATAATCGGTTCTTAATCTTTCCATACATGTTGGGTTGTTTCATCAAATTATTAATGGAATGGGGTTTGATCTTGTCCACTTCAGGAGCGCTGGCTGCCCTCGCTGGTCATGGAGCAGTGTTGTATGTGGCCATTGTGGTGGCTATCATAGATGCTGTTTGGAATTTGTTGGCCTTGATTTTCAGTGTTGTTCACGCAGTGTTTTTGTTTGGCGTTCGTAGAAATATGAAACTAGTGAGTGGAAAGAAGAAAACATCAAGAGAGGATAAAGATTAATTGTAAAACCTCCACAATCATTTCTACAAAGTCTCGTGCCTTTAAGGTTTCCTTATTTTAAGGGTTCCTTATGAGGGTTCATATCAGAGATGGTGTGTGGAAGGAACACTATATACTCAAACAACTCTTGTGGAGGAGTTTCATAATAACACGTGGAAACTTTACTTCTAATACATGTATTTTATTGAGAACAGACATACACATGTGGATTACTTCTTTGATGCATTGAAAGGATTTGCACTTTGGTCGTCTTGTCTGTGGTCAAATCGACCCATCATGTGTGGAATATTCACAGAATGATCCTTCATGACAATATCTTGATTTTCACCTTGTCGTGCACAGTGCTTGTCATACCAACTCCACATCTCTGCTGTTGGGACATGATTTTCAAAGGCTCCTCCTTGTGCAGAAGCTTGATATCTATTAATGATGAAGGCAGTCGTCATTGCACAGGCTGCAAATAAGGCTTGAACGTGTGGCTTTCTGGCAAAATATCCTCGAGTATTGAAATCGACCGGATGCATGATGTTTAAGGTGATAAGGTGTTGAAGAAGGTGTTGTTTTTTCTTGAAGAGTTGACTAGCAGTCGGCCCTGCATTATGTTGAGGCGATCCTTAAAACATCAACACAAGCGGTCTCAATTTACGCCGCCTCAGGACATCACTTACCATGAGATTGTGATTCAACACATTAAGGAACAACCTCTTAGTAATGCAGTGGGAGAATGAGAGAATGGATGGAGGGTTTGTGTGTCGGAAAGGAGGGCCAATAGTGGTGGATTCTCCGATCTCAAATACTACGAGTAGCCGCTCCGCACAATAAGAATCGGAGTAAAAGAATCCCTCTCACTGACGACTTGAAGAATTGATTCATGTGCAATTTTCGGTTCATTTATATTACATGAAACCGTGGCGTGTATGTATTGTTTTCCAATAATTTACCACTGACAATAATTTTATGACATGTGAAAGGTCCAATGAAACTTCAAATTCTCAATTTCCCCACCATTAAACTCTTGAAATATATAATAGATTGAGGCAATAATGTGGCAAGGTGTGAGCTCTAAAATGTGATCCTTCATTAGGTGTTTGAACTCCAGTCTTAATAATAAGGTTTTTAATCAATACTACTAAATGTTCTTTTTAACACTAGAAAATTCCAACAATCCAAAAACACTATTCGAGAGAATCGGTGAAATCGATTGGCAATGATATTTTCAAGGTTGTTCCAACTCTAACTCTTTATTTTTACCGTTGAATGTCATATTGTCCAAAAATTTTGTTACTTTCACTGACAGTCTGAGATTAGACAAGTCAATTTACACACAAACACATTTTGCGGGAAGAATTGACTGACCTTACTTCTTTAAAAATTGTTTTTTCACATATTTCCGCAATGTAGCAGAGACACTTTGTCGAACTAATTGTTTCTGAGAATGACTCGATTGCACTCTAAGAAGCTCCTCCTCCGAGAATATCTCATTTCCAATACTAAGGGAAGGCAATACCATGTTTCGTGGCCTTCCTGAAGGTTGATTACCAATACTACTCGTTGTGGATGTTGAAGAAATACTAATATTTGGATTCACAAAGATTTGTGTACCTGTACTTGTCGTGGCACCATTAGTACTAGAAGATTTGCTGTCATATCTTCCCTCCTCAATATTTCTCTTAATAATTTCACTTAATAATGCTTCAAAACATTCTTGAATATTCCAATTTTCAGTGGCGCTCACCACATAGAACGGACAATGCGAATTCTCTCCCAAAGTATAACCATATTCAGCATTGACAGTTTTCGAATGAGAAAGAGGTTCATCAATCTTATTCATCACAATAACCATTGGAGGAAATTCAGGAAAGAGCGTTGGATCTGGTGGCAACACGTAACTCGAAGTGGAACTTGTTCCTGTGGTGTCCGTAGAAATGCCACTTGTCACAGAGTCACGTCTCGAACTCGATCCACCATTCGAATCCAAATCTAAACCCGATTTAAAATATGCTGTCTTACATTCCTCAATTAATACTTGAAGTTGAGCAAACGAGGATTTATCATTCATGTCAAAAACCAACATAAATCCATCCATTTCAGAGAGATTAGAAACTTGTTTCCGTGTGGCAGATTGTCCACTCGTGTCCACAATGGTCACACGACAAATGACATCTTGTTCAAAGCTGTAGGAAATATCGGATATTAAGCTGTGAAAAGGATGAAGAGTAGCAATGTCCTCTTGATTTTCAGAATCGTTCAGTTGTGGTTGTTCAACAACTGTCACATGTTTTGCAGAAGTATCTACTGCATGAGAATTGTTTAAAAGTCCATGATTAAGATGTTCCATTAAATCGTGAATGACTGAATTATTTGGAGAATGTGCTGAATGATGATGTTGTGTAGAATGAGTGGTTGAATGATGATGATTTGGAGAATTTACATTTGACTGACTCGTTGTGGAATCTTTTCTCTTTTTGAAAAATGAAAACTTTCTCGTTTTGGATTGTTTTTGCTTTTCTTTTTCTGCTTGTAATTCATCTTTTTGTTGCTTGATTGATAATAAAGTATCGTCCAATTTCATAAAATCTCTCAATTCTTGAGGAATAATTTCCAAGTCATGTGCCATTTGTTTGTATCCATAAATGTCACCTTTTGGATTTTCCTTAATTGGAATGTCATTCTCTGCTTCTTGAAAAGGAGGTGGAGCAGGCATTCGAAAAGTAAATTGTATTTTGGTTACATATTCATCCTCGATGGTTGGTTCGTGTTCGATTGGAACTTGTTCTTTTCCCACACATCCTACAAGGTACGATTTCGACGTTCAATTTTCCATTTTCAGAATTTTTGATCATAAAAATCAAAATGATATTCCCATTCAAATGTTTACAAAAAAATTAAAATACACAAAATATGATCAATTCATTCTTCAAAATGTTCTGATATCATGCGACACTTACTCTGAGCAATGCAACTCTTTCCAACTTTCTCAGCTCCCAAAATTGCAATTTTAAAATCATGAAAGAACGGAATTCCTCGAATGGTTCTTCGTCTGTCTTGTTGGATGGATTGTCGTTGTTGAAGAGAATGACGAAGAGAGAGTCGTTGAATGAGACTTGGCATCTGACAAATGTTGAGAGTGATGTGTGTGGTGGAGAGATGATGATGACGGACTTGAGATGCGAATGAACTCGAGATGTGGTCGTGGTGGTGTTATTGCCACACTCAATTCTGGATACAACAAGATGTAGCAATCGCTATTTTTTTTTGAAATGAAATGACAAGTGACAACTAACGTTTAAGGCAGTTTTGTCTAAATGGTTTCCAACTAGCGGAGAGAGAGAATGCCAACTGTAAATTTTTGAACTTTCTGGTGAGAGACTTTTCCACTCATTGGAAGGGTAAGGTTTTTTTTATTGATGACGTTGGTTGGACTTCTTTTCCACCATCTGACAATTCCATTTCCTCAAAATTTCCTTATAACTCTTAATGATCACCTTATAAATGAATTCGTATTGATTCTCTGTTTGTACCATTCCAGCTCGATGTTCTTTCAATTTTTTCACAATGTTAAAAATATTAAATGGAAATGCTGGAATATTCACCAATGTGTTGGAAGATGGATTTGTGGAAAGAGGTGACGCCGTAGAAGAACTTTTCGATTTGTTGAACAACATGACATGTTTCAACACGTGTGCCTTAAATTGTTTGAGAGCACAATCCACTGCACAAAAAGTTCCAGTTCGTCCAATTCCAGCTGAACAATGAACTACAAGTGGTCCAATATTGTCGAGTACACTTCCTTGCAACAATTTTTGTGCATTGTGATGTGTTGAAGACGACAATACAGGGTTGAATGAAAAGAGCTCTTGTTTTCTCTTTTCGAAAATGTCATGGATATGATCAATGACTTTCATAATGATTGGAATTTGTGTAGGAACACTTTGATCGACCCATCCCACGTATTGCAATAAATAAACTTTTCGTTGATCTAAAATTTCATCATCATCATTTGTTGATGATGGAGGTACACTGGTGGCTGATGATTTCGATCGCTTCAATTTGAGATTAATGACTCGTTGCATGAGTTCTTTTGGAATGATCCATTTCACAGCTTCTTCTTCGTCATTCTTTGGAATGGTGACTTCGAGTTTCCATTTTTGTGTATTTGTAGTGATACTCTTTGGAGGTGTCACATCAATTAGAAATGAATCAGTGTTGTTTTTCATGCCAGTCACAGAGAGCATGTTACGAGGAGAGACACCATCGAGAGAGGAAGCAGTGGTCAATGTCGAAGAGAGAATAAATGGGTTTGGATTCGATCCCGAATTATTTGGTGTTGGATAATAAATAGCACATTTCACACCAGTTTCTTCTTGTTCTCGACCGATCATTAAAATCACATGTGAATTACTTTGATAAATCATTTTCCAAAAATGTGCTGCTGTGTAGGGGAGAGGACCTTGCGTACAAATATAATCGACCATATTCACACGTTCAGCAAGTTCTTCTCTCTCCTTTCGAGTAGTTCCATAATTATTCGTTGTTGTGGATGACGCAGAAGTAATGCTGAGTGGAGAGGAGACCATTGAAAATTCATCCCAATTAAATAAGAATTCTTTTCTTGCTTTGATGAGATTGGCATTGATATAGTCTTCTTCCCATGTGGAGAGAATTTCTGCATTTGGAGAGATGGTTCGATTGCTGGTGTTGGTACTACTTGTATTTGCATTCGAATTATTATTACTCGAATGACTACTTGTGATGGAAATTGGACTTTGTTGTTGCGGTGTGACCCCTTGGGATTGACTTGACAGGAGAGCGAAATTGGAAAGAGGCAAACTGGAGGATGTGAAATTAACATGCAACACTGGTCCAATTCCTTTGTATAATTTGAATCGAGTGTCATCATTGGGTAAAACGTTGCTGTATCGATTCATATCCATGTATCTCAAACCTGTACGAAAATAGAGACGCTTGTGAAGCCAGGTCACAACGTCAATTTCTTCCAATTCTTCAAATTCTCGAATGAGTCTTGGACATTGATGTGAGTTTGGATTTTCATAAAGTGATTCTAATTGTTCTTTCAGCAATTCTGGATCAATGTTTACAAGAGGTGACGAAATATCGTGTGTGTCCTCCTCATCCTGACTCAAGACATGTCGCTCTAAAGAATACACAGGTGGTCTTGCTGCCACACAATGCTTATTGTAATGATAAGGATTCGTTCCACTTTTGAGAGTTGGAGGCATCATGAATGAAATGGATTTACCCGAGTGTGGACTTTTTGTTGGAGTTCCAGATGGCTTGTTATTCATATTAGGAGATAGTTTGTTATTATCTTCTTGTGGATGATTGAGGTTTCCTTGTTTAGATAAACCTCCAAGTGATAGTGCTGGTGAATCAGAATTGTCATCTGTCATGGCACGTGTATTTGAGTTAGTGGCTGATAAATTGAGTGTGGAAAGCTTTTTTTCTTTCGATTTGAATGGAGTATTCACTTTGAGTGTCAAAGCGTCATCCATGTCTTCATCTTCCTCAGAAACGTTTGGTTTTCGTGTGAAAGAATTGTTTTTTCCAATCGATAAGGTGAGATCCAAGTCGTCGTCGTCTCCAATGGGTTGAACCACAGAAGATCTCTTTTCATGTTTAAATCTGTGACGATTGTGTGACGAGGTATTGACTTTTTCGTCGTCATCATCTTCGTCATCAGAAAGCACTTGACCATCTACTTCTTTCGAAAAACTTATATTTCTTCCATGAACGTAAACTTGTTCCTTAATTGTTGAATTGTTGGATTTGTTCAATGTTTTGGAATAGATGGTTTGAAAACGTTGTTTGTTTAAGTTGAGTTTTGACAATCCCAACTCTTCCTCAGTGTCACTTTGATCACCATGTTGTTGTTGTTGTGAATGAGTTTCCACATGATTCGGAACTTGTAACGCATTGTTGTTGTGATGATGAGTGTCATAACTGTTCACCAAATTGGATCCAATTCGCTTGGGTGTGATCATGAAAGAATGTTGCATGACTGAAGTCAGTTTCGGTTTCTTATTTAGAGCACTTAAATCCAAGATGGCCATGTTTGGAAACCTAGAAGACAAGCTAGAGGATGAAGACACTGAAGAACTAATTTCACTCAAATCTTTTCTAGAGTTTGATTGGCTCGTGGACATGTCTCCCTCATCTTCCTCATCGTCATCCTCCTCATCATAAACCTCTTCATCTTGCATTACATCATCTAATTTGGCACTTGACAGTTTGCGATTCTTGTTACCAATGACCAACATGGTCTCATCGTCCTCAATCTCCTCCTCCTGTACGACAACATCAACCATCGCTTCGGTTGAGATCACAGCACTTGCGTCCATACTACTCGTATCCATCTTGTCCGTTGTTGTTGTTGTTGTCGATGATGATTTTAATTTTTCAGACAAAGTCAATGTTCCTCCTCCTCGAATATTTCCAAGGAATGGTTTCGTTCGTTGTAGTGGAGAAGAACACGAATCCGAATGATTGGAAATATCAAATGCGGAATTGGATGAATTCTTGTTGGACGTGTTGTTGTTATTGTTGGATAACGATGGTGAATTTGAATCATAATTTTGGATGTGATACAGTGTAGGAGGCGATTGAGGAGAGGTTGTTGTTGTAGTAGAAGGATGAGAAAGAAAAGATGATGTGTTGTGGTGCTTCTGCTGCTTGTCAAATGTCGTTGTCGGTTGGCCACTCATTTTTCATTATTTTTTTTTGGATATTTGAAAGGAACAAAGCAAGAATGGAAGTAAAAGTTGATGAGTGTTGTCTCTGATACGGAAGTGGTCCATTGTTTTTCACACCGTTGAAGGTCAGTGAGTGGAGTCAATAGTGTGAGTAGAGGTTTGGATCCATATGTTGATGTTGTTGTTGTTGTTGTTGTTGACAAACGATACTCTTTTGAGTGATTCTTGTTGTTGTTTCAGTTGTAACGTTGTGAATGTTGTTGTTGTTTTGGATGTTATAATTAAGAAACTTCATTCAGAAGAGAGATCATGAAATTGCCTTAATCCAAGTGAGTGAAAAAAAAACAAATCTTCTGAATTTCGACTGTGTGACTTTCGAATTCTTGCAATCCTTCTCACCATCCTTCCAAACAAGATTCATCATTAGGAATAAAAGTAAACTATTTTGCAAGAGAGAGACTCGTCTAAATGTAATCGAGATTTTGTGTACAATTTAGGAATAAATAAATTTTCATGAATATGAACAAATAAAAAAATAAGTTGAAGAAGCTTCGAGATTGTTGTGGCCACTTCAAAGTGTTGATCAACAAGCGTTTTGGTATCAACCAGCAGCAATTCCTTTTCTTTCATTACTCTTATTCACAGAGGGTTCTTCCGTTTCATTGTTGAATTTAATTTTCTTAATTGGATTGATTTGTTTATATTATTCATTTCCAACACACACTTCCTATCATATATATTGGATCTTAACAACAACAACACAACTCAATATGAATACCAAACAATACATTCAAATCATTCCGAGTCCCTACAATCCCGAGTGGAACATGATACGCTTGTTCTCTCCTGATATGAAAAGTGGAGTGTGCGAGATTCAACTCCATGGAGCTCATCTTACGAGTTATAAACGTACATGTTGTGCTTCTCCAATATCCTCATCATCCTCATCAACATTATCATCGGAACAGTCAGAAAATCATCATGATGATGAATTAATGTTTGTCAGTGAAAAGGCTGTTTTTGCAACGGATAAAGCCATTCGTGGTGGTACTCCAATTTGCTTTCCTCAATTCTCGGATAAAGGCCGTTTGAGTATGAGTCATGGATTTGCAAGAAATGTAAAATGGGAACACGTAGAGAATGTGGATTCGTCCAACATGTATGGATATGACTCATCTGCAACAGTGGCTTGCTTGAGAATGATTAAGAGCTCAAGTTATGAAGGAACGAACAAGGAAATTGCTCAATATTTGGCCGAGTATGATGTGTTGAATGTGGAAATGATTTTTGCATTGAGTAATGATAGTTTGGAAATGACATTGAGAGTGGCAGAAGACACCAATGCATTGGTAGAGGATGAAAAATTTGCAAAGGTCAAATCATTTACTTTTGCTTTCCATAATTATTTCCGTGTGGATGATATTACACATGTCACTCTTGATGGAATTCATAATAATCATCATGGTGTACAATACATTGACAAGGTCAAGAAGGGAGAGCTCATTACTGTTGAAAATTCTTCACCATTTGAAATCACTCAAGAAGTTGACAGAGTTTATCTTGATATGTTAAACCCTATTGAGAGTGTCATTGTGGAAAATAAGCCAACAAACATTTCACGAATGATATCCATCTCACAAAATGCTTCCACTGCACAAAATGTTGTGGTTTGGAATATTTGGAAGGAAAAGTGTCAAAAAATGTCTGACATGAAGACAGATGACTTTTCGAAATATGTTTGTGTTGAGGTTGGCCAAATACAAACTCCTGTTGAATTGGAGCGAGGAAAGGTGTTCACTTCATCACAGAAAATTGCTGTGAAACATGTTTCTCAAAATTCTTCCAAATTATAATAAAATGTGATAGGAGCATTGAAGTTCGAACATAATTATGGTCATTGTATTTGTGATACACTTTGGATCAAAACCACCTTGTGTTAAATTAATTTCACAATAATATTTATCAAAAATTATGATGATGAAAGTGGTCAAAATTTGAGTACTCTTAAAGAATGTATGCAGGAATTAATGGTTGTGTCTCGAGTGATGAATTCGTGTCTTACTTGGTGAAATGAAAGTCGTCTTAAATTAAGCTTTCATAATTTAGCTCAACCCCAGTGGATTATTGTTGTCACTCTTAAATTTCATTGGTTTCAGTGCTGGATATTGATCGTTGACATTATTGATTGGTATTTCTGGGGCCGTTTTGGATTTGATTCGTTCAGGATATTCCACACAAGGCCATAGATCATCGGTTGGGCACTGTTTTGGATTGAATGCTTCAACCTCAAACGAAACAGGATGAACCAAAGTTTCCCAACATTGAGGCATGTCATAGTGGGCATTGTCTCGCAATGTGCTAATTCGACCCAAATGTGACAATAAATTATACTTGTATGCAGTCATGAATCTATTTCCAAAATATGCCAAGGATTCTGGAGTTTCTCTTGCACAAAACTCTGCAAAAATGTGATCTGGTGGTCGTTTTCCAATTCTTCGCTCTAAATGATCAGCAAACGTGGAAATATCATTATTGTCATTTCTCATAATAATTCCGTTTAATCCGCTTGAAACACGAATAGCAGCCCATCCATCTTTTCCGAATCTAGCATTTGCTTTGTGAATAATATGAATAAGTGTTGTGAGAGTCAATTCACAAACCAAAAAATCATCTTCCACAATTAGTAGATATTTGCTCTTTTTGTGAACATTCCTAATTAGATGGATAAAATCTGATGTTTGTCTCACAGTACTTGCAGGAATGACAGAAGCTCCGTCTTTTGGACGATAAACTTTGGCATTAGTATCAATATCCACAAAATTCCAAACATTTTTCTGTGATTCGTACTTCTTTTGAGAGTAGGTGCTCTTTGCTTTTTCATAGATTTCATTCCGTTCATTGGGTCTCATGTTTGCAATGTACATTGTGACGAGTCGACTCAAAAAATTATTTCTCTTCAATTCTGCATCGTAGGACTGGAGAGTCGGCGTGAAATAATCCACTGAAAGTCCTTGTTTTGCTCCTCTCGTTCTCGGAATGGTGGGCATGACGACTCCCAAATATGCCATTCCTTTCTCTTCCAATTCTGTCAAAATAGAATGATGTTTATCGTCCATGAAAAAATCTCCATACGATTCTAATTTGATTTCCAACGGATTTGTTGCTATGATATGACTTGAAGACGCGAGTGATTCATCAATGTAATTATGATTGTTGTTGTTGATGCGTCCAGCTTGTTGTCGTGGTGGTGGTAGCTCTTGTTGTTTCACTATTTGTTTGTGGTTGGATGGTGGTTGTAATACAAGTTTTCCATCTGCATCTTGCTGTTGTGGGTTCTGTTCCATATCGTTATTCGTGTTTGATGATGTTATATTCGGACCGGTTCGGGAAATCAAAAATCGGATCTGAAAGAAGAACATGGCGATCATACATATAAAAAGAACTCCTAGTACAACCCGTCGTACATTTCCATGTTTTCCAAACAGTTGATGGAATAGCATTGAATTTTGCGAGGATCCTGATGATGGTGTGATGGAAGCCGTGTTATTCTGCAATTTCGACAGAGAAAACACTTGAGGCATTTTTTTGTAATGTTTGATGAACATGTGATGACATCAATAAATACATCATCATTGATAATAAATAATAGATAATTCAAATTTGAAATAATGTTAAGGAAAGTGATTCAAGGGAGATCTTACTATTATTATTAGTGCTAAAAAAACTACTCCTTTTTGAGTTGATAAATAAGAACTCGTTCATCCATGCATTCAGAATTTTGTTGTTTGGTTGGTATTTTCTTTAAGGAAAAGAGTTTGGATGCTTTTTCAAGAAAGAGTTCATGAGCTGTGTCATTACGAACTGATGTGTGTGGGTGTTCCATTTCAATAAATAATGTAATTCATTCAATTCAATAAATAATGTAATTCCAATGATTCGTTGTAAAAAAACAAATGAATATCATAATAAATTCAATGAATTATGATCCACCTCATAAATTCACATTCCTATCATAATCTACATACTCTCATAAGCAATGAAAATCAAAGTCGAAGCGGATGATAATTCTGTCAATAATTTCAACAATGGCTCAATGCAAGGCTCTTCATAAACCACATCACTTCCAATAATACAATCAAAAGTGCCATCTTCCGATCCTGTTGTTTTCATTCTAAATTCTTTCAATTTCTTTACATGCTCGTCATTATCCAAAGTATTTGTTGGACATGCCCATAACCATTCCAATTCTTCACATGAAATATTATTGGCAACTTCATTGCAATTATAAAGAACATTTTGTTTCAGAATTGGAAGTACAATTTCTCGATCCGTGGCGACTACTCGTGAACATCCTAATTTTGCGAGTAGAATGGATGAAATCCCACATCCAGCTCCCACTTCCAAGATGTTCCGAAAGGAGGTGAGTTTTAATTTATTGGCATGTTTTTCAAGATATTTGCAGAGTACTGGTGCTGATGACCAGAGTCTTGAACCACACGTTCCGACTTCATAATTTTCCATAATTCGGATGGTTCCTTTGGATGTTTCCAAATTGAAATAGCCTCGCAATTTGTTTTGTGATGATGACATTTTTTTTGATTTCCTTTTCTGTCGTCGTTTTCACTTGAATTAAATTGCTTTAGAGTTGATTTGGAATAGGCAATTATTGTTCTTTCTGGGCCTTAGAATTTGATGGAGTATTATTAAGCAAGTGTGGATTTTTGGAATTTCGTTTCGTGGTCGTAATGAATTTGATTCGTTTTTTCATTTCTGAAATAATGAGCAATGTACTGGAGCCGAGAGCAATCCCCAAGATCAAAGCACCGCAAGCACTGCCAATCACGAAAAACAACACTTCATCACTCTTTCCACTATCCAAATAGAGAACATTTGCAATGGAAGAAGTGTCTGCATACATTTGGGCAAACGTGAAAAGAGTGGTGGCCGTTTTGCCATTGTTGCCCAATGTATGAAATTCTTCTGATTCCAGGTAGAACGCATCGCTTAATGAAACCTTAAATTGATGATACAAAGTGAAATGAGTTTCATCCACCTTGACAAACGAGCTATTTCCGTTTCGGGCGACTATTTCATAATGTTCTAAAGTGTATTTTCCAACATCAAAATACTTTGATAAATTTCCATAGAAGTACTTCCATGAATTCTTTCCCAAATACAATCCCGAGAATGGAATTTCTTGATTTTTGATAAACCCATAAACTTGTAATCGGAAAGAATCAGCCATCAAACGTTGGGTTGAATTCCATTGATGCCTTTGAATAAGACTCATCAATTCATGTACTGCCTCTTCATGAGTAGTTACATTCGGAGTGCCTATCGATACCGAATGAATCCAAGCGCTTAATGAAATAAATATTGAACAAAAAACAATGAAATGTAACGTTAATATCTTCTTCCTCCTCAAGATGATCATTTTTTTTATTAAGGAAATATTTAAATAGGAATTGCAATTAATTACACTAGAGATTACCAGTCCCTTTGGGAATTGGCTTGATCAAGGGAAATTGCAAGGAAAATGATGTTTTGTAAACTTCTGTGCTATTGCTGGATTTTTTTTCTCCGAGAATTCTTTTGATTGGTCGGAGAGCCAAACATCATTTTCCAGAGGTAATTTGTAGTGAAATGATACAGCAAACGAACGAAACTAGTTTTACTCTGACAAATCCATTTGATTTGAACCATGTGTTGTTGTTGTTGTAAACTTCATGTCAGGCAGGATCATTTCACATCGGATTTGATCAACTCCGAAAAAATCTCTTGACATTTCAACAACAACACACAATTTTTCAACACGAAAAAATGTCAAGTCCATCACCTCAACAACAGAAACGTGTGGTCGATTTGAGTAAGTTTCAAAATTCAAAAGTAGGCTTTCAATAATGGAGAGACTCATGTTCATCATTATTCAACCCTAACAATCACGGATATCCACTACTACTACTAATACGACTACTACTCTCAAAATAATTCATCCTCGTTATTGATTTTCATCTAGTCGTAATCGGATGCGGAAATAGGTAAGAAGAATCATTTTATATATATTCGGCAACAAGGAATGATCAACCGGATGATCTTCAATTTCTCTTGTTAATGATCATGATCCAACCATGATAGAGGAAAGAATTATGCCCGATATACCAAAGAACATCCCGATCAATGCCGTCTTGTAGCCATTGCTGAACCAAGAAAATACGTGAGAGAATGGATGAAAGAGATTTACAATTTGAATTCCGAATGTTTGTTCAATGATTGGCAAAGCCTTTATTCGTATTTATTGGAATTTCAAAAAGATCATGACCTCTCGAAGGATGAAAACAAAAGACATCCTCCCTTTCTAGATCCTACTCATGAAAAGACGGTCATTATTTGCACTCAAGATCAATACCATGTGGAACCAGCTTTGGCTTTTGCAAGTTTGGGATTTCATATTCTGTTGGAAAAGCCAATGGCAGTGAAAGCAGAGGATTGTAAACGAATTACAAAAGCAGTGGAGGAGAATGGTGTAAAGTTTGCTGTTTGTCACGTGTTGAGATATTCCATTTATACACAACGATTGAAAGAAATTTTGAATTCAGGGTTAATTGGAAATATTATTAATATCCAACATTTGGAGCCTGTTGGATGGTTTCATTATGCTCATTCCTATGTGAGAGGAAATTGGAATAATGAACAAACTTCATCACCCATGCTGTTGGCCAAATCTTGTCATGACATTGACTGGTTGTGTCACGTGATGACTCCTCATAAGGTGGTGCAAGTGTCATCTTTTGGCTCTCTCATGCATTGTCGAAAGGAAAACAAACCAGAAGGTGCTGCCTCAAGATGTTTGGATTGTCCCTCAAGTATTGAAGAGAAGTGTTGCTATTCGGCTAAAAAGATTTATTTAGATACTGTGAAAGCAGGACACACTGGTTGGCCTGTTTCCATCATTATTGGTAGGTTGGAATGGGTGTTTTTTGTCTCATTGAAACTAATTTGTGTTTACTATTACATTCGAATGACCGTCCCTCATGTTCTATTCTTTTCAGAATCGGGAGAAGAACCTACTGTGGAAAATGTGAGTCAAGCTTTGAGAGATGGGCCTTATGGAAGGTGTGTCTATGAATCTGACAACAATGTTGTTGATAATCAAGTGGTCTCACTTCAATTTGACAATGGAGCGACATGTACATTTACAATGATCGCCTACTCGAAAGAAATTTGTGAACGTAAAACGAGAATATATGGCACACTTGGAGAGTTGGAAATTATTGGTAACACAATTCATCATTTTGATTTCTTAACACAAACGTACAAGAAAATTGAGCTGGACAATGAAATTCCTAAAACTAATTTAAGTGGACATGGTTATGCTGACTATTATTTGATGAAAAACTTTATTGATGCTATATGTGAGAATGATTCGAGCAAATTGCTTTCGAATGCTCGCGAAACTCTGAATTCTCACCTTTTAGTGTTTACAGCAGAAGAGGCTCGTCATTCATCAACCGTGATTAAGGTCAATGACCACGTGGATTTGACAAATGTAAATTCGAGCCCTCCAACAGTGTCGTGTGACTCTCGTGGCAGCAGTAACAGCAAATGTGAACTAAATTAACAAATGTTTTTCAGCACAACTTTAAAACAAATTCACTCTAGAGTCATGTAACTTTTTGGCATGCCCGAATAAACGAGAGAAATGACGAAATTCCTCCTTGTTTTCAATCAATCGCTTCATTCAAAGGTAAGACATCAAGCAACCTTACTGCCAACAAGCTTCTACTTGTAACAACAAGAAAACGAGGCGCATGGATGTCACACAAGTTGTGTTTGGTATTTATTGTTTCTCACGGGTTTACCAGTGATCAACATTTGTGATAGTAACACGTTTGAGAAGGAAACATCTGTTTAAATTATCACAAGGAACGAAGCAGAGTTTTCTGGAAATTAAGCGGAAGTTGAGCATCATGTGACGATTCTTGCAATCGAATCGTTAAGGTGTCAGCTTGGTTTGAATGTCCACTCAAACTACATGAGGAACCTTCTCAAATCACAATCGCATTGCTTCTGATAAATGAATTTTTCAAGTAAGCGATTGAACTACTCAATTTCACCTCAGTAGTTTCTCCATTAATGAACTGGTCAATATAATCCTCCTCGTCTTCGTGTTGACTAAAGTCACTCATCGATGATTCGTCATCATTGTTATTATTGTCGTTGTGTGAGCTCTGAGAGGAAGAGCAACTATATGTTTCATCATCCTCCCACTCTCCATTCTCATTCATTCGAAGGTTGGATGTGGAGACATTGAATTGTGAAAGATTCGTATTCGAGGTATTGTACTGAGAGAGATTGGTGGTGCTTGAATTGGCGCATAAAGAGGTTGCCGATTGGAGAGAACGCATACTCCTCGAGTGTTGTTGATGCTGTCGACTCTTATTGGAGGTGCTGGTTACTGACGTGATCTCAGTGGGAGAGGTCAATGGCTTGACACTTTGATTTTTCTTCATCACCGTGACGGGAGTGTGAGGATCATCTCGTACTCCTTCGTCCATCTTTCGGTTCTTGTTGTTGTTATTGTTTTGATGATCATCCGAGAGAATGTTTTGAACGAATCGAGTCATGGTCATTGGGGAAGTAGGCTCCATGATGAATTCATCATCAAAGAAGAATCCAGCGGATGGAGTGATGGGAATGTGTTCCATCATACTGGCAGTATCCAAATCATGATCCCAAGCAGCTCCCAAAGGAAGAGCCAAACACGATTGAGAATGATAGGCTGCTCTCTTCAGAGATTGGACCTGATGTTCCATACGACCGGCTTGATTCAACTTTAAATCATCGTAGCACGTACGAACAATACGAGGAGTGTTAGGAAGGTAGTGATAGTGGTGAGTGTTGTTGTTGTTGTTGTTTGGAGAGGATATATCATCTATTGGTTGTTGTTGTTCTTGTTGATTCGTTAGGGATAATTGTTTCAAGGCTCCGAATGTTGCTGGCAACGAGGAGAGTGATAATACAGAAACGGTGGAAGCTGCGTAGGGTGAGAGTTCATCCCGATGATGAGAGGAAGAAGAAGAATTGTTGTTTGTGTTCTTCTTCTTTGAATCCCGATGGGATGATGAATCTTGAGGATGATTCTGGTTCTTCTTCTTCTTATGAAGAAAGAAATTGCCAGCAAGGACTCGGAGAACTCGAGGTTTCATCCTCTTCTTCTTCCTCTCTGGTGAGGAGGAGGATAAAGCAAGCTCTCCATCATCATCATGAGAAGAAGTTGTTTTTGAGAGTGCTGCTTGACTATTGCCCATTCTTCTTCTTGTTGCAATCTTCAAGCGCTTACTTTGGATATTTTGTTTTCAACACTTCCTAATAACTTTCAAATCCAAACCAACAACAACATCTTGCGGGCTTGTGAGGTCTCATTTGGGTGGCCACTTGCGACAATTAGAAATGAATGCATGGATTTGTTCCCAAAAGCAAACCAGTCACCAGGTGATATTGTACAAGAGGGACCTTCACAATAAATTGCAAAAATTTGACATCTGAAAGATGCGATTCGGAATTTAAAAAAAATGTCCAAGAACCGTTTGATGGCAATTTTGATTGCTTCTCTCGTTACTTTTTCTATTGGAAGTATGATTAATTATTGGCGACTATTCCAAGCAAAAGACAACACTCTATGTTCATCATTCACATCATCACCATCATTCAATTTATCGTTTCCGATAAGAAATTCGCATATTGTTGGAAATATTTGTGTCGTATCTTTTATTGCTATTTGTGAAAAGGAATATATTGTCAGGTTGACCAATCAATTCAGGAAGAGAAATGTTTATTTTATTCAAGGTCATACCGATTCACCAACAGAAACATTACTCTGTCATGATGTCAACAATGTTGCGGAATTAGAAAAGACAAATTATTTGATCGTACATGGTCACAATCTACCACCCCATCCTGTGATTGCCAATTTCATGAATCATGTACTAAAAAAGCACAATGCATATTTTGCACACACAAAAGTTGTGAATTTTGTTTTGGGAGATGAGAATTGTAAATTCACAGACAGAAATGTTTTGGATAATTATAATACTACCTTTAGAAATTATTGGAATAGCAAAATTCAAAAAATGCATGAAAAGTATGGCAATATTCATTATTTGCCTCTTTATACCTGTCATCCATTTCTATCTCTTTCCAATTTTCCGAGTTTACCAGAAGAAATTGTCAATAATGAAGTGCTATTACAGCATATTATTGATTTTCAATTTTCTAAAATCATTCCAGCATCAAAACGAAAGCAATTTTGCTATTTCAGAGGTCAACCAACTTATGAAAGAAAAAAATTGGAACATTTGGCACCAGTGACAGTACTAGAAAATGGAATCGAAACAAAGAAACAATTGTGCAAAATAGAATATACAACTGGATTTGCTGCAGGAGATAAGCTTTCATATTCACTTTTTCTTGCCAATACAGCAGTGATATTGTGCCCAACTGGATCTAATCCAGATCAATTTAGAGTGTGGGAATCATTAGAGAACGGTGCCATTCCACTTCCAGAAAATCTTGAATCTTTTTCTGGATTACCCAAAAATCATCCACTTCCTGTTGTAGATGTTTCTCGACAAGAATATCACAAAAAATTGGAGAGTGTTTTACCTGAACTTTATTCTTTTACTCCTCAACAACTAGATGAACTTCAAAGAAGATTATATAATTGGTGGTTCAGATACAAGTTAGAAATTGGACTTAAGGTTGCTAAAGCTCTAGACGCCTAAAAGTATTTAGCGACTCGTGATGCAAGCCTTTTTGACATCACGTCACACGCATAATGTGACACATGCATCGACGAAGAGTAAATCATCCGTTTGATCAACCAATTCTTTGATTTTGAATTACAACAAATTGAACAGTTTAACACTTTCAAACGTTCATTCCAATGTCGAGTTCAATAACACAGTGACTAGATTCCTATCATGCGAATATTCATCCACACCCTTTCTCAACATGGAATGATCACTCATCAAGGCAGCTCCCAAATAACCTTCTCTTCCAATTTGTGTTGTTTACAGATTCCATCGTGAGAACTTTCCAATGACTACTAGCACTCTCATGATGAGAGGCGAATGAGAATTTACCAGCGTCATGACTCGATCCTTCAAGACTATCTCCAACCTCCAGCATGAGTCTCTTGCTACTTGTTAAGTGTTGGTAATGTTTGGATCTTTAGTAATCTCATCACAGACTAAACTTCCAATCAACTTGAAGAAAGGAAAAAAAGAATTTAGCACTGTAATAGTGTGGAACTTACAACATTTCGAAACGAAGGATTGAGAACGGAACTTTCGATTTACTCACAAACGTGTCCAAAGATTGTGCGCACCCAACGCATATTTGGAATTTCAAATAGAGGGCGCTTTCAAATTGAAAGTGGAAGAAATAGTTGTGATTTTCATTTCTAAAAAAAAGCAATTTTTCGAAACTCTTCCGAAATCGGCCCTCACTTCAGATTCCGAAAGAGATCATTAATTTCAGACAGAATTCGTTCCAACAACTATAATTATTCAATGATTGGCTCGTCGTCACGTCTGGAGAGGATTGGAAATTACAGGAATTGATTTCTATAATTATTTCATATCAACAACAACAGCCACACTCACTGAATTGATCATCTCCAAAATAATTCATTGAGACAGATCCTTCTCAAAACTAATTCCAACCCTCCTAAGGTCTTTCCAAGATCATCATTATCGGCATCACAGAGAAAGCCATGCTTCCATTGTATCAAAGCACACCACTGTCATGCAACGGACTTGCTGTCGTGGCCAATTCCATGAACCATGTGGGAGCAAGTCCGTCCTCCACCTCAGCCATGGCCAATATAGCAACCATGGTCATCAACAATTTCTATCAACAATACCTTGCCAGGTGTACCCAAGATCAAGAACAAATTAATCAATTTGCCAATCATGTAAAAATTGCTTATTTGTGCCGAAATGTGTTTCCTTACTTGGGGAATGATGATACAAGGGTTGTTCCATCCACATCATCCACCACACGTAATGATACCTGCGATGATGAGCAAGACCACACGAATAACTTTGAAGACGACGATTTTAATAATAACGAAGAAGAGGACAGCTTCTTGGACACGATTAGCCTTCTGAATTCTAGAAGAAGAACAAAACGCGACCTTGAAACTCTTCAATTTGAACCAGAAGAAGAAGAAAAGAGACCAGAGCAATTGCAACAAACTCCCTCAATTCTCCTCCTCAACCACACAACATCTGTCCCCAATCTTAGAAGATCTTCTGTAGAATCATTCTTTGAATTCGATCACCTCTGCCAACAAGAAGAAGAAGAACAGCAACAACATCTCAATCACAAACACTCTCATACCAACAAGACTCTTCCTATTGACTGCACTAGTTTTCTAAACGTCTATTTTTATAAGGAAAAGCAGTTAGAATCTCTATTTGAACAAGATCAAGAAGAACAAGAAAACTCACACCACTTGTCTTCTCATTATTCCTCCTCCTTATTTAAATACACCTCCGAAGCGAGAAAACAACACTATTTGGAAGAACAAGTCTATCATCAGCACCACCAGCACAACAACACAAAACCAGAGATGGTACAGCCTGTTCCTTCGGGACAACATCATCATCACTATTCTCGTTCATCTTCACCTTCCTCCAAATCTTCTCTCTCCTCGTCATCCTCAACAACAAGTCAGAGCAATACTCCATTTCAAGAGGATCGCCAACACCACAACAAGCAGCCACAGCAGTGCAGTGTTGCTCTTCCTCAATCCTCATCGGGATCATCCTTTGGTTTACCTCAATTTTCAACTGTTCAACCTTCCTTGATGAACACAACGAATAACAATAACAACCATCTAAAATTTCCTCAACAACCAACCGTCATGCCCAACCAAGTCAACATGATGAATCCACAATCCACGTCATCCTTTGCATTTCCCTATTATTTTCCAACTGCAACACAACAACAACAACCTCAAGCATATGCACTTTTCAATGCTCCGCAACCACAACCACAAGTATTAGCACCATCCAATACTACCGCAAATCCGTCCTTGTCCACTACTACTACTAGTACTCCCTCTTCAACATTGTCATCTTCCTTGCAGCTGGAAACACAACCTCCTCAATCTCAAGATCAAGCTATGAATAGAAATTTCAATCAAAAAAAATTGAGTCCAAACATCACAACAACAACATCAACGAACGAAAATAGCAACCAGGTTGTTCAATCTGGGAATAACAAGTACGCGTACACTTCTGGTTTTGATCAACAAAATAACATACTTGCAAATCCTTCACTGCAACAACAAGTAATGACTGCTGCTGGATCCCATGTGGAAAAGAATATTTCTAAAGAAGCACAATGGCTGTTAAGGAACATGAATCAACAACAAGCAACAAATACTATCAGCATTCCGCAAAGTATTTCAAAGAATGAAAACAAGCAACACAGTAATCACGATACTAATAATAATTTTGCAGGTTTAGCAAAATTCTGGTCTGAAAATATTGGCACAGGAACTGGTGAACAAGGAAATGCAAACAATAATACTACTAATAGTGTCACATCAGGTCTTTCAGATATTAAGGAGTTGAACACACCAATGATTGAGAACTTATTGAGAATATTTAATACAACTCAAAATAATGGAAACGAGTCCAAAACAGTTGGTCATGATCAACCAAATGTGCCACCACAATTCTCCAATAATTCACTCTTTGATACTTCCGCCAACCTTAATAACAACCAATCCAAAAATAATATTCATGAAAAACAGAAAAGTTCAGACACAGGTGGCACCGAATCGAAAGTTCTCATGATCGATCCAACCAAAACTGCTCCCCATCAAATGGTCTCTGACTACAATAATGATGAAAGCTCTTCACACAGCATTTCGAGAAGCAGCTCAGGCAGTATGGCTAGCGATGCAGGTCGTAGCAACATTTCTTCTTCGAGCGCAACGAGTGGACATCATTTCGGTAGAAATCATGGAAATGGCAACGAGGATCGTTCATGGAAAGTGCTTTATCAAGACTCATCTTATGGTGGTGACAATGCATTGATCAAACGACCCTCATTCAAACTCAAGACAAGAACAGACAATATCATGGATCAAATTCCACCCATTCTCTATTCGAGTCTCAAATATCAATTCAATATTGCAGTCTTTCTGAGTACTGAAAAAGCAACTCAACTACTCATGAGTCATAAGGAAACTTTGGAAAGTATCATGCACGCTTCTGCCATGAGCTTGGGTGGATTTGTGATTGCCACAATCGAAACAGCATTGGTTGGACCGGTTGAAGAAATGGAACAAGAAGAGGATGATGAATTACTCTCACTCGTGAGGGAGGAAGTGAATCCAACTCGAAAAATTTGTAATGGCGTTCTGAATGGAGACACACAGCTTGCATTGCAACCCATTGAAGCGATTGAAGCAACGGAGGCCAAAGCATTCAAACCATTCCTCTATCAATTGAAACAGGAGATTAAAGAGTATGAACAAGCAAACTCAATGGATGCCCACAAATGGTCATGTGTTCACAACAAAACAAAAATTCAATTCACAGATTTACCATTCCATAACAAGAAGAGTTCTTTTGTGATGAGAGTTTGCTTTTACTTGAATCATGAATTTAAGGAACGAAAACCAATTCTCATCATGGAGAGCGCACCTTTCAAGATATTTGCAAGAAGAAACAAGAAGAGTTATGCAACAGGTGCAGTCATGACAGGAGCTCTGAAGGAAGAAGATGCCTCTCAACAGCCATTACCAACAACAAGCATCTCTAACATTTCTTCAAATGTACCCACTTCGTCCTCCTCCAAGCAAGGTGCAACCGTTTCAAACAAGCGAAAAAGAGAGGAAGTCAAAAAGAAATCGAAAAAGGTCAAAAAAACTCTCGAACCAGAACAGGAAAGAGAAACACTTTTGCAATTCGAGAGTGAGTTAATTTCACTCATGAGGATTTTGGATTCCATTAAGGACAGATCAGAACATCAAGCAGCCGTTCGCTCTTTTATTCAAAATCTGGTTGGTCCTGAATTGGCACAACAATACATGTCACACTTGAGAGGAAAATATTCTTTGGATCCTTCCCTCATGCAGTTGCCATCTACCCTTCCTAATTTGTACACTACTGAAATGCCCTCTCCTGGTGTCTCAACATTGCAAAAGAAATCCAAAGCACCTTTCGCTTCCAATCTCTCTGTAGATACCAAGTCGTTAGGCAAGTTGAATCTCATGCAAGCAGCTCGACTCATTCCACCAACATTGGATGCAAATCAACAACAGCAGCAGCAACAATTCTTACAGCAAGCACCCTTTTTGAATCCAGCAACTCTCGCATTTCACCCACTTGTAAATATACCAAATTTAGCTTCCTCAACTTTGGCTCCACCTCAACAACCTTTCTTGAGTGGTATGAATACCGCTACTACCACCATACCATCGTTTAACATTCAGCCAACCTCTTCGTTGTATTCGGGCTCAACAGTTCCTGCCACAACAACAAGTTCTAACCTTCCATCATCCTTGTCCTCCACCTCTGTACCGACTGCAGCGCTCCAAAAGACTTCTGTTCTGCCTCCTTCACAAGCAAGCAATGACATGATGCAATCCATTGGACAACAAAACGTTCTCGAGTTAATAAGCCCATCTTACCAAAGTTCGTCACTATTTGATTTCACACGGTCTCCAACTGGATTTGGAAATATTTCCACACCGAGATTTTCCTCAACAACCACGTACAGTCCTCTAGGTATGATGCCTTCCTCAACAAGTAAGGGAGCAGCAACATCAACAGCTGGATTCTTGCAATCCCCATCCACACAACAACAACTACAAGGAGCCACTACATCCCCATCCACACAACAGCAACCACAAGGAGAGGCACGTGACACATCGGGCATTCGACCTCCAAATCTTATTCAAATTCTTCAACCTCAAAACAAAATTGATTTCAACAAGTTGAAGAGTACGAATACATCAACAAGTGACACCTCGTTTATGAATGATTATCTTTCAGAGTTATTGGAGGACAATGCAAATAGTAATAACATCTTGTCACCTATAAATCTATTTGGAACTCCCACAAGTGCCAATCTAGGATCAGATTTACCAAGCTTTAATTTCTTTGAAAGAAACAGTCAATCGAGCAACAATACGAACAATATCAATGCAAACACCGGTCAACAACAGCAACAGCAATCAGAAAGTGAATTGCAAGATCCGCTCACACCCAAGACATTGGCATTCCTCACACAATCAAAACTGGTGTAGTGAGAGAGGTAAATGTGAACTATGTTTCGAGAAATACACTCATCGTTCAAAACAGAGTGAATCAATATATTACAGAAATAATAATAATTACAAGAATAGTAGCAGTTGTAAGACTTCTAGACTTGTTTTTTACATAAGGCCTCCATAAAATTCATTGTCATATCGTCTAAATGCAACACATTGCTCCTTTCCAATCAGAGATTTGAATTCACTTAGAGATTGTATGAACTGAACACTCTTGTTACATTTCTCACAGTACACTGTATCAGCATATTTAGATCCTGTAAACAATTCTGACACAACAGGACATTCATAGACAAGATCACAATTTTCAATAAAAGGTGTTTCATAATAACTTTCTATATCTGCAGGTACAATTTCATTCTTTTCATTAATTGGTTCAATCGAAATGCTACTCAAAGTCAAATGTGAATATTTTCGTAATCGTGTGACTCGAATTCGAATCACTTGCATCCAATTTTGAATATTTAAATTCATGTCAAACAATGGAAAATAATAATGAACCAATGGCTTCCACACTCTTGTCTGAATCATATCAAAATCATCTTTGGTCACTTCTAAATTCAAATCTGCTTCCTTCCACAGTGATGCTACTTTCTCCTCCAAAGCCATGGGCTTGTTAAAATGATTGCTCTCGTATTTCAATTTCTTTATATTCTGTAATTTACGTTTTTGGTTGATTAAATTTGTGACTTTTTGAGGCGTTAAATTAAATAATAATTTCAATAAATATTGATCACAAAATCCCATATTAAATAATTCGTCGAGTTCGAAATAGGAAGCAATGTAAGCGAAAAGTTCGACCGGAATTTCTTTGAAAATATGTGATGACTTGATCAGAGAATGGAGATCTTGTTGGGCATCTTTCTTGGACGATGCGCTGACGGAAAAGAATCGCTGGAAAAGGGCCATTTTTTTGTCAAGTTGTTGACTATGCAAATTGTGTTGAAATTCGAACTTGATTGCTCTTTTTTCCTTACTGGGATTCGCAAAGTTTTGAAAACATCATGAATTAATTCCAAAATTCAAACAAATAGATCATATTGATTGACTCTGTGATTCACAGAGTGTTGTTGTTGTTGATACTCCATGTATTACTAACAACAACTGAACAACTAACAGCCCAACAATAAACAACAATAACAACAAGGAAATTGATCATATCTTCATCATCACTAAAAGGCTTAAAAGATTTTTTTTTCATCACTAAAAAAAAATGGCACAAAATATCTACGAATTTCCAGTGCTCTATCAACACAACCGAATTGAAAACATTCAACAAATGTTGGATGCACTGGAGCATTTGGAGAGAGTGAGTGTTTCTGTGTTTCAGAGAATTACGGATAAGGTGAATGAACATCGGAATGTTTTGAATCAAGTGCAACGGAGGGCTGCGGTGGCTCAACAAGCCGTTGAGTGCATACAGAATGAACGTAAGAATGAGGCTACTCGAGTGTTGAGTAGTCCTCATTATCCCGACAAGGAAACTATTGCTAGTGCTGAATATAAACCAAGTTTTTCGTTACGGGATAGAATTGGTATTCAACAAATGGAATTCCACAAGTATAATCCTGGTCCAAATAATATTCTGTATAATGTAAGTTGGGGAAATGATGATACATTCATTTGTGATGGAACAATAATTATTTGTTGAATCTGAACTCAATCGGATGAACCTCTGATACTGTTATTATTGTTATTATTATTATTTTAATTGATTGAAATACTGATTTTACGGAAAATATCTTGATGACACGAATTATGGACATTATGTGTTTCGCAATCACCATCTATGAATTCACACAACAATAGCACAAGCGCTACAATCCTATCGATCACTTTGAAAAATCTCCCACCCGTCAAGTCAAACAACAAAAATCCAAAGCATCGCTCGTTCTTGCCAAGAAGATCGAGGATGGTATTGGTAAACTTCCTTTCAGTCATATCCAATCAGTGAGCGAATTACTTTGTTTTAACACCAACATGAACGTCTATTCGCGATATCATGGAGCCGATCCTCTTCTTGCAAACTATCACACCACCATGATGATGTTGGCCATGTCGGATGAGAAATCAGGCAATTCACACGATGGAAAAGGCGGATCCAACAGTAGTGGCAATGCACACGATTTCCTTAGTGCTGCCTCGAGTTTGTACATTGATCCTGCACCACCATCCTTATCCAAAGATTCCATCTATGACATGTATTGGGGCTCATCGGCATTACAAGAACAAAATATTAAGCCATTTGTTCCCACCATTAGAGAATTACCCATGTTCGAATTTCCCTCAAATCTTGCTTTACCAAATATTGTAGACACCAAACAGTGGGATCTTTCTCTTGACAATATGCCTTCCATTGCTCCATCTTCGTTGCCCTCTTTGGATTTAGGAGGTGCCTCTTCCACTGCAACTACTACAGGGTCAACACCCGAGATGGTTTCTTCTGCCTCAACAACTAATGCTGGCGTACCTCCACCACCTGTCACATCTGGCAATGTTCCTCCACCACCTCCAACGATGACAGGTGGCAGCATTCCACCTCCACCCCCAACCAGTAATGTATCTCCTCCACCAACTATGGGAAATATTCCACCACCACCAACAACAACAATGGGCAACGTTCCACCACCTCCAACATCAACTATTCCAACTCCTCCAGTTGCTGTATCATCATCCGCTGAGACAGGCGGTGACGCTGATGCCACTACCAATGCAGAAGAGGGAGGAGGAGGAGGAGGCGACAGAGCTGATCTTTTAGCTTCCATTCGAAACTTTTCAAAGAACAAGTTAAAGAAAGCAAACAAGTATCGTGAAAAGGAAACATCAAAAGAAGACTCTGCACCTCAAAAATCCTCTGGAGGAGGTGGTGACATGATGAGTGACTTGTTCAGAAAAATTAGCCTTAGAAGAAACGCCATTGAGGGAAGCAAGGATGAGAACAAGAAAAAGAAGAAGAAAAAGGAAAAGAAGGAATCTTCTGATATTGTTCCACCTCCTCAACCTTCAACACCCACAACAACCACACCTGCTGATTCATCGGCTGCAACCGAGTTGCCAGTTATTCCTCCCCCAGCACGTCCACCAGAAGAGGATGGTGACTCAGAATCAGATGATGACAGCTGGTAAACCCAAGTCACAATTAAATTGCACATATGTTCACCATTTTTGAAAGTGTTACTGTTGGTTAATGGTGGTGCTGAACAAGTCTCAAAATTTTCAATACATGGCAAATTATATTTATTAATAATTGTTTCACAAAGTTTCACATCACCTTACATGGCATTAACATTTCTTTTGATTGACTCATTCAACAATATAATTTGATCCTGTTTCACACTACTCTCGTCAAACTTGAATTCAGTTAAACTGTTGTTCTTGTCATGAATGATTTGAATGATTTTAGAAATTTTGTCATCTGAGAATTTCCAATCCTTAGCTAAGAATTTCTGACACTTCTTGTTCTGTGAGAAGAAGTTGATCAAGTCATCCACAATTAGATTTGGTTCCACTTTTTCATTGCATCCCAAATCGATAATCTCAATACTATTATTGATGGCCAAGGAGTTTAAAATTCTTTTCACAAAATTTGTATCAAGACCGCAACTTGAAAAATCAACAAACGAGACCTGATCACTGTTCTGTAAAACAGTGAGCAAGTCATCAATTTGATCTGAAATCAAGTTCACAAGAGAGCCCTTTAACTTTGGAACACATGCAATGGATTGGAATTGAACATTCTCAATTTCTCCCTTCTCAACACTATCCAACATGTCAGCAAGTTCTGGAACATAATTGTCATCTGCTTGGTACAGTTTAGGTTTGTCTTCAATAGTTTCTTGTTGTGACACTTCTGCAGAAAGGTCTTTTTGGAGAGGTTGTTGAGATTTCACATCTGTGCTAATACCCCCACTGATTCTGCTGCTTTGAGAAACATCTTTGATGGGATGCTCAATACCAGAGATCTCCTTACTCTTTTGTTGAGGTGCTAAATAACTGGATGAGTAAACATCAGTCACCTCTTGAGTGTCAATATCCTTTGTCTGAGATTTCAAATTTTCTTGAGAGGGACCAGAGACCACCTCTGCCTTATCAATACTCTCATTTGGAAGAATATCTTTTGAAAGATCACTCGTTTTGCTAAGGTCTGATGACGATGGAATTTCATATCTTTCATTCTTGTCCTTCATGCTCGAACTTATGGCCTTTTCTTGTTTCTCATGTGAAGGAATTTCTTTTTTCTTGTTTGTTTCAATGTCACCACCCTTCAACGCCTTCTCATCAATTCCCACGTCCATGAGTCCAAACGATGCAGATGGAATATTTTCTTCCGTTTCCTCAATGGCCTTCTCAGCAATTTGTGGATTCACTAACATTTCTTCTTCTGATCTCAAATTTGGAGTTGGCAAATAGTTTTCACTGGTGGGAGAAATCTCTTCCAAACGTTGCAACTTGTCGATACGCTCTGAATACATTTGTGATTCCTTGACTTTAGTTTTCAATTCTGAATCGAGAATACGAACTTGTTCTCTCAATAAAGCCACTTCCTTCTCCTTCTCATTGACTTTATGTTTGAGAGAATTCACAGAATTGTCACGTTCATGAATCTTATTATTGGCAATATCCAAATCATGTTTCAATTTTTGAAAGGCATCGTCTCGTTGAACTTGTTCCTTTTGGGCCTTCTCCATAAGAAATTTACTTTCACGCAAGGATCTATTCTCCTGATCCAATGTAGAAATTTGACCATTGAGAATGGAAATTTGAGATTCGAGCTTTTCATTCTGATGTTTCAATTTGTCAAATTCTCTCTTCAACTTGTCATAGTCCTTTTTATGAGTGTCAAGAATTTTCTTATTTTGCACATCGAATTGCTCATGCTCATGGCGAAGACGTTCATTCTCTCTCAGAATCTTCTCATACTCATTACGAACGTGATCTTTGGCTTGTTCGAGTTCCTTGACCTTATTTGCTTGAATATTCAACATGGTCTCTACTTGTTTCATCATTTGGAGTTGAGAAAGAGAAGTAAGCTCAAGTGTGTTCTTTTCCTTAATGAGTTTTTCCTTCTCTGTTTTGACACTCTCCAATTGACTCATGAGACTTGAAATTTTAGATTCCAATTCCTTCACACTGAATTGACCAGAAGAAGAACTTCCTTGCAACAATTCATTCAATTCAAGTTCCTTTTCATGCAAGAGACGAGAGAGATCATTCTTTTCATGGAGAAGAGTCTGAATGTGTTGATCTTTCTGTTCAATTTCTTGCTTCAATTCCTTCGCTTGGGTTTGGGAGAGAGCAGCTGGAATATGACGAATGGCCTTTTTCACCACTTGACTCGATTTCAATTGCTCTTCGAGTGGTTTTTCAACATTCTGAACAATCCACTTGGCAAGAGGTAACACAAAGAGTTTCACCAAAAAGGATCCCATGACAAAGTGATACAACCATGTGATGGTTTTGATGGGAAGATCATAGACAAAGAATCGAGTCAGGGAAAACCATAAATTGAAAAAGAATTTGAAGGTTTGGAAGGGAAAGAGAATGATATTCTTGCTGTAACGTATGACATTTTGACGTGCCTGTGTGAATTGCTGTGCAGTGATCATTTTGTTGGTGGTTGGTGATGGTGGTAGTAGTGGTAGTGCCTTGTGTTTGGACAATGAGAGGGCAATGTGAAGTACGGAGTGGTTGTTGTTTTTTCACAAGGATGTTTTGGAGTGTGAAAATGTTGTTTTAACTTTTTAGTTAAATTATATGGAGAGAATACTCGAGAGATCATTCGAGTCTAGAGGGAATCATGGGGGAAAGAGATAGTTAAGATGGTTTTGTGTGGCGATCAAATATAGTAAAAACACAAAAGTATAAAATTAAACAGGAAATGAGACATTTTTGGAGTGAATGAGGCAAACCAAATACATACATGCTTGAATTCGCGTTTTGAATGATTTGGAAAATCATGAATATCATCCTGAAAAAATCAAACATGATTTTCATGATCTGTCTGTCGGTCAGGTTGTATTCTTAGGGTTTGAAACGTACGGAATTCAAGCCATGTCTGTATTCAAAGGATTCCATGTTTGAATCACAAAATCTCCATTTTCTGAACATTCAGAATTGCATTTTAGTATTATTTTCAATAAACAATGATAATCAATTTGTTTTCACATCATCGTGTTCATCCACTCATTCTCAGTTTTTTGTGAACTTTCACACTCGCGAGTTAAGACTCGTTATTGTTTTTATGGACTTTCACCAATACTCTTCATGAACTGCAGCAGCTTCTTCCTCCAACACTGGTCCCACCACTTGCACTTTCAATCCTTTCGACCTCTCCTCAAAAATCTCATGACAACCCAAGGTTAAACTTCCACTCGTTTTCTCATTCTCTCCCTTCTGTTTTCTAGAGACAATCTCTCGTAGCTTTTGTGCAGAACATGCATAGACCACACGACCAATTCCGACCCAGAAAATTGCACCACTGCACATGATACAAGGCTCCGTCGAGGTATACAGAGTACACTTCTCAGAGAGATATTCACGAGAGAATCTACGAGAAGCCATGGAGCATAGATTGAGCTCGGCATGTTTGGTTTTATCCTGTTCCGTGATGACTGTATTCTCTGCTTCCAACAAGATGGTTTGAGTGCTATGGTCGAGTAAAAGAGCTCCAAAAGGATGATTACATCCGTGAGAGGGAGAACAAGCTTGTCGGGAGAGTTCAATGGCACGTTTCATAAAAGATTCGTCTTGTTGTTGTTGATCAGTGATGAGATCCACCGATGATGATGAAGATTGGGAAGCCATGACGAGGATAGTAACAATAACAACAACAACAACAACGAAGAGATTCAATTTTTTTGAAAGATCTTCCACCAACTGGAATGAGGATCTGGTTCTAGTTGGCGGTGAGAACTGGATATCGAACGTTAACGTATCCTAAACTGTGGCCATCGATCAATTTCAGCTTCCAAGGATCAATTACAATTTTCAAGCAAGTGAAGTCTTTTGGTGATATGAATTAAGGTCTGTCTGAAAGTGAACACAACAAATGGAATTGAGAAAATTGGGAATATCGACCTGAGCATTGAAGAACTTCAAATTAAAAAACGAACACAAAAAATGCCTTCCGAAAATGAATCATTTCCACAACAGAAAGGCTTTGTGCAACGTTTGGTTTCATTGATGGATGTGGTGTCCACTTCTCGGAACCAAAAAGACTCGACAGCATTGAAAGAAGATGAAAAAGCTTTTGTTCGACAAATGGTGTTGTTGGTAAGTGCTTGTGGAACTCTTCGTCTGATGGTGAGATGATAACAAAAACTTTTATGAATTTAAATGATGATGATACACTATTTCAAATGCTTCTCGATACACACAAACAACAACATCGGATTAGTTTTCTCAACAAGATTTAAATCAATTAATTGAGGATATATTATTTAGGGAGTATGAACTTATCATCAAGAACAGCACTGACTCAACGAACAGTGAGAAACAATCAAAAGATGTCGGTGTGGATATGGTGTATTATTGTTTGTTAACGTTGCACGTTCTTTTTGATTTTCAAAATACTCCACAACAACATTACAAGTTCTTTATTGAACGTATTTGTTTATCACTACTTTTTCCCTCTCTTATTACTGCCAATCAAGAAGGACAAAATGAAAACACTGTGTTGTCTTCTTTGGAAACGATTCGAACAAATCCTAGGATTCAATCACTAGTGTTTGATATTCTCGTGGAAGATCTGTCACGAGAAATTCTCAGAACTGAAGAAAATCATGGCTCATTCGAGAAAATTCCTCTCTTGCACTATTGCATTTCCAATTTGAGCAGATGTTTACTCTCGGCAGGTTCTGATGATAACGAGTCCAGTAACGATATGTCAGAGAAACTCAGCACTCAGGAGCAAACCCTCTCTAATATTATGATCTTTTCAAAACATTTACTTGACTGCAAAAGTATTTCAGACTCACAAATCATGAAACAGTACTTTGAAAAATTATTTGAACTATTCATCAAAAATTGTGGTGTGTTGAAATTTGGTTTGACACTATCGTCACTTCAAACTTGGAATATTGACATTGCCATTGCCGGAAGATTACGAAAATGTTTCTTTTTGAATTTAATGCCACATTTCTTTCAGTACAATTATAGCACTTATAGTGCGACAAGAGAACACTTGCTTGAAATTTTGCATGTGATACAAATTATGAATCAAAGTTACAAATCGCAAGAGAGCAACACAGTTTTACAAAATATTTCGTCCGACCCAAAAACCAAACAAATATTTTTCGATCAATTATTGCATGAATCATTTATGCTTCTCTGCCAATATTATGATGCATTTTTCAAAATTGACCTTGACTCTCAAACCTTTGTAATCGATTTAAGACAAGTCGAATGGATATGGGAAAGCATTTTGGAAAACTTGGTAGTCAACTCTGAGACCTTTATTGGAAAGAGATCTCTCTATCTCATCAAACGGTTAATTCTTGATACAACCTGTTCTTATCCTTACATGTCAAGCACAGAGAACATTTCTTCTTTTCTCACTCAACCAATCATTTCAAAACAAGTATTTAAAAATTCCAAAGCTAAAGAAGCTCAATCAAAAAAGAAACAAACCAAAAGAACGACTCCACAAAACGAAGAGGACAGTTCACTTTTAAAAATTCATGAAATGATTCAATATCAATGGCAAACATTTTTCATGATTTATGAATCACTTGAAAATCACTCTCTCCATCTGATAAAACCTGTTTGGGAAAGTGTATTTGAGCTCATTCCTAAACGAGGAGAAGAGAAACCATTCAAATACTTTATTGACCAGAGATTTGTGAGGGTTTTGTGGATACGTGCTATGAGACATTCAAATTTTGGTGTGGTAAAATTAGTTGCCCATTCAATGCTGGATATTTATGATACTATAGAAGATCGGATTTTAATCACATCGAATGATAGCACAGAAATTTTGGAGAAGAATTTGCTTCTGGACAAATCATTTATGTGTGGTGAATTTATTGAATGTATTTCAATGTCGAAACTTTTTACAACCAAACAAGACTATATTGGGGAGAAAGTATTCCTCTTTTTCGACGCATATTTTGCTATTTTAGAGAAAATTGGAAAAAAGAAGACATTTATACAGGCATTTATTGCAAAGATTGCTTCGGCCAGATGGTCAAGAGTGGCCCTTTCGTTCTTTTTATTAGTTCTAGCGAGAATGAAATTCTCATCAGAAAATGACTATTTAGATTTGAATGATTTGAGCGCTTTCTGTGAAAAAGTTATACTTCTTCAATTATCAGAGCAATCTTTGTGGCTTAAGCTTAGATTATACAGCTCAGCACTTGAAGTCATTGTCAATTGTTTCAATTTCAAGAAATTGTGTGAAGAAAATCCTCAACAATTGATGGACATTATTGGAAAATTATTTAGCAGTGTCAGTTCTGTAGATCCACTCACCTATTCCTCAGATATTGTCTTGCTGAGAAGACTTCGAAATTGGTTTGGTGAATGTAGAGAGAGTTTTGAGAAGACTTATTTGACTTACATGCGAAACTTGTTAAACCAATTACTATCAGAGGAGACATCGAGTATCATGGCTTATTCGAGTATTGAAAAATTTGCTACTCTGTTGTATTTCATTCCATGGGATGAAAGTACTATTGCAGAACAATGCAACCAAGTGCTGGCATTCAATCTATCATTGACCTTTCCCCAAATGTTAGAAAAGCTCTACACACATACTCAAATGCCACATTCTGTCAAAGTTAGAATGTTGAATTTGCTATCTGCCATACTAAATTCATGCTTGTTTGTATCTACTTTTGACATGAAAGAGCATTACATAATGAAACAAGTCAAAGACACAATTTGTTCAATGATCTTTACTAGATCAAATTTAGAAAGCATATTAATGTTTATAAGAGGAGAAATTTTGTCTATATCTTTTGCAACAATACCGGAGCTTGCACAATTTTACAAACAATTATTGATGGAGAGAAATTTTTCAATTTTTAATTACTCAGATTATGATAGCTTTAAAGGTGTTGTGAATTGCTTGCTCTGTGTTTCTCAGTTATTAATGACTCACCGCGAAGAGTATGAATATTTGCAAAGAGAAATGCTTCATCCTCTCTTAACAGAAATTGCAACTCTCCTAAAAAATATTTCGATACTATTTCTAGTGTAAAATTCCTTGAACGTCTTATTGAACAATCTGTTGAAAATACAGATATGGAGGACGCTTCAAGAAATGCTCATACCGGATTAATAACCTTGTTGGTCAATAACATTACTTTGAGAGTGTTATGCGTGGCCAAGCTCATCTCCATTATGGAATGTCACTCAAGGAACACCTCCAAAATTTCACAACATCTCAATACTGTCTCCAAAGTATCCTATTTCATTATTCCATCAACTGCCTATGGCTACAAGGAAGTTTTGGGAGATGACTTTGATTGGATCATGAAACCAAATTACATTATATCGGAAATTTGTGATAAAAAATGGGGAGCTATTGAATGTCTAATGCCTCTCGTCTTCGACGAGAAACAACATGTACAGAACGAGGAAGACGAGCAAATTCTCAACAACATTCGGCAAGACAAAGAATTTAACAATGAGCTACTCGAAATGTGTATGGACAGTTTGGATATCCTTTCGAATGAGACAACTATTCTCGCCATTAATAGTTTGAAATATCTCATTCATAACATGTTGGTTCAAAATGAGAAGAATTTGAACTTTATTGAGATTGACAAATTGAAGAGATGCATCAATACTGCTTGGTCTATGCTGAAAGGATCCACAGGCTCTGAGGGAGGGACTCATGGTCATAGATACACTAATGAGCATGTGAACATGGCTGCATTCTTTGAAATTATTTTTGATTTTAACATTTGCAAAAATCCAGATCTATATGAAGCCTTAGAAATTTCAAAACTATTCGACAAGATATTGACAGAATATGCTAAGAGTGTTTCAAAGCTTGGATTCGTTCTCGGTTTGCAATTTATCAAGTCATTTGCATCCAAAAAGTGGAGAGAACTGCCCACCACAAGTGCATCCAGAAAGCACATGATTTCTGATTTCATTTCATTGATCTTTTATTGTCCAGACACAAATGAATATGATGAGCTTGAAGAAACGGAACGAGCTTTTAAATCATTGTGTTCTTATTGCCAGGAACAAAATAGTAATAGCGCTAATATGAAGCAACGAACATTGGTCTATCCTCCTATTATCAATACTCCCAAAATCTTAAAAAGTGCCATCTTTTACATGATAAATGGATTGGACACTGAAAAAGACCGAGAATTTATCAAAGCATTGGTGGGTCATCTGATTGAAATGAACATTTCAAATTCTTATTTAAGGAAACAACCAGTCATGCCAGGATCACCTAAGCATTGTAAAAAGATTAGAATTTGGCAAATTCTTTGCATGCTAGCTCCCATAATTGATTTAGAAATATTACAGTCTATGCAGTTATTGCATGAACAGAATGGTTCGGGAAAAATTTGGGACTGTCTCTTCTTGGATAATCCATCGTCAGTACGCAAATTGCAAGAATTATTTGCGTTGGTGATTTTATTGAAATTCCCGTTATGGGGATTCCATTCTCTTTATTGCCGTTTGAAAGAGGATATGAATGCAAGACACCAATTTTTGAGCTCGGTAGTCTCACTTGTCGGAAATGTAATAATTTATTCTCCAGAAGAATTTCTATGGCAAGAATCTAGCGTGGATCCTAAGAAAAGTTGGCTGCATGTGTTGTTGAATGGACTCTTTGTTTATGCCACTTCGAACTACCATACAGTAAGAGTAGTGACACATATCATGCTGAGAAATGTACTCTATCGAATGGGTGGAATGAACAACAAGAAAGGACAAGATATGATGAAAAATAACGACATATTAGAACGCGTTTATTGTTTTTTACATAACTCACAGAATGTGAAAAAGTGGCTTGGAAAATACGAAAGTACAATTGTTGTGGAACCTGTGAAAACAGCTCAGCAATTATTTTTAAATTATTTCTATGAAGGTACCAATTTGGTGAATGACAATCCAACGGAAGATCATTTAAAAACCATTAAGGAAGATATAGATTTACTAATTTATTCTCTATTTTACATTTCTACCATGGGTTTTACCAAAGATTTATTTGATAGAATGTTCACACCTCAATTTGGAGTGAGCAACATCAATGCCATTTTGAAAAGTCTTATTGAGGAAGAATTTAATCAATCACCATTAACGACCACACCAAGGTCGATCTTACCAGTTGGATCTATTGATGATTTTACAACTATTGCTGCCTTGTGTCACATTGCAGGAGACTTCGCTAATGAGTGGAGAGAAGAAGTGGTTTCACCAAGTCGTACTGCGAAGACAGAAAAGCATGCCTCCATTATTTACAAAGGTCTTGCCAGCGTTTTCGATTCTTCAATTATTGATAAATTCCGTGTGAAGTTTGGATTAACCGAAACAGATCAATCAATGATGGCAGACTCACAACCACTCGAACAAGAACAAGAGAATGAGGAATCTACTGACGAGCAACAACAGTTCACCAAGAACAAAAATTCAGAAGACCTCAATGATTCCACAGAGTTGAATTTCCAAAGAAAAATTACACCTTGGTCAGAAATGGACATTCAGAACGAATTGAATCCTAGAGCCGTCATTGAAAAATCTAGAAAACGACAATCCGTCATTATGATTGCTTCACTTGTGGATCGAATTCCAAATTTGGCAGGTCTTTCAAGAACATGCGAGATTTTCGCAGCTGAAAAGCTCATTCTTCCATATTTGAATGTTCTCGAAATGAATGAGTTTAAAACCATTTCAGTGAGTGCAGAAAACTGGATTCCGGTCGAAGCTTGCCCACCTACAGATTTACCTCAATATCTCACTCAAAAGAAACAAGAGGGTTACGCTATCGTTGGATTGGAACAAACTTCCACGAGTGTCATGTTGCCTAATTTTGAATTCCCTGAAAAGTGTTGCATCTTGTTAGGAAAAGAAAGAGAAGGAATTCCAGCAGAGTTGTTGTCTCTGTTGGATGTCTGTGTAGAAATTCCACAGTTTGGTGTTCTGAGAAGTTTGAACGTTCATGTGAGCGCATCCATCATGTTGTACAAGTACACAGAACAGTTTTTGAAAAATTAATTTCACACAAGCAGATGTCAACCCCTTAAGAATTACTATATTTCAAAAATCAATGATAGAAAGATCTAAAATGAATGATGAAAATGTCATTTAGGAACTCTTTCACCAAATGGTAAAAATATGGACCTTGCTTGATGAACTTTTTTGACTAATTATCAAACGTCAACACAAGGTTCTTGTGATTATGACTCATTTAAAGGTTTTTCAGATCTGCTTTTCAATACAAAACATACACAATAAGAGGCAAAAAATTCCTCTCTCCATTTGCATCAGGACAACACTGCCATTCATCATCCAATCCCTCAAGAACGAAATGCTTTCTCTTCTCGTGACAATCTTTGTTATCATCACCTTGCTGTGGCTTATTAAGATTTTCATAATTAATGGGATCTATGTGGATTCCCATCTCCTCCAATCGTCCGATATGACCAACAAAATTTGTGTGGTCACAGGTGTGTCGGTTGGAGCTCTAGGATTTGAAGTCGCAAAGCAACTGGCAAAACTAGGTGCCACTGTTGTGTTAATAGTGTATAACATGCAAATTGGAAATGACGCTGTTTCTCAAATCAAAGATGAACTTGGACAAGCAAACGTTGAATATATTGTGGCAGATTTGAGTGAATTGGAGCAGGTTAGACAAGTGGCATTTAAAATTAAAAACCAATACGATCGATGTGACGTATTAGTGAATTGTGCAGCCACCATCATGTGTCCTCATGCATTGACACGGGATGGAATTGAGATGCAATTCGGAGTGAATTACTTGTCTCACTTTTTATTAACTATTTTGTTGCAAGATCTTGTCATGAAATGTCAAGGACGTGTCATTAATTTTTCATCAAATGCTTTCAAATATTTAAACCAAAACGATGAATTTTGTTCCTTTACGGAAGAATCTGTTCGAAACGACGGCCGTGACATTGCTTCTCCATTTTCACTCTATGCTCGATCTAAACTCGCCATTCAGCTCTCTTCGAAACATCTTTCACACCACATTCACAAACCTCTCAATATTTATAGTTTACATCCTGGAGCTACTCGATCGACCTATGTATTTCCATTCATTAAGAACCGTCCATTCCTTCACAAATATTTATATACTCCCTTATCGTACTATTTCATGAAATCACCATTTCAGGGAATTCAAACATGTTTGCATTTGATATTGTCTCCTCTCGAAGTGTTGGAAAATGGAGAATTTTATGTGGATTGTCAAGTGGAGAAGATTGTGCAAGATAGCGCTTTAACAAAGCAAATTCAATGTCAATTGTATGAAAGTAGCATGTCGTTGTGTGCCAATTATTTAAATGCCACTACTGAAGTGTAATAAATTGTTGTATCCAATTGATGGAGTTCATAATAACTCGTGAACAGCAATTCTTGTAAGTTGAGATTTCAAAAAAAAGATTAAAAAAAGATTAAAAAATTCAGGGATGGGTTTATTCGATGATAAACGTTGTTCGATGGTTTTATATACATTATTTACAAGCCGAACGTAAGATACGTAGTGACTTCCTAGCAGGCACCCCGGAAGTAAAGGTGTTTAAACTGCTCACGATAACAGCAGCAACCCCTGGGATTCGAACGCTGGACCAGTTGGCTGCCACAGAAAAAAAGATTAAAAAAATGAGCAAACGGTTGTATGAAGAGAGTCTTTATCGGGATCATCGCTCAAAGAAAAAAGGCGGAGGAAAATATGGAGGCTCAACAATGATGGATTCTCGAAGAGTACGTGGAGGGGATGATGATGAACATTTTGAACCGAAAGAAAAGAAATTAAAACATGAAATTGATCCGATTGGCTGTAGAGCAGCATTGGAAAAAGTCAAATCCGATTTGCAAGAAAACTTGAAAAGTTTGGAAGAAAGTAATGCAAGAGAAATTGCCAAGTTGAGTGTGGATACATTACTTCTGCAAAAGGAGAGAGTTGAGGATTTAATTCACTACTTTAAATTGGATGATGATTTTATTGATGAATATCGGAAACGAACAGTGAGTATGGAAAGTCTGATTACCGATGAAAGTAGTGATAGTGTAATTTTTGATAATGTGGAGCAAGAGTTATTACTGATAGCCGAGGTTCTTAAAAACATTGAAGAAGCCTATGAATATGAGACTCTTGGAATTGTCCATGACGAACAACAAGATACTTCTGAAGATGAAAACGAGCAGCTGAAAAATGTTGACCATTCTAGCGAAGAAGAATGTATTATGGATTTACATCATATGAAAGAGAAAGAAATCAGACGACGAGATGCGGAATCAGAGCCAGAGGAAGAATCCGCAGAAATTTTAACTCTTCTCCATGAGCAAGAGACAAGCAAAGAACAATCACCTCCTCCACCTCCAAAAGAGACGACAAACAAAGAACTACCTCCTACTCCTCCGTCAGTTCCACAAGTAACTCCCCTACCACCTCCAAAAGCGACAATGGGAAATTCGTTCATCAATAGACAACCTCCTCAATCTTATCATCATCACCATGCTACATCAATACCTCCAACATCCACTGTACATTTAACGCCACCACCACTTCATTGCTTTATCTGCTCGAAAGAAATACTTAATAACGAAGCCATGTTCAAGTGCGAAAACTGCAGCAATAGATCCCACAAGAATTGTGCTCAAGAAAAGACGTCGATATTGACAGGTGTCAACAGCGACGATATGATTTGTGGAGAGTGTAGCGAGATTGTAAGTAATTTTTATTTCCTTCCGAACAAACTCTTGTTGCAATTTGTTGATACCATTGACGACAGAAATTGCGATATGATGAACAAAAGCCGCATTTATTCGATGTTGTTTGTGAGAAAAAACACGAAGCAACACGAACGACTATGCCAAAGCATGAAATTCTTGACAACTTAATGACAAAATTTAATTTGGAGAATTATTTGGTGGCTTGTCCAAAATGTAAGAAAAAAGTATCCTTGCAAAATCTAAAGCAACACACAGGCAGAGATTTTGAAGAAGACATTGTACATGATCTACCATTATTGAAACTATCTGATATTCAATTTGATACAGATGTTTCAGAAGTAATGGTAGTCTTCAATGTTTCTGAAAATACTCTGCGCAAGTGTTGCGATAGATTGAAAAAGCATGTGAATTTGCTAGATATTAGATACAAATTTGTATCAGTGAATTCTACACAACAGAAAGCCTATTTTTTGCATTTCAATTCACCAGAAGATGCATTCAAACTCGCTTGCTACTTTGAAGAAAACATGTTAAAGGATGTAGTTAAGAAAATGGTGGTTCACGCTGTCTGCTACTTTTGGAAAAAGAGTTGTACTATGTTACAAATTGAGAATCTTCCTGTAACTACCAACAGCAAGAGTTCTTTTCTTACCAACGCACCTGTTGGATTGAAAAGGTGTCACCTCAAACAAGAGAAAAGCTCTAAAACTGCTATTGTTACTTTGAATAGCTACGATGATTCTCGTCGATTATTTTTCGAGATGAATGGTCGAGTTATTGAGGGAAATTTAATTAAGGTTATCGAATTTAGGGATCAAAACGAAAACATCTCTGACTCTCGATTTGTAAGAATATCGAATATTCCAGAATTATCAACTTCAGAGCAATTACTGGAAAAATTGAAACGAGAGAATCGCTATACAAAGGAGTCTTTGGATAATTTGATACAAAATATTTCTACTCAAAAACACTGTCCCATCTTTGGATTTTACTATATAGTGGAGCTTCGTTCAGAGGTGTTTGCAAAAGCATTTGTCAGTAATTTTGATAATATATTATTTCAGGGAAATCGATTGAGAGTACGCCTAATCAATATTGAGAGTACGGTTAACAAAGCAGTAACCATGCATGGTCTCTTGCATGGTTATTAGCACCTGACAATTTACATATGCTCTTAAGGTACAATTGACCCTATTTAGTTCGATATAGTCTTTTGCGTGTGTTACTAACCGATTTAACACCGAGTTGTGTCAAATAAACCAAAATGGAAAGTCTTCGATCTTCTGAGACTGAAAAACAATATTGTAAATCGTCTTTTGGTAATTTCTTTTTCGCTTCGATCGAAGATAAAAACCTGGACATGCTGACCTCCTTTTCTGGAATGGTCCTCAATTTACCTTCCTCGAAAAAAACATCCACAATAAAGCTTAAGATTGCCTCAGAGGCATGTAATTCCAACATTGACGAGATGTGGTTGATGGAGTTATTTTGTTGGTCTTCATCCTCTTGGTTTAGAGCACTTAACAACCATCTTCCAAACAGTAATATAGGTCGCAACACTAAGGTGTCACAAGCTTGAATTAAAATATTGTTATTGTGAATCATGTCAAATATTGAAATGGTCCTAGTTCCCTCATAATATCGTGGATTATTTAACCACTCTTCAAATCTAAATAAATAGTCAAGGCATGCAACAAAGGGTTCACACTTTCACTTACCGTTCAGTCCTATAATTTTCATTCATCAACGGCAAATGATCCATTAAAAATCTCAAACCACTTTCATTACAATTCAAAATGGCAGATAATAATGGAGATTCAAATCTAGGGTCTGACTCTATGCGATAGAATAGAGACCTTAAACGGTGAGCTTGATGTTCATTTTCACAATGCAAAATCCAATCAAAGTCTAATTCCTCAAGTGTTCCATTCCAATCATCATGAGAATGTGAATTTGATGAAGCATGATCATATCGTTCATCACTTTGTTCTCTGTATAACATTAAATTCCAAAAAGAAATGTTCACAAATAATTTCTCATCGACGATTGTTTTTTGAGAAGAAGAATTTTCGAAAAGGGCCAACGATGCTTCTGCATTTTGTAAAATCTTTAAAATTTTGGTGAAGCGCATGGGTTGTTCTCGCTTTGTGGTCGTATTGGGATGCGTGAGTGGTTTTTTCTTTCTGTTTGATTCTTGTTGAATTGTAACTTAAAAGTTGCTCGTCGTTCCCAAAATTTGGTCATTAATGATTCCATCGCTCGTAATAGTTTGGACCAAAGATATTCTAAATTGATTTGAAAATGATCGAGATGTAACAATTTTCTAACGTGGAGATCTTGTTCATCAGAATCAATGTCTACGAAATGGTCACTATTCAATACAGGAAATATCATGGAGAACGATAACATGCATCGATATAGTTTTAAACAAATAAGCAAGTCGAGTGTTGACCACTTGTCGAAATTAACACTTTCATCGTGTGAACTGCACGATGTCAACTCATGCAATAGAGGATCAATCAATTTCTGCATTCCAAAATTAGAAAGTAATTGGAGAAGGTCAGCAAATTGGTTCGAGTCTGAATGAGAGTGAACAATTCCAAAAAAGACTAACGAGATCATGAAATCTGCAACAAAATATTCATAGGATTCTCCTTCGTCTGTCATGGGAGACTCAATAGCTAGTGTTGTGTTAAATAAGAGATCATGGACATGAAAGCCCATATTCAATAAATATTCCACATGTCTAATGTCACCCCAGCAAATAGTGTCACAAAGTCGTTGCATGTGTCCATAAATTGGAGAATGATTTTCAATTCCATAATAGTTGAACAATGTAAAGGTGGATCTTTCCTTACTCCGTTCTCGGATTGAATTACAATATTTGAGAATGGAATCGAACGTGCAAGGTTGGTTCATTAAGAAACTAGCCATTGCACAAGGAGAGTTGCATGTTTTGTAGCAGGATTCTGCCGATACTGCTTCAATGTATGAAGAAATCGAATCACTTCTGTTTTTAAATGATTCAATTTCACAATAACATAACAAACTCATGTGAGAGGGAACCGTATTTTGTAACAGAATCAAATCTTGTAAAGTTTTCTTTCGGCCAAATTGTGACTCTTCTTCTTCTTCATCTGAAGAATCGACATTGCTGATGGAGCTTGCGGACTGTTCAATTAATTTTCTCCATTTGGTAGAAATGTTAAAATGATGTAAAGGGATGATGAGCGAGGTATTGAGATCTGGCAGTGTCGCACAGGTATAGAACGTATGGTTTTTTTTGAACACGAGTTCATCAGAATTTTCTTGTTCCAGTTTTCTTTTATGAGCATCCAAAATAGAGTTTGAAATATGGGATTCTGATATTTCGTCATACGTTTCTAGGAATATATATTTCAACGTTTCAAAGCTCAAATTAGTTGACTTGGCGAAAAACGGTCGTAATTCATTAAAATCTACATTTCCAAGAATTTCAGGAGCTTGTGCATCGGTACTTGTTGTTGTGGTTGAGGTGGGTGGTATTGCTGAGAGAGCTCGCTTCAATGTTAAAAAACTAATGTACTGTGTTTGAAAAACGTCATAGCGAATACCTCTTTCAAATATTTTAGAAGTACTGAAAAAACCTGTATATGGAAGATGGATTTGTGCGAGTTGGGATGAATTGCTGGATATTGACACGGCAAGGCCAGTCTCTAATTTACAATTGAAAAAGGTTAATTTTTGTAAAATTTGATTCACATTTTGCATTTCGTTATCATTCTTGTCGGTTGTTGATCTTCCTCCACTGAGACACCACATCATAAAGTCCTTTTCAACAAATAAATCACTAAAATATAAGTGTGTAATATTGTTGAATAAATTTCGAAAGAGTGACGTCACTTGAATTTCATTTTGTTTTTTAAATACGAGATACTGTGATTGTAATACTTCTTCAGAATGTGAGTAATCGCTTTCGTATAAGCGTTCAGAATATTTGAAAGAGCTTTTCATTATTCTGTCATAAATATATTTTGTAAATCTGAATTCGTTCACAGTATTTGTAAATGATAACACACATTCATTCCAGTGTTTGTTTAACCTAAATTTGTAAAAAGTTTTCAAGTTGCAATTTTATCAGTGGACTTGAATCACATACCACAAAAGCCTTAAATAATCCAATGGAAATAAAAAGTAACAAATTTCTCGGATAACATCACAAGGGATTTCATCCCAATAAGTCAATAATTGATCATCATTTTCATGGTCCTCATTCATTGCATTCTCATTCAACAGAACCCCGAATTCGGATGAAATATTTTCATGAATACCCTTCTTGTCATCATTAGTATTTGAAATTTCAAATCGATCATCCCGATGAGGATTCTCATCATGCTCCTCTGGCTTCAAATCCGAATGGCTTTTTCTCGTCTCTTCTTCCGATGATGATGGAAGAATCCTCGCGAGAAGCCTTTTTTTCATTTTTTTGTAAAAGGAAGCTGCCCGCATATGGCCGAGTGGTTTTTCTGGAACTGTGGCAGCCAACTGGTCCAGCGTTCGAATCCCAGGGGTTGCTGCTGTTATCGTGAGCAGTTTAAACACCTTTACTTCCGGGGTGCCTGCTAGGAAGTCACTACGTATCTTACGTTCGGCTTGTAAATAATGTATATAAAACCATCGAACAACGTTTATCATCGAATAAACCCATCCCTGAATTTTTTTGTAAAAGGAAATTCACCTCGAAGGTGAATCAAACACTTCTATGCCAGCTCTAGAGTTTTACTTGTTTGGATGAAGAGTGTTCATCTTCGTCTTGCATGACTTGTAGTTTTCTCTTTTTGCTATTTTTGTCTTCTTCCTTATTATTAAGGTCAGCATGTTCTTCACTGGCTAATGGTGTTTTGGATTTGTCATCACAAGATTGTTCAAGAACTTGTTTGGCAATAATTTCAAGAAAGTGATCATGAGATGTGTCTCCTTCATGGTCTTCTTCCCTGTGAGTTGCTTCAGAAGAAATTGAAGGATGTTGCAAAGCTAGTTGAATCTTTTTCAAATCAAAATCTAATAACAAGCGACAGGATTTCCAAACAAAAACATTAGAAGAATTGACAAACTTCTCAGAAGGCGTCACATCGAATTCTTCTTTCACAATGGGAATGACATAATTTTCAAAGTCGTGAGATCTCAATTCATTTTCTGAGCTCTTTAAATAGGTATCGACAGACTCAGAACTTGTGTCACTTTCTAAAAATCCTAACATGGCTGCGTTCTTAAAAACGAGACTAGCTTTTGAAGAGCTGGGAAGGGAGGAGGAGCGGTCATGAAAGAAGGCAGGACATTGATTAGCCTTCCAGGTAGTCCAGGACTTTTCTCGTTCAAAAATGGTGTCCATAATTGCACTAATATCAGAATCATACTTTTTCATAATTGCAAGAATTTTCTCTCTCATGGATTTAAGCTCTGCAGAGTAGGAATGAGAGTCCAAGTTCTTTTCTTGCAATCTAGAAATCGCTATCAATAATTGAATCAGTACTTGTCTACGGAATCGAATGTCATCCAACTGAAGGTCAAATAATTTTCGATTTTTCAGCAGCTTAATTGGAGAAAACAATACTTCAAATTGTTGTTGTGACGTATCGATGGCGCTTGTCTTTCCGTCAGATTGAAGTTTTTCCTTATTTCTCTTCAATTGCTTGAGAGTTTGAATATTGGAAATGCATCTAGATTCAATACATTTCAACATTCTGTCTACTTCTTTGGAAAATATTGGCCATGTCGGTATAGTGGAATCCTGACCTCTAGCTTGGCTGTAATGAACTGAGAGAGATGTCTTTAGGGATACTAATTGGATTATATGCATTTGCAAATTCCAAAATGTTTCAAAATCATCAAGCACCACACTTGTGGCATCGGTTTGCTCCTCTCGGACTTGTTGTTCCAACAATGCATGATGCTCCATATTCACATGTCCTCCCTTATTGATACATGCATCGTGGTTATATGGTAGAACAGACGCAACAAAGAGCAATATTTTACCACAGGTTTCTGTGTCTTCAATTTTGGAAACCTTTTTCGAGTCGAAAACTGCTTTTACCGTTTTCAGCAATTCCAAAGCACAAAGCTTAAACTCGGAGCAGCATCGACTCAGACATTTCATAAAGTCCATATGACTAGTCGTGTTATCTACAGGATGATGTGATGATTCTTTTTGCCCAGAATTGTTATTCATACAATAATTAAATATTTGTTCGATAGCTTTGGCATCATTAAAATGGTTACAATACTCGGAAAGCAAGTGAAGTGGAATCATGGATATTGTTTTTCGTTGTGAATCTTCCAAAGTTCTATTTGGATCGTTTAAAACGTTGGAAATTAAACTCGTAAATTTTCCTAGGAATGAAAAATCAATGATTGATGATGACGAATGGATGGATTGGAGTAAGAGAAATATTTTCAAGCTACTCCTCACTAAACATTCAATTGTTTCCGAATTTTCCTCTAGTAATCCCGATTGCAATGATTTTTCGTCATCATTCTTTTGTTCAGGAACAATAACGGATGACCTTGCTGAATATGATGATAACACTTGTTCCGAGATGTTGTAAATATTCTTCAACATTCGCTCCAGTATGCGTTGTTGAGCAGGTGATTCCTCACCAAATAAATCGGAGAGCAAATGACGAAGGAGTGCTTGAGCCATTTTTTGTTGTTTTACCAAAAAATTAAAAAACAATAAGAATTTTAACATCGAGTATTAAAATACTTGCTCCTTCCAAAAATGTTTAATTCATAATAAATGTCATTGATCCTGGTTATTGGGCAAATTTGTTCATGAGAGTGTTTCTCTCTGTATCTAAGCATTGACTTTTATATTTCATGGACTCAGTATGACACCATGCAACTTTTGTGTCTTGAAGATTGGCACCTTCGACAGTGGCACGAGCTGTGGAAAAGGTTTTGTGGTGTTGGTTTTGAGGTGTTCAGGTTGACGTCGTATATAAATGACAACCATGATGGAAATCGTATAATGTTATTAATGATAATCCACACAACAATACCATGGATACTACGAACCTTTTTCACTAGTACCATCATTTGGCCATTTAAGCACAGCATTTGCTGGCAGTGAACACCATGAATATGATTTGTAAACAGTGTAGGAGTACCACACTTTTTGACGAGCTGCAAGTGGAATTGAACTTAACCATTTTGAAGCTCCGTCCTTTTGTTTTTAATTCATTGTAAAGTCAGAAATTCACAAATGTGGCGAAGCAAAGAAAATTCACCAATAATCACAAATGTGGTGAATGAAGGGTGTTGACATGATGATGATCTGTACTTACGTAGGTCAAATCACTTTGAGATCCACATCCGATACCAACGACATTACCAATACCAGCGACACATCCAGCTAAACCAGATCCTCTGTATGGTGTACCAACAGACTGAATTACTCTTCTTTCCTTATTATTGGCAACATCAGCCTTAGTCCAGTAAAATGCAACTAAGTGGAGAGAGGCCATTCCACTATTCATGCCATCCATTAATGGATATCAACAAAGAAAGTTGTGTGATCACAAGTGATGGGCCAAAATAATACAATGCACTTACCCTTGACTGTGACCAACCATTGAGAATGAATCGTAATTGCTGCCGACTTCGGCAATCAATTTTGCGAACTGATCATTGTTTCTATTGGCATTCAAATCTTCAAAGACGACTGCATTGTTAAATTCTGAAGCTGGGAATGGGTTGTCACCGCTGCAGTAACCATGAACAAGAATGACCTAAAAACATAAACTGAATATATGCACGTGTCCTTTCATTTGTGATACTTACCTTATGAGTAGATGATTTGGCATTCACCTTGGCCAATTCGACTGGTCTTGGACCAAACAACATGGTTTCAGTAATGACACCATCGAAGGACTTGATAATTGGATGAATCGATAAGAGATTATTCACAGCATCCACTTTGACATTGTGTACCTTGTCACTACCATGTGAAATATGAGAGAATGTCAATTCAGAAATGGTTTGTTCAATTTTGCTGATAATGTTTGAAGAAGCCACGTCTTGAACATTCACATTCTTCAAAATGAATGGCATTTGAAGATTACTCTTTGAGCTTTGTTGAGCCTTGGCAATCCATTTCACACTCATTTGCAGTGGGAGAGCAATCATTCCATGAGGACATTCATTGCCATCACACTTCTCAGCAATAGTCATACCCGAAATGAATCCAATAGGTTCCAAAGAGGATGAAGAGGATGATGCATACACTTCAGCATAGGCCTTGAATTGCTTGCCCTCAGCTTCGGCATCGAGTGGCTTGGCAATAAGTTTAACAGTCATCATTTCAGTATCGGCAACTTGACTGCTGATCGGGAACGTCAACGAGGCTCCTTGGGTGAGCTCGAGTGACTTTTTGACAATGGAAACAACATGATGAGTGGTTCTCTCAAACTCAATCACATCAGCCATCATACTGGCCTTGTTGGTCATGCTTGTGCTAGTAATGACACCCTTCACAACAACACTCACACTGTAATCACCAGGTTCTTGAGCTGTAAGCTTGGCACTGTTGAAGAGTATTGATTGGTTTCAGATTTGGTTCACATGATTTTTGTTGTTTTCAGTTCGTAAATCATTTGTTTTTTTTTCAAAATGATGTTTCAAAACAACTGTTGATTCAAAATTCGAATCCATATTTGAAACTTACCTATAAATACCATCGGATGCCACCTTGTCACCAGCTCCAACAAGATCACCACTATCACTCATGTCAATAGTAATAAACTTGCCAGTAGGTGAGATAACTTCCAATTTGGCAGATCGAATTTCCTCTCCCTTATTAATATTGACCTTGAGTGGAGATGGTCTCTTGCCGACACTATCGAGTGGTGTCTTGTCATGATCAAACATGAAGGCCTCCACTACAACCCCATCTCCAACATGTTGATTGTCATAGGATTGCAATTGAGAGTAGGCACGCAATGGAGATTGATTATAAGTCAAAATATGCAAGTGAGCTGAGACTGGTTTTCCAGTAAGCTTGCTGATACGAGAAATAGTTTTCAATTTCTTGGTGGATGTCTCTTGGAATTTCACGTTGACTGTCCACTCATCAAAAATAACATCTTGTGAAGTTGCGAGCATTCTTTGTTGTTGTAGTTTGCGAATGGAAGCGATTGAGTTGGCATCAAATCTAAAGGTCTTTGATGGAAGTAAATTTTGCTCATTGTTTGAAAAAGCTCCAAACGAACGATCCATCACAACATCCAAAGCCTTGCTGGTAATATCATTTCCATATTGATCATAAATTGTAATATCCATCTCAGAAACTTGCAAAGCCAACACTGAAATATCCACTTGTGCGGATGAGTCCACAGCAACTTTTCCATTAAATTCATACAAATCTCCTTCTCCAATAATATTATTGAATTCACTACTAGACTTCTTTGTAAATTGATGAGCCATCAAATGATAATCACTTTGCGTGGCTCCGACACTTGGCTCTGGATATTGATGAAGTGGAAATTCACTGGGAGGTCCTTGAATATTCTTGAATGGAAGATGAGTGGCCATTACCATTTCATACGACGATGAAGATGGCCTCAAGGCAATGGTGCTCACAAAGAAGAAAAACACCACCATTGCCATCATCAGAGAAACCGCACGCGTTCGGCAAGACATTTTTTTTTGTAATTATGAAAGATGATGATGAAATTGGATGAAACCGAAAATAATTGATTTGAGTCCATTTTCAAGGGCTCTTATGAGACCAATCGGAGCATCGTGTTGTGGTTTCATCAAAGCGATCCAGAGTTGTTGTTGTTGTTGTTGTTGTTGTTGTTGAGGTTTCATGACGATGAATAATAAAATCTATTCCAATTTCGTGCGAGGTCGCCATCAATGAATTTGTAAATGTCAATTTTACAAAAAATGAATCTTTCATCTTCTAACAGATCTCCGGAGAGTTCAACTTGGAAAATCCATTCGCAAGGAACTTGGAAAAAGTTTTTAAAAAAAAAATGCTTCAATTTTCAGCAGACATTGTGGATGCAGTTCCGAAGAAAGCCTGTTATCGCTTGAATGATCCTCATGACGATCTTGGAAAGTATTTGAAGAGAAATCTTGATTTGGAATCAAATAACACAATTTTTTCAAACTCGGAGGATGTTTGTTTTTGTAAATCACAAGAGGAAAGATACGAAAAAAAGCAGAAGAGGAAGAATAACCAGAAGAAAAATCAATCCTCACATCAACAAACAAATAAGAAGAATCAGAGTTCGACACGACTTGATGACATTGTGATGAATGTCTATGACATTGGAAAACAACAACAAGACGAAAAGACAGATCATGAACAAACAAATGAAACAAGTAATTCTTCCACAAATTATTCGAATGGATTTGGTCCGGTTTCACCGGTGGTACCAAAGAAAAACAATGACGAGAATATTTATTATGAATTGGGTGGTTTTCAATTCAAATTAGAGAAGGAGGAACATGAACAGCGGAACAGCCACAACATTCCTTCCATATCGATTCGACATGTGGCAGTTAGTGAAAAACATTGTATTGTTATGATTGATGCCAATTATCTCCAAGATTCAGCTCCTCATTGTGAACTCAATGATTTTCCATTTCGATTATATGCTTTTGGAGACAATTATTGGGGACAATTGTCCTTTGACTTTAACAAAAGTGGCAATTACATCTATCCAGGTAAAGAAATGGAGCCTGCTTATTCATATTTGAAGGAATTCTTTTCGAAAATGGAGGATCAGATTCCAAACTTTACAACTGTCACTCTTAGAGATGTAGTTTGTGCACAAAACTTTTCATTGTTCTTAACGAGTTGTGGAAAATTATTTTCATGTGGAAATGTTCAAATGAAAAATAGATATCACTCTTATCACAAGATAGTGCCTTTGGAAGGAACAGAAAAGTTGAGAGTGGAGAAGATTTCATGTGGATCCAATCACATTCTCATGGTCGCCTCTCCCATCATTGACCCCATACAATCAGGCATGTCAAAACTACACATTGACGACTCTGGCGCTACAAATATTGTTTACGGAAAAAGAAAGGCGTATGGATATGGTCGTTCTTCCAATTATGAGCTAGCTCGGTTCGAACAATTAGTCAATACGGTCGTTGAAATACCAGTACTAAGCTCATCGAGCACTGACGAAATAGTGGACGTGAAAGCAGGTGGTACATTTTCACTATTTTTTACAAAAAGAGGATTTATTTATTCATGTGGAGATAACTCTTACCAACAGCAAGGAAAAGAACCACACTATGTCACCATCATGGATGTCATGAAATTAACAAGCAAAGAATTTGATTACAATCAATTTGCCATTCGTAATATTTGTTGTGGAGATGCTTTTAGTGTGATTGTGACACATCATGGAAAAGTTTTTACTACCATCAAAACATCAAGACCAACGATCAACGTTGATCAGAAAAAGGGATTTTACGAAATGGAATATTTTACAAAAAACAATATTCATGTCGAGAATGCATTCGCCACCAAGAACGCTATCATTTACCAAACCACACATGGAGCATTGTATTATTCGAAAGTTTCAGAGCATTCTAATGGCTATTCCTCAATTCGAAAACCAATATTGGGAAAGCCAAGACCCATTAACTTATCGAAATTCAATGCATCTATGAAGAAGGTATTCTCATCGTTGCAGTCGGATCATTTTCTAGTGATGACTTTAATGACCATTGAATTGACCACATTCTTTGACTTGCTTTTGAATTCGCATGTAAATCATACAAATTTTTCAGACATTAAGTGTGTAACGTTGCGTCGTTGATATTCCCCATATTTTATTGTTAAATTAATTTGGGAGAGTTGAAAACCATCGTTAGAATAACTCATGGATTTAAAATAGTCTTCCATATTATTATTAATGGAGGTGGATTGTAGTTTTGCATGATTCTTGATTCTTAATTCTTAATCTTTTTTAGGGTAGATTTGATCAATTCTAATGGTTGATCAAAATTATTCTTTGAAGCTCCTAATAATTCAAATCGAATTCTTAATTTTCCTAAAAATTGTCCAGAAGATGATAAAGGTGAAGCTTCCACTGTGTGAGAGGTGGAAACATTTTTCAAAATGGAATAAAATTTTGCGCTTCGATTTTCAATGTCTCCCCATGGAATAAAGATATGACCAATGACTTCAGTGGAAAGCATATCTCTATCACTCACAGTGAAAAGTAGTCCTAATTTGCTTAAATGATCATGAATGTTGCTATTTAATGGGGATCATGATGAGAAAAGAAGTGTTTGTTTTTCATTGAAAAATGTGAAAATATAAATTTGGTAATATAAATATGATGCTATGTGACATGATGATACTTACATGGAAAATACTTCGTTATTCCATTTTGGATTTAAATTTTTCTTAATGGTGTTCGTTTTGTAAAGTTTCTTCTTCTTACTTGAATGAAAATCTTCCTCACTTTCAATCAAGTAAACTGTCACAAATCCATCACACATTCCAGAAATTGTGTCCATGACTGGTAATTCAGATGCTTCCATAATTTGAACTTGAAGCACTTTTGAAATGGGTGCTAAATACTTTCCAATTTCAGTTATTTGCTTTCGTTGCAAAATTGGAGTGATGTGCCATGCTTTGTCCTTATTTTCACTCGAGTACTGACATTTAATACTACACAAGAAAAAGGATGAATTTACGGCAGTAGTTGCTGTTTTGAATGGAATTTGAGAAGCAGAAACACTGAAACGACAATCCTCATTCTTGGTCTCCATGTTGTAAATTTTGAGAAGTGCATTCAATTGTGACAATAATTCAGTCACATCATCCGGAGAAATGTCATTTCCAGATACTTCAATATGAACTTTCAATAAAATTGAAAAATAGATAATGGTATTTGGATCTGGTAAGGCAAATTCAGACTTGTTTCTTCGAATGGATAATCGATTGCTTGCTCTTTTGAGACCTTCATCCAAGGAATGATTTCGAATATCATCAAGAACAATATAAAACTGTGCATCATCATGTTCTCCTTCTACAGGCCATTCCACTTTGGTATTTAAAGGATTACTTTGATCGATGACGGCTGCAAATCGAGTATGATCTTCAGAAATGTATTTTTCAACAGTGCCAGAGAGTGGCATCGAGTTGGAGGATGTTAATGTTTGCTTCATTTCACCTTTCCAGTTGTAACAAAGAGCCTCCATTTTCAACACCATGTGATCAGCAATATGTTTGTAGGTCATGGCTTTCTTGGACTTGCCAGAAGTCAATGGACAAAGATCACTGCGGAGAGACAATTTTTTGGTTACATCTTCAAATTTAACTCCAAAGCAAATATACTGAGATTGAGCAAGTAAGGGAGCATGTGACGTTTTTTCATTCGTACTTCTCTGATAAGTAGGATTATTCATCAAGTAGAGATCAGAAAGATGATAAATCCAACCCTTGTCTCTCACTGTCGTCTCACGCTCCTGTGAAATGGGCATCCATTCTCCAATGAAACTAAATTGCCATGCATTTGGATCATTTTCCATCTTTTCTAATTTGAATCCTAATAAATGTTTGTATCCAGCATGATCGAGTTTTGCTTGACTTTCGATATCCACTTGCATGTTGTATTCATTCACAACTTGAGCCATGGCTGACACTTCCGAAAGAGGAAATGTGAATTGAGGTTGTTTGGTTTTAGAATCAAGAACTGAAACCATTCGAATTGTGTCACTCTTGTTTTCGTTTTTAGAACTACTTGCCGATGAGTTGATAGATAGACGTTTCAATTCGGTCTGGACGGACGGCTCTACAGCCTCCATTTGAGCTTCGTCTTCGAAAGAGACACGTTTCACCTCTCTCGAAGATCCATCATAAATAGAAATGATGCAAAATAGAACATGTGTTTTTTCTACAAGTTTTGGAATAATAGCCATTGGATCGACAGTTCCATCTAATAAAGGTCCTTCACGTTTCAATTCAATAGTATGCTTTTTAAGGAAATACGCTTCATGATCAAATAAAAAGATGTTCAATAACACGGAAGGTTTTGAATTTTCTATGGCAGTGGAACCAAAAGTGTTGTGTGAAATGCCTTTGAATTTGAGAAGAAGTGGAGAATGTACAGAAAATTGAATGGGTGTTTCCAAGGTTGATACAGTTTCTCCTTCCAGAGTGGTTTGAGTTAATTCAAAAATGGAAGGACATGGAGCAATTTTGCTTGGTTTGAAATAAGTCAAATGATGAACTGCTTCAGAGAGAACACTCACACCATTCTTTCGTGACAGTGTAATATTTTCTCCGAGGGACTTGAATGCAAATGATTCACAGCCAGTGTATGACATTTTGCACCAAATAATGCAATTGCTTGGACTTGCATTAACGGAGAAATTTCGAATATTAACCTCATTGTTTTCATTGTCTAAATAGTAAATTCCTAGCATGGAATCAAAGTACAAGAAACTGCTAATGTTGTTAATTGCAGTGTTGGAAAGTCCCATTTTAGGAATTTCACTCTTTTCATATCCGTCGCCAATGATTGACAAAATGTACAATTCATGAACTTGCTTCAGATTTTCCATAGTAATGTCAAAATAATCAAAAGCATTGGTAAATACATCGCAATTACCAGAAATGCTTTCAGCCAAGTGATTAGTGACAGTTGGCTTTCCATTCAAATTGTGAACACTTTTTGCCTTGTCATGACACACCACATCGAGAACACTTCCCTGTGAATCCAACAAGAGACAATAATGATTCACTCGAATAGGTCTTATACCTAACGCTCTGTTTTCTTCTGTGAGTCGTATCCTTAATTTTTCTCCGTTAAAGGTTTTGGCTCCAATTGTGGAATCTGATTTGGATTGTAAAATTAAGGATTGATTTCCTCGTAATGGATATAAATCGAGTTTGCTCGTATTGAAGCCATCAATGACTTTTGGTAAGTGAAATAAGTTGCATTGGTAAGGAAGAGGATAAGGCTGACATGAAAGTGTTGAATAGTTTGAACAAGTGCTCAATGGATCGGCTGTTTCAATAATAAAATCCTTTCTAGTCCTGTCAAATGTCATTGAAAATAATGTGGAAATGATGTTATTCTTTTTCATCACAGATGGTTGATTAATCGAGACATTAAGCTGATGAATATATTTTGGTAAAGTCACTCGATAATCCAATTCATTGTAATCACGCTTCATATATTCCAATGAATTTTCAAACGACACTGTCAAGTCTCCTTCCAAGCAGTTTAAATCTCCTTCTAAAAAGAATACAATCTTGTTATATTCTCCATATGGATTTTCACTCAAATACTTGGCCATGTGTTTTGCTTGTTCTTCATTGTGTTTGGAAAACATCAAATTCTGAATTGCTTGTTTACAAAAGTTAAAAGCACTATCTTCAGTGTTTATCGGTGCATGGTTTTGTGTGGAAGATTCTTCTGAGAGAGTTCCTGGTGGCTTGCTCGATGCAGAAGTGGGAGTGATTAATTTCTTTGTTGTCGAAACTGTGAAATCGTCCAAAAACTTTTTAAAATGACTCCAATATGTTCGTTTCATATCATCCACCATATCAGGATATGTGAAAGGAGGTTCATAAAAATGTTTCCAATTTCTGATCTGCATGACAAATGATTGTTTGACATTTTGAAGTTTGATTTCAGTCCATTCTTCTGCAACTTCTCGATCAATGGTCAGTGAGTCCGATTGTGACGATTCTGGTGAAGTACTGACAGCATTATTCTTAATGAACGATCCTGAATTTTGAGAATTAATTGCTGTTGAACCGGTTCTCAAATGAAAGCCACCAATGGAAGTCTTTTTTAAATTCGTAGAAGATCCATGAGTTGAAGATGTCTCTGAAGAGGATGATGATCTGAGTGAACGTCTCAGACCCAAATTTTTCCTTTGATCGGCTTCACTCTGAGCAGAATAGACTTCATGTTCAATACGAAGCAAAGGAGTACAACTCTCATGCAAATTTGGAACGTTGGTTCTTGTCGACATGGTATTTCGTGTCATGCTTTTTTCATTTTGTGGATCACCATAGGTCACACCACCCACGTTGGGCGATGCTTTTTCCATTTGAGGAGAGCTCAATCCCGAGTCACATTTTCTAGAATTTAAACCTTGAATGTTCTCGACACTTTCAACAGTGATTAAACTTTTTGGTTGTTCCAATGTTAATACATCGACTAAGTTTCCATTCTTGTCCAAAACAAAACAACCCACAGAAATTGGAAGATGAGTTTTTTGTCTCAATTTTTCTGCTCGATTGGTGGTCATGACATTACTCTCATTCACGACGACTGTGTTACAAATGGAATAATTAAATTTCACAGAAAGTGTGGCACTTTTCAAAGTGAAATCGTCTTTTTCAGCAGCAGTAATAATACCATGTAAATCATGCATGGATGATGAATGATTTGTGGTAAATGATTTGTTGTTACTCGATAATTTGGAAGAACTTGTCAGAGAAGAATGACCATTTCCAGAACCAGAACAAGAACCAGAACCAGCACTACTACTATTTGCCCCTCCTTTCGATGAAGCATCAGAAAATGATTCCACCCACAACGCATTCGAAGGAATCACCAAAATGGTATTCTCGTTCCATCCTTCTCTTGAAGCAATGGAAGGTCTCGATAATTCATTGCTGCCACCCGTGTATCGTCGTGATCGCTGAGAGTTTATGGATGATGATGAAATATTTCCAGTACTGGCCGTCGACAACACGGATTGATTATTATTGGTTGATGATTTGACACTGTTCGATCTTGAAGAAGATGAACCACCAGAGGAAGATGGAGAGGAAGGAGGAGAGGAAGAGAGTGGAGAGGATGTTGTTGTATGAGATGGAGACGGAGTCGAAGTCGTAATTGAAGGAGACGATGAAAGACGACTTGATGATGATGACATTTTTTAATGATGGGAGATGAAATTCCTAGTTGGAGATGAATGTTGTAAAAACTTACACAACTGATGACACCGATTGTAGTAATACCAGTTTAATTGAGTGAATGGGTATTATTGGTTGAGATATATGGAAGAGATCAATCAACATGGATTTATTCCATCATCATGTTTCAAAAGGAACTATTCTGTACCAATTGAACTGTATTTTAATGTACTACTCACACGTTGTAATTACTCAGTCATAATCATGTGGTTTGTTAAATATCATTGTTGTATATTCATATTGAAAGGTACAAATATCCAATTGTTATATTCAATATATGTTCACCAAGTTCTGTGTTTGAATGGTCGTGCTTTCCATCACAAATGGATGTTTGAGTGCATCAGCAACAGTTAAGCGCTTAGAAGGATCAAGGATGAGAGCCTTATCCAAGAAATCGTGTAACATCAGGACCAACTTTCGTTCCTCTTTGATAGCTTTCTCATCCTCGACATGTTGATTGCTCAGCATGGAATTCAAGAGCATGGCTTTCAAATCTGTGATACTTTTCTGGAAATACATTTTTCTAACTTTGATTTTCTTTGTCAATGGATCCCATTCACGAAATAAAAACGCTCCGTCGCCATTGAAATCGAAATGACTTTCTCGAAAGGCACACTTTTTAAGAACCTTATTCGAAAATTTTCCTTTCAATTCCATCATGAGTCGTAGAGCATCATTGTTGTTTTGGGAAGGGAACAGAATTTTTCCGGTATATAGCTCAAAAACTGTACAGGCTACACTCCACATATCAATGGGATACGAATATTTCATGCCCAATATAATTTCTGGAGCTCTATAAAATCTTGAAACTAAATACGGAGTAATACTATTTTCACTAATGTCTGAGGCTGAGCCAAAATCTGATAATTTCACTTTGGTGTGGCTTGAATGAACTAGCATGTTATCTGGCTTGATATCTGCGTGAATAATATTGCAATCTTGAATGTGTTTTAGTGCAACGAGGAGCTGTTTGGTATAAACTCTTACTGCATCCATACTGATACCGACTTGTTTACCCTCTTTTCGACCGTAGTGTTTGAGAATGTCTCGTAAATTCATTTCTAGCAGTTCAAACACGAGGCATAAATGGTTTCTATATGTGAAATGATCTAACATTCGAATAATATGCAACTCGTCATTAGGATCTCGATCCATTAGCATTGAGATGATATTTAACTCCTTCATTCCTGCCTTTCGCATTGTTTCACTACTCCTTATAATCTTGATCGCTACACGTTGCGATTGAGGATCTTTTGCAAGTTTGTCTGAAGCCTGTACAACCTGTGAAAAAACACCTTGCCCAAGAAACATCTCGATTTTGTATCTGTCATTCATGACCTCTCCTATGGTGAATCGGTAGTAGCCCTCAGGATCATCATACAAATCGACAGCAGTATTTACATGAGTAGAAGCCTCACTGGTTACAAGAGCTTGAACAAGCTCATCCGTAGAAGCTCCAAACATGTCAATGAATGGAGATGATTCACCCTCTTTTCCTTTCTCATTGTTTGTGTCTTCATGTAACGAGGTAACAGTGGGTTCTTTTGATGATCCACTAATATCGTCATTCATGGATCTTTCTTGTAATTTGTTTCGTTCTTGTTCTAATTCGTAATAAAAACTGTTATCTCCTCCTGATTTGAAAGCGTCAGAGCTAAGAGGAGCAACCGAAGATTCAGTTTCGTCATTTTCATCCTCTGATATGATGTGATCCTCTGGTTGAAGATTTGGAGAGACCTCTTGTTTTTCTTTTTCCATTTGTTGGAATTTCTTTTTACGCTCTTCACGTTTTCGTTTCACTTCATTTTCATCATTTGCCTTAATTAATTGTTCTTCCATGAGTAACGTTTGCTTAATCATCTCCTCTTCATTGGGAGGAGGCACTTGTTGTTGAGTAGTCAACGTGTTATTTTCCTTAGGTGTGTTGGATGATTTTGCAGATGAATCCACTATGGGAGACTTTTCGAATTTCACACGTTTTGTGTCCGTTGTGATAGTTCTCTCCTCGTGCTGATCTTTAAATGCGACGAGTGCTTTTCGTTTTGTTTCCATTTGCTTTGTATTCCTCAATTCATCGTTCGTTGAAGGTGTTACATTCGAGGAGAGGGCAGGAACATTTCGTGATGATTGACTTGATGGAAAATGTCTATCATCATGTTCTTGTTGATAATTTGAAGATCTTTTTTGAGTGTCATAACTTGATGGAGGATGGTGGTTCTTACGATCGTACGTATCCTCCTCCTTTCGAGAAATTTTGTCGTCACGATGGCGATAACCATGATGAGATGGTCTACGGTCAGAATCGTGCGATCTGTGATAATAATTTTCGGAATGGTAATTATGGTGAGAAGAAACATTGGTGTTACTCACATTACGTCTATCATCATGTATCTTGTAATGTTGCTGTTCACTTGGTTGTGGTTGGTGTGATAGCTCTACTCTTTTCCTATCATTATGAGCAGATGAAGATGAGGAGAATGAAGATGGTGGTCTTTCTTGCCTAAATGAGTTGCTTCCACCATCATCATGTTGTGGCCTAGAATACCGACGATAATCATCCCGATGATGTGGTTGATGATGATGAGAACTTACACTACCTCCATAGACATACTCCCTTCTTGGGGTGGAAAAATTTCTTGTAGGATCTGCTTCGGAAGATAAGGCCCGAGATGGGTCGAATTCTCTTCGTGAATGTTGTAACGATGATGATGAATGTCGTTGTTGTTGGCTCATTTTTTTTTAGATGTTCAAAAAAAAACACAGCAAGACTTCTTGGGAAACTCCACCAGAGAGTACTAGTAAAAGTTTTATAGAGAAGGCCACAGGAGGCCAACATCCGTGAGGACTTGAGAATTATTAATACAAACATTGGTTGTTTGTACGAAGGTCAAGTGAAACTTCAGTTTCAAAAAGATGACGACTTTATAACTGAAAATCCAGTTGTGTTGAAGAAAACTGATCATCTTGATTCATTTGCAAGTACTCGAATCAAAAATCATAAGTATTCAGCCTATCTCACAGTACTATGTTTGAATAAGAAAATTAGTGTTGAGAATGCTGCAAAATTGAATTTGGATGCGGAAGAAATTGAAATTAATTTCATTAAGAAACACAAAGAAAACGGAAATGTTGAAATTTATGAAGCGACTATTTCGTCATTTAGCAATGATGAGAAATTGTTGACAAAAATGTTACAATTAGAACGACAAATTATGTTCTACAAGGAATGTTTTAAAAACACAGTCATCAGTAGAGTTGGATTGGTCTCACCTTCCAATTTGAACCTTGAACGGGTGGAGAAAATCATTGAACAACATAATGGCCTCTTTGTCAACATTCAATCGTTCATTGAAAACAACACTTTTTCTGTTGTCAAGGAAGGACACAAGCCTGAAATTGATTAAAACAATACTACTCGCTTAATAAAGTTATGGGATTGAATGGGTTGTTTGTAAACAACAACACATGAATCTGTGAAATGTTCATTCCAAGAAGCCAAATCAATCTCTTTGCAAGGTCCTCCACCTCTATTGTGGCCCTCCTATCTCCTACAACTCTCTCATGCTGACACATCTAAAAGTCTCTAATACCACTGATCGGGTGATATTAGAGACTTCCGGATGACATCACGACAGTTTACTTTTTTTCGAATAAGAGTTCTCTGATAGCATGTTTGATAGCACTACTTTTCTGTAGAGACATCTTGGTAGAAAAGGTACAGGCATCGTTTGTTTGGCCCATAGATAAGGCAGGATAAAAAGCAAGCTGGCCTATCTCATACTTTGGATGATCAATCATTTTGTGCGAAAAATCGATCGATGAAACAAATGCTCCATCTTGTGTGTGGTTTAAGGTGTGGATGTAATTTTTTCGTAAGAAGTAATTGAATGAAATGGGTGTCATGGAACAATATTGTCACAAACAATTAACTCACTTTTCGCAAAGGCAATTTTAAAATTCTTCGTATCCAAATAAACTCCAATAATATATCCATTGCCTTTCACAATATTCTCATCCTCCATAATACAATACTGTTTCTTTTGATTACAAATATCTATTGAGTTAGATTTGTGATAAACACAATTTCCTTCTTCATAAATTGCAATACTAAAACTATTCGACGACCCAAGATAATCTCTGAACTGAAAACTATATTCTGCATCGATCTTAAATCGATCTTCAAGCTTATCTCCCGATATCTGTTTACAATTCGCAATGTTCAATCTTTCAGTTAACACAATTCCAATCAAGAAATTGTCGTACTGTCCACTCTTGTGTACAATAAATTCAAAATAATGAATTCCTGAATCGTACATCATGGGTCGGTTAACTACATTCACACCCGCTTCACCCACTGAGGAGGAACAAAAATTTTCTGTCATGACGACCGTATTTCCACATCTAAGAGGTTCTTGCATCGAAGGAGATCCAGTTTTTGTATTTTTGTAAACCTCCAAATTGGTAATCATCGTTCCAGTATAACACAACTCTTGCCTAAAAAAATTATTAGTTGTAAAACCATATAATTTGAAAATTTCAAAACAAGTTCTGTAAGATCTATTCATGTTGACATGAGTATTATTTGAAAATGTTGTTGTATATTCATCATCATTAAAATTATTCAAACTATACAATTCAAGTAATAACTTGTACAAAGGTTCGTTCACTCGTGTTGCATCTGAATAAAGTAACCATTCATCATTATGGAGTAGAGTGGGTGGTGTTTTTTGTTGGTCATGGTGATCTGTGATGCTTGTAGAAGCCACCAATTCTTTTCTAAAGAAAGTATTTAAGAATATGCGTCCTACTTTTGAAATCGGACTATTATTGGTTGTTGTGGTGGTTGAAGAAGAAGAGGGATGAGAAGGATGATGATCACATAGTTGATTAGGTGTAGGTAATATGAATGGTTTAAAATCATCATCCATTTGAAAAATAATTCGGAAGAATCTCTTGCAAGTGAGAGGAACATGGATAAAGATGGAGGAAAGAGAATCGGTGAGATAAATGAAAATTTCAATCCAGAGCTCTTCTGGAATTTGATGACAGAGGTGAAAAGTGGACATTTTTTTTCAGAATTTCAGGAACAATTCAAAAGGATGAATCAAATTCGTAGATGTGTTGTTGAATTAAAATATGAAATATGGACATTTATTGAATGAGAGAACGTTTATTTACAGAGTTGAGAGATTGATATTCACAAAGTTGTGGTTCTCAACATGATGATGGTCATCTTAATAATAATACTTGTGATAGTAGGGCTTTCTGCGACGATAATAAGGCTTTCTGTAGTAATAGTCGACGTAGTAATAGTCTGGTTTATAATAATAACGACGACGATGATAGTAAGGCTTACGATAGCGATAACCATAACTATTCTCACTTTCGAAGGAGGCGGCTTCATCACCTTCTTGATTCTCAACTTGTTCAGCATGACAATAGCAACAGAATGCAACAACGAGTACAATGGCTAAAAGAACTGCCAAAACAAAGACACTTCTTTTGTGATATTTCATTTTGTCAAATATGAGTTCGTTAAATGATATCTTTTTTTGTTGTTGAAGTTCTGTTGGTGGCTTAAAGAACGTTTGATTTTATAGCATATGGTTGGATTGTCTAATAAGGTGTATTGACAATTTAGAAATGATATCTGTAAGAGACAAGTTCATGAACTGCCTTGACATCTATAGGAAGGTTTTGGAGATTAGACATTTCTGGTGTTACCACTTCCACAAGATCAAACGCTCAAAATGTGCTAAAGGTACCCTCGATTCCAGTTAAATCAATTCACCATTTTAAATAGTTCGTTTCGCTTGGAACTGATCAGAAATGTACAGAAAGTTGCTCGGACTTTTGTTTCGTCAACGCTTTTCAAAATTTCAGCACGTCCGTGATGTCCCTTAATCGATCCTTAAAAGTTCTACCGTCTCACAAGTGAAACATCGAGAGAATCAATTTCCTCTTCGAGTTGGAATGCTTTCAACAAAGTTGCCACAAATAATTTGAGCCTTTTTTATAATCTCACTGAAATTTCCTCTGAATCAGTGCTCACATCCATTTCACAAATGGATTCCAAGTCATATTTAAATTTGTTGCAATTTAGAAATAGATTCCGATGGTTTTGATCTTTCTGATAGGAATTTAAAAACTAATTCCATTTTGAGAAGCAATGATCATGATTTTCTAAATATTCCATAAATATGGTGTTAACTGAAAGTGTTTTCGGAGCAAATATTAATAATTCATCATCATCTCGTCATGATTCGAATCAATCTGTTAATCTTGTATTTGACCAGGATTTTCTTTTGGAAGACATGGTGCTTTTGCTTTTTCACTAATAAATACCACAACACAAAAAATTTGTCTCGATTTTTTTCTCTTGTTTTTGTGTGATGAATGAAGAACGTGGCGAACGACAGCAAAGAATTGCTTCCGAATTGAATCGGAAAGCCTTGCATCGGCTTGTATATACTAGCTTGCAAAACAACAATGTCAACAAAATGATCATGGAAAACAATAGTACTCGAGTACAGGAGGATCATGGTGATGATTCATTATTAATAACATCAACAAGGATGATTGAAGGAAATACTCAGCAACGGAAAGTGAATGAAGATAAACCCATCATCCAACAACAACAAATCACTCCATCAAGAAGTTTATCAATTTCAACTGAAACTTCTCCTCAATCATCAGTATTATTATCGGATAGTCATAAATTAACGACATCACCACGCGACCATCATCAAGAAGAACAGATGGCAGTGGAATCCACGACAAGAACAACAACTTCCATAGCATCATCATTCTCCCGTATTCTTCATTTACTTGATTGGTCGTCTCGGGTCCTCTCAGAACAAGTATTCACTCATCGTGTGATGAACGTATTGAAATCTCTTTCCATGGGTTCAATATTTGCTTTTGCTGTTTTAAAGTTGTTGGAATGGTGGTTCTCTCATTCCGTTCATCAGCATCATCGTTCCGCAAATGTACAAAGCAGATCTCTGCTTCAACGATCACCCACCTCTCCCTTCCAACAACTTAAATCATTACGAGAACATTCACTTTACAAGTCGCCACATTACAGCAACATTAGCAGCGATCATCCAATTCCGCGTTCTCAGAAGGGTCGATTTTATTTGCATGAATTGTCAACATGGGATGAATTGGGAGCGAGTACCGATAATAGAGATCAATCTAAATCATCATCTCGTTCAAACGTGATCAGTACGGATGGTCCTCTCTTTGTGCCATTGTCTCGTATTGAAAAATTCCAACAATTACAGCAACAAGAAAAGACTTTGGCACCCAAACTACATGAATTAGATCAAAATTTGCAGAACAATGCACTTTATGGACAAATGGCCCAACTAGAAAGTTATCGAAAGAGTACCATATTTGGTGAGTGACAATAAGGACCTTTCAGTTCTGAACCTTTTTGTTCAACAGAGAGAACCTCATAGAGGTTCCTTGAGATGTTGCTCTTGGAATGCACAAACGTTGTTGATTTGCGAAGAGCAGATTTACACATTTTGAAGAAAGATGCGACGACAAAACAGATCTTTAGCGAATCGAGATGCTGCAAGACAAACAGAATGCTTTTCACTAGAAAACACAGTACATCTGTCGGAATTTTGACTTAAATTCGAAAATCAGTGGTCGTTAGTCTCAAAGATACATCATTCTGACATAAGAAAAAACTCTCTCTAAAGAGTCCACTCAGTTCTCCTCAACTATCAACTGGAATTGGTTTGGCGAACGGGAAAATGATGAACTGTGACAAATTGTCGTTTTCGGGTAAAAAGCAAAACAAAAAAATGTGTCGTGGTTGGTATGTGGAGTTTATTCCCAGTTTATCCTTTTCGTGACCTATTGATTGCCAAGCTTGGAGCATTTAGTTCTTGACACAGTCGTATTTATGATGGAAAAAGAGATGAAAATCCATTTGATGGATGTTCCAACATGAAATTAGTCGAGTATGTTAAGGTTGGAAAAAAGACATTCGAAAATTCAAAAACATCATGGATCTGGTGTGAAACACTTTACTTGGGAGGAACTCAAAAAGAAGAATCCGCACACCATCTTTAAGCCCTGGCAAACGTATTAAGCTGTTGTAGGAGAAAACTAATATTGCATGCAAAACACACGAAGAATCAAATTGGAAAGCATGTCGTTCGTCTTCCTCTATAATAAAGCCGTTGAACCTCAAGAGCTGACAATAAAAGAAAAAAAAAATGAATACGAAACGTAAACGGCAAACTGTTGAAGCTTTCTCACCACCACCATCGGAATGGTGTTCAACCACCACTGAACCACGAAAGGAAGTTTGTTCAGTAGTAGTAGTAGCAGATGAATTCAATTTACAAACACAGCCATCCTCTCATGATGATGATCATGATGGAGGCTCTGAATGGAATGGGATTGATCCTACCATAGCGGCGTTGAATACTCAAAGTGAAGAGCACGTTATGGCATCAAATACAATCTCTTCCGATGAGGCTGCTACGTCCACAGAATTGCCATCTCTGTCATTGGAAGCAATTAAAACGCAGCAAGAAGATGAACCTAGCGTTCATAAACAAGTCTTTTCCAATCATTCAAGTTTTGGAAAAACTAAAAAGAGAAAAATTAATCAATCATCCAATAAGTTCAACGAAAACAATAAGACGCAAAAGCTTGTCAATTCTGTTTCTACTAGTGATGTGAACACCATCAACACGTCTGAAAGTAGTAGTAGCAACACGACTGGAAAAGTTTTCGGAAATTATAAAAATTATTACTCGTACAGATACAGTAATGAAAATTTGGGAGGTTCTTCATCATCGACCATTCCCACCACAACTACTGCCACAACACATGCCAAAAAACAACAGAATGAACTCTCTCACATTGATCCTCGATTAGAAATTATTGCACGAATTTTAAGTACACACTTTAAACTGTGTGAAGAAAACCCTACTACTTTGGAGCTTTCATGTTTGGATATTGGATGCAATCAAGGATTATTTACCATTCAAATGGCAGATTTAATAGATAGTTCATTATCAAATCAAGCAAATAATGGACAAATTCCCATCACACTCAAATCTCTAGATGCCATTGATATTGATGCCAAATTAATTCGACAAGCAAAGAATCACTTAGAAGCTCTTAAAAAATTTAATACAATTGAAGACAAAGAATCTATGGGAGATGATCATCTGGGAATGAGTGTACAGACCTATGTCTCGATGGAGAGACTTGAAACAGCCGCCGATAAGGAAGAAAAACTCTTCATTTGGGAGAACAATAGAAAACTGTTAAAAACAAAGGGCGAGAATGTACAGAGTTCAGAACAAATTGTGCTCTGCAAGAAATCTTACATGCTGCAGCTCATTTACAAGATTCATTTTAAAACTCAAAATTTTGTGGAAGAAATTGCTTCTCTTGTGACACATTCAGAGTCACTCGAAAAAGCAAGAGAAAACAAATATGAATCACTTCTAAACGCATCGTTAGGGAAAACAAAGAGACTATATGACTTAATTACATGTCTAAGTGTCACCAAATGGATTCATCTTAATTATGGAGATGATTCCATCAAATTTCTTTTTCACAAAATTTTTAGCATGTTGAAGAGTAATGGAGGAATATTTGTTTTGGAACCTCAAACATGGAAGAGTTATGCAAAAAAACGAGACCTCACCCCAACATTTCAAGAACAATTCAAGAATATCAAGTTTAGACCAACGGCTTTTCATGAATACTTAATGAAAGAGGTTGGATTTTCGCAATGTGAAACCGTCTTTATCGAGGAAACATCCAACAATTCTACCACCTCTGAAAAAACTAAAAAGAAAGGTTTCAAAAAGAGACCCATTTGTTTTTATTTCAAATAAGGTCAGGAATGCAAAAATGTTTGTTGGGTGAACAAAAATCTCAATACGTTGTTTATGGCCAAGACAAAATTTGCGACACTGGAGTACTCGATATCGGGAGAGAAACAAATACAACAAGACGAAGGAGGAGAGAATTATGTGTCCAAGCCATCCTCTGTTCCTTTGGAAGTGTGTGATCCTTCAGGTTCAAAAGGTTGTCTCAAGTGTGGTCATGCCCACATGGGCAAGCAGTTTGCCTCTAAAACAACTAATCTAAAAACACAAAATCAAGGTCACAGAGTGCAGTTTGATGTGAAGCATGTTTTTCTAAATTTCCAAAGAAGAGTCGGTAATCTCGTGTTTCCTGTGAAGAGAAATAAAGTATGGAATGCGAGTATCCACAGACGATGGTGGGTTTCATGTTTTGTTTGGAAAAAGAGAGAGTTCTAGAAATAATGTCTTCCAGTATCAAGTGCCGCATTGGCGTTGTGACAGAACTAACTTCAGAAGAGTCCAATCCCAGTTCATTCGATTCATTGTTTCCCAAGCAGTACACCTTATAGTCTTTAGATATGAAAAAGAAACCAGTTAATCCGCTAATTGAATCCAAATCAAAATCATCGGAATTGATGGTCTTGTAATCCATACAGTGAAATTGCGATTCCAATGCTCTACCATTGCCATATTCATCAGAAAAAGTCACAACATGGCCAGCTAGGGAAAGGTCAGGATGGTTTTTCGAAATTTGTAAAAAGCCTTTTCATTACATTTCGTGGGTGTACATTCCGTATAAACCCTGTATGACTGAAACTCACTATGATAGGAAAATACTTACAGGTAGAAGCTCCAAAATGAATTTTGGAGAAAGGGGCACAAAATAAGGTTCCTATTTTAGAGTATGGCTGGTGCGAAATATTGTTGGACAAAACATTGCCATGATCTGTCAAGATTAATACATAACTTGTACCTAGTGAAACGTCGATAATTTTCTCATTGGGAAGCAGTGTATAAGTACAGAGAGTAAATGATGAAATTGAGTCTTCCTCATTATTAGGAAATGTTCCTATTCGTTGAGAAGTTTTTTAAGATGGTCATGCAATTAGTGTGTTCACAGATAACACGTGTTAAAAGAAATTTCTCACACTCACCTAACTGATTTGTTCCTATTTACTGGAATGTATACCAATGAGAAGTTTTTTCCACACTTACCATTACTTCCACATCCATATAAACATCCTTGTTCTTGTGAAATATTTGTTGTCATGTGAAATATTAAATTTATATATTAAATTAATATTTCAAATGAAATGTGCGATTTGTGTAAGTAATCACTCTCAAAATTTTCAATACTCAACTTGTTAGTAATAATGTACTTTCATATCCACAAACAATTTTTTCGACACGATCTCCTGGCCGCAGAAATGATGTATCTAACCGTTCTGGTGGATACACTTCCATACGGCTTCGGTATCGTTCTCCAAGACCTAATTGCTGTCATGTATTTTTGAGAGCATTAATTTCGTTTTGTCACACATCATGCAAAAACAATGCATGTATTTTACAGTTCAAATTCGTACCATCTCCATATTGATGTTTGCCACTTACTCCACTTGTGTTCTTTCCACAAACATAAATAATTTGACTATTTCCAACTTCTTCCAAATAATACGTAAAATAAGCTCCACATGAAATATAGGCAATATTTTTGTGATCGAAAAATGTAATTCTAACAATTTTTTCTTCCAATGGCCGATTGTGATCTAATCCGAGCTGACCACTTGTATTTTGCCCTGTTTAAAACGTGATAATGATGATTAATAGATGTTGCATTAATACCACATCACATATACATCAAGTAATGCAAGTTGAGAAAAACATTTGATAAAGAATTCAATAATAAGATACAGATAAAGTGAAATTAGGTGTGATCATCATACATTTGAAATACTCTACCTGCTCCATAGACAACATTGGAACGAGTTACAAAAATAGTAAAGTGATCTCCTGCTCCGATCCACTTCAACTTATCTCCGTACGGAAACAATTGATGTTCACTTATCGGAGTTATTTTTACATTTACAAGACGTTCAGAGGAAGATCTACCTTCATCCGTTATTAATTGTCCATCTTGATTCTTTCCAAAGAGCCCTTTTTTATCATAAAAACAATTCCATGATGATTAATTACATATTTTGATCATATATTATTCGAACATTTGAAATATCCACACCATTTAATACCATATTTGAAACATAACCATAAAGTATGATTATTAAATTTCATGGATACAGAGGAGTCTTCATGAAATTCGGAAACCTACAGATGGTATCGGGAGAATAAAATTTGCTCGGAAAACTGCTTTTCATTTTTTTTAATCTTTTTTTGTGGAAGTGTTTGTGAATCATCAACTTTTCACAATTGGGGTTAATAGTTCATCACAGGACTAGCAATCTGTCCGTTGTTCATCATGATGTGGTAGTAGTATAGAGTTAAAGCTTATTTTGGTGGAAGATTCATGGAAAGTCTCACCTTGTTTCGAAGTGTGTGATAAAACTCATCGAGGGATGATGTTGCATGTTGAGAGTTAATAAAGGTTGCATTTTCTTGTATTGGAGTGTCAAGATCCATCGTTTCGTGTTCAACATGGTTGGATGAAGGACATGCATTTTGGTAAAATTTCTCTTCTTCTTGTCTGACAAATGCAGAAATGTTAAACTTCAATAAGGCATATTCGAATGGTGTGATTGAAGGTGTTTCACTTTTTTCATCACAGTATTCTTGATCGATGGAGGAAATGGTTTGATACTCAGAGCCATAGGTCTTGTTGAATATTGACTGATAGAGAAGAATGAGTTGACCATCTCGAATTCCCCACATCACAAACAGTGATGGTAAAATGCACATGACAATGGTCAACAGAGCAATCAAATACAAGCATGAATAATTTCCAAAAACCAACAGTATGGACGAGACAGATGGTGTGGATGATATTCCTGAAAAAGTCATGGCATTAATTGTCAAGAATGTCACAACACTAATTCCCATAATGATGTTCGAAAGTCGAAGTCTCAAAATCATGGAAGTGAGTGAAAATTTTCTCTTCTCCTTTCGGCATATTCTTGTCATTGTGTTCCAATTATAAATTAATTTCACAGTGGTCCACTGCACTGTGACTAGCACAAACATGACAAGGCTATTCAAATGTTCCACTTCACTTTTGAAACGTCCATATTTCGAAATTTCCTCAGAGGACGTATCAAGAGAGGTATATTGTCTTGCAAAACATGCACATCCTTGAGAGAATGATCCAGTACTTAGCGAGAATATTGCAATAATGGTAAATCCTTGATAAATAGCGTTTAAAAACCATAACACTAAACTTTGCTTGGTGATGGATTCACCTTTTTGGCTTGATTTGTATAGTTCTGGAATTTTCTCGAGAGCCGTGTCTGATACTTCGAACGAATGACCGTGATGCTGACTCGTGTTATTGCTTGTCTTTCTGCTTGGTGAAAGGAATTGTAAAAACTCTCCAATACTAATATCTCCCATTGAAAATGCAAATGGAAGTAAACTTGTATAAAGAATGTTATAAAATATAAGAGAATGAGATTGCAAAATTGTGCTTCCACTAAAATAGGTGAAGAACAGATTATACACCAATTGACAAGCTGCCAACACTACTGACTTGTACATGGTGTATTGTGAGACGAGGGCAAGTCTCTTGTAGCTATTTCTTCCATGAACTAAAATAAGTCGTTTCAGAGCACTAAATCTTGGAATCCCAAAGTCAGCAGCTCGTACCGCTTGTAAATTTTCATTCTCAGTATGAATTTCTTGATCAGAGGTCACCATTGCATTACTGTCATCAACAAGTCTTGCTGAACTACTGATTCCAACTCCTACATCTGCTTCTAAAATCATATTGACATCATTTCCTCCATCTCCAATAGCAAGACATATTGGTGAACTCAATGATTGCAATCTGTTGTTATGTTGTGAATCCTCGATACTGGTCACAGGGTATTTGATCATTCTGACAATTTTTCCTTTAAACTTTGGTGTCATTCTACAGCAAACACAGGCTTGAACTTGTTCACACACTCTCAAGAATAGTAACAAATTTTCTAATGACTTGATATCAGCAGGTTGTTTGTCATCATCGTTCAATATGTAATTGAGAATTTTTCCTTCAAAAATTAAACATGCAAAGAGGTGAGTACTATTACCTAACTTGGTCAACGCCTGGTGTAAACTATCTCTTACGGAAGAGACAGAAGAGCCTCTCAAATAAATCAATAAAAGATCTTCAGAAGGAACCGCTGGAATGATGTGGCATGTTTGAGCAATTTGAACTGCAGTTTCAGTCTTATCCCCAGTTAACATCCAAATCGAAATTCCAGCATCTCTTAGACTTTCGATGCATTCGGCTGCACCTTCTTGCAATTTATCTTCCATGGCTGTGGCTCCAAGCAACTGAAAATTTGTTTCAATTTCTTCAAAAATACTCTGCTCATTACTGTCGTCAGCAAGTGAAATATTTTCCATAAAAGTCGTCACTTCCTCTGAGCTAAGCTCTCGATATGCCATTAACATGACACGAAGACCTTCTTGAGAGGCTAACGATTGAATATGAGATAATGTTTTTTGTAGCAAAGCCGGATCCCTATTATCCATTCGTTCTGAGAGTACATCATCTGCTCCCTTGCACATGATAAAATACCTAGTCTCCTGAGTTTCTGCATTGTTCAATTCTTGCCGTTTTACGATAATGGACATTCTTCTTCGATCACTCGTGAAATAAAGAACCTTCAAGATACGATATTCCTCAAGCATCCATGACTGGCCTCTTGAATTTTCATCAGGATCATTATAAAATTTCAGCACGATTCTTTCTTCATCTCTATAATTGAGAACTACCCCTTGAGATGCAGCAAATTTTACAAATGCGTCCTCTTCAGGAGAGCTGGATCTGTAATGAGGCATGTATAAATTTTCAGAATTTTCACAATAGACAGTATGGCAAAGAGCCAAGTTTCGTAAAAAGTTCATTCGAATGGAGTCTTTTGAGGCAGTATTGTGAGGCCAAAGATATTGAGCGTAATTACTTGTATGGCCATTCTTAGTAAGTTTTGGTACTCGTATGACTTGTCCGTCAACAATTACTCGTGAAAGAGTTAGCAAATTTTCAGTGATGGTTCCTGTCTTGTCAGCTGTGTATTGTGTAAATTTTCAATATTCGTCTCGTGATGTTAATTATACTTACTGAATATGTATTGAATTTGTCCCAAATCTTCCGCAACAGAGGTGTTCGAACAACTTGGCATATTTCCTCTCTTGTCACTTAAGCCATAATCTTTAGCAATAAAAAACATTGAAATTATGTACTTGGTAATATCTGAGGTAATTTTGAGAGATTGTGGTATCATGAGCGAGCAAAGCATTGTAAATCTTAACGGTATGATCAAATAGGGTAAAATTGGATAGATAAAATTATGCAGAAATCTGAAAATAAATATCATATTTGTGCTCGAAGTATTAATAACGGGGAGAATTGGATACAAGTCTAATGCCAGGTAAAATGGGCTATACTGTCTCTGTAAAATGTTGTAATAATTTCCAATAATTCCAAAACTAAGACCAATCACTAATTGAACCATGAATATTCCAACGACAACATGATTAATAAAATTATCCATTTTTGTCCATTTCATTTCTGCTTCTTTTTTGTTCATTCCAATCTTGGTTTCATTTCCAGTATAGACTACAAGTGCCAAAGCATGTGCTGTGCTTTTCAAAGTGGTCCCTTGAAGAAGTAAATTGTAATAGGATAATGGGTATCTTGTAAATCCTCCTACTCTGTCAGTCACAAGCAAATCTCCTCTGAAATGATCAAGATCTGCATTCGGTAACGAGCATTCCACAATACACGAAAAATTGTTGAGAATATCAGCATAATCACTGTCTTTGTTTGAAAAGAGTTGCTGCACTTGAGGTATGGCTTTTCTTTCCTTGTAGTGTGACTCTCCATCGAGTGCTGATGTTTCAATCCATGCAATTCCTCCGGAAATGTCACTCAAAAAATCGTTCGTAGTAGAAACCACAACATCGTCCCCACTCTCTGCACGATTAATTTTCTCCTTCTTCAAAATATTGCTTGATTTCAGTAATAACATATCTGCTCTGATTTGTTCCTCCTCTTGAAGATAGACAATATCTCCAACTTGAACTTGATAAGAAGGTATGACATGAAAAGAGCCGTTTCTTATGATGGTTACCTTATTCAAGTTAATTTCTGTATCTTTTTTATATCTAAAGTAGTCATCAATGAATTCTTTGGCCACACCGACAGTGACCACTACGATGAGAGGAATCCAAGTGGTTCTGAAATGACGATATTGCAAAGTATCAAATGTCATCATGGTGTTTGGTTAGAATTTTTGTAAGCTAATACAAAATTCAACACACAAGCACACTTACATTGGATTTGTTGGGCTTGCTACTTTCCAAAATTGCAAGCATGCCAGCGCTAAAAAGTACTGATTCATTCGCAGTGAAAATTGTTCACTAATGCTCTTCCAAAAAAAATTGTACCACTTGTACTTGGTATTGCTAATCGTGTTGTCACAAAATCTAGGGTAATTACAGTTCCTTTCTCTTGAAAATAAAGTTCTTGATTTAATTCGTTCAGAGATTGTCTGAAGTGGTTCATAATTATCCGCAAACAAAAAATTCCACACCCACGTGGTTGCATGTTTCCAATATTTTTCAAAATTTCTTCTATTTTGAAAAATCCTTTTGATGTTGAAATGTTCAGCAGTGATTGATGAAACGTCATCATTGACAAAACTACTCGTGTTGAATGATCCAAAATTGTATCCTTCACAATTACAACATCGATAGATCATAGATATACTATAGAAAATAAAGTTCTTCAAGCAAAAATGTACAATAAAAGTAACAACCATATGGTATAAAATCCAAAATATGAAACTGAATATTTTCGAAACGATATTCTGATGAGAATTATAATTAAGTAGAAAATTAGCTAAATCACGTTGCTTCTGTTGTAATTGAGGAGTCAATATATGATTATAATAATGTTCATGAATAATTTGATGATTTTCAAAATTGGATGATTCAAAATTTCCATACACAATCCTAAGAGAGTTATTTCTCGGAGAATCATTAAATTCCTTCTCTGGATTACACTCAGGAAAATCATCCTGATGCAACACCGAAGGAGATGATGATGGAATGTATTCAATTTCTTCCGATGACACTGCTGAATAATAAACTTGCTGATGATTTCCGGAATGATCATTCGTGAAAGTAGCAGCATCACCATCTCCACCACGAAAAGAGTCATCTTCTTCATTTTGTGGATCCTGACCATTCACTATATTATTAGTGGAACCTCGATTCGCCAAATGAGACCTCACCGCCATCACGAGGGAATCGCTCTCCTTTTGGAATCCCATTTTTTTTTGTAATCTTTAATCACGTCCAAGAAATTGTTTCACCAATCAATTTTTAGGCGGTTGATCAAAAAATGTCTTTTTCTTCCAACTATTCCGAAGCTGCAGAAAGAAACAAGGAACCTTTACGGCAAGTGTTGAGCCAGTTCTTGAGCTCTATGGAAAAGAGTTTGCCATCATCATTATCCTCGTCATCATCATTGGATGAAAATAAAAAGAAACGAATTTTAGAAATTGCTTCCGGATATGGACAACATGTGAGCCATTTTGCACGTTCCTTTCCGAATTATGAGTTTCAACCTTCGGAATTGACTCCACAAAATTTTGAATCCATTATGGAACGATGTAAAGAGTTGAGTAATGTAAAGCCTCCCATCCTTATCGATATTAGTAAAGAGTTGGAAGAACTGATGACTTTAGAAAGTGGTGCTTTACAAACAACCTATCATTCCATCATTGCCATTAATTTATTACATATTTCACCATGGAAAACAACACCCATGCTCATAAAGAATGCAAGTCGATTATTGCAACATGATGATGATGACGATGACGATGGTGGTTATTTATTTATTTATGGACCATTTAATGTCAATCATGAATACACAAGTGAAGGAAATAAGAATTTTGATGAACATTTAAAATCAAGGTGTGAAGAATGGGGAATTCGAGATGTCCAAGATGTTGAAAAAGAAGCCCATTTATGTGGCTTTATACTATTGGAGCGCATTCCAATGCCAGCCAATAACTTTACTTTGGTGTTTAAAAAGAAATCCACCAAGCATAATGATCACTGATCGCACGGTTCAATCATTCATCATCATCATTACGAATCATTTATCAAGAAACGATTGTGAAAATGCAAGGTGTCATTCCAAATGAATTGTTTCATGAAATGTCCATTCTCCTCAAAATTCACAATTGACTCATAACTCATCATCACGTTTTTCCAAACTTGCAAGGTTTCTTTTGGAACTTGCTCCAAAAACTTTCCATCTCTTCGTGCGTACTCCCACACTCAGGACGTACTTTGAATGGACGGCATTCACTTGCATCAAAACGTTTATTTGTGAAACACACTTGGGTGTCGAATTGCATATTCAAAAGTGACACTCACTACATCGGAACAAAAAAAATTCAACAATTCAATCCAATTCAATTTCACACCAACACCCAACAACAAAAAACACCCAAACACAAATGTCTGCCTCTTCCGACAAGAAACTCTTCACTCCCATCACTTTGGGTGTCGCCGCTTCCAAATTGGAATCCTTCAAACTTCCTCGCATCACTCTTTCACACCGAGTGGTCATGGCTCCTCTCACTCGATGCCGTGCCTTGAATGGTGATTGTGAGCATACCGATTTGGGAGCCGAGTATTACTCTCAAAGAACCTCTCCAGGTGGATTAATTATTGCAGAAGCGACTCAAATTACACCACAAGGTCAAGGATATCCCTGCACTCCAGGTATTTATTCACAAGCACAAATTGAGGCATGGAAAAAGATTACGGACAGTGTTCACAAGAAGGGAGGTTTCATCTTTTTGCAATTGTGGCATGTGGGAAGACAACGATATGCCAATAGTGTGTCTTCTTCAGCAGTTGGAATTAAAAACGCCAAATCGTACAATTGGGAAACTGGTGAAAGTGTGATTCCAGAAACTCCAAAGAGTTTGACTGTGGAGGAAATTAAGGAAATTATTAAGCAATACAAGCAAGCAGCGATTAATGCAAAATTGGCTGGATTTGGTAAGTTTCAAATGGAATTTGGCAAACTCTAATTTCTTGAATTTTATTTTCACTGTTGTGTGACTATTTTTGCCATATATATTTTCACATTTCATACAACTTTACTTGAAATCATTATGAAAAATTCCACATTTCTACACTTCATCTCTATAGATGGTGTCGAATTGCATGCAGCCAATGGTTATCTTGTCGATCAATTCTTACAAGATGGCGTCAATAAGCGTACCGATCAATACGGTGGTAGCATTGAAAATCGTTTACGTTTCATGCTTGAAGCCATTCAAGCCGTCATTGAAGGTTTCGATGGAGAATCTCATCGCGTCGGAATTCGTCTCTCACCCAGTGGAAACTTTTTAGAAATTTCCGATTCAAATCCAAGCGCTCTCTTCACTGCTGCTGTGAAAGCTTTGGATGCATACGAATTGGCTTACATTCACATTGTTGAGCCACGTGTGGAGGGTGGAGCTCTCAATGACAATGGTGAAGCTGAGAAAATACCAATTATGGCCACTCGTGATTTGAAACCTCTGACAAGAAGTCCAGTAATTTCTGCAGGTGGATTTAATGCACAGACAGCATTGGAAGCTGTTGAGGAAGGAGTGACAGATATGGTTGCCTTTGGAAGATACTTTATTTCAACTCCAGATCTACCTGAGAGAATTAAGAGAGGAGTTCCATTTAACAAGTATGATCGATCGACTTTTTATGGATCAAGTGATGTGAAAACTGGATACACAGATTATCCATTTTATACTTTTTAAGGGACTTGTAAAAGGAGAAATTTCTATTATTATGGTACATCACGGTACTCGAAATTTAATTCTTTTTGGAAATGTATTAATTAAATAATAATTATAGACAATATTTAATTTTTAATATTTGGAAAAAAATGATCATCTCACAACAACCATCGTCACTTTCATTTGATCACACCGTAAACATTTTCATTGCGTTACCTCCCGAAATGATTCTTCAAATTTTTGAATTTTGTAGCGGAATGGATTTACTTCAATTATACCATACCAGTGCGAACTTGCGAAAAGAATTCATGATGGAATCTTTGGGAAAAGATGATCTTAATGAGGATTCGAATCATTTGCATGAAACTCAAACCATGAACGCGGTTTATAAAAAGGAATTAATGAAAAAAATATTACCATCTCGATCTTATTATCATCAAGCAGTATTAATGATTTCTCCTCCTGGAAATTTAATATTTAAACTCGCCTATTATGAATTATTGAAAGAACGTGCAGAGAGATCTTGTCAAATTAATCATGAAGAACCAACAACAACAACAACAACCAATTGTAACACTTTGAGTGGATTAAATTTACCATCCTTTGAAGCCAACATCAGTTTTATGAATGGATTGGGATATAAATCTGTGAAAATTGCATGTGTTGGTCCTGCAAAATGTGGTAAAACTCAATATGTGAATTGTGTCACTGGTCAATCGCCATTTGATAATGAAAAACAAGGAGTTGGAGCGTTTGTTCGAAATTTGAAAGTATATTTTCACTCATACATGTTCCAGTTAGAAATTTGGGATATTGCTCGATCGAAAGGAATGGAAAGAATTTTTATGGCCCACAGTGATTTTGTCATGTTTTGTTTTGACTTGAACAACGAACAAAGTTTTTTCGAAATGTGTAAAATGATCGAAGAATGGATGATTGATCGATTTGCAAGTTTTCGTACGTGTGAATTGAACGATCACCTGCATGAAAATAGAATGTACGTGTGCATCATTGGAATGAAGAATGATTTGTCACGAAAAGTGTCCAATGAAACGATTCTGCAATGGTTGAATTCATTTAACTTGGAGGATTATACGAAAAGTACTTCCATGCGAGGTTTACGAATACAATATTTTGAATTAAGCACAAAGAATAATCGGAGAATGTATCTTCCACTGTTTCACATGTTGAGAGCCATGGAAAATGACATTGCATAACCGTATTCATGATCGCAACAATTCCAGCAAATTCTATCAGAATGCAACATCAATGTAGTTTATATCAGTGTGATGTTGTAACATGTTAATTCCTGTCGAAGGCAGCCTGAGTGGCAGCTATTCTTCCAAATACCACGCATTCCAACAAGCTATTGCCTGCAAGTCGATTCTTTCCGTGACAACCTCCTGTCACTTCACCTGCTGCATAGAGATTGCCAATCACTTCATTGGTTTCGTGTGTTTTTCTTCGAAGTACCTGTGCGTTGGAATTAAACAAGAGTCCTCCTTGAGTGTAGTGAATGGCAGGTGTAATTCGAGCCATATAAATTGGAACTGCCTTATTTTCTTCCAAGTTGAACTTGGATGGGAATACACTCTTTCCGAATGTATCCTTAAAATTCACGTTCGACCTTCTTGAATCAACAAAGTCATCATAATCCAAAATGGTTTCTTCGAGATTGGTACAAAAAGTGAGAGAAATGTGTTCCTTCTCACATAAATCCGTCAAATTATCATACTTTCGAATAAGACCTTTTTTCACATAAAAAGAAGTCAAACTTTCACCAAAAGATGTCATAACAAAATCATTCATGATCATGTAAGCAGTCACATGAGGATAAGGTGACTCCTTTCCACAATGTTCAAAGATGGAATCTGACACTTCATCCCTCGTCCCCAATTCATTGATAAATCTCTTTCCTTCTTGATTGACAATAATAGCTCCATAACCTCTCAAAGATTCTGGAGCAAGAATGAGTGTCATTGCTGTTGGATCATTTGGATCTAGAAATGCAGTTGGATGTATTTGGATTTCTGCCATATCAATCAACGAGGCATTCACATCTCGAATAGCCATCTTGATACCATCACCATTCGCCCACATTCCATTCGTGGAAGGCAATGATGAAGTATGAGGAGCGTATTGCTTGAGGAAACCGTCTCGGTCTTGTCCATATCCGCCTGTGGTCAATATAACAGCATCCGCCATGATGTCTTGTGTGGTGTTTTCCTTAATGTTTAAAACACGAACTCCTTTAACAAGTGTTATTGGTTCAGAATTTGCAGTCGTGTTGTTGTCGTTACTGTTGCCTTGAGTTGATTTGAGTAACTCAATGGCGTTATGACCCAATTTGACTGTCACACGATCCTTCATTGAATCGGTAATAAATGCAGCAAGTTTAGAAATAATTTCTGAGCCAACATTGATTGGTTTGTCAGATTTGTTAAGACTTCTGTGAGTTCTTGGCTTTGAATGGCCTCCACATTGTGAAATAATATCCAAATTCACGCCATATTCTTGCAAAAATTGATAAGCAGCTTTTGAGTTCTTAATTAAAGTTTCTAAAAGTTTCCACGAATTTTCGGTAATTAAAATGTCTTCTCCTTCAATCTTTTTTCGATTCTTTGGATTTCTAATGATTCTTCGAGCCTCCTTGAGGGTAGAAAGAACTTTTCCTCCTGTAAATGATTTGATGGTATCGTTCCAAAAGTGAGCATAGGTATCAAATACCATAGCAAGTTTTTGGGCTTTGGTTCCAAGCGCATTCATTCCACTTGTGGCTTTTGCACTGTTTCCACCAAGGCGCATCTCCTTCTCAATTAATATGACATTTTGATCGTAGGTAGAAGCTGCCTCAATTGTGGCAGCTAATCCAGCTAATCCACCTCCCACGACTACAATTGTTTTCCTTGGTTTTTTCAAGTTCTCATTAGATTCAAACTTTAAAACATTCTTTGAAATAAATTCAATCGCTGTCTTGTAGTGTGTTTTGAACAGTTGAAAATGTGTTGTGTTTTGCACAACAGTCACAGTACATTGAGAATTCAATTCTTTTTGGCAAAATTGTTCAATGAATGCGTTCGAAGCTTGAACAGGCACAACCACATCATCACTTGACGTAGCAATAAATAGTTTTGTGTTCTTGAGTGGAGATTGTAAATCAATTTTGGAAGTTGGAAAATTCTCAGTGAAATAGTACGAATTAATTATTTCTACCATGGTGGTGAGAGTTGTGAATCTATAGGAATCAATGAGAGTGTTGTTAAAAACTTTTTTCCAGCCATTGGCTTCATCTTCAAATAAAAAGGCATCTCTTCCAAGAGGATCAAGAAGTGGTTGCATATTACTTTCCCAATAGTTGATATTTGTAATCATTCCTAGCTGTGAAAGAATTTTGTAAATTGAATACACAATATTTGTTCCAAGAGGTGGTTTGTAATTGTTCAATGAGAAAAAGAAGCGCAACGAAGATGTCCATCTCTTTTCAATTGGTTCGCTTGAATTTTGATCCTTCAAAAGTGCTTCCTTAACGCTCTCGCTATAATAACCCTGTGGAGATATAAAGGCAACATTATCAATGGTCACATCTTGCCACGTCCATTCATTGTTAACAGTAACATTGAACACACTGTTCTCATATTGCCAATATTTGTCGCTGTCTTTTGAGAGGAGAATTTTCATCAGCAAATCATTGTTGAATGTTTCTGTGAATTTTTGATGGGGAACTGCTCGAAATATTTTCTCTCCTCTTTCTTGCTTTTTTAATTGGTCTAAATAAAAGGATAACATGTACGCATGCGGCGTTCCTTGGGAGAACGCAAGCACAGAAAAACGTTTCAATCTTAATTTTCTCACTACATATAACAAATCGAGAGCTGCTGCTTCATAATAATTTACAGCAAGTGGTTCCAAATTATAAACTGGAGTACCATCTGATTGAATAGAGGAGATGACAGGACTAGTTTGACCCACTCCAGGCCGATCGACACTTAATACTCGCAATTTCTTGTCTCCTCCAAAACTTCGTATCATGTGATGATCTATTGGATGTCTCCAACGACGAGATCCTGGCATCCCATGTATTTGGAAAATTGTATAAATATTATTGTCTTCTAATTTTCATTTGGAAAAGCATTTCACAATCATCGTAAATGTGTAATAACATGAATGTCCAATTAATGTTGATCATGTTTGTCAAAAAGAATATTATTATATTATTACAATAACAACATGTATTAATCGAAAGCCAAGATTAAATAATTTCATCACCACACACAATTAAAAATTATTTAAATCATCAACATCTACATACCATCACTCACTCGTGTGGTTGAATTGATCGTTCCAATCTCATCAAAAGCTATCATTCTCAACACTTTAGGTTGTACAAGTTTTTTACTTCCTTTTCCGAGAGTCGTACCCGCAGGCATTGGCCTCTTTGGAATGGTACTCTCATCAATAATCGAGAAAAATCGTAAATCCTCATCGGAATTCAAACTCATTTCATCTAAATGTTTAGTATTGGCTGGTGGAGATCTCTCCAAAAAGAAATAAATATGAACAATCACAAAACATGAGACAAAGGTTGAAACAATGCCCAATTTGGCAAGAGTGAGCAGTGATTGCAAAAATCCCATTTTTTTAATCCATTAAGAAGAACCCATTCCACAACAACAACAACAACTATTATGGATCATCATCTATGCATGAAATAGTACTATTTTCAATAGTTTTTGAAATAATCTCAGTCATCTTATTGCAGATCCAGGAACGAGTGTTGATGATCCCATATTTTATAGTGATCTGGTGGAGCCTTTCCTTCCTCAACATAATAATATCCCTCCGCTCCGTATGCCTCTCGTAAGTGATGTCGATCCACCACTCGACAATACACCGCATGATGAAATATAAAATTATTACCCATTCCATTCAAACTTTCCCGACCGATTTCATTGAGTAATTTCCGAGCTTGTTTTTCAGTGAGATACACCTCCATCGTTTGTAGAACAATATCAATCTTTCGGGCAGTAATATCTTTCATTTGTTTGACCAACTTGATCAAGACTTGAAATTCTGCATCATTAGAAAAGGTAGGTGTTGGCGGAACATATTTAGGTGGTTGGGGTTTTACTTGAGGAATTTCCTTCTTGACGATGGTTCTGTGACAAGAGGAACAATAGCCTTCAAATTGATCATTTCCAAAGAAACCGCAATTGGCTTTGCATTGGGACATTTTTTTCAACTTTGGAATTGAAATTTCAATTTTGTCGCACTAGAGATTACCAGTCCCTCTGGGAATTGGCTTGATCAAGCGAAGGTGCAAGGAAAATGATGTTTTGTAAACTTCTGTTCTAATTTGTATTCATTTTCCAGAGTAGTGTTAGTTCACAGTTCAACTTCGTCTTCCAAGAACAACAAATTTTTTTTATGATTCTTTGAATTTGTGGATCATTTGTTCAATCTTTTGCTTCGTTTCAGCACTTAATTTTTCCAACATAGAGGGATGGTTTCGTTAGTATTCCATCAAACGCAAGGTTTCCAACATTCCTCTGTCAACTCCTTCTTTTTGATATTCATCACATGATTTGAAAGATTTTCTCCTGACATGACATTTCGTCACGTATTGATACATTTCCAAACTTTCTGCATGGGTTTTACAAATAGGACATTCTTTGAGTGTGTCTGAAGGTTTAAACTTGGAAGGAACATTAAGAAAGATATTCTTCTCATTGAAATCCAATTTTGAGATTCTTTGACATTTGACACTGCCACATCCACATCATTGTCAAGATTCATTAATTCCTCATCAAGAGCCTTTTCTCCAACCACCACTCACCACCTGCGAATGGATGTGCATAAAGAACACACTCCTGACACACAGCAATGGTAACATGGAATGAATTGAAAAGTTGGTTCATTCTCTTGACAAATCACACAGACAGAACTCTTCAGATCGGAAGGAGTGTGATAAATGTTATTGATGACGAAAGGAATCGAACAATGAGAATGTTTGGTGTTTGACGGAATGTTTGTGCTTTGCTTCCTCTCAATCTAAGGAAAGGAGAGCTCACAACTATTCGAATGATCATTGTGAGATGATTTGGAAATATGTTCACACACAAACACACAGTGAGACAGACACTTAAACAACTTACCTCTGCCTCAAGAGAATTCAATTCTTCTTGTAATGATTTTTTACGATTCATTAACTGCTGCAAATTCATCTAGGCGATCGACAAGGAACGAAGTGGTGATGGACTAAAAGTATTCAGGAAGGAACTACCATTGCTTTGAGGAATGTTTCTCATCACACGAGATGCAACAATTTCCTCGACAGAAATGCTCGCTGTTTCTAGAATGACTAAAACAAACTTGATGAAAAAGAAAAGTTGGAAAACAAGATACAATACATATCTGAATCCAGAAAATTCAATCTGATATGAATATATAATGTACATGATGAGAAAATCGGATGGAAATGAAAACCACAAGAGTAGATATTGGAAGAATGTGAAATAACCACTCAATAACAAGGTAAGATTTGGAAAGAAGGCGTAAAAGAAGAGCTTCCAATAGGGAACGTATGAAGTTCTTTCGGTCTCTGTGTGAACGATCTCTTCTCCCATCAAGAAGGATTTGAAGATTACAAAAAATGTGAACAGAGTGATGGGATTTAGAAGGATGGAGATTAGTTCGATCTTTCGGTTGCGTTGATCAAGCTCTGAGCGACGTATACCCTGAAGGGAAAAGAGCGAGTCCTCCTTTACCATAAGATGAGGTATCATCAAGTGCAACATTTTTTGTGGGTGAGAAAGAATAGTTGACAAGAGAAATCATCATGCTCTGTGAATCAAACAATAATTGGGAATTAATTGTTACTCGTGAGGATGAAATTGTAGGATCCAATTTGTTCTTTGATGCCATCATTTCGTGATTCATGTATTCAATACAACGCAAGAAAAGGTTGCAAGGTCTCCACATAATTATCTCGATCATTTAATTAAATGTTCTCCATTTCTGAGAGAGCTGCCAGAGTTGTACCACAATACTTTGAAACATTCTCATTGAATGGAGAGTTGAGATGATCCTTATACAATACAGGTGCCTGATTTCCAATTCCAAATGAATAAGGTTGTACTCCAAAAGTGAAATTAGCTCCTGACGGATAACTCAACACAACCTTCTCTGGTGCATGCATCGGGTTACATGCTAACACGTTATGAGACCACAAGGGTTGAGTGACTAAATTTGTGATAAATTCTGGAGTGCAGTGCATGAGTTTGATGCATTGATTGAATGGGCTGGTACGCAAAACGCTAGTACTTGTTTTTGTTAAAGGATTGAATCCTGTTTTGTGATGTTTGATTTTCTTGATAAACGTTCCATATTTGAATTCATTGGGAAAATCTGCCCATCTCACTCCAACTTTTTTTTCTATCATTTCCACAACCTCTCCTGCTGAAAGGTTGTCCATTTTCGTTTGATCAAAATATTTACTTCCCAATATGGTCTTGCTATTTCTGACACAATCGTGTTGTCTCCATAAAATATATTCTACAGCATGAGATATCGAAGGTACTTGGTAGACACGACCATCAAAGTGCCCATCAATGTAACCATCAAGAAGTTTTTGTCGAGTCTCTCTTCTAAGCTCTAGATCTGATGGTTTGAGAATCTTTTTGGAATGAGATTTCAAATGCTTACTATCGTATTCAATTCTCTTTTCAAAACTTTCATAATTATTTGCCAATAGTTTGCGGAGGTAGTGATTAAATCCTACCGTCATAAAACTAGTACATATACTGACTAGTTTTTGTATACGACCATTATAGAGGCTAGGATATGAAAGGCTTTTTTCGTTTTTGGAAGCGAATAACATTGTAATTTCATCGGAACATATGTAAATCAATGTAGGAGCAAGGGTAATTCCTTTCGTACAAAAATCTCGTACAGCAAGCATCATGGCCCAATGAATATTGGCATCAAATGGTTTTTCAAATATATCTGCATTTGAAGTGAATGATTTAAAGTGAAATCCATCAAATCTCATAATTATGGGTTGCTTGTCAAGTATCTCAAAATTAACTTTAGGTTCATATTGAGCCTCTATATACTTGAGTCTGTCGGAAATCGCTCGGAAATCAATAGCATCTGTTTCATCATCTCCCAAAGTCGCTTGCCTGGTATTTCTATTTGTTGAGGCATCTTCATCATTTTGTCGGAAACTAAAATTTCTATGTGTTGTTGTTGATCCGAATATATGGTGGTGGTTATTGTGGTTATTGTGGTTGTTGTTTTCCACAAATAATGTTTTTCCATTGGTGCAAAAATTTCGTAATGGGAGAGAAGATAATAAATTCGTTCGGTTCGTAGTAACAGTTGTGAAGGTAGTAGCAATCATGCTTGTCAGGACTTGTTTTGTTGTTAAATGTTTCACCCGATTGTAATGAAGAAAATTGAATTTGTGCATTTTTTTTGTTTCCAAAAATGATTGATTTTTTTATGGATGTTATCAACACAAATGACGACCCTCAAATCATCATCATTCATTGAGGATCATCATCGATAACGATTGGTGTTGGGTTGATATTGAGAAAGATTAGCATATCCTTCAGAAGTGGCTAGGACATTTTGTTGTTCCTTTCCAAGTTTGGAGGTCTTACAGACTGGACACTTGAAATTAGAGTCAAATTTCTTCCAGGCATTAAGACATTCCTCATGCACATTGTGTCCACACACCAAACAAAAGTCTGTCTTTTCTTTTCCACTTTTGAATTCTTCGTAACAAATTGGGCAGTGAGCTATAATGAGTGTTTTTCTCTGACTACCAATTTAAAATTATTACTTTCACATACCTTTGCTTCAAGGCTCTTTGGATACGATCCAAAATTTTTGAGCTACATTGAGAGACAAATCTAGATTTTCTTTTTTCTCCCGAACTCTCGGCTAATTGCATAAGTGTGTTGTCAGCAAGTGTTTGCTCCGAATTGGTTGGTTGAGAAGGTATTGAAGAAGATTGTGACGGAAAAGGAGATGATTGCGACAATGGAGTAAACGGAGATCCAATGGGAGAACCAAAAGGTGATCCTAATGGTGATGAGGCCGGAGTGGTAGCCGTAAGAGGTGACGATGAAACATTGTGTGCAGTCTGAGAGGATTCTGTTTTGGCTTCCTTTTCTTTCTTTTTGGATTTTCGAGGTGTCTTGGTGGGAGTTGAAGGAGGTGTTGAATGGTCCACAAATGTGAATTCTGTTTTCGTGGGTGTTGACCCACTCGTCGAAGGAGTAGAAATAACTGCATTCCCATTATTATTAGAAGATGAAGTTGGTGTTGAGGCTGTAGAATTGCTTGGGGATTCTTTCGCTTTCTTAGCTGCTTCCTTTTCCAATTTTCGTTGTTTTCTTGCAATTTCTGCATTATGTAACGACATTGGCCCAGCAGGTGATGTCAGTAAAAGAGATGCAAAAGGTGCACTTGCTGTAATGGGAGGAGAGAAGAGAGTTGGTGATTGTTCTTGTGATGATAAATTTTGTGGAACTCTGTTGTGCCTGATGCATGGTTGTCATAAATGAAACTGGATCAATACCATGTTGCTGAGCTGCAAGAGTAACTGCAGAGGGAAGATTATTTGCAAGACTTGTCTGAAAAACTCCTCCTTGCTGTTGTGATGGTAGTGTTGATGATGATGGCGGTGTACTTGGGGGTGACATGCAATTTTGAGCTAATTGGTTGTTGCCACCTGAATGATGATTAAGACTTGGGCTGTTTTGTTTTGTGTTGAGCTTTTTTGGTGGTGTCATGGTTGATGAAGACGATGCTCCAACAAACTCCACATCATCGTCCACATCCAACACTTCGACAGATTCTTCTTTCACAAATTCCGAATGAGATCGTTTAAGAGTATTGGAAGGAGGAGTAGTGGCTGGTGTTGTCAGTCGTGAAGAAGTCGTTGATGATGAACTTGAAGAGTTTCTTCTTGAAAACCAACACCACTGGAGGTTAGTGGTGGAGGACTCATTGTATTATTATTATTGAATGAAGAATTGTTTTGTTGTTGTTGTGGTTGTGTTATCACTGGTCCACCCGATGAGGATGATGAGGCTAATGATGATGATGAGGAAGTATTAAATTGGTTGAGCCGCAACACCCGAACGAGAGAAGCTAATTGCTGCGTGGAGAAATCTTCCAAACCTTTCGTGATATTAAATTCTCGTTTAAAACTTCCATAAATGACCGATCCACAATGGAGAGTTCTTGGTGGTGGTTGAGGAGGAGGAGGAGGGTGAAGAAGAAGCACCAACATTTGGATTCGGGTGATTCATCATGATGAAAACAAAAACCGTTACAAACAGATTTAAATATTTTTTGAATTAAAATTTTTAAATGTGTTTTCAAGAAAAAAAATTATGTTTTCATCGTCAATGATGATTCTTGCACTGTTTTCCGTTGTGGCAGCTTGAAGAACAACTTTGATTTGCTTTTTGCATGGACAACTCCTTTGACAATTACCCTTCCAAGTACACATACCAACGACTCCATTGCCAGCAAGTCTATCAACGAATCGTGAATCAGTAGAAAGACGATCAGTAGAAACAAAGTCTGGAGTTTGTATTTTTGGTTTTGATTGAATGTTGTGTTGTGGTGGGTCGGGAACGACCATTGTTATTTTCAAGGGTGTATCGAGTTTAGAGGTGTAATTAATGTATTTGTTATGGATATAGCTTTCGATTCTGCTAAAGGAAGCTCGGCAGACCCAATTTCCTGATGATATATTTAGAGATGTTTATGCTGTTGCATATAGAGCTCCTGTTTCAGTTAACTGGTATGCTACACCCCAATTTCCAGGTGAATGGGTCGAATTGCAAACACTACAAGTGAAGCCATTCCGAGCAGCTTTTGTTGTTGTTGCTGAATGAAGAATCATCTATCGATTGTTTTTTTTATGAATTAAGTGTAACGGTTTTCATTGGCGGCAAATGAGAAATTAAGATAATTAATCTTTTGACGTCTGTTCTTTCGGTTCTTTCTCATGATCCACTTCACCCCAGCACTGATCAGCACTGATCAGCACTGATTGGATCTCCTTATTAATAAAGCTGATCTTTGCCTCGGAGTTTATTTGTAGACCGTGACCCGCCAACGTTTTATTTAGTGGTTTGCACAAAAAAATGTATCGAGGTGATCGAAGGATTGGTTCCATCACGAACCCCTTTGCGAAAGTGAAACACTTTTCATCATCCAATATTAATACTTCTCCAGATCCCAATCGGATCACATGGGATGATTTAATGACCGATGAATATTTTAATGCGGTGAAAGAGGAATACACTTCTAGCAAGCATCAGCCTTTCCATGAACAACCATTGGGTTTCAATCCGAATGAGCCAATCGTTTGGATCGATATTGAAACATCGGGACTTGATATCAACAAGGACAAAATCTTGGAAATTTCTTGCGTGATTACTGACAGTAATTTAAATTTAATTTCGGAACATGAGAGTATGGTCATTAATTATCCTGAAGAATTTATTAACAAGAATTTCTCAGAGTGGTGTAAGAAACAACACATGTTGAGCGGTCTTACTGATGATGTTCGTACATCCACATTGACCATCAAAGATGCCGAAATTAATTTGGTCAAGTTTTTGAATCGTTTCACTAGGAAATTACAAACTAATTTAGCAGGAAATTCAATTCACTTTGATAAGCAATTTTTGCAGAAAGAGATGCCACTCGTAGACTCTATTTTTCCTCACAGACTTATTGATGTGAGCAGTTTTGGAGAGTTATGTAAGCGTTGGAATCCTCAACTCTATGCTCAGAGGCCAGCCAAAGTAAAGTTGCATCGTTCCAGAGCAGATATTTATGAAAGCATTCGAGAAATGATGTTTTATAGAAAGTATATCTTTTCCAATTTACTAAGAAAGTAGTACTAGATGTTTCCTTTGACAATAATGGTTTGGACAACACAAATAAAGCAAGAGGGTTTGATGTCAAAACCATTAGATGCACTGTGTTTAATTTCATCTCATAAATACACTACAAAATATTTTGTAGTAAAAACACAAACATGCAACTATTAGTAAAGGTAGAAAGTGACTTGAACACCGTTTTTGGTTTTGCGTTGTTGCTTGTAGCATTAATTGTCTGAAGATGGATAACATATAGGTCAAAGATCACCATCATATATGTTGACATTTACAATTCATGCACTGCTGTAATGATCCGTTTTTAAGCATTACTCTTTGTTTTGGTTATTTCTAGCACGTTGAGTTTTTCTCTTATCTTTTCTCAAGTATGGATGTCTATACCTGGATGCAATAAATCTTTGATCCACTTCTAATCTTCTCTCAATTTCCTTATCATAAATAGATACAACTTGTTCTTCTCCAGCAACAAAGCTCATTAGTGACGAAAATGTTGAAGTCACTTTGGTCGTGTTGACCGATGATAATGATGTATATCCTCTACCAGATGCTGGAATTGGTGAAGAAGGAGAGTCAACATTCGTATCGGTCACTTCCATTTCGAGAGTGTCCTGAGAGGTCAAGAGGTCATCTTGGAACTGATTGCTAGAATTGAGTGAAACCACTAACATGTCCATTTCTGCCTTGGACATTCGTGATCGTGCAAAACGAACGATCAAATAAAATATAAACATGGTTGGTAAATAGAAGAGCCATGTGGACCACAATGTTGCGAGTGTGGGGATCATGAAAATTAATAAAATAGGATAAACAGAGAGGTAGTAGACTAATTGGTCTGCAGTGATTCTCATAATCGTGCCATCACTATCTGGTGCTTTCTCATAGAAATACATGATGAGGTACTTGTCCATAAAATAGGTCACAATTAAATAGAACAATCCAAAGAGGAACATTAAGGGAACGGCACTTCCGTAAATAAGAGTAAGCATCATGATTGCTGTTTTCACACCAATGTTCGCATCGTAATCGAAAGGTAGACGTTCCAATTCCTTTCTTCCATTTCCATTGTCACTAAATCTGTATTTGATCATCATGACGATGAAAATAAAAGAATATTCGAGAGTCTTGGCAATAGAACATAATGCCATAATAAGTGTCGCAACTTCAGTACCAATATAATTGAAAAAGTATGCATAATTGTTGAATGGAAAGTAAGCATTCATTGCAACTCCCCAAACGGCCTTCACCCATCTCACAAAGAATGGAAATGCAGCAATCGATAAACAAATGAAAAACATGGATTTCCTTAATACAGTCTTTCTTCGTGAGGTTCTTGATGGATGTCTCTCAAAATCGGTCAAAACTTCGATGATAGGTTTGACAATTTCGTTGGCGAGCGAAATAACTTCTGGTAGTAAATCTGCCAGTGCCATCAATATTAAGGCAGCCGTATCAGCACCAATAATAGAATCAGATGGGACGGCATAATCTTTGATTTGTGAAATATTCTGACCCTTATACCAATAGTACCATGAAACAGTTGTCATGAGCGAGTAAATAACCAGCAACACAACAGTAATAATGAAAGATGAGGTTACCGATCGGAACCAACGATTGGTGCTCGAGACATTCAAGTTTTCAAATAAAATATCGTCCGCTTCTGGTGCTCGCTCAATACCACCGTATGGCCAACCTGCTGGAATGCAGCACCACCAAGGAATTGAAAAACCACAACAACAAGGAATGTCACGATGTTCATTGAGACACTTTTTTGCTGCCTCCATTGAAGAAAAGGTGACGAATGCATAACCGGTTCCATGAAGCGTGCGTGAGGGATTCGTCCGCAAGTCGTGAATCTTTTTGTTGATTTCATCAAGAGCCTTTGAGTAATGATCGATGGCGTCAACTTTTGATCCTAAAATCCCTAAAAAGCCACGAATTTTGATGGTTGGACGACGAGATGTTTTTTCGTATTGTTTTTCAGCACCTCTTAGCAAAATTTCAATTTCTTCTTTTTTCTCATCTAGTTCGCTCAATTCATTCAAATCGAGCGCAACATGAGCATCTACTACATTGTTTTCGCCATATCTTCGCTTGAAATCTTCCAAGATTCGTTTTCTATCTCTGATATTCTTTGATACTCCATTTACCATAACAGTGTATAAACTTCCAATGTTGTTTCTTGATTTTATCAATTGTCGACTTAATCGATGAAGCCCGTAGATAAAAACGAGGCCAATGATTGGAAATGAGATTGTGACCAAAAAGAATACATAAATCTTGTCGTTCTGCTTAATGTTCATCTGTGCAATGGTAGTAGAAGAAAAGTCACCAAACGAAACATTATTATCGGTAGTGGATAGATAGGTTGGCAACAGGAATCCACATGCAATTACTCCACAAACAAATAAATAAATTATTAAATACTTGCTGAACCACAAGTAATAATATACATCCGTTCCACATTGCTGAACTAGTTGCGTGTCAGATGCGAAAAATATGGATTTGAGAATGGTAAGCGGATTGTAGAATCGAGAGGCATGTTGTAATCTACTCTTTAGGTCTGTGAATTTCTCTTCATCGGCAACCTCTTCATCGTTTGAAAAGGAATTGGTCTCACGATGATTGACGGGTTTTTTAAAAGGTGTTTCTCCAAAGAAGTTTCTTCTGTGTTTATAAATTAGAAAATCTTCATACTCCTTCTTTTTCTTCTTGTAGTCGTCTTTGTCTTTTCCTATTGCTGAAAATTCTGCATGAATATCATCATAGTAGTGATCTTCTGCTTCATCAACAAGTAAAAGGCCTCTATTATGTTTTGTGATTGCAAATTTGTTGACGCAGCACAATGATGGAATTGAGAGAATAATGATGCAAAGAATCACAAGTGGCAATCCAACAAAAACATGGGGACCGGAGAATGAAAATTTGTAATCCGGATCTAAGGTGATATTGAACGAGTTCGATGTTTAAAAAACGATTAAATATCAGTGTAATTGGTAATTGAAACATACCGATATACACGTCATAAGTGGTCGTGTTAAATGAACATTGATAGGAGTATGAGGAGGCTGATTTTGACGTGTCATTAATATTTTCAACTCTTCTAATCACAGAAAATCCAATTCTATAATATCGATTTGGCTCTTGCACAGCAGTAGAAATATCTGCAAATTTGATTAAACGGTATTGATTGAATGATTGCTCCGTGTTACTGTCATCTTGATACTTGATCAATGTTTTATGGTCGGTATGAAAATTGTATGAAAAGAACAATCCAGGTTTTTTGCTGATTTCTGGATTTCCGTCACTTCTCGATTGCAACGTCGATACATAGAATGCGCCTACTGCAAAATTGCGCTTGGAGGAGTCATATAAATCGTACACATATTGGAATGGATCTTGCTTGCTTGATAACAAGCCCACAATGGGTTGTTGTGTCATGGGGACGACGAAATTTCGTAGAACCTTTTCAGATGACCTCAATACCTCAACTGTTTTGTTCAATATTAACAAAATAATATAATGGTAGATCATACGTTATTAATCAATGGTCCAAATATAACAATTTCAAGTTCAGTAAATGATTATCAAACGAAAGATATGAATGTTCCACGAAGATTCTATATCAACCATACCTCTAAATGAAGGACAATCTTGCACTTGAGTAATAATTCCTCGTTGACAATGTTCTGGAATTGCCTCAACGTTTTGAAACCCAGCATCGGGTACATCGTGCGAAACAAACCAAGTCACATTGAAGGGTTGTCTCGATATGCACTCCTCCACAGAGGATGCACAAAATTGTTCCAAAGCACACCACACTGAGTTTCCAAAGAGAATTCAAAAGATGGCGTATTAAGATCTCCTTTAAGTGCCAAATTGATCGGACAAGCACCAACTACAAACCTTTCTTGTTTCCAATACAATTCACACATGATGGCTCTATAAAATTAGTAAATTCATCAAGATTTTGATTTTGAGCGTGTGGTGTGATTTTTCTCGGACTCTTCATCACTTTTGCCGAGACCATAGATGATGAGAAAGGCTCATCACGACTGATCAGCAGATTCATACTCAACAACACAATCAACAACAAAAGGAAGAGTCCATCTTTAAAAATACAACATCTCTTCGGAATGTAATTGGTCAAAAAAGAAGACATGAAGATCAATCTAGAGAATGGATGATATTTTTTTTTTACAAAGAATAACCTTTTAAATTCCAACTCTATTCCAATTCGTCGACGAAAGACTTTTGATTGCATTTTGATGAAGGAAAGTCATAGGCATGATAGAAGAAGGTCATAAAAAACGAGATCTGTAATTTGTTGTTGGTCGGATAGGCCCCTTATTATGGGAGTGTTGTGTTGTTGCATCTTAAGATAACTTTGGTGGTTTATTCCATCATAAATGGAGTCTTGATGAGACTAAGAAATTGTCCTTTCGATCATTTATCCGTTCGATTTGTTCTAATGTGACGAAATATATCAAGAGGCTATTCTTATGCATGCATCTTAATATTTCTTATTGGATTTACATCTTGAGGATGAAAAGTTACGATTAAGATCATCACTAAACAGTTAAGAGACAAGGAGAAACACTTCTGGTCAATCACCTCTTGAGAATGATGATGGTCTCTCCAAAAGAAACCTCGGAGGAAAAAAATCCAACGGTGACTGGCCTAGAGTTTACAACAACAACACTTTCGAAAAAAAATGCAAGATAATTTGTGCGAATCTATTTCATCCTCCATGATTCTCTCCGATCATTACCTCTATCTCGACGGTGAGAGTCTCACCTGTGAGGATTTATACAGAATCGGCTATGAACCTCATTTGAAAATTGCTCTCACACAACAAGCCAAAGACCGTATCATAGAGGCTCGAAAAATTGTGGATAACATCATCCACACGAATCAAGTCAAGTACGGAATCAATACAGGATTTGGTCATTTTGCTACCACTGTGATTGCAAAGGAAGATATTGAAGATTTACAAAAGAATTTAATTCGCTCGCATGCAGCTGGTGTTGGAGAGTATTTGCCTTTGGAGAGAGCGAAAATGTTGTTGGCGTTGCGGATCAATGTGCTGGCAAAAGGCTTCTCGGGAATTCGATTGGAAACGGTTGAAAGATTGGTGAAGGCTTTTAATGCTGGATGCATTTCAGCAGTTCCTTGCAAGGGAAGGTTCGTAGAATTTGTGAGTAATTTGATTTGAAGAGTTTTTATTGAATATGATGATGATGATGCTATTACAATATTTGTATTGTATTATCTGATATGAATGAATCTCAATCATGGATGATGTCATGATGGGTTTTAACAATAATCATACCTTTTTAAAATCATTCCTATGACTTTTCATTGACTTTTTCAATGATTTTAATGAACACTCTTCATCCTAATGATGATGATCTTGAATTCTTTCTAGTGTCGGAGCAAGTGGAGATTTGGCACCTCTCGCCCACATGGCACTCGGAATGATGGGTGAAGGAATGATGTACAATCCTTCCACCAAGACCTATGAAGATGCAGGCAAAGTTCTCAAAGAACACGGATTGGAACCTATTGAAGTGCATGCCAAGGAAGGATTGGCACTCATTAATGGTACACAATTTATTTGTGCATTGGGAACAGATGCCTTGGTTCGTTCCATTAATTTAGTACGAATGGCTGATGTTGTGGGAGCAATGACTTTGGAGGCACTTAGAGGTTCGTTTAAAGCCTTTGATGCGAGAATTCACACAGCAAGACGTCACGGTGGACAACAAAAAGTTGCTGGAAGAATGAGACATTTGCTCTTCGCTGAAAAGGGTATGTAGTGAGTAATAATCATCATTGATAACCAATTTGAATAATTGACATGTATGGTGGTCATTAATGGCACTTGCCATCATGGAATGTTACATGTTACAATCCAAAAATGTGTAATTGTGTTCATATTTTGCCAATTTCGGTCACTTTAGTGGAAAATGAGAAGAGAGTTTTTGAAATTTCAGAGATTTCAGCCAGTCATTGGAATTGTTCTCGAGTGCAAGATGCCTATACTTTGAGATGTATTCCACAAGTGCATGGTGTTGTCAATGACACTGTTGAATTTTGCAGAAGTGTTATGGAAAATGAGTTGAATGCAGCCACAGATAATCCAATGGTATTTATTGATCCAAGTGGAAGTAAAGTTCCAAACTCACGACACATCCATTTTGAAGACCACGAAGATTTCCATTCGCATCTGCATCACTACACAACAGCTGACGAAAATGACGAACAAATTGTGAGCGGAGGTAATTTCCACGGCGAATATCCAGCCAAGATTATGGATTATTTGGGAATTGCAATTACTGAACTTGCAAACATTAGTGAGAGACGAGTTGCTCGTTTGATTGATGGTAACTTGAGTGGTTTACCTGCATTTTTGGTTAAAGAAGGTGGTCTAAACAGTGGATTCATGATTGCTCATTGTACAGCCAGTGCCTTGACAAGTGAAAACAAAGTTTTGGCTCACCCAAGTTCCAATGACACTCTTTCCACATCTGCTGCCAAAGAAGATCACGTCTCTATGGGACCATTTGCAAGTATGAAGTGTTTAGACATTGTTAAAAATGTCGAATATGTTTTGGCCATTGAATTGATGTGTGCTTGTCAAGGTATCGATTTATTACGTCCACTCAAGACCACACCAATTCTCGAAAAGGTCTACGAACTTGTGAGATCAGAGGTTCCACCCTATGAGAAGGACAGATTTTTGTCGCCAGATATTGAGAAAATTTGTCATTTAATTAGAACTGGTAAGGTTTGGCAAGTCATTAAGGGTGACATTCCTCCTGAACTGCATTAGAGAAATTTTGAAATGCTTTTCTCATGACATAAACGTCATGTAAACTCATTTACGTAAGAGAGATAATTTCACATCAATGAAATAGTACAATTTTGAAAAATCATCAAAAATATGTCTGTGAGAAATCTCTTTTCATTACCCAAAATACTTTCTTGTTGCCGACATGCAAACGCATTCTCTCCTTTTCAAATAATTTTCACGGCATGACACAAATTGTACATAAATGGTCAATTCAAATAGTGATTGTCATACCTTCTCAATTTAACACACCTCCTGTCAACTGCCAAAAAAACAAACAAAAAAAAATGTCTCCTTCTTCCTCTGCCTCTTCTCCATCGTTATGGACTCGTTTCATCAACTACATCACATCATGGCTCTCATTCGTTGTAGAATTCATTTGCTCCCTCTATCGAGATGAATTACAACGACAATCACGCCAAAGTGATGACTATCATCGATGGAGGCAACATCAAGAAATGATGAAAGAACAAGAACAACCCTTCATGATGATGACCACTTCGACCACACCAATCCTAACATCCTCATCACCCATTGGAGAAGATGAAGAAAATATTTTGGGACATTATTCACAATCGAGTCATTGTCCTCTAGAAACAACTGCCATTCTTCCGACGAGTGAATCATCTGTAAATAATATTATTACTCCTACGAATAGAATCACAACAGTCTCATCACCTTTCTCCAATTCAATCACGAATGAATCCGTTGAAGCTGTCAAGCAACAACAACAACAAGAATCAGAAATCATTTCTGAACAAAGTCCACTTTTAAAGTCCTCTCAGAAAGAAACTTCTCCTCAAAAACAAATGACACCATTAAACAAGGAAGAGATGATTCGCAACAAAACTTCTACTCCTCCTCAAAAACAACAAACGAGTTCTGTAAACAAATCCAATTCGACCACACCTGTTCTTTCTAAAGTGTCACCCAATGTAAAATCATCAACCATGACAAAGGAATCTGGTGTCACTTCGCCCTCGGAGGCCTCTGGATTGATTGGAGAACGATTGAAATTGAAGAAGACCATGAAAAACAAGTTACTCTCTCAGAATGCTTACAATTCCCTTGTTAAGAACAGCAAACAACAACAGCAACAATCAGGAGAGGAATCTGGAAGTCACTCAACACAAAATACAAGTTCCGATGCATTGGATTCTTCAGAAATTATTGCACAAAAGAATTCACAAATTCTTAAAAGAAAGTTGAGCTCAAAACCATCTTTCACACGACGAAGACCAACCACCACTCAACACAATGGACAGCAAGAGAAAAAACCAAGTATTGAAATTCTGTCCAAGTTGGAGAATGAGTCATCGATTGACTTGCCAAGTGTTGAAAAATTCGCACATTTGGAAGAACAAGCTCAATTGGAAAAGAAGTTGGGAACAGAAACTGCCATGAAGCAGCAACAAGAAAAGAAGAGAAGTGATGACATAGAGGTGAACAACTCCAAGAGCCCTTCTTCAAAGAGCAACACAAAGGGACCTCAGGTTTCGTTGGCAGCAATTTTAGGTGCAAAAAATTCCCTTAGAAAAACTCAATAAATATGATGTCAAACTTTTAAACAATGAAATCCTACAGGATTGATATCTTCGATTACTTTTGTAATAATAACAAATCAGTCAGTGATTTATTTTAATCAAAACAAAAGAGATGCATATCCTCACAATGGGATAATTCTTCACATCTATTATTTGCGTTTCAAGCGAATAAGGTCAACTTGAATTTGTTGAGATTTCTTTTTGTGGAATGAATAACTTGCTTCTAAATCATAATTCAACTCTGCAACCACTTTTACATCAAAGCCCCACTTGGCAGCTTTTTGGGTCACAAACTTTGAGTTCAAAATGGATTTCATTTGGCAGGCCAATAACAATTAATAATTGATATTAAAACATGATGAATCATGTCGGATAATAATAAATTGGAATCAACAAGTAAAGGCCTACTTACCTCACGAGTGGTAGTTTTGTGAAGGCTGTAAACAGCATTTTTCGTGAGCTCAGAGGCAACTTTTAAAAACATCATATCGGTTCCTTTGATTCTAGTTCCGAATGGTGGATTTAACAGAACTGTATCAAATATTCTATATTCTTCTTCCTCTGTTGTTCCTTTTTGCAAGGCTAATTTTTTGGCTCTAAGTTTTAGCATTCGTTCAAATTGAAAGACATCACTTTGAATAAGATCAAGACGGTAAGTGAAATGTGGTACCAAATCCTCATCCACATCTTCAATAATTCCATCAATGTTTTCACTGCATATCCTCAACGCATCGTCATCAATATCTACACCTGTGACATGCTTTGCTCCCAATAAACAAGCCCCAAGACCAAGCATTCCTGAAAATTCATTTTGGAATTCCAAATTTTTAGGAAAGATGAAACAATGTAAATTTGTGTCATTGACCAAATTATTATCATGTCAATAAATCCAAAATTAATTTGAATATCCAATCCGACAATGTCATGTTCAACAAAGGGCCCTTTCAATCCATCCGAGATACACCGAATCATCATCAGCTAACCTACCAGTGCCAATGCCCAAATCCAAAACCTCCTTTCCTTCAATATCATCAAACGAAAATTGTGCTGTGTACAAGGTATGAGAAGCCAAATGCGGTGTTGTAATATATTGTTCCAACTTGATTTTCGGCTTTTCAAAATTTTGAATGTGTTCCTGAAGAAAGGCCTCAAGTTCCCATAATTTCATTTTTTATTAAATTCTTTTCATCAAAAAACCAATCAAAGAGGAAAGATAAAGGAGATTGATTTGGCTTCTTGGAATGAACATTTCACAGATTCATGTGTTGTTGTTTACAAACAACCCATTCAACCCCATAACTTTATTAAGCGAGTAGTATTGTTTTAATCAATTTCAGGCTTGTGTCCTTCCTTGACAACAGAAAAAGTGTTGTTTTCAATGAACGATTGAATGTTGACAAAGAGGCCATTATGTTGTTCAATGATTTTCTCCACCCATTCAAGGTTCAAATTGGAAGATGAGACCAATCCAACTCTACTGATGACTGTGTTTTTAAAACATTCCTTGTAGAACATAATTTGTCGTTCTAATTGTAACATTTTTGTCAACAATTTCTCATCATTGCTAAATGACGAAATAGTCGCTTCATAAATTTCAACATTTCCGTTTTCTTTGTGTTTCTTAATGAAATTAATTTCAATTTCTTCCGCATCCAAATTCAATTTTGCAGCATTCTCAACACTAATTTTCTTATTCAAACAAAGTACTGTGAGATAGGCTGAATACTTATGATTTTTGATTCGAGTACTTGCAAATGAATCAGGATGATCAGTTTTCTTCAACACAACTGGATTTTCAGTTATAAAGTCGTCATCTTTTTGAAACTGAAGTTTCACTTGACCTTCGTACAAACAACCAATGTTTGTATTAATAATTCTCAAGTCCTCACGGATGTTGGCCTCCATTTTGTTCATTTGCGCCACTAAATCTGTTTTCAAGAGTTGCATTTGTTGAGAGAAATCTGTTTTCAAGAGTTGCATTTGTTGAGGCAAATCAGAAAGTGCAAAAAACAAACTAGCCATCACCTGATGGTCGTTGTTGACTAAGGCATTGTATATTTGATCGGCCGTCATTCTTTCAACAGCCGTAGTCTTGAATTCATCAGAAATAATGTTGTCGTTGGATGTTTCAACGTTAGAAGGTTGTTGTGGAGAAGGTGATGTTGTTGGAGTCTCCACTTTCTCGGATGATGAATTAGTAGCCGTTGCAACCTTGCTGTTGTTGGATGGTTGAGGAGTGGAGGATTTTGGAGGTATTGCTTTTTTTTTTGATGATTTGGTCTTTGGTTTGCCCTCATCCTTATGTTCCATCAATAAGGATTGATAATGTTTGGCCAATAGTTCATTGTACTCTTGAGCCACTTCCTCACGAGTGTTGTAAAGTGTGGTCATTGCACGTTCTCCAATATGGACAATCCTTAACGAGTTAATAGGAGAGTTTTGGTCCAACAGAGCACTCCAAATCTTAAAGGTCTTTGATTTCTCATAGAACCTCATAAACCCATCCGGACCAGCACAAAGAGCAAGGGACATTATTGCTGGAGTTAATTTCATCCCTTTTTTCTCAAGATTCTCCTTAATGTCTGAAGCTTTTGAAACGAGTTTTTCAACATTTTCAACTTTGAATTCAGAAAATACTTCATCAACAAACTTGTCGACGGGTTTATCTTTCATAATACTTTTGAGCATCATGTCGTTCAGTTCTTTTTCCATCTAGATGATTCTCAATAGGAGAGAGAGATATTTTGCTTAATTCGCCCCGAAAGGATTTTTGAAAGTGGTCTTTCTTTAGGAAATTGAATAAGGTCCTAAGAGAGATACCTTAATTTTTTTTTTGAACGTTCTTCATGAAACGTTTTTGTTTCAAATATTGTCGGTTTTAATCCCAAATTTTTTTCATATGAACAATCATATTGGAGTGAGTAAAGAGATCTTGTTTTGAATTAGTACTCATTAGGTCTTTTCTTCCAACAGAGCCGGCATCCATGTTGATGGAGCCATTAGAGAAAATCTCTCCTCATCGATTTGATTGTTTTTGTTTGAAATTTAAAAAAAATGATTCCTCCTTCTGGGTCTTCTTCTTCACTGGGTTTGACTCCGACTCCATCATCATTGAATTTATCGGAGGGCGGTGGTCAGGGAGCTGATGATGAGGGAATGATGAGAACAACCTATGGATCGTCTTCTTTTTTTGATTCCCATCTGCTAAATTTTCCATCGTCCGCGGATGTGTATCATCATTATAACAAGAGAATCAAAACATCATCACTTGATGACGATTTCGATTATGAAGCCTTTCCTATGGATACGACCACACAACATCAAATGTACAAGAGAAGCGTTGTTTCTCCTTTTTTAATTTATTTACTCAAAGGAAGTGGAATTGTTTTAGATTTTCCAGATAGAGTACTCTTCGGAGAACCAAATTCACACCCTTCTTCAACATCAGCTTTACTGGGTCCTACAGTCAACACTGCTCTTATCGAATATTTAAAGCATGAGGGACAGGTTGATATGAAACAATATTTACCTGCTTTTCTTTCACTCTTTTTTCAATGTATCAAAGAGCAATCAAATCATTTTTCATCGATTGCTACTTTCTCAAAAATTAAATCCACGGATGAATTACTCGCTGAAGACATGGAACATCAACAAGAGACGAAAGACATTTTTATGTTTGCATTTAGAAAAACAAATTTTTCTCCTGTTGCTGCAAGCAATGTAACGGACCAACCTAATGAGGTCGATATTGTTTTGGATTTTCTACATGACTTGATTACACACGAATATATGGGAGCAATGAGTAGTACAGCCCATTTTGTGCTTACAGAGTTAATAAGGATCATGAATGAACTTCCCAAATCTATTAAGCTCGATTATGATATTGAAATATGCAAAAGATACCTCTCTTTTATTAATGACATTTTAAAGAGTATATGTACTTACAGTATTCGATTTGCAAGTCCTTCATCTTCAAGCAGAGGCAAGAATGAAGAGATAATTTTAGAGACATTAATAACACTCTTCAGAGTTATGGTAATGTTCCTAAGTACAAACAATAGAAGCTGTACTGGACGTGATGAAGAGCTTAAAGTTATTGTGAACGACTTGATATTTAGGGTTGCCAGCATGATTCCGTTTTACAAGTTAATGACAATGGTATATTCAATGACAAATCAATTCTCGTCGACTCAAATACCTCTTTCCATAATTCAAGATTTGAAAGTTAAGAAACAAAAACTCGACAAGATTTTAAGTTTTTCATGTGAAAACTCACAGGCATTGATATTCCTTCAACACATACCTGTTTACCATCCAAATGTTAATACCTACGTGATCGAAGGAGTTGAACACGATGTTAACTTTAAATTTAGCTCATCCATTCCCAAACGTGGTTCCTCGGAATGGATACGACGAGTTCAAAAGTTATGTAGTGCTCTCTCGCAACACATTCATCCCGACACTTTTGAATTAATTGTGAAGGGAGAGAGATCAGTGAAAGCATCTGACGATCAAAAGAAAAAAAAGTACAAGTTTAACTTTACCTCAGACATGATTCATGAAGCAATGGTTCTTCGAATTCTTCAATTGCTAGACGAAAAGGAGACATATCCGTGTCAATATGAAACAATGTTTTCTGATGTGTCAAAAAAGCATTTTGGGAAAATGGATTCTCCTTGCAAATCAACTTGATGCTCTAATTTCTAGAAGCAAACCAGTCATCAATATGAAAATGATTTTCTTTGGAGAGACTGAACTTGCAGATGCCACTACTCTTCATTTCAAGGGCAACTATTTGAATTTCTCCAAAGAAAGTTCATCCAGCGAAGCGACGTATCAAATATTGAGCTTGAGAAAATGTGTAGAATTATTTGGAGATCATATGAAAGACCACAACCTTGTTTGGTTGTTACTTCAAATAGTAATGACTAAAAGAACAAGATTTGATGGTGATCCATTGCTCATTCGTGAATTTATCAAGCTCGTGAGCGAGTTGAGGTACAAAAATTTTGCAACATGGCATCCATTTGAGGAGAACTTGCTTCAATCGCATACACATATGATTCAGTTGCGATTAAGGGAAGCTCTTGTCGAGCAAGATATTCAAATAGAACAATCTTCCATGAGCTTTGTCAAAGAGATGGACACCTGGTTCAAGGAGACCGCAATCAACTATCACAATCCAGATGAAAATACTTTGAAAAATATTTTCTTATTATCTAACTATTTAATAAGACCACTTGGGCAAAGCATGTACAATTATCTCATGTCAAACTCTGAAGATGAACCTGTAAGAACGATTCCCCACGATGCAACTGATATACATTATGAGTTTACAGGAAAAAGAAAACCCTTGAGCGTGAACCTTATTCTTGTTATTTCTGTTATGGCAAGAAGAAAATTGTTTGGCTCTATATTAGAGTTGTTGCGCTCCAAGCAGATAAAGAATGTAAATAGCAATGAGCATTTCCCCCCAGGAATAATTGAAACCCTTGCTAGAGCATTGTATTGCACTCCAGTGAACTTGAATGAAACATTGGGAGAGCTCAAGATTAACAATTTTTTAATTGTAGAGTTGTTAAACTTTAGACTGATCAGATTACTGAAATATTGCTCACCAGAGAACTTTTTCACTCTATTTATGACTCTGCATACTCAAGTAGGATCTTCTAAGGAAAGTGGATCTCACAGATTATTTTTAATTCTAGAAAATTTGGGTGTCAAAATGACAACCTATCTACTGAACGACTTTAAACGCATGGAAAAGCTTGTGGATAAGCATTTAGGCGAAAATACGAGTATTTCAGAGACTTTAAAGAGAAATTTGTTATTCTCGTTCATTCGAAACTTTAAGCTTTCGTGGAAGCAAGACAAACATGAAAAAACTCTTCGGGTGTCCTGCTTCAACAAGATTGTATCACACTGTATGAAAGTTATGGAGGATTTTGGAAAACTCAACAGCAAACATCGGCTCTATCCTGAACTCGTAAAGAAGATGGTGGATCACTTTCTTTCCAAAAAGACTGAACAAACAGAAAGCCCTCCATATGATAAGGACACTATATCAAAAATTGAAAAGCAATTGGACGCCAAAAATCTTCAAGAAATCGTTCAAGAAAACAATAGAAATCTATTGTGTGCTATATGGTCTCGAATGTACAACTTACTGCCAAAGCAGCCAAGCAATGAGGAGGTGAAGTTTTGGAAAAAGGTGTTACTTGAGACTCATACACCAAAAGAATTGGTCAACAATATTTATCGATTTGTGGATTACATTTTAGATGAATATTTGGTAGAAGGTGAAAATAACACTGGTGAGACAATTTATCTCGTTATGCAACGTGTCTCTCAACACTTGGCTAAGTTTGTTTGGACTTATGAATTTGTTCCAATAGAAATAATGACATTGGCATTAATGGATAGATCAAAGGCTAAAAACACTTCCTTGGGAACTCCAAATAGTAATATTGAACACATATATGCCCATTCCGTATTGCTTTCAATTTTGATTACTGACGAAATATGTCTTGCAAAGCGTGCGAATTGCTTTTTACGCCATAACAAGCATCCAAACCATTTCGAAGATCCAGACTATTTTGATTCTCATCAGAAATATCATGCAGAATTTCCTGAAACATTTGGTGCATCCTCTCTCAGTGAATCCCAGTCCAGGCCTTGCTATTATGGAAATGAATGCCTTCGAATGATTCCTATACTTGACTTGTTTTGCAGAAGATTGTGTGAACTTCAACTGTTTGATACTCTTCAAACCGTTCTAGAGACTTATGGCGATTTATTTCTTTATCATGAATTCCTTCTCACATTCGTAAAGGATATTTTATTTACTTTCCATCATGAGATTACAATGGATTGCAAGAAACTTCTCTTCAATATTGTACGAAAAAGCGAAGATTACACTCTACGAGACATGAATGCTTCATTTTCCAAGACTGCAAAAGATTACTTTTTACTTCAACCGTCAGAAGCGATGACCCCCAACACATCACAATCAGATATCTTTGACAGAACATATTTTTTGAAATTAATTACATGTGTTTCTGAAGTTCTTCCGACCATTCAAGAATCCAGAGCCAATCATACATACATCACACCAAAGCACGTTTTTTATGAATTTACTACTACTTTTGAATTGAGATTGAATGCCTGTGTGATTGAAATTCTTTGTCTTCCTCTCGGGCTAACAGATATTGTCAAAAAATTAATCGAATGCTTGATAGAAAATATGGATCTCCTACCAAGACCACAACTCTACAAATTATCACACACGATTGGACTCATCTTGGCATCTTTGCCACCAACATGCGGAGACTATGTGTTCGCCATTCTGGCAGAATTTTTATCAAAGAATCCTCATTTACTTTTAATTAATGATTTGGAAAATAAGCACGAACTACAATCGATCAAGTCTCCTGCAGAATGTATGCTATGTATTCTACATAATTATTTACACACTGCCACCAACGAAGCATTTTCGTGTTTCAAAAAGTTCTTAAAGCAACGTAGAAAGAGTGAAAAATGTAAAATTGAAACACGAGAACAATTTTACTTTTTATGCAGAGTCATTGGTCCATTCATCACACCATTAGCTCAGTTAGCACAATCTTCTTCACTCAGCAGCAGTTCATCCTCTGAGAAACCTGTAAACGTTCCACATTCCGAATTGTCTGCACTCGAGGTTTGCTTTACTGAAATTGTAATGTTATTTTTGAGCATTGAGTGGGATGTTAGTCCTGAAATAAGACCTGTCAAGAAGCGAAAGTATTCTAGTCTCCTCAGCACTCTATTCCAACAAAATGATGGTAATGAGATTGAAGATGAGATGGTTGAACAGATTTTCTACTTTTTCCAACATGTATTTCATCTCCTCTATCCCTCTGGGCAAGCTTTGAAAAACGCACTCTCTTGGAAGCATAATTTTATTTCCATTTTCAATGAGGAGATTGAGAAGTGCACCAATGCTGCTTTAAAACAGAGGCTGAAGATGTTCTTTACTGCCAAAGATATCGATTGAAAAATTAATAATAGTAAATAATATTTAAATTATTTTCTCCGGATATATATGCATAATATTGCTATTTGTGATGAGGTATGAGATTAGTCTTTTGTTCAAAAAATTCTATTTCTGGACTGTTCCCCAATGATGATTTGTTGGACATGATCTTTGTTTTAAGGTATTGTGAATTTTTCAAACTTGCCAGATTGAGTTTTTTCGTATTATTTTGAAACTCAATACTGCCTTCATTCTCAACAACAAAATAATGGTAAACATCTTTACCATTTTGCACGACTTGTTTGGCCATAAGGTCATAAAAAGCTTCCCAATCAATTCTTGAAATGGAAAAATAGATTAAATAGTCTAATAGATTGCAAGAGTTAGAACTAACACAACTCGAGGGGCGCGAAACATAGCTGAATAAATTAACGTTAAAAGTCAACACTAAATATTTCAACGCTTGAAACAAAAAGCTTTTGGATTGTTTTTTCGACATTCGAAAGCAATCTGACCGAAATAATCTTGACATGGTGACATGTACTAATTGTTCAATCTGTTGAACATTTCCTTGGTAAATTTTTTCAATCAATTCTATAGAATCAGTAGTAAAATCCAAGCTAAAAAAGAGAAGTGGTGCTATAAATGGTTCTCCAATGCAAACATTAAATTTCTTTTGCATATAACGTAATATTTTGTGCTTGTTCCAAAATTTAGAATATGGGTGCGTCGAGTCATCGTACGAATTTAAAAATTGGTTCATGATTGATTGATCGAATAGAGGTTTTCCCAATTTTTTTTCTAGAATTTCTGTAAGCATATCGATATTTTGAATGTCATCGGTCCACAGAGCTTGTTTAAATAAATATATGATCGTATTTTTTCGAATCGAGTCTGTCTTGGGAGATTCCTTAAAGTGATGTGCAAGTTGCTTAAATTGTTCAAATGAAAAGCACGTAATATTGTCGAATAATAGGTGTGTGACGTCTTTTCCACAATACGTGGTATTGATAAATTTGTCAAGTGTCAACTCATCAACCACATGATACTTCATGGCTCGGAGAGAACATTCCAATAACTCTTCAGACTTGACAAGATCGTTTTTGAACAATTCAAATACTCGAATAATTTCATCATCGAGTCCATTGCAAGCTTTTTCACATGCCCATTTCAATACATAATTACAAATATGGTGATCCACAAGTAGAAAGTTTTTAAACATTCCAAGCGCACGTTGTTTGTGACATTCAACCACTCGTCGAACATCTAAGATGAATACATCATCCTCTTGTCGTAATAAAAGTTTTTTCTTCTTATTTTCCAATCTTTTTACATGTCTTTGAATTCTAGCTTTTTCCGAAATGATAAATCTATTAAATTTCTTGATCACATTCGGTGGGATAAATGTTGATGATGATAATGATTGAATAGGAATGGGTTCTAAACATTCCAAATATTTCCAAAAATAACTTTTTAATTTATCCATCCAAAATTCATTCCAAAACAAGTGTTGATGATGAATGGTTGTCGTCTTTACTGTCGTATTGACGGAATGTTGAGAGGATGATGATGAACAAGAAATGTCCTTATTGGTGGGTTCGGAAAGTAAATAATCATCAAGGGCTGAATTCCATTCTCGACTCACCAATCGAAAGGATGAGAGAGAGGACAAGTTCAAATATAATGCCACGAGAAACAAGACATCTCTGCAGAGAGGATACATTTTTTTGTCGAAATAAAACTTGCTTTTGTAAAACGAACGAATTTTCGAATTCATGGTTTTTCAAGAATGTCAATCTAGAAATGCTTTTCATTTGAAAGAACTCCTCCACTAAATTCATTCAACCAATTCGTAGTTGTTCCGTCTTTTCCAAAAGAACTACCTCTACTACATCTTTAAAAAATCTAAATAAACATAATCCATTGCTTGGATATTTTACTTGAGTGATAAATTCCCTATCGATTTCCTTATCATTTCTGAACTCTTCAGTCGCCAAGGCACTTCCAAATGATTTCTCTCTTTTAACATGTCTGGACCTAGATTACACACTTCATTTTGTTTAACAGCTGTCAGTGCTGCCAATGCCACCTCTTGATCGTTTTGGGAAAATCTGCTCTGATGATTCCTCCACAGAGTTGAATAATTGGAATTTGGAAAGTCTATCATCTCACCGAAAAATTATGAAAGATTCACTGCGAACTTGTCAGCACTTCTAGAGCCAACATGACATCTGCAAATGAAACCAATCATCATAAGTGAACCTCCAAAATATACATTCACAACAAATACTATTGGTATTGGCGCCCAAATGCCTACAAATTTCCCTCCTTTTTTCACTTACCCAAACTATTAAAATAATTGCCATCACGTCGACGACGACGACGACAAAGACAATACATTCATCATCAGAGGGTCTTCTGGAATAGGATGAATCGAAAGAGCCTTGATCGATCGAACCCAAATAATTCTTCCAAATTATTCCTTTCGAATTCGTTCGGAAGATCGCAAATACAACATCATGCAGAAAGTGAAGCCGCAAATTTGGAAGGAAGAACAAACGCAACAAAAAATCAATCCTCCTCACGTTCGAACAATGAAGGAGAGGAAGAGTATACGGACTCTCCGATGATGGGTGCAATTTCATCCACCTCGAATTCATCATCAATCTTTAACACGCTTCGCGAAATGCAAGCCGAGATGAAGAATTTATCAACGAAGGAACAAGAATTATTTCTTTCTTCGCATGATGAAAATAGTGATATGAGTATTCTTGTCGATGATCATCAACAACAACATGAGGATGACCATGAAGAGGTCAATCGCAAATGTAAAACAGGAACAACTTTTGAAGAAAATGACGACATTCAATTAACGGACGTGGAAGAACATCATACTGCACTTCAACAAGCGAAAAAAGCTCTTTCTGCCATCAACTCATCAGCCCTTTCTTTCAATCCAGTTCATCAACTATTGGAAAAACATCGAAGAGAAAACGAGCAAAGGAGGCGACAAGGATCGACGCCTTTTGTGTTGGAATCGGTGATGCCATGTTGCTCCGATGATGAATCCACACAGGTTGACCTCTCCGATGTTTCTTCTGACAATGAAACAGCAGTAGACCATTTAAGAGAGCATGAAACAGAGGCAACCAATACTTCAACAATCGATACTAGTAACAAACAGGTCGAAACGACTAAAATGTCATCAGCAAAGCTGCAAGAACCAATGAGACCTAAGAGTGTCACCACCACAACTACTCTCTCAAAATCTTTATCAAATTCATCACGAAAACCTCAATCACAAATTACTACTACTGCAATTCAAACAACGAACACTCAAAGTCGTTCTAGCTCTCCTAAAATTCCATCCACCTCAAAATCTAGGTTTCCATCAACCCATCAACACCATCAACACTCTGAAGAAGAACGTATAAAGCTCGAAAAGAAAAAGAGAGATCTTGAAAAAGATGTCTTGCTCAAAGATTCAGAAAGAAGAATTGCATCCCTCACTCGAAAACTTACAGAATATGAAGAGCTATTTCGAACACAAGAAGAAAAAGCTCGATTAGCTGAAAAAGAAAAAGATATTGAGCTAAAAGCTCTTCGTGACCTCTACGAAGAAAAGTGGCTAGAATTTAAAAACAAAGAAAAAGATTGGGATGAGAAAATCTCTGCTCTCATATCCGAGTCGAGTGAATTGAGTATTAAAATCAAGAAGCAAAATGAACAACTCATTCAATTGCGGCAAAAACTACAAACCAAGACGGATGAAACACAGCAATTACAAAAAGCATTTAAAGAAAAGGAAAATGAATGGAAGGAAAAAGAAAAAACATATTTAAACATTCAAAAGAGATACAATGAGCTTCTTTCTCATTCTAGGGATATTAAAAAGCATTCTGAACAAGTGAATGCAGAAATGAATGACCTTAAAAAGGCAAATGAAGAATTTGGACAAAAACTTTCAGATTTGACAAAACTTCACGCTTCTAAAGTGAAAGAAATGAAGGAGAAAATTGAACAATTGAATGAACAGTAAGTTGAAATTGATCTTGAATTTGTAAATATGTAACGTGTCATAGATCTTGTCAACAAAATGAGACCATCAAAATGCTCAACAAAAAACTGGAGGAAGAACGAAAAAATTATTACCAAAAAGAGGAGAAAATTATTGAGCTAGAAAAGGAGTCACACGACGTCATGAGAAATTATCAAGAGCTTAGAGAAACACTTTTAGCAGTCAATAAGGAAAAAGAGAATCTTCTACTGAACGAAGAAACCAAATTTAAAGAACTAGTAGAAAGTGAAGCTCGATTAAGACAGGAAAAAAAGGAAGCAGATGCTCGAATTTCGGAATACGAAGCTAAATTTTTGAATTTGAAAAAAACAGTCGAAGAACAATTGGAACAATACAAATCAAAATACGAAGAAGAAAAAAAGAGATCAAAAAAGTATCAAGTTATTACAGAAAAACAAAAAAAGAAATTTTCAGAAGAGTACGAAAAACTCAAAAGAACAAATCATGAAACGAGAAAAAATGTTCGACGAGAAAATACAAGAATTGAAAAAACTATTAGAACATGAACGAAAGGAAAATGAGAGACTCGAACGAAGGTGTGAACATTTGGAAAGTATAAAAAGTGTCATGACCTCGTCTCCTCCAATGACTGCTCATTTGAGATTTAACAACAACGCCATGGAAAATGTTGCGAATGCAAATGCCACTTCTGTGAAGCAACAAGTGAGCGTCTCGAACAATAATTCACATACGGAGAGTATGAATCCAAATAGAGAAACCGTGGACAGTATTAAGCCGTTATTTCGTCAAGTAGAAATGATACAACAACCTCAATGTGTCACTTGTACAAATCAAAATGAGGATGAAAGAAGTACCGACGACGATGATGGTTCGACCTCTAGTTCATCTGATTGTGAATCTTCGTGTAGTACTTTGAAAAAAAAGAGAAGACGACGAGTGAAGCGAGGGGTTGAACCTCGAAATGTGATTGTTGATGCAGCAAATGGACATGCATCGCGATCTTCTGTCACAACTGGAAACAAATCTGCTACTCAAGAAAACAAGGAAACGACGAGTGAGGGAAGGGACACGTTTAATGCTTCTTCTACGGTCGTTGTGAGGAGGAAACAACCTGAGCCAGCAAAAGAGACATCCAGTTGCGACAATTCCATACTGGAGGATCAGCATTCGGCACCTGAAACAGATATTTCAGAAGCTCCTTCTATTGGAAAACTGAAAGATTTCGCCAAACTACAAGAAGAATGCAACAATGAATTCAAAGATTATACACAAAAGATGAAAGCCCTTGTTAAAGATATAAGTATGCACGGAAAAGAGTTGGTGGAATTGAGATCCGCCGTAAAGCACATTGAAAAGCGAGAAAGCAAAAAGGAAGGGGCAGCCACAACGGCGTTAACCAAGTCCAAAACTGCAAGCAACGCCACTGTGAAGAAAAAGAGGGTTTTAAAGTCTGCCTCGCCCCTCAAAAAAAAGTAACAAACCGTCAAACCGTATCGAGAAAGAGAATGAATGAACTGAATTATATTATTATTGAATCATCGCCATAATATCTGAGACAGTCACAACTTGGCACAAAGGATGTTGTTTGATATACTCTTTCAATTGAACGGTTTCTTGATCCTCAATTTCTTCATCCTTAATGACATTGCTGTCATTAGTAGCCAAAGAAAATGGATGACTGACAATAATCATGTCTAAATTAGTTACTGAATTTACAACAATACCTCCATTAATTGTGATTAACCGTTTCAATTTCTTATCATTCTTATTTTCCATACCATACAGATAGATATTCAAGGATTCGAGTGGATCATCCTTCGCGTCCAGTGCTTTGTTTGATGCTGGTTGTTGCGGAGAAGGGGAATTATCAAGTGGAGGAGTGACAGGAGCACTTGTTTGGCGCTTGGTGGATGGTAACAACACCTTCTTGGGTTGTTTCAGATTATTGCTATTGGCATTTCTATCAAAATAGTAAACAAAAGTCTTGATTCCTGCTTTCAGTAAACACTTTTTAAGAATTCTTTCAGTCGAATACCAATCAAATCCTTGCAATCCAAATCCAATTCGCGGCATGTGAACTGTTGCATTATTAGTCACTGCAGCATAGGCAACTTTGTGGAGAGCAACCTCAAGGGCATTGGTTAACAAAGGACCATGACCCTTTGATTTCTCATAATGTTGTGCAATTACATTCACAACATAGGTGGAACCATGTTTGCTCTTCTTGAGTGGAATGAGTTGTGCGTCGCCAAGAGAAATTTCCCCTTGTTCAATAGCATTCTCATAAATGACTTTTGGTTTGTCTGAATATTTGGTAATAATTTGTTTTGAAATTCCTGCGGTTGGATATTGACCAAAATCAGAAATGCAGCTATATAGTTTGAACATTAATTTCGAACGAAAATTTCGAAAAAAAAAACTATACACACATAATACATACTTGATAATAAACCGAGCTCCAGAACTTTCATATCTTTCCGGTGAAGTGACATCTCCTTTGACATAGTGAATTTCATTACTATTAAGTGTTGGAGAGGTTGGTTCTTCATCTTCTTGGTTAAATTCTTTTCCATCAAATATAATTCAAGATCCCAATCTTCTGGAATTGTAATGCTATGTGGGTCATACTCGTCATAATCACTTTCATCTTCCTCGTTTTGAACTTTTCGTTTCTTTCTTGATTTTTTAGTTGCAGATCGAGTTCTTCTGGAAATTGGAATTGATTTTTCTTCATCTTTTCCAGAGGAGTATGATTGTAACAAATTGTTGTCCTCGCTACTGGAAGATGATGATATCACTTCTTTTTTCCTCTTTTTAGCACAAGTTTTCTTTCCTCCTTTTCTATCAGTAGATTGTGCTGATGTTAGTTGTGATAGATCCAACCCAACTTCTTCCAAAATATTCTTCAAGACTTGGACATCCTTTTCATTGGTCTGTGTCTCTCCAATGGGTTTTGAAGAAATAATTTTGGAGGGTTTTTGTTGATAATCAACACCTTCATACATGTAGATGGATTCGGTATTGGTTTCTCCATTGTTATTAAACGATTCGGCTGCCTCATCCAATGTAAGACTAAGTCTTCCTGAAGAATGGGCTGAATTTTTGTCATCCAGTAGGTCATCGATTGAAAGTTCCAATAGTGCTTGATCCACATCATGATCATCCTCAGTGGAAGATGAATTCATGATTTTGTGAAGTCCAAATGTTAACATTTCAATAATAGTGTCCGTGGATAACTTGTCATCAGAGTTGGACTCGAATGAATTCGAGGCAGCAGATGCAGTGTCTACAGTATTGACTGAGAGGGTAATCTTTTTCATGGATCGTCTCAAAATTACCTCCTCTACTGTATTCTCTGTCACTAACCGATAAACTGACACAGGTTTATCTTGCCCAATTCTATGACATCTGGATTGAGCTTGAAAATCAAGCTGAGGATTCATATCCATATCGGTAAATATAACTGTGTCTGCACTTGTCAAATTCAGTCCAACACCACCAGCTCTTGTTGATAATAGAAAGGCAAATACATCATTATCAGAAAAGTTGGCAATGGCATTAAATCGTTCCTCTCCTCTAACGCTTCCATCCAGTCTCTCATAATTCCATTTTCTGAAATGAAAATAATCTTGCAAGATATCTAACATTGAGGTCATTTGAGAAAAGATCAATAGACGATGGCCTTCTTTCTTGAGCTTCTTCAACAGCTTGTCAAGTATTATCATTTTTCCACTATTATTGACAATGTGTTCACCTTCCACAAATGGTTCTGGTTCTGCTCCTTCAAATAAGTATGGATGATTGCAGCATTTTCTTAAACTCATGAGAATGTTGTTCAGACCTTTGACATTCTTTTTTCCAATTGTTTGTCTATCTTTGAGGAGGAATGATTTGTAGTACTTTTTTTGCATGCTTGTTAAACGTGTATAAATAATGTGTTCCTTCTTTGGTGGAAGGTCATCCTTCAACACTTGATTTTTAGTACGTCTCAGTAAAAATGGTTTTAGCATGAGGTGGAAATTTTTTCGAACTTGATCTGCGTCAACAGAAAGCACATCATCGGACTCATCCAAGCTTGGCTGAGTTGCCGAAACACTCTTCTTGAGTCGTGATTTTGATAAAAAGCATTGTTGAGGAAACCAGCTTTCGAATGTATCATAGTCATGATCAAAGAACTGAGGAGCAGCAAAATGAAGTAAGGCCCATAATTCATGCATTGAGTTCATCAACGGAGTGCCACTCATTAGAATAGCTCTTTCCCAGTTATAAACCTGTTGAAGCATTTTGTACAGTTGAGATTTAGGATTCTTGAGTCTATGAGCCTCATCTATGCACAATAATTTGTAGTTGAATTGTCCAAGAAAATTTTCATCATTCAGTATCATTTCATATGATGTAACAACCACATCAAAAGGAACATTTCCTGAATTTTCAAAATCTCCTTCAACATTGGTTTGTAATTTTGAGCGTTCTTCTTGAGTTCCAATATATCTCAATATTTTGATATTGTCACCACCAAATTTTTTAAACTCCAAACACCAATTCTCAACAAGTGACAGAGGAGTGACAATTAAAAAAGGTTTTCTTTCAATGTTTGGCGATGCGTCCGTTAGCTCCATAACATATGCTATGAATGCAATCACTTGCACAGTCTAAAGTATTTTAAATTAATGATAGTGATAATCATTGTGGTCAATCATCAATGTATGAGATCAAAACATTCATCAATGAGGATACACACCTTTCCGAGACCCATATCATCACCAAGTATTCCAGAAGTCTCATGATCGATTAGTAGAGATTTCAGCCAAGACACGCCTTCCCATTGATGATTTTTCAGTTTACACGAATCCAACATGTATTTTGGAGCCGGATTATTTTGTGTGAGTTTCAAATCATTAAAACATTGATAATCAATTTTCAAATTTGTGATTCGGGACATGAATAATGAAAAGTCCAATGTTTTGTTTTTCAATTTCATCTCTTTCAACTTGCGTTTCTTTTTCTTCTTCTTTTTGAATGATTCCTCTTCCGATGAAGAGCTGTCTATCCATGACACATTGGATTCGTCATCATCATTTTCCGATGTTGTTATTTCAGAGGAACCTTCTCCATCATCATCATGATCGCTCACTCTCTCTCGTGGAGTGCTTGTTTCATCATCCCCTGATTCAGAAATCAAAAATTTGTCTTTTGGCATTTTTAATCCCTATGATGAACCTTGTTTACAAATTCCAGAAAAATTCAATTTCATCATAAAAAAAATTTAATTGGATCTTTCATCATCATGCCTCGCATCACCAAATTCAAGAAACCAAAGCTGAATCGTTCTCGGTATAATGAACATCAAACATTGGAGGAGAATAACCACCCGAATGAAGATGATGGCTCATCTCAACAACAAGAACTTGAGGACCTTTCACCCACTACGAGAGCTGTTCAAATAAGCCCCAAAGATGTGGATTCCATTGTGATGAATGTCATTCAAAAGTTTGAATGGAAAGTTAAATTGGAGTTATGGGAAGGTAAATGGAAAGAGGAGTGCCACCAACAAGGCATTTCCAAAGCCTCTGTGGATGTTGCTTTTGAGATTCTTCGTGATATTGTTCATCAAGGTTCGTTTTATGAATTTATTGGAGGATGAAATATTTCAATATGATGTGAATCACCATCAGGAAGAGGAGCAAAGGATTGTTGTGGTTGTTGTGGAGCTAATCCTCACCCAATGAAAGACGATGATAACTATGGTGATGAAGAAGATCCAGAATATGTCGATTCCGAGGACGAAACAGAAGAGGAAGAAAACACTCGTATGAATCATTTCGGTGGCTATGACGATGACGAGGAGGTGAGATATTCTCGTTCTACTCGCTTTTGTGAATGTCCATGTCAACGTTGCGCATACAAGCCACCAGCTTTCTCAGGAGAGGCCGTAATTGAAGATGACATTATTCCACCAGAGTTGAAAGAAAGACTCAAGACTCAAATGTCGCGTTTGGAGAATGTTCCAGAGGATAAGAAAGATTGGCACCCAGGATCGAATCATCAAGTCTTGGATCTCATTCATCCTTCTTTATATTGTTTTGTAGAGAATGTGAGTGTGAGTAATAAAGAAATGGAGAAAGAAGAGGAAAAGCCAAAAACTCATTGGTGGAGACCACAACTAGAGGAAAAACCAAAAACAAATAGATGCCAATGGCTTCCAGCTGAATTTGAAATTGAAGATGACAAGGTAACAAGAATTTCTTCATACATTAATAATTTGGATGAAATCGATCACAAAGATTTATATCAAACAATTCAAGAAATTTTCTCCAACTTTCTTCCACTCTTGAGCAGTGTCATTAACTTTAACGATAGACTACAAGTAATTGTGAAAGCAGCAAATATTATTGTTTCACCTGACAAACCATTTTATAGTGGTGGAACATTTCATACTGAAGGTTTGTAAGGAGGATTTTTAGAAAATTTGAAAATGACTAATATGCAACCTGCTCTACAAATCACAATGTAGGAATGGAATATGAGCATATTGCCGCTACATGTATTTACTATTATCAATCAGAGAATGTGAAAGATAGTTATTTGGAATTTAGAGAAAGCATCTCAGAGCCATATTATTATGGTCAAGATAATGTGAAGCAATGCTATGATATGTATGGTCTTCATGACGGAGATCTTCAATTTAGAAGTTTAGGAGCAATTGAAACCAAAGAAAATAGATGCATTGTGTTTCCAAACACAGCTCAGCACCGAGTTAGGCATTTCTTTCCCGAAAATCCATTACTTCCAGCCGTTCGAAAAATTTTGGGTAAGTTTTGAATTGTATACAGTATTGAGTTGCTTATCCTATATATTTCACATAGTTTTCTTTGTTGTGGATCCAAATCACCCAATTATTTCAACTCAAAATGTTGACATTCAAAGAATGGATTTTCTTATCAACAAGTATTTTATTCTAAACAAACTTCTTCCATTCCACATGGTTCACAAGGTAAGCTTTTAATTAATTTCTACAGTTTATTCAATTTTTACATTTGAACTCGGTTCATGAAAAAAGATTCTATCATTCTTGCCCCATTTTACAAGAGCTGAGGCATTGAAGTACCGAGAAGATTTAATGAACCAGAGAAAATTTTTCGTCAACGAACAGAATGAGGAAGTGGAGAGGGAATTTTCTTTGTGCGAACATTAGAATTATCCATTCGAGATTCGAACATTTAACCGTAAAGACAGACACGTTTCGAAGATTCTACAACTAAACGTTATAGATGACCGATCCCACTTGGGGTCAATCACACTTTCAATAAAATTTTTTTTGGGTTCGTTGGATTGCTGGAACAACAGAACTTGGTTCTACAGTGAATTGATCATTGATAAAATCATGATCAGATAGTCGTCACACAAAATCTCTCTTAATTCAACTTTTTCTTTTTTCGTTGTGGTTGAATTCTTCTTTTTGGTGGTTGGTCAACCTTTTCCGTTTCGCTTGTGTCGTCCTCATTGCTGACAGGGTTGGAAGGTTCTTGTTCTTCATCTTGGTCGCTTGTGTCATTTTGTGAATTATCTTCTTCATCAGATCCACGGACAACACTCGAATTTGAAATGAATTTTCCAAATTTCAATAAATACGTCCAACTAAAAGGAAATGGAGAAACTGATCCATATGGAGGTAAGAAAAAGACTGAAGAATCTGTAAAATCTAATTCATCTTTTTCGTCATCCATAAATGATGAATGACTCCAATATTCATCAATTTTTTGAACATGCTCCAAACATGAATCAATCACTTCTTGAGTCATTAGTTGGTGTTTGTGAATAAAGACCAATAAATCCACACACATGCCAATGATTGAATGTTTCTTGCATAATTTGGTGATCTCTTCTTGATCACCACTCACCATTTTTCTCGAATATTCTCTAATTTTTTCAAATTGATATTTGAGAATGGGCTTGCTGGATGCTTGTGGTAGAGGTTGTGTTAATTTGAGACAACCTTCTGCAATTGAAAATTTCAGTAGATCGACGTTGTTCATTGGAATGTTGTTTGGATCTATATTTTTCCACAAATGAAAGAACCTAAAAAGTTCTATCTGTTTCGAAACACCAAGCTCTACTCTTTCTATGACTGATTTTGTATCACAGTCAATTCCATTATAAATTTGAAATGAACCATTTCCACGATTCAACATGCTAAAGTTAAAGAGAGAAATAGATCTATCTTGAACAAGTAGTTGCTTAAATTTCCAATATTTTTCAGGAATAAGTTTCTGATCTGTTTCATTGTAGACTGTTTTTGATTTCTCAAAAAAGGAATTAATATGACGATCACATTTTGCGTCAATGCATTTGTAATACACTTTTCGATCCTTATTCATCCAGTTCAAGTTCATTCCACCATAACCTGACTCAACGCAAATAATGTGTTTCAAATTCTCTAATTTTTTCTTTGATTTGAAACCTTCAATTCTCTTGGAAACGCTTGCGACGAACTTTTTGTATTCTTCTCCTACTTGTTGTTGGAAAAGAGCTTCTTCTTCAATGTCTTTCAATCCATGTGGAATAATAATGTCTTTATCTTCGCCCATTTTAGAAAACATCATTTGTGTGACAGTACTTTTGAACTTGTGAGTGTTCTTGTATAACTTAATTTCCTCTTTTGATAAAATTCCAGTAAATCCTCCATGCCAATAGGAATGCCAATCAAAATTTTCATAATATTCATCTGGATATTCCGAAACTGGGTCACTTGCACTAATCTCTACCTGATAATTAGACATGACAGTTTTACAATTGTTAAAAACAAGAGTTTTCAAATTTGGCATGAATTCGATCAATCTCATCAATTCGTTCGAGATTTTCAAATTGCAAAATACCACTCGAGAGGCAAACAAAAATGTTGAAATAATTGAACACCACCAAGAATAAGGAGGAGGACTCGTGTCACCTTTTAAAAATCCAAAATGTAATTCCATGTCATCAGATGCATTCATCATTGAAATGACAAGATTGAACATTCTTTTCCATTCCTTACATATTTGTTGCATTTTGAACTGATCAGGTAATTCAAGATGTTTGAAAATTTCTCTAAATATTTCGATTGGTAATCCAGCTACCCACAAGTTATTTTGATTAGTGGCAGACATGACAATTGGTTCCACATCAGCGATATTTATTTCTTTTTCAGAATTCTTTGAATCCATAAAAGAAGAAGTGCTGCAAGAAGGAGCAGGAAAATAATTTGAAACCAAATGTTTGTACAATTCCACATTTCCTTCAAACCAAGCAAAATGATTGCATCTTTCATTTTGAGAGCTCATTCCACAAGACCAAAATAATTTTCCCTTGTTTGGACCTTCTTTCATCACTTGAAGCAATCGACATGGAATGCTCGAATGTTTTCGACACGTTGGAATTTGTAAATTTGATGTTGTGATTGCCATATTCGTATTATTATTCGTATTATTATTCGTATTATTATTCGTATTATTATTCGTATTATTATTCGTATTATAATTCGTATTATTATTCGTATTATAATTTGTATTATAATTTGTATTATAATTGCTACCCGATGATGATAAATCTTGAATAGAATTGGCCCACAGAAAAAAGTTACACTGTCGTTGAGAACACGTATAAAAAGGTCGTCCCTTGTTGGGTCCTTCCTTCACCACTGTGAGTCGACGAGCAGGAACGGAAGGAGAACAATGACAATTCGGAGGATGATGAGAAGGATTTGATGCTGACATTTTTTTGACCACTGAGTTCCATCGAGTTCTGAACTCCGCAAGAAGTCTTGCGATTTCTTTAATTGAATGGTGATATTGGTTGGGATTTGGGAATGAAAAAGTTCTCGTTTTGGAATTTCAATTATTCAAAATGTCGTCCCATGTGTGTTTCATTTGACAACAAGTGCTTCCAAGCCAATACACCGAAGAAAATGCTTGACAATCAATTGATTAAGGAATCTCGTTGTGTCGATTATCTCTCATTAATTATTGGTTTAACTTTCAGTTAATTCCTTCTTGAAAGATTGTGATTGGAAAAGTTCCGAGATCAATTGGAGAAAATGGATGTTTTTCATCATAATTGAGTTCAATTGAAATGTGGATTGATCGATCGAGGGTTTTAGAGAAATTTGTTTGAGGATCTAGTTGTGTGAAATGTCGTGGTGGATGTAATGATTTGATTTCAATTTCGAAATCTTGTCATAATTGTAAAAATCGATAAACCATCTCCGTCCTTCCAGGTTCCTAAATGAGAGTGCATGTTCTGATTGTTGTGACACATGATCATGATCCAAAATTAAACATTTTCAATGACACGGACCGCTGGTACATTTCCCAACTCTACATTATCAATAGGATTCGAGTAGTGTGACGTCTGCGTCGTCTCTAATGAGCAACACAAACATTTCCAATTTGAATTTTCTTTTCCAGCAAAAGCATAACAATACAATGTGCATGAAAAGAAACATAAAAATATAAAAAAAGCCAAAACCATAGCTGCCACCACACCATATCCAACCTGAATGGGAATTGTGATAAATATTGGAACAATAGGAGGACGTTTAAAAATTAATGGAAAAAACAAGCAAATAAATGAAAATAGAATGAGGATGAGAACAATGATGAGAGTGCAAAAACCACCAAAAATGCAACAAACAGAATACCACATAGTGTCTGTGGTGGGCGTTAGAGGATTTTCAAAATGAGTTTCACGTTTCTGTGCTGCTGATGCTTGGTTGTTGTGTTGAGGTTGTGAAAGATTCATCAAAGATTCACCATTCGAGAGATAGATCTGTATTTGTTGACGATAAAATCGAGAGAGTAGTTTTTTGTGGCGATTCCTTCGTGCTCGCTCCAATCTTCGCTTTCTCTCTTCGAGTGCATTTTCTCCATTTGCATCTTGTTTCCCATTAAGGTAATCAAATTCAATTTCAAAATCTGGAAAAAATCGAGTTCCAATATTGTAAATCGCTTCCTCCACAATTTCATGATAATGCGCAATTGCTGCTTTTTGTTTCTTGTTTTTTGGTCTATTTTTCAGGTTATAAAACACACAAACTCCCACACAACTAATAATTGACACGACAAAAACTCCACTAATTGCTGCTGAAAAAATTGCTTCAGCAATTGATCCTCTAAATACGATAAAGTAAATCAATGCAAGTGCTAAAGTTCCCAAAGCAGAAGCAGTTGCTGAAATGATTAAAATAAATAAATAAATATTCACTGATTCAAACGTGGTGCATTTGAACATTTCATCTTGTGTAATTTTTTGCATGACATCTCCCAATAAACGTAATTCTTTTCGTTGCATTTCATTGAGATTTAAGGCGTGAAGGGAAACGAGTATGTGTTGTTGCTGTTCAATAGTGAGTCGAGGACGAGTTGCTTCATAACTGTGTGAAATTGAGTGAGAACTTGAAGATGAATGATTTTCTTGATCTTGTGGATTTTTTTTCTTGACATGATGATCACTTTTTAACATTTCCAATTCATCAGGTGTGAAATGTAAATCATCTACAAGATCAATATCATTTTCTGTAGGATCATTGTCGTGGTCATGTTGATCTTGAAGCGTCTTTTTCAGTCTCTTATGTTTTCGATGATCTTTCTTTTCCGCTTTGACATTTGACACTGCTACATTCATAGGTGTCTCGTGATTCGTCGAACCAACAACCACAAGTCCTCCAACATCGACCACCGTCGAAGATGTCATTCGAAATTGCTCGTCTTGTTGAGCTTGTGAAGAATTTGGTTGTGAATTTTCTTGAAAATTCTGATGATGAGGAATGAGAGTTGTCATTCCGTAAGTGGTGTTTTCTCTTCGAGAATGGTAATGATGATGATGGTTGTTATTCATTGTTGTGACAAGCTCTTGTCCCCCACCACTCTTTTGAAATTTGGGAAGGATTAAATGTTCATCTGTTGTTGAATTTGGATGATGATGATGATGATGATTGGATTGATGATGATTCATGAGTGAATGGTTCACATTCGTCATTCCATCATTCGCAATGACCGTACGGATAGGATTTGACATGATTTTCTGATGGGATAATTCACGAGTGTCATTCGGAATTATTGTTGTTGAATGGATCATGTCATGAGTGGTTGTTATTGAATCATGAGGATGTTGAATCCATGTTGTCCGCGTCGTGTGGTCTTTGTCAACAACAACGAGTGGTTCTTGTTGTTCTTGTTTGTGGTTGACTGCTGCATCTTTGGTCGATTCCACCACACTCTTTGACAACATTTTTATTTGTTGTTGTGGACACATCACACACACCCTTCAACTGTGTTCCAAAGTCGGCTGTTTATATTTTTGAGTTTGATGGAACGTCATCAAGTGATGATGACAAGATGACGAAAGTGTCTTTTCGAGAAATTTTTTCAAGTTCGAGCGAGAAAACTCTCTCTTGTGAGAAAAATTGTTCCTTCATCGAGTTCAGTACGCGCTGAAACTCAACAACAACAACGTTTGTTTGGCAAGTGCTAATCTTCTGTGTCTAAAAGGATGTCTTAAATATAAACTTCTACATGATCATGCATTTCTCCTTGTTGGTATTCGTGTTAAAGTGAAGAGAATCTCCAAAATTGAAAACATATCGGATAAAATTGTTCCAATCGATGGTGTTGGCCACTCGTGAAAATTTGTGACAGGCATGGTATTGTTGAGCAATGAGACGTTCCAAAACTTTGTTTGAAATGTTTGTTCCCTCCAGACTGCTAATTTCAACATAAATGGGAGGAACAGAACTGGATCCAAAGCTTCTTTTGATCATCTTGTCCACTCGTTCCTTAATTGAAATATGCTCAGAGGTATCCTCGAGGGCATCCATCTTGTTTCCACAAATGATGATTGGTACTTGAGAAATTTCAATGTAGTGTTTCTTGCGTAGAATGAGTTGAATCACTTGTTGAACATATTCCAACGACTGATCTGCTTGAGTCAGGTCAAACAGTAAAATAAATAAATCAAAATGTCGAATGTTGTAATCAATCAACGATTCAGATATTTCTTGGCCTACTGTATCGTACATATCAATGGTGTATCTTTCAGTGTCAACACAAATGAACTCATCTTCAGGGTTTTTGGGCTCGAAAAATTCGTCACAATTTCTATTCGAAAATTTCATCATGAACATGGATTTTCCAACGTTCTTGGAGCCCATAATTGCAACACGAATGGCTCTTGATTGGTTTTCTGTTGAAAAGTTATCATTGTGTAAATATTCTTCATCTTCAATTTGTTGTTCACTCTTTCGAAATGTTTCATACATAATCTCGTAATTAAATGCACTGTTAGAGCTATAGGTACGTCTGTGGGAGGATCTAGATGGTGTCGTCGTGGATGATGATTGTTGAGGTTTGTTGGCATTCTTATTAGGTGTTTGTATGGTCAAGTTATCTGTTGTTGGAAGTCCCAGGTAATTGGATGACGAAGAGATGCTTGTTCTATCTTGCGAGCTTGCTGAATCGATTGAATTTCTTGAAAGGACTTCAGGCGTCTTGGAATTTAGATCTTCCTGCTTGATCATATTTACAGATGAAGGAGTCTTTGGAGAAATCAAATTATTTACATTTCCAGTATCCAGAGGAGAATTGTAATTACTGAATGATTGAGATCGAGAGTGACGCAATTTGGCAGGTTGCTTACTATTCTTTTTACCAACTTCAACTGTTCTATATACAAACCAAGCGTGATTAATTTTTGAAAATAGTGCCTTGTAATCTGTTGCATTATTGGTCTCCTTGCCTAATGATCGATGAAAATAATCTTGATCTAACAATAAATGATATGAAATGGGTTTATGGTCCATAAAATCTCCTCTTCTCAATTCCAAAATAAATTTTCGAATATCTGCCAACACAATTTTGTGTGTATCCTCATTGGTCATCCACAAGTATTTTACAAATAATAAATCAGCATAGAAAATTGGAGCAAAATGTCGTCGCAACACAAAGTAAAAATCACGTGAAACGAGTTCATAATTATGAATCTCATGCATGATGGTTAAACAATCCACAAGTGCCAAAATACGTTTGCCATATAGTCTCGATGGCCTCCGAGATCTTCTCATCATGGTGGATGGAGAAATAAATTGGTGATGATGATGATTATTATTGGGTATGAGTGGTGATGGAGGATGATGTGGAGAGAGTGGTGAGTACGATGAGTATGGATCATTGGTTGCAGATAACAAATCCGATTGATGATGATGATGATTGACAGCAGGATCAATGTCAATTCTCTCCGTAATGATCGGAATTAAAAACAATAAAATTCGTTTCGTGATTTCTCGAGGCCATGGGCAAGAAGAGGCTTTCCGAGTGCTTGTCGTATTATTGGTGGTATGAGGTGAGATGCCTTTTTTAGGAGTGGCAGGTGGTGGCATTTCAAAGGAAGTAATTGAAAGTGAGGATGTTCTCGGAGATGAAATAATGATATCACAACTCGAAGAGGCTTCTCTTCCCAATGATGAAGATACACGAGAGTGAGAATTTTCAGAAGACATTTTTTTTAATACCTACTTCTTCTTTTTGACAAGCAAAGGCCGTTTCGTGACAGGTTCTTGTTGCGACAATGGACATTTGTGGTCTTTTTTACTGACCACAAATGTGACACAAATAAATGTCAACACCAAATTTGAATTGAGATTATCCACAACATCATTGCAGGCGAATTCGTGTGTTGGTTGAGATTAAGGTTGATCCTTTTTGCTAAATTTACCTTTGAAAATGGATCGAATGGATTCTTCCGTTTCTCTTCGAGTTTTGCTTAATGCAGCCTTGATAGGTTCAAAAAAGTCCTTGTCTTTAAAATTTTTCTCTGTTTGGACTGGGGGAGGGCCATGTGATTTATGACCATGGCTTTCACCAGGCTTGACACCAGTAAACTTTTCAATCCTTTCTGTCTGTACAGTAAAAGTTATGCTTCCCTTTTCTTCGTTATTTTCAGTCTCTTTAGAACTTTCACTCGCGTCTGTTGCTGTGAAAATTGCCTCGTCATAGCGTTTACGAGGTTGTTTTCCTTCTAAAACATCATTAATTAATAATTTCATTGCAAAGTCTGGCTGTTTGCCTTGCTTTTTCATTTCCCATAAAATACTATTCACTCGTTCTGTTCGGTCATGAAGCCCAGCACATTCTTCCACTTGTTTTCTGAAATGATCAATAGAATGATCTACTGTTGCCATCTTTTCCACCATTCTTCTTGCATCCTCTTCGGTGATAGTAACCTTTGTTTCACTAATCACTTTTGAAGTTTCGGAACCGGAAAACAAATTGGTAAACGGCCTTCTTCCATGAACTCCTTTTTGTTTCATAATTTCAAAAACATCCTCTTGACTAGTTGAACGAAGATTATTGCACGTATGAAATTCTCGTTGCTGCTGGGCATGATGATTTAATTCAGAAAAATTTGAAAAATTCCTTCCAATCAAGATGATTTTTTCTGAATCATTTCCTTTCAGAAAACCATGATTTCGGAGTCGGTATTGGTGATGATGCGAATGAATGAATTGGAGTAACGGAGACGAGGAAAAACTCAAGTACGCACGTTTCATCATTTTTTTTAATAAAAAATTGAATTTCAAAATTTAAAAAAATGAACTCACCTTCCAATCCCTCTCTCTCTCACCATTTGAAAAGCCTCACCACCACCACGAACACACAGTCGAGTCATCCTAAAGGAGGAGGAGGTCATCAGCACGGAGCTGTTAGAACTCCGAGTTTGGCAGGAATGGATCGAGAGGATGCTACGGAACGGGATGCCATGAGCGAGGAATTTAGTGAGGTCTTTCCGACACAACAGTCGGCAATTGTTTTTGGAGAATATGGAGCCAATGATGGACAGATGGATTTAGAGATGAATCATGTGCGGAGAGGAAGTTCAGCTTTTCAGGACGAACATCACTTGGATCATATTCGATATCATCACGATAAAGGATCTCATGATGTCAGTACTTTGAATGGATGGAAGAAAATAATATTAGATCGAAGAGTGAGGTGAGTGAAAATAATGTCATGTGACTGATCGATGAATAGTGAAATAATTTTGTGAAATTTTTGGCTGCTGGATCACGATAATTCATTTTCGTTATCCATAATGATGGCTCAAAATGGTGACGCATGATACTTCCAATCAGCATTGGAGTTGTATCATTCCTTCTAATTGCCGTGACAATTTTATTCGGCATTATTTTGATTTTACTTTTAACACTTTACAATGTTGATAAAGCATCTGTCAAGAATGACCCTGTGTGGACGCCACCTGTCACAGAATCAGGAGAAGTTCAATTAATTAAGGCAACGCAAGGAGCTGCAGCTGCAGACAATGAAGTGTGTTCCGACATAGGTGTAAAAATTTTACGAGATTTTAATGGGAACGCTGTGGATGCTGCTGTTGCTACAACATTTTGCATTGGAATAATGAATCCATTTAGCGCAGGCATTGGTATGTTTTGTGAATAGTTCAACTTTTGATCATTTCTCCATCAAAAACGATTTTATAATTCTCATATATTCACAACGCATCTCACTACCTGTCAAAATTATTGACCTAACTGTTTATCCTAATTATTGAAAATCAATATCTCACTATATATACAGGTGGAGGAGGTATTATGGGAATTTCTATTCCTTCTAATTCAGCAAATGCTAAAGACACAATTGAATACATTGATTTTAGAGAAAAGGCTCCACTCTCTGCTTCGTGGGACATGTACTCATCATTAAGCAATTCTCCTGCTCCACCTTCACAACGAGGAGGAAAGAGTATTGCTGTATTGGGTGAAATTAAGGGTCTCTATACTGCATGGAAACGATATGGCTCACTGCCTTGGAATGTGTTAATTCAGCCCTCTATAGACCTTGCAAGGAAAGGTGTGAAAGCAAATAGTGTGATTGCCTCTCATTTAAACAAGTATAAAAATTGGATACTTGAGGAAACTTTTGGAAGTGGAATGAAACAACTGTATGCAGTGAATGGAGACGTGAAAAAAGAAGGAGATTTATTGCAATATCTAAAACTTGCTGATAGTTTGGAAATTGTAGCAAAAGAAGGAGCAGACGCTATTTATAGCATGAATGGTTCATTAATTCGAGATGTTGTGAATGATATCAGAAACGCTGGTGGAATTATTACAGAGCAAGATTTGATTAATTATGATGTGAAAATTTATTCAACCAGAAATCAATCTAACGTTGATCAAAATACTCCACTTTCTACCTATTTTATGGGATATCAAGTATTTGGGTAAGTTTTGATGAATCGAAAATTGTGTTAGTCAATGAAACAAACTGTAATCTACTCATTGAAATTACAACAAATTTAATCTTACATTCATTTCAATTAATGAAATCATGGCCAATTGAATTGAAAATTATCTTTCCATGGCATGACTGTTCAGGCCACGGCCAGAAATATCAGGAGGTTCATGTATTATTTTTTTGCTTAACATGCTTGAAAATTATGTCAGAGATTTAATGTCACCTTTCATCAACCATGAAGGTCAGCTCTACCAAGCAAATCAACAATTCCACATGTCTGCACAAAAGTACGCCTTATTTATTGAAGCTTTGAAATTTACTTTTGCTCATCGTGCAGATTTAGCAGATCCTGATTTTGTAGCAACAACGAAGCAAGTCATGGATGATATGATTAGCAAAGATTATAGTGCATTGATACGAAATGAAATTGATTGTGCCTTAGCTAAAAATAAGACCTTTTCAGATCCTCTGCACTACAAGCACGATAAAGTGAATTTGCAATATGTGAGAGATGATCATGGAACATCGCATTTAAGCATATTAGATAAGAATGGAATGGCTGTGAGCTTAACAACAACTGTGAATTTAATTTTTGGAAGTTTTGTGGTGGGTGACAAGACTGGTATTATTTTTAATGATCAAATGGATGATTTTTCGCTGCCGAATACCACCAACTATTTTGGATTGGCTCCATCACCAAGTAACTATATTGCACCAGGAAAAAGACCCCTTTCATCGATGTCACCAATGATTATTCACAAAAATAACAAATTTTACATGGCTGTAGGAGCAAGTGGAGGTTCCAGAATAATTAGCTCAGTTTTCCAAACCATTTGGAATCATCTTGTGGGTGGATTGAATATTGCACAATCCATTCAATTTCCACGAATTCATCATCAGTGGAGTCCAACAACTCTCGCTGTCGAGCAAGGAATACCCGAATATTTAATTAACTTTTTTAAGAGCTTTTTGGGTTACACTGGTAATGAAGATGAATCAAAATTCATTAATCGTGTGAAGGGAAATGCAGAGTTTAGTGTTGGTATTGTGCAAGGCATTGTGAAGAAGGGAGATAACAACATTGAGGCTGCCTCCGACATTCGAAAAAAGAGCAAAGCAGCTGGATATTAAAGAGAGGAAGCTTACATAACCTATCACATGTTTTTATAAGTACATTCATAAATATCGTTCATGTTATCGTAATCGTAATCCAATTGTGATTCGAGGAAGCTGTGGCTGTCACTTCTCTCGATATATTCCGCAAAAGTATCAGCAAAAGGTTTGATATTACCTTCAGGATTATGTTGCTTTCTTGAATTGTGATCTTCAATGATCGCAAAATAAATTCTATCAAAGCAATTCTTGAACTCGTTGCTTTCCATTTTTTCTTTAAAGATTTCAGCAATTTTAACTGGATCGTTTCGGAATGCTCCACATCCTGCAATTTGTCAAGAAATGTCACACTTGCATTTTCTGCACAATCATTAAAACCTACCAAATGCAGAAAGAACCAAATTTCTCACTCCATGCTGAATAGCAATTTTCAAAATTGCCTCAATGGTTCCATAATTTCTTGGATCCACTCCTCTGACAGTGGAGCGAGCGAATGGAACGGCTGCAGCCGTGATAATATCCACTAATCTTGGAGTTTTCAACAATGGATAACCTTTGGCTTCACATCCTCTAAATATGGTCACATTGGGACTATAAACTCCACTTTCATAGCCAATTGGATAATTCCATGTTCTGGACTTATCAATTTTATCCACGTGATTGTCCAAGCACATGTACAAATTTGATCTACGATGTAAATTTTCTTCCTGAGCTCCACAACCTAAATGATGGGATTTAAAAGGACATGGAATCATTATGCTTAACCGTCACTTAGTGACATAGTACATACCTCCTTTATATCCTCCTCCTGGAGTGTTGGGATTGGCCATATTCAAAACAGCAACTCTCTCTTGTGGAAATTTTCCCTCCTTAATGAGCTCGTCTTGAATATAAAATGCAACATCAAGACAATCACCATTAAAAACCATGACTTTTGTCAAGGAAGATTCAGAAGCATTTCCATTATTGCTGACAACGAGAGATTCATTCTTGTAGAATTTACTTTGAATGGAAGCACTTTCGAGAAGATCTTTTCGTAAGGAAATAATTTCATATTCGCGTTCTTCTTCATCGATTGGATTCAATTCAATTGTGTCGCTTCGCTTGTCTTCATTCACTTCTGATTCTTGGCTACTTGTCATGCCTTCTCCAACCGTACGACACCTCATATAGGCATAGCTTTGTTTTCGACATATGGAAATCGTTTGATTTTGAATCAAGACTCGTAAACGTTTCAACTGATCGAATTGTTTGTTTTTAATCATCTGATGAAAGATGCGAACAAATTGAGTCGGATCATAAATATAAGAATTAAATTCATCCCATTTGGTATTAAAAAAAGCATCATCAAAGAAGGAATCGGGACATCGTGAGGGGAGTTTGATCATTGCAGAAGTGGTAGTGCTGGTGCTGGTGGTGTTGGATGACATGAATGATGATGAACTTGAATCGAGCATTTTTATTGGAACTATTTCAAGTTCCCATCCGAAATGAATCAGAGGAGACTTCCATTACGAATATGAAGCATTCGAATATGGATCGCATCTTCAGATTTGAATTATACCTTTCAGAACTCACAAAAATGCATGAGCTTGCGACCGGAATCGAACCAGTGAGAACCATTATTTTCTGCTGTGGGATTGCATTTCTGCAATCATCGACACAAGCCCATGCAATTAAAACGCACTCAATTACGACTTTTAGAGTGAAAATAATTTTCAATCAATCAGAATCTGTGACTTCCTGACCTTTTGATAGATCCTAACATGTATGAATTGATTCAAATTGGAAAAAAAATTGGAATGCAATTGGAAAACAATATATGTCCAGAATTGACAATGTATATATGGCAACAAATTGACAATCCTTTGACGTCTTCGACATATTATCTGGAATGCCGTTTGGAATCAATCAGGGCTGTTGTTCAGGAACTTGCTATTTCATGACAGCCTCGTATTGTAAAAAAATTAGGAGCCAGCGTGAATCGAACACGCGACCACAGGATATCAGCTGCAAACCGTTATTGCAATCCTATGCTCTAACCCCTGAGCTATGGCTCCATCGATTTGCTGTTATTTTTACCCTATTCAACAAGAGTTAAGTCGCTTTAGCCTTGAGATCAGTATAAAGATTCTGCCTGGCCCTCCATTGCTCGTACTTGTTGCTTCCACATATGCAAAAGGCAATGAAAGTTGGAATTACATGTTCACTAGAATTTGAGAAATATCGCAAGAGAGTTCAAGACACCTTGCAAGAAGAGTGAAGAATCCTTAATCGACCTTCCACTTTCTACATGAAACTTAACAACTTCGAGCACTTCAAAAGATTTGTTCCTCCTTTGAAGAATAAACCTGCCACAATTGCAAATCGATAAAATTATTAAGCGTATTGTTGTGATCTCTTGAATAAACAAGTCGGAGAGCTAGGACTGTTAAATCGTTAAATCAAACAGCATGGGTGTCCACTCAAACCACATTCCTATCGACAAGATAACACTTTCAAAATCTCCGTATTTGGTATCTGATACAATCTGTCATGCCTTACTTGACGCTATCAAGCCTTTTAACAATTTTACCGCTTAAATACTACAATCATGGTTCGAGAAACCACCTTAAATTGAGGTGGCAGATAATTACATACAAATATACTTTTTTTGTGAGTCTGATCTCAACAACTACTTATCAAAAAAAACGTTGTTCTTGGTTTGGATGGGTTTATTTGTGGGGTTATTGTAGTTGTGGTTTGGGTTTGGGTTGTTGTTTGGGTTGTTGGGTTTTGGGCAGGTTTGGTCAATTCAACAAAATATGTATGTATGCCATGATGTGTAATCCCCCTTAAGTTGTGAATACTTTGACTGCCAAAACAACATCAAAAAAAACGAGTAAACTTCACTCACTTCCAAATGCATTGGTGTGTGGTGTGTGATTGCAAGCCAAGAGCATTCTGGAGAATTTGAGGTACACTTGGAAAGCTTCTCAAACAATATCGTTATTAAATGATGATTTCGGAGCAGGACAAAAGAATTTCATTCAGTATTTAGAAGCGACCTTAACAACTCTTATAAAACGTCATAAGCATAAAGAAAACGTTGTTGAATAGGATAAAAATGTCAATAAATCGATGGAGCCATAGCTCAGGGGTTAGAGCATAGGATTGCAATAACGGTTTGCAGCTGATATCCTGTGGTCGCGTGTTCGATTCACGCTGGCTCCTATTTTTTTGACATCGATGAAGTTAGGTAATTTTCTCATTTCAAGAGAGTGTTTGTATTTCTGTCCAAGTTCTGTATGTTTGATATTTGTCTATCAGGAAGAACACAAATGTTAAGTAATATTAGTTTTAATCAATCTCAATCTCTTAAAAAATGTCCAAACACAAAAGAAGCCTTGTCTTGACTCTCCCCGATCCCACTGTTGCTGGTCATATCATTGGAAAAAAAGGAAGTCAAATTAATTTATTACGACAATTAACTAAATGTAATATTCAAGTTGAAAAATCGCAAGTACGAATATCGGGACGAAATTCAAAACAAGCGGCAGATTTAATTCATATCATCATTAATAATGCAATATGTGTGTATGAACATCCAAAAAGTGTTTATCACGTCTGGAATAATATTCGAAGAGATGAATGTGGTGATCGATTCAAGCTTGACGAGTATTCCATTCCGTATGTTCAGAAATTAGGAAAGGATCGAAAATATTACATTTTAAAACAATGTCCTAAAGATGAAAATGGGAAAGACAAATATGCATGGATGGCTCCTCTCAACTTGGAAGAAACAATGAGCGTTGATAAGGATTCAGAAACAACTCCAAACGAAGAATTCAATCAAACATCAGAAGGAATCTCCACACCACCACAAGTCAGCATTCCCTCTACTATGGAACAACCAACCTCCATGAATGATCAAGAATCGGATGCATCTTTGAGTGAAAAACCTGTCACAGTTGAAACTGTGCAATTTATTTATTCACCATCGACCATTGAACAGCTGATTGAGGAAGGAAGACAACGAGTAGCATCCAGTTTTATAGAAATGGCTCGAGTCACTTCTTCATTAGTGCAATCGTATACACACAATAAGATTCTGATCAAAATGAGCCTTGGTAAAAAGACGTTCTATGATGCCAAGAGAAATGTTCTCTTGGAGAATGACAACAAGATTTTTAATTTTCAAACTTTTACTAAGTTACAAATTGGATTTGGAAAGGACATTAAATCAACATGGAGAAACGAAATTGATTACAACACAGTACAACGCATGCGAAATTACATGTTGAATAATGGATGGAAACTGGAACAAGTTCTTAAAAGTGTTTCTTGTTATGTTGTGGAAGTGATAGATGGAATTCTAGATCGCAATGGACAGGGTGGGAAACGTTTTGGATTTAAAGTCGTACCTTTGGAGGACCATCAAACACAATCTTTCTCTTGTAAATTGGTGAAAGTGAGAAATTTACTGAACAAATTATTATTTATTGACATTTTCAATGTTGATGAAACAATATCCAAATATGACTATCGAATTAGATTTCAAACAGAGCAATCGGTCACTCAATTTGAGACAATGACGAATTTACAAAATTATGTTTCTCATTTGAGATTTGAAAACGATCAGCTCACCGACAAGTTTGTTCCCACTCCAATTCGCCAACAATTCAGGGTAGACTCGTTTCGAAACAAGTTAAAAGAAATTTACACATTTGGGAATGTTAAAATTACTTTGAATAATATCATAACAACAAATAGACAAGAATGGTATGAGGTTTCCATCTCTCAAATCGAAAATTTTTCATTGTCAAACTTGAATACAGACAAGGTTTTGGAATATCTTTCTGTGATGAATTTGGTGGTGGGATCCATGAACTGAAGTCAATCATTAACGAATAACAAAAAATCCGCAAGCATTTATTGTACAGTCTAGTCCACAATTTTTTGCTGCTCAATCATGGAACTACCGGTTCTAGGGTCTTTTGAAATTCTATAATAGTGCTCTGCCAATTCGCTTCTGCCCAACTTTCTCACAAATTCTTCATCATGAGTAATGACAATTAATTGGAAATTTGAGAGTTTCCTTCTGTCTTCAATCAAGAACCGAAGTGATTCGGCTAAACTGTTGGCGTTATCAATATCCAAAGCATTGGTAGGCTCATCCAGAGCTAATATTCCACAATCAATACTAAATGCCTCAGCAAGTGCAAGTCGAATAATAAGACAAGCAAGAACTTTTTGACCAGCGCTAGAACGACCTCTCATTGGCAATTCCACGTCACCTTTGACCATGACTACACGGTAGTTGTATGTTTTTCTGGCAGACTCTGTTTCAGTGTCACACTTGATACTGATGGTGTCAATATCATTGCCTCTGTATGTTTTTTGCCAGAGTTCCTTAATGATCTCATTAATCTCTGCCATCTTCATGCTGTGATATTTTGTGAGAGCCTTTTCAAGCGCCTTCATGTACTTGTCTAAGTCCTCCACAGCATGCTTTGTTGTAACAACCTTAATGAGTAAAGACTTGTACTTATTTTCAATGTCCTTATACTGATCAGAATTCAGCTGTTCTTGAATGTCTTTAACTCTTCCTTTCATTGTACTTCTCATTCCTGAGATTTGAGATTTTTCATTGGAATATCTGGTTTGCTTTTCTTTCAACTGTTTGATGTCTTCATAAGAGTCCAATGATGCATCACTACCTGTAATATTTTCTATTTGTTTAGTCAAAGTTTCACATTCAGAAGTAATAGTGGAAAGTTCTTTTTTCTTTTGTCGATATCTCAGATTATCTTCGATGTTTTGCTTAATGACATTTTGCTTCTCGAGACCCCTATTGTACTTTTTAAGGAGTTCAGACAACCTTTCGTTCTCTCTTTGATTCTCTTGTATCTGTATATCAAGTTTTGTGATTTGGGATTCGACGTTTTGCAAACTCTCTTCGACACCTCTATCCTTGAATTTCTTGAGTTCTTGTATGGAAACGTTTAGTTTGGAAATGTCCTGTTGATAGTCTGAAATTGTGCCTTCAAGTATGAATTCTTGTTTTCCATGTCTTTCCTTCATCTCACTTAACATCTTGCTGTGTGATTGATATTTCTCTTCAAAGGTAGGTATTTCAAGGTTAATTTTTTCAATTTCTTGAACTTTTTGGTTGATTTCTGCTTGTTTTTCACTAAGAGAATCCTGGAGACGTTTCAATTCTTTCAGATCGTATTGAGATTTTTGTAAGATAGTATGTTTCTCTCTCAACTTGTCTTTCATTTGTGAAAGCTCGTTCTGGCATCGAGTGAGTTCTTGCTGCAACTGAGATTGTCTTTGGGTAAGCTTTTCTCGTGAGCTTTGAGCCTCTTCCAACTGATTCTTCACTTGTTCGTATGGTACAAGATCTTGCGGAAGTCCAAGACTTTTGAGTGCATTCTCTTGTTCTGTAATACGTTGTTGCGTAGTTTTGATGCTCGTTTGCAAAATTTTCAATTCTCCACAACCATTCAACAGCTCACTTGTTTTCTTTTCGTCGTTTTTGGCTTGGTTAATGTCATCTGTAAGCTTTTCAATCTTTTCATTCAGGTTTGTAATCTCTTGCTTAATGTTAGAAGCTTCCATCTCGGATTGTGGAAGATCAGAGTTTTTCAACCGTTCAATATCTGCAACAATAGGTTTGATTTCTCTAAGCTTTTCCAATACAGAGCTTTCTGACTCGAGCTTTTCTTTTGTTTTTTTCAATAGTTTTGGTGTTAGCTCCATTTTGCTTTGTTGGAGAGATTCAAAATTGAAGCACTCTTCTTCAGTATGCAATTCTCTCTCACAAACAAAACACTGTTTGTGTTTTCTTGCGTGGAGAATGAAATTTTCATAGCAAAGCTTTAATGCCTCTGCCATACTTGCTTCATTTCTTAGGTCATTCACCTTCTCCTCCGCTTCTTTCATTGCCTCGTCCCAACTCTTCCCTGTGGGAATAACAGCAGCTACATGTTGTTGCTTCTTTTCAATCTCATTCTTGATTTTTTGTGCTTGATTGTTAGCAGCATCGAGTTTTGATTTTTGAACAGAGAGTGATTTTTCCAAGCTTTGTAATGATGAGGTAAGAGTTTGAACTCTGTCGGTTGCCTTCTTGATAAGTCCCTTAATCTTAACTTCAATATTTGCGGCTGTGACTTCATTGTCAACACTGCCCAAAGTCTTTTCATATTTTGTTCTGACTTCAGAGAATTTATCATTCAAGCTTGAATTGTGCTTGCTGAGCTCCTCTCTTAAATTCTGAATTTTGAAACTAATGTCTTTTTCCTTTTCTCTTGAAGCCAGTTCTTTGTTAAGATTGGAAATTTTTAAAGTTTGTTCCTTTTGGCTCTTAGCGTTTGAATCCATTTCTTTCTTGATGGTGTCCATCTCCTTGTTCTCTTCTTTATCTCTAACCTGCTTTTCAAAAACTAAATATTCTCTTTCCATTTCAGCTACAACATCTTCGGTGATAGAAATATTTCGGATAGATTCTGAAAGTTTCTTCGCCTCATTCTCTAAAATAGTCTTTCGTTGGGTAGCGGCCTTCAACTTGGACGTGCTATTTTCTTTTTGTTGAAGGAAAGAGTTGGTTTCTTTTAAGAGACTCTCTTGCTCAGATTTGTGTTCTCGTCTCATATTTTCAAGCTCCTTCTTTTCTTTTTGGAATAGCTGATCGAGTGAAGTGAGAAAACTGAATATTTGGCTTTCAGAAAAAGGAAGCTGCTCATATCCTGGTATGCGATATCTTTGAGAAAGAACCATAATATCAGTGCTAATATCATGAATACGACCCTCATGAGCTTCCTTTTGGGATTTTAACTTTCCCATATTCTCCTTGAGAGAGTTCATCTGAATATTGAGGCTGTTTTTGTTTGATTCATTCCGTGCAAGGTCATTCTCAGTCTGGCGTTGACTTTGTTTCAATTGTTCGAGCTGTTTGGAGAAATTTTCTTCATACTTTTTCACTTCTTCATCCGTCTCAGTGAATTCTTGTTGCAAGTTTTGGTACATTTCTTCGACATCTTTTTCCATCATTTTCTTTTTTGTGTCAGCAGATGTAAGCTTTTGTTTGAGAGCATTAACCTTTTGAATGACTCCTTCGTATTTCTCAATCTCTGTATTTACTTGATTCAACTTTTCATCCAAGTCTTCAATCTTTTCTTTCAACTTTTGAAGCTTGATTACTTCATTTTCTGCTTCCTTGCGTAACTTTACGCTTTGATTTCTCTCGGTCTCTGCTACAGCCAAATCTTTTTCGTGCTCTGCCAATTGTTGTGTAATGTCTTTCTTGGTTTTTTTGATAGCTTCTAAAGCCTTAGAATATCTAGTGCTAGAAAAGATATCATCGAGTTTTTTCTTTAGTACAGTACTTTCACTGAGCGGCCAATTTACGTCTTCTTGGTGACAAAAAATCACTATAGTATTGGAAATGAAAAGCCCACAATGTCTCATCCTGTACCACGTAATAATAACACTTACCATTCTCTAATATTGCTTTGCTCACACCCATTAATTCAGGAATTAATTTATCCATATCTGTGCATTTGTAGCTACTGCTTTTGGTTTCTCCATCCTCTCCCTTTGTAGAGAGGACTGATTCTAGCTGTTTAAATTGTGTGGTTTTCTTTTTTTGCGTAACTTGAAAGCTACGAACAGTAATATATTTCTTCTTATTTGCTGCTTTAAATTGCAATCGAATTTGTCCTTTCACTTCTGTATCTCCTGATACTTTTGGATCATGAACGAATGATTTTCCACGATCACAATTGGGAGGGAGCTCACCAGTTGTGGCACACTTCAAACATTCAATAAGTGTGGTCTGATGAAGCAAATACAAAATGTAATCAAAGCAGTTCATTAGGAAGTATGCAGGTCACAACATCAAACAAAATTATAAATTAATGATAATGTAAATATGAATTGGGTCATCACAACAACCATTAAAACATTATATAAAATAATAAAAAATTAAAATATCAACCATGCAGTGTTATCGGAATGATGATATCGTTCATATACCAACATACCTTTCCTGATCCGTTTGCTCCCAAAATAATTGTTAATGGTTTAAAGAATTTAATAATTTGAGGCTCTCCGGTATGATCAAAAGAACGAATACCGCTTACGCTCAGCCAATCCAATGAAGACATTTATCGAGAAATTGCTTCAAATGTAAATTTAATATCGGATTTGACGATTGCAAAAAGAAGAATAACCAAACAAAAATGTGGGGTCAAGATGTGCACAAATTTTTTTCTTTATTTTTCTGGAAGGCTAGCCACCACTGCCTTGACACACAAAAAAAGCCTTTTTTTGTTCAAAGGAAATAAAGAAAGAACACCTTAGCCCCATTTTGGAATTATGACAACCTGCATGCTAAATCCTATCAAAATCCAGAACTCGTCGAATACTGGGCCTAAGTTACCGACTTATATCGAGCAATGCCCCACGTACTCTGAACTTCTTCAAAAAAAATCAAAGAGTGTACACTGAACTCCACATTCCTAGCTTGTTCACACTTCCCTTTGTAACGGTTTTGTTGGTCATCATCATGTCTTCTTCGGCCCCTCCTTCCATCACGACCACGCCAAGCTCACCCAATCCCTCTTCGATCTCCCACCATCATAATCAAGTGTTTTTTGATGATACAACACCCTCTGCTCTAAATTTCTGGACCAACAACTCTCCGACACCAGGAGGAGCTCTTTCCACCACCACGGGTCATCATGGCAGCTCTTCTTCGAGTGGAAGCAACCACAGCGGTGGAGTTCTAAATTCCACTTCCAATCAATCCTCTCCTCAAGTATTCACGATACCACCTCTCAATTCATCAGGTGCCATTTCTACAAGTGGATTGCCTTTTGCTTCTCCAACACCGGGTGGTGACTTGTTTGATGTTCCCAGCAACAATACACCCACTAGTGGTGGTGGTGGTGGTGGTGGTGCTGAATTATCATTGTCGTCTGGTGCATCCTCTTCATCGTCGTCCTCGGCATCGATCAAACAAGAAGGATCCTCGTTACTGGGTCATTCTGGCGTTACACCAACACCTCTCTCGATTGGAGCTTTTACCTCCATCTATGATGCTCCTCCACCACCTCCTCAACCCATTCAGAGCAAAACATTGTCGCATCCCACTCACACTTCTTCTTCCGCCCATAACAACCATCATAACCAAAACAATGGAAGTAACGCTGGCACGACTCATCCACCGACCTCATCGAGACCAATCACTGTGGCTGGTTTGAGTGCCTTTACCAATAATCCTCCTCCAACTCAGACTTCTTCGTCTGTGCAAGCAACGACAGTGTCGCTAGGTCATCACAATCCAGCCGAGGAATCTCCTTCTTTGGGAATTTTCACTCCATCCATACTGAATCAAGTTGCTTTGGATGCCACTCCGCAACATGGAGGAGAGCTAGCTGACAATTCTGCTAATTTGCATCATCATCAACAACAGCAAGCTGCTCAACATCACATGCAAATGATGCACGCCCAACAACAACAGGGAATGATAGCTGCTCACCACAATCCACTTTCTGCTTTCAATTTTGGAAACAAGATTCCTTCCTCTCACATGATTCCACAACAAATACCAAATCCAAACTTGACTTTTAATGTTAGTAATGCAGCAACCTATATTCCACTTCCCATGAATTATGGAATGACATCGTATGTCACTGATCCTAATGGAGTTGCAAATTCGAACTCTCCTTCTCCTTCGTCACCAGTTGGTGAAAGCTTACCTTCTGGCGTGCTCATGTCAGTGGTCAAAGGATTCAATGTTGATGATGGCGTTCCCGAGGAGCATGGTGGCAAAGATAACAAGAAAACACTCACCACTCATGTTGTTCGTGTAAGGGTTGCTGATTTGACAAACGCTCATCCTCTACCATCAGGCTATAAATTCATGATAAGGGCAGTGTTATTAGGTTATAAGCGATACGAAAAGGAGGAAATTTCTTCGCTCGAAACTCATGAAATCACTGTGAAAAATCAATCAGAAGATTTTACCTTTGACAACATGGTTGTAAAACACACAAGCCATAGCAATGGTCAAAAACTTTTCCTAAGATTCAAATTAGTCATGTGCAATGACAAGGACGAGAAAGTGTTGGAACAACTTGACACAACCTACTTCAAAACGGTCACAAAGAGAGCCATCATAAAACGACAAAACACCAAGAAGATTGACGAACAAAAGAAGAAGGTTACCAAAGTACTTCAAGTCGAACCAAAATATAGTGTTACAACAGGAGGACAGCTCATCAAAATCGTCACAGATAACATGCCAGAAAAAGTTCGATTACAAACCTTAATTGTAAAATTTGGAGAAAAGAAGGCACGAAGAGTTCACTCCGCAAGAGATAATATGATTATTTGTGAAACTCCAGAGCATCAAAAAGCTGAGGATGTTCCAATTTCAATTTCTATGGATAATGGTGTTTCATTCTTTCATTCACCCATCGTGAAAATGACGTTTATTGATCCTGCCACCGATACATTGCCCGATGTTACTCCCCACAGTAAGACGTTCGTTGTTAATTTCGCAACGGCAGGAGGAAAGCACGCCAATAGTAGCACTGGTGAGGATGAAGAAGTTGACCCTAAAAAGAAAAAGTCAAAGAAGTGATTGAATGAAATTCAATAATGACCAATTTGGATTCATCCCTAGTACCAAATTACCAAATTCACCCCTAGTACATCCTTGGTGCTGAGAAAACATGATCTTCTTTTAATGAAAGGTGTGATGTAGCAACAAAGACACTCCTAGACCAAGTTAATGTTTTTCATGTCGTCTTCAAACTTTTTTAACTCTTTCACCATCTCTACAAAATTTGTGCTCAAAATAAAACGTGACCAAGTATCTTGCAAATTGTAATTGCATGTAATTTCCACATCATCTAGAATGGTTTTCAACTGTTCGGTGTGTTTTTCGTTCCACTCTTGAATAAAGACAGAATCACGTGGCTTAGCCGTGTTGAGTGTGACAGTTGTTGCCCCCACTCCCGATACAATCACTCCATTTTCTCTCAATGCATTACCTCCTGATGGGGATTCTTTTGTTTCTCTCAATGCTCTTGTAGAAAGTGTGTACGAAAGAGTTTTACACAATAATCGATAATTTCTTTCAAATTCTTTTTTTTACATGGGACGATAGATTGAGTTCAAATGGTGCGCCATTCACAATAAAGTTGTCACTCAACTTGTCTAATACCGCAAGCTTCTTTTGAATGTCATCTAAGGTGTGAGATGGCACTAGATGATAGACTTTTTCAGCAAAGTAAAGAAATAAAAAGTTCTCAGCAGAAAACTCTAATTCACACCATTCTAGTGTTGTGTTGATAATTGCAAAATCAACGCGTAGAGATCCAAGAATAATAATAATTACTATTAATAAACTTGACTCATGAAAATCTCACACTTACCCTTAAAATATTTTTGACAAACTTCATCATGGAACATGACAAACAATATAATACGCAAATCAATAATATTCTGAGAGTCACTGTCCTTTCCTTTTACAATTCCAGCTTCTCGATATAAAATACTCAAAATTCTGTTATGATCCAATGCTGAGGATCCACTCGATAATTCCATAATCATGCTATTTTCATGTGTTAATTTTGAAGGATTCACCAAATGATCATCTCCAGTTTTCAATGTTGAACTTGTCAGAGATTTTGAATGACCTTTTCCTTCTGAATTTTTCCAAAAGAAACTTCTAATCAGAGGAATCCACACACTAATAAAGTTTGTAATAAAAAGAGGAATATTAATCAACCATGCTGAAGCGAAAGAATATTCTGGACCTTCCTGATACTGTGGAATGACACTCAACAATACAAAGCATAAAAGGAAGAAAGTCCAAACCACCACAATGGTGATTAATTCTGCCTTAATACCAAAAGATTCTTTAGCGTATCTCATGACTCGATAAAAGAAGATGAGAATGAAAATTCCGTAAAAGAGAATGAGTAAGAAGGATCCTACATAGACAGGAACTATTGTGAAAGAGAATGTGAAAATTGTTTGGTTTCCAAGTGTGAAATTTTGTCAAATCATTCCAAGTGTGACAACATGTTGTGAAAAAAATCATTCCAATGGTGAATATCCACCAAGAATTTCACAACAAAAAACCTACCTGTGGCTGCACATCCAACATTCCAAGTTTCTGCTCCTGTCAATCGATTCAAAAACACTCCACAATATGCCAAGAAAATAATACTATTCAATAAAAATGTAAAGAGGAAAATCTTGGCAATAAAGTCGTCACGCGCGAGTTTTCTCAATTGTCTCAAACGTTTCTTTCGCTTCTCAGACCATTTCTTTCTCTTTTCTTGATCGACAAAAAGATTCGAATCATTGGTGGTTGTCAAGTGCAGTGCTTCTTTCACTTTTGCCTTCAAACTGCTCTTCGTTCGTATGATTGCAGCCGTCATCGGCGAGGAGGAAGAGAGATCAGAATTCTGCTTTTCTAAATTTCCAGAAGAGGAATTTGACACTCCAACTTGTAAATTTCGAGAAGTTGTTGTTGTCGTTTTGGATACTGAGCCATTTTCTCCATCTGAAGAGGAAGACGATGATTTGTTTTCCAATAACAAATCAACACCCATTGAGACTAAATGATCTTTAAAAGAATCACCTTGTAATCGATTCATTTCTGAAATATAATACAATCGAATACACAGCACCAAGTAAGGAATTGCGATCAATGGAAATCCATAAAATTGAAAACTCAAATACAGTGCACAAGGAAAAACCTCTCTTCCAACAGCCAAACGCAGTGACAATATCGAAAATGAAAAATAGTGAGCTAGTATTAAAATAAAAACGAAAAAGGATGATCTCGCCTTGATGGGTTGTTTGTTTCTTCTAAAAAAGTATGTCACAATTGTCACAAATGTGTATATTGTAAAAAGTCCCCACATGACCCATGAAACAATAGAAACAAAGGGTTGATCTGCTCGTAAAATTTCATTATTGAATGCCACATTATTTTGTAATACTGAGTTCACAGTCCCGAATGAAGGATTCGACGGATTTGGATCTTGTTGAACAAAATTTTGGAAATTATTTAAAGAATAAGATGATGTTTTCAGAGATTCAGAGAACTGTAAAGTCACACCATGATCCGAAGAAGACATGGTTGGTCCATGAAAAAGAAAATCCATCCAGGAATTTGCAGATGAAATCCATCGAATCATTTCTGACCAAACATACGAAGAGAATGTTCTCAAACCAAAGACATGGTTCTCATCACAAACCGAAGAAAAGGATATGGTGTTGAACATTGAGAGTGTTTTGGTGATGAAGGAGTTCCTTAGAATTTTTTGAATATAATGATTATAATGATGAGAATGTGAAATGACCCAAAGAAAGATGATGATCTCAGTTCTCAGTAATGAGTTTCCAAAAAATTATGTTTCAAGAAGAGTGTGTGTTTTAAAGTCAATGAATTCAATTTCTCTCGGAATGAATGAATGAATGGTGATAGTGATGGTGGTAGAAGCAATTGGTTCAATTCACTTTGATTTACTTGTCGAGACGAAAAGGTCGTGTTGTGAAAAAAGATGCTTGTTGTGTGTGTGAAATTTGATGTTGTTGTTGTGTTGTTGTATAAATAGACACCCACTCTCACTTGCGTCGTTTCTTGTTGTTGAGTTTTTGTTTGTGATGCGTGGATAAATTTAGAGAGGATGTTTTTTTTGCCAAAAAATGACAACAAATGCCAAATGTCATTCTCCAGCACCAACTCGAAAGTTTTCGGCTCTTTCATCCAATCAGAGCATTGTGCAGCGGAAAAAATTTCCAGATGGCACACGATCGTGTGAACAATTTGACGTCAATTAATTGCAAGGTATTTCAGTCAAGTGACTTTAAAAATTTTCATTCATGCTTTTGGTTCAATGATCATTCAATCACTTTATGGCAACCTTAAGAAACACTTCCTAAAAGAGAGATTCTGTCCTTAATGAACAGTTAAGTAGTGGATTGGACAACATGCTGCATGTGGACCTCTGAGGATAATGGAAGATAACACAATTGGATTTTTTCTTTATTGATTGCAATCACTGAATGCAATTCAGTTCGAAACATCTTTGGCAGCAAGCTCAATAACAAGAGTGAACAACCTCATAGATTAAGGAAATCAATAAATTATTATTAGTTAAAGTTTATTTGAAACTCATTGAAATGTTAACCTGTCCAACATGTTAAAACTTTCAATTCGAGGGTTACAAAGTCATCAATACTCAAAGGAGGTCTTTTCAAGAATCACTCAATACACAGACGACGTCTGAGGTATTCCAATTCCACTTAAGTTTGGAATCCTTGCAATGAATCATCCATGTTCTTAATAAATCCCATTTGTTCTAAAATATAACATTCCATTCCGGTTCTCAAACTTGACGCAGAATCAGTGAATAATTCCTTCTTCAACCATGAAGATGGAACATGAGATTTGTTTGGAACAATAAAACTCACTAATTCTCTATTAAATGCTGATTGGAATGCCAATCTTGAAACAGTCCATAAATCAAATGAAGATTCTCTCATGGTCTTGAAGACATCATCCACAGTTCGAATGTGTGCAAATTTCAAAGCATTGTTCTCAGAGACCAATTCGAATCCAGTGCCCAATGAGTTTGGAGAAGCGTTTGGTGACGATGGTGGAGATGAGCTTGCTCGTAGAGATTTCAACATCTTATTGGAGGGAGAATACAAGGAAGAAGTCGTTGTGGTTGTGGAGGAGGTGGTAGCAGAAGAAAAGGAATAATGAAATGTCGAATCGAACTTGTTGAATGATGCAGTCGATAATGACGCAGCACCGTTCAATTCGACATTTCCTTCGTTGGCAGTCAAAGCCGATAATTGAATGGTCAATACATTTAACACATCGGATTCTTTCTGTAATTGCTCTTTTAGCAAGTCGGTTTGAATTCCAAAAAATTCGAAAGGATCCACATGACTCTCTTTCAAGATTTTCATGGTGTCAATGGCTGAGACAACACCAGAGTATTGACAACTTCCATACTTGCATTGTTCAAGTAATGAAACACCGGAAACTCTTTGGAAAAAGTCGGCCAGATTTTTCGATTGACTGATCAGATCCGACAATTTGTGACTCTCTGTGGTCACTGCAGCTGGAGTCTCTGTTTGGCTCTCAGCTGGGAGAGAAGTGAAAGGAGAGGAGGAGGTACTGTTTGGTGTGACGGTTGTGTCTTTAGAGAGGTGTGACGACGTCGAAGATTGAGGATCCGTACTCTTCTTGGTGATTCTTTTGTTTCTGATTTTAATTCGAACATCTCCGTACTTGTTGAACAATTGGGCATAAATGGTTCTCAAAATCAAGAGAACGGAACCCAAGAAGAAGGTGGAAAGTAAAACAACACTGATCATGGTGATTGTGTTGAAGAGGGAGTGGAGGATGATGTAATACAATCAGTAGAGATAATGATGTTGTTGACAAATGACTATTGCCTTATTAAGCAAGAATACAAATATTCACAAAGTTGTGTCGATGCAAACTTTTGAAAGAGTATGTTTCAACACTGCAACAATAGGTAGGATCGTCAATGATGATGAAGAAGGCAGTCAATTATAAAATTTAATTCAAATTGTTGCTTTCCGTTGTTTACCAGAATCAAGGATTGAGGAAATCTCTTCAGACAATCTAAGAGAGAGTTATTGTTGTGGTTGTTGTTTCGGTGTTGTTGTTGTTGTTGTGAGGTGTTTTTTTGTCTTCGACCATCTCGAGAGAGGGGTGTGTGTGCCGACAAACTGAGTGTGGTGCATTCCGAAAATACAAAAGTCCAAAAATGGTCCACAACAACTCGAAAGCCAATTTTCACTCTTGGAATTTGTTCCTAAAACGTTCGGATTGCAATTTCCAGAAGCATCAACATTGAGGTACTGCTACTACTAACTCAATATTCAATGTTTGGAAAGAAATTAAAAGAAAGTCTTTTCACATGGACGATGAAGTGCACAAAGAACAAAGAGCAATTCCAGGAGTGAGCTTGTTGACATGCTGACATTTCCGTGCATTACACATTTTGAATTATTTCTCATTCATGGTCTCTGAAGATTTGTGAAATAACGAACGTTCTTGTGATGGGAGAGATTCTAAACTGTCATTCACTGTTAACATGTTGATGAAGAGAGCTCTCGAACAACATTTTTTGATTATTTGGCCATCGTATGGACTTTTAGGGAAATTTCCCTTTTCACGAAATTAGTGTGATGAGAGACATGACATCCAAAAAAAGAAACAACAAAGAGAGAACAATGATCCCATCGAATTCAACCACCTCCAATAACAACAACAACACCACCACGACGACCAAAAAACAAGAAATACCCTTGTATTGTTCCTCCATTGAAATTGGTGATTTAGATGATGAAATTACTCCCATTTCCGATTTGGGAAATCACTCCTCTTTTCATGATTCGGAAGATGAAATGTCAGATGAAGCAATAATGACAACAGTAGCAACAACACCACAAACCATCTCATGTAGAACCAATGTTCCCGAATATGAAATTAATTTAGATTTATCAGCAAATGAACGTTGGAAGAAATTAATTGAAGATTATAAAGATAAATTTCCAGCCTTGATCAAGTTTTTAAAAGGTAAGAGAAATGCAATAGTTCATGATCCAAATGCATTGGAATATGAATGTTCATGAATGATGATCATGGTTGTTCTTTGTTCAATTCAATTCTTCGTGATCCGATCCAAATTTCAATTTTAATATTTTCATTACTGAACTATATACGTAATGGTGATGATGATGATGATGATTCGTGTACTTTTTACATATTCATCACATATAACCTCAAAACACTCTTAGATGAGATGAATGACGTTCTGGGAGGAGGCATTTGGGCAACTTTTGCTAAAACATTTCTGAACATGCTCTTCAATGTGTTCACCAACTCTGGAGCAGTGTATTATTCTCAAGAACTGAAGGCTGTTGCTGAACAAGCGAATTTACCATTGGGATTGTTGGCATTCATGCAATTGAGTTATGAGCTGTTTGCTTGCTGCACGAGTATTGTGAAGGAAAATTGTGATGGATTTCCGTAAGTTGTATTTTGTTGTTGTATATTGGTTCAATCGATAATTACCCTATGATTTGATATAATAATGAATCATGATTATTATTCATGAATGTGTGGTGGTGATGGATTTTTGAAATTTCTCAACATTAGAATTCATGTAAGGACCATGGATTGGGCAATGGACTTTTTGAAAGATTACACAGTTCAACTTAATTTCACACGAAATGGAAAAACTCTGTTTAAAGCTTCTAGTTGGGTGAGTAAACGATTCTTTTTAAAGTAACTTGGATCATGACAATAAGAATTTGAAAATATGAAATTTAACAGGCAGGATACTTGGGAGTGTTAACAGGATGTCGACCAAATGGATTTTCTGTTTCAATCAATTTTAGAAGCACTGAGGACGGTCACTTTGGAAAGAATATCATCAAAACCATTACAAGGTAAGTGTTTGAATTGTTAAACAAATCGTTACTGAGCTAGGCCTGTATCATCATTGCTGCTAATGCACTTGACAGAGGATGGCCCATCAGTTTTCTTGTTCGAGAAACTTTACAAGATTGTGAAACATATTCACATGCAGTAGCCATTTTGAAAAATAGCAAATTGATTGCACCCGTCTATATTATTGTTGCTGGATGCAAGACCGGAGAAGGAACCATCGTTACACGACAACGAGAAACCTACAGTTCTGATAATTATCTCATTTCACTCAAAGATTTGCACGAGAATACTGAAATTTCAAAACAATACTATTTGAAAGAAGCAAACGCCATGATTCAAGCCAACTCTGATTGGTGGAAAAGCTTGAAAGAAATTAAGGATGAGTGTAACATTTTATGGTCCAGTGAACGATTGAAGAAGGCATTCCAATGTCTAAAGAAAATGCCACAACAGTCCACCACCATCGATACTGTGACTGACATGATCTGCTCCAAGAAAAATCACCCTCTTTTGAATGATATTACTATTTATATTACAGCCATGAATCCAAGTAATGGAGATTATGCAACTATTCTCGTTTAGGAATCATGGATAGGTAGTGAGAATAAAGAATAAAACTCAAACTGCAGCAAAACCATTTCACCAACAACAACAAATATATTTGCAATAATATCTTAACGGAAGAAATGCATCACTTTGTCACTATCTTTCAGAAATTGCATTCGATTGCATCCTTTTTTCATTCCAGAATCTTCCTATTGCTATTTCTAAATGAAAAGAAATTTGCAACAAAGTCTGTGAAATAACGTCCACAAAAGAACAACATTACGAAAGGATTCAGGATATCAAAGAAACAAGAAGGAAATTCTTTTCACAGTTTAATTTGAGCGAAGAGAGTTTGGAACGAGGTAAAATTAACACAAACAGAATTGTGATGTTATATAATTCAAAGACGGAGTATCAGAAGTTCCAACAACATTACCCATTTTCATGCTTCTATGTATCGTGACGTTTTGAAAATTTTGAAGAGCACAAAAAAGAAAGTGTTGTTTGGATTTCGAAATTAATCTACTTTCTCATGTCACTCATGATCATCCAGAGGTAGAAATTATTAGACTCACCAAGGATCCTATGAGTACAGAAATATTATTGAACTATGCTTTAATTGGAACCAATGGTATTTAAGATTCAACAATTGTTGAATGTGCTTGTTTTTCATCTTAAAATTTTTTATTTAAAATAGATTTAAAATTAATCATCTTTTATTGCTTTTGTTCTCTTGGTTCAATCATCAAGGATTTACTCCAAATTACGTCATCAGGTAGCAATAATTGCGATCTCTCACTTTCTAACATGTTACTGAAATCAAATGTTTTCTGTAGGAAAGGAATTGGTATGAAATCATACAAAGTTTGTTGTTGTGTCTTAATTCGTTGAATGACTTCAGCAATTTTTCTTCTCTTGGCAAAATTAATCAATTGCAAATCAGATCCTTCCTTGGTTATGTAATCCTTATTACCATCTTCAATAAATACCATGTCTGTTAAATAAACTCCAATATAAGGTAACCCTTCTCCACTTCTTGACATATGATCTCTCATATTTTTATAGGAACTGGTCATGGACACCAATTCGTTCAATTGCTTCAATCGTTCACTTTCAATGTCTCTCTTAGGAATAGCTTCCCATGTCTTTTTAAGTCTATGAATGCCAGCATTGTTGAAGGCACTCACAATCGAATTGCAACCATTCAAATTATTTAAATTTTTGCATTCCCAAGCAACATTGATCCATTGTTTCACTTTTCTCACTCGCTTCTTAATGTTCTCTTCACAAACAATATCCGATGCAACAAATGTACTCAAGTTGTTAAATTGTTCGGTGAGATGTGAAATATTTGGAGCACGTGTCATCTTATCCTTCTTGGTCCAACCAAGTCCAAAGAATTCTTTTGGTTCAATGGCTGTGAAAATATTACTTTCTAAAAGAGTAATTTGTTTAGCAATTTCACTTGGTTCCCATTGTTTGATGTTGAATGGTTTCTTTTCATCTGCTTCACTCCATTTCGATGGATATCGAGGTTGAGCTCGTTCTCTACTGAACATTTTTTCAAGTTTCTCTCTTGATTCTCCATTGTTAATTAAATTTGCTTCAATTCTTTCCTTAATCTTGTTGGCAATACTAATGTAACCAGAACTAGATTGTTTTTCCATTTGGCACAATCTTCCTACTTGTCGATAAATAAAGTTCATCATGGAGGCATTCAAATGATTATTGAAATCATAGCTGTGATCTTGAACCCACACTCTAATCGTGTTTAACATTCGAAGTACAAGACTTGCCATCTTCTTGTTGATATCTTGATTAATGAGAGGAAGCATGTGATATTCAAAATAGCTCATCATTAATGTCAACAATGTTTCAGGAGTACAGAAGGATCTGTATGTGACAAGGAAAGTATTTGTGAAATTGGAATCTTCACTAATATTTTGATCACAAACTCTGGCAACCAATCGATTGAGAGTACTGGCCTTAATTTTGTTTTCCTCATCGAGAATGATTTCATTTTCTGCATCCGTCGCTTCGTCAAATAATTTCGATAATTTATGAATAGTGATGATATCTGATTCATAAACCTTCTCTAATACATTCATCAAGGAATTAGAAATAGAATTGTCATTTGTGGAATCGTTTCCAGAAAGAAAAGATTCTAATGTTGATGCAGAAAATTCCTTTCCAAGTAAAAGAGCTCCATAAAGCCATTTCCAATAAGTATTATTTGAGTTTGCTCTAAAAATAGAGGTAAATTCTTGAACGTAATTTGTCACAATTTCCACAGATGTTGAAGTCAATTCTAGAGCCACTTTCTTTTGATTTCCAAGCGAGAATTGTTGCAACATTCTTGCAATAATGAACATCATGTATTCGATGAATTGCTTATCACCAAGATTGGTATCTGTGTGATATTTTGCGCCTTCAGAATCTCGAATATCCAACTTTATAAACGAAGACAAATCTTTGTGAGTTGGTTCAAATAATTTCAAATTGTCAGAATGGTTGGCGATAATTTGTGAAACTCTAGGATGAGCAAGGTCATTCACTAGACTAAAAATGTCTTGAAAACATTTAAAGCTATTCATCTCAAATTTGTTTCTACCTCTCAATTCAAATTGATCAATGTAGAATGCCAAGAGTTTGATAAAGGCATCGAGTTTGTCAGAGCTTTTCATCCATTCTGTAAAGAAGGAAGAGTTTAAGTTGGAAAGAATCCATAAACAACATTTCAAGTGTTGTTTCAATGTCATTTCTGGAATTGTCTCCATTGAATTCAAATTTTCGAGAACCATTACCACATAAGGGAAGAATATTCTTGCGAGAAGTTGAAGTCTCTCTTTGGATGCATTTTCTTGAGATAAATATAAACATTCCTCTTTGGTAAGAATATACCTCAAGACCTTCACAGCGCTGTTGTGAACATCAATTTCAGATTTAAATTTTGTCACACAATCTCTCAAAATATTTGTCAACAACTTGAATGGAGGACACAAAATGGACTCATGGTGAATGTACTCTTTTGGATGATAATTTGCAAAGTTGAGCTTCATAAATTGAGGAAAGTCACAAAGAATTTGTAAAAAGTCAATTCCTAATTTGATAGTGTTAATGGTGACAGTCTTTTTAACCACAAATTCTCGGAAATAAATTTCCATCAAATCAAACACCAATTCTGATTTCATTTCTCCACAACCTAATAAATCTCTAAAGAAGAATGCCAATTGATTATTAATTTGAGAAGCAACAAAGAAGTTTGCAAAATCATCCTTATAAAATACTGCTTTCTCGGCAAGAACACCAATAAGTTCCTTCAAAAGTAATGAAAATTTGTATCCATGATCATTGATTAACGCTTCTCGTTCTCTTTCAGATAACAAATTATATTGAACTTCACTCATGTGCGATCTACTGGCTGTCTTTTCTCTCTGACACAATAAATAAGACTTGAGAATTAAATCCAAGAAGAACCATGAATAATTAAGACTTTCATAATAAACAGGAGCTGAACCAATGGCAAACAAACTCATATTCATAGAGTAGCTACTTCTATTGTTTTGTGATGTTGATGCAGATTTGTCTGTATCATTATTCAAACTGCTTCTCTTAGTGTTTCCAAACATGTCTTGAATGGATTTTCGGAGGATTCCACTTCCAGCACGCCTTCCTGAACCTTCAGATTGATAAATATGTGAAGGCAGGCCCTCGTCATCCGTTGGAACTGAAACTGTGAGAGAATCATCAGCCTTTCCAAGTACATCTGTGAATAGTTCAATTAAATTGACATAAACTGGAGATTGAGTCATGACAATGTCCTTGAACACATAGTTCACATAGGTATTGAGAAGCTTGTTAGATCGATCTGCACAATCGGTAATAACGGCTGCTCCTTTTAACATGGAGACAATTACTTGGAAGACTGTTTTTTGCAAATCAAAAAGCACATTTGAAACTCCAAGGAAATCGAAAAGATCTCCTTGATTTTGGCTTTCCCTAGAGGCGCTTAAAGTTGAAGTGGTAAATGTAATGCTCTTTCTTGTAGTGCTACTGTCAGCAGCAGTGATTGGAGGTGAACTTTCAATGGGTGATCCAGCTGTGGCACCATCTGTTGATTTGTGTCGATTAAACAATCGATCTGTGAGTGACATTCTTCTCTTCACTTTGTCATTCTTGGCTTGGTTCTGCTTTTGGTCAAACAGAGAGGATGATGTGTGACTGATGTCTTGTTGAGTAGAGTTGTTGTATTGTTCTTGTTCTTGCTGAGCTTTCAAATATTCCAATAAATTAAATCCTTCCTCTCCAGGTTGTGCAACACATTTGACAACTTCATTTTGTGATTGTTGTGGTGACGGAGTGATACCAGTATCTACTTCTTTTGATTTTCTTTTCAAAATATTCTTAAAGGAAAATCTCTTTTGGAGTGTTGATTTAGGTTCCTTCATGTCCTTGTTTTCAGGAGAAGGAGTGGAATTAGGCGATGATGATGAATTATTTGTGAACGATTTTCTCTTAGCTGCTAAAATTGAACTCTTCAATATTGATCTACGATCACCTGCCCCTGAGCTTGAGGAAGCTGAGCTAGAAAGAGGAGGTTCCATTCCGAAACGAGCCGAGATGGATCTCAACATTTCATCTTCTGTAGAAGAAGATCCTCCACTGACAGCAATATTCATGGTCGATTCTCCAAACAACGCACTCGATCGTAATGTTTCTTGCAAATGTTCAGCCTCCGTAACAAATGAATGTAACACATCAGGAATTCGACACATCACGCTCAATAGCATATCCATAATGAGTGTGAAGTGACTCACAATTTTCGAGAAGGGAACTTTCATTAAATTTTCAATCGATCTCCGACAATCCTTAACAGCTCGTGTGAGCTCTTTCACTTGTCCTGTTGATCCATCCTTAATGATACTAATGAATGGTGCACAATCGGCAAAGAATTGAAGAAGTAATTTCTCATTGGGATAAATCGTGGAGCATACTCGAGCGTTACACAAGAAGGATATTTTTTTAGGGTCGTGACGCTTATTCTCGAGTGATATTAATTGATTGGAGCTTCCAGCATTCATATTGACACTCAATCGTTTGGCATCCGAGAGATAATTTCCAGTCAGTTTTTGATAGATGGGAAGTGAATATGTGTATGTGAAATCTGTCATCTTTGAGCAGTGATTGTCTACAATATCTTTGATGGTGAGAACGGAGTATCCAAAACAAATTTTTGGAACTTGTCCATCATTTCCAAGTGTTTTCTTTCTCTTTTGACCTTGTTTTTCAATGACTAGATGATATAAAGAAATCACCAAATGGTTCTCCTTTTCAATTGGAAGAGGCAGTGCAATTTTGATTTCATCAATAAATCGAATAACGTTATCACAATCATACAGCACGTTGCAATAAATTTCCGAAACTAAGGATTGTCCAACTGGAGAAATAATTCTTGGAGCTGGTTTTCCAATGGCTTCCATGTATTCAATTTTCACAAGTGCATTCTTAGCTTTGAACTTTTTGATCGACAGACTCTCTAAAAGCGCCATGTCAGCATCCAAAGATGACAGATTTTCAACTTTAAATTTGTCAATATTCAATGAAACGGGAGAAACATAAAGTAGATGCGAAAAATCAAAGTGAGGGAATTTTGGAAGCTTTTCATGCAATTCTTCGATTCTGTATGATTGATAATTCAAATTTTCGAGTGAGGCGCAACATTTTTGAAGCTCCTTTTCTTGTTGAGGATCCTTTGGATTGAGAATGGACATGTTTCTCAACTGAACTTTTTGAATGACTTCCTCAAGAGAAATCAAAGAACTTGTGGTGAACAGTGGTTTTTCTAGTTCAGATCCGAACAAGAGCAGTCGTTCAATAGGATCGCTCTCAAACTTTTTTGGATTAAATTTGTAAGTTTCAAACACTAGATATCCAGGAACGGCCTTGAGTTTTTTCAGATTTCTTCTCATGACATCTGTTTCTGTTTGAAGCAATTCTTTGAGGTCGCTACATTCACGACTCGAGTGTGGTGTGTGAAAGGAGAGAACATTTTCAGTGTGTTGGCTAATAATTTCACACAATGCGTCCACGTATGAGGCCTGTCGTTTTGAACTCACTGTGGCTTCTCCACTTTCTGTCTCTACAGCAATTTGTGGAGTAATGTGTTGAAAGAGTACATCTATTGGTAAAAAGTATTTGAAGGCATGAATACCGTTTTCTTTGACAGGACAGAACGAAAATAAAAATGGTTCTTTGTGAACCTTTAAACCTTGAAAGTCATCGAGAGGAGTTGGTTGTGATTGTTGACACTCGGATTGGGTATCTCTGACAAGAGTATGATTCTTTCTTCCGGCGTGATGTTGTTTGAGAATGTGTTCTGAAGTTGCTCCTTGTAATGTTTTGTACACGAAAATCACAGCATAAATATCACAAAGTTGTTCTCCTTTCAAAACATGTGACAAGGAGAATAATGCTTTTGGTTGTTGATCCAATTGTTTTTGTAACTGTTTTTTAACATCCAATTCATCATAAAAACCATTGACCATTTGGTGTGAAATCATGTGGAAATAAAACCTTTCACTCAATTTGGCTTTAGTTTTTGCATTAACAAGTTCCAATGAAAGAAAATAGGGCTCGAGTTCACCAGCTTCCAAACGGAATCGATAAAATTTAGTGAGTATGTTCAATTGACTGTTTTCAAAGTTCATGTGTGATCTCAACCTCCAGTATTGTGATTTAAAATTCTACTTACTCTTCCATAAAGTCATTTGGATGGTATGTCATTCTACGAGTGACAAATTCAAAAACATCTCTTGCTTGTTCGTAGTAGAGTAAATTCGTAGTCTGCGTGTACGAGGATGGTTTGGTGTCACATCGGTTAGCATCCAAATGGGAATATTTTATCCAAATATATCCAAAACGGGTCTAAAAACAACTTACATCAGCATTTTGTGGCAAAACATTCACACTCTCTTTTTCATCATGTTTTAACACTGTGAATTCACCATTATATAAATGCAAACAATTCTTTGCAAATAAATCCTGAATGGCATTGTCATCTCTCTTTTCAATAAAGAACTTGTTGACCGTCTTTGATTTTTCAACATCAATGTGCAACGTTTCCGAAAGTTTACAATATTCTTGTCCATTATGATCGAGAATTGTGCTCTGATTTGGAACATTTTCTTCAAAATACTTGTAATCATTTTCTGGAGTATGTTTCACATTCTTGAGTTGACCACTTGTCGAGGAGGAGGAAGAGGCATTATTTACAAATGAAATTCCATTATTGACGACACTGCCACCACCTGTTGGAGAAGTAGGAATCGTCACCACCAGATCAGAATTTGTAGTTGAGCTGGTCGTTGCGATCGAGGTGGAGGAACCTTCCACCACCGTTCCGACACTCGTGGAGTGACCATTCCTTTCATTCGCCAACACAATTCCATTATTGATCAGACTTGAATGTCTCGCAGCTCGACTGTTTGCTCTTGATTGTTTATAAGTGTTAAACAAGGCAGCCGTTGATGAGGAGGAATTGGATAACGATGAATGTGAATGAGTTGTTGTGGTGGTGGTGGTTGTTGTGGTTGTGGTTGGAAGAGTCGTCGTCATCATGATGTTGTTACTACTACAAGTAGTAGTGGAATTGGGAGAATCAATTCTTTGAGAGCATGGTGATGAAACCATTGTTGTTGAAGATGATGATAGGTCCATATTCACCATGGATGATGTCGTAGATTCATCATCGTGTGGTTCAAGATCGTGATGATGATTGGATGAACTTGTCAAAGCACTATCATTCGTTGATGATTCATCAAAAAGTTGTTGTTGTTGTTTGATAAAGTCGTGAGGAGTTGTCGAGTGATGATGATGGTTCTCTTCACCATTATTGTGGTCGTCATCATCTTCATGAATCAAAGAGTCGTAAGGAATGTTAATGGTTGGAGTGTTCAAGTCCACAACTGTGGATGATACTTGGAGTTGTTGAGAGGATGAAGCACTGTGATGATCGTGTGCTGATGGTGGTGAGGATGAATCATTATATTGGAGCATGGTGTATTTTTTTGTTTTAGAAAAAGTGTCACTTGTCATTTACTTTGGCAAAAAACTTCAACGACCTTTTTGTTTGGGAATTGATTGATTTATTCGGTAGATCCCTACAAGATCAATTTTTCACTTGATGCCAGCAGGATCTTATTAACAATATTGTGGATCCACTAAATAATTTACCTTGCTTTCGTTTAAACATTTTGCATGAATTTGTTGCTTTCACTGCCTAATAAGGACTTCTTTTGCGAGTTGTTGACATTTGAATGTTTTTTAATGGAGCGTTGATGGGTACAACGAAGAGTTGATCCCAATAAATTCAAGGTGGGTCTTGGGAAGTCAAATTTTTCATTCTCGCGAAACCTTAATGACATGATATTATATTTATTAAAATGCTGTCACTAAAATTGTTGGTTGTGAGTTAATCATCGAAAAGTGCTTGCTGTAAAATCAATTCGAGACACTTTCAGAACATTAGTAATATAATTCCAGCACAATCAAATGAATAGAAATTCCAAACACAGGTATGATCGAGAAATTCCAAAATACTCCACCCGAAATTAAGTTCACGTCGTATCAAATAGCTTGTCTTTGGGCACAAGTTTCATAATCTTAAAGCTTTTAACAACTTTCTTCTTCATCTTTCATTATTTCATCCTGAGGTAATGTTTTTAACACAAATGAATCGAATGGTGAAGATTCTCCTTCAGTATCCAGAGCAATATTCGTCTTGTCATCAAACATCCAATGTCCAACGTTATAAAATACTCCCATCAAATTAATAAATAGTCCTCTGTACAATGGTGGAATTACTAATCCAAATTCATGAAATTTTTGAAACATGTATTCGTGTCAAATCTTACCTAAAAAATTCACAAAATTGGAAATTGGAAAATATTTCATCACATGAAAATGTGTGGACTGAAAATCGTCATTGAATTTGTTTGCAATCATTTCTTGATAATTCGTGTATTCTGTTCTGTGCCACTGGACAAATGTTTCCTCATTCCAAATATAATCCAAACTGCCCATTGTGAACAAGTACATGGAAGTCACAAAGAGTGAATAGCTTGCTTGTTCAACAAGGACTCTTTTTGCACTCCACACCAATCTAGAGCTATTGAAATAATTTTTCCATAATGATGATCTTGTTCCTTGTTGAAAGATTACCTTGTGGCAGCCACTGGAAGGCAATAATTTATCCAACGTTCGAAACCAATAATGTAAAGATGGGCCCAATAATAGAGTACCATAGAGGAAGAGTTTGATAGATCGAGAGAAGGAGTGAGAAGAAGTTTTGTTGTTGTCAGCGTCGGAAGTGTTCTCCGGCATCAGGTGTTGAAATTTTGTTCGTAATCGGTCTTGTGTGAAAAAGTCTCCAATGACGGTACAGAATCCACATGTAAGTCCTTTCGTCTTGACAGGATGTTGTTGCAGCATTTCAGTGTAGAATTGCCAAGCAGCACGAGAGAAGGTGTGAATACGGAATGCCATTTGGTGATGACTCGAAATTTTTTGTTGAATTTTGCTGAATATTGTGACAACTGGCAAGTGTGAAATAAATTATTCTTTATATTACAATAAACGCTGTTGAGAGCTTGAACTCAATCATTTTCAAAACACAAATGCCTTGTGGAATCTCCAAGTTGGAAATATCAGGGACAGTCTCTCTATAGACAAGTCTGTTTTCTTTCTCGTACCTTGTTTCCAGTTTTTTAGACTCTGCAAAAATTCTTCGTGTTTCATTCATGAAAGGATTACTCTTGGAAATTTCATCCTAATGAAATGATGAATAGAAAATGCTGAATTGAGAAAACTTACAAAAACATCCATTTCTTCTAATTGCTTATTGGCGTTCACTATATAACAGACGGAAATACCGCTCTTGCTAATCATAAAGTAAATACATAAATCTCTGAATGACTTTTCTATTACTTACCCATTCTGATTTGCGTCAAGTGCGAGGTAATATAATGTAATTCCTCTGTACAAAATGCGGTATTGTGCACAAATTAATCGTAGCTCTGTATCTAAAATACTTCCCATATTTTCTAAACCTGTTGTCGTGCTCTTATCGTTCTGATTTTTCAACTTGGTATCCAATGTCATAAAGCTCTGCTGGGCATGATCAAAAGTTTTGTACACTGAGACACTTAATCTTGCAATCATTCCAGAGGACTTGCCAGTTGCTATGGCGGTATGAATTGCAATTACTTGACCAACTCCTTGCGCATATTCCATGAGGCCTTTAGCACATAAAACGTCCAGTTCAGGAAGAAGAGGAAATGAAGATTTTGGAAAGGATAATTTTGTGTGGATGGTTGGGAAAATTGGAGAGTATGAGGAATTAACTGGACTAGGAACTGGTGAGGATCCATTTGAAGATGTTGCAGATATTTGTTGCAAATGAGAACTATCTTGTCCGCTGACATAGTTGACAAGTCCATTAGTCGCTAAATAATTAAAAACCCCCCATGCTTTTCGGAGAAACAGTGCCGCATCTTGATATATTTCAATGATAGAATTGTTGTCTAATAAATTTGTTGTTTGTTTGATTTTCTCTGATGCTAAATTACATAATGCAAATCCATAAGTATATACGATCATGATCACTTCAAAAGTAATGAGTCTGGAAGTAAAATACTTTTTCGATTTCATGAATGACTTATTTTCCTCTCCTAATATCCCACTGGTCCATTCGAAAAGGACAGCATCCTTGTCTTTCAGTTCTTTTTGAGATTTGAGTTGTTCGTTCTCGGTGGCATGTAAAATACCCGTGAGATATGGCAAATACTTTTCAATGGCCTATTTGATGACGACATCACAAATAACAATCAAACAATTTCAATAGTATCCAAATGATTCGTTTCCATTCGTTCCGATAGGAGTTGTATCATCAGAATAATAATTTGTATCACCAAAACGAATGGTGATGAGTTAAACAAACACATCCGAATCCAAAAATCATCACCATGTTATTACACCATCATCATCATCAGATTCATCAATGATTATTATTGTAATTATAATTATTGTAAAATTACTGTATTTCAATAACTAAAACCTACAGCCACAACCACCTGATAAGGCTTTGCTTTGCTCATGGCCATAATCACATGATCTCGCGCTCTCGTCGCTTCCTTCAAATTTTCCTTTGTCATGTTATAGGCCTCCTTGGAAGTACCCGACACATACGAAGGTTGTAACTTTTCCAAATTCACCTTCTTGGTGTGCGGAAGTGAGTAGTCATGTGGCAGCACTGTCATTTTTCTTTTTTGATGATTTTGATGTGTTTAATGGGACGATGATGTTGATTCTCGAAGAATTGACGTATGAAAAGTGTTTCAATTGAATCCTTGGCGTGTTTGCATGTTTAATATTCAATAATTTATTCACCACAGAATGAATATCACCCTGTTCGAGTTAGATAAGAGCACACTAGTTGTGAGCTCACCTCAATATCTTCTTATCATTCACGCTATCATTCAATTCATGAAAACAATGTGGCCACAGCCGAGGTCATTCAATTAACATGCGTTGTAGTATTTGTGAATGGCTGATGCTCCTTCCTCTTGAAAGACATGTCTTGTCATGGCAAAACTTGAGGCAAAACTACTCTCGCCAGCATCCGCTCGATCAAAATGAACAAAGTCTTGAAATGAAGCCAAAATGGAGGATCCAATGAAGGAACTGCATTCAGCTCGTAGAGATTGGTGTTGATCTTTGGAAATGGGATTGGTCTTGGATTCGTGGTGATGTGAATCATGATTGGAACATGATGAAACTTTGACTTTGGTTTGAGATAATTGAATGTTCTTGTGGAGAGCTAATTGTCGTTTGAGATCTCGCAACATTCTTCCTTCGATTCCATTGAATAAACTTGAACTTCCACTCAGTACAATGTTTCCAATTAATTGTTCTTGAATATTGGTGTCAGAATTGAATTGAGAAATGGAATCGTGTATCAATTCGTGAACACCTTTCCAATTACTTGCTAAAGAAGAGTTGTTCGATGGATGTGTTGTATTAAGAGCAAGTTTCTTAATCGATGCAGAACGTCCTCTCTTAACAGGAGAATGACTCAGATTCGAGAGAGTCACCAAACTGGGTTGGAAATAAATTTCACACGAGACGAATTTCTCTCTTCCAATGTGAAGAATTTTTCCATCTGGTAACTGAAAGGTCGTGGTGCTCTCTGATTCGTTTTTCTCAAATTTTGAAAATTCCTTTGAATAATCTATTGCAATATAACATAAAAGTTTCTTGACATCATTCACACATTCTCGTTCGACACTTGTACTAATTTTGATGGATTGATTTTGTGAATTTTCTTGTAAGAGTTTGATTAAATGTTCTGTAACTTCTCCACCTACAAATATTCGTCACATCCATTGATAGGAATTCCAACACAAATGGATCAATTAATTCCAATAGAATCTCTACATCTCCAATATGTTGAACCTACCTCCAAAAGGTAAATAAAAGTGTGTTGGTTTTTGAGAATCCTCATGTACAAAATTTGCCACACCATCAATAACAGCCAATCCACTAGTCGTTGCATGACCAAAATCCACACAAAATCCAGTTGTTTTTCCAACTGAATACAAACTCATGACTTGAGGTATTGCCACATAAAGAAATGGAATTTGAAATTTTTCAAAAAACAATTCAGTCATTCGTTCTCTATATTTCTCAACTTCTCGACTCGATTCCAATAAATGATACAGGGAAATATTCTCATTGAACAAAATACCATTCTCTTGACTCTTAACTCTAAGTAAATTTTTGAAAATATACGAATACATATTTTCCATTTCATCGAGTGATATAATTACTCCTCTCTCTACTGGATTTAAATAGGTGTAATTTGAAGAACCAGTCGTGGATGCTTGACTTTGATAACCCATTGGAGTACACAGTGAAAAATCATGATGACGAGAGGATTTGCTATTAGACTTGTAATTTCCAACAGGATGATGATGATTGTGTGAAATTTCATTCTGTAATTTCAAAGCATCCGATCCATAGGCATTATGTTGAGAATATTTTGAATGTTTTGCAATAATTGTTGGAATAATAAATTGCGGTAAATCATTACCTGCTAGCCCTGTCTTGATATTTTCTGTTCCCGGATCAAGAATCACACATCCCTGTCCATGAATGTTAAAAGGAATAACAGAATTTTCTGTTTGTTTTGGAATTGAAATATAGTGTGATGAAATACTTGGTTTGGAAGAATGTGACGATGGCAAGGATGGATTTCTCACAGCCTCTAACTGCAGATTGGAATTTCGTTTCGTCTTCTCAAAGAAATGTTCAGGGAATAAACGTGACATTTTTTTGACATTTCTTTGCAGTGAGAGAAGAAGCGATCCCAAAAGGACAATAATTGGCAGGAAGAATTATTCGATCCATTGTCAATTATCGGCTCGCTTAGAACTTTATCTCATTTGAGCTAAAAGTCGCTTTCATTGTTGTTCTCAGACAAACCTTTTGAAAAAAACAAAAAATCTTCTTTTAGGAACTGATTGGTCCTTTAGTTTGCTGTTCCAAATTGCCATCATCAAGAATCAATTTTCTCATACAAGTTCAAAGCGAGAATTTTTGTTATTTTGAAAGATTATTGAAATAATATCAATTAATTGATTAATAATTAATTAATAATTTAATAGTGATACTGACATTTGTGATGATCAGGTTGAACTACATGAACAGCAGCAGCGGAAATCAAATTTAAAACTTCTGTTCCGAATTGAATTTTCAGGCTTTTCATATTATTACGATTATCAGTTTTTCATCAACAACAATAATACCACAGCTAACAACAACCACTCAAGCGATAATTAAAAGAACCAACAGCGAATCCTGGCCATATATTGAAACTACCTTTTCCATGAATGGAGCAACAAGTAAGAACAACAATCGAGAATCATCATCATCGCTCCTACTCAACGAAACCTATTATTCCATCCAACAAGTAGAAGAACCACCCATCTCACCAATCACCACCACCAACAACAACCACCATCCGACCTTTCATAGCTATTCTGGCACGAGAATGAATTCATCACGACGCCATTTTCCTTTCAATAGTAATAATAACAACAATAACAACAATTCAACCAACTTGTCCCATTCCTATCAAATCACCGTCCAATCCACCACTCCCAATCGGAATATCATCCACCCGAAACCAAAAACTTCCCATCTTTCTACTTCTTATAATCCATATAGAAATGAAGCCTTCTCTCCGAATAGTGGCCATTCTTCAAGATTACATCAACCTCCAATGGGATCACTTTATACAAGTTCTTTTGAGGATAAACATCATACAAGTGATTATTTTGAGGATGTTGAGGAAGAGGAGGACGACAATAATTTGAATCCTAATAATACACCCATTGTGGTCAATGATGGAAATGATAATTATTATGCAATTGGAGCTGGAGAAGCAGGGTTTTATTATGACATTGATGACAACAATGTTGGAATGGGGCCTTTGGAACACGATGATGAAGATGAGGAAGCTGCCTTATTGGTGGATGGAAGTCCACAAGATTATTACAAAAATAATAATAATTATCAACACATTGATGAGAACGCAGGTAATAATAGAGCACAAATTAGACGTATACCGAATACGAATATTTCGAAAAAGGTCAATAAGCCTGAAGCAAGTTCATGGCTTTCAAAATTATGTTGTTGCTTTAGACAACGATCTCAAAAAAAAGATTTTCAAAGAATGTTCAAGTTTGAACAATTGTTTTGGAAAGATCAACAACGAAAAGCACTCTACAAAAAAGATGCATCTACATGGAGACTATTCTTTGTGACAATGTGTTTTTGTGCTCTTCAGTGTTGTTGGTCTTTACAAATTGCTCAGCTGACACCCTTAGTTTTAGAAATGAATTTTCCTAAACTGTGGATAACGATCGTGTGGCTATGCGGCCCAATTTCAGGAATTTTAGTTCAACCCATTGTGGGTATTTGGTCAGACAAATGTAGAAGTAGGCTAGGAAGAAGAAGACCATTTATTTTGACAGGTGCCATATTTATTATATTGTCACTGTGCTTTATTGCAAACTGTTTAGACATAGGATATGTGCTGGGAGACACAGCAGACTATAGTCCCTGGTCCCTTACTTTTACGATATTAGGATTTTGGGTACTAGATATCGCAAATAATACATTACAAGGTATGCACTTAATAATTTCAATCATTTCACCTAAAATGACGCAATGATGTGCTTTACTGAACAAAAGGTCCCTGCAGAGCTCTTGTGGCCGATATTGCAACACAGAACAAGCAAGATATTGCCAATGCTTGTTTTACCTTCTGGGTAGGGCTTGGCAACATTATTGGCTATGGTAGTAGTATGATTGACTTTTCCCAATTCATACCCATGTATGCCTCCCCAATCTGTCACAAAAATTGTGTCAATTTGAAAGTTGCTTTCTATATTGCAGCTGTTAATGTTGTATTATGCTGTACTTTTACTCTACTATTTGCAAAAGAATATACTCTGGAATCATTAGAAAACACAATTACACCTACGAACAAGAAAAAAGAAGCTTCTCGATTGAAAGAAGAGGACATGATATTTTCTAAAAGACTGAAGAGATTTTGCTGTCATCCCAATCCACTCAAAAGACTCATTGATTATATTTATAACATACCGCGAGTCATGAAAATACTCTGCTTATTTCAATTCTTTTCATGGATAGGTTGGTTTGCATTTCTGGTCTATATTACAGATTGGGTTGGAGAAAGTGTTTTCAGAGGGAATCCTGATCCACAGCATCCTGCCTATCAACTTTATGAGACAGGTGTCAGATTTGGATCCATTGGTCTTGCTGGCTTTTCTATTGTGAGCATGTTTATATCACCATTTATTCCAAGACTCTCTAAAAACTATGGTACTAAGGCATTGCTATTCTTCTCTCAAGTATTTTTGAGTTTACTGTTGTTGATGACGTTTTTTATCAGAAACAAATATTGGGCAATAATTCTGATTTCCTGTTTTGGTTTACCATTTTCCATCACGAATACTCTGCCCTTTACCATATGCTCAACAGCTGCCAATGACTTTAATAAGGGTACTTTTATGGGTATTCTGAACATTTTCATTGTGGTACCTCAATTGATCATGTCTCTATTTAACCCTTTAGTGGTTTATGTTTTTAATGGATATACAGTAGCAACATTGGTAGGCGGTTCGATTTCAAGCTTATTCTCATCTGTTTTGGTTTGCTTTATCCGCATTAGAAAACCAAAGAGAAATAATACGACGAGAAAGAGACGATTCAGTCAGTTCTGAAGACCAACAAGGTGTCAATTTTTTTGGTGAATTCACAAATCTTCGTTTTTCAACAAATTATTTATTATAAAGCTTTTGATATGCTTGTGTCAGGAAAATGCGAAGTTTGTTTGATTTTGGGAATGATTGTTTATTTCTGCAGATTCTTGAATAAGAATTGAAGATTGTCGAGAACATCAAATTTGCGTTCACTCTTCATCGGTCTCTTAAATCCTTTCACTTTCAAAATCTTGATCAACAACAAGGTCAGAGCGAAATTTAGAATTAAATATTTTCACTTACATGCTGCAAGTTAAGATTGAGAAGTATGATAGCTTTGTAAAATTTTGTTCGCTCGCTTCCTCTAAGCATAAATAATGGTAGTCTATGCATAAAATGAAAGAATAAAGTATTATATACATCACCAAACTCATAATTCCACTTACAAAACATTTTGATCATTTTGTCCTTCCTCACTCACAAAACTTCGTGAAGATAGCGCGTAAATTTGGTATTTAAGGGGAATCTGGAATAACTTTGATAGTATACGAACGCAATGAGCGACAAAACCAAGAGCACTTGCTGCTTCATCATCATTGTTTGGTTGTTCTCCTCTACAAATTGTCAATCCGTTAATATACAAATCGTTGGTTTGTTTTTGAGGATGAGGGCCAATCATATAAATGCTGCTCAATTGCTGAACGATCATTGCTTGTCTATGTCTAAACTTTTGCTCTAAAATGGATAGTTCTTCCTTTTGTGTAGAAAGAAAACCTGCTTGCTCTCGTGACAGCGACAAACGCTGCTCTAATAAATCTTGTTGTGACTCTAGTAATTGTTGATGCTTCTCCTTCAAATCACGTTTCTTTTCTTCAAGTTGGTTTTTCCTTTTATCGATCGATTCTTTTGTCTGTTGAATCACAGCGTTCAATCTTTTTATCCTACTTTTTCTAAGAGCTATTTGTTGTGTGATTTCAATTATTTTTTGCCTCTTTTCTATCTCTTTCTTAATATTGGCTTGAATCTCTTCAATAGTGAGTTGAGATTCTTGTATGGCCAATTGAGTGCCACATAATTTTTCGACAGCATGTTCCAACTCTGCCAAACTGACTTCGTGCGATGACTGATCAACTCTAAAACTCTTTCTCGTGATTTTTTCATTACCCACACCATGTTTTTTGAGAACTGCATCCAAGTCTTCTGAAATAAAAACCCCATCAACAAACTCTAATAAAATGCAATTAATGGGTAGCTCAGTAATTATTAAATCTTTCATAGTCACTCCTACAAAGTTCAAATGATTAAAATCAAAATGCTCTTCGCAAATAAATTCCTCTTCCAAGTCAATATTTGGATGGGTCGTCTCTTGCAAATGTAATATCGACTGGTTCTGCAACGAATGTTTGACGGAATATATTTTAACAACGAGGTCAGTAATTTTGCTCTCAGTATCTGTCGGGTCGTTTTCATCATCTTCTGAAAATTTAGGATTAACATTTAATTCAAAATTCCAAGATGGGTTCTAATGTTCAAATAAGCAATCTATCAATGAATTTCAACAAATAATAATATACTTACAACTGATTGTTCCAAAATTCCAGTCCTGAATAATAATTCAAGATCTGAGCCATCTTTTTCCTTTCTGATATAAACGCTAGCAAATGAACACACAACATCGTTGCTCCGGATATTTCTCACATGGATTGCTCTTAAGTGTCTCAAACTACGCTGTTTGGGTTTTAAGAAAAACTTGAAGGACGTCTTTGTGGTCTTTTGCGTATTATCCGGCATGATAAGAGAGGATGACATTGGTGAATCCGATAAATTATTCAACGGAGTTACGAGATCATTCATCTTTCTGGGTTGATGAGTGGGCGTTATTGAAGAAAGAACACTTGAATGAGAGGTTGTAGCTAGTGAGGTCGTAGAATGAGCGTTACTTGTCATTCCGTTTGTTCCTGGAATTAATTGTTGTTTGTCATTATTAATATTCTCTACGGAAGATAAAACCTGTGAAGCTAATGGACTCGTTGATGCTGTTGAGGAAGACGACTCTGAGCCATCATAAGAGCCACACACGGGTTGAGAGTCCATCGTCATGGAATTTTCAACATGATTCCGAGAATTGTCCATGGTTAGCTCGGTTGGATTGGATGGTGGTGTTGATGAAGATGATGGTGGAATTTCTTCTTTTGATGATTCTTCGGATGATGATGATTGCATTTTGTTAGGCTGAAAATAATATCATTGAATTGTTGTTGTTGTTATTTATATTATTTATAAGTCCTTGTTCTTCTTGTTGGATAAATATTAAATTTGTTTCGCAATTTTCTCAACAATATTATAACGCATACAGTAGAATTAATGATGATGTACGTATTTTACAAACGGCTGTATGAGAGAGAGAAAAAGGCCACAAAATTTCTCAGAGAGAACCAATCAATGATTGATGTTTTTGAAAATTATTTTTTTGTTTCTGAAACAAATCTCCATCCCAATGATTCCAACAAGAATGATGATGAAGAATATAAACAATAGGATTTAACAGATCATCCTATTCCATTCGGTCATAGGACTCCAACACTGATCCCTGATCCCTCAGTGACTCTATTTCTTGGGAGTGAAATTCAAAATTCTGAATTTTCAAATTTCCGAAACAAAAAATGTCCTCTTCATCATCATCAGCAACCACAACACCAAGAAAAGGTCCAGGTCCAATCGGCAAGGCTTATCTTTTCCTTTATAACGCTGTTTTGTGCGGAGGATGGGGATATATTCTCTATTTAACTGCTATGCATCATGTGGAAGGAAAAAAGAATGTAGATTTGTATCCAAAAATTGAAAAGCCTTTACAATTGTTCCAAACTTTGGCTGTTTTGGAGATTGTTCACTCCATGCTCGGATTGGTTTCATCTCCAATTTTCACAACTTTGATGCAAGTCTTTTCTCGCTTGTTTGTTGTTTGGTTCTCTCTCAATCTTGAACATCGAGTGAAATATACCGAGACCGAGGCCATGTTTATCACTTCACTTTTGGTTGCTTGGTGTGTTACCGAAGTTATTCGTTACAGTTTCTATGCTCTCAAGCTCTATGACATTTGCCCATATATTATTGTTTGGTTGCGTTATACTACATTTATTGTGTTGTACCCATTGGGTGTCTCTAGTGAATTGGCTTTGACCTACTTCAGATTGAAGTATGTTCGTGAGAATCGCCCATACAGCTTGGAAATGCCAAATCCATATAACATGTCTTTCGATTCCTACATTTTTGTTTGGATTGTCATGCTTTCTTATTTGCCTGGATTCCCACAATTGTACTTGTACATGTTTACGCAAAGAAAGAAGGTTTTGGCTCCACCAAAGGAAAAGAGCCAATAAGGACAATGAAATTAAAGTAATTTAATAAAGATGACATTGTTGTGTGAAAGGAGTTTATGCTCACCTTTCACACAAATTTCAATAAGAAGAAACTCGTTCAATTAATTTCCAACAACTCCTGAAACAGCATTAGAAAGTGATCTTCTTGCAAAGAAGGCAACAATTTGATCTTTGGCACGACCAATAGATGAACCTTCCTCGTTGAAATGTCTGTACAACAAGATGACAATGATGATTTGATAGACAACTATCAATGCAGAAAATTGTTTGTCAAGTTAAACTATCATTGCTTGAAAACGTACCATTCAAGGCCCAAGCAGCAGCCATCACAAAGCTAAAGACTACGGAAAAAGTGTCACCGATCTTTGTTAGTAGCCACAGAGCACTCACAAGTCCGCATCCACCAGCTGATGGAACTCCAATTGCCATAAACAATGAAAACAGAATGCCAACAATGTAGGAAATAAAGGCCAAAACATATCTAATGGGCATGTCTCAGTAAAATTTGATGAATCATACCACACAATTCACCTACCTAGCAGAGTTCTTGTGAGAACAAGCTCCATAATGAAGCCAATATTGAGCAAAAAATCCAATGACTGGAAAGAACAGAGCAATAGCTCCAGCAATAGCAATACCTCCAATGTAATCACTAAGCTTGCTTGATACAAGTCCAATAATCAACCCTGCAGCGTTGAAAAGCGTTAGTAAAATATAGGCAAAATACGCAATCTAATTTTTAGGATTTTCAATTTTAGAAAAATAATAATAATTCGTGTGGATGACATAACGCAACGTTCACAGACAACAAATGAAAAGAAGATACAATTTTCTCATTTCAAACCGCCATCCGATCATCATTCACATCTCCCGATCACTTACCAATCCCATAAATGCCAAATACTTCTTCTTTCCGCAAGCAGAAAAACTATGATATACAATAGGATAGCATGGTGGAAAATTCTTCACTCTCTTCTTCACTTGTTCCTGTTCTTGTTCTTCCTGTGGGCTTTCATTGGCGTCGGATTCATCATCTTCTTGATGAACCTCTTCTTGGTTCTTCTTGGAAAAGAGTCCTTTTACGTAATTCATTTTTTTTGAATTCATTTACCGCTTGGAATGAATTTGGAACAATTAGTAGACTCCACCATGAACACAGAAATCTTTGGAATCATCAGTTTCGTGTGTTTCTTTCTCTCCAAAACGTTCAACCCATGAATCTTAACCTTATCATCATCTTCACTTTTTAGATCTTTGAGGACAATCTGTGGTTCAATAAAAAAATATAAAAAAGATGATTCTCTCCGTTTCACTTAAAGGTCTTCAGTTGCTGACACTGGCTGCGCTAATTCTTGTTGCTTTCGGAGCTACCTCGCCATCACATCAAGCCATTTCACTCCAAATTCGAGATAACACTTCTCCTCCTTTAAAGAAACAACAGCTGCCACTTGTCAAGTCAGTGCGTGATATTCTCTCGTGCAGCGACAATGAAACTCTCACCCTCTCTTCCGATGCCTATCAATTTCCCAATCATCATTCCAACAATATTTTGGAGGCTTATTATCATGAATGGTGGTTTTTCGCTTTTTTTGATCCCATCCAAGATATTGGTTTCTGCGTGGGTTATGGAGTACAAAATCAACTGCATGCCTGGGATCACAATGCTTTAGCAACCATTGCTGGTATGGTGTGGCCCTCAGTTTTGAAAAAACAACCAAATAACAACACCAATGTGTTGGATATGGCAGAAGAAATGTCGATCGCTCAATTTTCAGGTTCCACACAAAATGCTTCAGTGTCCATAGCTCTCACCAACACCATTCAAGTCATTGATGAAAGAACTTATATTGTTTCGGGAGGTGCTGATACTCATACTCCTTCCTCGACAAGAAACATGATAGGCAAAGCCAAATGGTGGCTCACATTAGAACAAACAGTGCCTGCATGCAGAGAGATGATTGAGGTTCCAGAGTTGTTGCAATTGGATTGGATTAGTTACATGCCAGCCTCTACTGTGAAAGGAATCATTCAACTGGATGGAAAGAATTATTCCATTCACACGGTGGGATATCATGATCATAACTATGGAAGTTGGCCAACAAGTTATTTCAACTGGATATGGGCACAATTCAATCATGCTGAATCTGATTTTGCGTTGGTGTTGGGAGCTTATACAATTCCACTGACCAACTCGCATGCTGGATACATCTTTTTGAGATACAGGGGAAGAAAGGTCACGATTGGAACACTGTGTGGTGATGTCTTTGAGTTAACACCACTCGAATTTGTGACATCACCACAAGGAAAACGTGTGAGTGTTCACAATAAGGTTGTTTCTTATAACAAGGAGTGGAAAGTGGTCATAGATTATAAAGCTCAAGTAAGCGATAGAAATCCGGGATAGAGGTCTTGGGTTGTTTGTCTTTGAGCAAATTTCATTATTCACTGTGGAATTGTACTCCAAGAATGGTCGTGATTGGGCCATGGTCGAAAAGATGACAGGATATGGTTTTAGCGAGTGGAGTGACAGGCAATAATTATTGAATTTTCATCTTCATTTGATCTAATTTATGAAGAGCTGTAAATTAAGGTCACAATTTGATGAAATAGTTCGAATTATTTTCATTATTCTTACATATTGATCAATCGGTTGCGACACATATTTCCAATTACTTTTTAAAGCTAATACGCATTGGCTGTTGTTTGATTTTCCAAAATTGTAGAGCCTCTTTGGCTGCCGTTGCTTGTTCTATGGTTGCATACTCCACAAATCCTACACCTTTCTCTCCGACTAGCTTCAATCTCTTAAATCCATCATAATTGCTGAATAATGTCTCAACAAGTTCACTACTCTTTTCGATATCTTTTGGAAGATTTTCAATAAAGAGAACATTGCTTGGAGGTTGGTTATCTTCAATCTTAGATGATGGCTTGGAAGTTTCGGATTTAGCTTTCTTTGTCTTTTTAGTTTCAGGCTCAATTCCGAGCTTTGTTCGTTTTTCTTCTATTCTCTTTCGCTTGTGTTCTTCTAAATTTCCTTCAAGAGCAGCGGTAGCATCGCTCTTTGTTTTGGCAAAGTTTATACGGAGAGGCTTATCATGAAATATGAATCCATCATATTTCTTTTTTGCCGTTGTAGCAGTGGCGACATCTTTAAACACAATCCAAGCTTGTCCTCTCGTCTTTTCATATCGACTAGCAATAATATCAAGAATTTCTCCGAACTGAGAAAACATGGAATATAATTGTTTTTTCAATGTAGGAACCTTGATCTTCTCATTAATATTATTGATGTAGATGGTATTGTTTGGAAGTACTTGATCTGCTTCCTCCGAGGATGATGATGGTGTTGAGGACTGGTTGGGCTGTTGTTGCATTTTTTTATTATTTTGAACAGGAAGAGATTCATGAAGTATTTAAATATATGAATTGAATGTTGTTGTTATGATTTATAAGCATTTCAAAGACATTCTCTTGCATTATCATTCACTTGCATTGCGTTCCATTGAATATGAAACAATCAGTTTATTCTTCCGAGTCCGAGTTGTTTTGTTCTCCTTTGAGCTTTTCTTTCACTACTTTTAGTGATCTTCCTCTCTTGTTAATAAACCAATTGTTGATTTGTGTTAAATTCAATTGTGTTTGGTCGCTCAACCATTGTTTTTCTTCATTCGTAGGGTATGGATGTCTGTAATGTTCCAAGAACCAATTCTCTAAAATCTTCTTTGCTTCGTTAGGGAGTCTTCGATTTGTACTACGTTGTTTCTTCTTTGAATTGCTTGAGGAATCATTGCTGCTTGCTCGATCAGAGCATCTTGAGGCGAATTTGGCCACAGAAATCCATTCAGACAACAATCGTACGAGAACTTGCTCACAATGTCTCTTATTGGCCTCATTCTTCATTTCCAACTTTAATTTCACCTTCGAAAAAAGTTCCTTCATATCATTATTGAGAGAATCGTCTGCATTGATATCAAGAGAGGGAGTGTATTGACTCATGAAAGAGTTTACCACACTCATGTTATCTTTTCGACATTGTTCAAATGTTGCACAAAGACGAGATTTCGCATCCAACAGCTTTGAAAAATCTTCTTCTTCAAATGGTGCTGGTGATTTTGATCGACTTCCTTTCTTTGGTGGCTTCTCTCCAAGAATTAACAGGTAGACATACTCTCTGAGAGTCTCTTCGTCCAAATCTAAAATACTTTGTCCTTCATATTGAGAATCAACAAAGGTGTCATAGGAAGATGAGGATGCATTGAGTTGACAACTCGACCCTAGTTGTGACTGTTGAGTGTTGTATTCTGTTGGTGCACTATTTGTAGAGGTGACATTCATCTTCTTACTTCGCTTACCCTTTTTTTCTTGAGGTGAAGTTTCGCTGTTAAATGACAAACTATTGGCCAGAGCGGCAATACTCGTAATTCCCTTAGATTCTGTGGTGGAGATGGTGTGATTGGTGTACAGAGAGCTCATTCCTCCAAATACAGCATTGTTGGGATTGGTCATGTTTTTCAAACCATCATAAACGAGAGGTATGTTTTGAGGATCGTTGACCTCTCCTTGCTCGCCACTTGTAACATTCCATTGAGCAGTGACGAGACCTTCCTCTCCGTTCGTCACCACACCAAATTGATTATTTGAATTTTGTTGAACTTGTATTGTGTTGGAAGCTAGAGCATTTAGGGCATAATTGGGGTTCATCATACCTTGTCCACCGTTGGTTCCTGGTTGCATGAGAATATTCATCGTATTTCCGTTATTACCATTTCCACCGTTCATATACTGTTGTTGTTGTGACATGAGCATTTGAGCAGCAGCTGTTGCAGTAGCTTGGTTATCTTGCTCATATTGATTAAACCATCCAAATTCAAAATCTTCGAAGGGAGGAAGCTCTTGCTGTAACAAGCGCGTGGTTGTCCCATCATTAATCCAGTCCATCAGTTCCTCTTCTTGAATATTTGGATTGACCTGTGTCGAGGGGTATCCACTTCCATTCATTGAGTTATGTTGAGTAGAATTTGGTTGTTGTTGTTGCGACTGATTAGCATTATTTGCAAATAGTCGCTGTTGATATTGTTGGAGTTGTTGTTGAAACTGCATTTGTATTGAGGTTGTATTTGAACCTTGAGGTAACCCATTGTTACTTGCATTCGAATTAGGTTGGGGGAAGGAATTATTGAAAGTGGAGGAAGAGTTTGAAACAAGTTGAGATTGTTGAGAATTGTGAAGTTGTTGTTGTTGATTCATTGCTTGATGGTTGGTAGTGTTGTTGCTTAGCGAGTTTCCAGATGGCAATGGTTGCAAGGTCGAAGTATTTCCTAGATTTTGAGAAAATACAAAACGATTGGCAGTGTTATTGGATGATTGTTGTTGCGAATAAGGTATATTTTGTTGGTGCTGCTGTTGTTGGGGAAGGGTTGTATTTGTAGTGATTTCAAATTGAGTTCGTGTGGTCATTGTGACAAGTTCACGTCACTTTGCAAAGTTGTATGACGGTGTTGCAATAGACTAGAATCAATGCAATTGACTTTAATTTTGATGGGATGATGATGTATTGATGCTCTTCACGACTATGGCATACAAAGAGTAATGCAACTCTCGAATGTTGCACTGTGTATTAATACTGTATTGCTCGAAAACAACAAGTTATGTTTGTTCTTCAATCGGAGACGAGAATTTGAGTGTCTTTAATCTCTCGGGCTTTTTGTGTATGACAGTCAATAATTGATGGCGATGTTTTTGAGAGGAGGAAGATGTGCGCCTTTGATGTCTCTCTCCTGCAGAGATGTTGTAATGTTTTTTTCTGTAGTGGAGTGACGAATGATGGTTCTTGATGGGATCAACACTTCACCGCCTGTCGTGTCGACCCAAGCTCTCTCTCACACTCGAAGGAAGGTGCTGCAGCACCAACAACAACAACAACAACATACAATGAACATGAAGTTGTACAACTCGAGGCGCCAAAAAGACAATTCAATGAAACATGATGAAACTCTGAAGGCGGGAGATGCTTCTAATGGTATTAGAATTTGATGAAACCCCAAAAAGTACAATCCTCTGCGAACCACACACCATCATCCGTTGATGTGAGGTTCCAATCGTGAGAGAGATGAGGATATATCCTCCACCACCTTCTTATATAAGAAATGTCTTCTTTTAATCGCATCATGAGTCGCAAATGATTTTTCATTGTTGGAAATATACAAATTGAATAGGAATGAGAATGAATTCGAGTTTGGAAGAGAGAGTACCTTAACATTGAACTTGCCAATTTGAGAGTTGAATGAGATGGTTCAATACTTCAAAAAGATGGTTCAATACAATGCCATTCTTATTAGTTTTTCTTGGATTGAGAGGAATAGACACCATCATTTTGACCAAATTGCTTTTGTGAAGTGGATGTTTGTAAAACATAACCAATCAATGCACTCGCTCCCAAACAGAGAAGTGCCGATGTGAAACCCTCACCATGAGAAAAGAATAGAGAGAGCCAAACGAAACCGATCATTAAGGAGGAAAGCATGGTCGTGGAGAGGAATAAATCAGAGACACTTGCAACATAATCACCGAGAAGGACGAGAGAGACAACAATTCCCCACACGATAATAAGAGCTCTTGCTCCAAGAAGACCTGACATAGACCATCGGTAGAATTCAATCTCTTGATCAAACATTTCCTTTGGTGAAGGGTAGTATCCTTCGTGAACGACACCAACATGATATCCATTGGAGGCTTTGAAAAGTTCGAGTTCTCCATTGGTGCTTGCCTGAATAATGTGTGTTAATTGTGTGTCGTCACGAATAGTTTGTTTGTAGCAAATGTTCGTATGAACATGAGAGAATGAATGTCAAGTCGGTCAACAACTTACCTGACGTGCAATAACAGAAACTCCCTTGTTGACATCTGGTTTCTTATGAATAAAGCTCACACGAATATCACCAGGCTGACAATTGGAAAATAAATCTCCAACTTGCCAGTCAAATAATGAGCCTTCTAAAAATCCAAGCATAATTTTAAGCGCCTTCTCATTTGTGGATGGTTCATAGGCAGAGAAGAAGTAACCATTTCCAATATATTTGAAATTATTGGCACTGTTTGCAGGAGTATTTGTAATCTTTCTTAGTTCTTCAGGTGAAAATTCAATTTTTCTTGCTGGTATTTGGTTCTTTTCGATCAAATTCGGGCCAAGATGGAATTTTCCAAGAGTGACACCTTCAACTTTTTGTGTGACAGATGGAAATGGATCTCGTTGAGGATTATGATGAGCCACTGGTTGATCAAAGAAAAGACTTGGAATCAAATGGTCTACCCACCCTCTATTGTAATAATAAGTTCTTACTGTATATTTGGAGCCATCAGAGCGAGTTTTCTCCTCATCATGATGACTTTCAATCCATTGGCAGTATTCTGTCTTTCTATTGACTTCAAAAGCTCCGTTAAACGTCAATCCAAAATCTCGATCTTGAATTGGATGTTCAGTGCGAATATTGTGAGAAGGAACATGAAAGAAAATTAATTGATTATTATTCTCAGGTCTTGGTTTTGAGTTTATGGGGTCAACGATGGTTCGAGTTGATCTCACAACTTCCAAAAAAGCATGTTGCATTAACATTGCTTCATTTTCTGCGTAAAACAAAGTTAATGGAGCTGCAACTAGAAAAATTGCAAATATTATCTTTAAAAACCACAAAGCGCAGGTGTTTTCAATCTATACATTCACACAAATATTATTCAAATTTTTTATAATCATCATAAATTCCGAAAAAAGTCATCACTCAAATCCAACAACAAAATTTATCACCTCTTCTACCAACCTTCAATTGTGTATCGCTGATAATTCTCGATCTTCCGACTCGGGTTGTCAAAACACTCGACCAGAAACCCGCATGACCTCGCGTAGAGGCATCATTCGATCCAAAGAGAGGCATTTTTTTTGTGTTCTATTTTGGGGTGTTTTGTAACTTTGGTTTTCACGAAAACGAGTTTTCAGAGGTGTTCGATAATATTGCCTTTTTTAAGAATTAGAACCAACACGTGTTCCTCTTTATGTATACATTTACAGTTTTTTTGATGGTAACAGAATTTCAATCAAAAAGAACCAAGCTCTTCCAGTTCCTTGAAAAAGAGGAAATGGTAACACCATCATGTTGTTGTCAAAGTTTCTTTTATAAGTTCTCTGGTTGAGGAAAAAGAAGACAAACAAATTTTATTGAAAGTTTGATTGACCCCAAGTGGGATCGGTCATCCATTACGTTTAGTTGTCAAATAATCTTGATAGTATGCAGTGTGAGATTTTCCAAGCATCAATGTTAATGCAGTTTGAATCTCAACCTACTTCTTTTGAATTACTTGACATTCCTTACAAATTGGTTCTCTGTTTCGTTGCCAAAGCCCTGTGTGATTAAGGAAGAAGTATGTTTTGCTGCTATTAAGTATTGTGACTGCCTTCATCTTTAAAACACATCTTATTCGGGTTATTTCTTTAAATCTGTTTCTAAAGAAGCCCCTAAATGGGAGGGTTTTCGGGCAATAATAAATATAATGTTCTAAATCAACGCCCATGCCACATTGATCACAATAGACTGATTAAAATTGACGAATATGACTATTTGTTAGATTTCTCCAAATTGACAATTTTGTTTCAGGGTCTAGGCAAGCCTTAATGAAATTGAGATTGACAGAGGACCAGTCATCGATTAAGTGTAGACTGGATTTATCTCTGGCTTTCATAACCAAAGAGGAGGTTTGTAATTTGTGGATACATTTACGATAGTCGAAAATTATTGCGGTTCCGTCCCATAATATTAATTGCTTGTTAGAGAGGAGACGTTTGATATTAAGGTAATTGTTGTTTTTGGCTCCTTTTTTAGCAAGGTCATCGGCAATTACATTGCATGGATGAATGTGTCCTTTAACTTTGATGAGGGAAACTCTGAGATTTTTCTGTTTGATAGTTTTGTGATATTCGGTTTTAAGGCATTGAAACATTCCTTGATAATCCTTACTTTTGAGAAGTTTGATTGAGATCTCACTGTCTGAATGGATATTGATGGTGGAATTGTTTGGAACTATTTTGAGAGAGTAAATGATTGCACAGAGTTCAGCAACATTGTTGGAATATGAGTCATGAATTCTAAATGAGAATTTGTGTTCCCGGTTTCATCAATTATATAGACTCCAAAACCGGTTCTATCGTCGATTCGAGATCCGTCTGTAAAGATGTCAAATGTTGTCCCGCTTAGACAATCAAAGGAACCTCCTGATGAACATTTTTCATATGTCATTGAGTATTTTGTTTCTCATGAGAGTGAATATAGATTTTTCATCAGTGGCATATTTAATACCATATTTCAAAGCGTGTCTGACAATTTCACTTTTGTTATTTGCCATGTGGAGAATTGTATTCACAGCAATAGATTCTTCAAAGTCAGATATTGAGGGAATATTAAGGCTCCATAATATGCGTAAAGAGGCTGATACACTTGGCATGAATGACCTTTCTGATGTTGTCTAATTCCATTCTTTTGACTGGAAGATATTTTAGAGAGAGTTCAAAAGATGCCAATTTTTTCTCAATATCCAAATTGGCAGTTTTGTCGTTCCATAAATAGTGCCCAAGGACTCTTAGATTTTTGTATTTAGGGATGGGGGTATTATTAATAATAGGTTGCATGACACTTTTTTTCGGTAGAACTGTTGCCATTGATTTCCTGGGATTAATTTTGAGAAAGAGTTGGAGCAGCCATGTGTAAATGTCATTCAGCCTGAAGAAGAGAAAGCTCACCACCACAGAATCATTATCCTCTTCCACAACACGACCATCTGAAGAACAGGAAGCTCATGATGATTCACTCCTCGGAAGCCAACTCATGAAACATCTTGAAGAAATTCATCAATTATTAAAAGAAAAACATGAATGAACATGCGTTGAATATGATGGCAAGTCATCATATGAAAAAAATTTCAAACTTTTTTTCAAGTTGTTCCGAATTGGGAATGCAAGTTGAGTTTCAGTTGAGTACTCCACAACAACAAAGCTAAAACCAATGCACAACTCATTACAAACAGTTCTCAAGCACTCACAAATTTATCATCCCTAACTTTTAATGGTCATAGTAAGGTTGGAGATGAGATTCCAAAAGCCATTGCGAAAAGCTCATTTAAACAATTGAAAAGCTTGATTTTAAACAATAATAGAGGAATAACATCAGAGGAAATTTCACTCTTGGTGAGTAGTGAGGTTGTCACGAATTTAACACGATTACATTTAAGTGGATGTGAAATCTCAGGTGAAGGAGTCAAGGCCATTGCAAACAGTACAAAATTAACCCAACTTACTTCTTTGAATTTAAATGGTACACGAATCAATGAACATTACTGCAAAGTGCTGTCCAATTCATCGGTGATTTCCAAAATGAAATATTTTAGTGTTTCACGGAACCATCTCGGTCCTGTTGGTGCAAAACACTTATTTGACTCTCAATACCTTTCAAATGTGACAACACTCGATATAAGTGAAAATGATGGTGGAGGCGAAATGATACAAAGTTTTTCCAGCTGTTCCAACCTTCCAAATCTGATGAACTTGGACGCTCATGAAAACAACGTTAGAGCTTTAGGTGTGGAATATTTATGTAAATCATCGCATCGCTTTCCCAAGTTAAAGAAATTGATTATTGGTTTGAATAAGTTTGTCAAGCAAGGAGCTCTTGAATTGATTCGATCCTTTCCACACTTGACAATTCTCAATGTTTACTTGCACCCAGGTTATTGTACATGTACACATTCGGACATTACAGAGCTTAAAAAGATTGCTGAAACATCGATCATTAAGCAAGTTTATTTAGATGTCTTGAACGGAGGGGAAGAAGAATTTAGCGTTTTCTTTACCGGACTTTAAAGATCCTCCAATTGGTTCTCAATTCGACACTTCACAATAAAACTACTTGTATGTTTTAACCACCTAAAACAAGAAGAACTGTTCTGCAGTGAGTGATGTTGTTGTTTGGTATCCCAAATAGAAGCTCACCAACTCCCAACTAGAAACAAGTTGGAAATGAGGCAGTGGATTTATTATTATTGATCGCAATAAAACATTCATCAAGAAAAATCACGAACCACCCAAATTGAAGAAATGTAGGTATATTGAAACACCAAGTTTTCTTATTCTCCTTGTGATGCATGGATCACCAATAATTATTTCAAAAATCAACATGATGATGGACCTGACCATGGAATTTAAAATCCTTTGTTTTCCGTCATCATCATCCTCTCTCTGAACCATCATCATCATCCGATTTATTATGAAATAGAAACACAAAAAACATTCAAAATGTCCAATTATCAAACCACATCAGCCACTCCATTCAAACAAGAACAACCACCAACAACTACCACGAACATTCCTCCAGAACAACAAAATCCAAACATGAGCACTGCCTATGTTCAACCTCAACCACCCGTCTATTACTCAACCACTCCGAACATGGTTCCACAACAACAACCAATGTACCAGGGTCAACAACCTTTCTATAATGCTCAACCAGTGATTTATACACAACCTTCCACAGTAGTACCAACCTCTCATTACAACAACACCACAACAGTAACCTCAGCTTCAACCACCTTGTTAGGAACACCGTTGGAATTGGAAGATGAAAGGAATGCTAAATTATACATGATTATTGGTCTCTTTTTGGGTATCATGTGGTTGATTTGTTTCGTGAGATATAGAAGATCCACGAGTGCACGTGCCAGAAATTATGCCAACGTATCAGGTGCATTGTTTTTCTTGCAACTTTTCTTGAGTATTGCTTTTGCTGTTGCTCTCTCCATTACCATGACCGTGTAAAAATGTTTTCAGTAATGAAATTGTGAAATTGTGTTAATTTTGGAAAGAAATGTTTTAATTGTATCAAGCATTCACTGTACTTGCTTAATGATTGTCACGATGGATGATAACAATCATGTTATCTTTCATGTTATCTGAAAATTTTAACACCGTCATCCTGACACACGTACAACTCGCCTGTCATTTCATTTAAGCATAAACTATCTGGAAAAAATATATCACCGTTGAATTCCTTAATAATACTTCCATTTTTGGGTTGAAAAATTTGGATTCTATTGGTTTCGTCGTCACAAGAAATTAGGGTCCTAGATACCTTGTCATAAATCAATCCTTGGGAGTAAACTTCATCTGTTTCTGGATGGAGTAGTCGATCAAAAACCCAGGATTGATTTTTGTTGTCTTTTCGAAAAACCTCAATACTTGTCAACATGCTGACGAACAATTCTTTTCCAATGTCATCAAAAGTAAGTCCATATGGACTGTCAAGAGAGGTAATAGTTTGAATAGTTTGCCCTGTTGACGATTTTAAAATAAGAATGCTTCCATTATCTTGCTCATCGCAGACAAACAACAAATTTTCCTCAAAATGCAAACAGTCTTTCCAAAGAGCCATTCCTCTCGGTTGTTTGATCGTTTCAGATTTCCATATAAAATCACATGAATGAGACTCTTTTTTAATGGCTTTACCAATGAGTCTCTTCAAATCATATTTAAAGACGCAATTATGGCCATAACAATCAAAAAACAAGGCGTCATTGTTGTTTCCATCAAAATTTTCTTCAATGCTCATATACAATAATTCACAGTCAGGTATTGAGAAAGTAGTAATGAATTTTTTGGTGTATAAATCAAAAACATGAATGTCATCTGCAGTGGTAAGAATATATCCATGTATGTACGAGATTTTAACATCGCAAGGGGTGTCGATTGTGTGATCCTTTGTTGTGTGCGAAAATACATGAGCAAGCTCAAAATTCATTGAAAAAGGTTTGACAAGCCTCTCCCGTGCTCGCATTTTCTGAGTCAACTTTTTACATAAATAATTAACAAAGTCCTCCGCTTCATCGGAGCTCCCATTCATTGTTGATGATGAAAAGGCATAATTAAAATCAAATAATTTCAGAATAACTATATCATCTTGTTGAGTTTCCAAAGCCGAAAAGATTGGGTAGGATGTTGGTGCAGTTGAATATATTTTTCGTATTTTTCGTTCATCAATCCGATCAAGAGCCTTGCCCTCATATTCTGATCTTTTCATTTTTTTGTAATTTGTAAGCCCAAGAAGTCCTTTTTTGGTGCGTCTTTATTTAATATTAAGAATTTATTATTGATGGATAATCTAATTAATAAACATATCTTCTTGATTTCACTTTTGTTAAAATAAGTGTCACCTTTGTTTACAATAAAGAAATAATAATGATTTAATTTAAAAAAATGGTTTGGCAATCACTCTTGCAACATCCAGCCAATTTCTACTTTCGACTCGGAGCTCTCAACGCTGCCATTGCAGTATGCACAGGAGCCTTCGGAGGTCATGGATTGAAACGAATTGCTTCTCCTGAAAAGATTGATGTCTGGAAGACAGCTGTTCAGTATCATCTGATTCATAGCTTAGCTTTGCTGGCAGTAAGCCAACTCAAGACTCGCCATCATCTTGTTGGTGGTTTGTTTACTGCCGGAATTGTGATATTTAGTGGAAGTTTATATGCATTGGTATTAACAGATCATAAGGTAGGTTGAAGAAATATTCATTAGAAATGTTTTTTCGTAAATACCAATTATATTATATTTTAATTGTGATTTACAAATTCATGATGGAAATTGTTAACAATTTTAAAATTACCATTTGAAAGAAATTGGGAGCCATCACACCTATTGGTGGATTTTCATTTATCTTTGGATGGCTTGCAATGGCTATCACTGGCTTGTAAAAATCTCGCAAATGTCACACGTTAAAATATGTATGATGATCTTTTGGATAATTCATTATTTGAAATATTGAAAGTAAAAAACTGCTCAATTATTAACATGTCTTCCTTAATTGCGATCAAATTCTAAAATGATTACTTCTCGATTTTCGAGATTCGATATTGGGATGTTTTTCTGTTTTGATTCCTCTTCTCCAACAATGGAATGAGCATGGTCAATCTTTAGAGATGATGCCAAATAATTGACGCACTCTCTGATGAAAGTAAAATGAGAAAAAACAACGATGGTGTCACAGGTTGTGAGGTCAGTATGCAAACGAGCAGTAAATCGCCTCACTCTTTCCATAAAATGTTCCCAAGGCTCAAAATGAACTGTTTGCTGGGAATTATCCTCACTTTGATACCACCACTTTCCTCTATTCTCGATGAGTCTCAAATCAAAATGAGATAGTATATGCTTCATCTTTTCATTGGCAATTAATTCACAATATGTACTTCCAACATCACATGAAGATTCTTCAAGTTCTGTGCAATCAGGATCGATCTCAATAATTTTTCTAGATTCATTCAAAACAGTTTCTTCTTTGTTCACAAGCAGTATCTGATGAGTGTTTAACACATGAAAACATGTTTGAATACATCTCGTCAATGGACTAGAAATAATTTTCATAGAACAATCATTGTTGCTCGATTGTTTGTGTGAATCATTTCGCAAAGTACTCTTCAACGCCTTTTCAAGTAATTTTCCCAAATGTCCATTATAAACTTGCACTTGGGAGAGACCTATTTCCGAGAGCTCTGAATCAATCACCCAAGGATCATTCGGAGGACAATTCTCCCCACTCTCCACATATAATTCGTTGAATACTGATCTTCCATGTCGTATAAATATAATTTGTTTTTTTGTGGACGATGACAAGGACAAATGGTGTTCATCATGATCATCGCAAAAGTAGTGGGAGGATGTTTGGTGTTCGGCCATTTTTTAGATCGAACCATTATTAGGTTTCGTTTTCAACCTCATGATTACAATGTAACTTTCTTATTGATGATATCGATACCTCTCACCTGAGTCCAACCAACATCCGCTTCATGAACGCAAGAATTTAAAAAACAAAACTTTGGGTTAAAAGAAAAACTCAAAAAGGCTACAGCACTGCAGGTTCCCAAGTTGTCTCCAACCTCAGTACTGATGCTTAACTTCTCAAATCGGAAAAGATGCCCTCCAAATATAAGCATCAAAAAGGCAAGGGTGGATTTTCGCCACCAATCGCTTCTGAATCATGAGCAGTTCGCGGTGTTAGAATTACACAACTTGCCTCAAAATACAAGTCAGTTTGAATAGGATTACCTGTTGAAACTTTTGAAACTTTCCTGCAACTTGTGGTTTCAGCAAATAATATGCATTTTCCAAAACAACAACCAGAAAAAGATTCTTATCTCAGATATGAGGAGATCTGAAGGCTGACATTGAAACTTCACCAAATTGACATGGTAGTGAACACTGGAATCAACATTTACATACATTATACTTAAATCTAAGTAACAAAACTCTGTAGAGCTACCATGTCTGTAATTGAAAAAGTGCCTCATCGTGATATGGCCGTAGTCATTCTATATCCATTTCATTTCAACACGTAGTGCATGTGAGGGTTCTCAATATTCTTTACTGTTACTTAGATTTAAGTGTAATGTTTTAACTCAAAAATAGCCATAATCACTGATTGTCGAAAATGTATTTTCTCTTGTTGCAATGAGAGAGCGAGAAGATACAACTAGGCACCTTCTCACGTACCAAAAATTCTGAAGGAAGGCAGCGACGCTAGGTCACTGACTACGGTTGGGACAGCCCACAGAGTGCAAGGTAAGCGTCGACCAATCGGGATACGGAATAGATGATCTCCGACTCCCCTTCAAGGTAAGTATGAAATATCAAGAGGGTTGCAACTCAAGCAAATAGTTAAGGGTTTGAAAAGAAAGAAAAAATAAATTTGAAATTATGGGAATTATTGGAAATTATGAAACAACAAATTCATTGAAGGTGAATGGATGAAATGAAAGGAAGAAACATGTAATGCAACAAGTTGAAATACATAAATGTCTTTGTTTTGATTAAAGATAAGAAAATTGTACAATTTCGAAATGAGGAGAACATCAATAAGAATGACAAGATAAGAAAGGCATTCAATAAGTCAATGGAAACTACATTAATAATGTGATTCAAGATCTCAGGTAATTATCTTGTAGTCGCTTTTCAAATTATGAGGAGAATTTACAATTCAAAGAGGATTGTTGAAAGTATTGAGCGAGTTGTTTTTTCATGATAAAAGACACCTACATTTTAAAAGACAAAATATGGTTGGCTATAATAATTTACTCCACAAATTGTAAATAAAATCTCAGATTGTTCCATTGATCATCCACCTTCTTCTCATCGAACAGAGTGGATTGACAGAACCATGTCTGATAATCGAGAAGAATTTTGAAATTGACTGACTTTGGATCTTCAAATCTCAGCCGAGAGCATTCCACCTTAACTGATTGGCCATTGAATGAATCGAGAGAGGTATGAGAGGACATCTTTCTCTTTTTTCTGTTAGTTGGGCCATCCTCTGCACCAGAATCATCGTCATCATCAGTTTGGGTATGAACTTTAAACCTTTGATCAATGGGTTCCAATCTTCCAGACAAAATCGATCCTTTAAAAATGATACCCTGTTTGCATCGATAATTTACACTATTCAGTAATACTGTAAACTCTACTTGTTGATCATTAAGGAAAGAATAAAGCGACGTCACTTTGGCTTCGAATGGGAATTTAAGGCATGTTGTTGCATATCGCACCAACGTTGGTAAGTCGTTAATACTTCCCGTACCAGGAGGACATAAATTGGTAATTCTCTCATTAATGTCATCAATTTCAAGTGCTTTGGCAACATCGATTTTCTTATTAATTTTTTGGGGAGGGTTTCCTCCATGAGATTCATATCTATTCACGACAGTCACGAGCTCAGGGTCCTCACTGCTCTTCAGTCGTTGTGTCATATTGCTTAGTAAATTTGTAATTTCGTTAATTTTTGGGATTTTAGCTTCACACTTAGTTTTCAACATCTGAACGTCTTGTGACTCGTAGAGGGCCTTGGTTTCATTTACAAGAATGCATCTTTGTCTATATTTTCGATGATCATCCAATAATCTTCCAATCACACTCTTTTTCTTCATACCATAGAGGTCAGCAGCATGTACATAGAAACCAGTTCTACGCAAATCGGTTACAGTGGTTTTTTTCTTTTTCTTATCTGCTCCGACATAAAGTGGTTCCACAATTACAACTACTCCGAAATATTGGTTAAAGGTTACTACATGTTTAACGATTACATTTTCTCTTATGGAGTGTATTAGTGGATTTCTCCATTGTGCCACAAAAGGATATTTAACTCCATGAGCCATGTAATATTTCATTCTCTCTTGTTCTTCTGAAATTGGCACCCCAGATAGGATTTCATCGAGTCGTTGCTCATTAGTAACATCTTCCTGCGCCAATGTTGGAAATTCGGTTGGATCTTGTTTATCATCATCATAAACTTCGTAAACCTCTTGTTCTTCTTCGGTAGGTTCCTCAGTAGGAGGTAATACCCGATGACCAAACGCCAAGGGAGATGAAAGGAGTTGTGATGATGCTGGTGAAGTCAACCCCAGAAGTGGTTGTGGAATCCCATTTGGAAGAGGCATCTGCGGAATGGTTGGATGAAGCGGAACGTATGGATGCATACCAAGAGGTGTGAGAGACATACCAAGAAGTGGATGAAGAAAAGCAGCACCAGAGGCTGCCGATGGAATTAAGTGAGAGGCGGCTGAAGATGTTGGTGCTTGAGGAAGATGTCCATTATTCGTTGTAGTCGGAACACCTAACATCAGATGATGATTTGCGGTGGTTGGAGTTACCGATGATAATGGATTGTTCATTAATGCTCCGTTAACGGCTGTTGGAATATGAATAGAAGATCCTCCAACGCTGCTACTCGATGAACCACCATTACCCTGATGATGATCAAAATCGTCCGTAAAGCCTAGATGTTGGGCCATCGCCTCTTCTTCAACGGCACCCAAAAGTAGGTCGTCCTCGTCTTGCATTTTTAATTCAAACAAATTGAATGTATTTTTCAAATGAAAAATTCACAAGAAGGATACTTTAAAACAACCAAAGTGTATTATATAGTATTGTCATTTCTGTTCAAGAATGGGTTATAATTACTCTTCTTTTGCCTCCTCAGTAGTGGTGGAGGTGTTGGCTGCAACAAGTTCTGAAAGCTTTTGTTTGGTGTCTTCATAAATATTGTCATCTTTTCCGAGAGATTGATCTCGCAAGTATCTGAGAACTCGTTTCTTAATTGCAACATCCAAGCCTTCTCCAACTTCGTTGAAAGCTTCGTAAACAGTTGTCAATACAGAAGGTGAGCACGAAATTCCTGCTCCTATTGGTTGCTTATCGAACAATTCAATAATTTTCTCTTTTGAAACTTCTTTATCCTTGATGAGCTCAAAGATGAACTCGAAATCCTCAGTGAGAGCTGTCAATTTTAAATGACCACGTTTGAATTCATTAAACAACATGAGAGCATTCTCAACATCGTTATGATCATTTACCAGCTTTGAAATAAAATCACGCAGTGTTTCCTTAGCGAGAGGTTGGCCAAGTTTAGTTGGGCTAGAGTTCTTAATTACTAAATATAATATTGAAATATTGTTCCGTTACGATTTTCCAATGGATAGAATTGTTTACATGATGACATGCGTTGTGTGAATGGAGAATATTTTGAAAATTAATTTCAATGAATCAAATCATAAAATAATAAAAAGATTGAACAGAGAGCACATCAATTCGGACAAGTGGTGAGCGTTTTGTAATCACGGAAACTTACGTTCGATGGATGTTTGTGGATGGTTTTCGTCATACTTTTCCATTGCTTCAAGAATGGCATGGGTGCTTTTTGGAGTAAACTTTATCCTTCTCAAACATAATGTTCTCCAATAACGCATTGTATAATTGAAATCAGAAGCACTTTGTACTGTAGAAAGCATATCGAGGAATTGTTGGGCAGAAGGTCTCTTTCTGGTATTCTTCAATTCAAGGATATTCTTCTGGTACAATTCTTCGGTTGGAGTTGATGGCTCCCAGGCAAAATTTTGACTACGTTCAACAGTGGAACGATAGGCTGCTTGAGCCTTTTCAGAAAGTTTGGCTACCTTCTTCTCTTGTTGAAGCTTCTTTTGATAGTGAAGTTTACCTCTAATGTAGAGATGTTTTGAGCCGAACCTCTTTTGTGTGTTGTTTATGTACTCATTATTGAGAAGGAATTGTTCTTGTTGGAGAGCATGTTGTTGTACTACCGAAATGGCTACCACAGAAGGAAGAGCCGAGTGATGAAGCGAAGAGGATGATTTGATGGCGGAAGAGGCAAAAGAAAGCGAGAGCAACTTTTTCATTTTTAAACACAAAAAAAATTAAGAATTTACAACAACATAATTTGTTAGGATGGAGGAATTCTGGCCAGAAGAATGCATTCCATCATAAGGGAGTTCTTTTTCGGAGGATGGTCTCAACGTTAGGGTTTATTACATAAATGAATGCACATTAGCACTCACTACAGGGAAAGGACACTCTATTTTGCAAGCATGTGATTTCTAACAATTGCTCTTTCGTTAAGTATTTCAATATTTGACTGCGATATCTCAATAAAATTTCTTTCCATTTGTTGGCACAAAAGTGCAAACATTCTTTTTGAAGATAGGAATAATCATACCGAACAGGAACTTCTTGAGGTTTTGAGAAGAAATGTGTGAATGATCCAAAATCATGACCTTGCTGATTGAAAGTAGCATTGTGGTGAGGTCGATTAATAACAGCAACAATTACATCCATAATGTTGTCAACAGAGAGTCCCCTTGCCACAAAATCCATGCAAACTTCAAATAGCTTTGATTTTTCTGGCATTTTCATTGCCTCCCATATCAACATCAGACTAAGGGCGTTTTTGGTGGTAATGCAAATTTTGCCTGTGTAAAAGAAATGGATTAAAGATCGACACAGTAGAAAGTCATCATATGTAATTTCTTCAGAAGTTTTCCAACCAGAAAACACTTGAGAGAAATCAATTTCTTTGATGGTAGCTGCTTGGAAACCATATTTCTTCATGCTAAAGAAGCTACATCTACATTCTAAAACTGATTTGTGGCAATAAATAATAAAACCTCTTGATCGGTCAAGTACAACTTGAAAATCACTTGTTTCTTCGTCATCAAAGAGTTCTGCTACAATTTCAGGAATAGTAGATGGTGGATCAAGCTCTCCAAGAGATTTGGTCTTAAGGAGAGTAGGGTTGGAAAGCTTTGCAATTTCAACCAAAATGTTCTGTTTCAAGTAGCTACTGTTTTTGATTTTGTTAAATGTATTTTCCACAATAAATTGTTTGCAGAAGCTCAAAGCGTGATGCCAATATGAGTGAAGTGGAAACTCATCCTTTGGATATTTGTTGTTCAATATGTATTGGATCGTGTCATACACATTTTCTTCATTGGTCTGGGTGATCGCTTCATTAAGCACCATGGTAGAGAGGTATTCATCAGAGACATGATTCGTCGTCATCCATTCTAATAAATCAATGAGAGTTTCAATATCGGTAACGCTCGAAAAGTTATTAAAGTAGATCCAATCGACTAGGCAATTGAGACTCTCTCTAGATTTGGGAGCCTTTGATCGATCATAGTGAAGTAATTCAGGCCTTCTCCTCGTTAGGAAGTAATGTGGAATTTTTACCGAATAATCCTTTGCTGCTGTGAACACTTGAACATCCCACAAATGATTTGCAGATCTCAATTTGATTAAATCGTCTACCAATTTTTCATCATCTTCAACCATTGAGCGAAGAGGCTGAGTAAACAGAATGGTGTGAGAATGTCCACAGCAAACTCCCACAATTTCCTTGTCGAACAAATCTTTGCACTCAATTTCCTGACAAATGTAGTTATTGAGTCCAATTCCAAACTGATTCGAGGATGATCGACCAAAACCAAATATTCTATTTCTCTTGGTCACAACCATGCAATGATTATATCCACAATCAATCATGGAGAATTGATCATTGGAAGCAAGGTGAGTCATCAGAGGTACTTCCGCAAACACAGAACAGTAAGCCTTGTTCATTGCAAGAATATTCTGATCATTAATGCCAGCATAATAAAGTGCTTTGGGTGTCATTATGAAAGACCCATTATTGTTACACTTAATATCAATAATGTCGTCACAGTGGTCAAAATCAACAGGTGTTAATCTGTTTCTATTTCGTGTAGATCCTACAGCTGTTTGGCCATAATAGGAACATCCTGTTGACAAGAGCAGCTTTTTGCAAGTATTGATATGCTTCAATAGAACAAATGTATGATTTAACCCACACTCTATCTTCTCAATTTCATAGTCTTGAATGGATACAGTCTTATCAATGGGCACCTTGACAAACTTTGGATAGAATGTAGTGGATTCATATTCTTCCAAATTGGTCCTGCTCTCTTTCCTATCGTCAAATCCAGGAGATTTTGAACTGGTGGAATTGAAGTTGCCTGTCTTAATTGATGCATTTCCTAAACCAATATGGGTACAACAACCAATTTGTCCAAAAGTATCATCTCCTATGGCATACAGTTCATTGTCAGTGGTGAGAAGGAAAAAGTGTTTCCCTCCTCCATTGGAGACCCATTTGACTGTTTTTTCAAAGGAGAGTTCTTTGAGAAGACTTTTCGTTGCAGTTTCTGAGCTTTGTTGATTCCTCTTGTCATTGGCAAAGTAAAGCACCATTTCATTTCCTCGCACTGCATATAATTTACCATTAGAAAGAAGCACAAACAGGGAGTGTCGACAAGTTACAAGTTGACTTATGGAATTATCTGTTTCGGAATATACAGGAATTTTGTGAAGTGTTTGAACAGCCTTAATAGAAAAATTAGTAATGGTGTAAAAATTGAAATGTTGTCACTTCACTCAAATACTCACCTCTTTCAGAATATGGCCACAAAGAAATATTTCCTTATAATTATGAAATACAACACCTTCACTAAAGGGTGTGGATACAAAAACCACATTTCTAGAGGCCTGTGTGAATGGATGGGATTTGGTTGTTTGTAGTGCATTATTGATTGTCAATGGTGGTGATACTTTTGGACTTTCTAAACGACTGGGCTTTGAACCAGGTAATTTGGTTGATGCGTTCGGACTGCTTGTGATTGGTGAAGACGATGCTGTCTGATCGCTCACAGCAGATGATCCATGATTCGTTGTTGAACAGTTAGTTGTGATGGTGGTGGAAGTATTACTACTCGTTGTTGATGTGGGTGAATTAAATTCGTTAGTTTGTTGAGTGACGGGAGTGGACGTTCTGTTTGATTGTGTTCCCGATGATGAAAAGTAGAGGTCCCAGAGTGATGTCTTTGTGAGAGGTTGATTGGCAGAAATGTTTGATGTAAATTCAACACCAGTTCCCCCACAAATAAACATCTCCGTTTCCTGATCATAGTTGATATTCATCTTGATCTTTCGTTAGTAATAATAATTTCTAGTAACAACTTTAAAATTCAAATGATCATCATTTGGAAAACACAAAAACTCTGAAATCAAACTTACTTCAAGAGATTTGAATCACAACACAGTATCTCCTTCAGATTTTTCAATGCAAGATATCCAATCAACACCGAGAATTTCGTTTTTTTGATGAAAGGAGGAGCTCTTTCCGGCCTCTCTTCAAACAATCAGCTATTTTTACTGTGTGAGGAGAGTGTTTTGTCTGATCGTTTGTGTTGTTCACAAGATGAATGATTGGTTGTGACAACGCATAGAACCACTCAATGAGGATGAGAGGACTGTGGTCGTTGCAACAAATGTTTGTGTGTAAAATAAAGTGTTTTTGGCTATTGTACTGTTATGAACAAATCAAATTTGGTTAATTTTGAAAATTGGAATGAATCGTATTACTTTGGTGGAATGTAATCATTTATGACGAGGATATATTAAAGGAGAAATATTAAGGTAATTATTCACGTGACAATAATCATTTAAAGCAATAATAATCATTATATTATAAATGCTTATTTGGTATATTTTCTAAGAACTTCCAAACTCTTTTCTGCAGCCAAAATAGTTTCTTCTTTTTTACAAAAGCAAAACCTGGCAAAATCTTTGACCATGTGTTTATGCTCGTTGGAGTAGAAGGCGCTAAATGAAAGTGTCGGTGAAAACAATTGCCGAGTTCAAAGACTTACCTTGGTGGAATGGCCGCCAACTTTACATCGCTTTGTGGAAGCCATTTGCAAAATTGAACATCCCTAGTATCTGGATTGTTTGGTTCATACGGAAATTGTACGTTTGAAACATCTGTCAACAAGAAATATCCACCTTCTGCCATCAGAGGTTTGACGTTCGAAGAAACGAGCATTTTTGAAAGCATGTCACGTCTCTCCAAAAGTCTGTTCCTAATCACAGAAAAGTAATCATTGTCAATAGCATAATGAATACATTCTGCAGTGGCTCTTTGAAGTGGAGTGCTAATACAAAACTTGATATATTGATTCACTAAATAGCATGATCTTATGAGTGACTTTGGACCCAATATCCACCCAATTTTCCATCCAGTTACGGAAAATGTTTTTCCTACAGAGCTAATACTTAGAGTTCTGTCGAACATTCCATCAATATTTGAAATTCTGTTACAAAATTGTCTATTGAATGTTAAAAATTCATAAACCTCATCACTAATCACAAAGAGATTCTTATGAGAAAGGACAATTTGCGATATTTGTTCCAATTCTTTCACATCAAACACTTTACCAGTTGGATTGTGAGGAGTGTTTAAAATTATTGCCTTAGTTTTTTTTGTGATCTTTGAACGCAATTCGTGAATGTCCAATTTCCATTCTTGAGCACTTCTTACATTCTCATCTATGTACTAGATACAAATAGATCAAATCAATGTGTTAAAAATGTAATGTTGTGTACTAAACATACTTTTTCTGGAGGTCGCAAAGGAATATACACAGGTTTTGCTCCAGATAGCTCAACAGCTGATTTGTAGGCGTCATAAAATGGTTCAATGATAATGACCTCGTCACCTGGGTTGACCAATGATTGAATAACAATATAGAGCGCATCGCTTGCACCATTGGTAACTAGAATTTCTTCTGGAGAAAAGCTTCCATATTTAAATCCAGAAAGAGAGCTGTCATTGTAAAGTCTTTGCAAAGCTTGAACAAGAATCGGATCACCATGAGCTTTGGCATATTGATGAACAGGTTGACCTGCTTGATTGGCGAAAGCTTGCAGGACAAAATCTTTTTAGAATTATTATATATTAATTATTATTCATTCAATAAAATCAATTATTATCAGAATATCATAACAGTATTGATTTTCGAGTAGGTATTGCGTAATGACAATAAATCACGAAAATATTTCATCATCATCAGATGACCTTATGAAACATACCATCCACCTTCCAATCAGGAAATCCTTGTCCCAAATTTACAGCATTATTAGCAACTGCCAAAGGAGTATAGGTAGACCAAATAGTTTCCTCTAGTTGGGTTGCTCTCTTGGAAACTTTTGGGGAGGATGATCTCTTTAGGATGGACTTGACGGCCTTTTTCATTTTTTTTTTGTTCTTTGAAAAAAATTCTCAACATCAAGAGTCTCTTGATTTTCAAAGCCGCTCATATTCATATTTATAAAAGGCTTTTTTAAATCAACATCCCTCGTTACGGATTGTGTTGAATCAAAGCTATAACACACTCTAGTTGTTGGAGGATCATCAGAAATTTGTTTCAAGTCATTCCGAAGAGAGATAGTAGAGAATTGAACGAGCTCGTTTTCTTGTGATAATTCGAAGTCTCATTTGTTAAACTTTGGATCGATTGAGTCTGACAAAATTAATATTCATCTGGTTAGCTAAATATAACATTGCAATTCGCGGAGGAAGGAATCATTAAATTACTGTTAGTCATCATTTAATTATTTATTATCATTGGAAAATTATCGTCGCACATAGAATGGGGAACTCCTACGTTTCGGGAAAATCGACAAGTCAAGGTTTCTACAGACAGCACGAACCAAACTATGCTCCGACATTTGACAGCCATTCTATGATTTTTGAGCCCAGTAATGCATACATGAATTGGCCCATCACTTCCGATCCAGAGTGTGAGCATGATGGAACTGTATTTCTTACACTGGGCAACTATCAATATGGCCAATTACTTCACAAACGACCGAGAGAAATCACACAAAATATGCCAAATGACATTTGTATGGAGACGCTATGCCATCCACTCATACAATCCAATGGTGTGCGGTGCTCAAATCAAAACATTCGAATGATTGAGTGTGGAATTGCACAAACATTTTTAGTCACCATTGATAATTTAGTATATGGTAGGTTTTAAGAGAAATCATTCAAGTGGTTGTTAACTTTCAAAAGTATCTGGAAACAACTTTTTTGGACAGCTCGGATTAAATCATGCCAAGACAGTCTATGAGCCTGTAAGGTTAAATTTTGCATTTGATTCTCAGATTATTGAGGTTGTCTGTAGCCAGTTTCACACACTCTTTCTCACAGCAAAAGGCTCTGTGTATGTTTGTGGTTACAATTATTACTCTCAATTGTCAAGTCTTTCAGAAAATTGGGTGATGGAACCCACATTACTGAAAGATTTAGATACAATTCATCATGTATATTCTGGACAACGATTTACTTTATTCCAAACTCATGATGGAACAATTCTACTGAATGGAGATATCGAAGAAACAAACCTTCCTGTAAATAGAAAACCTGTTTTTATACAAGACCCAACAGATCCTATTCGACGAGTTGCATGTGGTGACTGTCATTTTGTAATTTTGACTCAGCTTGGAAGAGTATATGTTTGTGGAAGAAACTATTCTGGAGCTCTGGGATTAGGTCATACTGAAGATGTATTTGAGGTTACAGAGCTTAAATACAAGGAAATTGTAAATACAGAGTCTATAATTGTGGATGTTCAATGTGGTGACTCTCATACCATGTTTCGAACAAGAGATGGCCATATCTATGGTTGTGGTTATAACACGAAAGGTCAATTAGGTAGGTAATTCATCACGTGACAGATCTTTCATCTCAATGTTCATTAGGTATTCCAGGTTTCGAAAAAGAAAATTTTGTCTCAACAGTTACAGACCTCAAAATTCATGAATATACAGGACGCAGAATCACAGATGTGAGGTGTGGTAGAGAATGTACGGTCTTTCTATCCGGTAAGTGTTTTGTACACCAGTGTGAGTCCATCTGAAGTAAATTAATTTATTCACCATCATTCATGACAATGAATAGACAAGAATGAAATTTTCATTAGTGGCCAATTATGGAGGGATCAATGCTTTCAACACAAGCCAACAAAATTTCATCATCCAATATTTGAAAAGAAGAATATTTGCAGCATGGCTGTTGGTGGCTATCACATGATTATTTACTTGGAAGGTGAGTTTTATATTGGAAACAAATCAGTGACCATTCATTGACACGTGTGCTAATGGATTAATGTTTTGAAAAACGCAACAGACAAATTTATTAAGGACTATTCCATAGAATTTGAAGACGAAATTAATGCCACCTATCAAATCAAACTCTCCAACATTACAAGTATTGAATCATTTATTGACGGCATTGAAAAACATGCCAAGTTAGAGAGAAAGAGTAGAAAACAAGTGTACTACTTGGTATGGAATACAAACTTCAACAGGTTTGAATTCATTTGCAATATTCGAACCATTCCATCTCAATGTTTTATCAAGCGAATGATTGGTACTCTCTCAGAAGTTGTTTCACGAATTGAACCAAGCTATAATGTCGATTCCTTTGTGGGCATGTAATTATGTGTTGTTCATCTCTCTCATACGCTTAAATCTACTTTCCATCCATTGGAGAGTGTTGTTAGTCCAGTCGCACTTGAAGAGATTAAAAAATTTTACCCGCCAAATAATTGATCGTTGTACATTTTGAATAGTTTATTTTGCTTTCGGAATTTTGTGTTGTTTGTTTGAAAATAATATCGATATTTGTTGAGGAGTTAGTTGCTCACGGACTCGAGCAATAATTATCAGTTGAAGCACTTTTGTTGAAGATCTTGCAGGGTGTTGATGATCATGATCATTAATTGAGGATGGGAAGAATGGAGGATAAAAGGGTGAGAGTGGGTTCTCCGAACCGTCCTTCTACAAATCATTCAATGAGGAGCACTTCGGAACAAGAAGCAAAGTCACCAAAAAAACAGAGGAATATAGTATTTAAACAATTCGATAAACAAGTAGAAGAGAAGCTGACGGAAATGGCAACTCATAAACTCATCTGTGGATTGAATAATGTGCAACTGGTGAGATTTAGTACAGATTTAGGTTTATTGTTTTTAAAATCAAATGCAATCAACAGCGCAAACTTTCATCTTTCCGACGCATTGAAACACCTTACACAATTAATAGCTGAATTTGGTTATGAAGAGTTGTGTCAAAAAGACCATACCAAAGATAGCAAGACAATTTTTGGCCCAATTACGTATTCGTCAGAACAATTATCTCCCATAAAACCAGAAAGGTTCTCTCTTGACAAGAAGGTAAAAGAATTTACTGAGGGATGTAAAAACTTGAGCCTTGTTATTATGAATGGTCTCGCCATGACTCAGTTCAAGCTTGGAAATTTCGAAACATCAGAAATTATTTTGCAAAAATTACTTCCACGCCTCCAAGAACAACGCACAGTGTTTGATTGCAGGTTTGTGACAAATGTAATGTTGTGCCTTAATTATCTCAAGACCGACCAGTCTTCCTTCTTTGATGAGCGACTGAGAGAAACTGAAAGAGAACTAAACTCCGTTGCTCTTCCAATATTTGAGACTAGAGTCAGTTCTGAAAAGAAAAAAGATAGTATTGTATTTGAAAATCAAGAACAATCTCAAATCAAACAATATCGAAACAAGTATTGATATGATCATTGAATTGCTGAATCTATGTGAGCAAGAGGAAAATGATGACAAAATTTTGTACCTGTTTAAGTTTTTAGTGTCTCTTTCGAGTCGATACAGTGTCAGACTAACAGAAACTATTGCTGTATTGGACAGGTATCTTCCCATACTTTCTGGGTTTGCATTTGACTCTGGACTTCCGTACATCCACAAAAAACTTCTCTATTCAATACTTATTCAAAGTAGTGTGATCTATGTTAAGGTTGGAAACTACGACGCTGCTTACTCTGTACTGATTAATCTGTACAATAATTTGATGGTAGACCCAACGTCTCCAGAGAAAGGAATTGAGTCTCTGGATTTTATTACTGTACAAGACCATGGAGACTTTCTGAGGAAATTAGGAACAGTATGTCTCGGCATGAACAAGACAGAGGAAGGGATATCTTGGTTTAAAAAGGCCGTCGTTTTGTATGCCTCTCAGCTTGGAAAATCTCATCCGTTGACCAAGTCCTCAATTCAAAGAACAGCTGAATTGATATTTCACTTCAGCAATGAAAAATAGAGAGTTTTCTACATCTTTTGATTTAAAATTGGCGAATCATATGATGACGACAGGCTACTGTTGTAGATGATTGGGCTTTCCTCAGGTAACACATCACTTTCAAAGTCGTTTTGCTCAGAGACGAATTCTTGAAAGGTTTCTTCATCTAATGAAATAATGTTATCATAGAACAGCTTATTCCTGAGCATAATTGCTTTTTCACTTTCCTCCTGTCCACAACATGGTAAGGAAAAACATCTACCAATAGCCATGGCCACCGGTTTTGGTATAAGAAATGCTAAAAGGATGGCATTTGCAAAAAGTTCAATCAATGCAAAGGTCTAGACAATTTAATCGATAATATATTAATTATCAATTAATGAATTAATTGTGAGAAAATTGTTAAAAATGGTGGGTGGGTGTTTCATTTCATTACTTACAATATAGAAAACATAAGCTACGTAACAAAGTGTGTGATATATTCCAAGAGTGACTAGCATTCTACTTACCATATTCAAAGCGAGAGTACCATTCCCATTCTATCGTTGTCGCAATATTGGTGCACGACAGGAAGAAGTATGCAGAAGTACAAATAATTGAAATCAAAGCCACTTTTTGAATATTCTTTCGAGATTGACTTGATTCTTCCGTGGAGTTATCTTGTTTTCTGTACAATCTAAACACAAGAAGACCTGTTAATAAATTGTTGTTGGCACTACATATCTCGAGAAAATCAGCAGCTACTCACCAAAAATCATTAATGTCAGGCAAATTCCCCATGACAAAATTAATCGAATAACGAGTCGTGATATTTGATAACTCCACGTTCCATAACCAAATGTATGATGATCCAACACAGTAATCAAAATTGCAAATGGGGTGACAAATAGAAAAGACAGCACGGAAAGCACCCAGAAAATAATGTTCAATATCTTTCTCACTTTCATAAAGTAGGTATTTGTTTCACTCCCTGAAGAACTCTCATAAGAAGTGTCATCTTGAATTTTCTTCATAGTGAAATATTGCTCTGCCCAATACAAACCCAATATTAGATAGATTACAAAATTGCTTGAACTAGCGTAAATATCCAAAATTTGAGACACTTTGGAAATGTAGGGACAAATCGGATTGTCTCTGTTGTATCTAAAACACAGCTGATTAAATATGAGAGATTGCACTATTTTGTATCATTTGTGACGAATCGATTAAATAACATGAATATAATTAATAATTAAACATAATATTTTTCCATCCCAGTTGTGACATCAGATTGGCTTCATATTTTTGAATCGATCAAACATACTTGTGCGAATAAAACACGAGCAAAATATCATGACAAATAATTTTCTTTGAAGGCTAATTTGATTTTTAAACATTCCCTTCAGGCTGCAGCAGAACCAAATCAAACTCACAATACACGCAATACACGACAAGACTCCTTGCGGAAATTGTTCCCAATTCACCCCTCCCGTCATGGTTGTATTATGGGGATGAGTATTATTCATGGTCATCAAGAGTGAGATCGACGGTGTTGAAGATGATGATGTGTATGCCAGCTGCAAGGAGGCTTCTTGTCTACCAACTCCGATCCAAGCCAGCAGTATCTCATGCAATTTGATGGCCATCCTAGTGATTGTTTTTTTTTTGGAATCTGAGGTCAGACTCGGACAGGACAGTAATTATTGTTAATTGTAAAATATCTTGCCAGGAGGTGATCCGATTCGATCCCTCTCATTCCCAACGTTTTGAAAGGAAGGATAAAGGCAATGTTACCAAATATTTAAAAAAACAGCCCATTGAGAATCTTCTGATCATTCCTTTAAGGGTTCCTTTAATACTTTTGATATTCGGAAATGTTGATCGTAATTGTAAATTTCCGGGCGCCATTCGCGATGAAAAAATGTCTTCCAAGAAAGCAAGTGCAGGCTCTGCCCGAAGACCAACCGTCAAATCGAATGCTCAAACACCTCGGATCAAAGTGAATCCTCATGCGTTTATGGAGTTTGAGGTGAGTAATGGTGTTGTGGAGGAGGATGGAAAATTGAGTGGGGAAGAGAAGTTCCTCGGAAGAGTCGTGTTTGAGCTGTATGAAGAGAAACTTCCAAAGACGGTTCAGAATTTTAAAAGTTTGTGTTTGGGTGATAAGGGAAAAACAAAACCTGTCAAGGAATTGAATAATGCTATTGTCAATTTACATTATAAAGGGACGAACATTCACCGAATCGTGAAAGGATTCGTCATACAGGTAATTATCTTGCTTTTAATATTTATACAACTCTCGGAATTTTGACCTCGGAATTTGTTTGCTTGGCACTGACAGGGAGGTGACGTTGTCTCGAACAGCGGACAGTCTGGCCACGCTGTCACTTCCCGAACGTTTGAAGATGAATCCTTTGAGTACAAGCATGAGCCCTTTTCCTTAACATGTCCAAATTTTGGTTCTCCCAACACAAATACTTCACAATTTGCCATTACGTTATGCAAAGCTCCTTGGCTTGATGATCACTATGTTGTTTTTGGCAGAGTAAGGAACGGATTTGACGTACTAAAGAAAATAGAAAGCTTTGGAAGTGACATTGGGAAAGTAACACGGCAAGTCGTTATCTCAAATTGCGGTCATTTAACAGAGGAAGAAGCAATAAGCTTGGAATCCTCAGTAATTCCTTCACACCAACTTCAATAACAAACGCTTTGTTTGTATTTTGTAAATCTCAAACATTGGAGGTCACGAAGACATCCCCTATCACAAACAAGCCACTCATCAATCACTTGTCATCGAAGATGCCAAAACAATTTCACATTAAAAAAAATAAAAAATCTCCCCAATCTCCTTCCGAACCACCAACAAACAAAACACATCACCCACCACCAGCAATGTCAACAAGAGACGAAATTTTGGATCAAATTGACTCTCTCCAAAACCTTCTTGATGATGGTATCATGGACGAAGAGCAATATCAAGCAGCAAAGGACAAACTTCTCAAAAAGTTGGAAGAACTCGAGAATGAGGAAAAGCAACCACCAAAGACAACATCCACTGCTGGCAATGCTGCTAAAAAACAACCCTATGATGATGACGAGGATGATGAGGATCACTACAACGGAGGAGGCAACGATGAAGTCGACCCATACGATGCCTACGATGCTGTCGATGATTCTGCAGTGACTTCCTCCACTGGTGGTGATGTCATTGAATCATATTTGGACACCCATGAAAGATTGTTGCAAACCATGAAACAAACAAAGGCAACTGAAGCATCAAGATGGGGTAAATCTGGTCAAGTATTTGTAAGTAGTAGTTGTATACGAATATTCATGGAAATGTGGTACTAACCAATGATGATGACAACGACGACTCTGTTGTTGATGGTGTTGGGGTTTCCTTGGACGTGTGTTACCTCCTACGATGGTGCACATCATTGTATTTGTCAATACCATTATTACTTTTGAAAATCCAATGACAGGACGAAACCAAACTTGCTTGGGGAAGTTATTTAGATACTCATGAGAAGGATCAAAACAACCGAAAGGAAACCAAATTCCGCAGTGGAGCTGCCTGGGGTAAGAGTGCAGGAGAGATTTACGTAAGTAGAAGATTGTTCTTGGTGTGATGAAGATGATCATGATGTTGTTGCTGACCCTTATTCGTATATCCATGAACACATTCATTGTGTACACACGCAAATATATATATATTGGGTGTTACAATATATTCTTCTCCATCCTCAACAACAAACGACACACATCAACACGTGTTACATTCCAAATAATTGAACAACAACATCCTCATCAACCCATCCCTCGAATTTTGCTCTTCCTGTTGTAAATTGGCCAACGATGATGATCATTATCACTCAACAACAACAAAACCTACTCACACCAATCCAAACAACAACAACAACAACAACAACATCACTCTCAACACAACAGGATGAAACCAAGCTCGAATTCGGTTCCTATCTCAAGAGTGAGGAGGAAAAGAAGAGACAACTTGCTGAGGAGGAAGCCAGAAAGAAGATGGAGGCCATTGAAGCCATCAAGAAAAAGAAGGAAGGAGAATTTCTTGATCCTCGAACATCTAAATTCAAACTCGCTGATTTGCAAGGTAAATTCCCTAAGGGTGTTGATCCTACCAAGAAGGAACTCTATCTCTCTGCTGAAGATTTCAAGACTCACTTTGGTATGACATTGGCTGAATACGTCAAGTTACCACCTGTTCAAAAGAAGAAACTTAAGAAGAATCTCAATTTGTTCTAATATTATTATTGCTATCTATACATTTATGTTAATATAACACCGTATTATCTTTTTGTAGACAAGAATTCATGTGATAGTTCATGATAACATACACACAACAGTTGCAAATCAGCCAACTGCAAGAGAGTCATGTAAAATTATTAAACCAATGATTTTGTACACTCATGAAAGAGTTGAGCTGTTGTTATTATTACAATGTCACATCCAAACATACACTCACAACAAAGGCTTTAAATCCTATCAACAACACAACAAAAAATTGAATGCTAGATCCAAGTGACGAATTCGTGGATGTTTCAACAAGTTCCGAAATCGAGATTTTAGAGATGATGATGACACCATTGAATTTATGATGGACAGAGTGGACGATACTCGTGTCCTGTATGTCTTTTGGGAGGGAAAAGTGAGGGGTGCAAAGTTGGTGACGCTACTGTCATTTCTGGCTTGCTGTTGTAGCATCCTGTAGCACGCAAAGTTCATGTTGTTTGAAGGGTTTCTTGGCATCTTGTCGATTTACCACATGACATCAATACCATTCGAATCCATGTTAGAGAAATGGATGAAAGATCCGACTCAAACATCGGAAGTGTTGCTCCATCGAACCAATCATAGAGCTATTTTGAAGCTCAAAAGCAACACCGAAAATGTTTCTCGCAAACACCGTCAAAAATTAGTGAGAGAGAAAATTATCCCAATTTCAATGTGCCTGTTGAATTGCACTGCTGAAGAAGCTATTAATACAATAATTTCTGTGAAAAATTCTAAAATTGCCATTGAGAAATCCAAATGGTATAACTGTAAAATTACAAAACAGTCCAAGATGGTGAAACAATTCACAGCAAAGAAAATCCAAAAAAGAAATCAATTAATGTCTGGTATCGCCACTTATGGCACAGGAATATCATTATCAACTGCTAAAACTATGAATATCATCAACGCCAAACAAACGAATCATGAAAAGTTACAAAATTCACATTTGAAAAATCCGTTCTCAAGAATTCGAAAGTGCATGAAAATTTCAATATTGAAAGATTATATTTGCCATGTCTTTGACAACAGATCACTCAGCAGTGCAGACCTTGGCAAAGAATTGTATAATATTTTCAAAAACAAAACAAATATTGAATTCAATTCTTTGGACAATTATGATCAAATATTGCACTCACTTGAAAATCAACAGAAATCAACGTTAAATAGAGACATTCCATCAATTCTTAAATATATCTACATTGAGCAAAAATTGCTCTCATTTAATAGTGAACAATTATTTCAAGCAATAGAATATTTTGCAGGAATAGTTGAGGTAGAAAAATTAAATTTGTGGCAAAAAGTTGCTGATCACTTACAAATTTCCTTCAAATTCAGTAATGATTTTTGTAGATTCGGATACTATTATTTCAAAAATGAAGTACCACCGATCCAAATATTCCAACGAAGACTTATTAAATTGGATGATGATCTTCTTATGCCAACCATTAATGAGCAAGAAATGAAGGATGATGTTGAAGCTCTTTGTATCGGCAAGGCAACTGAAAATGATGAGGATGATAGTGAATTATATACCATGGAAGAATGGTGTAAAGTGTTTGAAAATCCTCTATCGTTATATATTGGTTATCCTATTACAATACCAATAACATTGAATGGGAAAGATGTTGCAGTGAAAGGTGTTGTTCGACGAATTATTCCTGTAATAACTCAACATATGATCCAATGTCACAAATATGGGTATATTCGACAACATATCTCTATTATTAATATTAATTTGGGAATTGTCGATTGGATGGATGGTACTTGTATCTTAAACCAATCATTAGTGAAAGTTACAGTTCAATTCTTATGGGATGAAAATGTGTTTGATAAATCTGGGCTGAATTTTGTCACTAAACCACTACCAATAATATATACATGGTGTCCAGAGACTAAACAAAACGTGGCAACAGTTTCATCTGTTTTGAGAGATCAATATTTTGAACTGAAAGAGTTTGCATTCAAATACACAAGATATATGAGCGCTGATTACAGTAATGCTGCTAAACGATGGAATCACAAAGTAGGTGGACATTATCGATGCTCCAAATGCAACATTTCATTTAAAGATTGTGAACATACCGACTACTTACAATGCATCAAATTACTTACTGACAACAAATCTCTGGAAAACCTGTTAAAAATTTTTCTCATGGGCAAGAAGGTCTTTCACACATCATTAATGATGGCAAACATTTAACTCTAGAGCAGCGAGGTTTACATCAATATGAAAATGGGTCGGAAATATTGCATGTCAATAAAGGAATATCTACAGGAATGTTCACAATGTTCAAGAAAGAAAAGTATTTCAAAGAAACAGAGTGTTTTGCAGCATTAGATATTCATATCAGAAACAATGCTCACTCTAGTACTCTCTCAAACGGTGATTGGAGAATGATTTTTTGTAAATTTCCTGAAACTATACTTCCATTCATCGTTCAAGAAAAAGCAAATGCTGAATTACTTTTGCTGTTGTGGACATTTTACAATTCATGTATAATAAGAAAGTGCATACCTTGTCTGAAAACCATCAATTCTGTACAAAAGTTTTTGTGTTTGGTTGTCTGGTTATTAATAGATGGGGAAAAGCCATTGTTGGATTGCATTTGCATGATCTTTGGATTCAAATTTCTCAATTAGTCTGGAAAGTGAATTTGAATTTTCTTTCAGCTGAAAAAGGTGAGCAAAGTTTTTCTCGTGAAAAGAAAATTGCAAAAGATACTACTGACCACAAAGATGAAACAGTCATTGTGCAAATCATTAAGCGAACGATGTTCGAAGATGTTGTTCGAAGCAATTTTAAAAACTCCAAAACCACACGTTCATCTATGGGAAAATTGTTAGAGAACATTCCCCAAATACCTAGCTTTATTCCAAAATCAATAAGTTCAGACTTAAAATATTGTAAATGGGTGAAAGCATTCGAAGACAACATATTAATTCCAAATTTTCCAGCATTTGCAAAATTTGATTGTAATGGACACTCTGTTCATGGTGAAAATTCACCTAATCTATCACCTGAATTTGAAAATATTCTCAACAATTGCTTAGTTACAAATCCCATAATTTACAGAAAAAAGACTAAATGTCCACATTGCAAAAAGAAATTTGATAATATTTCCCCAAGTTGCATTTTAGCATGTTGCAATAATTGTTGTGATGATGAGGATTGTGAATATCATATCAACCTTCCAAAAGAAACGCCAATGGTGATATTGTCCCATCATTCTCAAACACAAACTCAAATGAATTCATCACAAGACAATATATATGTGAGCCAAGCTCAACCTCCACAAACTAATTCCTCACTTCCAATGACAAACAATGTCAGCACAACCTTCACACCGAAGCCTGTATGTGCTAACTCCTCGAAGAGTTGTACAAACAAAAAAGTATCGGCCAAATGTACCAACAAAATGTGCAAGAATTGCTGTCTGAGTCATCAAGTGTGCAGCTTTCATGGAGCTGCTGTGAGTCGAGTGGACATACGGTAATAGAGGCATATGTAAAAGCCCAAATAAATAAGGAAACTTACCAATCAAACGTCCACTATGATAGTGCCAAAAGGCTTCGAAACAACCAACCGCCACACACAAAAAAATCTAATTAGTTTATTGTTAGCACCATTGGTGCTGGTAAAACTATTAAACGCACGTTCATGCGGTTGACTTTGACTTGAATTGTCTTGAAATTGGTTTCAATTCTGTGGAGATGATGTAAAAATCATTGGTGAAGCGAAATATTTTGTTTGTGTTTTATCTGTCATGGCTGGTGAATTAAGTTTCTTTAGTATTTGTTGTTGAGTTTCGGCATTTTGAATGACTAAATTGAGAGTGTTGGTCTTGCTGTCTGGGATGTACCAGTGTTGAATAACTGATTCAAATCTTTTTAGAATATGAGTTGGTTTTGTAACTTCAATTAATTGCTGTACTGTTTGTGTGAGCGTCTTAACAGCATCTTGCAGTTCTTTGATTTGTTGTTGTTGTTGTTCTAAGTGATTTATGAGTTCTTTGATGGTTTGTTGTTGAGTCATTTTTTTCGATTCGTAGATAAAATTAAAAAATGCTTTCATCCCAACTACCTGTCGTGGAGAAAGAGTGTAAAGGGACAACAGGTTATGGAAAATACAACTTGCTGCTTGATGCTAGCAAAACTTGTTTTTTGGATGGTACCGGAAAGGTTATTGGCAGGATTTCAAATGGATATTTGTGTGCAGTTGATTGTGTCAAAAAGTGTACACCAAAGCAAAAAACCGATTTGTGTTCCAAGTGCCGTTCACTCTTACAATCATTAGAAAACAAATTGGAAAAAGTTAAACAAATTATTGATAATCCAGAACTGCAGTTCTACCTTCCTTTTCATCTGTATTTTTTTATCCTCAAGTGATGTACCAATTATTGAAAAAAAACTTCAAATATGTTGAAAACTCAAAAAATTAACGATTTTGAACTCAAAATTATTCAGTCATTAAGAAATGCCGAGAAAACTTACAATAATGAATATCAAATTAAATCAAAAATTGTTGAGCCCTCCAGCAATACCAAAAAAACAACTAGATTTACACACACCACCAGAATCTGTCAACCCATTAGCTTCAAAAACATATGTTAAATTTGAGGATACTTTTTTTGTGAAATTTCTTGAGAACCAATTAGAAAATTATTCAAGACACCCAAACCACCATAAATATGACGAAGTTATGAAACGGTATTGGCTGCTTGGTAGATATTTCAGTGGAAAACAATTTTTCAAGCAATTATCAGGAAAGAAAAATCAAAATATACCTTGTAATTGGAGAACCAACTTGCAATATAATATAATAATACCAAGTAACAACACCATGAAAAATTGGACGCCTAAAGGAAGTATCGGATTCTGTGAATACTCAAAGTTCGTTTTTGAAAGTTTGTTACCTGATTCATGTAAAAAAGTTTGTATTACAGTAGATGGAATGAAAGTTCTCAAAAAATTGGAATGGATAATATTAATGACTTCATATACTCTACATTAATTGATTGCAACGAAAAATTGAAAACTAATTCCCTTGAACTGGTTTGTGCTTGTGCAGATGCTGAAGTTGATGCTAAAAAATTGCAAACATCATTACGACAAGTTTTGGGCCCAAACTTCGTCTTTGTGAACGATTATGTGCACAATTTTAAATATCAACGAAACTGTTTGTTAAATGGAAGAATTTTAGGAAATATTAGTATGTCTACTCTAATTAACACAATGAGTTCCCATCCTGAGTTATATGATGTACTTGATAAAGAAGAAGTGACACCATCTGATATCATGGCCATAGATCCATGTCTTACTCTAACCACACCAAGGGTGATTGAAATATTGAAATCACTAAAAAATGATGATTCTACCACTTTAGCAAAGTATTTAGAGAATATTCGTGAAATATATGATATAATTAATGAAAATGATACTGATCCAATTCTCTTCCATCATCATCTTCGTTGGTGGCATCCACCGTTTCCTCCTTTGTAGCATCTCCTTCTTCCGTTCATCTCCATCATCATCAAATCCACAACAACAACAACCACAATAATACCAATGATGACTCCAACAGCCATTATTATTCAACACACACGAACAATCCTTCTCCAGGGTCACCACTCTCTTCATCTTCAATTAACCATAACAGCTGTACAAATCCAAAATATTTGGTCTCAAAATTTTTAGAAGAAACTCAAATTCATAACGTAATTACTGATGATGATATTGCAAATATAATTCCATATCGTAAAAACAATGAACAGTTCCATATGGTTCTATTAGATTTAGAAACTACTGGAATGGATGCGAAAGATAATGAAATAGTGCAAATTGGACTGATATCATTACTTTCAAAATTCGTATTTTCCACATGCGTGAAACCAACACGCAATAATTGGACTGATCATGCATTAAGAATGCACCGTACTAAATTGAACGAAATCAACAATTCCAAACCATTACATGAAATTATCACCCCCATTCACAATTATTTGACTAAGCATGGTACTTGCACTGCTATAATTATGGTATACTCTACGTCACTTGATAGAAATTTTATCCTCCAAGCGTTGAATCAAAATTCGTTATCTACGAATCAATATATTATTGTCAACACAATAAGCAAAGAATTTTTTAAAGGGTGTCAGCCAGTTATGACCAGGTGAATAAGCCATTGAAAAGCACAACAAAAAATGTAGTGGATGCTGAGCATGATGCACCATTTGACACGGCAATGTTATTTGACATCATCATGAACCGATTTAAAGGGAACACAGACCAAATTTTTACAAAGTGTATGGAGTTTAAAGATCGTATGCTGCATGATGGCAGTTATGGGAACAAAAATGCTAAGAGGAAGAAACCTGCTGATGACAATGGTAGCACGAAGAAAAAGATAGTTACTTCAGCCCCACAGCAAAAACAGACCAAAATATATGAATTTGTGGAATGGGCACTCCCGAATACACAACAAAAGAAAGGAAGAAGCACAAAGACAAGCAATAAACAGTGATGAAAGCTTGCTGGTGAACAGTGGGTAGGTGGTTGCGATATTTTTTAAAAACCCCGATTAGGAAGGTACTCCAGGAGGGTTGACACGAGGCAGAAAGTATTAACACCTCAATGTGGTTTATTGTGAATAAGCAAATTCATCAAGTAGATGAAGAAAAATCTACAAGATACATGGTGGATGATAAACAAGCTTTAGAACTGATTCACAAACCCATTTGTGACATTTGAATGACCAACATACTCAAACTGGTATTTCAATCAATGGATCCAATAATTATCAGGAGCATTTCACTCAAATGTAGATGAAGAAGAAGCCCCTCAATTTAATCTTTAAAAAGAAAAATGCAGAAGGAAAATCAGTATTTCAGTGTGGCATCTTGCCGCCATGAAAGATTCTTGGAGGCCTAAATCCCATGATGGACTTTTTTTACCTTTTGGTTCTTGCTTTTCCCTTGATGGTCCTGTTGCTTGTGATTGGCCCTTAGCACCGATTACCGATTGGTTTGTGGCGATGTGTTGCTGTGATAGATTGTTATTAGGCGAGTGTTGAGAGCCGCTTGTGAAGAAAAAAATAATCCAAACAAAAAAAAAATCAAAACTTCCACAACCTTTCCTTTCCTCTCCTAACAACATTTTCGGAATTTTTAAATTTTTATTTTACACCACATCATCATCTTCAACAACAACCGCCACTGAAACATCAACAACATGGGAAAGAGAAGAAGAAAGAATAATAAAAAAGGTGGAGAGGATGAATCTCTCGAACAAAAATTGGAAGAACGCCTTTCCAAAACTTGGTGTTATTATTGCGATAGAGAATTTGATGATGAGGCTATTCTCATTCAACATCAAAAAACTAAACATTTCAAATGTCCCTACTGTCCAAAGAAATTAGTAAGTGTAAAGGGAATGAAGACTCATGTGTTACAAGTTCACAAAGAAAACATCAACTTTATTCCGAACGCAAAACCTGATAGGAACACGTTTGATTTTGAAATTCAAGGGACACAAGGTATTCCAGAGTATATCCTCCTAGAGAGACAAAAGAAGTTGGAACTTGAAATATTTGGAAAGTCTGATATTCAAACCCAAGGAGATAATTTACCAGGATCTCTTTTTGCATCATCCTCTGAATCTAACGTAACTAATACTTCTAGTTTATCAAATTCTATTAACCATCAACATGATGATCACACAGATGCAGTCGAAGGTGATGAAGAGAGTACAAGCGAGAACGCAACCACCGATGTATCTATTGAACCTCAAACTAAAAAGGTCAAGTCCACTCAAGAAGGGGTCACTCCTCAACCCATTTCATTCTCTCTCCAAAAGAAAAGCAAAATTTCTGCCCCTCCAACCATTTACAGAGCAGCACCTGTGCTAAATACTAGTAGCTTCAACACGCAAGATAATCAAACCAACACTGCCACCAATTTGAACGAGTCAGCTGATGTCAGCACTCCTCAGAACAATGCTGAGAGTCTCAATGACATTCCTATTGATGGTGGTAAGTTGATTGAGAAACAGTAATATCATCACACTTACTCATCCTCAATTGTAGAGGATGACACTACAAGTCATACATCACATCTTATTTACAAAGATGCCCTTTCCATGGAGGAGAAAAGAGCTCTAGATCTGAAATAACTGTAAGTTTTGGATCATTTACTGAATATTAAATAAAGATTGTGTTATGCTGTCTCTGAATTGAGCTGTTTTTTGTTTTTATGATCGTGTTGATGAGTTGGAGTTGAGAGTAATTTATGCAATTGTAAAGTTAAAAGAAACACAGGCCAACTCTTTTGACTTGGAAGAATCAAGATAAGCAGAAGCAACAGTTTGATAGGTTCCAGGGAAAGCAAATGAAGGAATTTGGTTTTGAATCTTGATGGCCTGATTACCGACGCCAATTGGGCAACCACCAACAACGATCTGTTAATATTACAATAGAATCCGATCAGCAGACCAAATTAAAAAGGTTCGCCGAAATCAATAGAGAAGATAAATTAAATTCAGATGAATGAATTAAATTTTCAAAATTAAAAGATGATCATCAATAAATACCATCACCGACTGACATACCTGACACAAATTATAGGAATATTCAAAAAGTTTGACTCCAGAAAGATAAATATCAGCATACAAAATACCACCAGAAATAGGAGTGGTCACTTGTCCCTATTTTGTCGTTTCGAAATAGTCATCATCATTATTAAATAAATCATCGAAATTATTAATAATTCTTCCCACATTCTGTACTACTTACAGTAGTCACTGCGGTCAAGGTGTCACCAGCCTTTGGAGAAGCAGGTGTAATATCCAAAGCCTTTGGAGTAAATACAGGGTTATTGAAACATTGTTGGAAAGGAGCGTTAACGGCCAAAGCGACAGTAGCGCAGAGCAAAATGAGAGCAAATGAGGCAAAGATTTTTTGCATTTTTTTTGGTTATGTGAGATTTGGCAAACTCCTTTCGAAGGATCGTTTGAGTTTGGCTTCCGATGTTTTCCCTGCTGCTCCTTCCCGAGCACTCGAAATTCTGCAGTATTTTTCATTGACTTTACAAGTAAATGAGTTGGTGTTTGAAAACTGATAATTTTAAAGTTAGTCGAAAAGTCAGCGGATTTTTGAATTTAATCCCTACTAAGTTTACTCTGCTCTGTTCCAAATCTGCAGTTCACTTAAATCGATATCTGATTTTATTTAAATAAGCATTGAAATATTTCATCGAATTCAGTAAGAAAAATTTATTGATGAATCAGTTGAAAAATAAGGGACTGATTTGAAGTGAAATCAGTTTCTGAATAAGGGACTGATTTGAAGTTAAGTCAGTACCTAAATTAGACTCTGAGTTGAATTGAAATCAGTATCCAAATCTGACTCTTGGTTGAATAAAAATCAGTTGAAAAATAAGACTCTTGGTTGAATTAAAATCAGTCTCCAAATCATACTATGGTATTGAAATTAGTCTACGGATAAGACACTCATTGGAATGAAAATCACCAATATCGTATTTCATAGTAATCCATGGAAGGCTTGAGTAATCCACTTCTAATTCAGTGTAATTATAATTTCTCGCTATCAATCATCGTATCATCTTTTCAAATAAGCTGATCATCAATGATTCAATGCTTACCTTGACGATGACCATGACACCTTGTGTTCAATTGGGTCAAGTAATACCAACTTACCTTGATTCATGAATTGTTCTAAATGTAGTGAAGGGTAGGAATGTTCGATTGTAACAATTAATGAGTTTGGTTGAGTCTTTAAATTTTTTAATACTCATCACAATCACATGAATAAACTTGGTATTGTTTAAATCAAGAACAAGTCATTCCTATGAACTTGTTTAAATTTACCACAAACTTGGAAACATGGTATGGCGTTTTTTGGCATTTCGTCCAATATTTTGACTTGATTCGAGTCTAAACTTTTAACGTGATACAAGCCATCCTTTTTACTGGTCACGAGACCATGACCAAATTCTTGAGCATGAAAATAATCACCCTTTTCAAATTGAAAATGAAAAGTTCTTACTCGTTTCATGGAAATGACTTGATGTAATGAAAAGTTCTCCAGTGCTTTGTGGTCCATGTTATTCTTTCCTCCTTGAACAGAGCTAGTGATGGATCCAACTAGATCTTCGAGCATAAAAGTACTCGTACACCATAGAGGTCCAAGATAGAAAATAGAACTGTTTACATGATGAATAATATATAAAAATAATTACATGATGGATAATATGTGAAAATGAGCTATATCATTTAGCCGACTTACAGATGAAAATGAACGAATGTATGTGAAGCCAGTGTTAAAATAATAATGTCAAAATCTGTCTCGATGGCTTGTAATATTTCAAAAATTTCCTTTTTCATACTGTATAGAACTTCAAGGCTTCTCACTACTGGATGCATGATGGTGCGTATAAAAGTAGAAAGTCTATAGAGAATGTGATAATGTTTGTCTGATATTTCATCCTGAAAAACCTCAATACAATATGCAAATATTATATAATATTCAATTGCTTTGAAATAACTCAATTCATCCAATCCACGGACTCTTCGATGATAGAACGAAGGTGTTTTGATTTCATATAGCTTGTCTATCGTTCTTTTAGTAGTTTATCAAGTAAAAGTTCTTTACTTACTGTTAATAGTATCAATATTGTACTTGTTTTTGATAAAGTTCAACAATTTTGCACAAAGGCCTTCAAGTAAATTGTGTAACAAATCACAAGCAATCTGTGCAAATACCAACCAATTAGTATTACCTTCTGTTGAAAATGATTTGTTCAAGCAAAATAATTTTGCAGCCTGCTATATGGACGTGTTGAATTCTTCTACTGTGATTCAAAAGGATCCCTTGTCCATGATCTTTGCCTCTCAAAAAGATATGGTCGTGCCTGCATTCTCCACTCAAAAAGATCTGTCTGAAGTGGTATTGCCTCAATCCATGCAATCTCAACCACCAATGCAAATTCAACCGTCAGTACAACTGTCAGTGCAATCTCAACCCTTGGCTTCTTCATCATTTCAGAAAGACCGGACCAACACTACAATACTCTCTTCTCAAACTGATGTTTTGACTCCAGTCTTCTCCTCTTAAGTGGGTTCACATTCCACCATTCCAACGATCCATGAATTTGAAGAATTGAAAAAGAAGTATGAAAGAATTGTCGACATTAATCATGATCTCCAATTCAATATGAAAAGGATTCAACGAGAATTGGAACAAGAGAAGGAAGAACGAATCAAGTTGCAATCCAAGGTTGATCAGCATCCCGAGAGAATGAATACCGTTCGTGATAACTTGTGTAAGATGTATGTTGATCTTGGAAATATTATAACCTCCATGTCTAACACAACAACCATTATAATTGGGGACGAGAAGAAGGAAGTGGCCTCAGACGAATTTGTTAATTTTTGTAAGAGGAACCAATTTGGCAAGTGTGTAGATTACCTTTGTCAAGTTTTCAATTGGAGCATTGACAAATTGAAAACAAACGCCAAACTCCAGCATGCGGTTGCTTCCTTCATATACCAGCACACGGAAATCAAGGAAACCACTCGCCAGTGGAGCAACTTTTTCAATACTCACAAATAATGGCCGAACTTGATTGCTTTGTAATAAAATAAATATCAGTATGAAAATGTGGAATTTACTGATTTTGCGACTGGCTTTTTTTCTGACTGAATTCCAATGCAAGTTTGCTCACTAATTTCATTAAAAATACGAAATTTCGAGTGCTCGGGTTATGCCTTGTGAAAGGCGGATAGAATTTGAAGGGGCAAGAAAGAGATCAATTGTGTGAAGAGGTTGTTGTTACATGATTTTACTATTGTTGTAGGTGAGACACTTGTCACACCTCAAAATCAACTGCCTTGAGCGTGCAAGCCCTAATAAATATGCATCCAAAGAATTACTCACCAGAAAGTAATTTTCTAACCTAAGGTAATTTTGCAAGGCGCTTTGGTGTCACCATGTGACTCAAGCAAATATGTTGTGAATAATCTTTGTTCCGCTCTCTAATTTCATTTACAAAACATTGGCATTCTTCATTGCAGAAAATATAATGTGTGCCAATTGGTCTGACCCTTTTGGGGTGAAATGTAGCTTGTCGGCATCCCAATATTCCTTTCGTTTATCAAGAGTACATTTACTCCAATTAAGCTCATTCATTAAATCAACAAAAATCATTTTCTTTCCTGGTATTAGTTGTTGCTGATTGAATTGTTCCACAAAATTTCGTATATTTTCATTCACTTGGAGCTTTTTCACTTGAAACGTCTCTCGTAAATTTTCCATATCATCTGCATAACAAGAAGGAATTGAACATGCAATGATCCATTCAATACTCTTTTGATTTAAACAAATATTATACATATCTATCAAATTATTGGTAATATCTTCGCTCTTTCTGATAAAAGCTAAATCATTCGTTCCTCCTATAATGATGGCAGCTCTGTAATCATTAGGCGGTACTAATGGTAACGCGTTTGGAGTCATGTTATCAAACAATTCATCGACACGATGATATTGAGCATCATATTCAGTGAGCTGTTTCATAAGAAATCTTGATAATCGTTCTTTCATTGAATTTGTTTGTTCTCCACTCACTCCGAATTGATAAACTTTATACTTTTCATCCGTTGTTGCAACCGAGTTGAGTAATCGATTTAATTCAACGCAATACGGATGAAATTTAGTACCTTTCTTGTAGTATCCTCTTGTGAGAGAATCACCAATAGCAATGATCGGAAAGGAATTTTGGTGATCCATCTCTACAGTTTTTTTCAGTTGTCGTGAGAGGAAAGGGCTGTCTTTGGAATTAGAGGAATCATTCCGACCCATTTTTTTTGTTGAGGCTGTTCTTCTTTTCTTCATAGTTAACGCACCAGACGGTGCTCTTTAATCCTTTTCGAAGTCAAACAAAAAAAATTGATGAGAGTGGGATTTGAACCCACGCCCTTGCGGAACACGGTATTAAACATACCTTAACGTGTCGTCTTAGACCGCTCGACCATCTCACCTTGCATGGTAAACAAAATTGCTATCTTACATAACAAAAAATGTTGTTATTCAGTGTTCAAAGATATTGTTGTTAATTTTATATTCATTGTTATAACAAGGTCACTGATTGTTTTCGTATTCTAGCAGAATTCATCCATTGAACACAACACAATAGCAAAAGTCGTTCAAGAAACAATTTGAAAAAATTTTGTTAGAAAAAAAAATGGTAGCAAGAACAAAGCCATCATCAAATGAACAAAATCATCATCAACCCACTCGGAACTCTGTTGTAGCAAAAGAAGATGACCTCGAATATGATCTTGGACATTTAATGTGTCTAGATGTACATCCAATTGATTATCAACAAAACAATACCCACGATGAAGAGGCTAACCACAGACTCCAACAATCTCTCCTTGAAAGTGCCCGAGAAAATACACAACTTCTTGTAAATCATCTCTTTCAATTAGAGAATATCAAACAAGAGGATACAGGTCTTTTTGCCGAGTTACCGGATCCAATCTTCCGTTTACCAAGAGAAAAACCTTGCCCAAAGAAACGAGAGTTGACCCGATTTGAACAATTCATGGCTGAGAAGGGCCTTCGTATTCGAGGAAAGAATGAAAGAGAGAAACTTGTCTATGATGAAGTGCATGATGAATTTAGACCTAGATTTGGTTGGGGCAAAGCAAACAATGCTGATGAAACCGATTGGATTATTCCAGCCAAGGAGGGAGACGAACAACATGAAGATCCATTCTTGGCAAGACAAATTGAAAAAAGAGAAAAAAAGAAGAAGCAACTCAAAAATCAAGTCACAAATATTGGAAAAGGAGCAGCAAAGAAGGGAGCTAAAGATGCTGAGAAGGAGAATAAGGCTCTGGCCGTGCAAAACAAGTACAATCCAGCAAATACTCCATCTACATTAAAGATAACAAATGTAAATGGTGGAAAGATTAATCCAAAACGAGCTCATACGGGCTTAAAGGATGATTTCCTTAATGCATACGATTTCGCTAGAGTGAGTACAGCAAGTATGGGCAAATTCGATACACAGGTGAAGGATGAAAAATCAATGCCTGTCCGAAAGGGAATTTCGCATCTTGTGGCTCCAGGAGCTAGCGCAAATTATGATGAAAAGACAAAGGCCATGAAGATTTCAAGCAGAATTTTGAAAGAAAGCACAAAGAAGAAGACAGGACAGCTCAAGACGAACGCAGTTAATATTTTCCAACATTTAACAGAGAAAGATGGAAGAAAACAAAAGAAGGTACATCTTCTTGCCCAGGCTAGAGATCGCTACAAGAAGAAGGGCACGACATCAAAGAAGGACAGAGATTTCACTGTGGAAAAAAAGAGGAAATAAATACATGTTATTTATTGCACCATGTGTCACCTAGGCCACAAACGGAAATTGATTCTTTATCAACATTCAATGCAGCGATGACAAGAATATAGCATTCATCATGAAAATCCATTCATCATTGAGTGTGACATGCATGACATCAAGACTTTGTCAATCTTCTTCACATACCTATTGGTCGCTGAAAATGACAATTAGCGCCTTAATCAAATGAATTACGAGGAAGATGATGACACATTGAATGGAACACTAGCACCAGATGCCCTGTATAGAATTTCTAGAAGTGTCCAACTGATGGCAGAAGCAAAGGCTCGCTTCATAATTCTTGGGGTTACTCCTCGAAACAAGGTTCTAAATCCTTCTTCTCTATTGATGGTTCGGAAGGCATCAATTATACCTCCATACACCTTTTTGGAGGAGGAATCAATTTGAAGTCGAGTTCGAATCATATCAAACGGATGAGTAATAAGGGAAGATAAAACACCTCCGACTGCACCACTAGGCATTGTTATCAGAGGACTTGTTTCCATTTCTTGTTCCTTTCCCTTAAAGAATGTATTTGTCAAGGCATATCGTGTCTGATTATAGAAAAGATAATTCAACCCTGCATTTGGAATATCACGCACAAGAGTGGCAATAAGGCCAGAGAAGAACCCCGAAATTCCTTCGTTCTTTGCAATAGATGTGAATGTATCCCACACTCCGGAGCTGTTGGCAGTATATTCCTGTTGTTTACAGAGATCGAAATAGATCATTAATAGATAAAATGTCGTAGAAACCATGTGAAGCATGATATCATTAAATCAATTCAATGACATGGCAAATCATTCAATAAATGGACCAATTATGTGTTCATTGCCTCAAAACTTACCAATCGGGTTTTAACAACTGTAATTGGACATAAAATCACTCCAGTGAGTCCTCTACTGAATGCAGCAATGCAAAAGCTTTCAAAAGCAGACAATCTTGTACTATTTAAAACTTGATCACGATCTACTGATGTGTGTATCATTGAAGTAATTTGTTTCGCTGATAGTGTCATTTCCTTCAAATAGCTGAGCATGTTGTAATATAACAAGGCTCCGGGAGCCACTCTTAAAAACGTTGGAATACTCCCTCTGTATAGACCTCTAATTCCCTGTTCTTTGTATATCATTCTTGCAGTGCTCATCATGGTAGGTCTTTGTTCTATCATCGGACTTGATGATTTAAAAGCTCCAGCCTTCAAGATCATATTTGTTTTGATTACATCCATCGGTTGGGTAATCACAGTACTAAAGGTACCAGCAACTCCTCCCGAAAGAAATTTAAGAGCTGATTCCATGGAAATGTATCCCTTCTTGGTTGTTGTGGTGGATTTTGATGTCCTTGTTGTGGATGCATCAGCTTCCGTTGTGATGGTCGGTGTGGTTTGCATTTTTGTTTTGTGGACCACTTGAGAGGTAGGTGGCTGAGAAGGCTCTTGTTCAACGCATTTCAAAAGAACAAGATCTTGCCTTTCGACATGCAAATTGATTGACAGAAATTATTCGAAAAACAAGATCCAAACGCTTTATGTCGATCCTTTGAAAATGATGAACGACCTATTAGAGCAATGTAGGTAAGGGCTTGCTAAAGAGCTCGATGAAGAGAATGTGAATTTCAATCAAGCTTTCAAAACGAAAATGTCTCAAAATGAAGAAATTACAGAGTCGATGCATTTTCGATGTGCAAAATGGGGTTGTATTCCAATCCAACATTGTCAATGGACTCAATGGAATAACCCTGAAAGAGGGTAGAGAAGATTTTAGTATTTCCAGATTACTATTGATCAAAGCTTGTCAATATTTTCATCAGGAAATGATGATTAACAAAGTTTTGGTTCCCTTTGTTTTCATGCTAAAAGAACAACAATTAAGAGAAACACTAAAAATTGCTTTAATTCAAAATTCACATCTATTGATCTTTTTGCTCTGAGTAAAGGATGAAAGGCTTAAAAACAGTAAAGGTTTGAGAGAGACAACCTCGCATGCCAATTCGAACTTCCACATGACGTATTGAATTGGAAGTAAAATCGTCAAACAAAATGAGGCATGTTTTTGAATTAATTTCAATGGTTGGCATCATTCGAATTTCCTGCTTTTGCTGTTTGGTGGCGTGACGAACAATTTTCTGAATGACCAAGTTCGAGAAGTTACTTTGATAGATTAATTTAAAGTGTGAGGATGAAAAATCCTTCTTAGTAATAATATTAGATCCGTATCCTGTGAACAGAGCGCTATACAGGTTCTTGATGATTAATATTTGATCTCGAATTGTAAAGTATCTCAATCCAATCCTCTTTACAAAGTAATCAATTCGGTCAGTCAAGAGTTCATAGAATGTGTGCTTGTTGTTAAATAGAGAGGTCAGTTTTTTAACCTTCTCTTGAATATCCATTGTTTGAATGATTGATTCAATATGTTCCAACAAATTGGAGTGATACAGACTTCTTTGATGAGTTTTGAAAAGTTTTTTGCATGAATCGGAATTGGAGAGAATTTGTCCCAAAGCCTTTTTCATAGATGCATTCATATTGCATGAAGATTTGCTTGAAATAGTAATGTAAGGGACCAGGACCGAATCTGCCAAATGAATGTAAGAAGGGAGAGAGGACCGAATCATTTCTTCAGAGTTCTGCAAGATATTAAAGGAGGAAGAGGAACCAAAACTCGAAGGAAGAAAGGGATTATTCAGGACAGCCATACTTAGTTCTGAAGGTGAAGACTTCTTCATATTCGAAAGGGAATGTGATTTAGGAGTGGGAGACAAAGAGCTGCTTTTTGAAGACTTTTTGCGCACAATCTCAACATCGTCCTCTTCTTCCTCACCAATACTGTTCATGCATCGAGTGTAGACAGTATTTCTTTGGAAAAGATGATTGTAGTTATTGCTCTGGTGACTGCTTTTCTCATTTGGATATAATATTAAATATCCATCCAAAAAACTCATTGCCTCACTCAAGAATACATTCTTCTCTCGTGTGAGCAGAATTTTGTGTGAGGGATCACTGGACAGCAATAGAATGGGATAGAATCGAACCGTCATTCTTGTGAAGATGTTTCCAACTTTAGGTTTTCTTCTGCTGTGATGAGATGAGGAGGAAAGCTTATTGCGTCCTTTTCGTGAATGGAGGTTTGGAAGAAAGTCTTGATTGAAAAACTCAGTTTCTCGTCCAATAAATTCGACTTCATATCCTGTATATATTCGTGCAAGACTTGAAAATTGATAGGTGACGTTCAATAGATGAAATTCTTCATGAAACTTGTGAATGTTGAAATACTGAGAGAGGGTATTGAGTAATTGTTCAGAGTCTCGGCATACAAGCCCAACCTCATAAATTGGATGAATGAGAGATCGTCTCGATTCCTTAATGATCAGAGTGCTCATAAAAGAGTTTACAACTTTGAGCCTATAGATTTCTTTGGTTGTTAGGTATTGAAAGACACGTTTCCATGGCAGTTTGGTAAAGGAATTTCCAAGGCAAGATAAATTCATTTCAAAATATTTAAATAATTAACGATCCGATGTAAGAGAGGCTGTTATATTAATATGCATCAACATGAAGGGTTTTTTTCAATTGGAGCTGCTTGTCGATTCCTTCCGAAATATCCTGCTGTTGTAATTATGGTCTGCTAAGTGAAACGTTTGCTCCTTTCAACATCATGCAGGAATTGGCATATCTTACAAAAAAGGACAGTGCAGGTTTTTAATAGTGTACATTCAGAGAAGGTGCGCTACAGTTGGAAATGAAGCAAGTCAATTCTCGATCCGAAAGGAAGGTGATTAATGATTGAAATGAGCTGGCGATAATCTTCAAATCTTTTCAAGACATTTTTTTGGTTGAAAAGAAAGGTACAATTAGCGAAAATGTGATATCAAGTAAATACTTGGCACACTTATTGTTTGAATCGTTGCCAAAGCTTGAGAAACACAACAATATCTATGAGAAACAGAACTGAATCACACACGCAATCTGTTCTTTTTCAAGCCAAAAGTCTACCTTAAAACTCCCCTTCAACACGTTCCATCTTTCAAAAATTGCATTTCTGAAGAGGTGTACTTGATTACTTTACAGAGCGTACTATTGTGAGTGTGCGATCGATCGAACACCCTTCGGAACATTGTTCGGATCCTCTCTTCCATGTTATTCTTTATATCTTTATCTTTTTTCCTTAACGGACCCAAATTCCATATAAATCGTCATTTTAGTATGAAAGCCGTTCACTCATTCGATTAAAAAACAGAGATTTTCCACTTTTATCACTCATTTCCAATCCTTTAAAATCTCTGTTATCCCTACTCTAGAATAACACAACACTCTAAAAAAACAAACAACTTTGTACACTCTTACCAATGCAATCTGATTTAAAATCAATTGTACTTGTCGCAGTAGTGCTTGTAGCTTTTGCTGTCTCCTTGATTCATGCTCAAGTGGCCAACGCTTATAACGGAGCTTATGGCTATCAGGGAGGGGTTAGTTCCAATTATGGTGTTGCTGGTGGTAACTACAACTCGTACGCTCAAAACACTCAAGCATACTCCAATCAAGTGAGTGCTGTGAATTATCAACCTTACATGGCTTATGGAAATGCTTATCAAGGACCTTATTATTATGGAAATAACTTGTATTCCAATTATTACATGCCCTTCTATGGCTATCCTTCTCCATTCAATGGTTATGGATGGTGGTAACTCTGCCAAACTTGTATGAGTGAGTTGGAAGGCAGTGCATCCATGCATTCAGAGATGATGAATAAAAGCTTTGGATTTGTTGTGATTTTATCAAATAATTTTTTTTTAAAAAATAACCTCTTGTTCTCCTATTAACCCCCATTTTCTTTCTCATAATATGACACTAGGACAAGTTTTATATCGGGATGTCTTGTCGGGAGATGTACTTGTAACAAATTATTATAAAATTGAGAAGGTGTTTTATGGGAGTATTTACAAGGTGAAATCTCATTTCATGATTAGAGATCCTTCATCATTTGATGTATCTTCATCTCCTCCTGTGGGCGATTCCGAAGAATATCACGCCAAACATTTAACGAACAAAGTGTTACGATATTCTGTGGTTGAAAAATTTGGATATCACGAATGTACTTTGAAAAAGAAAGAATTTCTCATGATGATGAATGTTTATATCGGAACGTTGAAAAGTCTTGTCGAACAGTCTGGAGATGAGGAAAGAGAAAAATCTTTCTTGATGGGATCCACATTGTTTCTACAAACAATTTTGTCAAATTTCAGTAATTACAGATTTTTCGTTGGACCATCCAACTCAATTCCCAAAGGAATGATTATTGTTCAAAACTGTTCCACGGATTTGATTACACCTGAATTCTATTATTTCGTAGATGGTTTGAAAGAAGAGAGTTTTCAATCTAAGCATGCTGACCAATCAGGCACCTCACCTGGAGGTTCTTCATTAATGTCAATGACACTTGAACACCATCAAGCGACAGAGAGTGAAAAATCGGACTCTTATGGAAGTTTTTCTAGCACTGGATCAATCAATAATAACAATGAAATGATGTAAAATTACGTTACAGCAATACTTGAATGGGAAAGCTTAAGGAAGAGCTGGTCTTGACACATAGTCATCATTCCATTCATTGTTGAATTTATCAATGAGATGTCGCCATCCACCAGTGAGATCTATCAATAGGGAATTATACTTGTCAGGACTTGGTACATCTCTGAGGTCAGGTGCATCACGCTTTGCTCTCCATTTATATCCAAAAGTGGGAGAGAAACGAGGAGATTTTGCTGAAAGACTATGATAACCTCCACATTGATCATATTTCCCATATTCTGATCCTTCCACACCAACTGTTTCATGATGATTAATTGTAATATATTATTATATCTAATTGACAAACAAACTTACTTAGTAAACCTCCAAATCTTCCTTTCTTTGGCGATTGATAATAAATATACATGTGGCCATGCTCGCCATTGGCCTCAATTTTCTTGCCTGTCAATGAACGATTTTCTGCTCCTCCAATTGGTAAATTCATTCCCCAATCTTTAAAGTTCAGTAACATCTTTTGTCACGTGCTCAATTATACTTACGTCTGTGATGTTTCAATAATGCATCTGTGCTTCCAAATAATTTAGTATCTTTTCACAAAAAGAATTCAAAAACCCATCATTTGTCCAAATCTTTTCAAGTCACCTACCTCTAAATGTAATTCCAATAGTCTTGGTTTCATGCAACACTTTTTTCTTTCCGTTCGGTAAAGTAAAGTCATATCGATCGTCAATAATAATTTTAGATGGAGAGTAATTTGTGGTAGTTGTAAACGATGACTGTGTAACAAGATCATCCTTTGCTCTTGCTATTTCTTTTGCAACTCTTCGTTGTCGAGCATGTATGGCTAATTCGTCTTCATTAAGATATTTTTCTGTGATATTTGTAATTTCACCATTCAGCTGTTGTAAACTGTCCAATAATTGTTGATCGGATGCCTGTGGCTTATAATAATCGAGAGCATGAGTAGCTCCCATTCTTCTGAATATTATTTTACCTTCAACTCGTGCTTCATCTAAATAAATCAGATTCATAATTAGTGTAAAAGAAATATAAATGTCAATCAAATCATTGTGAACGTACTTCCACTGGTATAGACTGAAACATATTTCGATAAATCTCCATCACAACTTCCACTAAATTTCAATCGTGGTGACCATTAAAAAATATACATTTCACAAGAACAATATTTCTTAATAACATACGTGACAAGCCACTTCCAAAAAGAATGTTCATCTCCATTATGATGAATTGCTCCATCTCCATCCATACTATCCAATTGAATGATAACTCTACTGCCATGTGATAAAACACTCGCAATTGGATATTTTGTAGAATTCCAAAGATTCCATTTGTGTGTCTTTTCATTTTCTCTATACAGCAAACTTCCATATCTCAATACACAAAATATTCTTCTTAATACATTTCCCAGAGCCTCATATTCAGGACTTTCCAAAGTCTTTTTCCATAAAATTGCATCTCGTTTAAACTGAGCTAGAGCTCCAACTTCCGAATATTCTCTCTCAATAATTTGTTTTAATCGTTCCACTTGACTCAGAAACAATGGATCCGAGTATGGCACATCATCAGGAATGAGTGCATATGCAAAATTTTCCAGAAATATAATCTCTTTGGGTTCCACAATGTCTCGTGTGTTCGAATCTAAAGTTGTTGACACATTGGTTTGATTCAATAAATTTTGTTTAAATTCCCTTGTTGCTTGTGCTAGTTTCACTTCAATATATTGTTGTTGTTGTGAAGAAGAGGAGGAGCTTGTTGATTTTTTTGAATTGGATGGTATGGATGAGGATGAGGAGGAGGTTGAGCATGTTATGGAATGGTCACCATGGTGATGGTCTTTATGGATTGATCCTGTTCTCGGAGTGCCATAGCTCGCTAAATCAATTCCATCGATCGGGAGAGGAGGTCTCTTGAGAGTGACGGTGCTTCTTTTGCGATGGACTTCCATACTATTTCGTCCAGAAGATGATGAATTTCTCGGAGATGAAGAGCCCGTATTGAGAACCCCTTCCGAAGGATTGCTGCTCCGTCCTTCCATATTAATGACAAGAAATCCATCATCGATCATTGCTAATGATGATGATGATGGTTGTGGTCGTAGGGAGGGTGGATGGTCAACCATCACATAATCTTGCAATAATTTATCGTGTTGTTGTTGTCGACGATCATCATTATTTCTTGTTGATGAGATGATGTCATGTTCAACATCTGATGAATTCGAGAGAGTGTCAAAATGACAAATCGGGGACGTTGTTGGTGATGTGCTTGAGGATGGTCTGTCTTGCAACAACAACTGCTCGTGGTGATGTTGTTCTTGATAGGTCTGAGTGGTTGTTTCTGGCGTGATGATGGCAGCAGTGCTCTTGCTCCTCAAGATTAAAGGGTCCTCTCGGAGCGACATTTTTTCATACTGTCAAAAGTTTTGAAAAGAACAGTTCTTCGGAGCTCAGCACTGTGAGGCTTTGAAATCTTTGTCCATCACGGAGCTGATCCATCTTGCAAAAGGTTGACACATTTTGTACGTGCAGTCAGTAGTGTCTCTTTTGTAAAGTCAAATTGAGTCAATCCAATCTTTCAAATAATACTTCGAGAAATGAATTATTATTATTTCTCTGAGTGGTTGCTTAAATTTTAATTTAAACTTTTTCATTAATCTTCATTCCTCTTCATTCTCCTTCAAAGAAGTCTTTCTCAAAACAATTCGAAGAGAAAAAATAGTCGTTGTTCATCCTTTCAACCCCCCTAAGCTTTTTCTTGATGATTGCATTGAAATGATTTGCAAGAAAGAGTCTACGAAGGAATAAAGGGAACCATCCTTCGAGGGCTCTGATTGTACACCGGTGAGTGGGATGAATAAATAATTCGTAATGATTTATTAACGACTTTAAAAGAAAGAGGAACCCAATCATCCATGCACAATGTTGGACATTCAAGACTTTCCGAACACAAGGAAAATCATCAGATTCCTAGTCGTGAAAACTCTACACCTTCCTTGAGTGGATCACTCGTTATTGCTCTAACCTATCATACACGATTGGCTACACCTCGAAGGTGAACGATTGACTGTATGAATTTGAGAGGATGATTGATTTCGGCTAATGGAAAGAGCTATGGTTGTTGCTTTTAGAGGTCCTGAAGAGAGATCTCTCTGTTGTGCTTCTCTTAATGCATAGCAAGCTATCAATAAATATTATTGTGAGATTGACATAATGTAAATCATTGAAATTGATAACACATACAGACAGCATTTTCAAAAGCTTCCATCACACCAATCTCTTTTTCCACACTCACTTCGTAGAAAGCATCCAACTCTAATTCTTTTCGAAGCATTTCTCCCTCGTCTTGGCTTACGACTCGCTGGTCTTTCATGTCTATTTTGTTTCCAATTAATGTTATGTAGGGAGCACATCCATCCGAATTATAAAACGTAGTTCTAAAATCTAATAACCAAATTTTTGTGTCTTCGAATGTTTTCCTATTTGTCACATCGTATACAAGAAATACCAAATGAGATCCTCGATAATAGGAGGATGTGACAGTTCTAAATCTTTCATGACCAGCACTGCAGTTTAGAGAAATAGTATTCATTATTTCAAATATATATTTGAAAATATGGCGCAAAACCTACGTATCAAATATTGTAATTTTGTAATGTTTGTCTCCAATCACCAAGCTTTTGATTTTCATTTCAACTCCTATTGTTGGTTTCGTTTCTTTTTTTTCACACGTTATTGACATCATGAGACTGCTTTTCCCAACCTAAATAGAGTTCATGATTTAATTCATTCAATCACGAATGATAATTCAGATACATTCCATTATTTGTAAAATATTTCAAATCAATTTCGACTTGATTTTTCTAACTGCCAAACATTACCTGTGTGTCTCCAATCACAATCGCTAATTCAAATATTAATATTAATAATTTCATAATTAAATAAAATCCATTTCATTCCGAAGTAAGATATTATGAAACGAGCGTGTCCGTGATCATGACGAGTCCAACAGTTACTTTCTTCGCAATCTTGGATGTCAAAACTCACCTTTGAAAACCCTTTCGGTCATATTCGCGTTTTTTATTGTTAAAAAATCTGGAATGGATGCTCTCAGTGGCAAACACTCTCTTGTTATAAAGTGAGGGAGATTGTTCTTTGGATATACCAACTGAAAATGAAAAGGGGTGAGCGATGCCAACGTAATGAAGATATGTTGTTGATGCACGACCATTTCGAAAATAAGGAATTGCCACCATCAAGGCGTGTCATTCTATTCGCTCTTTTTATATGCTTTCTTTTTTACATTCATTTGAGAGAGTTGGTGGTTGTTGCAACCCATCTCTACAATCAACAGGTTCGATGAACCTCTCCATATGATCATAAGGTTCATCCCACTTCTTTCCAAACACGAAAACACTTTCACACATTGACACCTGACACCATAGTCGAATATTTCCACTTCTCTCCAAATGAATGTATGATATTGACGTTTCTGAAATAAAAACCATCAAAAAAAAGTATTCACACTTTCCATCACTTTCGTTGTGCTACAAATTCGAAGAATCTCCTTCTTCTACTAGGCTTTTCTTTTTTTCAACGTCTTTGTGCGCATCCTTTTTGCAAACTATAGTTTTTGTTTCAATTTTGTATCCTCATCATCCTCCTTTCCTTCTTCTATTTCTTCTTCGGAAATGAGTCCAACAATTTGTGAGAAACCATCCATCTACAAGCGAGTCGGTGTGATTTATAATCCATCATCGAGAGGAGGTAAGTCGAGAATGGTTTACAATGTATTTCATTTTCAACCGTGCGATTCAACAATACATATTTATGATTATCATAAATCGTATGAAACTATGAACCTGATCATCTTCACGATTTTTCTTCGGGGATGAACCATTTCCATTTCCTTTCAATCATGAACCTGTCATCATCTTCACGATTTTTTATGAATATACGATTGCAACACCAACCGATTTCAACAACCCATTCATTCGTTCATTCATCAATGGATGATTGAAATCGAACACAACCTGATGATGATGATCATGGTATAATTCCTAACTATCACTAATGTATAATTGTCATATTTCTCTTGATTCCAGGCCAAGCACAATCTCTCTTCAAAGCAGTGGTTCTTCCTCTTCTGGAGCGATTCTTTGGCGATCGGTTAGTGAAATGTATGCCCACTCAATGCCGTGATGATGGCACTCGTTGTGCCTTTCAACTCATCGTAGAGGATCGTTGTGATTATATCATTAGTGCCGGAGGTGATGGAAGTACATTCAATGTATTGAATGGATTGGTTCGAGGATGTTTGTATTTGGATGAGAAGGCATTGAATAACAAACCTCTTCCAGTGGCATTTGCTGTGCTGCCCATTGGTTCCGGAAATGATTTGCATAAAACATTGGGTGTGGATGTGAATGTGAGTGATTTAAAGTTCTTTGAAAAGTACATTCACATGTTGGCAGAAGACGGAGAAACCATTCATGCTGATATTGGACGAGTTGAATATACAAAGGATCACACCGGAGAGATTGATGAAGCAGTGAATGATGAGCATATTCCAACTCAATACAGAGATAGGTCAGCATGTCAATTAGACACTAATGATAAAGGTGTGAGGTTTTACATGAATGAGAGTAGTTTTGGAATTAGTTCTTCAATTTTGAATGCGGTGAATAATAGTTCCATTAGCAAAGAGATCAATTATAATATTCAAACTTTGTGGAAGCAATTGACCTATGCGAATCCATCGATTAAGGTTGAAATTGATGGAAAAGTTGTGAAAGATGGTATCGGCCAGTTGGTCTGCATTGGCAATGGAAGGTGTTTTGGTGGAGGTAGGTGTCACACATCATTATTAATAGCCTTTTATTAATACATTACATGCAACTATAGGTATGCGTATCAATCCGAATGCATCCATTACTTCTCAAGCATTTGATGTTTGCATTTTGCATAATCTAAGATTATGGAACGTACCATACGTTTTCTATCAAATTCAATATGGAACACATGGAACCAATCCATTGGCTAGTTTGCATGAGCGTGTGAAAACAGTGAAGGCAAGTAAGAATCCCGAAACCGTGGATGATGTATATTTGGAATGTGATGGAGAAGTGGTAGGAAAATTGCCAGCAACATACACCATCATGCCTAGTTGTGTTAAATTTGTTGTACCTACCAACAGTATTGAACATGCTAACTTCATGAACAAGTAAGCACAAAGTGTCGAATAATAATAACAAAGATCTGTACATTAACTAAACACCAAAATTGTAAACTTGTGGAGAAGACATTGTTTTATTTCAAAAAAACTTTATATTCATTCACTTGCTCTTGGTAGAGCTCTTCAAGTTTTTCTTTGCGTTCTTCATCATCTTCAAAAGCGCCCTCCATATCGTATTCACGGTATAATCTCTTCTTAATAAATAGTTTGAATTCGTTTCTTTCCTCATTAGTTGTATTTACATTTTCATTCAGAGATTTCAACCAAAGTATCTCAAAACAAAGCCTCAGTTGTCCATCAGAAAGTTTGGTTATTGGTTTGGCTCTCTTTTTGAAGTCTTCAAAGGTTTCTCTTTCCGTTTCATCAGCTTTTCTTTTAGCAGCTTTGAACAGAGGTGCACATACCTCCAAATCCACCTTTGTTCTCATTGTTTGGAAGTCATCACCTGGATTTTCAACAGTTACTTCATAACATTCTCTTGGAGGAAAAGTCTTTTCATCGAAACTCAAAGCATTGTATCCTACTACAGCTTTTTGTTCCTTAAATCCCTTAGTGGCGTAGGTATAAATGGCAAGCAGGAGTTTTCTACCGTGACCTTGCCCCTGGAAAGGAGGAAGGATGAGGAATTGGCTAACTCGCAGTCTTCTTGTATCAATCAATTGGTTTCCGTCTTTCTTCATCACAAAGAAAGGATATATAGAGGAGAATCCAATAGGAATATATTCAAAGTTGTTTGTTTCTGTATTTTTCACCTTCTCATAGCTTTAAAGAATATTGTTAGTGCAATCATGACAGTTCAAATAATTACCTTAAAAAGAACTCCCAATTCTCATCTTGATCATTGATGAATGAGGTTCCATCAATGAAGAACAATGAGAGAAATTGCCATGGTTTGTGAAGAACTCCAATTTGAGACATTGAAGCTTTATAAATCTCAAAACATCTTCCTTCTCTGTAGTAGACATCTATTTGTTCTCCTTTAGGTGTATTAGGTTGTGAAAGTTTTGACTTGAATTCTGTTAAATTTTCAGTATAAGGGAAATAGAGAGGAGGTGCACGATAATCGGAAAATGGAAATTCTATATCCTTAGCAGTAAGAATACCTTTGACATCAGTCGCATCATCACTGTGAATCGTTCAAGTTTAAAAATCATTCTCGATTTGTATTACACATACCTCTTGCTGTCGCATTGAATATTCAACCAACAATAAAGTGAGTTGGTAAAGAAAATATTGATCCGAATATTCTCATATCCCTCTTACAGAATGAAAATATTAAAATTAAGCATTGTTGATAAATCACGATCACATACCAATCTTTTCATTCTCTCCGAACAGCTGATGCGTAAATGTTGGTTGAAAATCAAGAAACCGTTTCGTGTTCTCGATATCGTTTACATCAATTTGTTGATTCAAGTCCAATTCGCCTTCATTTCGGACGATACGAAAGTGAATCACATCATTTGCAACCACACACATTTCATCATCATCACTTTCATTGGATCTTCGTTCGTCTTCCTCTTCATAATCAGCGAGATCCTCTACTCCTTCTTCTTCGACCATTCGGTTTAATTTGTTAAACTTTTTTGTTTCCGCTGATGTATAATTCAAGCTGCTTGATGATCCAAGGGACGAGCTGAGATTATCAACAGTATTGGAGAGCTTTTTCTTCTTCTTTTCGGGTTCAGTCATGGTTGTTGTGAGAGAGATGCGAAAGGAAGCTTTAGCTGAATATATTTTTTTAAACAATTTTTCGGTTTGGAATTTGAAGGCGGGAATAGCTCATCATTCGCAACTCTACCTTAATAACCAAACAAAAAATGGATAAAGTGCAGCTCATCACGTGGATCATGTTCGCCATCTTCATGATGAGTTATTTTCTTTTTTTCACCTTTTTTAAGGATAGTTTTAAAACCAATAAGGAAAATGAGGTTTTATTACAGCATAAAGGCAGAGAGGTCCATGTTGATCCAAATCTCTCTCGGGAAACGAAAATACCACCAAAAAAGAAAGGAGTGATTGTATATCTTCTTCACGAAAGTGAGATAACAAATTATTTGCGAAGCATTACGCTGCTTCACCAGAATTTTAACCAAAAGCACAAATATCCAATATTAGTGTTTTATGACCGATCACTCCAAGAAGGATTGTTAAATCAGGTCAAGCTTAAAACAAAAGCCATCTCGTCGGAAGTACCCTTAGAGTACTATTTTGTGAAATTTGAAATACCATCTCATTGGGATCCCATTAAACAGCCCGTCAAAGTACAATGGTCATTAGGGTACAAATGCATGATAAGATTTTACTTTAAGGAAATATTTGAGCTACCAGTAATCCAGCAGTACGAATATTATTGGAGACTCGATACTGATTCATTCATTTTAGAGGAACTCAAATACGATCCTTTTGAGAAAATGAGACAAAACAACTTTGCCTATGGTACAATAGCATTGGATGAAGACGGAGGTGAAGTTGTTGCTGGAATGACAACGATGATACAAGAGTACATCAAAACGAAACCCACGAATGCAACTCTCAACTCCTACACTCCAGACACCAAGATGGTCTATAATAATTTTGAGGTTGTAAAAATAGACAGGTTTTTGGATAGAAATGTGCTTGACTTTGTCGAATATATTGACAAATCCAATAACATTTTTATAAGAAGGTGGGGTGATGCGCCGTTGCGATATGCAGAGCTAAACCTATTCTTTGATTGGAAAAAAGAGGTGCATATATTTTGTGACATCAAATATGAGCATTCACACCACAACAAAATAATCTTCAATAAGTGTTAGTGCCTAGTGTAAAACAATGAATGGGAAGCAAACATTCACTGAATATTCAATCTGGGCAGAGATGACAACTTGAAAAATCAAATTTGAGCTAATTGTTGATGCGTTGGTTTTTGTTATTGATAAAATTCCAAATTTTTCCAGTCAAATTTTCTGTTAACAAAAAATGAGCCGTTTTGGTGCGAGCACTGCCGACACTCCACGCTCGAGCTACAACACAAACGGAGGAGGCGATAGCGTTGATCCAAGTCGACAACCAAATAGTAAAAGTGTAGAAGATGCAACAAGTAGTAATAATAATATCAGCAGAATAACACCTGAACATTCCAATGATCATACCAATGTTTCTTTCCAAAACAAAGCTTCCGATAGTACGCTGGGTGATGGCGATAATAGAAAATTATTGACTGATTCAACACTTGGGAGCAAAGAGGATTTGATGAAGGGATCCTCTTCGGTAAACTCTCGGAACAACAATTCCATCGTTAATAACAATGGAAGAAGAATTTATGGTGCAACGACGCCAAGCAACTCAACCACTAATACGGATTCTGTTCATCTCTCCAGAAGATTGTATGAAGGATCGTCATCATCGGGACAGCAAGGTTTCAACGATCGTGGTCGGTATGGCAGTCAATCATATAATAGGAACCGGGGTAGTAACCGATATTACAATGGTGAGAGTCCAAATCAATCACACAGCCAAAACAACAGAAATGTTCCATCTTACAACAGAGAACGACGATACACGAATACTTCGGGTGGAGCGAGTAGTAGTAATTACTCAAATAGAGGCCACCGTCGGACTGACTCATACGAACATACTCTGCACAATCAATATAATCCTTTTCCTCCCTATGATGATGTCTATGCACCTCACATGATGCATCATCACTATCCCGAAACTATGTACAATTATCCTCCTTTTCATCCTGTCGACAGCTCAGGATATGCAAGTCATCCGTATGCTGCTCATCATCCCACTGAAACCTCCAACTCCTCCACAACTCCTTCCGATCCCTATCTGACGTCTCCTAGCAAGAGTGACAGTCACTACAATGAAGACTATGCAATGCCCTATCCTTACCTACAATATCCATATCCCTACCCTTATCCATATTTTCCAGGTTATCCCGTAGCTCACCCCATGTCATACGATAAAGGAAGAGTTGAGCAAAATCAATCATTCAACAGAGAACATTACAAAAATACTAGAAATGAAGAGGAAGTCAAAGATACAATGCAAGAAAATGAAAAAACAATAGAAAAGAACAAAGAAAACATTACAGCGAACGATTCCTCAAAATCAGAGCCAGAAAAAGAGAAATTACAAGAGGAAGAGGAGCAAATAATAGAGAGCACCACGGTGCCTAGAGATCCAAGACTATTCGAATATTATATTGACGAAAATGCTACAGTGGAGGACAAGGGAGACGCAAAAAAATCCAAGAAAAAAAAATACATTCAAAGCACAAAATCTATCAAAAAGTCAGAATATTTCTCAAAAATTCAACTATCCACGACTCTTGAAATTCCCCCAATATGTCTTGAGCAAGGGTTTATTGTGAACACAAAGGAATACCTGCGGAGTTTAACAGTTAAAAAGCAGCCTAAAATAGCTATTTCTGAAATACCTAAAGATTTTAAAGCTGGTCATATTGCAGACATCATAAAAACTACAGGATCAATAACTGAATTTGATGCATATTATAACAAGGAGACTGATCAAGTAATATTTGCAACTGCAATATTTAAAGATTTTGACACCTGCATAAGAGCAGTTGAAGAGCTGCATGACGACAAAAGCATAAAATTTAGTATTGAATACGATTTTTACGGAGTATTAGAAGACGAAAAGGCGATTTCAAATCCGAATCTCATATCAGGGAAAAAAAGAGAGCAAGAAAAGAAAGAAGAGAAACTCAAAAAGCAAGAAAAAGAAAAGCCAAAGCCAAAACCTTACCAACGTGAGGAACTTGTGAACATGTTTGATTATTATCCCTATCCTTATCCCCTCTACCCATTCTCTTATCCTTACTATCAACAAGGTTATCAGCCTTCTTCTAGATTTCAACTAAAAGTTTTGACCAAATATCCACGCAGTAAGAAAGACAAACTTTCAAACGTATTTTACGATTATATGTGCTCTCGTTTCTATTTTAACGAGACCGAGCAAATGTATATAGTAGAGTTTAACAATCCAGACGATCTCACATCAGCATATCAACACTTAAATAATCATGTTGTTTTAGGGTATGTGATGGAGCTTGAACCAATCTATCCTGAAAATTATCAACCTACAGAAACCTCAATACAAGAGAAACTCTATGACAGAATCAAGCTTAAGATTAAGGAGGCATTGTTGAAAAGGTTTAGGAAAAATGTGTTTGCTCCATTTGCTAAAAATATATTAGAGTCTAAAAAGCAAAAAGATTCAGAAGATGTCATGAAGAATATTGTATTGGAGAAAATCAAAAGGGATCTGGAAGAAAAAGAGAGATTTTTGGAAAGGTTTGCAATGCAAAGCAAGGCAGAAAAAGAGGAACCGCAATCCAGCGAAGATGAGAAATCAGAAAATGACGAGCATGATCTGATTAGTGAAGGATCCTCTAAATATATGAGAGAAGAAAACGATTTCCAATCACCAAAATTAGAAGATCATAGCTCATTATCCAAAAATCAAGATAGAATGGAGCATGACAGCGAGGAAGAATATCAATTTGATGATGAGGCCTCTCTCAATGATCAACATCAAACAAATTTAGAAGGAGTTACATCAGAAGAGACCAATTTAAAGAAGAGGAAGCATCATGATCTAAAGAAGGCAGGTAAAAAGAAAGCTCAAAATGTGCCATTTAAACTCTCAAAGGAAGAACAAGAAATTGACGAAAAATTGAAGGCAATCACGGATGGATGCTCCAAACTCAGAGGTCTGACCCTTAAAGAAATAAGAGAAATGAAAGAGATCAAAAAACCAGTGTCTGAGAGCGTTGTTAAGGATATGATGAAAAATACAATGAGAAGAATGGAGTTAGAAGCTAAGAAAAATACTAATGAAAGTAGAAGACAGCGTGCAGAGTCAAGACGAGCACTGAAAATGGCACAAGACGACACAAAAGTCAACCAATTCCAAAATAGAGCAAAGAAGTTAAAGTTTGCTAAATCACCAATTCATGATTGGGGATTATTTGCTTTGGAGACTATTGAAAAGGATGAAATGGTTATTGAGTATGTTGGAGAGGTCATTCGAGAAGCACTCTCAGATATTAGAGAAAAACGATATGAGCAAATTGGTATCGGTTCTAGCTATCTATTCAGATTAGACGATGACTATATCATTGATGCAACTAAGCGTGGTAACTTGGCCAGATTTATTAATCACAGTTGTGACCCTAACTGCTGTGCTAAAATTATTGAGAAAGATAGGCAGAAAAAGGTTGTTATTTATGCTACCAAGAGAATTGAAATTGGAGAAGAAATCACGTACGACTACAAGTTTCCACTCGAAGAGAATAAGATTCCATGTCACTGTGGGTCTGCCAAGTGCAAAAAGTGGTTGAATTAAATCATCAACCCAAAGCTCATTAATGATCTTTGATAAAATCTTTTTGTCATCCCAAAACACTCAAGCCTTTCCTTTTGTGATTTTCAAAGTTTGACAAGAGATTCAAAGCAAGCAACAGAAAAAAACTGCTCTGAGAGTAGTTCGCATCATCACCACCACCGTCGTCGTCGTCAACACATCGTTGCACTGCTAACTTTGCATCCATCAATACATTACCTTCGCCTGTTTCATCAGTTATTATTTGAATCGTTGATAACTTCAAACGTTAAAGTGTTGTTTTTGGTGATCCAAACACGACTCCGAAAAAAGTTGTATTGAAATCGCACCATCATCACCACCTCTAATTTTCAATCTTCCGTACGGGATAGTAATATATATCAAGAACCACAACCATCAACACCATCATCATGTTTTATGCATCCGGAGCCAACGAGCATGGTATGTATTCCACAACTACAAAATGATATTTTCAAATAACAAGTCTTCGGTTGGAATCAAAATTTCGGGTTATTATTTGTGTGATGAAATTTCATTTAATAATTTCTATTATTATCGCCAATCATGGACATTTGTTGAACACAATAACATTGTGCTGATTTCTTGTTTTTCTAATATCATCACAAAAACCAAACGTTAGGTCAATTGGGCAATGGAACCTACACTAACGTTCAAACTCTAACACCTATCAACATCTCCGCGCATCACTATCGACAAAAGACATATCGCCAGTTGGGTCCTGTGTGTTTGTCTGATTTTGCTAATCTGGATGAGAGAAATTTGGTAGGCTTATGCAAAATTAAACAAATTGCTTGCGGAAAACGACATACACTGATTTTGACGGGTAAGTGGAGTGTCAATCAAAGGTTGACTATAAACCGATATGAATCATAATTACTTTTAGAGGAAAACGATTTGTATGCTTGCGGAGACAACTCTAATTCTCAGCTTGCTGTTTATGAAACAATTTCAAATAATACAGTAGAATGGATTGATTTTGAGCCTGCACGAACCCACCGAATAACCTCAATAGCATGTAGCTCAAATTCATCCTTTGTATTTCTGGATAATGGAGAAATCTACAAAACCAGCCCAAACAAGCTGAGTAACCTATCTCACAAAAATTCATTTTACAAATTAAGTTTGGAGACAAAGAGTCCTGTCAAAGGGTTCTTTAGCTCTCCAACTACAAGTCGATTTCATATCCTAACAAATGATAATTCTGTTTTTGTTGGAGGAGAGGATGAAACTGGTTACTGGGCTGTAAGACAAGATCAACCCTTAAAACCAACTCCTTTTCCATCCATTACTAACCCTATTAAAATAATTGCAAGTGGAGGATTCCATACTGTCATCATAACAGAAAAGAATGAATATTTCAGTATGGGAAAGAATTACTTTTATCAACGAGGTGACACTGATGACAGAATATCTCTTCGTCAAGGTGTTGACCTTCCATTCAGCAACAAGTCCATTACCCAGGTGTGTTGTGGTCATTTCCACACATTGGTGTTGTGTGCCGATGGAAGTTTATATGCTTGCGGAAAAAACTCTCATGGCCAACTCGGAATTGGCACTTTGAAAGAGAAGAATTTGTTTCTGAAAGTACCAATCAATACCTATATTCATAGCATGCATTGTGGAACTGATCATACCGTTCTTTTAACAACAGACAAGCGAGTAATGAGATGTGGCAAGAATGATAGAGGGCAAAGTTTTCTGGATTATGGAAAATGCAACACAGTTTTTGAAATGCTTAAGGTGAAGGAATTTGCTCATGTTGCTTGTGGTGCTCATTTCACTATTTGCTATGGAGATATGACCTATGTCATTAATCGTTTACCCAAAATTGCTTCTTTTTTAACTAGGAAAGAATTTTCAGATATCAACTTTGTGTTGAATGACGAAGATTAAATTAATGATTCCGTTTTTACATGTCATGAGTTCTTGCAAATGCTGAAACTTTTTGATCGGATGCTGTGAACGAATCAGTTGTGCTGGAAGCAATTTCTTTTGATTGCTGCATGGTCCATCTCTTGAAACTGTCAAAAATAATATTGTTGATGACCACTTTTTCGAGTGAATCAAAAAGATCAATTTGTCCAATTCCATTTTTGATTTTAAACCCATAGGTTTCCAGCTCTTCACTTGAAATGTTCAATTGCTTTGGAGCTGAATGAGCAAGATATTTGTTGTAAATTTCATGTTGCAGCTCGCTTCGTTGTTGTAAATTGTTAACCAGTGATTTGTAGAGTTGAACATCCTCCAAAAATAATATGGATTCATCGTTGTGTTCCTTTGCACAAAAATCTTTGAATTCACTTCTTCGTTCATGATGGTCAAACATTTCTTTAAACTCCATTTTCTCCATGAGCAAATTATATTGCTTCTCTTTTTCTTTCAAATTCTTCAAGAGTGCAGATCGGTCTGTATTGCTGTGAATAAGTAAGACAGCCACTCGCTCTTGTTCATTACTTGTGGTGACAACGCTAGAACCTTTCACAATTTCGCTTTTCAACATTTTACAAAAATTCACTGAAATACGAATATTAAATTCTATTTGTGCTTTGCTAACTCCAATAGTTTCAAAGTTGGTGATCGAATCATCTTCACTGTGTTTTTCGAATATTTCTTTAGTATTAAGTTTTGGTAGAAGTGTGTTAATTGTGGTGGTTGTTCTTTCAGCCTTTCTAATATCTATTTCCTTTAGAGAAAACATATTCAAAAATGAATGATTGTAATGGATCACCAATCCTTCACAAGTTATTGTCACAACTGCATCATCAATGGTGTTCAAGATCTTTCTCGTTCTCTGTTCTTCTAAGGAGATTTTATCCAACAACAAGGATAATTGATTGTGACTGTGAGCCAAGTCTTTTGTTCTTTCTAACACTTTGATTTCCAATTTGTTTTGAATCACTTGATATTCTCTCTTTCTGAAATAGTCTTGAACAATTTGGAAAACGCCCAATATTACCACTAGAAACAATATAATATTCAGTACAATAGAAAATGTCAATTCAACCCAAAAGATGTCATCATGTTGCCATCCTTTGAGAGGTTTCAAAAAAAGTTGATATTCACTGTTGAGAACTGTCTGATTGACAATCACTGGATCACTGATCATGGTTAAGTTGTTTGTAATTCCATTCACTGTTTGATTTGTTCCCAATCGAGATTCCAAAAAGATTCGTTGTTGTGCATTGTCATACAATTGATATTCATATCCAGCAAGAACATCAAAGAGACCAATTCTTTTGAACAAGGTGTCAAATGCAATTAATGTTGAAGATAGACCCCAAAACGAGCCATTTGGAAAGGAAATTGGATATTGAGTGATGAGTGAAGCAGATGACAATCTCTTAATCCAAATAGGTCCAAAAATTGTGATCGATTGGTCAGAAATAGCTCTATTAATTGCATTTAAATGTTCTGGTTCAGAACCAACCATCTTTCCAATTATGGATGGATTATTGGGATAGACATAGGCTAAACGTAATCCATATTCCAATTCAAACTGAACCAACTCTGGATACAATGCACTTAATCGTAAACCCATCTCATTAAACCCACTGTCTGTGACATTATAATTCCATGCATAGACCACTTGAGCCATAGAAATCAAACTGCTCATCGACAATTCAATTTGTCGTTTGATCGTTAAAAAGGCTGTAATACCAATCTGAGTGACACCAGCTTTTACATTCAACAATCGCGTGTCTTCAATATTTTTCACCACGACAACAGTGACTGGAATTGAGACACACATCACAATGCATGCCAGGATCAAACCCAAGGACAAACTTATTAAATAGACACCTCGTTGTCTCTTTGAAAGTTCAGCTTTTAATCGATCGTCTCCAGGTTGTTCTTGTTGTGAACTTGCAGAAGAGGATGGCATGGTATTGGATCGTGATCGTTGTTCTTTGCCAATATTTGTGGATGAACGATTCTCCTTATCTGATTCGAAGAGCACACCAACTTCATGTAAGGATTCGAGAACCATGAGGTAATCTATTAACTTTGACTTCAAGTTTACGAATAATCAATCGAAGAAGATGAACAACAACAATGAAATGCTTGACAATGGTGGTCGATCAATTTAAATCTCAGAATGTTGTTGTAGTGGTTGTTTGTAGTGGTTGTGTTGAACGTGAGAAGAGACAATAGAAAGTTGTTCTTGTCGTTGTGGTGGTGTTTTTATATTCCCAAAATGAATTCTTTCTGAAGAGAATAATTGAAGAGAGAATTGTGAGACGGTTGTCGTTTCTAATTGTTTCTAACCTTGTTGATGATGTATTTGTCGATGATGTTTTCAAAAGAAAGAGAAAAAGTGAAACCTGAGAGTCTCTATTTGGATTTTAATGACAAGAAAAGAGATTAAAAGTAGCGATGATGATGATGAACAATTGCCATGAAAGAGATGTGACATTTAGAAGTACAAGCACACAAAGAATGTATAAATGTGGTCGTGAGGTGATTATATTTGTTGTTGTTGTTATTGTTGTGAAATCATCATATTTCCGTAAGAAAGACTACTCACCTGTAAATGCAGAGTCGAAAGTTTTCATGAAAATCATTGAATTCAATCCACGCAAGGGAAGGCTCTTCCTCTAGTGCTACACGACACGTATTCTCACGTATACAGTGGTTGATGTTTTTTGGAATGGATTCATTCGGTTCGGAACAAGAGGGTGCTCCAGGAGCAAAGGTGTTGAACTGCCAATTCAAACTGTGGTAACAACAACAACAAATAACAACAACAACAACAACAACAACCACTCGTTCGAATCCATGGACCTCATGCAAGGCACAAGAGAATGCAAGAGATTCACCTCCCGTTTCAGAAGAAGATGCAAGGTGCATGATTATGTGAGAAATCACAGATCATCACCTCATGGAAGTGGTCTTTTTCCAATCATGAAGCAAGCCAGGGCGCATGCGAACCATCATGCTTGATTGAGAGCGCATTCTCAATAGAGATGTTCATCATCAGATTGAGATGAAAATTGAGAGCAAGTACACTCTGTTCCTTGAGTGCGCGTTTTCGGTTGTTGAGGAAAAAGAAAAAATGTTTTACTTTTACAAGGCTTTTCCAGTGGGTATTGTTTCTCATTGGTGTTCTTGTCGAATGAGTTGTTGTTGTTGCAATAGTAATGATGATTCTGTCTTTGTCGGATCCTATCATACTATGATGAAAAAAGGAAACGGAGAGATGCACAGTTGTCAGAATTGTCCGGAAATCAATTCAAAACATCATGTACGATTCGGGATAATGAGTCCATTGATTGCTTGTTGGAGGTTTCATACAACATGCTATGAATTATTGAATGTACAATTGATGACTCAACAACGTGAGGATATTCCAAATGAGGCTCACTTGGTGAGATTTATGTTTTACAAATTAGAAGAGCAAATGAATCCGATTGTTTTTAGATTATGCAAAGAGTGGTGGAAGGTTGATTGCGTATTGCCCAAGATGATTGCAAGAGCATTGTTTTTGATTGTTCAGCAAGGAAATGAGAGTGAAGACTGTCATCAATCTGTCGATTTTCATGTAGATATGGAGCTGGATCAGTTAATGCTGCATTGTAGACATATTGTTGATTTTATCGGCAAAAACTTGGATTGTGAAGATGAGCAGAGTTTCAAAGAGTGCTTACGCAGACTTTCCATAGTTGTGGCCAATCGAAAATGGTCACTCATGATGAAACAGGCTGTTTTATTGATATACCTGACATGTCTTTGTGATCGATATGTGAATGAGGGTGTGAATTATCCAGAACGCTATCCGTATTTTGTGTATAGAAACGAATTATATCATCTCATGCATGAAGCAGAGTTAATACCAGAGAATATGGTCACGGAAATATCCAAATGCACTTGCTTCCATAGCAACTCGATGTATCAAGAGAATATTGATTCGAAAGATAATTATACTGATAACTTCATGGTCTCTATCTTATCAACTCTCGAAAACGAGAATTTAGAGAAAGCAGAAATTTCAATTGTATCATGGATGCAGTTCATGTATAGTCAAAAAATTAATTTTGCTCCACAATTAAGACAATTAAGTTTTTCATTTAGAGATCAGCAACCTTTTGGAGATTGTCAAGAATTGAACATTTTTGAGTTATTTATTAATCAATTAATTTTTAATAAGAAAGATCAAAAGTATGATTGGAGTTTATTACCGAGCCACTGTCGTCCCAATCCAGAAATTGTTCATCTACTCTCAGAATTTGATAATGATCCTCAATGTGTTAATTCTCTTTCATTTAGAGCGAAATGGCATTATTTCCTGCAAGGAAAGCCCTCCTTATTTCAATATGTGAATTCTAATGAAATAGGAAACCCCTCATTAGACTACGAATTGGAGGTGACCATTTATAATATTTTGGCATGTGCCGAATATTTCTTTGGCATTACTTTGGAAAAATTCAAACCTGTAAAGAAGTTCATGAATTTTGACACCTACCTTGAAATTAGAAAATCAAAAGTTGGTGAAAATATTCAACTCTCTGAAAAGGACGTGGAAATTATCAAACAAAGCAAACTTAGATTTTGCCAAGAGAGAGGAAATAAGAAAGAAAAGAAGTGGTTGGAGCAATCACTAGTTGAGTTGGGCCAACAATTAAGCACACCTGAACACCTCATCGAGTTTACTTGGGATAAGTCCACTGCGAACCACAACAAAACGCGCATGAAATACATTGAGACGAATTCCGCCACTAGTTTCGAAATTGTCTGTGACCAATATGGAGCTCATGTTGCTACCTATTTTCCAGCAAGAAAGAATCAAATGTTTCAGCACTTCTTTCACACCACAGAAATGAATTCACCAACATTAAAGGGCACAATGCTATCTAAGAAATAATGAAATTCCAAAAAGCCTTTAATAAATAAAAGAGAAATGTTACACTATAACAAAATATGATGACAGAAATATGATACAACAATCATTATGAAGAGATCTAGGTGTTGTGGTTGATTACTTCTTTTCACCACCAAAAAGTTGAGAAATTCCCTGAGTTCTCAAATAGAAGAGTTGTCTCAAATTTTCCAAATCTTGCTCATCTACAGGTACAGATGCAGGCAAGCTCTTGATTTGCTCCTTTTCTTCCTTCTTTGAGTGCTCTGGTGACACGAAACGATGCAAAGCTTCATAGGCCAACAATGTCACACCAAATTGAGGAGAGCTTCTCAAAATTCTTGGAACAGTTCCCTTGAAGAATGCAGTCACACCTTCTTCCTTGAAAATGGTCTTGGCACAATGTACAATACCTCTGTATTGTGTTTGACCTGCTCGAGCTTCAACTTGAAGTCTGGTCTTGATCACATCGAATGGTGTTGTGGATGCAGCAGAAATACCACCAGCAATAGAACCAGCAATGAACAATCGACCATTACTCGTTTCAGTAGCACCTTCTTCTCTAAAGTATTCTTTCAAGAAGGCATACAATGGGAAGTAAATACCAGAGAATGGAATGTCACGAGCAAAACAAGCAGAAGCACCCTTATATAAACCAGCAAAACCTAATTCTCTACAAATTTGGATGGCTCCTTTTGGAGCAATTCCTTCAGTTCTTGCCAATTCACCTTGAACTTGCAATCTAATCTTAACAATTTCAATTGGATTAGTGAAAACAACTTGAGAGGCACCAGCACCACAACCAGCCAACACTTCCAATGGGAAGTAGATTTCATCTCCTTCCTTTCCGAATAAATCACGCAAAGTATCGTTGGTGACCAATTTAATGGCCTTCTCTGGTGACACACCAATAAGTTGTGGAATTAGACCTCTATAGAAACCTCGAATGCCTTCATATTGGTAAATTTGTTTGAAACAATCAAGACTGTTCTTGTAAATGATTTGATTCTTTGGTGGAGTTCCTCCCTGATTTAACATTCTTCTTTGATTTTGCATACGTGTCTTGACCATATCAATTGGGAAGACAGCAAAAGCACCAATGGCTCCAGAAATACCACCATACAGAGTCTTAGTTGCAACTTTAACAGCTCCATTCAAAAATCGTTCTCCGAAAGTCATTTCATGCAAACCATCAGGTGCAACTGTGTCTCTACTCCAACTGTCCAAAATATGTTGTCTTCTTGCATTATTTTCATCCATCACACGAATGAATTCTTCATAATCTGGTTTATAGAGAACACCTTCTTCTGGTTTCGAAGCAAACATGTTGAAAATAATGTCAATTTCCATTGGACTCAGAACAATTCCTGTCACACGTCTTGCTGCAGTTGAGAAACTCTCCTTTGTAATGACATCTCCTTCTCTACTAGCGAGTCCTCTAATCGATTGTGCAATAGAACTCAAGTTACTAATCACTCTATTGTAAGCATCGAATTCTGCATATGTAATCTTGGAGTTTTCAGGAATTCTTTTCATATTTTCTTTCACTCTTTGTGGAAGTGATACTGAATATTGAGTAATGAGATTGGCAAAATCAGCACCTGAAATGAATCCACGGCCTTGAGAATCAAGCTTTTGGAACTCTTGCTTTCTAATTTCTTCATTCAAGAGTTTCATAAATTGAGAGAATTGGTTGAAGCTCAAATTTCCAGTTCCGTCACGTCCAAAGAATCTATGCATCAAATCGCAATCAAAATCGAATTCCACACCTCTTTGATTGTTTGTTCTCATCACCTTCTTGAACTCTTCCTTGCTAATTGCACCATCTTTATCTAAATCAAACATTTTAAACAAGAGATGGAATTCACTTTCAGGAGTGGTCAACATTTTGAAAAGGAATACATATTCAGGGAATGTAATCTTTCCAGTGTGGCCAGTATCTGCAACACGGAACAATAAATCCAAATTGCTTGAAGTAATTTGTGCTCGTTGTTGCAATTCTTGTTCCTTCTCGGTGAAAGGAATGTTTCTTTGCGTGAGAGATTTCACAAAGTCCTCAGGGGTCATCACTGGTTCTCCTGTGCTGTCCTTTGCCGATGCAAACTTATTGAAGATGGCTCTCAATCTCTTTTGTTGCTTTCGGTCAAGCTTACGAGCAGAGAGTTGTTGTTGCTTTTCCTTTTCAGAAAGAGAAGGATTATTCAAAATATCAGAATCCTTCTCTTGTGCTTGCAAGTTTTGAACGAACGGAAGAACATATCGATTCTTCCAAGCACTTGGTAAATACCAATAGGATGATGAGTGATGATTCATTTTCTATTTTTGAAATTTTTGATTGCTAATGATTCAAATAGTGATGAGAGGAGTGTTTGATGTGTGTGCGTGTTTTTAATATAGTAATAAAGAAAGAAGGAAGGAAGGATGAAAGGATGAGTAGATGATGAAGAAGGTGATGATGATGGGCGTTATTGTACAATAATTGTTATAATCAAGAGGAGGGGGAGGAAGAAGGATGGTTTTTTTTGGAATTGTAAATTTTGTTTCAAATTAATACAACCAGCAGCAATAACAATCAGCATCCAGGATAATATTTCAATCCAAGAAGAAGAAGTGATAATTGTGATGAATTGATGGATGAAAATGAACATTAGCCATTCACCAAAATTGGATTATCCATCCACAAGATTGTCAAAAAACACCAAATCAACCACACGATTAAAGATGCAAGATCAAGAATATAATTAGCAATGATGAGGGTTGACCCTCAAATCGAGTCGAGAACACTCAACACCTACCTTTTCCTTGTTTGTTGAATACAATAGCCAAAATGCTACTATTACGACACAAGTTGTTCTTTCGATTGCAACAATAATGGGTAGTGTTGTAGTTGTTGTCGTCGTCTTTCTTCAGTCGGACTGGACTGCAACCAAGGACACAAGGAGATTTTTTTTTGTGTGAAAGTTTTTGTGTTCAATGTCCCGATCGGGAAATGACGACAAAGAGTTTGGAAATTTTTCCTCAGGGAATTTGAGAACCAGTTCCTCTCGAGAGAGAGATGCTTTTGACAATGTTGCGATATTAAGAAATTTCCGGTTTCAATGACCACTCGGTTGTTATATTATTGCATGACTTGGGTTCATATTGTGCAAGAGAGAGTTGTTTTTGATTGGAGTCTCTCCATAACTGAGTGCGCAAGAACATCATTCTCTGGATGAAGAGAAGGAGCAGGTGTGCTTTGAGGAGTATATACAATATACAGTTGCTCCATAAGGAGGACAGAGTCAAATTCATTTCACTTGAATGCATTTTCATTATTTTCATTGAAAAGCGCCTCACACACATTCTTAATTCTTTCGAGGTGTGGTAGAGGTTTCTCTCTTGGTGTAACATTTGGCAATATATTCTGATTTAATCCACGAACGAAGAGAGAATGATTCATGTGTCTTGATGAATGGGTGTTTTAGAATGGTACCATTGATGTCAGGTCGTTCTCCAAGGTCCTTGTACTTGAGTAGACATGTTTCCACAAATGAACATAATTCAACACTGGCATGATTGGCCTTAAGCTTTGAAATGCATTGCTCACAAATTTCTTCTCGCGTCATGGATCCAAGAGTAAATATGTTCGCATTGGGAAGGGGATATCTGTTGTCAATTACATTGAATCATATATGGATGACAAGTCAACACAAGAATGATATGTGATATTTCAAAATCACTTACTCGCCAAGAAAGAGTTCAACCGTGATAATTCCAATAGACCAAATGTCGCTATTGTAGCTGTATGCTGTGTGATTACATGTGATTACAAGTAAGTATGGTGTGATTGAAAAACTTACCTTCATTGTTCAATCGCTCTGGACTCATGTAGGTGACACTTCCAGTAAATGTTTGCCAAATGGTGAGAGAGTGCTCGTGGGAGGAATTTATTTTTGAGTTACTCATGCCCATTTCATGTTCCTTAATTCCAACCAGTCCAAAGTCTGAGATTTTCACATAACCCTTGTCATCTAAAAATTGATCAATTTTTTTAAAAATTATAATGAATATTGCCATAAAAACCACATACCTAACAAAATATTTGCAGGTTTCTTTTGATCTTGATTTAATAATGGGTTAAATTAATTTTTCAACTACTTACTAAATCTCTATGTAAAATATGTTTTTTAACATGAAGATAAAGCAGACCTTTTAGGGTCTTGCTAACAATCACACTGATTACAGCTTCAGGAATTGAATATGGCTTCTTTTCTACAGTTTCAAGATAATTTTTGTATCGTGTATATAATTTTTGTAGTGATCCTAGGGACATAAAATCCAAAATCCTGAACGATATAAATTGTTTCAATTCACTCCAATATATTTCATAGAATTATGACTTACACTATGCCTTGTTAAATCGAGACAGATCTTATTTCGTACTTACTATAATATGTACATTCTTTATAATAACATTCGTGCAGCTTTATAAGGTATGGTGAGTCGCATTCAAAAATTGTTTTAACTTCTTTAAAAATCAAATCCAACTGTTTTTGTGACGTGTCTGTAACACGTTTTTCAGCAAAATAGAGTTTTTCATTTGTTTGTGGATTGGAAATAGCCACTCTAAATACAATTCCGAATGAGCCATTTCCAAGTTCTTTCATTGGGTATTTATGAAAGTCATCCACAGAAGTAATTTTGAAATTGAGAGGAAAATTGCCATGCGAGGATGAAGAATGATGGTCACTCGTGGATGAATTCTGCTGTTGCTGTGACTGGTAAAAGGTTCTATACTCCAAAACACTCATTCCTTTGATTTTAATTCCCTCTTCAGTAATTTTAAAATCAGCCCCATAACGAGGTGATTTAATTTGTAGTAATCGTTTGCTGTATGAATCAATGGATGACGATCCTGCTGAATCAGATCCAGAAAACCATGATTGACCACTGCTCCCACTCATCGATGTTATGTTTAATTTTAGATTTCTAGGTACTCCTTTTTGCTGCTGCTCGTCGGAGCCTTCATCACTCTTTCTTGTGGTGCTGTCCTCGTTCATTTTAAATTTGTCAAATGCCAGTCGAAGAGGTTTAGTTGAATGGAGAAGGTGATTTGCATCCTCTCCATGTTCTCCATTCGAAGATGACCGATGGATCTGTTGTTCTCTCTCGGCACCATTGATGATGGTTTGATTATTATCGTGGTTGACTTTCGGTTGATGAAGAGACATTTTTTAAAATGGAAGAACAAGGAACAAACAGCTACCTAGTATACTCCAAGGTTGTCCACTCCAAACACCACATTAATTCAATCAATATTTTCGATTAAATCCTTTTGAACAAGATCACCAGATCAGAAGAATTAATTCGTCATGGTCGAACAGGCCTCGATTCGTTCCATCAAAAAAATTATTTAATTCAAATATCCCAAAGAAAGGCGCATTTTTGCTCTTTAAATCAAGAATAAATTCATCATCAAAATGAGATCTTCGGTTGCATGGATAGTTCTTTGTATAGTCGTTGTATTTTTCAATTGGAGAACGAATCATATTGAGGCAGTTGATGTAAGTGTACAAATGCTTGTGAGCGATTATTATACATTAAGAGAGAATCCGATTCCCGATTTCAACCGATGGTTATTCCTTAATTCAAGTTTACGACAATCATTACCGGTCTTCAAGATTCATTACTTCAGTACAACATTGCTCCCACAGTAAAGATCGTTGATGTATCGACGGCTCAAAATATAACGAGTGCCCGATTGGAATTTGCTCGAGGCCTTGCGAAACTGTCCATGTATTTAGAGCATAAGATGCGATGTAATTGTAGGCTGAACAAAACCCTGAGTGAACAAAAACAATGTGTGGATAGTTACTCCAATTACGACATTACTCTGACCAAAGTGAAATGTGATACTTGTTTAGGTGCAGTCTCCTATTTCAAAGCTTTGCGTGCCATGGACCAGAATAAGACTTGCCAGGCTGCAATGAATTTGCTATGTTTTCCCTTCCTAAATAGCCTTAGTTCTGTTGGTGTTGCGTGCAGGCAATTCTCGTCCAAATTTTGTGCAATTCCAATGATTGAAAGTGTAGTGGATGTGAGTTCCTCTTCGATGGATGTTTGTACTTGTCAGCTTTTCTGCAAATGATTTCCATCACCACCTGAATCATCATCGGAATTCAAATTTATAAAAACAAGATTAAAAATGTGCCAACTTCACACCACAGAATCTTCTTCTCGTTCCGCTCATGCAGCTTGCAGCACATCGGATCGAGTCTTGCTACCTACGGATGTTCGTCCCATCAATTATCGATTAACTTTGAACCCTGATCTCGAAAAGTTTGTGTTCACTGTGGATGAGCAGGTTGATTTGAAGATACAAAAAGACCCTTCATCGATTACCAAGATCGTTGCAAATAGCAAGGAGATAGTCGTGAACGAAGCTTCTCTTTCTATTGGAGAAACTACACTTGAATTTAAAAGTATTACGTACGATGAAGCAAATGATTATGTAATTTTCGAATTGGACAATACTAATGCTGCATTCTCGTCTCTCAAAATTGGTGATATTGTCACACTCAATATTAAATCCACAGGTGAATTGAATGACCGACTTGTAGGTTTTTATCGTAGCAAGTACTACAAGGATGGTGTTGAAAAATATGGTTGTTGCACACAATTCGAAGCAGTGGATGCTCGTAGATGTTTTGTTTGTTGGGACGAACCAAGTTTGAAAGCAGTGTTTGAGGTGACTCTCATCGCTCCAAAAACTTACGTTGCACTCTCGAATATGCATTGCATTGAGGAGAGAGATTTCGGTCAAGACAAGAAGCTTTGTAAATTTGCTCCAACTCCAATCATGTCCACTTATTTATTAGCATTTGTTGTCTATGAGTTTGATTATGTAGAAATGATTGCAACAGAGACTCATAACAAGATTCCTGTACGAGTCTATACTCCTGTTGGTAAAAAAGAGCAAGGAGAGTTTGCATTGCAAGTGGCTGCAAAGGTATTGGCTCTCTATGAAAAATACTTTGAAATTCCATATCCATTGACCAAGTTAGACATGGCAGGTGTATCATTGGCAGCAGGAGCAATGGTAAGTAGGATCATGTTGTGTACACAGAAAGCGTCAACAAGAGTTTCATAATTTTGAAATAATAGGAAAATTATGGATTGGTTCTTTACAGAGAAAATGCAATTTATGTTGATCCAAAGAACACTTCTTCAAGTGTCAAGCAATATGTTGCTATTGTAGTTGCTCATGAGTTGTCTCATCAATGGTTTGGCAATTTGGTTACCATGGCTTGGTAGGTTTTGCAATATATTATTTAGCAATGGACCTATTTGTAATCCAAATGTTTTAATCACTTTAGGTGGAACTCACTCTTCTTGAATGAAGCTTATGCTACATGGTGTGAATATTATGCAACCAATCAATTATTCCCTGAATGGTTGGTTTGGGAGCAGTTTGTACATGATGATTTCTTTAAGGCCATGTCTTTGGATTCTTTAAAGTCAAGGTATGTATGCAACCACGGTTTCATAATCTGTCTTAACAAGGCGATTTTAAAGCCATCCTGTTGAAGTACCAGTTAGAGTTGCTGCCGAGATTGATGAGATTTTTGATGCCATTTCCTATTCAAAAGGTTTGTGGTCGTCTGTTCTTTCTATTTTTCAATATCACTAATTTCTCAAAGGTTGTTGTGTGGTCAGAATGTTAATTAACTTTTTGGGAGAAGAAAACTTTAGAAAGGGAATGGTTCATTACTTGAAAAAGTATAGCTATTCAAATGCAGACACTATAGATTTATGGGATGCTCTTACACAAGCGACTGGTATTGATGTGACTTCATTGATGGAATCATGGGTTCTAAAAATTGGATTCCCTGTTATCACTGTGACTGAGAAGATCAATGGCAATGAAAAGGTGCTCACTTTGAGACAAGGTCGATTTTTAGAAGAGAGTGGTGTGGATACCTCTGACACCACCATTTGGTCCATTCCTGTTTCATACATTGTCTGTTCAGCAGAAGACAAAATCACAGAGAATCAATTCCTAATGAAAGAGAAAGAAACCACTCTTAGTATTCCATCCAACAGCAAATGGATCAAATTCAACAAGAATCAAACTGCATTCTTCAGATTGAATTATCAAAGTGATGATTATTATGCAAGTTTGGTTGAACCTATTCGAAACAAGACACTCTCTGCTATTGATCGAATGTCTGTCATTGAGGATGCTTGCACCTTGTCAAAGAGTGGTCTCACCTCAACAGAAGGTGTATTTACACTCATTTCTGCATATTCCAATGAGGACAATTATACCGTAGTATCAAGCTTGGCCACATGTTTCTCCACTCTATTTAATATTTACAAGCATGAAGAGAATATCATGAAAAAGTTTAACAAACTTGCGATTTCTACATTTTCAGGTATTGCATCCAAATTAGGATGGACACCAAAAGAAAATGAAAGTCATTTAGACTCCATGCTGAGACCAATTGTACTCAATGCTCTCATCAAGTATGGAGATGAATCCACCATTGAAAAAGCAACATGCTTGTTTGATCAATACAGAAATGATCCAAACTCTGTCATTGCAGATTTAAGAGGTGTTGCTTATCATGCTGCTGCAAAATATGGAGGACAAGCAAGATATGATCAATTACTTGATATTATCCAAAAAACAGAATTATTTGAAGAGAAAATTAGAGTTCTTCGTGCATTGGGAGCTTCTAGCGACAGTACTCTCATTTCAAAAACGCTTGGAATGGTTCTTGATGGATCTGTTCGCTCACAAGATGTTATTTATCTTCTTTCTGGAGTGTCTGCAAATCCAAAGGCCACAACACTTGCTTGGAAATTCTTGATCGATAATTTTGAAACTATCAAAGAAAAGTTTGAGGGATCATTCTTACCTGGAAGAATTGTGAAATTGTGTACAGAGACTGTGACTGATCCAAAGGATGTCGAAACATTGAAAACAACACTTGAACCACTCAAATTTAAGGGAATTGAAAGATCAGTAGACCAATCCATGGAAGCAATTTCCATCAACAGCAAATGGTTGCAACGTTCTAAGGATTCTATTTTGAAGTGGCTCAACACCAATGTTGAATAATAGCACATCTTGTCAATAGTGATCATAATATAAGTAGTGAGTGCATCACAATATAAAAATTGATGTTTCGACATGTGGAGTTTGTTCAATGATATGGACTGGTGGTTTGGGCAACGAGACTGCTTCGCAAGACATTGTCAAGCTTTCAGAATTTTCAATCTCCAAATTCAAGATACTTTTCAATCCCACATGAAGCTTCCCTTAATTTAAGGAATTAAGTGTATTTCTCTTCAATGAATAAAAAAGGAACCAATCTGCATGTTCACCTGTCCCCCATTCACAATCCTTGGCAAGGAAAGGAATGCAGCAATCATCTATGAACGAGGAAACCTGAATCAACATGTCTCCAGTTCGATATCATGCTCAGAACAAGTGACTACAGAGTCTTCATCTTGGTTAACCTCAAAGGTCAGATTGACTCGAAAGTCGAGTTTAAGTAATCCTACAGAAAAGATCCTGTAGAAGTACAGTCAATGGTTTTTTCAAATCTTGTTCAGAGACAATGAATATAAAGCACCAAAATGGTTGAAATGAATGACTCATGAATTATGGTTTTTCAAGAGTTCATTGAAGTTGTCCCAAAAGATGCAAAAAATTGTTGAACTGGGAATTCACAAAGAGAGTTACAGCCTCCGATGCTCATGGAGCATTAGATTCCGAAAAGATTCAAAGCACACACAGACGGGTTTGAATGGTAATCCAAAGCTTTGTTTCATATTTCCAATCACAGTTCGTACATTAGAGGATGATGCCTTTCTTTCATCTGCACCGCGAGTGCAATCGAGTCGTCGTCATTCAAGAAAAAAATTGAAACCACTTCACTCACCATCACACACTCCTAGTTCCGATTTGATAAATAATCCATCACATCCACCAAAAGAACATTACTCACAGCATGATCACTCCAAAATTTGAATGTACACAAAATGATGAATTCGTTACTGTTGTCATTTACATTCCTCATGTCAAAATGACTGAAATGGAATATAGTATTGATAACACCACAGTGGATGATCCCAATCATGATCACACCAAATCACTCTTCCGATTTTATGTCAAACCATACTTTTTACGATTACATTTTGCACAAGAATTGAATGATACTGGAGAATTTGATTTGGCTAAATATGATCCCGATCAGGAACGAATAATTATTCAATTACCAAAAAAGAATCGTGGAGAATATTTTGAAAATCTCTCAATGATTACATGGTTATTAGGAGCAAATAGAACTATTGGATCGGAGGAAGGGAGAGTGACATCTTCGAGTTTGTTATTAGGAAATGAAATGTCGTCACCTTCATCATCTTCACAACCATCAAAAAAAGCTCCACTGATTGAAGTTGTGGAAAGTGTTTCAAACCAAATGCAAGATCATGATGATGATGAAACCAATCATGGAATGTTTGATGAAAACTCTGAAGATTGGCAACAACAGTTACCAGATGAAAAAAGTTCATCGGAACTCATGAAAGAAGAATTAGGAATTTCTAAAATTTATTATGGATTCAACAAACAATTTACCGATGTTTTCACAAAATTTTCACAAGATTACATTAATGAAATCATTGATGTTCCATTGAATCCAGAAGTCATTTCAGCTGAGGAGAGAAGGAAAATTAGAATTTTGAATGAAGTGGAAGAATTTGATCCTGAACATTATTTGGTGGATTACATCAATAAGGATAGAGATATCAAAATGGTATTTGATTTCAAGCCACTCTTTCTTTCAGCCTCGCAACCTTTCCAATGGTCAGATAAGGAACAAGAAGCTCTACGATCATTACCAAAAAAGGAATTTCTGATATCGAATGAGATTTCTGTTTATTGTGGTCTTGTGGATTTGTTGTGTTCATTCGCTTACCATCATCGAAGCTTTATGGGTGAGAGTAATTCAGAAAGTGCGTGGACCATCTGCAAAATGAGTTCACAATTGTCATGGCTTGAAGAATTGAATCATCTCAAAGAAACGCTTGAAATATTCATCAGTCGAACTTGTGTCTATGCCTTATATAGAAACTTTGATCTATGCATTCAATGTATCAAAGATATTGCTCAATTATTATCTCTAGGAAAGGAATATGTATTACGAGCCTTATTAGAAATTAAGGATATTCTTGCTCACACTCATGACAAGTATCTATTGAACAAGATTTATGTGGATAATTATTGTATTTGGATTCAAGGAGGAGTTTTCAATTCATCTCTCGAACAACTTGCTCATTCTGTGCTCAAATTGGTCGATGAGGAATTTCTCATGAAGAGACACGACTTTCTCATTAGTGAACATGTGTCTTTGAAAAAGTTGGAAGATTATGCCGAGGAATGTATTTCCAATTCGAATGGACACGTGGAAGATTTGATCATGACCGAGCAAGATAAGCAGAGACCACTTGCACTTTGAAAGAAGTCTGTGGTTAGTCTGTGGTTATGGTTCTTGTGTGTAATGCCAATAAATTGAAATTCCAAATTTCTCGTATTCGATCGAACATTCTCATAATTTTTTGAAGTATTTGGCGCCAATTTGTAACTACAAAGACAAAACTACATTACATTAAACCCAACAACCGACTGGATCGAGTCAGCAAAAAAAATTGAAACAACAATAACAACAACACCGATCTTGAGATTTGTTTCATTCTCCTCACTTCTCTTACTCCTTGTACTCGGATTTGTATTTTCAACAGTTATCTCTGTTTTTCTGTCGGTCTGTTAAAGCCTGTCCTGTGACAATAATTATTCTCAACAAATTATCTCTACTCTGTGAAAATTGAGATCAATCGAATGTCTGAAGCAACAACAACAACACTACCATCCCGAGCAGCGGAGCCCTCCACGAAAAACATTGCAGTCTCGGAGGTTGTCCTTTCTCCTGATTCTGCAGGGTTGGAAGCTCTCCTAACTAAAGTTACCTCTTCAACACAACAAGAAACACCAAAATCTCACCAACAACAATCAACGACTTCAATTTCTCTAAAGTCAATATGTAAATCTCTCAGTAGCAAATTGGCAAAAAAAGCATTCTCCAAACAAGAAAATGGATTTATTAAAATAATAGAGCTGATGAGGTGCAACGGCAATGAACATTGGGTTCAAAACTATCAAACATTAGATAGAGTTCGAAATCAATTATTTTCATTTCGAGTTCCATCGTCACAAGCGCTTGTTCAAGAGATTGTCTGGAGCGATTTCTCCTCCGTTTATTTCAAATCTCAGACCAATAACACATCTTTGACTCAACCCTCACAATATAATAAGGATATAATACGGTTGATCGAGAAAGAAGAAATTGAAACTCGTTTCAACCTTAAGCTTGTGACAACATGCAGTAACTTCAGACCTGCAAAACAATCTTTGGAGCTACATGAAAACTCGTGTTGTCAACCAAAAATAATTATTGGAGGAAATTATCATGATACTCTTTATGTTTGTGATGTAAAACAATCGAACTCTCAAATCAAAACATTTATCCTACTCGAAAGCTTGAATATTGGAGAGAACTTTGTCTGCAACCAGATGATTCATGTTTTTAGGATATATGGTGAAAGTCTATTTACAAGGAACACAATTCAATCTTGCAACTTTTCAGATATTTCAATAGTTATAAATAAATAAATTCTATGTACATGATTTCAACAAAGCGTGTTAGTTTTGAGCCTTTTTTAACTCAACAAGCTTGGAATTGAATTTTTGAATGATATCCTTATTTTCTGTTTTGGAGATATATTCTTTCAAGTCTCTGCCCTCATTATCCGTTTCACTGAGGTCTGTAGCATTGCTAATCAAAATATCTATTACTTGATGTAGAGACTGTTGGTAGAATGGGTTTTTCGATTTATCCATTTTAGATAAGGCAAACATCAAGCACGTTCGGCCTTGACTATCCTTTGCGCTTAAATTTGCTTTTCTTTTGATAAGCTCATGAACTAGGGAGTAATATTCAATAGAGTACATCAGTAATGTCTTTCCGCTCGCATCACAATCATTGACGTCCGAGTACTTCAAAATTTTTAAGGCCTGATCAGTAAAACCTTTCTCAGCAGCAAACATGTATGCGGTTTTCTGCGTATTAAAGGTTTTAATTGTCACATCCACAGATTTAAAGCTTAAAAGCGTTGTAATGTAGGAAAAGTGTTCGTTGATAATCGCATTCATTAAAAGAGTTCTTCCTAGGTAGTCTTGTCTATTTACAAATTTTGGGTTAATATTATTGAGAGCAGTTAGCAAATTAATAAAAGTTTGATCGTTTTGAGACACCCCAATACTCAATTTTTGATCTGTTTGATCATCAAAGATCGGCACGTTATTATTAACAGGAGTCCTACTTAATAAATCACTTGCTCTTCTTCCATTTGATCCACTCATGCAACACAAACAAAATAATTTCTGTAAAATAATTTCTTCATCCAATTCTCGGATCGATAATGGTATTTGAGTTTTAATTATTGTTTCAATAATCGGAGGTGAAGTGATTGAGTTATTATTAGCACCTGTAATTGAATTGCTTCTGGGTGTTCTTGGAGTATTATTGGTACTGTTCGGAGTTGCTGGAGTGTTTAGAGAGGTTGTGTTTAGGTTTGGAGAATTTCCGATCGCACTGCTCGAGAAGGCTCTGCCTGGTGTGGTTTGCGTCATTTTTTGTTGTTCTTTCATGACCTAATCGTTCAAAGAAAACAAACTTCAATCATTTTGAAATTTTAAGATTAATAGTGTTATTGATGTTAATTTATGCTCTCTTCTTGTATTGTCTTGAAGCTCTTCTACCTCTACCCAATTCACCATATCTACCTTCTCTCTTTTGACTTCCGTGCTTGTATGGCTTAGCATGGGATCCGATTTGACCTGGAGCAAGACCAAAGTGCTTCTTGGATTCAGTATTCTTGTTACCTCTCAAAAGGATGCATCCCTTTCCGTCTGGTGAGATTTGTGCCAATTGATCGAAAGTCAAAACTTGACCTCCGTTTTCAACAATTCTTTTTCTGGCAGTTTCAGTGACATGCAAAGCACAGACCTTCAATCCCTTTGGAGCATCCAACAAACGAGCATCGTTTGTGATAGTACCGACCACAACGACAACAGAGTCCTTCTTATCTCCAACAAGCTTTTCTAATCTGGCAAGAGTGAGTGGTCTTTGTTCTCTTCTGGAGTGCAAGAGTCTAGCAAGAACCTTCTTGTTGAACTCAGAACCAGTTCTTCTGGCCAAGAGCTTGTAAAGTCTGACGAGGATGGCCAAATAAGCATTTGGTGAAACCAAAACCTTTCTACCTGGCTTCTTTGCGTGAGTCTTTGCTAAGTACTTCTTCTCGATACCCATTTCTTTGCAAATTTATGGTACTGTGTGGGGATTATCAAGCCAATGTTTACCAAGCAATAAGTAACGATAAGTGTGAAAACCGATAACGTACTTTTGGCGTATTTTTTTTCAACAAATTTTTCAAGAAAATTCAGCCAACCAGCCATAAGAGTTTACAATGACCAATAAAATTTTTTGTGGTGCTTGTCTGAGAGATGAATTCTGTATTGCCCTTTACACAACGACAATCATCGATACAGCAACCATGAGCAGTCCAATCGTTGACATGAACAGAGAACCCAAGTTCTTACTTGATCCAGATACTGCAGCTCGGTCACTTAACACCAACGAATACTCCTTTCGGTCAAACTCCTCAGTCCATCCTTGATTAGCTTCTCCTTTTCCTGCTGTCACAATCCAAGGTTTAATGACATAGGAAGACTGTTGAATCAATTCTGTTGGAGAGTTTTGAACCTGAATAATCAAGTTGAGTGTACCAGATCCAGGAGAGACATTCTTTTGAATAGCCTTACTAAACCATTTGTAGTCTTTTAATGACCAGGTACATCCATAACAGAAGAACACACACAATAAGATATCAATCAGGTCATACATTTCTATTAACATATTCCAAATAAACTACCTGGAACGCTTAACAAATCCACAACAATATCCACAATAACCGATGCACTATAATCGACACCAACAGGAATGTTCTTGGTGCTTAATCCCAGTCTGGATGGTGGAGAAACAATATGAACAGCGTTACCCACGAGAGGTGAGTTGTTGTTATTATTCGAAGGTGGTTTTTGAGTGCCAGAGGATGGAGTTGGAGTGACAGGAGTACCAGTGGAGGTAACTTGAGCATCCCAACAAGTGGTGTAAGGAGGACTTCCTGCATTGAAGACCCATCTCCATTGGAAGGCGTAACGTCCTTCAGGAAGATTGGTGGGAATGGTGAAGCACCCAGTGCATAGAACTTTGTCCATGTTTTCACAAAACTTGAAGATAGTGGACCACTTGTGTCATGAAAATGTTCCATGTGTTTCCTATTCACTTACCTTTGGACAGTTTTGAAAGGCTTTTCCACCACCATTTTCGAGGGTAGCTGGAGAAACATTGTTGCCCCAATCGGCCTGTATGAAGGGGAAATGAATGTGAAGAGACAATAAATCCATGATCAATACAAATGAATATATTATTTAATTTTAATCCATCCATGATGTTCCACTTACCAATAATTGCCAATTATTTGTTGATGGATCATTGGTTGGATTCACACCAGAAATGTAAATCTTATTACTTGTGTCAAGAATATATGGATTTGTACATGATGCAGCAACATGACTGTTGATCATAAGTGTCATTAATCAATTGAGAGAATTGTTGAGATTGATAGAATGGTTTAAAACTTGAGTCATAACTTACTTTTTTGCAGGCCATGCCAAACATACTTCTTGTCCTGGACGATAAGTGGCCATAGGATAAGCAGAGGTGTAGAACGACGCGTAATTAGAATTTGAAAGAACATATTTGCATGTTTCAGACTGTTGGTTGTATCCGATGTCACCTTCAAAGGCACTATTGATGGCTGAATTGATAGTGTTGTTGTGTGAAAACATGGGAGGTTATTCATTGTTGATATCATCATGGAGATCAATGGTGAAGATCATTCGATTGAGTGAATGAAAATTAGTACGCGATGTTAGTTGATGCATCCAATCAACAATGTGAGAATCATAGTTTCTTCGTTATAACAAGAAACTTACCAGTATGGGCAGCCCAATTTCTCGGTCTAGCTCTGCATTTGGAGGCGCAAGAGTAAGCTCCATTCTTCTCAGTGTAGTCTGTGCAATCAATCCAAGAGTGTGCAGCAGTCATGCTTGTGAACGCTAAACACAACAGCATGAGCATTGCAACTGTGGAAGCAAAAAGTAATCGCGACATTTTTAAAGGGATTGCCTGCTGACGTTTCATTCTGATCGTGAGCTTGACTGGTCAGTCACAAGAATCTTTAACTTTGTAAAAGGTGCGAAGGAATGAAGACTCTTTCAAAAGGTAACATTCAATTTGATTCAACTTTTTGGGAGTTGAAAGGTGCAAATAGGTTTTTCGCAGCATTGAATTCAGGTAGCTTTTACTTTTTTTGGCCTAGTTGGGCTGCAAATGTTTGATAGAATTTTAAATATTGCTCTTGCTGTTCACTAGTGAGCTGTGGATATTGATTATCAGTATTTGGATAAGCAGCTGCAACTTTAGAGTTTAGAGAAGCAGAAACGGTTTGATAGGTATTTGTGCTGTTGTTTTGAGAGTTCTTAAGGTAGTTGAAATAGTCAACTTTTTTTCTCTCGTCACTCGATAGAGCTCCTTGTTTTCTCAAGGTATCTCTATAAGTCTGTTCCATTTTCTTTTCATTGACTTGTTGAGGTAAGTAATGTTGGTAGTACTCTTTTTCAATGTCTTTGGTTCCTTTTTGTGACTCTTTGCTATTGTCGATAGTAGTAGGCGTGGCATTGGTCTCTACTGTTAAGCCTTGTGGTACGGTTGGCTCTGGAGGTTTGTAATCTTCTGGATAATGAAATGGAAGGGAGGTTGTTGAAATGCCCTTCTCTTCTAGAGATTGTTTCATTTTGGATTTCATTTCTTGTTCATGTTTCTTTGTTGCTAGAGGATTTGGATCATCAGCACTCCAACGAATATGAATTATTTCATCATTATCTAATGATTGTCCGAGCATTGCTTCTCTTGCAAATTCAGCATTTAACCTGTTCTTGTATTTCACAAAGGCATAACTTCTTTCAGGAAATGCTCTAATATATTCAATTTCTCCCCATTCTTGAAAATGTCTTTTAATTACCTCCTCACAATCAGCACCAGGAACATATTTAAATCCACTCACATATAATATTCTACAATCCCGATTGAATGATCCTACACCAGCCATATCATCACGATCAGTTGCAAATTTAGCTCTTCCGAAACAATCCTTTGTGATTGGTATTCGGCTTATATCTGCTGATGTTGGTATCCGATGAAGATATTTGCAATTTGGACCTTCAGCACAACATCCCTTCGCGAAGAACAAACAAAAGAAGGGATCTTTAAGAGTACAACCAACGGTCCATCCAGCATCAGTTTTTACGTTACATCTACTTTCGGCCGCATCGATATCTCTTTTTTGTCGTTGTCCAATATATTTATGATACCAAATATTATATTCTCCTCCGTTTTCTTCTCGTTGTAATTTTGATTCTTTCTTGTTTGATGCTTGAACACGTGCTTTTCTAATCTTTTTTACTCCTCCACTCGGAGAGGGAATATCTTTCTTGGAATCGGTTGATGATGATGAAGCGTTTGTTGTTTGGTTGACCATTTTTTAATGAATGTTTAATTCAATTCGTTACCGATGCAACCTCTTCATTGTTGGGAAGAACGGATTTCGTTGAAAAGCTGAGTATCAAACATGTTTTAATACAACATCGAATCTCTTCATTGAATCCTTTTTGGTTGAACCTGAAGAAGAAAAATCAATAACAAAAAAATGTCCAATCCTCATCATCGACCCTATCATCAAGGAGGTCATCATAGAAATGAAAGAGGAGGTTATCGGAATTACAATGATCGTAACCGTGATAATTATCAATCTTATAATCAAGGAGGAGCCTTTAATAATACTCCACTACAGCAACAACAATTAAATTCTCTCATGATGGCAAAGAAGCCTAAAGTTATTCATGTGGATCCTTCTGTGGTTCAAAAAACAAAGCCAACAATTAATACAACAGTGCAAGAAATAATTCATAGAAGACAATTAAAATTTCCAATGGTTCCAGTTAATATTCCTGTGTCGAAGGCTCCTCCTGAGGCAGGAGAATATCCAAATCCATTTGATTTTCCAAATGTACTTATAGATACACGAACAACAATTGTAATGGAAGATTTAAGCGCTGACACAGAGAATGATTACATCAAGAAATTACTTGAAAGTTGCGGACAATATACAAGCTGGAAACGATTGAAAGATCCAAAAACTAATAGATGGTTGACATTCGGATTTTGTGAATATCAATCTTGTTCTTCAGCAATTAGAGCTCTACGATTATTGAATTTACTGACGATAGAACCTGGTGTAACTATCAAAATGAAATGCTCAAAGAAAGTTCAAACTTTTATGGATCAGTACCAACAAAAGAAGTTGGAGTTGTGGGCAAAGAAGCTTCAAGAACGAGAGAAAACAAATAACTCTCAGAACTCAAGCACAACAGATGAGCTCACTCCTGAACAGCGGCAACTCCTAGCTCAATTAGAAGAACAAATGGCATCATCAAAAACTGAAGAAAAAATAGAAGTAAGAGACAGTGATCGACATGAGTTTGAAAATTATGAAAAATCACTGGATGATATTTCTAAGATCATTATTAACGATCTTGTTAAGGAGAGAATGAGCATAGAAACTGAAAACCGGTCTAGAGAATCGATAAGTCAACAATTAGCCGTGACAAACACTGTACAAAAAATTGCAGAGACTGGTGTGAGCAATGAAGAAGCAGAACAAAAAAAGAATTTAATTTATGAAGAAATTCGAAGATTCAGAGACAATGAGAAAATGAAAGAAGAAGAAATTAAAGAGGTTGAAAGAAAAAGAAGAGAGAAAATATACAGAGAAAAGAGGTTAAAGCAATCCAAACAACTTGAAAGAGAAAGAAGAAGAAGACAACGCTGGGAAAAGGAAAACGAACAAGACAAAAGACAACGAGAGGTTACTATTCGAGAAATTGAAAGATTTGAAAGGAGACGAGAACGAAGGTATGGCGGAATAGATGGAACTGGAGAGGGTTATGTTAGCAGTGACGAAGAAATATCCACTGGAACTGATAAGAAAAAGATTCAAATTGAACTTCAAGAAAAAGCGCCTACATCTAGAGAACCATCTGAGGTCGTTACTTACGAAGAGGAAGAGCAAGATTGGGGAAGAAAGAAGAAAAAGCTTTCAGCAGTCGAGGAGATTGAAAAATCCAAGAGAGACGCAGAATATTTGGATCGTGAAAATATTAGAAAAATTCTTCCTACTTCTCAAGCAGAGGTTTTCAATTATCCAGTGGATTGGAATGTGATCGATAAGTACTCTCTATGGGTTCCTCTTGCTCCATATGTTGACGAACAAATTATTAGCTTAACAGGAGATCCAGAAGAAAGCTTGAGCCAATTTATTTTGGGCAAAGTTGAAACTCACTCTTCACCACAAGAAATTATTAACGATCTTGTGGAAATATTCGATGAACAAACAGAACCATTTGTACTTGGATTATGGGAGAGGTTGCTTGTAGAAATGGTTCGAAAACAACGTGAAATTCAATTGGAAAATCAAGACATTATCGAATAAAATCATCCCTGTGTGAAATTGTATGAATTTAATTAATGAATAATCATCATGAATTTCAATAAATTAGAGATCCATGACCATGAGATTGATAAATGTACCAACAGAGGTTGGAATAGTCTTAAATGGCCTTCTTCGTCTCTCAATGATTCCTCCGTTGACTTTGTTTGGTAAATAATCAACTACTTCATATTCTTCGTAATTAACACGTGCAATTTCTTTGAAACCAATTTTTGCGTATAAAGCTTGAGAAGCAAAACCAGTGCATTCGACCATCATACAGTCATATTTCTTTTCTTTTGCCAATTGTAAGGCCTCATTAAACATCCTCTTTGCCAGCCCTACTCGTCTGGCAAATGCATAAGTACCTGCTGAGCAAATCTTAAAGATTTTCTTTCCACCATCACAGGCTGTTCCTTTTCCGTGATGATTGTTTTGCTGACTTTCTTCATAAATTGCATGTAAATCATCTAATAGGCGCAAATGAAGTAGAATACCCTCGTCATTGGAATGTGGTTCAACCCACTCATCTGCATCAGAGCACAGATGAAATCCAACAACCATGTTAGAAGATTTGTCAATAGCGATGTGTGACAAGCCACCCTCAGCACATCTTTTGCAATAGTCATAAGCGTATGGAAAATAAGCAGGTGGGCTTGTGGAAGTTCCAATAGCCAAAGGCTCTTCTTGAGAAAATATTAATGCAAGAGCAAGAGCAGTTTGTTGTACATGCTCGTGAGTTAAAAGCAAAACATCAAAGTCTGAAGCACTCATGGGTGATATTTGACCCATTCCATCAATTGTAATGACTTGTGTAACATTTGTAGAGATATTACTACTACTACTACTATTTGTTTGGAGATTCATGATGTCTTTTGTGAATTGTAAAAGTATTTTGTCTAATAAGGTTGATTCTCAAGGTTATGCAAGGATAATAGTTGCACCTCTAATTGAATAATTGCAAGGTAAGTATAATGATTTGTAATAAGAGAAGAAGACGTAATAAAGCGCACTGAAGGCTTTACCTGCATGCAGACTGTAATAGAGGCTGTTTCTTGATGAATTGAATTGGATAACTTTCTCCTGTTTACTCAGGTAGAAAAGAACAAAATCCGTAGAGATTAAAAAAGAACGAGGAGTTAGTTGGTACAACTGATTCAACAACTATTAATAACACAATACACGAATTCGGGCTGCAAAATAATTCAATTTTTCTTTCGTCCGAATTATTCAACGAGGTAAATCGTCTGTTATTACTTGCCGAGGTGTGATGATGCGAATGAACACGATGATGGTTGTTGTGCGTTTAAATTCTTCGCTGATTTTTTATCAAGGTTGTGTGTTGTGGATGGGAATGAGTGGTTGTTGCTTTTCAATGTGCGCGCCGTTCAACAACAGTTTTGCAGTGTTTGAGATTTTTTTTTTCGAACATAAAATTATAATTTTATTGGCCGTTTCGACTAATTTGGAGATTCTCGTCATCCGAAAGTCGGTACATGTGATGCAAATTTGCATAAAGTTGTCAGTGGCTCGACGATTAATGATTATTGAGTCACTGTGACTCCATGCTGATGTGTTAAGGTGTGAATAGTTTCCTTCGAAAATTTGCATTTCTCAATTTTTAAATGACGAAGAATTCCCTTCTTGGCTAAGGTTTTGATTGCATCATCACTCACGAGTGTGTTTTCAGATATGTCGAGAGTTTCTAGAGATGGACAGAGAAGAAGATTTGATATTCCTTCGTTGTTGACATGAACACATCGTTGGATAATTAATTCTTGTAAGTGTTGACAATGTTGTAAATGTACAAGTCCTTCGTTAGTGAAACCTCTCACACTCGTCAAATTTAGGTATCTCAATACTCCACTTAGATACTTTGAAATTGATTCCAATGTCTTATCTGTAATATTGGAACACTTTTTGAGATTCAAATGATAGAGATGTTTTGAGTTTTTCAACACAAGTTCAACACCTGCATCAGTAATCATGTCAGAAAATGAGAGAACCAACTCTCGAAGGTTTGTTGTCCATTGAGACAATACTTTAAGACAAGAGTCGTTGGTAAGCTTACATCCCATCATGTTCAATTTTTCAAGTTTTTCTAATCCCTTTTCTGATTGAACACCTGACAAATCTACCAAGTGGCAACCTGTTAAATTAAGGAAACGAATTTTCTGACAGGAATTGACAAGATGAGTGAGTCCTGTGCTTGTGATATGTCTGCAACATTGAAGTGTTAAATCTTCGAGTTGTGTCATTTCAGACAAATATTTTACACCTTCATCAGTAATTTGATGACAAAAAGTCAAGTCCAAATATTTCAACTTGGTTTTACAAGCAGATTGAGATAAATGTTTCATTCCTACATCTGTAATATGTACACATCCTGTCACATCCAAATATTCCAATTGTGAAAATTGGCTAACATAGGACATGGCTGAATCATTCACTTTGGTACAACCTCTCACATTGAGATGAGTTAAATTTTGACAAATATACGTCTTTGTGTGTGAGCATTATTACATAGAGAGAGGATACAATGAATGATACATTTCAATCGATTCATTAATTGATCATCACCATCATGAGGATATAGAATTATTCAATCCTTGAGGATATACCACCCACCCGCCCAACAAACAATATTTGTCACACTTACCAAATATTTTACACCATTCTCAGTAATAAAATGACAACCTTGAACATTGAGTGTGTGAAGTGTTTGTAATCCATAGCATGGTTCTCTACTATTAGGATTTTTCTTTGGAGTCATCAATCCATAACTTTTTTGATAGAGTTGAGTATAAAAGAGAATATTATAAGGAGTAGAAATTGGTAAATTAGCAGATTTGTGTGGTGTTCTGTTTTGAGCTCTATTGAACACTCTTTCTGACACATCAGTAGATGCAGTGGATGTTACCGAATAGACATCGTCATCTTCTTCAATATTTTCAGTGTTATCATTTTCATCGTCATTGAATGATTGAGAGTCCATATTGCTTGAGAACAGACTTGGTGATTCATCCAATGAATCCAAATGTTGTTCATAGTCAAAATTGAGATCATAATTGCCACTGATTGGGTCAATTGCAGGATTAGACAAATAGTCTGCATTTGAATAAATGTATTTGTGAGCAAGTTGAAGAAGACCCTTATCTGTAATTTGGAAATCTTCACTACTTCCAGTATTGCACAAATCCAATACTTCCAAAAATGCAAATTTTCTCACAAACTTGACAAAATCATCTTCTTTCAGTTTTCTTAGAGCACCTGCAACTTGAACCGTGTGAACTCCTCGAATCCACAATACAGCAACTGTTTGAATCAATCATTGAACAGTGTGTCATTTAGATCGAATCAACAACATCATCATCATTGCTACTACTTACATCTTTTACAAACAGTTGCAACATCTCTTGCCAAAAAGACAACAGGGATGTATTGAAATATTTTGATGATGAGATCGTCTGGTAAATCTCCATACATGTACTCGTAATCGTAATCCAATTCCAACATATCAATTTCCTTAATGACAGCATTGCCATCTTCAGAAAAGAACTTGGGTTTTCTTGTGACCTTATTTCTTTTATATTTTCTTCTTTTTTGTTGTTTCTTTGAGGATTTTCTTTCCAATGTCGATTGAAAATTATTTGGACTTGCATTTATCTTACTCGAATTGTCAAGTGTGACACTAATTTTTGGAACATCATTTTGAAATTTAAGAGGACGTTGTGTATTTTGATTTGAGGATAATATTGACAATGTCTTATTTGAAGGTGTCGATACCACTACTGATTCATTGGTTGTATGATTTGATTTCTTTACAGAATTTCCATTGGAGAGAAACAATCGAGCGAGGTGAGTGGTAGTGAGACTCTTGCGTTTCTCTTCTTTTGTGGTTGATGAATTGGATGATGAGGAGGAGGAACAAACGGATGCTCTAGTCTCTTGAGAAGTGATCGTATCACATGGAAGAGAAGATGATGTTGTATGATGGTGGTGGTGATTGACATTTGGCAATGTCCGATGAATGACCTCATGAATGTTTGAAGACGGTTGTGTCGGTGGTGGGACAGTTGGTGATGATGCATGATGGAAAGGATTCAAATGAGAGGAAGAGTTTGTATGTATTGTTACAGATGATGAAGAAAGTTGAGGGGTCACATTGGAGGACGATGCATGGGAAGGATTATGGGTTAACTGTGCTGTTGCAGAAATAGCACCACCACCACCACCACTACCCGTTGATGTCGGTTGTTGTTTGTCCTTGCTCTTTTTGAATGGAACGAACATTTTTTTTGTTTGACATTGCCCTTTTCGTGACATGTGTTCTGTGTTCTTCGAGTGGTGAGGGTTCCATGTTCTTCACCTGTGATGCTTTACTCTTGAAAATTGTTGATGAAAATTTAATTAACAATTACAATAAGAAGATGAGGCTGCTGTCTCTTGTGGCGTAGTAGATTCAGGTAGTTTTGTTTGACGTAGTGGCACCAAAAAGACATCATCTTTGTGAGTTGGTGACACGTTTCTGTCAGTACCATTAAATTCAGTAGGAGTTGAGGCAGAAGGAGCATTCGTGGTTGGCAGTGCATTGGCAACTTTTGTGAAAAGTGTTTTGATATTATATCCTGCCTTTGCACTTGTCTCCAAAAACATGATTCCGTATTCCTTTGCTTTTGCTTCTCCTTCTTCAATACTGACCTGTCTCTTATCGGAATCACTTGCAAGGTCTGTCTTATTTCCTACAAGCACTACGATAACGTCGTCACCTCGTTCAGTCCTTACATCCTCAATCCATTTCGCTGTATTTAAAAAACTCTGTTTACTCGTTATGTCATACACAATAATTGCTACTGATGAATCTCTAATATAACTTGGAATTAAACTTCTGAAACGTTCCTATAATTTTAAAAAATTTCCATAATTTAAATAATATTGTTCGTAATGCAAGGTCAACGAATCACCTACCTGTCCTGCTGTATCCTATTTCATTGAATTGAAAATTGATTCAGTTCATTAATTGGTATTTAAATAATTACTAGTGTGTGAAAAAAACATACCCAAAGCTGAAGACGAACTAAACATGAAGATGAATAATGTCTTTTCATTAAACTACCTACCTGTCCTATCTTCCAGATACATGGTTTTAGAAAGAAAATCTATACCGATAGTGTTCTGTTTCAAATTTTTCATGTTATAAGCATTCATTCTTGTTGGTGCACACTGTTCCATTTCGTTAAGAGACTTACATGATAGGTCGTATCAAAAGTATCATACATAAATCTGGTGATGATGGATCTATTTTCATGATTAATATTAAAATCATGATTGTAATAATCGGCATCATGAAAATAATAAATAATTGTTGGTGTCGTGTTCATTGTGATTCCGAAGTCGAGTATATTCATCAAAAAAACAAGATATCGGAAGAACAGTTCCACGGTTTGCACGTGTTCTCAACATATTGTTGTATTCCAACCTACGTTTTACCCACAGCTTGATCTCCGAGAAAAACAATTTTATACTTGTTGGCTGGTATGATGGCCACTGATTGTGCTGTGTTCATTTGGATGATGAGAAATAACCGAAGAAGAAAAAAAAGATATTTTTTTTGATGAGGACAGTGTAGTTGCAGATGTCGACGTTTATGTTTTGGAAGGTGGTGAATGGATTGGGGGTCTCATTGTTTAATAATACAATTACATTAACTTCATGTTATACAGATGGATGAACTGTGAGGATCATCAATGAATCAAACAACTTGGGTCATTGTTGGTCGTCTTGGGTATAAAGCCAGAGATTTTCACAGCATCAATTTCATACCAACTAATATTGTTGGTAGTGTCAATATCTAAGCGTAACACATTTGAGGCCTTGTTCAAAGATTTACAAAGATCTATGGGTGGTGTGAAGATTCGTGCTGTTGGTTGAACGACTTGAACATTCCCTTCATAAATTACTTCATCAGTATTTTTACAATGAGAATTCTTGGCAGTAATTTTGACAAGAGATCCTGGATTGTAAGTCTCAAATACTTCTACACTCGCAATAAACATGGGATTTGCAAATTGTAACTCCAAAAACTCATGGGTCTTTGCAACATTGATTTACAGTAATTACAATTATTTCAAACACACTTACTCCTTTTGATGCTTTGGGAGCCCATGCTGTTTTAATATCTCCATAATTTGGATACTACTCGCAATTATTAATATTCAATACCCAACAATTAATTATCATAGTTTGAAGTACTTACTGTATTACTCTCTCCAATCACATTTGATGCTGGCCATCCGGTATATTCTGACGAAAACGCAATGACACGTTGAACCCACTGACTTGTGTACTTCAAATTATCTCCATGAAGGATAACCATCTCCCAAATCTTGCTTGATTCTTTCAAGCTTTTATAAACGATATCACTTTCAAGTGATCTATTTTGTTTCTTATCTGCAAACGCTCTTTCAACGACCACGCAGGTGTTTTCTATATTTGTTAACAAGTAATTATGACAAAGTTCAGTAATTTCAGGATAAGAACACTCGAGTGAAAGTCGTAAAATGTCAACGACAGTATTGTCAGAAATGTTATCCTTAATGACCGACAAGGTCACACTGGAATCTAGTAAATATTGATTTTGAGCAAAGAACAGTGGAATAGCATCTTCAGCTTTGATATCTTCTTTTTCTAATAATCCTAAATAAATAAATTTGACCATTAACAAGAATATTTCATACTTCACATCTGAGATTTCTATTTCATAGATATTGTTTGATGAAAATCGATAGGGAGAGCTCAATTCTCCCCAGTCGAACATGGTCTATGAAAAAGTGAGCAGCAATGAAACGATCATTAATGTTTGGGTGAGTAAAAAAGAGCAAAATTTTAACTTACTTTGAAAAAAGCGCATCTTGCTTTCAGTATCGATGAATGAGCATAAATACATGGCCTTGTTGAGGATGGTGTGAGTGGCTCCTCCTCATTGGATCCCATGGTAAATACAATTTTCACATCAGGAGACGCTCTCTTGTCATACTTTTCACCCTTAGTACATGAATCTTCATAAATCTTGCGCATATCCGAATAAAAATCATCACTCAAAGAAGCAGATGTACATTGGTTGAATATTGAAAGAGCTACACTGCTTCTTAAATCGCTCGGAATGACTGAAATTATATTCATGGTTTGTTGACATGCATTTCTCAAGGAATCAAGGCCTAAAGTTTCAGAAACGTGATAAATTCCTGTAATTAAATCTACTGAATTTTTGTAGTCACAATCCTCGTCAGTAAACATTTCCTTTGGTATCAAGATGAATCCAGAATACAAATAACTAAACAAACTGTTGGCAGCACTTTCAGTGAGAGAAAAACCGCTCACGCTCGGAGACACATCCATAATTTCTTCTTCACTTTTGACAATAAATTTGTCTAATAGTTTGTGATCTTGAAGTCTATACCGCAATAAAAACTCATGGACATAGTACACCTTTGGTACAATTGCAAAAAGAGGTCTCTCTGGAGTTGAAGCAAGTAACCTTTTTCTAATAGGAAGTTTTAGAATTGCACAATCCGTGGATGGGCTGTTTGTAAACAGGGTTTTAAGATCTTCAACATATTCTGTATTCAATTTGGTTGTAATGCTTGAACGGATTTGAATATTTCCATCACAAATAATTCCTATCAATTTGATTGCATCAATTTCGCTCCATGACATGCTAGCGACACAATCCATGTCAATTCTTATTGTTCTTGTCACACATGCAAATGGTTTAATCGGTGGATTAAATATTCTTGATTTTTGAGGAATGGCATGTTGCTGAGGATCGCCTTCATACAAGACCACCCAATCGCTGGTGAATTCTAATGGTTTATGAACAAATTCCTCTTCGCCGTATTCCTTCTGATTGGGATCAATTGTTGAAGTTAATTCTTCGACAGGTTTAAGTGTATATTCCTTTTCAGATGGTAAGCACGAAACTCTAAACACTGCTCCAGGATTGAAGGTTTCTGTGTTTGTTTTAATGTTCATGAAAAATATTAACATGAAAAGTCTCTCATTAAGAACAAGTTGACACACTCAAACTTACCATAAATATGGACCTGAGTGACTAAAACGTTTTTTTCGAATTGTACGACAAGAAATTCCTTTGTACCTGATGAGGATTTAGGAGCCCATGCTGAGGTCATATCACCTTTTGAAAACAAGTTGATTAGAAAATCATCGAACTTGATATTGTGCACTTACCATATTTTGGAAAAGTGTTAGACTCTCCAATAACATTATCAGCGCTCCAGCTACTTGAATATTGAGATGAAAAACCTAAAACTCTGCTCGTCCATTGCTGCGTTTCATAGGGTCTGATCACAATTTGCTTTTCCACTTGTTGTCTCAAGTCTAGAACTTGAGATTCAGAAATGACAGACCAGTCATGTTGGCTCGTATCTTCAAGAGTGAACGACGTTGTGTTGAGTACTTCGGAGTGATCTTCAAGTAATTGTGTCTCATCATTCGATGATGACACCGAACTTGAAACTGATGATGAACTGTTTCCCATTTTTTTTTGGTGTTTCAAGTTCATCATCATCGAATTGATTCATTGGTCTCTCTCTGGTGGTGTTGAGGCGATTAAGGTCATTGTTTTATTGTGTCCACAATTAATTGGCTGGCTTAGTTTTTGATTTGACTGGCGATGGAATATTACAACGACCGAGCTTTTCCAATCTCTTTCGCAACAAGTTCCATTCTGTGAGTTCCATCTTTTCAAACAACAAACTCAATTTGCTCTCCGTCGAAGGATATTTAAAATCATAAGGATACTGTTGCACTATGTTAACACAACATCAACAATGAAAATGCAAAGAGCTTACCTTTGAGAAGGCTGTTTGAGCATATTTTAAAAGAGCTTCCTCAAACTATTTTACATTTAGTATCTAAAGTTGAAACAGTATATATACTTACTTTCTGATAAGAGAGGGATTCCGTATCGGCGTTTGAAAGACAGGATTTAAAAATTCCATACATATCCTTTTTAGAGATTAAAGGAATCAAATTAAAGTCAGTAGCAAGTTTGAGGAAATCATCTAAATACATTGTATCCTGTACTGATTTATAATGAACAGTGCTATTACTGTTGCAATAAAGAATGAACAGCTATAATAAAAGTATTAAATATGAACAAGCAATGCAAATGAATACGTACGCGTTGCAAATTTCTTCTAACAGACTCGAATATTCTTTCAGCAGTAGTTGCTGCTTCCTCGCCAATGTCACACTTAGAAGCTGATCCCAATCTATTTACATTTGGAAGCACGTCAACCAATAAAAACTGAGCAAATGCTTTGGAAGGTGCAAGGGTAGGTCTTAATTTGTTTGCAATTTCTTTTAGGCACTCAATGAATTGAGGGAATCCCATTTTCTGAGAATTCGAGGTTTTTGATGCATTGTTCGTGATTACCTTAATAAAAATTAAATCTGCAGATTCTTGTTTAAATCCATAAGTGTAAATATTTGTATCTCGTATGAATAACCGAAATTTAAACGAGCTCATCAAATCCAGGTTCAAACGATTTCCAAATGAGCAATAATACATGAAAATATTGTGCAGTTCAGCCTTAAGCTCGTGTTTGTTTTGAAGTAGATCAACGTATTTCTGTTCGATTTCTCTCGGCTTATTTGGTGTTGACTTGATGTCACCTTTAGTGTTGTTTGTGTTATTTGAGCGATTGGTTGAACGTGCTCTTTTTAAAAAGGTATTGTAACGGTTTCCAGAGAAGAAGCCAAGTGCATCGAAAAGCAATGTCATATGTTCTGCCATGGTGTTCTTATGTTTTGTTGCAAAAATATATATTGCTATCCTTCCTAGCGCCTCTAAAAATTGTGGGTAGTTTATCCCTTGGTCAGTCTTAGAAATTGAAGAGTCTTCAGAAAGAAAACAGCTATTGAAAATCGATTCAGCAACTGTTTTCGAAATTTTTTCAGGCACAAGGTCGAACGTTTCTGTGAATGACAAAAAGGAGTCGAGGGAAATGAATTTGTTTACGGCTTGGGCTTTTTGCTTTGAGGAATAAATGTCGAATATCTTTGAAAATTGATAAAGAAAATGATATAAGCACTCCCCAAATACGTACCTCTTTTAGAAAGGCCGAGTATCGTAAAAATAACATGATGCAGGGCAATGAATAAATTTCATTCATCACCATATCTTGTTTTTTGGATGTATGATAAGGCAATAAATAGTCTTCTATTAGCTGCTCAAGAGGTGAGTCTTGTGATGGAAATTTTAGCTTTGCAATTTCATTGGCAATTTCTCTGAACTGCTTACAGTCAATGCGATTATGTTGCAATGATGATGCTTCAATCTGATTCAAATCAGTGTTGGCAGTAATCCTAACAACAATGTTAAGAATTGTGTCCCACGTCAACTCATGTTCTGCGATTCTGCAATTTCCAATGCATTTGATGAGCGAGTCGACGGAAATAGTGTCTTGACCATTTGAGATTTGGTCGAAAATAGCATCAATAGAATCGGAAGTTGTTCTTGTTGTATCAATATCAGGAGTTTCATCTTCATCTTCTTCTATAGTAAACGTAAAATTCTCAAAATCTACAACGAAGCCATCATCAGTCTTCGCAGGCTCTTCACAAGACGGGGATTGGTGTGATTCGTTGATGGTTTCGACATTTTTTTCTGCTGGGTTCGGCTTCTGCTCCAGGTCTCGTGATGAAAGGGTTAGCGAAAGTAAATCAAATTGACGTCCATTGCAATCTTCTCCTCCAAAACAAAGAAGCTGTCCCTCTTTTAACCCCAAATAGGCACGAATTCTTCTACTTGGAATATCCCCGTCACATTGAATTTCGTTCCATTTACTTTCAGAAATATTTAAAATAAACAAATCGTTCAGCATTCCTTGTGGTCCATCTCCTCCAAAAAAGATTAAGGATTCATCGAGCTTGATAACCGAATGAAATGCACGAGCGCAAGGCCCGAAATCAATTTCTATCTGACTCCATTCTTTTGATTTTACGTCAAAAATATACAAATCATTTCTGTATTCCTGGTAATCTAAACCCCCAAACATAATGACAAAATTAGAGGAAATTAAAGAGGTTGAATGCCCATATCTTGGGGCCGGTTTTTCATCGTCCTTTAAATTTAATTTTTCCCATGAATTAGTTTCTATCATCAATACAATTCTTTCTAGATTTTTCTGTAACGCTTGTAACATACCTAGATTCAATTTGTAAACATCATTGTGAATAACTTCTGAGTCTGAAATTCCACCAAACAAATAAATGCAATTGTCAACAAAATTGCTCGAAAAATCTCTTCTCGCTCTTGGAATATCCTTTCCAGTTAATACAACAGTGGTCCATTTCATGTCCTCAAAAGTCAGAACGCTTAATTGCAATGAGGAATGTTCAAATGTATCAAAAAAATTGTTTTCTTCCTCCAAGACCACGTAGGACTTTGGAACTTCTCCGACTTCTCTTTCCTGAGTTATGCAGTACACGTATTCAATGTCATCCCCCTCGACGGGTTTGTTTGTATTTTCAAATACTGTTACAAGCTGTCCTTTGTCGAGGTGAAACCCTTCCTCATCCCTGTAATCTTGATTCACCGTTGCATAGAGGCCTGATTCCACCAAATTCCACAGCACAAACAATCGATCATGTTGATCAGAAATCAAGGGCAGATAAAACGATGATTTTGAGGGTGTGTTGCCGGACATCGGACATGAAAACCATTCAAAATTTCTTAAATTGAACCCAAATAGTTGATTTTGCTCATCTTCGTTCGACGAGCCCAGCACTAACAAATCCTCATCCACAAATTGAGCACATTTCATTTTCCAAGAACTGCCTTGTGATTCAATCTCTCTTCTCCAAGAGCCTTTCATTTTTTGCTTGTTGGTGTGCGTTCGTTGTTGTTGAGAGAGGGAACTTATATTTTTTAATTTTGCAATAAGGCTGTGTTAATGATGGGTGTGATTGCGAGATCATGTATGATCATAATTTCAGTTGCGAATTGGCTTAATGATTCAAACAATGATCCAAGTGATGTTTAGCAAGTTCCTTCTCAAGCCACTCTTTCAAAGGTTCTCTTGTGAAGGCATAACCATGAGTAACAAGAAAAGCCTCGAATCCCTCTTCATACAACCTCTTGATATTCCTCAGAATTTCAACCCAATCGTACAAGAAGAAGTGATAGGCTGGTTTTCCGTACTTTAAAAACCCACCTCCCATGAGATCGTTAATGATGGCTGCTTTCTTATTGTTAAGAACAATCGATATTCCTCCTTCAGTATGTCCTTTTAATTGCAATACCTTGCCATCAACTCCGAATTCCTCTAAACTCTCACCTCCATGAAAAAGAAGATCTGGCTCGAAGGGTTTAATTACCTTTCGATCTCCTCGAATTTTGAGAATTTTGGAAGCAAGTCCAGTGGGAAAAGAAGGAGCAGGATCACCATTCCTGAATCGGTCGGCTTCTAAAGCAGGCACTGCAACTTTGATATGAGGATAATGTTTCTTGAAATACCTGTTATGGTCAATGATGAATTTGAACAACCATCGATAAGGGTATGCGAAAATATGAAAAGATTGACAAAACAGTGGTACTCGGACTCTACTTACCATACACATCCAGCATGATCGAAATGAGCATGAGTAATAATAATCAGAGATAACTCATTTGGAGTGATTCCTGCAACTTGTTCGAGCTTTTCGATGAGTTTGAGCTCATCACCAATCGATGCTGTGTCGACAAGAATCTGTTGTATTTTCCCTTTCTAACTCTCTCTTCCTCACTCCATGCATGACACTTCACTGAAAAGATGTTCGTTTTCGGAGTAAATTCAATGGTGATAACCTCTCCATCGAGGACGTGACTAATCTTTTGCTTTTCGCTTAATTGAGAGTATTGACGGGGGTGTTCATGATGATGAAAATTTATCACAATATTTTGGTCTTTCGCTTTTTTTGCAGTTGTCTTGTGATTCCAGGCAGGCTGCTCCTTAGTTCTAAATAGCAAAGAAAACAGTGCGTAACGGCATTAGTACGAGCTTCTAATTGCGCAAGGATTTGAGCATGCTCTTGCGCAGAAACTAACTTTTCGAAAAGGTGTGAGTAGAAATTTAAATGGACGGACGGGCCCAAATATGGAAACTTGAAAATTCCAACGAGGACACAGTTGACAACCCCTTTCACTCGCACCAGAGGCATTTCCTATCCCATCATTTCCTTCAATCGTGTGAGGATGTAATGAAATACTTTCGAGAATAAATTTTGAATTGGCTTCACGGCATTGACATCATAATACCCATTATTGAGGGCATTGAACAAATCGAATAATAAGCCACTTTTCGTTTCTTCGTCGAGAGAGGCTGGATTGGAAATGTACTGTTCGAGCTCTCCAATTTTCAAAAAATCTCCATTTTCGACATTTACATCTGAAAGTTCTAACTGTTGAATGTACAGAGTTCGTTTACATCTCATGTCCATCACCCAATATATGGAATGGAGACCATCTAAACCACTCAATTTTTCAACTCCCAATGCTTTGAATTGAATATTATCTTCTGATATCAGTTTTATCACTGAATCTTCTTCCTTATTAGAGGTCACATGTTGTGTGGTCAATCTCTGTTTGAGTGATTCAATGAATTCTTCAGAGCAATAAATTCTTCCTCCAACAGAAATACTCTCAATTTTGCTAGCCTTATTCACTGTATTTCCAATGTAATCAATTCGTTTAGTGGTACGATCTTTATGAATTTCACAATCACATCCATAATGAACTCCAATGCGAACACGAGGACCTCGATAGACCAATTGCTCTTCATATTTCACTTCTCTCGTATCTTCATGATCCAAGAGTTCAAGAGGCCAATTGGCATGAAGTAAATCTCGTTGAACACTCAAACAAAAACCAAGAGCCAATATTGGATTGTCAAAAGCAATCATAAATGAATCTCCTTGAGTTTTACATTCATATCCTCTAAATCTTTCAATGTTCACTCGCATTAACAAGTTGTGAATTTCTAAGGCTGTTTTCATCTTCTCAGGAAACATGTTCCACAGCAAGGTTGAATTTTGAATATCTGTAAAGACCACCGAGATTGGTAATGTTCGTGGGGCAAATCTCATCCTCTTTTCTCTCTGTTTTTTCCTATACATGTAGAAGAAGAGTAAACTCACGAAAAAGAAAATATCACACAAGATTAATAGAACTATCACCGATCCAACAATGGTACCTATAATAATGGCATTCTGTTGAGGTTCTGACTTGGGAATCCATTGTTTCACAAGTGCAGTATTATTTCGAATCCATTTGCAAGCGGCATCCCAAAGACTCATATTATTCCAAACAACATCGCCCATCATTTCCACTTGGTCTTTGGAATCGTACGAGAATTTGCTGAAAAAGTAGGTCAAATCTTGACGGTTCTTTGCTGTGTAGGGTGTAATAATTTTTTTCAAAATCTCAGTAGGATAATCACAATCAATAAGACCATGCTGTTGATTGTAAACGGTCCAACAATTGTCACTATAGGCAGGTAAATAAACATCCTTCAATGGTAATAAGTGAAACAAAAAATGGGGATACCATAAATAGAAAAGAGCACTGTGTTTGTGTGCATGGGCATGCATTACCTTTCCAATAATTTCCTCTTCTGGTTCATGACTGTGGGCAAACTGAACCTCGAGTTTCAATTTCAAGTTACTGATAATTTGATTTTCATAAGAAATCCATGTGACCGACGGTCCAATAAATCTTCCAACATTTGAGGAAGAGTTTTCAGCCAAATATTTGGCGGCAGTGTCTGTTCGAAATTCTCTGTATATATCAATACCTGGGTACTGTTCCAACATGAATGCTAAAATAAACCATCCATGCTTTCCAAATACACCAAGATTACCTGCATCCACAAGTGATTTTTCAGTCTCCACGTATCTCCTAAGTTTTTGCGTGTTTCATTTCACAACAAGATTTTCAAATTTTGATCCACAAACATGTGTGTGAATATGAAAAGAAACCTCTCCATAAATATTTACAATTCAAGAACAAATGACTTACATGTATTCAAATTTTCGTGACAAGTACCAATACTCTAACATGGCATAAATTCCGTTTTGACCATTTTGAGCCATTAATTCTAAACCCTTCGAAATGGGTATCGGTACGACTTCAGCACAAATATTCATTTGTTCTTCTAACACAATTTTTGCCACTTGCACATTGACCATGGTGGCAAGATAGTCTCCTTGAATGAGATGAACTTTCTTTTCTCCATATTCGCATCTCACTTGAGGAACCAAACAACCTCCAACACGTTGTTGTTGTTGATCAGCAGCAGGAGCATGTGCCTCATCTTTCAATAGAACATCCTCATCATTTTGAATTTTAAATCGGGAGAGTCGATGCTTTAGTTGTTGAGCAAATCGTGGGGACATGGGGGGAGGTTCGCCCGAAACAAACACAAGAACATGGAATGCTACTCCGCAACTCTTAAACATGAATATAAATATTAATAAAATCCACAACAACAAGAGTAACCGTACACACGTCTTCATAGTGTTGTAATTCTTATTGAAAAAGTTTCCTAATAAATTCATTCCACTCGGCAGCAGAGGAGAATGGAGCATGTTGCCACATAGGTGCGGGTTTGTTGGTTGTTTCAATGTCATCATCATCATCACATGATAGCATAAAGATTGACGATGAATATATGATGGTCAATTCAAAATGTGTGACGGTTTCAATCAAGGAATGCAACAAGGCAACAGAGAAGAGGAAGAATGGTTTCGATTGAAGTCTTTTTTGTGATAAAAAAATCAAACCTTAGGTCCAACAATCCGCGTTATCGTAATATCACACGTGTGGTCTGTGGTGGCACTCTTGCTTTAAATCAAAATTATTTCCTTCCAAAATACCACCCTCCATAAGAAAAAAAAGGAAAAGTATGTTTTAGGTAAAGATAACGTTTGCCATCTAAGGAAGGTTTCTTACTCTCTGGAAATATTCACTCGATCGCTCCACTCCCATTCACCAACGTTAATCTTCCATTATTGGTATTTATCTGCTTCTTTTTCACCTATTTTGACCATCGTGTAGGATTTTAACCGCAATACTCCATTCTCAAAAAAGAAAAGATGCAACGTTTTACTCTTGAGCTATAGTATAGTTTCATCAATTCTTGCTTTTCTGTTTGATCTACATGCAAGAAATTATTTCAGTGGTCTCCATGCAAGAAATTTGTTTCCGTTTATAACTTATCATCAGTGAATATCAAGTTCGTTGAGATTAATTTTAAAAGACAACCCATCATTACTCATTGTTGTTTGCTATTTACTCGATTGATTCTAGAGGGAAAAGACAACTCGCGTATTGTTTACTCTGACAAGTGTTTGATTTTTTGTCCATTCTCTTCCCAATTTTGACCATCAAATAATTCAACGACATGTTTCACCAGTTTTGCACTCTCATCATCAATACATCTAAAATTCACAGACCATCCATCGGGATTTGATCGTGGTTTGTAGAAGGTACAAATTCCACACACAGGACAAAAGTAGTGTTTGGCCACATGTGTCTGAAATGAATAAGAATGGAGTTGTGAAAGTTCATTCGGAGATTGAAAGTTTTTCTCGCTCACAATATGATGAAGAAATCCTTTTCTTCTACACATTGAACAATTACAATCAAGGACAGTTAATTCCAAAGGAGAGTCCGAAGAGACTGGTTTCAAAGATTTTTGCTTGGTTTTGCATTTCATGAATCCACAATGGCAGGAGAAGGAGAGTTCGACTTTGTAATCTTGTTGTTGAGACATTTTTTGAGTGATCGATCCCTTTGGGTGGGAATGACTTTTAAAGAACCCACCAGGAGGCATGCCTTTGCTTCTTCTTAGGTCGACATAGAAAGGAGGAATACCTTTGCTTCTTCTGCACGGATGGCACATTGAGGATCCATGTACAATAAGGTGAGAAATGATGATCTTTCTCATCTCTTATTGGATGACTTTCCATGATGAGAAGCTAATACAGTATGACCTTGTCCTTCGTTGTCATTATTCAATGTGAGAACTTCACCTAATCGTTTGGAAATGAGTTTGAGAGATGTTTGAAGTTTCTTATTTTCATCACTCGAATTCTCATTCAAATACTTGAAAGGATGTTGAGCATTGCTAAATAATGTAATATATGAAGGAACAACTCCATACATGGATTTAACAAGAACCACAAAATATAATCTCGTGGAGGATGTGATTTGATCAAGATGGCACTGAGTCGTAAAGAGAATGGCTCCATTGTAAAATAATGTAATGACTCTGGACCATGCGTCAAAGTGAACACCCACTCGATCTCCACATAAAAATCTTCGAATGGCTTTTGTGTGTTGTTGTTGTAAAAGAAAGCATTGGTTTGTCATCCACAGGATCATATGTGTCATGAAATGGAATTCCATTAAAAATAAGATATAAAAATTAATTAATTGCAACAAGTTAAAACACGTACCAATTACATGCTTTCCTTCTTCATTACTGTAATAGCTTCCATTTTTCAAATTAAAACTTGTCTATGGTATAGTTTACAATAAGTGTCAAATAGGTGAGATGGAGAAATATTGATGAATAAAAAAGTAAAGAAATTATCATCATTCCACTTACCACTGTTTCCTTCTTTAAATCAATTGGTAAATCTTTTTTGTGATGCTGTTTCAATACCTTGATATTTTTGTTACTCATCACTGCTACGACTATTCCAGGAATATTATAATTCACATAATCAATCTTTTCTTCAAAGTCACTATTAATAGTTATTTCATAGTAATTGTAACATTTGGATAACCTTCGATCCACACCTCTGAGCTGAATGGGTTGCTTACAAATAATTGGATAGTAATATCTCGAGAGATTAGGATAAATATAACAAATACTAGCATCTTCTGAATAGCCAATGACTGGTTCTCCTTTTTCATTACAAATTTTGTGCTTGATATTATGGAAAGAAGAGAAAAGAGAAGACTTTTGTTTTTTGGAGAGAAGATTCAATTTGTGTTTCTCATGATGTTGTTGTGAAATGTGATTGTGCAAGGAAGGTGATGTTGCCTGTTGTGATTGATGTCGTATCACTAAATTCGTTTCATCATTCACACTCTTGATGGCTGCATCGAAAGTGGAGACAGAATCCTCATCGTCGGCGATGGTCGCTGGTTCTGATGAAGGTGTTAAAACAGCATCTGGAGTTGGTGGTTCAATAAATATAACATCTTCATCAAAATCATCTTGACTAGAATCTGAATCGTGATCGACCACAAATAAATCATCCTCTAACTTCCTTTCGAATAATAATAATTCATCGTCCGATTCGTCATTTTCCTCCAGTAAGATACTGGAAGTGTCATCATTGGTGTCTTCATCTTCATTTCCGATGGTGACACCAATTTCTTGTTGATTTGTGTTAGAAATAATTTCAAGTGATTTGACTGCCGTGGAGTTGGATTGAGCAGACGTATCTGCTGAAATTAATTCACTTCCACTCTTAGTTTTGATTTTGGTATACTTTTTCTTTTCAATTTTAAATGTTTTTCTTCTACCTTTGAGTAAGAGACACAAATCATACAAATTAAAAAATTCAAATTCAATTTCTAATTGTTCCATTAAACATGCATTATGAAGTGGTAAGGCAAATTGTCTGACATCTCCTCCACATCGTAAATAATCTAAAATATAAGAAAATAATTTGCCATTTCTATCAATGAAAATATGACCCTGATCATCACGTGAAAATTCAAAATGATCTTCATTGGAAAACATGACTGACAATAGATGGTCCTTTCCATTGATTTTTCTAGACAAGGTATCTTTGAAAGTGGTATATAAAACACCTCCCACATTAATGGTCATGACAGCACTAGACGATGATCCTGTCGATTTCCGAAATGATTGTAAAGAATCCAAATTTTTCATTATGGACGAGTGATAGGGTTGTGAAGTTGTGGATGATGATTTTGATTGTTGTTGTGTGAACACTTTTCCGAGAAGTGTTTTTTCCTTCTTCCTATCAATCGGTTGTGGTGATGGTTTGTCGTTAGAAGTTGAGGTCCTGCCTCCGACAACGGAAGAGCTGGATCCAGCTGTTGTTGTTGTTGTCGTAAGATTATCGTCGGTGCTGCTGCTGTCATGGTTTGGCATTTTATTTTGGATGATGACAAGTGAGGACCAGGAAGCTACAAGGAAGACAACTCTTCTTGGGAGAGCGTTATGTAAGGGTCTTGTTGAGTTTGGATCATCATTTCTGATTAGAAATACTCATAAGCCATTCTAATCCTTCATAGAGAGTTCCATCTTTGAATTGATCTGTTTCAACCATGCATGAATATTCTTCATAGCTTTCTCGTTGTATAAATTCATTCAGTAATTTGATTACTGGCTGCACGTCACTATTATTGCACAAATCTTGTCCGTAAATAATAAATAATATTGGAACCTGTGGTTGTTTGTGTGTGAGGGAGAAAATCAAATCAAGTCTATTTTTCAATTCCTCAATTTCTATTGAAATGTTTTTAGAGAATTCTATCGTGAAAATTAATCCTGATTTTCCTTTGATGTAGTATTTGTAAATTTCTTCATTGGTAAAGTAATTATTGCTCAACTCATAACAATTCATGTAGAAATTTTTAAATTCAATGCTGTAGGAATGCAGTGTTTCAACAGGTGATTCTTTGCTTGTTGCATCATCTCCGAATGATTTCCGAAATAGATCCTGCAATTCTTTAAAAACAGGTGGCTCATAAACATAGGATTTTGAATATTCTAACACGCAGTACTTGCTTTGTGGTTGAAACGTATCCATGATCCTGTAAAAGATGTGCAACACTGGATCGATCAGAAATTGAAACATTTTTTAGAGAGTCTGTGTTTCAATCGTCTTTTGGTGTGACTGAAAGTACAGATCTGCAAGCAAAACCTTGAACCTTCCATTTGAATCCAAGCCCTACTTGGTTATGGCATCGATCATCACCCAACTCTCCGCAACGAAGTTAGCCTTTGGCCTCCTCATCAATTATTCATGGCAACATCACCTTCCAGTACTTGCTGAATATAACTTTGGTAATATCTCCAAGCTCCAGTAATTAAAACAATTAATACAACAATCAATATCAATTCAATGAGAATAAAACTCGTCTCGAATTTGTTCGGAATCCACCATTGGGTAATATCTTGTTGAGCCTTATCGGAGAGACTCTGAGTAAGAAAATTCAAACAATATATACAATAATCAATCGTGGTCCACAATATTTCATGAAACCAATACTGAAAATAATAAATATATTTTTCTTTCATCACAAACACAATAAAATCCATTTCAATCGTTGCACCAATTTTTCATGTTTTTCAATCGAAAATAAATTTAAATAAAAAATAATGAAATTCAACTGGATTCGCCCTCACAGAGCAACATGGCATAGGAAATTGTTCCAAGCTTTTCAATCTAATATTCTCAGAAAATGCTTGAGGTTAAATAATTATCATTCGATCCATTATAGATCACTTCACTCTTCTCTTCATGCTCGGAATGAAAGCTTTTCTAATATCGGTGTTAGGAGCACGGATTTGAACAATTTAAAGCCAAACAATTCATATTTTGAAATTTCTGCAACACTCACTAACGATGGAATTTTATTTGAACAGTATCCATTTTGGCCAAGCAGCGTGAGGTCTAATCCCCTTTTATTATTTGATCAGATGAAACAAATAATAGTTATGGAAAACGATGACGGTGACACCTTATCTGAAATTAGAACCAACCATGACGAAATAATATTTTTAAGGAATAAGGTTGATTCAAAATTTGTGGAATATTTGAAACTGCGTGGAATTCCAATCATTGAACGGAAAGTTAATCTTTGGGAAGACATTACTGAGCCATTTCTTGACACCTCTGTACCAACATTGGATGATAAGAAACCACAAATCTTAACAATTTATTCTCAGATGAGTCCAAAAGATTTGGACTTTATCTATTCTGTCATCTCAGAACCTCTTTTTGCTTACAACTTTGAGACCATGCTTTGGGAAAGTGTATCTTTGGATTTATTTGATGTTTTCTGTAGTCTTGACAAGAACTGCCCGCTTTGTGTAAAGCCTCTTGGTGAAAAAGAATTCAAACAATTTTACAATTTCGCCAATAAGATTACCATCCAAATAGAAAACTCTGTAGCTTGAATATTTACCTCCATCTATTTAAACAAACCAAAGACCCATCTTACTCCCAACCACAAAATTCCAAACAATACAAGAAGCATAATCACATTCTTCAGTGGAGATCCTCTCATTTGCTTATGATCTTCATCCGTCAACACTCTTGAACTCTTTCCTAATTTACTCATCAATAGACTCTCCACTTGATATAAATCTGCACCAACAATTGTTGAAATCACCTTCCCATCTTGATACACCTTAAAGGTTGGCATGGCTGTAATTCCTTGTTGTGCAGCAACTTCATTCAATTCATCGACATCGACTGAACAAAACACCACATCATTTCGATATGCATCAGAATTTGATAATTTGTGAAAGAATGGCTTGCTTGCTTTACAAGGAGGGCACCCTATGGAATCAGCAATCAATTCATCATCAAAATATCAAAAATCAATAAAATTCAATAATTAATTTTCACAAAATAGTATTGATGATCGATATTTTGAAATTCATCATCAAATATTCTCCGTTGCCATCTTGATTCATTCGAAACATACACGTTGCAAAATAATCGACAACCACCAATTTTGATTCTTGTAATACTGTTTGACTGAATTGTTGTGCGGAGTGAATTTCGGTGACAGTCATTTTGTTTTGAATTTTTTGCGGCTAAATTGGATCCACCCATTCAACGGTGATCAGAGATTAAAACAAGAAACGATCGTGTACAATGAGAAAATTGTATCCTTCTGAAAATCCAAGTGGTCGATCATCTTGATCTCGAAGCTTGAAATGTCAAAATTAGAGAGAGTTGGTTTGGACCAAATATAATAACTTCAAAAAAGTTTACAAAAAAATGATACGAGCCTATTACGTGGCACTTATCGGTTCAAAGAAAGTGGCTGCTGATCGGATGAGGACCAATAGTTTGATTTTTTCATCATGTTTATTTACACTCATGTTACTGACCGTATTAATAACGTTTTCGTACGGATTGACTCCACAAACAAAAGATTTATTCTATAGCATTAAAACAGAGGAGATGAGTGGCTTTTCAGTTGAGTGGAATGAAAATATGTTGGACTCGAATGACTTTGAGCCAAATTTTGTTGTTGATGGAAAATTATTCTTCCGTGCTCATCAAACCGAAAATCAAGCAAGTACGGGATCTGGAAAAAAACAAATTCATTCATTGGACGCTGATGGCAAGATTCAAGTCTATGCAGGTGATGGCGCCGAATTAGAAAAGATCGAAATGATGTATTCAAGTGGAAACAAATTGTTTTTTTCTGCCAAAGAAGGTTTATTGTTCACCGTAGATATCTCCTCAAAAACAACATCTCCTTCGCAGTATAGTTTGTTGAGTTATTCGAGACAACAAGTGAACGGATACTATGTTAATTTTCTCAAGAGCAATAATACTTTGCTTGTTTATGCAGCAACAGCAACACAATCGATAGCACCACCACCTACAAGTCAGACCATTGAAATGGTTTACTTTCCACTAACAGTGCCAAATGGTGGTGACGCTCTCTCTCCATCATTATCATCTCAGAATGAATTGACGGTAATTGTCAACAATGGCACCAATAATGCTTTTTTCCAGCTCTCGATTGACCCTCCAACTACCATTACACTAAATGAGGTTGGTAAGTTGGCAGAGACAGACGAGAGTATGCCATTCAGTTGGTCCGAATGTGTGCTGTTTCATTACAAAAATCAAATTATTGCTTATAACAGGAGCAACAAAAAGTATAAGATTATTATAGATAGTATTCCAAACATACAGTTCCACTCATTCCAAAACGATGTCTATATTGTCGGTTCGCGTGGAGGAAAACTGCATGTTATTAAGAAGGATGGCACAGTAAGAACAATGGAACAGTTAACTCAAGTCACTGACTTTTTCGCTGTTGAAAATGGTTTTTACGCTGTTGATGCAGAATCGAGAGTTTTCAATGTGAAATTGGTCGACAATGACGTAAAAGTAACAGAAGTTAAACTCACTTCACAATGTGACGACTTGGATTTCCTTACCTTGAACAATGAAAATTTAATTCTTACATGCCGTCATAAAATGACCAAACTCAACAGTGTCATCAGATTTTTTAAAGACGAAGAATACCCACTTGTTGAGGATGACGGTACTTCTGATAAGGGAGGATGGACCTTTTTTATGATTCCGTTGAGCAAGGCAAATATTGAATTTACTTTATTGGCAACAGCAAATCAAGTCAACCCAAAAATTATCAGATTTACGTTGAAACCTCCTATTACGTGTCATGGAAAGAACTTTACGGATCCAACTGTCTGCAATGGAAAGGGAAAATGTGTCGCTAATGATGCTTGCTCTTGCTTTGGAAACTTTGATGGATCTGAGTGTGAAAAATGTAAACGCCAATATGAGGGTCCAAATTGTGAATTTTTCATTAGTAAGTATGAGAGCGCACGAACGAAACACGATTCACAATTTCATGCCAAATGTTATTATCTCAATATCATATATTAATCCTTTTTTAGTCCGTAAATGTTTTGGAGTTCCATACAATGATTCATCTGTATGCTCAGGAAGAGGAGAGTGTGTTTCAGAAAACACATGTAAATGTAGACACGAATATAGCGGCGATAAGTGTCTTCTTACCACATGTTTTGGAGTCAGCAGCAACTTTTCTGGTGTTTGCTCTGGACATGGTTATTGCTCAGATTACAATGTGTGTGAGTGTGAACACACATACACGGGACCAATGTGCGAAATTTCTGACAGCCCAGTTCCGCAAGCCAAACTCTATCCTATCATGATCACCTTTGGAGCTCTGTCTTTGGTCACAGTTATTCTGCTGTTGGCCATGGTTTTTTGGTTCCTTGGAAAGCATAGAAAAGAGGTAGGTTTTAATTCTTAGTTTCATATTTGGATGATGCTGATTAATTCATTCAATATTATCGTTTAGTACCTCGCAACTTATGGAAAACGAACTGTGGTGGCATCTGAAGATGAAGACAACTTGTTCTTGGATGAAATTGAGGATGATCAACCAGAAGCAACACAACGCGAGAATTCGAATAAGAAGTCACAAAACGAGTATTCTCTCTCGTTGAGCGACGAAGAATTGGAAGTTTACAACTAATACAACACGTTATTTATTCTTAATTAAAATCTAATTTATCTGAAGAATCGAGTCTTGTTTGAGGATGACTTTTATTAATTGTCTTTAAACAATTTTATATTCAGCAACAGTCAAATTTCTGTCCACAGAAAATCGTTGTGGAGAATCATCATTCACAGACAATACATCCTTAATCGCAACTCCAGAAATATTATCAGCAGAAGTGAAAGAAATGTCAACAGGGAAAAATTTAGACTCTTCAGCACGTTCGTTAACAGTAAATTCAATGCTTCCCGTTGGACATGATGAATCAATCAAATCAAAAGACCAAATAAACTTATTATGCTTTTGATCAATTCTATAAGTTCCAGATTCGGCGCTCTCAACTGTCACATTTGTGGTTGGAATAGGTACAGAGATTGCAACGTTCGACAGCTCAACGTTGGTATCCTGAAGAGTATATTCAATGCTCACAGAAGTTTCATTTCCAGATGGATTTGGCCAACAATTTACAGTAAATGGTAGAATTGACTCGTCGAAATTACCCTTTGAACGCCAGGTCAAAATCTTGAGTGGATTATTTGGTGGAAATGCTTTGTCTTTTCTTTTAAGTGCTAAGCAGTGCTCATCTGTAAACATTTTCTTATCAATATTTGGATGTGATGTTGAAACGAATCCATCTTTCAAATCATTTTCTAGCCGAACTTTGATAAATCCTGATGCACTTTCTGCAATTGTTAAATACATTTCTCCCTTGACATCCAAGCTATTCAATCCTCCTTCTCTGTTTGTCTCAACTTGAAGTGTTTCCTTTATCTCCACATGAATGTCCTCAACCTTAACTTTCTTTTGTGTTTCAACAATTTCGTTTTTAACTGGAGCTGTTGTCTCAGAAGGTTGAGCGCTAATGTCTCCCGTAGATACAAGATCATTCAAAAGCGAAGATGGTGCCTTTTTGTTTGGTCTATTCAAAATCATTTGCTTAAGATTGCTTGGCTTGGCTTGTTGTTTAAGATTCTTATTTTCCGATCCATTGGCAGATGAAAAAGAGCTGGTAACAGGTGAAGCTGTTACAACACTTGGTGAATCGACACGAGAAGAGTTAGAGCCAATACCTGCATACTTTCCTTGATTTGATGAAGATGGTGGTACGTATACATTGTCTCCTTGTCTTTGGTTCATTCCTCTCGAGTCACCACTTGAAATTCCGGAAGTATATTTTCCTCCATCCAATGCCAGTCTAGATGCGATTTCTGTGGCCTTTAAATTTGCTTGTGAGCGAGCATTTTCAATTTGTCGTTGTTTGATTGCCTCTTGAAGATTTTCTTCTTGTGATTCCATTTTCAGAATATCTTTGACTTGATGCAATGTTACAGATTCTCTATAGCCGAGTGAAACAATTTCATCAAAAGCAAACATTAAGTCAAAGGCATTGGAAAGAATTATATCTTCATTAAGTCCTGCTCCTGAGTTCCTTTGGTTGCTAAAGCAAATATCTTTAATCTTTTTTATATAGGGAACGGTAATTAACAGGTAGAATAAATTCGGATCATCGTGTTGTTGGTAGTAAATAGTTTGTGGATAGATTGGTGATGATAGTAAAAATTGTTATTCGAAAAATACATTTCGGATGAGTACAAACAATCGCAATAATAACGTACAATTCTCGAAAATAATTGTAATGTTTCCAAATCCTCTACAATATTACTCGTTTTTGTAGTGATCAAAACAAGAAATAATTGATCCAATGATTGATAGACATATCGTACTGAATCAGTTTCTACAAAGGTATGTTGAGACTTGGGGTCCATCAATTTTGGGAAGGCACTCAGCAAGCCCTCCAATCTAACTCTGGATATATCACGATATTGTCTCGCAACAAGAGGCTTGCCGACCTTTGAAATTACACTCACAGAAATGACGACCATGATGATGACGATACTGATGATGAAAGAATTTTTTAAAAATGAGCCACGTGGCTTTTATAATTACATCAATTTAGTATTCTCTGATATCCTTCCATGTCACCAATTCTTTGTAAAATTCCAAGTATTGTGTTTTTCAAGACAACATCATTGTCGTAGAACTGTTGGAATGTTTTGTCTCTTAGACTCTTTGGTAGACATTGTGTCAATGCTTCTCTAGCGTTGGTATGATCTGACAGCCTGTAGTAACATCTAATAATATGTTTCAAAAGTCTAAAAGATGGACTATCATTCACCATGTTTCCAAAAACTGTACAAACAGCATAAAAACGCTCAGGAATGGCACATATGTAATTTAAACCTTTTTCAAAATGCAGAATCTTTTGGATAATAAATGTAGCGACTGTTTGAGAAAGCTCAGTCCCACTTTCCATAATACGAAGACAAAGAGGAATAATTTCAGTTGGAAGTAAGAAATTAATTACATCATCTTCATCAGATTTTACCAGTGCTCCAATCACACCTAGAGATGTTAATCTTAAATATTCAAAAGACTTGCTTTTGGAGACAGTGTTTAGGAAGGGATACATGAACAATGGGATGTGGGCTAAAAACGATACATCAAGAATAAACAAGTAATAAATTTAAATAATAATCGGAGAGAGAATCAAGAATAGAAACGTTAGATCACATGAAAAGAACAGATAATGCATACCATTTAGAAAATAGGGACGTGTTTCCGGATGGGAAGCTACACATTGTAGTAAAGCAAGTGCGTTACAAACTCTGTTTGAAGCAGAAGAAGTGAGGGTTGGTGGATCTAAAAGATCATAAACCGAAACAATTTCCTGAAGCAAAACAGACATAACACCTGTTGAAAACCACAACACGGGAGCTAGATGAGGAAACGAATCTCTCCGTTTTGATAATTCAATCAGAGCGTTCTCTCTCGTTCCATGATTGAGTAAATCTACAATGTATTGCATCAATTCCGCTTCGGCATTTGCGTTTGGTTGATTTTGTTGGGGAAATCCCTGATGATGAAGGTCGAGCATTTTTTAAAGTTTCAAGTCGGAATTGGTTCCTTCGGCCAGTCACTTTAGGTTGTGTTTTAAATCATACACAAGAGAAATACTTTAATTATTACTCAAAACTGATGATACAAGTTGTCCTCGTAGTTAATTTCATATTCTTTTCATGTTCTTTTCATTTCCCTTTTTCGAAGATTGTAAATTTCAAAAAATTATCAATGTCGTCATCTCAATCAGACAAAACAAAACACAATGCTATCCCATCATCGTCATCCATCGTGAAACGAACTCATTCAGAAATTTATGGATTTGTTGGATGGACCGTTACCTTTGCAATTCTCTTCTTGTATTTTGTATATTCCTTTGTTCCTGAAATTTGGTTGCATAAAATCGGGATCGCCTATTATCCCGATAAATACTGGGCAATGAGTATTCCTGCTTTTCTCTGTATGATATGGATGGCTGGCTTCTTTCTCAATTACTTTTACTTACACTATAGTGCCTATCCATTGGATGATATTCGATGCATTCAAGATGAAAAAACAAATTATTTAACGCGACAAGATATTGTAATTGGAACCTATAGTGCAGAAGCAGATCAAGAGAACAGCAAAAACTCCAAAAAGAAGAATTATTCACAACATCATTTGATAGATCACACACAAGCAGATGAGATTATTCTTGATGAATATCCAACGGTTCCTATTGTGAGGGATATTCCATTGGATCTTGTGAATGAATTGTTGTTTGAAAATTAATTTGAATATTGAGAAAATCAACTTTTTAGTTTCTCACACGCAGATAGGTTCAAATTTTACAAACCAAGAAGTTTCTTCTTTTGTTGTTGAAATTCACTTTCTGAAAGAATTCCACGATCCCGTAATTGACCTAATTTTTCAAGCTGAGCATAGACATCTCCTGATTTTTCAGTTGTTGTTTGATTTGATGTGTCTGTGCTGGAGGAAGGCACAGAGTATGTGGTAGTTTGTGGATTAGATTTTGAAAGGTATCGTTTTTGTCCAGTTTGTGGATCGACAACAAATCCTGCTCGATGAGTAGATTGAGATTCGGTAGCCCCTGTTGTTGTTTTCACAACTTGTGTTGTTCCAAATTTGTCATCAGCTTTTCTTTGAACAATTTGAAGACCTTTGCCTTCTTCACGTTTAATGAGTATGTATGGTCCCTCTTTTTCAACATTGAAAGGTTGAATCGTATCAATACCTCTAATTGGAATTAAAATTCTCACATTGACTTTGCTGAGAGAAGACACATCAACTTGTTTGGCAACGTGACGTTCCATGGTAGTGATATCTTGTGTGGCTTTGACAACAACACTTTCTTCTCCTGATGACGTGATTACTGACAATTGGAAAGGGAAAGGTTCGCTGGCATTGATATTTTCAAGACAAAACGTGAGATCGACTTTAGGCATTTTTTTTAAAACTATTGAGTGTACCTCGTTGACGAGAATGAATGGAATGGATTGGTTTCTGATGGTGACTGGTTTCTTTTGGACTCTTTCAACTCCTTTTCTCTCATGAGGCTTTTCGTGAGAGGAAGAGCTCAATGTACAAGTACATGAAAAAGAAAGACTGAATTCTGAGGAAGATGACCCTGAAATGTGAGAAAGACTCTCCTCACTTGTAGTATGCTTTGTATCCCCTTTAGGGGATGATTCAGCTGATTGACCCTTAGACACTACAGAATTGTATTCCATGATGATGAATGGAGACATTGTTTGGTGGGGCAATTCCGTTTGAGATGAATCGTTGGTTACAGAGTTTGAGCATAGACTAGCGCAGCTTCCCATGATTGCTTTGTTTGATTACTTTTTTAGAGTATACTTTGAATTCATCGTCAAAGCTCGAAACGGAATCTTACAAACTCGAGACAAAGATAGCCACAACCCTCAAACTAACGATTCCCAAATCCATTTATCCATAAATTCCAGATATGAGCAAAAAGAATATTTCCTTCCTGAATAATCCAGCGAATATTCGAGATGTTGTGTCCAAGGACACAGCCACACAACAAAACATCCCTCTTGCCATGAACGAGTCTTTCCGGAACTCTTTTGGCAAACCACAAAATTGGAACAACCAATCTGATTTTAATCCCTCGCGATAAAATTAATCCAAAAAAACGTCCTTGCGATAGCGAAACTCCCAACCGCATTCCTCCTCCAGCACGGACAAGTTGTTTGAACTTTGGACACAAAGATCCTTTCACACTGTCATCAGAGAGAACAGAAAATCATTATGAACCCTCATCAGCATCAGCATAATCATCCTCATCCTTTTGCACCAAACTATTCAAAATCGTACCCTTCCGGTTTTTCTCATCAATATTATCATCACAATGTAAATCCTGAAGGTGGGAGTATGGCAACAAGCACCACAAATCCTCCTCATCATCATCATCAACTCCATCCAAGTGCAAATACAACTCCATCCGCAAGTTTGTTATCGAATTACTCTTCATCCACCGCAATGTACGTTCCCACTTCCAATACCAACAACAACAATAATAATAACAATAACAACAACAACACTAACGGAGGATATCATTTTGCAGCTGCTTCGATATCCGTGCCAACAAATCATGAAGGTAGATCAAATAATAATAGTAGCCCTTTACCTCGCTCATCACCAACGACGTATTATCATCAACATCATATGGGAGCAACAACCACTCAACAACAACACTCATCCTCGCAAAACAACAATATCTATCACACCAATAGCTTAGGAACTAACATCAACAACAATACTACTAGTGCGCCTAATAATAACAATAATAGTAGCATCTATCAGCATCAGTCCTTTGGAAGATCACAAGGCTTCGATCAAGCAGCATTGCATCCATATACTTCACCTTCCGTACTTCCATCATCATCCTTCAATTACTACAGTACAAATAGTAGTGGTCATGGAGAGGTAATAACGACTAGCAACAATAACAACAATAACAACATCACCACTCAAAATCAATTTTCAAACAAGACATTTGCAAATAGTGGTGGATCTAATTCTCAATTACAATATAATCAACCAACCATTAATACCTCTTCATCCAACGTTGCATCAAGGAAATCTTCTTTATCATCATCAACGCAGAATCCTTCTCCCACAAAATTCATCCAAATGCAAATACCTGGTAGTGCGACAACCCAAAAAGAATCCTCTCCGAACTTGCTTAAGAGGACTTCTCCCTCTTCAGCCTCTAAAAACGTTGTACAACCATCTTCGCAACAAAGTGATCATGTCGATTCGATGGAAAGTGGTGGCGATGAAGATGATGTTTCTGCATCCTCTCCTCGTAGTTCAAATGGAACTGGTAGACGCACTAAAAAGAGCACCCGAGCTTGTGAAGCTTGTCGAAAGCATCATAGAAAGTGTGACGGTTCCTCTCCTTGCAAAACTTGTGTGGGCAAAGGAATTGAATGTATTTACACGGAACGAAAAAAGAGAGGCCCTAAAAACGAGGCCTCCAAACTTCTTAAAAAAGAAATTGAGGAGCTAAGAGAGCAACTCCTTCAAACACTTGAACAGCAGAAAGTATGGGAGCAACGATATAACGAGTTACTAAGGTCAGCTTCAGTGGGGCAGGTTCAAGGCGCCACCTTTGTGCCCACAAACCATGAACAACCTGTTTGTGCAGCCACAAATTCACAGCCCTTTATTCTGCCATCCTCTAACAATGCAACTTCAAACCCAACTCAACATGTTGTCATTAATAATCTGTCTCAACCACTAACAGTAGAGAATAATTCTCAGCATTTCCCTCAGACATTCAACCCTTCCATGCCCAACTTTTCAGATCAGCAACAACAATATCATCAATTCCAAGAACTAATCTGGAGTAACAACCCATGCACAAGTACAGCCAATTCTAAATCAGTTCAAATGTATTCCACTGCAGCTTCATTTGAAGATGTCATGAACAAAAAGAGAAAATACGAAGCCGAAACAACAAACATTGAAGAAAATTCAACCAAGAAAGTCAAGAAAACTGGGAATGTTGACACAACAATTGAAGAATTGGATCTAACAAAAAAGAAAGCAGTGAGTCCAATGCGTTGTGAGGGACAACATTTCGCCTTATGCTCTATGGTTACCCGTTTTGTTAATGTTTGGGACAAGTTTGTCCATCCATTTCATTCTCTATTACCAATGAAGTGGCAGTCAGCCATGCCCGATCTTTTATTTGACATTATTCGAAATGATGGACACCATTCCGAAAACTCTTTATTTATGTATAGCTTGCTTTGCAACTCTGCTAGATCAATTGGTGACGTTTCACTGAGTAGAGATCTTCATCAAAGGGCTGTGCAGTTATTACCACTTCATTCCGAAAGCAGTGATCCACGAGTTGGGTTTTCTTTAGTGTTACTCGGGTATTATTGCATGTCTGTAGGTTCACTTAAAAAAGCACTTGATTATTCCAAGAATGCTCTACGTGTTGCATATGCATCAGAAAGACCTCCTGAAAATCTAATCATGAACGCATATCTCGCAATTGGGTCAATATCTGATGACTATGAAGAGAGAAAGAAAAACTTCAAGCAGCTTGCAAGTACAGGTGCTGTTTGTGATGTCTTGCTGGGTGTGTCTGGGGAAGTCCAAAATGAAATCACTCATGGTGGAAACGTCAGTTACAAGGATCTAATTGCAAGAATGACAGATCTTCTTGTCTTGAAGAATTTATCTTCTGCTAACGTTTCGCTTATGCATGAGGTTGGAGTTTATGGTATTTTAGTATTGTGTTTACACAAGGCCTGTTACAGAGATTTGGCAATTAATTATGGAAGAAAATTATTAGAGCTTTCTAAAGATGCAAACTTTAAGCATTGTTGTATTGGTACCACATCCACTGCCATTGCTCAAGCTGCTAGCATGTTCTTGGACTTTGAATGCTATCCTGAATTTTATGAATGCATGACGATTATGGATGAACTGTCCATGCGCTTTGAATTGGCTGGAATGATGAAAGCCAATGTTCAAGAAAGATTTTCAGTGCTGAGTAATCAGCTTGCCCTTAGCTCAAGTGGTAGTAGCAACTCTTCTCTTAGTCCAGGAAATATGATTGGAAATTTCTTTGAATCCTATTATTAAACTAACTTTTTAATTTGATCAGAAGAACACTTTAATCTTTCATTGTTAAGAAGAAAAAATTCATTCCTGATTCAAAATTCAAACCACACAGTTTTGAACGGGCACAAGATCTCAGCGAAGAAACATTGTGAATGCTTACTACAAGAATGCATTCTCTGAGAATATTCCTCTGAAAATCACGCCAAAGGATGCTCTGTCCGTCAACTTTTGTTTCAACTCCTTGTTTAAGTGATCACAGTTCTTAATTTTAAGATAATGAAGTGTAGTGTTCTTTGTAAGACTATCAATGGTTGCGTCTGTTAGTGGAATGCTAATTACACTGAGTTGCTTCAATGTTTTGTTTTCTTCTCCAATAATTCTTACTACTTCCTCTCCTCTAAGAGCGTCAATGCTGATATAAATAAGTGTCGTATTATATCTCAACAGCTTTAACGACTCGTCCGTGATATTGTTCATTTTCACTTTGAGTTTTCTGATTTGTTTGTTGGATAGAAGTGCTTTGGCTCCAATGTCACTAATGTTACACATTGTCAATCCAAGTTTAACTAGCGAGGGAGGAAGATTGCGTAGCAAAAACATAACTCCAGAATCACCAATAGCCTCGTTTTCATCTAGCTTCAAATGGCGAAGACATTTGTGATTTCTCAATGCAGCAGCTAATTCAGTGTGGTTGTGTTTACAAGCAATCCTGGTTTGTTTAACCTTAAGAGCCTTCAAGTTGACACCTTGTTTTAACATGAGAGCTAAATAGGAATCATTAGCCTCTTGAAATCCATCTAATTCTAGAAATGTCAAGCTAGAAAGGCAAAAAGCCTTACAAGTTTCAAAGTTAAGAGAGCAATAGTCGCTAAAACCATCAATAACAAACTTTTGAAGACTTTTTAGCATGTTAAAATTGGTAAAACCTGTAGTATTCATATGAAAGGAGTCACATCCTCCAATGATTAGGTTCTGTAGCAAATCCATTCGTTCAGATATAAGTTGAATATCCTTATTCTCAAGGTTAATGTCTGAAAATATCAGTTCTCTGATTGATCGACTGCTAGAAATAGATTCTGCTACCTTCTCTCTGTTAGGAGCAATGAAACAGTTAGTAAGTGAGAGCTTTTTCAATGAAGTATTATTTCTAAATGCTTCACACGAGACATTATCATCAGAAAACTGAAACCCAAACAAGGCAATCTTTTTAAGTGATTTCGATTGAAGCAAATCTTTCATATTGAGTTCATAGTATCCAGAGGTGCATTCGAGGTGCAATTGTTGAAGATGCTTATGAGCAGCTAGGCCTTTCACACAAATGTTGTATTCCACAACATGTTCTCGTGAGAAGGAGTGTTTAAGAATTTGAAGCTTGGGAAAACTGGTACATGCGTACAAAAGAGAAACAGCATCAGTTGCCGTTTCCAGAAGATTTAAATAAGTTAAATTGGGATAAGGGTAGGCACCATGCATTTGTTCAATGGTGGGTAAGTACTGTTTAAAACCAGCAGCAGAGAAGTTGTGGTTCTTACTGAAATCAAGTATTTTCAAGCTGTTGTGTTTGAGGGTTTCCATTCCTTGTTTTGCCACTCCAAAACATTTCATTTCTTCACCACTCAGGTTGCAATCAGAAAATTTGAGAGAAATAAATTTTCTGCTTCTAAATATTAAATACTCAAGATTGTCAGTAAAACGAATGGATTCTAAGGGACAGTGTGTGGAGGATGAATTGGTCAAATGGTGAATAGGAGATTGAAAGGATGTGGATGACCCTTGAATCGTGTGATTATAGCTGCTATCACTTTCAGAGTGATCTTCAAAGTGATGATGGGCAGGGTCTTGACAATGAGTTGTAAAGTCCAAGCAAGGAAACAATAAATGGATTGTTCTTGTAGAATCATGAGAGAAATAGCCAAACAGTATTTTCATCAAGTGTGCTCCTAGTTGGCGAGAATGTTCGAACTTTGACATATCAAATGGTTGAGGCAATTCTTTGAACTCTACGTATTGAAGAATGGGTAGCTCAACAAAATGTAAAATCAACAACTTGATACAGTAGGGAAGACTTTTAACAAGATGACCCAAAGTGGTGAGTTTTAGTTTTTTGTTAGATCTCTCCATACTGCTTGGACTGTCACAATTCGATCGAGAGGAGGGAGGCGTGGAATTGATCACTGATTGAGAGGATGAAGTTTGAGAAGAGGATGGTACATTGGAACACCCAAAGAGTGAGCCAGAGTCGGTTAATGGAGTAGAAGAGGTGGTGGTACAAGAGGTTGTTAAAGTGTGGTTATTGGAAGTAAGTGATACATGAGAGTGGCAGTGGTTGTGATTCTTCGTTGGTGGAATGGTTGATGATGTGTTACTTGTAGAATTGCCTAATGAGGAAAGAGTAATAGTATTGCTCATCTGGAGAAGAGACAAAGCAGTTGTTGAAGGTACGGTTACAGATATGGTCACCTGGTAAGGGTTTCTGATCAGTGAAGAGGGAAGTATTGTTGTTGGTGATGGGCACTTTGGATGATGCACACTGCTACTACATCCATTGCTACCATCAAAAAGAGTCGTTGAGAGAGAGGAGGATTTCATGATCTGCCTCAAAACGGATTGATATTGTTGCTGGAAAAGGGATGGGTTGACCAGAAAATCATTTAAAAGTCTAGCACCGGTAGCAATAGGGTCATTGTTATTTTCCAGTAACCTGTTATTGTTGTTATTACTCTCCGTAGATAGGCTGTTCTCGGCAATGCTGTTGTTAGTACTCGGTGTTGCATTGTTGCTCATCGGCGATGAAGACGATGCAGGCGGATAGGAATGGCTGGCTCTTTCTCCAAGATTTCCTCCAACAAAATGTTCAAAACTTCTCTTCATTTCTGAATACAATGTATTGATTGCTGAAGAGATTCAAAGAGAAGTTGATAATTCACGATGAAATAAAGAGCCCGCACAGGTTTGAATGGAAACCGTTGCAAAAAATTGGTGAGGTTCGGACAGAATTTTTTTCTGATTGGTACCGACTCGCATTGGCAAAGCTTTTTGTTTGGGTGGTGCATTCGAGGTCGCACCTGAGAGGTTTGATGTACATTCTTTAGTGTCTGATTCTGTGACAAAGGGAACAGATGATGGAGCAGGTGGAGGGTTGTGGAAGGTGGAACAAACGTTTTGGGAAACAGGCAACTCAGTTTGAAGAGTTGACTCTGAGGGTCTTTGGTTCTAAGAATAACGCAAAAATAATGCCTCTCACCACCCTTCGACAAATCATTTCTGGATGCTTTACTCTTTTTACAACAGGAAATCCAACATTCTATGGGCATATCACTTTTGGAGTTATTGGAGTCTATTCCATGCATCTAGCATACAAAGGGCTTAAGAATATTTATTTAAAGGTCTCGGACCGCTTGGAGGAAGCAGATAAATTGGAGAAAGAGAAGCTTTCAATCGCTCAAGCAGTTACTCCATACAGATTTCCGAGCAGTACCAGACCTCCCATGATAAACGCCCCTTTTCTTGAACAACAAGCCAAGAAAATGATTTTACAGCAACAACAAAGCAAACCATCATCATCGGAATAATTCATCAAAGAGAAAATTTAGAATATTATTATTTTACTACACAATGCTTCAAGGCTTTCTTGTCATGATGGTATGAATTTTCCAAAGTATTGAAATGGTCGAATTTTCAGATTCTATTTGGAATGCCTTCATCAAGTCCAATTTGAAATTTTCGAGAAGCTTCATCTTGGCCTCTTGTCCATTCTTCTTTCCGTAGAGCTCAATGGCTGACCAAGTGCTAACATAAGAAATGTATGCAATTAAGGGCATTTGCTTTCGATAATCAATCACTGTTCTTTTGTGATGTTGTTTGAATGGCATTTCCTTTTCAATGGTTTGATACATGTCATCCACATGCTTTCTTCTCTCTGGCCAATATCCTCCATTCCACATTATTTCTTGATAGAATTGATTTAATACCTTTGTTGCTTGCTCGCCATTCTCTCCTTCAAAGGTATTCAAAGTGTAGGTCCATGCAGCAAACAAACCATCAGATTTTAATAATTTTTCGACTTGCTGAAAGAATACAGGAAAGTTAAACCAATGGAGTGACTGAGCTACAATAATTAAATCAAATTGATTTTGAAAGGACTCTATGTTCTGATTGAGTAGAAGTGGATCGACACTGTTTTCCTTCTCAATGGTTTCAATCAGATTTTCATCATTGCCAACCAAGAATCGATAAATGTCAGCTGCTTGACTGGAAGACTGTTTTTGTTTGGCTTGTTTGATTTGACCTTCACTCGGATCAATGCCAATGATCAATTGTGCATTCTTTCTTAAAACATCATTCAGTGCGGCTTGTCCTGAACCACATCTACACAGATAAGCAACAATAAAAACTGTGAAATAAACCTACCCAACATCGAGAATGAACAATTTTCTATCATTTGATTTTCCAACAGACTCCTCTTTCAGAATAGAATCGAAGAGTTCTTGTGGATAATCAGGCCGATATTGCGCATAAAGTTCCGTATGTTTTTCTCCTTTGAAGAGATCAGTATTAGCCACTGTTGTTGTTTTTGTGTTAATCATTCGATAATGATGTTTCAGGTGCGAGGCGAAATGGTTTGTGCGTTTGGAGAGAAGATAAATTAATGATCGGGATTTTTGTTTTGAAAACATAGCAATTTATCTTTTTGATTGAAACAATTTTTCTCAATAAATATTGATTGATCAATTAGATCTACTCGGAATATCCTCCATTCCTCAGCTCGGGTGCCTGGACAATTATTGCTTCTTATTTGATTTACAATTCACATGTCCACATGATTTACATGTACGAACTTGTTCACTTCCGTTATATTTCTCAATAACAGGAACCAACTGTTTCCCCAAATCATAGCAATAAAATGTTTCCTCATACACAATGGCATGACAATTTTCACAATACCATCTTAAAGCATCAAGACTATCTTTTGGACGCTCCATCTCAATAACTAATCCAACTGTGTTTTCAAATCTTTGAGGACTGTGAGGAATTCCACCTGTCCAAAGTGAGATCATCCGAGAAGAGATGGATCCGTATATTTCCTTCAAGATCAACAACAAAGAACCTACCAGGCAAGACAAACATTTCTCCTTCCTTGATAGGAATGTCTTTAAATTCATTGCCATTCAACACCACTTTCAAAATCATGTCTCCCTTCATTTGATAGAAGAACTCTTCAGTAGTATTGTAATGATAATCCGTTCTTTGATTTGGTCCTCCAACCACCATCACTTTGAATTGGCCCTTATCAAAGAGCATTTTGTTAGAAACGGGAGGAGTTAATTGGCTCTGATTTTCAGTAAGCCATCCAGCAAAGTTTATTTTGGCATGATCGGGAATGGGAAATGAAGTGAAGGTGGACTGTGATGATGATGGCAATGATTCGGGATTGGATGATGTTTGCATTTTTTTGCCTTTTTTAGCTCATTTGACAGTTGCAAAGGCTTTTCAGTGTTTCTTTCTGAGAGTTTCATTCAAATGTAGTCGAAATATAACAGAAGAAATTGCAAGAGTATTATATCGACTTTGAGAATTGCAAGCAGGTACAGGCTCATTCAAAGAACCAATTTTGAGTTCATCCATTGGCATAGAAGTGTTTCTTCTTCACCAATTTTCAAATTGTTCAAGTTTTAGTGTTCAAAAGGTCTTTTTCAGAAGGATCTCGTGTTTCCTTTCCTTACAAAAGACGAATAAGAAGGTCTTATTACTCCCATGTGTTGGGATATTACACTCTAATTGAATGAGCAATCGATTTAGGAACCAGCTGAGAATTACAAAGTCCATGAGTTTGAATATATATCCTTTAAAAGGATACTTTCAATCCAGAACGCAGTAGAATTTTCAAGGGGCATCTCCTTTTCGAAGCCATTTTCAACCTTCCATCGAAGTTTCCCAAACAAACCCTGAAAAACTGATTCCAATGTGAAGATGACACATTCTAGTCAACCAAAGATTTTTGATGAAAAAATGTCTGATTTGGAACAAGCTTTCAATGCTGAGACTCATTACATTCCTGCTACATCCCGATCGGGTGGTTCAAACGAAGTTGTACCACCTCAACCAACAACAACAACAAACACTGGTGGTGTTCATCATTCCATGTTTGGATCTGATCGATTGAAACAATGGAAAATTGCTTGCACTGTGACTTCCTTGTTGGTCACTATTTTAGGTAGGTGTCAGGTGAGAACAAAATGAATGATAACCATGTGTTTGATGAATTATTTGATTGTGAAAATATAAAATGGTATTTCATTATTCATAATATGATATGGATAACAATGTGTTATTGGTGCCAATGATGAAAATGTCTCATGGACCTCATCCAATTTAACCATTATAATAATCGTGTGTGTGTGTGATTTTCAATAACAACACAACAAACGATTTTTCAACTTTCGGAACTAAACTGCCACCTGTCACACCGGTGTAATGATCCATACTACCATCAATCAACAACATCAACAATTACCCAAACAATTACTTTCACACATGTCATACGCATTTTCTCAGGTGGTATTCTCACTCTTCATCATTTCATTGCCATGATCGTTTGGTATGCAAAAGAAGTGAAAATATTTGGTACTTCCAATCTCTTTCTCATTCCAATGAATATTATTGTTGTACTAATTGGTTTGTCAGGTCTATTTGGAGTCCTAAAAGACAATTTGGAAGCACTTAGAATTCATGCTTATGGATGTGTCTTTGGTTCCATCTTTTTCTTCTTTGTGTACATGATTCATCAATTGCCAAGTTGGTTTACTGGTTTCTCTTCATTGTATTATGATGGTGCAATTTCATTGGTGTTTTATGTGTTGAATATTCCAATTGGAATTATTGTCTCTGTTGTTGCTCAGGTCTATATGAGATGTTTTGAGAATGCAATGCAATCTGATCAGAAAACAAGATTACCATCCTCTGGAATGGGTCATTTCTAAATGAACATTGAAATGATGATTCAATCACTCTTGTTTTATTTATGAGAGAGATGCATCACCACTAGCTAGTGGTGTGTGATTGTATAAAAACACACATTCTAGAAGAGTCAACCAATCAGAGAGAATAAATATGAATTTTGAATTCACATGTTCGGTGCGTGGCATTGATAATCTCAAAACAAAGATGATCGAATATGGTGAGTGATGGCCAAAACAGAGATGATCGAATATGGTGAGTGATGGCATTGAAAAGATTAAATTAAATATGGTGAACCAGAATGTCAATAGTTAATTAAAATTAAAATAATAAATTAAAATTTAAACCTATTAAAACTATCTATTTTGAAAGATTGATCGAAAATAATAATACTGTATTTATAATTAGATAAATATTATTACAATAGAGTCATTCTAATAGAATACCAAGTGATTGTCATGATTGGATCAATATTAATAATAATAAGGTGTAAATATCATCAGTCATGATTGGATCAATCAGAATGTAAACATTGTCCTCAAATAAGTCCAGTAATTTTCTGAGATGGTTCACGTCTAATGGATGCAACCAAATAAAGAATTGCTGCCATGACCATTGGAACACCACAAATGGCAGTCTGAACACAAAAGAAACAGTACACAGAGGCTCTGATTATAAAAGATTCCATTCAAGATTCGTTGATCACATTCATAGATACAGAAATTATCAAGATTATTTGATCATTTCATTATATATTGAGTATGTAAATATTATTGATATATTTCAAATACGAAAATTCGTCATCATTTCCATTCAATTCCATTTCACACATTCACACATTCACAATTTCATCCTTTTTCACACACACACACACCGCGATTCACATCAATGATGATACTTACACAGCACAAAATACACATTGTACAGGATTATAATTAAAAGCACTCAATACCATACACGCTGGTCTTGGCCATCCTTTTGGTTCCAACACAGCATCCACACTTTTATCTACTTTTGTAAATTCACTGATAAAGTGCCAAATATATAAAAATATCGATAACAAGATACAATAAATTCCAGGAGCCAATGCCCATGGAATACTTTTAGAGTAATCTTGAGCCATCGCACAAGCAACAATTCCCAAAATAAATAAAATATAAATATTTCCATTGACCATATTTCTAGCAAATGGAGCGAATTGAAGTCCTTTTGTGAGAGATTTGTTGATGGATTCGGGTGCTTTGTATTTTGTTATTTTCTTTTGTGGTTGTTGTTGTTGGCCACTGTTGGCTACATCGATGGTGACTGTACCGCCTGTTGATGACATTTTTTTTAATGTTGAAACTGGATCACTGACATTTGACAGCCCCTCGCTGCCATTGGTCAGTCCAAATCAGTTGATATTTCTTGAAAATGAACAAAAGAACCAAAAATTTCCAACCTTTTCGTGTTTAACATTACATCAACTAATTTCAAAAGCTTCACACACACCAAACTCGTCTTTATGAATCCATCAACAACAACAACAACAACGAATGCAACATACGAGTTTCAAGTTAATTGCTATTCATTATTGGAACCGACCTCCCCAATACAGGTATTTCTCTTTTTTTGACTCCACAGTCAATGTTCAGCACAAATCTTAGAAAGGCTCTCTTTCTGATGAGTGTGCTGATAATAATAACTGTATCAGCATTCTCAACTTTTAACGAATTCAAATGTGTGACATCCAAGGATTCACACTCCAAAGAGGGAAGAAAGATTTTTCAGGACTTTTCGTGAATCAACAACAACAACAAAAAATGGAATCACAACAAGAACAAGTGACACTAGAATATCCTTCCATCACCATGACAAACACATCTACTATTAGTAATAAAACCACCACCACCACTTTGACCACTCCTCTCTCATCAACGGAAGAGAATCCTTTTATAGAAAGCATTCTCCATCAAGAACAACATCAACCACCACACGTCATCACCACATCCATCACCAACTCCACCATCGAATCTTCCTCACATCATCAAGGAGGTCATTGCAGTGTTGCTACTATGTCTACTACTACTACTACTACTACTACTCTAAATATTCCATCATCATCATCATCAACAACAACAACTTGTCATTCAAGTCCATTGCCATTTACTTCCCATCGGAATGACATTGCTGGTGATGAATTTGATTCAAGAAGAAACAAATTATTCGAACCATTCATGAAAGACACACATGGTTCGACCATTCAAGACGACATTATGAATGATTACAAAAATCTCTATTTGAAAGAATTCGAGAAAAACAAAATACTTCAAGTGCAATTGAATATCATGCAAATGGAAAGACAAGATGAAATTAGAATTATTAATGAAATTGAAAATGATGGAAGAAATTTACAATCATGCATTAAGAAATTAAAACAAATTCATAAGTCAGATAGCACTGCAAGTGTTCTTGAACATTTAAAAAGAGATGAATTTCTATTATTTGAAAATGAAATGAATCGAATCTTACAACCATTGAATGATTTGAATCGAAGAATTCACCTTTTAGAATTGCATTCTCAATCCATTTACAGTGAAACCACTAATTGTCCCAAATGTCTCGAATTACAACACAAATCAGCAACAATTATTCAAAAAGCCTTTCGAAGTTATCGATTGAAAAAGAGAATGAGACTTCTCCTTCCACAATATGACATGATTACACAAAGAAATTCACTCATTTCTGAGATTGTTCACACCGAAGAGACTTATGTGAAATCTCTCGAATTAATTCAACGACTCTATATCGATCCACTCAAAAATGCAGAATCTGATTCCAAAAGATTTAATTTATGCATGTTGGATATTCAAACTATTTTCAATAACTTGTCTACCATCTTGTCCATGCACAAAATATTTCTCATGAATCTAAAACAACGACTCGAACAATGGCCTAAAGTGTATATTGGTGAAAGTTTTTTGAATCAATCCTTCTTTTTTCTATTCTATGTGGAATATGTGAATGGATATAGTCAATCTTCAACGACTTTGAGAGAATTACGACAAAAGAATCGAGAATTTCATAACTTTTTAAATGAAACGAAAAAGAATAAGGAATGTAAAGGACTCTCCATCGAGTCGTATCTTATTTTACCAATTCAAAGGTATGTAAAAACAACGCACTTGTTGTTTCAATAGATCTTTCCATTGTTCAAACATTTATTCATAATCATTATTATGATATGACAATCATATTACAATATTAATAATTAATATCTTGCAATAATTTTACATAATTTTACATGAACAAAAAATGATCATGAACACCAAAAATTATGAACAACAACATGTGATCCACTAATATTCCATAAAATGATACCATTCCAATTATTGTTAAAACAACACACCTTGTTGGATTACTCAATGTGACACACTTTAGACTTCCCAGATACAAACTACTCCTTAAGGGTGTTCTGAAAAACACTCTCCCAGATCACAATGATTATTCCAATCTCAAATCAGCTTACAGAAGAATCAGTGCTGTCAATGCTGCAATCAATTCAAAGAAAAAGGAACATGAAAGTTATTCCATAATTAACAAAATGTTCAACGAAATGAAAATATTTTCTGTTGAACAGGATTATCATTATGTGAAACACAAACTACTCAAAGTAGATGTTTCAGAGAGTTATGAAAGCAAATTGAAAACATTTTTCATTCGAGAAGGATTTGCCAATTACATTGCAACAGACATTCAAAAACCAAAGAAAATTCAATGTTTTCTCTTTGACAAATTTCTCATTTTGGTTGGAATTGAAAAGAAAGTATTTACAACAAATCCAGTGTATCGATATTTACACACCATTACATTTTCTGAAGCAACTTATGTGTCACCAGAAAAGGGAGAACAAATATTTTCACAAAAACAACTCGATCCAGAATTGAATTATTTATTCATTGAACAAGACAATATCACTCATGTACTTTCTTTTGAAAAGGAATCTCTCATTGCAAATACTCATCAAGATTGGGCGAAAAAGATTTACAAATTTTTACACAAAACAGAACACGATGAATCTTCAGAAAATGAAAAACAAAAAGAAATGATTGAAGTGTTGAAAATATGCGATGCCATGTTTCGTCACAAGTTCAGTAATGCCACATCCTCTTTTACCAAATTAGATTCACCCTTTGAAGAGACAAAGACTTTAATAAGGACATTTTCATTTCTTGGATCTAAGAAAGGGTCGAGTTCTGCTTTTTCTTCTTCCTCTTCGATATCACCTGTGAAGAATTGTGAGGATGATGATGATGAATCAGAGGTGAAAAAGTTTTTAGACAATATTTCAGTGAATTCATCACATTTTTGATCGAGAATATAGGACCTTCATTTTCATCAATAGATCATCACTCTTCTAAAGAACCGATATAAAAAATTCAAACTTTCTAAAGAATCAATCAACGGTAGCTGAACTGAATATCTACACTTACACCACGAATAGAGATCTAAAAAATAATGTTTGAGAATCAATGTTCTTTCTGAAAATTTTTGGGAAACATCGTGTTTTTTATTTTGTCTTTCTACTTCGTTCCAATTCCATCTCCAATTCTTCTTCCAAAATTTCAACAATTCTTCCAAAATCAGGTCTCACATTTGGATCTTCATCCCAACATTGAGTCATGAGAGAAACAATTTCTTTTGGAATATGACCTTCTGTGAATCGAGGTCCAGTCATATCAGGTCGCAATCCTTCATTGACCACTCTCGATGACAATTCATAAAATCCCAAACCAGGATACAATTGACCTCTCGTGAATAATTCCCACAAAACAATTCCATAAGAATAAACATCTGCCTTCTCAGTGTACATACTTCGTTTTAACACTTCAGGAGCACAAGTTTCAGCTGTTCCACAAACTGTCATTTGTTGTTGTGAATCTAAAATTCTACTCATTCCAAAATCAGCCACTTTGACAGACCAATTTTTATCGACCAATAAATTGGCACTCTTAAAATCTCTATGAACAATTGGAGGATTATTACTATGAAGATAGAGCATTCCACGAGCAGCATCTAGAGCCAATGAAATTGTTTTTCGAAGCGATAATTTGATTTTCTTATCTTTGAGAATATGTTGTAAATTTCCTCTTTCACAAAATTCAGTGACCATGTACAAGTGTGGCATTTGAACACAAACTCCTAAAAATTGTACCACATTGGGATGTCTTAATTTTGACATTAATTTGGATTCCTTAATAAAATCTTGTATCACTTCTTCACTTTCAACATGATGATTAATCATGAAACGTTTCACAGCTACGATTGCACCGAGCCATCGACCTTTATAGACCTCACTGAATGATCCACTTCCAATTTGTTCATCCAATGTTAATTCATCTGCTTTGATTGTACTTTTCAATTGATCGTATTCAAATAATTTTGGAGTATAGGTATAAGTAGAAGCTGAATCTTGTTGTTGTTGATCATCATCCATATCATCCAATAATTGTTGATTCAATTGAGAGGGTGTTTTACTTCTTCTTCTTCTTTTCACAATGCAATAGGAAATAATTCCTATCACAATGGCAAGAATGGAGAGAATCAAGACACCCATAATTGGAATGGCAATAATTAAAAATAATTCAAAAGGAGAAGTGGTTGGAAGAGAATTATTTTGAAGAAGAGAGGAACACTTTTTGTTGTCACACATCATCCGATCACTCAATGTTTTAAAATTAAAAGTAGATAAGGAGGTCATGAGTGCACTCGTTCCACTCCTGAATACATCTTCAGTTCTTTTCATTTCAAAATGTACAAGTCGTTCTCTCAGAGTGGTAATCAAAGAAGAAGTAGTGATTGAAGTTGTCATCAAAGAAGAAGTAGTAGAACGAGTGGTAGAAATTGAATTTGTTGAGGACTTGACAGTCACTAATTCTGAATCATTCATATTTTCACTCATGAATGATAATGACGCATCAGGTGAGAGATTGACCTTAAATGCAGAATCCATGGCTCGATATGAATTCAACATAAATTGTAAAATAGAAGTTCCTTCTTCAGCATTGGAATAAGAGGTTTTGACACACCAAAAAGTAAAAGTGACAAATGGATAGTACAAGGTGGAGGAAGTGGTGAAGGATTGTGCAATTTTGAGACTTTGTGAAAATATACTTGAGGAAGTGAGTGTCTTTGAATCGTATTTGGAAATGGTAGATTTGACATTTTCTAAATTTGGTGAAACTGTGACACCATTTAAAATAATGTTCACTAGAACTGTTCTTGATTTTTGAGCACTTGGTATGTTGTTGTAAACATTTAAACTTGTGTAACCAATTGAACCTTCCATTGAGTTGACATTTCGAATCATTTCTGTATTCGTTGAAATGTCAACGGATGTCACCAAATTTGGTAAATTCAAAACTTGTCTAAGGTTCAAAGTTGGTTTTGAATATATTTGATATTTCTTTTCAAATTCAGAGTTCATCGTTGCTAAATAATTCAAAACATTGAAACTTGTACCACTTGAACCCGAACGCGTCAACAACTTAATTTCCGTAAATGGTAATTGTGAAGCGAGTGATGGATTGTCATTCACAATTCTCGTGTCATTCCAATATCTTACTGTTCCATCATAAATTTTCACCAACGTATCGAGTGATAAATTCATTTGTGAAATGGCATTTGAATCTGTTGTTGTAAACTGTGAATTCACACAAAACACCAACACACCAAACATGTTCTGCACACAACTTGTACCATTAATAGGCAATGGTTGTGAATTTTCATAAACACCATTCGAAAATACTTGTGGAATATTCACATCACTCATGACCAAGTCAGTTGTCATTAATTTTTGAAACGCACTCATGGAATCTAATTGTTCATTGTATTCCATTGAATTTGGATGTGAATCATCATTGGTATAAATGTTTTTCAAATTTTGATTTGCAAATGTTGAAAATGTAGAACCAGAGGATCGCAGAACGACTTTTGCGTGTGTCAAAAATGTGAAAAAGTGCAAAAGAATGAAAAGGAATAATAAAGATTGAATGAAGAAAGAACGAAAGGATGATGATACATGGAATGTCTTTGAGTGGAGATGATGAATGTGTTTAAAGAATTTATATAAATGGGACATTCTCGGAGAAAGTCACACACAAGTGTTGACAGGAGTGTAGTGTGGTGTTGATAGTAATGGTAATGGTAATGGTGGTGGTGTTGACAGTAATGGTCTTGAAAGTGTGTGTGTGTGTATGTGTGGTTAATGTTGTTAACGTTGTTGGTGGTGGGTTCAAATTTGTGCGATTTTTTGTGATTGCCCGCCTTTCGTTATAATAAAAGATTTTAATCATCCTCATCCTCATCATCATGGTGTGTGAATCATTGGTTGTGAATGAGAAACTATTGAACAATCAATGAAATGGTAGTAGTACTCGTTCAAAAAGTGGATCCAACAATGCCAATGGAATGCAATGAAACTGGGAGTGAATCGACATTCGAGATGATGGACTCGATCTGTCACTCATCACCAAAAAAATAATTTAAAAAAAATAATTTAAAAAAAATGTCCTATGATGTATTACCTGGAAATATTCTTCTTCCAGCTCCCAAAGATTGGGATGAAAGTGAAGAAATCAATCGAAAATATCTTCGTCTCTTAACTGCGAGTGCATTCCGAAAAAAGACAACGTCATCTGTCAAGGACGATCATCGACGTCATGAGGACGATGAGACCAATCGTGACAATGATGATGAAATGAATGATGACGAAAAATCAAACACCACACTCTCAAAACTTTCTCAACGTTCTCATCTTCATGATTCTTCCATTGAGGATCCACTTCAATTACTTCACATGTATGATCCTTCGGTACTTTCCAAATATAGTTGGATGGCTGCCACTAGTCAAAATGGTGATGTGTTTGTAGAGAGTGATAAATTCAATCCAAGACTCTTTCTTGCCACTAAACATCATTCATTGAAATATGAAAATTTAGGGTTGGCTAAACGAAATTTAAAACAAACTGAAAATGAACTCAAAATGAAAATGATTATTCTCTCTGAAAAGAATATTCATAAATTTACTGAAGCAAAGAATGCCATCGATGCCTTGTGTTCCAATAGAGATGCTAAATTTAGAGATGGAAGTGTGAATCGATTGGATCAATCATTGATGAATGTTCAAGAAGATTCGGAACGATTATTTGAACCATTGATTCAAAGAAAGAAAGGTAAGTGTGATGAATGGAATGTGAATAAATAGGATGAATGGAATGTGAAATATGACCATGATATGGTAATGAATGGAATGTGAAACGAATGATGGTAATCAATGATATGACAATGATGATCAATGGTAATCAATGATATGAAATAATGATCGATGGTAATGAATATGGAATAATGATCAATGGAATAATCATACACTTGTTGTGAATATTGAATCATGATGAATTTTATACACTGATAATACAATAACCTTTGTTGTGAATATTGAATCATAGAATGTGAGGAAATCAAAGAAGTATTACATTTATTTAAAAAGACCAAATTTGTATTATATCTCCCAAGTAACATTAAGGAAAATATAAAAAAAGAAGAATACAAGAAGGTGGTACATGATTACAATCGTGCCAAATATTTCAAACAGAAATTTGGTCACTTTGAATTATTTCAACCCATTTTCAAAACGATTGAACAAGACATTTCACAATTAACTGAAATTCTATTCAAAAAGTTGAGTTTTAACACCAACACTGATATTGACAACTTGTTGAACAATCATGTCAATCGAATGTATACATCTTCATCAATGGTCAGTTCTTCTTCAGAAGACTCTTCAAATGATGCTCTTGGAATTGATGGTGGTCGGTATGTTGGTGTTGGTATGAGTAGTAGTGTTGGTGTTGGTGTTGGTATGAGTAGTAGTGTTGGTGTTGGTGTTGGTTGTTGTGAGGGTGGTGGTGGTCAATGTGGTGGTGATATTGAAGAGTCTTCCATCATTGGTTCTTCTTCTTCTTCTTCGACTGGTTCCTTCAAATTATTAAATGATTATCAAGAACGTATGATTGGATTTTTAAATAATTTGGAATCGAAACAAGATCCTGCATGGTACTATTTAGAGAAAATGCACACGTTCATTAAGGATACACTTCAACGTTGTTTAGATACTTATGAAAAGAATACTCGAGATATTTCAGATCTTATTGAACAAGAAGAACTCTTTGAAATGAATCACAATCATCCATCATTCATGAGTGAAGAGGATGACATTGCCTCAACTCAATGCTATACTTCCTTTTTTAGACAATTATTAGAAAGAAAAACAGTTGATTTGGTCATTGATTTGACAAATATTCTACTCAAAACAATTCCAGATTTTTGGCAACTTTCTCAAAATATTCTCATTGGAAAATATCTTCCAAAGAAAAAGAGAATTAAGAAAGAAAGTGAAAATGATGAAAAGGAAAAACAAATTGTTAATCTCATGAGAGATATTACATTGAAATATTCAGATATTGTAAATACTGCAATTGAAATGGTTGACAATCACTCTGCACACCAGAAATCACTCTCTCAATGTGTGTGTGAAATTATTCGATGCAACGAACAATTGAATCAATTGAAAATACCAAAAAAGTACATTTCACATTTCGATGAATTTACAGATCTCATGACCAGATACATGGTTCATGAAATTTGGAATCGAACCATTGGAGAAGTCTCAAGATTTTATGTTTTAGAAAAATGGAAACCCATTTCTGAAACTCTTACCATCACTGAATTACCACTCAAATTTCAAGATTTTATCATCAAAACACTCTCATTGTTGAGACCATTGGTGTCAAAAGGAAATGTTTTCAAACAAGATCTAGTCTCTGAAATTGAGAAACATTTCATGCAGTGTTTGAAAGTATTTGCTGATAATTATCATGAGCTTTCATTCAATGAAGAGGAACTTTCAAGAAAACAATCCATGAGTGGCAAATATCGATTCTCTGTTCATAATTTTAACAAAATTGAAGAAAGAGATTCTCGTCTTCTTCTCACTCTGAGTAATTGTTCACACACCAAGAATGTCATTTTGTATAATGTGTTGAGTGCATTTGTGGCAGGATTTAAATTACATCCTTCAGCAGTGACTCATCCATTCAGTAGTACTAGTTCGAATAATTCGAATAGTACTACTACTATGACTACTACTACTACTAAAATTACTACTACTACTACTGGGACTACTAGTACTACTTCTAAAATTAGTACTACTGGAAAACAAACATTCCATGATGATGATTCTTTTGACAATACGATACAAGAAGAAGAAGATGATGATTCTGACAAGAGTGAAGAAGCAAGATCCTCCAAAAATCTCTCTAAAAATCTTCTCTCAGAAATGGATTTGAGTTTTCGTGTGACCAGTAAGGATTTACAAACACATACCATGACTTTTATGAAACAAGATTCCATTCAACAAGTCTTTCATGTCTATGATACATTGATTGATTTATTGATCAATGATTTTGTGAGAAAGAAATCTCATGCATTTATGAAGAGAATTGAAAAGGGTTTAATTTTGAGTGGATACGACTGGAAACGTTCTCCCACACCCACCAGTGTTCGTTCCTATATTTTGGATTTATTATTAGAGTTGTCGATGGTGCATGCAAAGACTGAAAAGATTACTAGTGTGACCATTGGATCTGATTTTTACAAAACTGGAAGTATTTTCAATGACATGAATAGTTTGGATGTGAAACGAGAATTTACTTCAAAAATTTTCTCTCTTCTCACAGAGCGATTGGCAGAAATATTTCTCTATCATGCCAAGTCCATTGAGGAGATGGGAGAAAATGCAGCTCTTCAATTAGACATTGATGTCTCATTCTTGAGAAAGGCTTTGGAATCATTTGAGACCTCTCGAGCAAAGCAAATATTCAAAAAGCTCAACAAACATCTCTCTCAAGTGACACGCTTTTCTTCCAGTACGGAACAACTCAAAGCTTCGATCATTCATGATATGGCTGAGAAGACGTACACACAATTGGACTGTTTTAACATTCATGTGGAGAGTTCTCTAAATTTATTGTCTATTTCGACCTCTTTCAAGTTGCTCAATCGTTCTACTGCTCATGAGTAGTAAAGGTTAGAGTGGACATGTGTGTACACACTTTTTTGAATCCATTTACAAACCACCTCTGAACAAGACAATCATTGAAAAGCATATAAATAAAAGATTGTACTCCTCATGAGGAATTACATTTACTACAAGTTACTGTGACACAACTTCATCAGAACCATGCTTTTTCAAGAATGTTAAGGACTCATCAACCTTTCCTAACCATACACTTAATTTATCCTTCAGAATTGATACTTGACTCTTATCGAGCACTCGAGGTTGAGCCCAAGACACATGAATGGTGTGTTTGACACCATCAATTACACCTCGAATCAAATCATAAGCCAATGCCTTCAAAAGAAGAGGTTCAACTTCAGACAAGGGTTTTCTTGTGACTTGTGCAACTTCTTCGAAGGCAATATTTCTATTATCGGCTGGCTTACTGAAAACCAATTCCATGAGACACATTAATTGAACCTTTTCATACAAAAAGTCCTTTTTTTCTTTCAAGGAAGGTCTAGAATCAATTTCATGAGCATAGGTTGAGATTAATTGTTCATAACCTCTAATGTCTCCCTTGTTGAAGGCCATTAATAGCTTGTAGAGCCAATCTGCTTGTGATCCGTTCAAAGATTCAACAACTGGATGTTGTAAAAATTCTCCGAAATTATAAATACTATCTCCGAGGAGAGCAGCAATTCCCAAATCGAATGCAATGGCTTGTTGTTCAATGAAGGGAATGTCTTCAATTGGAGTGTAAGCCAAGTACAAGAGTTCATTCTTGTAGAACTCGTTGGCATCGTCGACATGTTTCAAGTAATTGGAATAGACCTTATAGTAGGAAGCATTCACAAAGTTATCCACAAATCCCAATGTGTTGATCGTCTCCTTCACTTCAGTCAACAATCTCTTACAGGCAGTCAAGTCCGATCCTTTTAATTTCCACATGGCCATTTCTGTCTTTAAAATACAAGCAGCCTCTCTATCTTGTTTTGAAAGAGAATTGTAAACAGTTTCAACAAATGGATAGCCTTGAGTGCTATTGAGAGGAAGCTTTTTTGAAATTTCAACTACAATTTTACCCAATTTTAAGTGATTAATCTTCAATTCAAAGGAAGAAATGAAGTTTGTATAAAAAGAGAGTAATTCTTCTCCTCCCAATTGATCAGTCTTGACCAGTTGAGTCAATTTATCTGAAATGTTGTGCCACATTCTATAATGAACGAGAGAAAGGGCAGGTAATTTGAGAAGAGAGAATGAAAGAATGATGATGAACGATCGTAAGAGTCAATGGATGAATCAAATTCATGTTGTACAATATCGGAACCGATCAATCCAATACAACGATCAAAAAGAAAAATCGTAATAAATAACTCAATTCCAAGCATCAACACATACTTATTTTCATAATCTTGTCTGATGTCTTCAACAAGAGAAGCGACCACCACATGGGTGCCAGCGAAGTGTCTTAAGAAGTTGGATTGTTGACCAGTACTCATTTTTTTGTGTTGATGAAAAACTATTTTTAATCAAGTTTCCTCTGACAAAAAACAAAAGAAACCGCAAGAACAAAAAATATTTACCGACGACGGGACTCGAACCCACGACCCCAGGATTAGAAGTCCTGTGCTCTATCCAACTGAGCTACGACGGCTTATGTCTAAGAGAAAGAATAGGTATTTTATAATTACGTCAGATAAGGTAGTTGAATTGTAAAAACTTATGGAGATATCTAACCGCCCAAAAAATATGAACACATCTCAATCAGCAATTAAAACGTCATCAACTAGTGCAAACAACCATACTTACACGTCGCATGCTCAACCCCTCTCCTACCAACAAAAGAAGCGATTAAAACTGGCCATATATAAAAGTAAATTTCGTCATCCCTTAGGTTATGAGAGCAAAACCATAACGACAAGACAGCCTGCTTCTTCAGAAATCTGCACTTCGAGACCTATACAGCATTCATCTCCGCCAAAAAGTAGTTCTACTAGATCATATTCATGGCAACACCATCACACATCGTATTCAAACAATTCCGATCATCAAAGACCAGCCTCACTTCCACCCATTGTAAAAAACAAATCAGCATGCTCTCACCATCCAACGAATCCTAAGGCCACCAAAGAAAAACTGAGACCGATCAGTGCAAAACAAAGGAAAGAATGGAATTCTAACTTTGCAAATTCCGGATCAGAGAGTGGTGTCATTCAACAACATCCAAAATTGTCCAAGAAAGAACGGAGAGAAATTGATCTTTTATTTGCTCATCAGCATATGGCTTATTTGAAAGCCTCGAACATTATCGCATCTTTAGAAAATCCAGAGTTGAAGTTGGAACCGAGATACTCTTTCACGACAATGGAAAATAACAATCCTACTCATGAATACATTGAGGACGATTTTGAAGAGGAAATCATTGACTGGTATCACTTTAATATTGAAAGACTAACCAATCAATACATGCACATACCAGATTTTCCAACTGCAAAATGTTATCTTCGAAAGCTTTGGGATGAATTAGCCATCCCTCTGTCGTACCAAGGTGAATTTGAAATTGATCATTTCCAAAGCGATAGCATCACCAACCGAACGTTTTTATTCTCTGAAATTACCACCATAGAATCATTTAGAGATCGTTTAAGGGTGGCTTTAATTTGGCTTCATGGAAAGAGTGAGCAAGAAATTGAGGAAAATGTCAGCACATGGACAAGAATTGTTGAAACATTTCGAGAAGACTATCAATATCTGTACAAAACGACATGTTTTTTGTATAACAATAGAAATTTGTTTGCATTGGTTCCTCAGTCGACTACGATACACGACAGCTTGTACAACAATCAATGAACCAACCCATTTGAATTCTTCCTTAATGATGAATGAAAATGACAACAACATGCAACAACAGCCAATAATAATTACCACTGACCAAAGAAAAAGTCAGTTTGACACTGAAAAACACCTGTTGTCAAAAACAACCCAAATTTCCGTTCCCCACAATTCAAAGATTCAACAACAAGCAAGAACAACAACAACATCAAAAAATGAGTGAATTGAGAGACCAAGTAGGAGACGAAGGTGACGAGCATGCTCACTCAGTATGTACTAGTGGTTCACTGCAACAACAACAACAACAAGAATCATCACCCTCTTTTGCTTCATCATCACTCAATAAAATTTCATCTCAACCAACTGAAGATTTCTCTTCTCCATTCTCCGATCATCCCATGAATTCAACACAAGTCATTTTGGATCATGGTCAAACCGATGATTTATTATTCTTCTCGGAATCATCTTCTTGCTCACTCTCACCAACCACATTTAATCCAATTTCATCATCATCATCAACAACCAACACCAATACCTCCTCCTCCTCCTCCTCCTCATCGATGACATCATCCTCCAATCTTTTCAATACTAATAATACTCCATCAAAATTAAATCTTGTCTCTTCCTCCATTCAATCACCTCTAGAGGTTCATAACCAAAATACTTCAAAAAGTAAAACTCATTCAAAAACAAAAACTCCAAGAAAACCCTATGTGAAACGAGCTTGTGTGAATTGTAAACAAAGTCATGCAGCTTGTGATGATTCACGTCCATGTAAACGATGTGTATCGTTGAAAATTGAAGATCAATGTGTGGATGCTGTTCGAAAAAAGCCATCAAATTCTCAAAAAAGAAAAGACATGAATGAGCTTGGTGACGAAGAAGAAATGAATTCTGAATCAACAAGAACAACAAAAAACAAATCAGAAAAGAAGAGAAAGAAAAATATTGACCATAAGAATCGTGGTGTCAATTTGACAGCTACTACTACTACTACTAGTAATGATGAATCGAATCATCATGATGAATCAAATCATTTCAATTCTTCTTCAACTGCTGAAGATTCTTCCATCCCTGACAACAACAACTTGAATCCATCACAACTAGGTCACACATTATTTAATGGTCACACTTCTCATCTATCTCCATATTTTGTCATGATTCCAATGATCACTCATAATAGTCCTCCGACCAATAATGGATCATCTTCCATCATGAATGCATCAATGAAATCTCTTTCGATCGTGAGACCATCTATGAATGGTTCATCTCAACAAAACTCTTCTCAATTTTCACCATTTCCTTTAATTTCTTCTACTGCAACAATGGCTCCATTTCCATCCAACACTCCATCATCATTTCAAACACCACTCTCTCTTTCCACACCTACTCACTCGAATGTTCACACAGCAAAAACAAATCATTCTTTAACAAGTCAAAATCGTAATAGTAGTAATATTAATAGTAGTAATAGTAGTAGTGAAAAGAGTAGTACTAGTGACACAACAATTAATGAACACAGAACCATCACAGCCACCACTTCCATCACTCGAGACAATTCTTTTCCACTAAGCAAGACTGGTCACAACACTGCAACAGTTACTCCCTATTCACCATTTGACTTTCTTTCAGAGAATTCTGAATTAGCTACTTCACCTGCTCTCTCAACTCCTTCTTTTTTTAGTAATCCCTTTAATAGTATCAACAACAGCACGTCACACCATCATCCACCACCAAATAGCAACATTACACCATCATCCAATCCACACACAATCAGTAATACGGGCGTTGGTAGTAACAATGGCTCTGACAGCAAAAAATCAGCAACAACAACTTCCATCTCTGTCACACTTAATAACAGTGATGATGAAGGAGTGGTAGATATTATCACTCAAGAAGCATCCTTGTTAAAATCCCAAATTGCAAAGCATGTTGTTCATCTCCAGGATGAAATATCAAATGGTCATTCAAATCATGGAGAGGATCATGAGAATAGTAGAGATAGTGTTGAAATTCATCAATCAAATGTTAATAATAATTCTACTTTAGATGATCTTGCATTACCTTTTTTAAATGAAAATCAAGAATTAGTGAATTCAGAAAATGATATTCGAAATTTAGCATCTTCTGCAAGTAAATCTAGGCTGGAAGATTTGGTGTTATTGATGTGGAAAAAACAAAATGCTCAAACGCAAGAAATTCAAGATTTGAAACAATTAGTCATGGAATTGACATCAATTGTAAAACAAAGTAAGCTTAATAGAGATTCAAATAATTTATAAGTGATTTTACATATTCTTCTTGTTTTCAACTTGATCAATAAATTGTTGTAAAGCTGACTCTTTGTTCGACGCGTTTCTTCTTTCAGATTTCATTTCAGAAACTCTTTCACGAAGTTGTTGAATCTTTTCATCAATTTCATCACGCTTTCTCTTTGGCAGCTTGGTCGATTTGTTTTGGGAAGTATTGTCAGTTTGTTGTTGTTGTTGTTGTTGTTGACGAGTATTGAGAGTTGCTGTCTCTGTTAACTTTTTCGAGTCATTGTTCACAGACGTTGTAGTAGTCATAGTTGTCGATTTGGTGTCTTTTGATGGATTCTTTTTTGGAGTTTGATTGTCCATCAAAGCAGACTTCTCATCAGGCTTTAAGGCAAAGTCCGTCAATGTGGTTTGTTCATTGTTCTTTTTTTTCTCTGTTGTGATATTCAATTCATTAGATTTCTTGTTCTCTTTCACCTTGTCGATGGGCTTGTCAACCAAAGAAGTGATTTCTTTCTTTTCAATGGTTTGGGATAACTTTGATTTTTCCTTATTGTCTTTCTTTGAAGATGTGTTATCCTCCTCTTTAATAGATTCTTTCTTTGTCTCCTCAGAGAATTGTGAATTTTTCTTGCCGAAAGATGATGTTTCTTGAGAGTCTTTTTTAGCATTTGGTAAGACCATTTCATCATCATCGAATTCTTCAAAGCCTTCTTTTAAGGAATTATGTTCAGCAGAAACATCAATCTTCTTTGTTTCAACATTCTTGTTCGTTGAGGATGCATCATTATTGGAAGCAGTGACAGTGGTGCTACTACTGATTGTATTACTGGATTTCACAGTATTAGGGTCAGTATTACTGGATTTCACAGTATTACTACTAGATTTCACATTATCGTCCTTGTTAGGATCAGTATTACTGGATTTCATAGTATTATCCTTAGTAGTAGATGTCTTTGTATCTGATTGAGTGGTATCAGTATTACTGGATTTCATAGTATTAGTAGTAGTAGTATCAGTATTACTGGATGTCATTGTATCCTGTTTTTTGTTGACAATCGGTTGAGAATTAGCATTTTCATTCTTCACTTTCTTGATTGTATTCTCCACAGTATCTGAATTGGTAATATCATAAGTCTCATCCGTATTCAATAAATTATTTTTTTGTGAGTGATTTGAATTCTTTTTCATGGTCACATCATTCTTTGTTGTAGTGGTGGTTTTGGTGGAAGGTGAATCATTGGATTTGACCTTCGTATCAGAGTTAGTAGTGATGGATGAAGTACTCTTTTTTGTTGATTTCACATCATCATCCTTCTGTGTTGTTGTTGATGATTGGTCCAATGATGATGACTTGTTTTGATCCTTATTGTTTTTCATGGATTGTTTTTGAGAACGATTCACATCAACATCCTCAATAGGATCATCAAACCAATCCGTGTCACTTTCCAAATTTAAATCTTTTTTCTTTGGAAGAGAAGGTGGCAGAGTGGTCGTAGAGGATGTTGTAGAATCTTGTTTCTTGATGTTGCTTTTTATACTACTCGTTGTAGTTTTAATATCAGTTTCTTGTGATTTGGAGGACTTGGTTGACTTCTTTTTCTGGGATGAAAGTAAATCTTCTTCATCGTCTTCCACCACGGAAGTAAAAATTGGTTTTTTCAAAATTGGTGGTGGAGTGGCATCAGAAGCAGTATTTGTTTGTTGTTGTTTTAATGGAGATGGTGGAAATGAGGATGGTGGTTTCTTAATGACAATACTTTCCGTTATTTTGTCTGTTGTATGTTGTTCATGATGATGATGATGGTAGTATTATCAATGAATTCCGATTACGATAAACAACAATAAATCATAACAATCTAATAATAACACTTACCAATCTCAGAATTACTACTACTACTATTACTACCAATATTTCCAACAAATAAAAGTGTATAAATCATGTACAAGAATAAGAGAGAACAAATAATGAAACAAATTTGACCTCGATAGGAGAGCTTCCGAAAATAACCAAACACTCCCGATCGAGATGGAGGATAGGTACCAATGTGATGATGATGATGATGGTTATTACTACTCGAACTATGTTTGGAAGTTGGATCTGTCGGAGTGGCAGTGGTGGTTGGAAGCATCTTTTTTTTCTCACAACATGTTCCAAAGGCAGTGATCGTCGTCAACACGCGAGTGTGAGCCAACGTCATACAATTTCCTTTCTAAACATTGCTTTTGAATGTTGAATCGTTCCAATTTTAAAAATCCATCTCACAACAATTTCCAAGGTCGGAGGGAAAAGAGGGAAAGAGAACCGAATCGACCACAAGCATGCTTCCCTTCAAAACCAATTCATTTTGAATTGACAAAACCTTCAACAGGACATCCAAAAATCTGAACACCATCCTCAAGTTGTTTCTCCTTCAATCCCACACCAACATCTTTCAAAATCATTTCTAATTGATCTTCTTTCCAAGTTTACCTTTGTTTACTTTTATCCAATTATTGAATGTGATGAATTTTCAATACACCTGTGGCTCTTTGTGAATATTGCCTTTTAGCTTCCTTAGTTTCCTTTAACACGTTGGAAACAGAGTCTCCAAATAAGGAATGTATGGATGAGGAATCCTATGGTTCGACCATTGTTTTCTCTTCATTAATTTCATCGATAGTTCCTGATGAGGCAAGGTTACTACTTCCTGTTCTTCTTGCCTCGATTAATGTTTCTATAACATGTATTAGACACGATTGAGAGAGGGTTCGATCAGGCAAGTCTGAAACACACGGTTAGTTGTTCCATTTCTCTCGAAATAGTATTATCATGATAATAAAAATTAATTGAGAGAGATGATTTTAATCATTCATTACTGTATCTAAGCACTACCATTATTGTTGTTGCAACATTTTCAATCTCTTATTCAATTCTTCATTCTTTAACATTTCATTTTGGAATTCTTTCACCGCTCTAAAGTAATTTCGTTGTTTAGAAACCAATTCATTATACTTGTTCTGTAAATCATCTCTCTTCTTTTCAGTGTCTTTTAATTTTGTATCCATTTGTGTTTTTGTTTGTTTGACCTTCTCTACTCGATCACTCACTGTATTGATCATCCATGCTTTGTATTTCTTATCTTGTGATTGAACTGCTTTTTGAAAGAAATCAGCAATAGAATTCAATAAGGATACTTCTTGTTCTAAAAATGTACATGTACTCGAGAGTGTATTGTAACTCACAAAGTATTTCTTTGTTTCATCTAATTTGGTTGATATCTGGGCATAGAGCTCTGTAAATCTTCTTTCATATTGAGATAATTCAGTTCTAGATGGAATTTCATCGATTTTAGATTGAATGATTGCTAATTCTCTATTTCTCTTTGCAGCTAACTTTCTAATCTTTTTCATCTTTTCAGTGTCATTGGCATAGGCTTGAGATAATTGAACAATTGGATCATTGCTATCATTGAATGATAGTTCTAATTGAGAAATAGAATTTTTGAGTTCTTGTAATTGTAATTGGCAATTCGTTTTGAAATCTGCTTCTTGTTTTTTAAATGCTTCATTGAGAGCAATGAGTGTTTCTAATTTAGAGAGAATGGTTTGATCAACTTCTTGATTTTGAACTTGAGTTTGTAATTCTGTGATTTTGTTTTGCACCTGTTCATTATATTCCTTAAATTTAGAGAGAGTTTCAGAGGCTTTTTCATATTCTTGTTTGACTGCATTGAATTCTTCTTTTGCTTTCATGTAGATGCTGTACATTTGGCAGAAATAAAAGTTATTGATCAACAATACATGTGTGGTGTGTCAAGAGATGATATTGTTGTTGATGTATTTGATTCGAATCATCCATGCACACGTAGGAATGGCAAATAGTGGATGGTAATGAGATCATGTGTATTATAAATAGATATGAGAATAAGTCATTATGTGGATTCAATGATGATGCATCCTGAGTAATACATTCAAAGAAATACATACACTTTTTGGTTTTCAATTTGTTTGGTGAGTTGTGCCACTTGTCTCTTGTGTAACATTTGTTCACTTTGTAAATTCTCTTGTTGTCCCATAAAGTCTCTCGTCTTTTCATCATACTCCTCTTTAAGCTTGATAATATCAACAGCTCCCAAATTGATTAAATTAGAGGCACCAGAGGCAGAAATATTGTTATAAAAGTTTTCATTTTGCTCGACCAATTTTTTCAATTCTTGAATTTTCTTTTCTCTTGCTTCTTCATCTAAATCTAATTCAGCCAAATTTTGGTTATTGAGTTGAGATGCATCCATAGACTCTGTTCGTGATGCTTGTTTTTGAGCTCTCAATTGCCTTTCTAATTTTGATTTGTCTTCTTTTTCTTGTTGAGATCTTTCAATCTTTTTAAATTCAATTCCATATTCTAATAATACAGTTTGAACATGTCCCCATTCGCTTTTAAGAACATTTCTCTGTTGATGTTTAAATTTTCTCTTTGGATGATAGATACCTCTGATGCTATCCAGATATGGTAATGCTTGATTATATTGTTCCATATCCTTTTGATCTTGTGGTAATTCATATCTTCTTGAGAATTGTAATTCGGAATATCTTTGAATTCTCTCCTTGTTCTCAACTCTTGATTCAAAAACCTTTTGAACCAGCCAAGAAAATACTTTCAATATAAAGGGACAATCCAAACCTTGAATTTGGACAGGAGATAATTCTTGAGGACATCCCATTCTTCTCAAGGCTAACACTACTTTTTCGGATAATTTAATCTTTTTACCAATGTTAGCCTCTTCTTCATAACTCAACATTTCGACATCAGCATCGGCATTATAGGAATTACTAATACACCAACAGAGACCTCCGAGGATTTTATCAAAAGGTGTGAGCGTTGAAATTCTCACTCTGAAATAACCTGCTGCGAGTAAAATTTGAAGAATTTGTTGATAATCATTGAGATTCTTTTCACTGATCCCTTCAAGATTGGTTGTAGGTGTCGCGGAAGATGAATCTGAGGAAGAATTTGGTTGATCGGATGGTGTTGCTGTTTTAACGAGTTGTTGTTGATGGGAGGAAGAGCCTTGGCGAGGTGTGGATGGTGTGCCAACGCTGCTGCCACTGCGAAGGTGAGTACCAAACATTTTTTTTAAAATTTTAGATTTTTTTCAAGAATTGTGAACGAATTGCATTTTTTTGATGCCATCACTGAAGCTATACTGAATTTATTATTATGGGACAGATCGAAGAGCATGTACATCAATGTTGTTGTCGTTGTTGTTGTTAATTTACATCAATGAATGTTCCTCTTGTGAATGTATTCTTTCACCAATCGAAGAAGATGATGTTGGTGAAGTGTTGTTGTTGTTGTTGTTCAGATCTAAATTCTTGAGTTCAATCACTCGATTCACAATTCGTGGAAGAGTCACACCTGAAGGTCCTTTCACAAAATGATAATTTGGTAAGGTATTATAATCTGTTTCCTCAATATTGAACTCAATGATAAAAGCACCTCGTTTAGCGGCAACAGAAGGTAAACCTGCAGCAGGATATACCTTAGCAGAGGTACCTTCATAGGATTATTATTATTGGTAATAATATATTTGTACAAAGGGAGTGGTGATCATGTCCAGTTCAGTGAAAATTATATTATAATATATATAATTAAAGATTGAATGATCATGTCCAGTTCAGAGTGTATGTATATATATTGTAATATAAAAATATATATATAGAAATGGAATGAATTTGTCAATCACCTACCAATGACTAACATGACATCTCCTTCACGCATTCTTCGAACAGCATCATAGGAAGGATTCCATTGATCCATAGGTAAGCCTTCTGTAAATAAAACGCAATCTGGACGAAGTGTGGATCGACATCCTTCATGTTGACAGGCTATTTCATATAGATGGTCATGTATTCATTATTATTGCAAAGATATTGAGTACACAATCTTGATTACTTACTTGGAGATTTGTAAGGTAATTTTTCAATGGGATGTTCCTCACCATTATTGAGTAATGACGATGATTCATCATCACCTACGACTATTCCTCCTTCCTCTTGATTCCAAGCACTTTCAACATGTTCACTAGTAGTTGTATTCTTGTTAGTAATACTCTTGGTAGTAGTAGTAGTAGTAGTGATATTCACATATTCTTCTGGATGTTCTCTTTTAAATCGTTCAAAATCAAATGGATGACGTTCTGCCACACAACAATGTCTTCTCACTGTACCATGGACTTCATAGGTTTTATCAGGATCTGAACCAGCTCTTTGATGTAATCCATCAACATTTTGTGTAATGATTTGTAAATTAGGAAATACTTGTTTTTGAAGTTTAGCCAATGCATAATGACCTGGATTTGGATGAGCTTTAGCAATAGGTTCATAGAATCGTTTCACGTATTGAGTCCAACACAATTTTGGAGATATCGTCCATCCTAATGGTGTTCCAAAGTATCCCAACACTGAGAGATATTCACACAGGTTATGTTATGGTGACATTTATCATGATTAATATCACCGATACATAATTATTCCATTTATAAAAATATTTAAATATCATTTCATTCAATAGAAATATTAAACAAAGATCATTCCATTCAAAAACAATAAAGATCATTCCATTTAAATATTATTTTGAATCGATATGATTGAAAATTAAAAATTGATTGTAAAATAGTGTAATGATATCAAAAAGTCATGATGATGGATCATTATCATCATTGTGTTGGACAGTTCTGCAGAACACAATTCACATACCAATCTTTCCGATCCATCCTGTCCATAATCCACTTGATCCTCTAAAGGTTTCAATACCACTTTCAGCACTCATTCCAGCTCCTGTGAATACACATACTCTTTGAGCAGATGCAATCATTTGAGCAACTCTTTCAATTGTTTCATCAGAAGCGATAGATATCGTGGTGTTATTATTATTATTAGGATCGGTCATGATGATGTACGGAGGCAGTTATTATTATATTGTAATATTATTGAGAACGATCCAATCACACTTGGATCAAATTCAATTTTTTTGTTCCATGATCAATCCGAAGAAGTCTCAACTCAAGTATGAGAATGATCAGTTGTCTTTTGCAAAGACAGCTTTGTTACAAGACCACAGGACCTGAGAATTTATTGCCACAAAAGTGCAAATTTGCGAACCAGAAATTAGGCCCCGGTTTGGTACCAAGTAAAAAAGGTTCTATCGTCGCGTGTGGCTTCAATAGCACCCAACGGATTGAAAAAGGTCTTCATTCCAACGTTCCTAAATTCTCATAAAAAAAAGCAACGAAACACTTTTGATACAACATCAAGTCGGGTAGGTGTTTGGTATGGACGACGATGATCATGGCTAACGCGATAACGCTGGTACCAACCTTCGTTATTGTATGTATTGGGTTTTGGAATGCATACACTTCCAATCATCCACCATGGAATTTGATCCATGTATGCACTTGATTTTTGCAATTATCATATTTATCTGGTTGCCCATCCACAATCATACCCTCTCTCTTTTCTGGATTGGCTTTTCACTTGTGGTGATCATTTGCAAAACAATGCATATACTCGCTCGGGAATTAATTTTATGGTGCAATATTTCATTCATTGCTTTTTCGCGAATTTCTCTTTCTTGGATGCATCCTACATGGTTGGCTGAATGTCTTCTTTTGTACCGAATGGTGAATGATGAACACGATTAACGAATCACTCTGTTCATTCTCACCATGAACCTTCAACAACTCCAATGATTGTATCCTCCTCTCGCTTCTCATAGAAATGTCCAATCTTGCCAAACATCTCCAACCACACGGTACCACTGATTCATCCTTGTTGAATGGTCATCAATTCCATCGTAATGATCCAGAATACTACTCGAGTGATGAAGACAGTGTTCATCAAGAGTTGGAAAGCTACGGAATCACTACCCGTAGAATTTATCACAATGCATCCGTTCCAGTTCTCTATGAACAAGCCTTGAAGAACGAAAAGGGAACTGCACTCACTTGCACGGGTGCTTTGGTTGCCTTTTCAGGCACTAAGACTGGTCGTTCTCCAAAGGATAAGCGTATTGTTGAAGAAGAAACCTCAAAGAATGATGTCTGGTTCGGACCAGTCAATATTCCACTCTCTGAAGACTCCTTCATGGTCAATCGGGAACGTGCGGTGGACTATTTGAATACTCGTGAACAATTATATGTCTTTGATGGATTTGCAGGATGGGATAAAAAGTACCGTATCAAGATTAGAGTCATCTCTACAAGAGCCTATCATGCTCTCTTTATGAGAAATATGCTCATTCGTCCAACTCCACAAGAATTGATGGACTTTGGCGAGCCTGATTACATTATTTACAATGCAGGTGAATTTCCCGCCAATCGTTACACCAAAGGCATGACCTCTCCATGCAGCATTTCGATTAACTTTAAGAGACGTGAAATGGTCATTCTCGGATCTCAATATGCTGGTGAAATGAAGAAGGGAGTCTTTACCATTATGCACTATTTGATGCCTAAACAAGGTGTATTGTCCCTTCACTCCTCATGCAATGAAGGTAAAGATGGAACTGTATCACTCTTCTTTGGTTTGAGTGGTACTGGTAAGACCACTTTGAGTGCTGATCCTAATCGTTATCTCATTGGTGATGATGAACATGTATGGACGGAGGAAGGTGTCTTTAATATTGAAGGTGGTTGTTATGCCAAGTGTATTGGTTTGAAACGAGAGACTGAACCCGAAATTTACGATGCCTTACACTTTGGAAGTGTTTTGGAAAATGTTGTGATGGATGAAGTGACCCGCCAAGTTGAGTACGAAAGTTCAGAAATTACTGAAAATACTCGTGCTTGTTATCCATTGGAATTTATTCCAAATGCAAAGATTCCAGCAATTACTGGACATCCAAACAATATCATTTTGTTGACTTGTGATGCATTTGGTGTTTTGCCTCCAGTCTCCAAACTCACCATTCCACAAACCATGTATCACTTTATTTCAGGATATACTGCCAAAGTTGCAGGTACTGAAGTGGGTGTCACTGAACCTCAAGCCACATTCTCTGCTTGCTTTGGCGAACCATTCTTGGTGTTGCATCCTACTCGTTATGCTGAAATGTTGGCTGATAAATTGAAGAAACACTCTTGCACTGCATGGTTGGTGAACACTGGATGGGTGGGTGGTAGTGCTGGATCTAAATCCAAGGTGCGTGGTAAGAGATGTCCACTCAAATACACTCGTGCCATTATTGATGCGATTCACAATGGAGAATTGGCAAAACAACCAACTGTTGAAATGGAAATCTTTGGTTTGCACATTCCAACCAAGTGTACTGGTGTTCCTGATGAATTGCTCATTCCAAAGAATGCATGGCCTGATAAGGAACTTTATAATGATGAATTGAACAAGTTGTGTTTGTTGTTCAACAAGAACTTTAGTGCCTATGCGGATAAGGCCTCTGAAGAGGTGATTCAAGCTGGTCCAAAGAGTAATACGACCAAACAATTTGATGTCAAGGTGACTCGTGAGGCATAAAATTCTGACACGAGTGCATTTTTTGTAGAACCTCAATAAAAATATATTGTCAAACGAATTCGTTAATACCTTTATTTCGGGGAGCAACAGTACCAACCAGCAGATCAAAGGTGAGATGGCTCTGAACGGTGAATTTGTTGCTTGATTAATTGTCCTCATCTAGGTCGTTCCAAGTATGAGCTGGAAGTTCTTTCTCGATTTTTTCCCTTTTTTCATTAATTTCTTTCAATAATTGATCCCACCCACATGTCAGGTTAGGATATAATTTGGCACACCACTCAATGCATTTGCCACACTTATAAAGGCAGGTTGATTGCATCTCAGCCGAATCATATACCTTGTCCACAAGAAAAGTTGGAACAAATCCCTCCAATAATGTTACTGCTATTAAGGTTTCGTTTAACCTCAAATAATGCTCAATTAACGTGGTGATGGCTGCAGAATATGCAGATATTTCACTACATGAACATTTGTCTGTAAATAAACCGATACTTGAATCCTTCATATGCTCAACAACTTTCCAATGAATGGAAGAAACATAGTAAAACGATAGACCGACAATCCAATCTGGCTCTTTAACTTCCTCACCCCAACCAGTTTCCGTTTTCTCATGTGGAGAGGATAATCCTGGACTTGCATAGAAGAAACGGGAACAATCACTGAGAGATGGTTTGCAGGACATGATCTGCATGAATTTTTCTTCATCAAAAATACCATTAAGAATTAACTCTTCAATTAAAATGGAAGCACATTTGTCACTTCCAAAGAAGAGAGAGTCTTGGTTTTTTGAAGAGAATTCACAAAATGTAACTTGTTCATCATGTCAAACACTTTCTTTTTCGTTTGCTCTGGTATATAGAGCTTATTTTCTCTTTGAATGTTCATTAATAAACCTTCTTTAAGGGATGTGATAAGCATTGAATCCAATAATCCATACATGGCATATTGTTTTATGTTTGACATTATAGTTTCAAATGCCTGTTCATTATTAAGCTCCTTCAGATGATGGGTTTGAAGAATCGACCAAAAATTCTTTTGAAACAAATAAGAGAATAGACAATAGTTATTTGCTTGCTCATAATAGAATCCTGTTTTGATGTTGATCAGTAATAATGCCTCCGAACACAAAAGAATCTTCTTCAAACATTTACCAGGTTTTGCTTTGACATTCAACACTTCCTTTACCATTTCATTAAGATCCATTCCTTCAAAAGCAAGATAGATGGCTACTCTACAAGCAGAATCTTTTGTATACTTGTCACTATATATCTCTTGGGATAATTGATATGCTTCTTGTGAATGTTTGCCCATTAAATAACTAGCATCATCAAGTATCCATAATACTCTAATCCAATCTTTTATACGACTCTTGTTTGTTGGTGGATTTTTGGTGAATGATTCCTTTTGGTTTATTCCTTTTGGTTTTTTAGTTTTGAAAAGCCAACAGAGTCTAAAAGTAAATTATTCTTCAACGAGTAAAGAGGATCTTTTCTTAACTGTTGTTTGATCGTATCGGGATTATCAAGAACAACTGTTAAGTGTTCGTTCGGAAGAGTTTTTTGGTTTCGAGAAATACACTCCAAGAGAACCTTATGGGGTGGGTGGTGGTTGAGGAATCATTTTTTGTGAAGATCAACTAATTTATTGTTCGGGAATCATTTTTTGTGAAGATCAAATCACCAACAAATTTATTGTTCGGGAATTATAAATCTTGAATCACTTGTTGTTGTGGATGAAGAAGGTTGAGTGCACTAAATGATTAAGCCTGATGAATCTGAACCAAACAATAGATAGATGGTCACCGGAACTAATCCACCTTAGAAAACAAATACCAACTGTAGGAATGGAGAAATAAAAACAGGTAGCAACTCTAAATCCTCTCGAAGAAGAAGGTCGATCTAGACCTCCTACCCATCTACTAGACTGCCCTAAAACTAGGATCTTCAGAGACAACTTGTGTTTCGAAAGAGTAAACAATAAAATTCGTTTGTTTGTTAATTTAAGGAAGAACTAACTATGGTCTCGCCAAACACCCGACCTTGATAAAAACTCCAAAAACCATTCAGCGGAAAAAAAGGAGAAAACCAAAGAAACTCAAGGAAGCAGGAAGGATGAAGGCAGAGATGAAGACTCCATGATGTGAAGAAGTCACAGTTAGGCGGAAGAGATGAAGACTCTATGATTTGAGGTCACATTTAAGCATTTGCTTGATAAATCCATGAAAATAATAATAATTTGATAAATCCATGAAAATCATGAAGAATTAAATAAATGAAAATTAAATAATAAAAATATATAGTGAGCTCAGTAAAATTGGATTGCCGAAAAGATTCGATCAAGGTGGACCTTCACTGTCACAACTTTCTTCCTTACCACAAGAACATTCCGATCAGAGAAAAAGGTACCTTAGAAGCTTAAGAAAGCAAGTGCGAAAGGGAGTGCGAATGGGTGGGAAGTCACGACGCAAAGAGACTCTATACCATTAATATTGTGTGATTTTCCAAAAAGTGAGAAAAAAAATTGTAAATCTTTTGGTCAAAAATTATTTGACTCCCCAAATAAATTTATTTGAATGATCGAATGAATATTTTATGAATACATTTATACATACACGATATCATTTAATAATCGTTATCCTCCAGCATACTGTTTTCATCATCACGATCAGTACTAGTAGTAACTAATAAAGAACCACTTCACTTCTCACTCCCTTCTTCTGTTAGACTCTAACACAATGGATCCTCTTGGAACCAGTTTGGCATCCAATAAGGTGATTCTCTTAAATACACTCGAATCATATTCAGCATGTGGAAATTGAACAATAAATACACAATCATTCATGGACACATTCACAGCACTACTATTCTGTTGAATCGCATCAAATAAATCTTTTAAAGTATTTCCTCCAAGTAATGAATCAATTCTCACAATACTGCCACCATGAGGTAATCTCACTTGAATAGAACAAGATGAATGAACGGTGAAAAAGTTCTTCAAGGAGTCATAATGATGAGACTTGTCGTCCTTATCATTGATCAGAGAGGATAAATGAATGTCTTTGGTTGTACTTGTTTCATGTACATTCGATGACAACAATAATTGATGTTTCTTTTCATTTCTCTCCTTTTTATCTTCTTCTAATCTCTTTCTGACCATATCAAGTTCCTTCTTCTTTTGAATCTTTTCTAATTTACATTGTTTGACATCTTTCTCTCTTTGTCTCTCTCTAAATTTTTGTTTTTCTTCCCATGTATCTCCTTTTAATCGATAACTTGATCCAGCATATTGTAAAAAATATTCAACAGGTAAATAATTCATTGGCTCTGATGTCTTGTCAGATTTTAAATCTTTCTCTCCAAATCCATAATCAGTCATATCATTCTCAATAATAATGTTACCATTTGGACATAGATTTAATTGTTCCAATGTGTAGAGAGACATATTGGTGTTATTAAAATAACTAATAGTAGTAGATGTGGAGAATTCAATTGAATGACTAGTAGATGTGATATCACCACCATTGCCACCACCGCTATTACCACCATGATTACCACTATTACCACCACTCTGTAATATTCTTGCAGCTGGTATTCGAATTCTAATATTTTTATAATCCTTTCCTTTTTCACTTGAAAATATATATTGACATACTTGAGTTAACTTGTCATTGGAATTAAATTTAGCCTTTGTAATTGTACCATCAATGAATCGAATTTGAATAATACATGGTTCAGAATACAGATCATTACTCTCTACAGATTCAAAAATAGTTTCAAGTGATTCTGATGGTTTTGTTGGTGAATTTAATGCCATTCTATTATCAATATTTGGATAATCAATACTAATTGTTTTTTTACCAATATGAGGATCTGTTCGATATGCTTTTAATAATTTTTCTTTTTCTTGTCTTTCTTTTTTCATTGCTTGTTCTTGTTCTTTTTTTAATTTTTCAATAAATTTCTTTTTTTCAGTGAGTGGATTTAAAATATCAGAGAAACGATTTAATTCTTCTTCTCTTTCTTTGATAATATCTTGTGTGGATTTTTCAATTAATTTTAATTTGGGTTTGGAAAATGTTGTGGATGTTGATTCGGATAACGTAGGATTGGCATGATGGTAATTCTGTCCATCAGTGGTATTGTTGTTATTGTTCTGATGGTACTGATTATCATTCTGTGTTGTTACAGCATGACCCTGTTGTGGTCTTGTTGATGATGGTATTGATGAAGAAGAGTTATTATTACTACTACTACTACTCGCATGAATTGATGACAACCATTGATTTCTCTTCTCAGCGGCAAGCCTTCGATCATCAGCGAGCGGATCTGACATTTTTTTTAACTCAAGTTTGAAAAATTAATTCACCAACCAACCACCCTTTTTCCTTCTCTTCATCCTAATCCTTTCAATAATTTTAATAATTTTAATCATATAATAATAATTTTAATCATACAATAATAATTTTAATAATAATTTTAATAATAATTTTAATAATAATTTTAATCCTCACCTCCAATTATCACATCCAATCATCATCAAAATGAAAATCCGAGATACACTCCTCAAAACCATTTCAAATACATCGGATGAAGCCTATGATCGACTCTTCAATCCCAAACATGTCCATTCTCGTCCCCTCCATTCTCGTCCCTTTCCCCTCCATACTCGTGTGTGGTATCTGGTGGTGAGTGTGTCGTATCTGAGTGCTGTGTTTGGTCTATTGGAACATGTGAATCGAATTGAAATGGCAGTGGATCGAGAAATGTCATCCATGACGGCACACTATGAGAGACTCATGTTGAATCAACAAGGAATATTTGGATCTAAATTTGATTTGGAACAATACATTCAATCACACGCCAATCAATATGGTGTGGAATGGAATGCTACGAAAGCAAACATGTACAAGACGAATCGAAGACAATACATTGAGACATTGGAAGAGTTGGAACAAGTGAAAAGAGATTTGAGATCCATGATGACAAAGATTCACTCGGACAACAAGAATAGTAGTATTAATAGTAGTATTAATAGTAGTAGTGATAATAATAGTAGACCATAGGAGGAGGAAGAAGAGGATGATGATCTGTACAGGTTGTTGCAATGAAGTAATGAAAATACTCATCGAATTCAATTGAGCCAAACACTACATGTTGTGCATTCGAATTTAAAATTTCCTTTATCCACTGCTACTGCTCCTTTCTCTAAAAAATTCCACTACTCCTTGTTCTTCTGCTACTGCTACTACTACTCCATTGACCAACAACAATAATACCAAATGTCCATGACCAATCCCTACAATCTTCATTGTCCTCATTGTAATTGTAAAATTATGCGAGCTAATATTGGACAATTGATCACAACAACATCCTCTTCGTTGGATCATCCATTATTATTATTGGAATTACCACTCTCAACTCTCTCCGATACAAAAACATACAATGAATGGTGTTTTGTGAATGATATGTATGATTTTGAGAATATTGCATTTACGAATACTACTATGAATACGAATACTACTACTATGAATACGAATACCACCACCACCAATCCAACCACAATTCGTTATTTAACTTGTGCAGATTGTGAAAAACAAGTGATTGGAATTGCATGGATGAATGAAAAGAAATTTTATGTGGCTACTGAATTATTATTAAAGAAATAGAGAATTGATGATTACTAAGTAAGCCATCCATCGTATAGTATATAATAATATTATGGATGATCATTGTGATGATGACATTTCATCTGGTACAATCATGATCGTGACTGATGATGCCATTTCAATCCATCCATTTCAATGAATACAACTACTACTACTACTACTACTACTACATGATGACAATATCATCACACTGAGTGGTGGTGGTGGTGGTGTTAGTGGTGGTGTTGGTGTTTTCACAACCTGTTACAATAATTTTTATTCTCGAATTTTAAAAAAATAATGAATCCTAAAAATAACAAGAGTTCAGAACAACCACCACTCACTCGCCGCCCATTATTATTACCAGAGTCATCATCATGTCATCATGCCATCGTACCCAACAACAACAATGAAGAAACTGCTGACCCAACCATCGTGATGACAACCAAAAACATTCCATCATCCATCATCTTTTATCAATTATTATCCTTTCTCAAGAAATATGAACAAACATTTAATTTAATAAAAAAACAAAGAATAACAGAACAAACAAACCATCACGATTCGTTCATGAACCATGATCATGAACATTCTCAACAACAACATCACCAGCAGCATGCTATGAATGATCACATCCTTCACTCGTCATCGTCGTCGTTGTGCTGTACAACCACTACCAACACTACCACAACTCCAATCCATCCTACCACTTGTAACACATACAACAATACCACTTGTAACACATTCACCAACAACAATACCACTTTCAATAATGAAGAAGAGAAAATTGTTGATTTCTTTATTTTTGATCATTTCAATACAACCATTCCAAAAGATGAATGGAAAGAACAATTACTTTCCATGTCCACAAGTGAATTAATTGAAATGTCACAATATCATCATGTCAATGTTAGAAAAGATTCTTCTCTCAATGATTTTGTAAATGAATGTAAACAATTAATGGATTTAATAGTTACAAGTATGAGTGGTAATGATGATCATACTAATCAAGACAGTAATAATAATAGTAGCAGTAGTAGTATTAATAATACTAATAATACTAATAATACTAATAATAATAATAATAATAATAATAGTAATAATAATAATCATCACTTCATGGATGGTCATGTCAATAATAAGAGAATACGAAGAAACAACAAGAAATCTCTTTCAAGTAATACTTGTTTATTAGAAAAAGGTTTAAATATTAAAAAAAAGTATGAAATTGAAATACTAAGTCAATTGATTAGAAATCTATCTAAACAATATCATATTAATAGTATATGTGATATTGGAGGTGGACAAGGATATTTAACACAGAAAATTCTTATTGATCAAGAATTAGAGAAATGGAATTCAAATAACAATCACTTGAATATCAATTCTAATAATCCTTCTTCGAATATCAATACAAATAATAATCACTTGAATATCAATTCTAATAATTCAAATTATTCTTCGAATCTCAATTCTAATCATATTTCTCAAATATCACACATTTATACTATTGATTGCAATCATTATTTAACACAAAATGCAACTAAAAGAATTAAAATGATTCGAAGAGTATTGAACAATCAATTATTAAGAAGAGAATCAATTGATTCATCATTGAAAACAGATAAGTGTAATGATCATCATTCATCTTGTGAATATAAAGCCATCACTTCACATTTATCCTTTACTTTGAATGATGAAGAATTTTCAAAAATAGTACAAGAATTAGAATTGACATTATCTAATGAGAATACTAGTAATAATAATACTAATTATAGAAATACTAATAGTATTAACAATAATAATAGTACTAGCAATAACAATACTAATACTAATAATAATACTAATAATATCACAAATGGTTATAGCATGAATAGTCTTAGAAATGACAATGGTCACGACAGTGGTCATGAACAATTACATCATCCTCACAATGATCGTCGTCTTGTCTTGATTGGACTTCACACTTGTGGATCTCTTGCTAGTTCGATGATTAAATTATTTTTAGCATCCAACAAATGTCATGCCATGATTAATATTGGATGTTGTTATCATAAATTATGTGAAGGACAAAGTTTTCCATTATCATCCTCATTCTATCAACAACCGACATCACAATTCACACCCATCTATTTATCCAATTTAGGAAAATCAATGGCATGTCTAAATCCATATATCTGGAATTCAAAAGATTTAAAATCATGTCAAGAACAATTTCGATTGAAAAGTTATAGATATGCATTTCAATACTTGTTATATCAATGGATGGGATATGATGCAATTAAGAATTTAATTATTAGACAACCATCTAGAACAAATAGTATTGTATCATTTGGAAGATTTACATTTTATACTTTACAAAATCTATTACAAGACTATCCTGAATTGAAGAATCATGAAATATTCTCTTCACTTTCTTTCATGAATAATCAAGAATTATTTGAAAAGACATATAATGACTATTATTCAAAGGAATTTCAACCATGTCCACATACGGATATTGTAAAGAAAGTGGAGGCATGTTGGTTTTTTAGAAGTTTGATAGGACCATTGTTGGAATGTTATATTTTACTGGACCGTTTAATCTATTTGCAGATGCAACAAGAAATTCCATTAGAGACTGCTTATCTAAAAAGAATATTTGACCCATCTCTCTCTCCAAGAGGTTTTGTGTTGGTGGCTGTGAAAAAAATCATTCAATAAACGTTTAATGTCACCTCTCATTGAGAGAGAGTAGTCACAAATTTGTGTTCAATAATTTCTCCAATTCTTCGTTTATATGCATTTTATATGACATTTGGCCTTTTTTGCGACAAAAAACAATTATTTTTGTTGAGAATTGCCAATCAACTTGTTGAGGTCATCATTAACGATGAGGTTTCCTTCGAAAAGGAACAATAAATTGGCAAGTCTTGAGGGATTTCAAAAAATCATCCTATTGTGGTCTTGATAGTTCTTTTGAAAAGTGTTTTGTAACGAAAACAATAATTGGAGGTTGACTTTTTCATCTCTAAAAATATACCAACTCCAATGCACAAGCAAAACAGCTCTCTAAAGAGCAAAGCAACCACATCAATCTGCTTTGAAACCACTCCCTCCCATTATTAAGAGAATTTTTTCTTGGTCACAATCGATTTCCAGAATTTGGATCATCTTCCTTTACTTTTTTTGTTTTTTTCTTTTCTCTTCTCGTAGCGACAAAACATCCTTGAACGTATGTATTTAGTTACATAACGTTAAATAATACTTTCTTGTAAAAGAGAAACCAAGATCAATTGTGGTTGAACTGAGAAAGATGTTCATAAGTTGGAAATTAAAAGGATCGCACAATTCAACAAACCATTATCTGTGATTCTCTAATGCTTATAAACAACAAATACAGAAGAATATCCATCGAGTCATTAATACAATTGATACTAAGATATTTATAATCATATCATAGAATATGATTATTCTATAGATTATTTGGAATAATCTGAATTTACTTACGATAAAGTTCATTGATCATGTGAACGAAACACTTCTATAATCTATATTCGTAAGTTTATTATATTGATTGTACTTTTATTGGAAGTAATTTTATTGAAAGTTAAATGCTTTATTTCTCAAATAGATGAGGTTATTGTCGATTAATGTTGGTTATTTAGTAGATACAATTAGAATGTATATTAACAAACATTTTAAGGCTATTATACATCATTAATGTCTAAATGAACAAATTGAGTCTGTAATAGCCTATCAGCAACAAGTAACCTATTATATGTACATACGGATGAATTAGTTGCTTCTTAATGAGGTTAGATTAGAATAAAAAAGAAAAATACCATATAACTGATGAACGTCACAAAGACATAAAACATCATAAAACAAACCAATAATGACAAGTAAAGAAATAAAAATTAAAAGGCCAAGCCATGAAGTCAAAAGAAATAACAAGTGTTAAAAAAATTCTCTCTTAATAATGGCAGGGAGCAGACGAAGATGCTGTAAAGTTGCAGCTTGGTTGCTTTGCTCTTTAGAGAGCTGTTGTGAATTGGAGGTTGACGAATTTTTCATTTATTTTGAACCAGCAAAGCTCTGAACGAACCACCAGGTCTCTAAAAATGATTAAATTCACGTGTTCTTTTGTAACACATTCTCCTCCAACCATTTGTTAATGTCACTCACAACTTTGTACGAAGATGGTGATCCATCTAAAAGATCCATCATTGCATTTTCATATTCAATCAATTTTCTTGAGCATTCATTACAACTCGAGAGTACAATTAATCTCTTTAAATTATTCACTGGTGTCAATACATTCTTCTTTCCATGCAAAACAAGTAAATTTTTCACTCTTTTCAACAATTTAAGAGATTCTGATTTGTTTACCTCTTCCAATAGGGATAGAATGGCCTTAGCTGTTGATACTGTCCACATATTTGGCATTTGTCTTAATTCAATGCCAGCAATTCCAGAAATGGTATATTTCGAAGGTGTCATAGGATCACAAGTCTTACCATCATGATCACCACTACCATCACCACTACCATCACCACTACCATCACCACTACCATCACCACTCCTACTACTACGAGTAGAGTCTTCTTGACCAGTCTTTGAATACAATGGATTCACCCATCGATTCAATAATTCATACAATTCTTCTTCAGCAAATACAGATGCACCCTTGTAGTAATAGGGATCATTGATCACTTTTTGAATTCTCTTTCTTGTCATCATGTATTCAATGGGTGGTAACAATGAATGAGTTGGATAAGATGGTAAATAATAGGTAATTAGTCTCATTAATAAATCTTTGGAAGGTGATAACATTTTCTCTGGTGATATTTCAAATTGAGTTTCATCATCATCAGGATAAGGATGTGGTGATACTAATGGACATGATAATAAAATGTGATGAAATAACTTGTTGTCTCGTAATGATGATTCATATCTATGACTACTACTACTACTACTACTACTACTACTCCTTAATAATTGTTCAAATCTTAATGTAAGTAATCCTCCCAATAGATCACCAATGAATACTATTGGTAGTTGTTGTGAATCAAATTGTTGTGAATGACTGTCAGATTCACCCATCAAATGTTTCAAATGCATTGGAATTCTTTCATTCACCACTTGATGTAAATCTTGTAGATATGGAAATTCTGTATTACTACTACTAGTCAAAGTCGTAGTATTTATAAAAAATCGACTACCACTTGAACGTCCATGTCCTCTCAAATCAAATCTGTAAACAATAAAATTATAGTCATGAATTAAAATAGAATCAATCCAATCTTTTTCTAAACGATCATCAACCATGAATTCCGAATGAGATCCAAAATTATGTACAAATACAATAATACCATTGTATTTAGGAGAATGATTTTGTGATGAATGTTGATATTTGATTCTTTCATAGATCCAATGAGAGGATGAACCATGAGATTGAAATCTTTGAGAATGATCCATAATGATGATGGTAGTGTTATTCGTTGAAGTACAAGTAGTATTGGTACTACTACTACTATTACTAGGATTAGATTGATGATTTAAAGATGTCGTATTATGATTTTCATTCAGTGATGATGGTGGTGGTGGTGATACTATTGAATATTGACGAGTAAAAGATAACAAAGTTGTTGAGTCGATGACATCGATACCACTCTTGTTACTACTAGTACAACGAATATCATCATAATATGGATCTATATCGTTGGGTGGTATTTGACTATAAATATTATAAAGAATCATTCCATAGAAAAGTAAAATGATTGGGAATGTGATGGCCATATATCGAAGAGCACTGAACCATAGAGTACTTCTATGTATTGATACTGGGTGTGAAGAAGGAGTAGTAGTAGTAGTAGTAGTATTGGTTGTAGTTGTTGTTGTAGTTGTTATTGTACTCGCACTCGTACGAGGAGAGGATGTTGTTGTTGCAACACTACGATTGCTGGATGATTTTTTCGAATTCTCTTTTGAATTGGTGGGCGAGCGATTTGTCATTTTTTTAAAAAGTTTCAACGAGACCAATTAGTTTGTGTGTTGTGGTCCTTTTTGTAGGATTTGACCAAGTGAATTCACTCTAATACTTTATGGTCTTTGAAAACATTGAATTCATTCACACTCAGTGAGAATGATGAAAAACAGATGTCGGATGAGCAAAAGAGTAATTCATTGGATGGAGAATATTCATAGACAGGTTTTTAATCCACCACTACATTAAAAAATGTCTGTGTCTCTTGCTTGATTCAGTTCAGCTTGTCCGAATTTTATGGTCCTTTTGTTAATATGCTCTCCACCAACATCATGTCTTTCTTGTCAATTTTATGTGGACAACGATAACAGTAATTCATAATCTCTTGACATGCATGTTATCTTATTGCTCTATGAAAACACATGTTACGGACCAATCCCAAACTTTTTAAGTGACAGTTCAAATGAACGAATGGAAATTACTGAATAATTAATTGAAAGTGACAATGGATTAGAATCATGTAAATAATGTGATCGAAATTTAGATTGTCATGTGTTCAAGTTTTCAAACACGGAATACTTTTATTTCCAAAAGAGTGTATCGAACAATTATTTTCTTCATAGGAATGCATTGATTACTTGCTTTGGATGAATTCAATTAATTAATGGAATTGTAGTGTTAGAAGAGAGCTGAAACAAACACTCTTTCATATATAATTTTAAAGATGCTGTTTGGTTGGTTAATTCCTCATGAAGAAAAGCCTTTGAACACAAAACCTGAGGCTCAATCAACAACACACGTGCGTGCGTGTATGGATTCCAAGCAACAAAAAATTTCATCATTACCAAAGATTGCATCATCATCACCCGAGACAACCTGTGTTGTTGCTTGCAAAAACACGTTCACCGTAGAGTCCACCTCACCATCACCATCATCATTATTATTATTATTCATCACTTGCCATTACATTGGTGATAGCCTTGATTTTTTGTATATTCGGGTGATGAGGACATTCATCACGAAATAACAATCATCATCATACATAACCCTAAATCTTAGCCGTTCGGCTATATACTACGCATCAAGTCCCACCACATCGTATACAATGATATCTACCATTCCTTCCAATATTAATACATCAACACCATCCGTAGAAAATACCACAACAACAACCTCCATGAGCCTAGAGTTTAATCCCACTATTGCTTCCTCTGCTCATAACAACAACTCTTCTAGGACACCATCATCTCCACCTCACAAACAAACACCTTCATCACCTCTCTCCGCTACTATTGATAGCAATGATAAACCAACAACAACCGAATCTACCCAGTTGGTTACAAACGAATTGTCTGAACTATTGCTAGGCATCTACATGAAGAATGCAATACAAAGCAGTGTAAAGAGGAAAGTAGAAGAGGTTGCTATCGACAAGACAACATCCAATGCCCTGTCTTTTCACTACAAGAAAAGACAAGCATTAGTGAGGACTGATCTCGAGAAACCAAAAAGTAGTAGTGCTCCTACTCTTGCCATGGCATCTACTGCAACAACAGTTATCGAAAGAACCACAAGTGTTCGAGACAGCAGCTGCTCTACTCCTGCTGATTCTACCGAGATTACCGTAAAAACAGCTGTAACTCCATCTATTCCTTCCATCGCTTTAAATATTTCAACAACAGTTATCGAAAACACCTCATCCAACATTTCTAATGAAGATCATGTGAAGAACAAGTTGGACAACCAACAATCCGCATCAATCACTTTTCCAACATCTCAACAAATGTCCATTACAGATAACAATGAAACTGATAGCGAAACAGAAGAAGAGAGATTCACAAGAACATTTATGGAGGATTATGTGAATGATGATTTAATTGTGAATAAGGATGAAGAGACAAATATAGTGTCTGTGAACGTTAAAGATTATGTGATGGATCACTTTAGAAAAACATTGTTATTAGAATGGGATAATTACAAGAGATCCACTCAGTTTAAATATGAGTGGATAGAAACACGTATTAAGCATCTACAACAAGAATATAATTATGTGTTGGATTTGTTGCATGAAAAGTATAATTTAATACAATCAAATTCCACTCAGAGTAGTAGTGATAACATTTCTGAAACATTCAAGTATAATCTCAATTATGGAGATACATTTAAACCAACTTCATTGTTACAAGAGACTTTACTTTTGCCATTTAAGAGAAAACATGATTTTCTTCAACATCCATTTTTTAGCAGTTTTGAAGAGTTATTCAACAGAGAATTAGAACACTTTAGACAATTGAAAGAAAAACAATCCGATTTGGCAACTATTTCATCTCATTGGTTATCTGCAGTAGCTGGTGGAGCATCTTCTGTTGTTAGACAACAACAAGTGACTACTACTACTACTAACGATACTACAAGTGAAAGTGCTACACATGGAGTAAGTGGTGATGGCACTGTGAATACGAGTGTGAGTAATAACACCACCCATACCAATACCAATACCAATACCAACAATACCAACAACAACAACACCAATACCAACAAAACACTCTCTTCATCCATGGGTCCACTCTCACCATCTTGTTCATCTCTCTCAATTATTACTCTCAATTTAAATTGTCATCCAGGATCATCACTACCCCTTACTTCTCCTCAAACTAATAAGATTATGTATCCATTGCCATATATTACCTCTGCTGATATTTTGGACTCTTTGCAATTAATCTATAATCCATCTACATCCTATTCAAACTATCCTTTACCTAGAAGAACATATCCTTTATCCTTTTCTAATATTATGAATCAATACAATAAGAAGAAAATTTCTAAAAGAGCAGGATCGACTACAAGAAGATCAGTTTCTATTCATCGATCTGCTGGTTTTCGTAGAAGTAGAGGTGCTGAAGACAATCCAACTGAAGATATTGTCATTTTTGATACTGGTGTTTCTAATATTAAGGACATTAAATATAAGGAAATTGTAACACCATCCTTTAGAGTGTTGACCAATGAAGAATTATCTCAATTACCAACCATCAATGAGACAGAAGAAGAAGAAGATATTTCAGATGCTAGATATTGTTATTTACATATTGATAGTGAAATGCAAGAAAGACAAAAGTATTATCTTGCATCACTTCCTGTAACAGATAAAAAGAAGAAGAAGAGTCAGACAGACGAGGAAGAAGAGATTCGTAAGACTATGAACTATCAAGTTCCAGATTATGAAACTATTGTACAAGCATTTGAGAATTTCAAAGAATATTCTTCAGAAGATCATTTTCCAAAAGCACCCACCAACAAATTTTCTGAACATTTTACCTATCTTGTTCCTAAAGATCAAATGATTGCACAGACAATGAGCAGTAGCAGTACTACCACTACCACTACCACCACCACCACCACTACCACTCATACATCTACTGCTGCTACTCCAACCTCTTCCAAAACCACACTCATGAATGCCAAATTAGCATACACTGCTCAATCGAGTTTGACATCTCCTCAAAAGAAACAAAAAGATAAAAAGACAGCAGATCAGAATGTCATACCAAGATGGAAACTAATTACTGTTGAATCCTATGTTCCTCATCCAATGGCTCCATGTGAAGATAAGAGAGGAAATTGGGAAGAATTGAAATTTAAGAGTAGAGAGAGAATGCAAAGTTTATCACTTTCTGTTGATACTCCAATATTGAATCCAACAGCCATGATTGCACCATCAAACATGGATGATGAAATCAATTCAAGAAAAAGAATGTCTCTGGTTGGACAAGCATCCATGTTGGAGGATGAAATGATTGAAGTCAATGATAATTATGACTCTTTGTCACCTGTTCCAACTTTCAATACTGTAGAGACGATTAGAACTTATGCTAGTTCAAATAGAAAACGTAAAAAGCCACCATCTAGTATGGATGATGATGATACTCTTATTGCACTCTCTGAGGATGAAGATGATTCTAGAAAAAAGTCACTCATTCATGATAGTGATGAAGATGCTGATGATGAAGATTATATTGAAAGTAGAGACAGAAAGAAGAACAAATCCAGTACAACAACAACAACAACGAGTGTTAGTTCTTCCTCAAGAGGAAAGAAGAGAGGTCCAGGAAGGCCATCCAAGAATGCAGCCAGTGATTCTTCTGCAAGTTTCATTGCTGAACAAGTGACTGAGACCAAGCTTGTACTCAAGTTAAATGGAGGAGGTAGCAGTGTGAATACATCCTCCTCAGAAAAGAAACACTCAAGTAATGGAAGGCATAAAAAACATCACAAATAGTGGCCACTATTTATCAATAAAGTCCCAGTTTGTTTTCTGCCAATGATCCATCAACTATCTTTTGATTTTCACTTGTCAAAAAAAATCTGTCTTTTCCCAGAGGAAGCTTTGGGCACAATCCTGCGATCTGACAACGCCGTTATACGTCCTCATCATTCTCTGAATTGTATCAACTCACTCTGTGTGTCGACACAGGATTGTTGTTCCTCTCTTGACATTCAAAAGAACGAACCGATCATCCCCAACCTAACACATTCTTCCTAAGGTGTGGTGTGGTGTGGTGTTTTAACAGCAACGCGCGGTGAATTCATTGTTCTTCATCATTGGAACACAAGTCTCCTCTCTCACCCACTCTCTCTCACCCACTCTCTCACACCAAAACACACTTCATTCACACTCCGCACACACTCACAATCCGCACACTCTCACACTCCGCACACACTCCATCACCTCTTGCAATATGCTTCTCAATCAAACCTCTTCTCTCGTCCGTTCCTCCAAATTCAGACATTTGAATGGTCATGAATCAACCAAGAGTGAACGTCACGAAAACATTCCTGTGGGTTATGGTCAAAAATTATCCAATACCTTAAAAACAAATGGAACACTCTATGTATTACCTTACCAGTCGACGGGTGGTAGTCTTCTCTCCTACAAGAGAGTCAATGATTATGGGAAATGGGATGAAAAGATTCAAAATTATGGACTCATCAAAGCTCATAAAGGAAAATTATCAGATTTTGATTTATCACCATTCCGAGATCGAAATGATTTATTGACAGTCTCCAATTCTGATAATACCATTCGATTGTGGAAATTAAATTGTTCAGAAGAAGAATCGACAATGAATTACAAAATATTAGAAGATTGTGATTTGGAATTGAATGATCCCATCATTACATCCTCTCATTCCAATATTTCCATGATTAGTAAGGTTGTTTTTCATCCCTATATTGAGAAGAGTATTGTGAGTGTTCAAGGAGAGTACATGTATTGGTGGGATTTGGAAAAACGAAAAATTCACTTGTCCTTACGTCATCAAAAGACCTTTTCATCAACAACATCATCAACAACAAGTACTACATCTTTGATCACCACTGAGAGTGTCTCATGGAATGACAATGGTCAATGGATGATTTGTGGTACATCGGATCGTTTCATTCGTATCTATGACATTCGAAGTGGTTCTCAGGGTGGTGGTGGTGGTGGTGCATCATCATCATCCTCTTCATCCACTGCAGCTGTTCAATTCGTAGAAGCTCACTCCAGTATGAAACCTTTTCAAGTTCTTTACAACAATGGTACTCCCTATGTCACAAGTGTGGGTTTTTCCAAATCAGGTTCACGTGAATGTGCACTCTATGATACTCGAAAAGATTTGAAATGTTTACAACGAGTTCCAATTGATAATGGTGCATCTGTATTGACACCTTTCTATGATCCAGATATTAAATTACTCTATTTGGCAGGAAGAGGAGATGGTAATATTCGATTCTATGAATTAGAAGGTGGTACTCTTCATTATTTGAATGATTACAATTGTTCTTCAGGTGCAAGTGCAAGTGTGGATTGGATACCCAAATGGAAATTATCTGTCAATGATTTTGAATTGGCACGTTTTCTTAGATTAACCAATGACAAGACAATTGAAACTCTATCCATGAGAGTGAGTCGAAAATCCAATATTGAACAATATTTTCAAGAAGATATATTTCCAGACACTTGGGATGGAATGCCAGTGTGTGAGAGAGTGAGTGAATTTGAGAGAATTTCTCAGAGTGGTGGTGGTGGTGGTGGTGGTGGTCATAGTAGTAGTGGTCAGAGTGGTCAAAGTGATGACAAGGATACTCTTTCATCATTGAGGAAAACCATGTCATTGAAACCTGAAGGTAAAATTTCAATTTATGATGTACCAGTGAGTGAGGGAGGAAAAGTGAGACCCTCAAGTGCTGTAACTACAAGTGCTAGCAACAACAATAGTAGTAGTAGTAGTAGCAACACGAGTGATGACACTCATGCTACCGCTACGACGAGTAGTACCATGACGACAGTCACCAAGATACCCTCTCTGAGATCTCAACTTGTGATTGGCGCCAATCAAGATTCGACGACTCTCTTGTCCCCAACAGAAATTACGAGACAATCTCTCTCTCTCTCGATGGCATCATCGATAGCAAGGAATTCTGCACTCGCTGCAGCCAATCGACCATGGTATTCTAAATTATTCTCTGGTCTAGGTTATTATGTAGGAATGGCCATGTTCTTACTCTTTCGATTTACTTTCATTTCCATACCTGTATTTGTCTATAGAAAGACCACTGGATATCAACCACCACCACCACCACTACAGGAGAGATTTGAGCGGCAAGTGCCACCCATGGTGATGAGCAGAATGTCAACAGCAGCAACAACAGCCTCACACCACAAGTCTTCCATAAACACTACCACCACCCCTTCCAAGCATCAAGTAGTAGCACCCTTGAATGATTCACCTACGTTGAGTACGAGTACTAGCACAAGTACCACCTCTTCAACGACTCCAATCTATTCCAAAGAAGGAATGGAAATTGCACGTGAATATGGTCGAATGATCATGCAAGAATATATTGGTTCACTCACTAGGGATGACATCTTTCCTAAAAGAGCCATGGATAAGGATCCTCTCTTGAAAAAATCTCATGTTCTTGAAATTGATGTAGTGGATGTGAAAAAGGGTTCAACTCCTCTCTTGATATGGGTGAAAGGTAGAAAGAAAGCAAGAGCCACATGGGTTCCATTGCATTGGTCTTCTCTCAACCACAATGATTGTTTCTTATTGGATACTGGTAAAATTGTTTATATCTATAATGGACAATATTCGAACAAGTTGTGTCGAGCCAAAGCATTGGATATGAGTCAAATGATTAAATACAAAGAGAGAGGTGGAGATTGTCAAGTGGTGATTATTGATGGTGGAGTGTACACTAATTTGACTAATTCGACCAGTTCCAATTCGACCAGTTCCAACTCGATCAACACTTCTTCTGACTTGACTCCACTCCTCAAAAAACAAATGACTCAATTTTGGACCTTGTTAGGAGTGAGTGATCCTCTCGGCGGAGGACCACCTCCCACTGAAGACTCTTTTATGAAATTACTCTCTGAACAATATCCACCTGTGGAGAGAGTTCAAATGAAATCTTCAAACACATCCTCTTCAACACACACATCCAATGTCTTTTCCAAACTCAAACTATCTGAAAAGAGCAAGTACATGTGTCAAGATGAAATCTCTGATGACTTGTATCAACAATTGAATGATCTTGGTCAACGTCTCTACAAATTAAATTCAGAAATATTTGAAGAAATGCCACTCCAAATTGAGAAACAAGAAACACAAGATGCATATATTAAAAGAATTGCACCTCACATGTTGAGTGTGATTAAATTGAATCAAGTACCACATGGAGAAATGGAAACACTCTCTCAACTCAAAGAATGTATTGAAAAAGGAGAATTGAATCAATTAGAAATTATTCAACCAAGTCATCATGTCTTACACTCCGATCAATGTTATATATTTGAATCTCTCTTCACTAATGAAGTATTCTTTTGGAGTGGAAAACAAAGTAATATTAATATTAGAAAATGGGGAATTGCCATTGCAAAGAAATTGGCACAATATAGAGCAAGGAATGATACTCCATTTTCACTCATGAATCCAGTCATTCAACGAGCGAGAAGGAGATGGTCTACAAGTAATTTGAGTAGTATGAGTAGTAATAGTAGTATGAGTAGTACGAGTAATAATAGTAATAATGGCAGTTTCTTCATATCTACAGTCACACGTGTCATTGAAGAAGGTGAACATTCCATGTTCAAACAAAAATTCAGTGATTATCCTGGAATGTTAATGATTCAAACTCAACATCAAGAAGCCTCACGTGGTAACATTGCTGAAAAGAAGAAACAACAAAAAATTCCATTTGAAGAATTATTGAAACAAAAGTATGCATCCATGATGATGATGGTTTCACGAAAAGACATGAATGGTGGTAGTGGTAGTGGTGATCCTTTCATGAATCAGCAACACCAAATATGTAATTCCAAAATTAGAATGTGGCGCGTGAGTGATTTCCAGAGAATACCCTACTCTCATATTGGACACTTTTTCAGTGGTGATGCATTCATTCTTCTCTATTCTTATACCAAAGTAGAGGGTGGTAAACCATTCCATAAACTCTTCTTTTGGCAAGGTAGAGATATTAAAAAGAAAGACAAGGGAACCTCAGCCTATAAGACTGTGGAAGTGAATGAAATGATTGATGAAGGTGTTGTAGAACAACAAGTACGTGTGATTCAAGATAAGGAACCACCTCTCTTTATGGATTTATTTCTAACTGGAGGAGCACTAGAGAGTAGTGGTAGTAGTAGTCGCATCACCACTCAAACCACCACCACCACCACCACAGAGGACAAGTTGAATCAACCACATAGAGTTCCCTATGTGGTTCATAAGGGTAAATATAGAGAATCTGTTTTGGAAGCATTTGAAAAGGCTCAAAAAGGAATGAGCCAAAAGAATGTGTCAATCCTTCGAGGATCCTCTTCCTCTACATGGTCAACAAGTAATAGTAATAATAACACTCCATTGAGTGAACGTGAATTGGCCAATAATGAGGATGAATTATTCTTCATTCAGGATTCAACCACACCTACCACTCCTTCAGAATCACCAGCAAGTGCAACAGCAGTAGCATCATCCTCTTTATGGGACGATGAAACTGCTACAAGGACTTCCACCCGTAGTAGTAGTAGTAGTAGTAGTCCAAATACGACCACCACCAGCACTAGCACCACGAGCACTTCCACGAATACGTTGACTACTACTACAGTCAGCACCAGCACCACTTCATCATTGGACAAGTGGAAGGACAATAACAACAATTGTACTTCAAATCATAGGATTACCACAGAGACATCCATGAGTACTCAGCCCCCAATCAAACTCTTCTCCAATCTCAACAAGTCTAATTTAGATGACAACAATGAAAAGAAATATTCACCACAAGTCTTACAATTCCAAAAAGAAATGATTCAACAAATAGCAATGAAATCACTCTTTGATCCATCCAATATAACACTTCATTGCTATGATATTCGAGATGGTCGAGTGTGTGAATGTGATGATTTACATCCTGTATATTTAAATCCATTCCATGCCATGATATTTTCAAATTATAATTTTGTGGTGGCATTGCATCGAAAAGAATTGAACATTCAGAATAGTAGTGTTGGTGATAATAGTATTGGTAGTGGTAGTATTGGTAGTATGGATGTTGCAGCATCTCCATCATTGAGTAGTACTACTATGGATCCAAGTCATCATCATCATCATGAACAGGAAGGTAAACAACAACAACAATTAATTGTCTATTATGGACCTTATTGTCCATCTCATGAAAAGAAGTTCATTGAAAATGATCTCTTGAAGGAATTATTTTCATCCTTATTCTCTCGAGAGAATGTTATTTTCATTGATCATTCACAACAACAACATGAGAATGCCATTGAACAATTGTCCAAATATGTCTTTAAATCAAGTATTGATCCTTACTTTGAACCATTCTTGTTGAGATTTAAGAATTATTTTAGCATGCAAAAAGATCATTTAAAGAATTCAACAACTCGTCTGGCTACTACTTTAACTACTCCAACTCTCTATTCCATTAATGATCATTCAGGTGAATTTACAATGACTCCCATTCCACATTATGGTGAATCTGATTTGTCATCGACACAAGCTTATATTTTAGATGCTCTCGATCTCGAAGAACAAGTTTATGTATGGATTGGAAAGTTATGTCCTACCGAGACAAAGAAATTTGCATTGGCAAGTGTTTTGGAATATTATCATACTTGGAAGTGCCAACAACAACAACACGATTCATTCTATACGAAAAAGAATCATTTTCAGAACAATGAAGATGACTTTGATCCTACATCATTGGTCAAGAAAGAAGATGAAATGAATTTACGTGTGGTTACAGAATTAGAAGAACCACCAGAATTTACAAGACATTTCCTTGCATGGTCTACATCATCCACTTCTTTCAAGGTTCGATACAAACAATCCAAAGATCCAAATGTTATTTCTAAAGGTTTTGTTAAAACACCTAGAACTCCAAGAAGAACCACTCATACACACCAAATCATCAAGTCCTCATCAGTCGATCAAGATCATTCCTCAGGAGTCTATGAAATTGAACATTGTCCAACTTGCACCAGTTTGTATAACAAATTATTCTCTCATCAGACTTATAGTTACAAGGTTCTTACAAGTGGATCATTGCCAGAAGGTATTGACAAGTCTAAATTGGAGACTTATTTATCGAATGATGAATTTATTAAGGTATTTGGAATGGACAAGAAGAAATTCTCTCAACTTCAGACTTGGAAACAAACCTCTCTCAAGAAGGAAAAGAATTTATTCTAGAAATGGAGCACTGCTGGAACCTAACAACAATAACAGTGTACTGTTAATTTGGATTAGTATCAAGTCCATTTGTACTGTACAAGGATAATAATAATAATACATCAGTATTTTTGCACAACTCTCAACAGAGTCAATCATGATTATATATTCACAACAATGAACTTTAATTGGTGATTCCATGTTCTTTCATATATTGTTCTGCCAATTCAAGTGTTGGAAACGATTTAAATTTTGCTCCTCTAAAATTATCGACTTGTGTTTTGCATTCTTCCCATGTCAAATAAATACCAGGTTTTCTTCCAGTGGCAACACAGTAATATTTACCACCTCTCTTACTTGATTCAAAGGTTGTGGAGGGTTTTTGACTCATTTTGGCCTTCTTCATCAATTCAGAGGTGTATGAAGAGTCTTGTGTTTTTTTTCTCTTTTTTGAATTTTGAGAGAGTGAACTCATTCCCTCCAAATCAATTTTTTCTAAAATGGTTTCAAATTGTTTCTTTCTTTGTGCAAAACTTTCTGAATGTTTTGATAATAATTTAGCAATAAATGTTTCTTTGGGTGATTTGTCTTGAGGAATGAACGAATCATTCTTACTAATTGCTCTATAGAATTCAATGGCTTCCCTGTTGATATGTCTTGTTAGTGTTGAGGAATTAAAGTTTTTCACTTGCAAATATTTCATTGTTTTAGCTCTGGAGAGTGCAACATAAATTTGTCCTGGACTAAATACAGTGCTCAAATCAATGATACATTTATCGAGAGTGAGACCTTGTGTTTTGTGAACAGTCATGGCTATGGGGAGATTGACCACAATGTGTTTCATAGGAATTTTATAATATACAGGAATATTATGATACCATTCGAGTGTAAATATACAGGAATATTATGATACCATTCGAGTGTCAAAAGGGCATCAATGAAAATGTACATCAAATAGACATTCCTCTACATACCATAAGCAAGTTTTAAAGGTATTTGTAAACGTGTACCTTTTGATTTCTTTGGTCCATCAGTTTCAAATATTGCTGTTTTGATTCGTCGATGCATTCATCAACAATGCATTCATCATCATCATAGCACCACCATCATCATCATCAATGAATACATATTAACACCATTCATCATCATCATAGCACCACCACCACCATTGAATACAAATTAAAAAGAATAACAATCACTCACCTGGATGTACAATTTTGATAATCTTGTATTCCTTTCCATTTTCTTCTCTTGTAAAAACAACTTTTGGAAATAATTCTCCATTTTCATCAATCCATGTTTGAGCATAGGGTTTAAGTGTTTTTGTGGTCGAATATAAATCTTGTGCTGATTGTTTCACAAATCCAATGACTTCTCCTCTTGTACCATTCACTAATTGATTTGTAAAATCATTCTTAATCATCATGACTTGAGCACCAACTCTCAAATTAATTTCAGGTGCAGCATTACTTGAATTAAAATTTGATAAAATAGCATTTCGAATCGATTCTTTAGTGCTTGGAGGATCAACACCTGGATCATATTCTCCATAAGAAAAGTAAGTATGATCCTTATAAATAAAGTGTGGTGGATCAAGTTTCAATAATTCACTTTCATTGACACCATCCACATTCTTATTAAGAGTATGAATGACTGTTGATTTTTCCATCCCTTCAAATCGATTGTGTTGTAATTTTGAGAGTTGTGAAATTGCATTGGAATCAATTCGACATGTTCTTATAGAATTTAAAATAGATACCCATTCATTTTCTTCTTGTCTAAAGACATTGGTTAATTCAAAAGTATATTTGATTATTTTTTGCCAACATTTTGCTTTGAAACACATTTCTTTCTTTTGATAGACAGTTTCTGTGAGTTGGTGTGTGTCAAGTGTTCATCATCAGCATTAGTTTGTTGACAAGTGTTATTAAGTTGTTGTCGGTGTCATCATCAGCATTAGTTTGTTGTCAAGTGTTATGGACATTAAGTCAAGTGGAATGTCAGTGAATGTTAGGAAAGTAAATATTGAGTGAGTTTATACAAGAGAATAGTAAAAAAGATGAAGCAATTCCTTCTTCTTGAAATGCACAAACATCTCAATACTCACCTCCATGTTCATTTTTAAATGGTTTTGCTACGGGTGGTAATTGTAAAAAATCACCACATAAAATCACTTGAATTCCACCAAATGCAGGTAATTGTTTCATGACCATTTCTTTTGGTGCTTTTGATGTTGCAATTTCAAAGAAACATCTAATCTCTGTTGCTACAGCTTCAAGTTGGTCAAAATATTGAGCATCAATCATGGATATTTCATCAATGATTAAAACATCTGTGCTTTGCCATTCTTTATCATTTCTCCATGCAGTTTTACTATCCACTTGACCATTGTCGAGTGTTCGAATACCTGCAAATGAACTATTGAGTGGTTGTGGTGGTGGTTGTGGTGGTGGTTGTAGTGGTGGTTGTTATGGTAGTTATAGTTATGGTGGTTATGTGGTACTTGAAAACTTACTGAATGGTAGATCCTCCAATATTTACAGCTGCAATTCCAGTGGATGCTGTGACTACAACTTTCTTTTGATGGACATTGGACAATGTTTTAATAATACATTCTAATAGAAATGATTTTCCAGTTCCAGCAACACCTGTAATAAACATGGAATGTCCTTCTATGGCACATTTCAATACGTTTAATTGTTCATCACTTAATTTTGATAATAGAGTCGAATAATTCTCACATTCATTCATATCAAAATTGGCTAACTCTGGAAATATATCGGATGGAATGGAAGGAGGGGATGATGATAATGGTCCATCTTTTCGAAAATGACTACTCGAGTTGTTGTTATTATTGTGAGAAGAAGGAGTAGCAGCACTTCTCGAGTTATTGTTGTTATTGTTATTTGAATTTGCCAACAATTTCTTTCTTGTTTCATAATGTTGATGAATAGCCTTGTCAAGATAAGAAGATGGAGTAGTACTACTACTATTGAAATTCCGAGTTGTTGTTTCCTTCTTTTGATGCTTGGACGTTGAAGCAGGAACATAATAAATACCATTCCGATTCATTTCCTATGAATAAAAGAGGTGTTGGTTTGTGAGGATGATGAGGGTTTGTGTGTGGAGAGAGACTTGAATGAGACGCGGGAAAAGGTTCAAATAAATTTTTTTAAAAAATTGATGATCCATGAGGTAGAAGAACGACTCGAAATACCCATCAGCAAGCCAACGAGTCTCAGATTTATTGAATTTCCGAGATGATCATGGCGAAACGACGAGTTTTGATTGAAGGATTAATCTACATCATCCACAATTGTCTTGTTTGAATCTTGTTACATAAATGTTTGACACTTATGGATCATGTTTTCAGTAGGTTTGTCATTTGAATTCTTTGAATAAAAGTTTTGAAACAATTCAAGTGCCTGAGAATAGTTCTTTTCGAAATAGTATTGACATGCTTGGTTGTAATGATTCCATACGTTTGCCTTTTCTTGTGAGGCTAATTCATACATCAATTCATCATGTTGTGTTTGCAAAGACATGCCAATTTCATAAATATTTGTTTCTTTTTTTGGAGAATCTTGTAAGGTTGAAACAAATGTGTCATCAATGAAGCACATCGATTCAATGAAACGTGTTTGAAAGGATTTCACACAACTATTCCGCACAGATTCAGAGCATACAATGGAAATGTTCATTTGTTTTGAAACATTCAATAGAGTTTGTAGATTGTGTTTACCACTACTCAGTAAGCTAAACTGTTTCACTTCTTTCGTTCCAAGATTCCCACAAAAACATTCCTGTGAAAGGACTGCAAATCTAAAACAAAGCAAGTCGGCAAGATGAGGTCTTTTTTTCAAAAATTCAATCCATCTCATCAACTTTAAAGACAAGAGCTTTTCATTGAGTGATCGACACAAGTGAGCTCCCTTTTCCTCATGATTTTGTTGTTTTTGTGTTGCATTTAACGCAAGAGTGATTGAATCATTTTCAAGAGAGATTTGAACTGCTCCATGCGTTCTACTACAACTATTCACTTGTTCGAATACATCACTACGTTGTTCATTATTGACCAGATTTGTTTGCATTGTTGGAATAAATTAAGAAATCATGTGTACACCTACCTTAAAAGTGAGACGGTTTCTTGTGGACTCATTGAATGAAGTAAATCATTAAATCCTTCATAAAGTATTTGTATCATTGTAACTCTCTTTGACTCCAAATAAAGGGAAAACTTGTTCACATCTTTGGAATGCTTTTTTTTGGAACTGTTTCGATGAATATTTTGAGCATTCATCGACGAAGAGTTTTTAGAGTGACTCTCTTCCACAGAGGATTGACTCTGAGACATGGAACTGTTGTTTGCATCACCAACCTTGTATTGCTGATGAGTCAATGGTTGTTGATTAGTGATGGGGTCCATTATTTGTTGCTCCTCAATCTCTGACAACAAGTGTGCAGGAATAAAGCTCTTATACAACTTCATTCGTTTGACCATTGATAAAAATTGAAGTTGAAGCAATTTCACTTCTGAAAAGTGACTTGGAAGAACATCAAGACCATCCAAGTTCATGTTTGAAACACTCTCAAAAAGATCGAGTAAATTGTAGATAGGTCTCACAATTTTGATTGAGAACAAAATTCCCACAAGAACTCCAAACGATACCATCATTATGGAGCCCAACACCGATGCAACAATGGCAATAACAGTCGATCCAATATAATTCCATTGAGGAACTGCCAATACAATAATCCAATCGATATTGGTCACGGTACACAAACGATAGACTGAAATGTAGGAAGATGCATCCAAAGTGACCAAAATTTGATTGCAAGCAAGTTCTTTCCACGTTTTTCCAAGATTTGTGAGAGCACTCCTTGATAGAGATACCACAGTAGCATCTTCAATAGTTTCATAGGTTTTTCGAATCAATGTGTTTCCAGTTCCCCAAGTAGACAAAATGGCATCGTTATCAACTGCAATGACAAAATTCGAACAAGTTTCAATGATAAAACTTCTGGAACCCACCAATTCTTCGGTTCGTTTTTTCAAAAACTCAGAGATCGATCCTGTGGTCAAGTCATTACCATAATAGTATGAGAATTTCTTGCCATTTGCAAGGAGTGTTGGATTGGTTTCTTCAACACAATTGATCAATGAGATGAAGGTATATTGAGGCATGGCTGGATCTGCATACGATGGAGTGAAGGTCTTTCAAGTTCAACATTTGTTTGATCACACACAGATGAATTCCATCCATAGATTCACTCACACGGTTAGAAAGGTTATGCAAGGACAACATTACTTACCAAATTGTTAGGGTGTGCCATACACGACTGAATGATCACACTCAAATCAAAGGATGACATGACTTGGTCTGGAGTGGATTTTCTTTGACAATAATCGTATTGAGAGAGTGGTAAAGCACATGAATAAATTTTCTGGTCCTCACTCGTAATGTTAAATAGTGCATGACCATTGCTCCATGTGATGAAACCAAAACAAAAATTATACATATCACCCACATAGCTCGAAATCACAATTCCATTATGAAGTTTTTGACCAGACTGAAACAAGTGAATGGAAGTTGTTGAGTTAGAAAGTAACAATAGGAATGTTCGACTCACCTTATATCCACTGTAAGTCTTCTTCTCCACAACATTCAGATTGTAAATATCCAATCCATCACCAATGAATTGTTGTTTAATGTCTTCGGAGGACATGGAAATTTCTTTCAATGTTTGTTCGGCATAATTAATGATTTTACTCAATTCGGCATCTCTTGCAGACGAGGAAAGACTAGTGAGGGTAGGACCAAAACTTGCTACGAGTCTGCGCTCGAACAGATCATCTCTTTGAAAGTGATGTGGATGACTTACCTAACCAAATGGCACTCAAAACAATCACACTCAATACGAGGAGAATGGATATCATTAAGATGAGCGTGAATTTAATGGATCGAATAAAGGAAACTTGATCTACTTGAGAACTTGATGATGTGGTGGTAGTGGTAGCGTCATCAGTTGCTATTGTTGTTGTTTGTTGATGAAGAATGGCATCAAATGGTTGCACTTTAGTCATATTATTTCCAAATGAATTATGTTGTTGTAATGTTTTTTGAAAGTTGTATGAAATGTAAATGCTTGGCCCGACTATATCATTAAAAAGGATGGAAATGGATATAATAGTTTTGCATCTTTGATTCATTATTCCATTATTCATACAACCCATTACATCTAAATTTATACAACTTTTTTGGTTGTAAAAATTACCCGCGGGCAGTCTAAATAACGTTTTAGAATCTGCAAATTGACATAACTCAGCTTTTTCCAATTAATATCTGTAAAAATTACCCGCGTTTTGTACACGTAAATAAAAGGATATTCAAGATGAGCTCTTTTTTGGAGGAGATCACCACCAAAGGACAATTCCTAGTGTTGTTTTGGGTCTAAATAAAACTTGGACTCATAGTTCTTTGAAATTTTTAAATGAAATTCATAGGTGATTGTAATATTTTACAACATACCTTAAACTCCTCAAATGTAATAATTCCATCGTTATTCAAGTCAATGGATCGAAAATATTCAACATTAGTCTCACATTGCTTCTTTACCATTTTGATATGCTTTTCAAGCTGTTGAGAGTGATACAGTTCTTTGTGGGGTTCTTTTTTCACCTTCTCCTGAACCATATGCGTTAGGTTCGCAATCTTATTTTCGCAAATCGTTTTGAAATATTTTTCGATATCGTGAGTGGTAATCACACCTGATCGATTCTCATCAATTTTGTTAAACTTATCTCGAATGGCTTCTAATTGATCTTTGGATAAGCGAGAAACAGCATCCTCTCGAGTGTCCTGTGTGAGAAGGACAAACTCTTCTCCTTCTTTCATTCGATTGACATACTTTTTTTCAAGAAAGGTTGTGTTGGGAATGATTGGATGAGGAATCATGGGTAAAACTTCACCCGATTGAAGACTCTTTAGTCCTACAAACTGAACAAATGAATGTTGCTCATACGTGAGATCAATTACATCCTCAAACTCAAAACTGTCTATCTCTCTGTTTCTTCTCACCCTTAACCCTCCTTTTTTATCTCCAAAATGGATAATGATAAGAAAATATTTGTTTCTTGATTTGGTGAGAAGAAACGATCGTATTGTTTCAATATTCCCTTCCACTAATTGTTGGTAGATATTTTCTTTGAAAGAAAAGTCGGTGTCTTGAAAAGACGACGACGATGATGAGCCTTGATTCCTCATCATTTTTTTTTGATTCAAAAAAAAACGTCTTTAAGCGCAAGGAATCGGATAACTCTGTGATATCAGAATTTGTATCTGGACGCAAACATAATCTTCAAAAAGTATTGAGTGCAATCACCATCATCCATGAAATTAGTGGTGCCAAGAATAGACAACTCTCAGCTACACAATTTGCTCAAGAGATCAAAGAATTGTGTCGATCATCAAAACAAGGATCGAGAAACTATATCAACTCATACGTATCGAAACAATGTCACTGAACCTAACAAGATAAAAGAAGTCATCCCTCAAGTCTACATTGAATGTGTGTCATCTCTTCCACAAGAGTCCAGAAATTTTACGACCTACACATGGAGATACAGTGATTGCTCACTCATGAAAAAACCTTTAAACGAATTTCCAAACATGAAAACAATATTAATGAATCAAAATTATAGATCTACAAAGAATAATTTGAAATTGAGCGATGAAATCATTGCACAAAATACAGACCGAATAAGAGAAGAGAATTTATTCACATTTAACATTACAGGAATACCCATCTCTATACGATTGCAGTCGAGTCGAGTGAAGATGAAGCAAATTTTGTTGTCTCAGAAATACTACTCATCAAGTCAAGTAATGGAAAACTTAGCTTTCGAGATTTTTGTGTATTAATTCGCATCAATGCCTCTTCTAGATCCTTCGAGAATGATTTTGCTGTGAATGGCATTAAATATCGAGTATTGGGATGCTTTAAATTCTATGATCGTATGGAAGTGAAAGATATCATCTCCTATGCAAGAATTGTTGATAATGTTAATGATGATATGGCTTTTGAGAGATGCATTAACATTCCAAAGAGATGTATAGGAGAAGGTTCTCTTGCTTCATTGAAAAAGGCTGCAAAAGAAAAGAACCTTTCTTGCTATGAAACGATTCGTCTTGTATGCAAAGAAAAACAGAAAATTTCTGGAGTGCAAGCTAAAAAAGGATTTAAACAATTCATTGATTGAGTCAATGAAGGCAATCAAGGACAAATCTCCAAAGAATATTTTAAACGCCATTGTGAAAATAATGTAAAATTTTTTAGTCAACTGAAAACTTTAAAGTTCCTGGTTGACTGAGGTATTGGTATCGAGAAATGCACAATTACTCGTACTTGTTACTTCCACATATGCAAAAGGCAATGAAAGATGGAATTCCATGTTCACTAAGATGCCATCTCAATTTGAGAAATATTAAAAAGAGCGTTCAAGGCATGTTTGCAAGAAGAATGAAGAACCTTTAATCGACCTTCCACTTGTAATTCCAAACCACCACAAGAGCATTCTGAAGGGTTTGGGTCAACAAGCACAAGTCTGAATGGAATGCATCACTTGAATTTGAAGTTTTAACAAAGAAAACGTTAAGGACATTCATTGTTGCAGCAGAAGATCACCAAAAACACCACAATTCCAATTCCTCAAATCAAAGGGTCATCTGTGGAAGATGACATTTGTTTGGATTCATCAAGTGATGATGAAGAAAAGGAACCTAAAGCTGCAATTTCTTCTTCAAAGATCTTCTCAACAAACAGAGACACAATTGGACTGGGCAAAAAAAAGACCAAGTTCCAGTAAATCAGTTAGTTCAATGAATTGATCACTCATTTATTCACTTCCATCATTTTCGTTGATTGAGAATCCTATTAAAAGCTTCCTTGTCTTTCTTTGCGATTTTTGTCTTCTTATCCCATTCAACAGAGCTGAGTTTTGATTGTGAAGCAGTTTTTAAGGCCTCCACAATCTTATGAGATTCTTCTTGGCTGAATACCCAATCAATGATCTTCAAGGTGGAACATACATTGTTCTGTGAGATAAAATCACACAATGCTTGAACAAGATCAAATGGAACAGTAAATCCTTCAGGAATGTCAACTGATAAATTCAATGTGACAATACTTTTGTTCTTTGCTAAATTGTAAAGCAAATGCTTTAAATCTTGAGTAGCAAGACCACATCCATCAAATGAAATATCCACAAGAGATTTACTCTCTTCCAATGCAAGGAATAAGGAATGTAATTTTTCTTTAGAAATTTCTGAAAAATACTCGCAATAACCTGTATCTATTAATTCAACAAAGAAATCAATCGATTGAACTTCATCATTTCGAATTTTGTTGATCAATTTGTCAAGTGTATCTGGTTCTTTTTTAGAGTCATCATTCTCTTGTGTTGGTTGGCTTGTTATTTCCTTGGTTGAATTCTCATCAATCATGGTATTAGTGGTAGATTGAGACAAATGATTGGCAGTTGAACCAACGTTTGTTAATTGGCTCTCAAGTTGTGAAATGAGTTGTTTCATTCGTTCCAACTCTTGATTCTTTTCTTTCATATTATCTTCTAATTGTTTGATCATTGAATCTTTCTTTTTAACATCTTGTTGAATAGACTCAATGGTCTGTTGTTGCTCTTTGATCGTGGTAGATAAAGATTCTTCTTGTTCTTCCAATGATTTTAGTTTTGAATCTTTTTCCAATAATTTTGATTCATATTCCTGTAAGAGCTGAGAAGTGCGTTCTTCGAATGTTGTCAAGTTTGAACGAATACATTCCTCAAGCTCTTGAATCTTTTTATCTTTTTCTTGATTGAATTGTTCAAGTTCGAAAAGACGAGTATGAGAATGTTGTTCCTGTTCTTTCAATGCACAAAGTTCAGTTACAATTTCTTTTCTCAAATTTTCAAGAGATTTTTGTTTTTCGAGTGCCTCTTGTGTTAAAGTGGACGATTGTAATAATTGGTCTTGTGATTCTTGAACTTGCTTTGATTTTAACTCTAATTCTTCTCTCAAGGTCTTCAATTCAGAATTTAACTGTTTCAATAATTCTTCCTTCTTTTCCACTTGTGATTGGAATGTTGATATTTCTTGTAACAATTGATCATAATCTTGTGATTTGATCTTGAGAGATTCCTCAATGAGTGAATTCTTCTCCATTAATTTTTGAATATTGTCTTGTTTTTGTTTCAATTCAAGTTTCATTTCTTCAAATTGTTGAATTGATCCTGTCGATTGTAATTTTGCTTGTTCTAATTCTTTTTCCATTTGAGAATGTTGTTCCATGAGAGTATTCCACTCCTTCACCTTTTGTGATAATTCTGTTTGAGATTTTACGAGAGAGTCTTGAATGGTTTTCAATTCCATTGATTTTGATTCAATCATACTTTCCAATGTTTTGATTTTCTCATTCAAATGAGAGTGTTCTGTGTGTTGTGAATGAATGACAAGTTCCTTTTCTTCAAGAGATTTCTGTAAGGTAATGAACTGATCTTCAATGAGATGATTTTCTTGTTGTAAAGCTGTGACTTGTTTGGTGTGAGAGGATAATTCATCTTCTTTTTCACGATTCAATTGTTGGACAAGTTCTTCTTTTTCGTGAATCAATTGTTTGAGTTCTTCAATCTCATGACTGGAAGAATGTTGTAATTGTGACAAGGAGTGAGTCATTTTCTCATTAAGAGTTTTTACAGTGTCAAGTTCTTGAGTGATCTTTGAAAGAGTGAATTGAGTGTGTTCAAGTTCTTTTAAAAGATTTGAAATTTCAGTCTTTTTCTTTTCAATTTCAAATGTCAATTTGGATTTTTCTTCAGAGAGTTGTTGAGAGTGTTCGATTTTAAGAGTCTCCATCACTTGTTGCAATTCAGAATAATCCTTTCGAGTGTTTGTCAAATCATTCTCTAAATGTGAGAGTTTTTCATGGAGATTTTGAATTTGAATTTCTTTTTCTGAAACGGTCTGATGAGTTTGATTCAATTCTTTTTTGTAATGATCTAAATCCATTGTCAAATGATTCATCTTTTCATTCATTTCTAATTCCTTCTTTGAGAGTTGTTCAATTTGTTGTGAATCATTGAGTTTTGATTGCTCAGATTCAATCTTGATCTTTTTCAATTCTGATTGGTTTGTTTCAAGTGCTGTTGTGAGAGATTGAATTTCCATTTCCTTCTCAGAAATTAATTTCTTTAAATTCTCAATCTGTGTTTGAGCTTGTGAATGTTCATGAGTGGCATTTGTGAGTTGAGATTTCATGTGAGCAATTTCCTTTTCCAATCCTTCTTTTTCATCTTGTGCGAATTTCACACGTTCGAGAGTACTTTCATGACGATTTGAAATTTCCTTCACCTCTGAATTTAATTTCAAGATGAGTTCATCCTTATCCGATAATTGTCGATAAAGTGTGTTCATTGTTTCATTCAAATTACTAATTTCCTTTTCTTTTCTTTCAATGGTGAGAGTTAAAGTTTCCAATTCTTGAATCTTGTTGGAAAGTAAATTGGAAATTGTGTCATGACTTTGTTTCAGTGAAAGAATTTCATTCTCACTCTTGAAACGAGTTTCAGATAAAGTTTCATTTGCAGTTTGTAATTCTTTTCGAATCTTTTCAATTTCTTTCTTTTTTTCTTCCAATGTTTCTGCAAGTGAGTGTTGATCTGAAACGAGTTCATTATTTTCTATTTCTAAATTCTTAATTTTAGAAGAGAGTTCTTTCATGTGATGAGTGCTTTCTTCTAATTTGGAAATGTGTTGTGTGAGAGTGGATTTTGAAATGGAAAGCTCTCGATCGGTGTCATTGAGTTTCTTTTGCAAGTCCATCACTTGTTGTTGTAATGTTTCAATGGTTTCCATATATTGATGTTCCAACACATTGGAATCTTTTTGAAGGAGTGAAATCTTTTCATGACAATGTTTCAATTCACATTCCTTTTCAGTAAGGATTCGATCCCTATCTTGAAGAGAATGTTTCATTGCTTGCAAAGAGATATTCATTTGTTCGAGTTGTTCCTTGTTCAATTCCAAAGTTTGTTGTAAGGAAGAAATGACTTGTTCCTTTTCTGAAATTTTTGAGAAAAGTTCTGTCTTTTCATGAACCAATTGTGAAATTTCAGACTTCTTTTCTAAAATTTCATGATTCAAATGATCTAATTCAATCTTCTTTTTTTGTAACAACTCGGAATGGATGGTTTGAGATCTTTTCATACTTTCAGAGAATTGATTGGTGACATTGGTTAAATTTGTTTGTAAATTGGCACATTGTTGAGTTAATTCTTCAAGATTTGCCTCAAGTTCACTTTCATGTCTCTTTAATTTGTTCAATTCAATGTTAAGTGCTTCTTGTTCCTTCACTTTAGATTTTAACACATTTTCCAATTCGAGAGCACTTTGTTTCATGTAATTTGAATGATCTTGTTGTTGTTTTTCAAGTAACTTTTTGAGATTTGAAATTTGTTGAGAGAGAGTCTCTTTTAATTCACTCGAAGAGGTTTTGTGTGATTCGTATTGAGAGTTGAGTTGAGAATATTCATGTTGTGATTGATGGATTTGTTGTTGATAGGTCTTTTCAATTTGTTCCAACTCGAATTTCTTCTGTTCTTCCAATGTGAACAATTCTTGTGCTTTGAATTGGACCTCTTGCTCTAATTGTTGAATTTTCTTTTCGAGTTGTGAAATGTGTTGTTGTTGTTGTTGTTGTTGATCAACATCTGTGGGTGAGTTTGATATGAGTTGTTGGTGATGACGAGTAGTTAGTTGTAGTTGTTGGTGTTGATGAGTAGTAGTAGTAGTCAATGATGATAATAAGTTGATTCAATGATAATGTTGAGTGTGTGTGTTGAATAGCATTTTATCCGATGGTCATCATGTTGAATCCTATTTGAATTCACACACAGAAAAACATACCATGATTCGTTTTTCTTGTCAGTAGTGATGCTGCTGCTGATTGACTCTCCAGCAATTTCTTTTCAGTCTTTTCCAACTGTGTGGAAAGCTCTTTATTTCGCAAGTAGAGCATTGCATTTCCAACACCACTGAGCCCCAAAAGAACAGCAGAGCCCACTAATAATCCTTGTGATGACGATGGCATGAGGAGAGAACTGTTGCAACAACAATTTTTTTAATGATGTCTTGTTGACAGCATTGACATCCAAATTGAACATAAAAAGACAAAACATCGATTGACCAAATGGAGCAAAAGTTGAGTTCATTCAAAAATAACGGTGGTAACAAAAGTATTATAAAAGTTAACTCAAAAGTTTGGTCCTCACATTGAGGCGTTACAAAAGAATTTAAACTCACAATAGTTACCACACCAAACAACCCATCTCTGCCTACAATTTCAAATAAAATATACCCTTAATAAGACTATTTCTAACCTGCTGAAGACTGATAGTAGTAGTAATAATAGTACAACTTGAGAACACTCTCTGAAAAATAAAAATGGTAAATCATCTTGTGAATTTTATGAGCTTTCTTCATCCTCGTCGACATCATCGTCAAATAAATCTTCATCAGAGCTCGTCGAAAAGTCCACAGATTCATTAGAGGCAGCTCCTTTTGAAGTAGCATTTGTCGTTGTTCCAGTGAGTTTTGCATCAATTTGATTTTGTTCTCGTATTTTAAAGTTGGTCGATAATAGAGACTTTTTCACTTCCTCTCGTGACATTGGAATTAAGAATGGATGTTGTAACAATTGCTTAGCTGTTGCTCTTTCTGTTGGATTCCAGCAGAGACATTTGGAAAGAAAATCCAAAGCTTCTTTGGAGATCGAGTATTCAGAGGCTTCTGTTTCTGTAATTTCTGGAGATTTTTGGTTCTTGAGAATATGGAAAAATACTTGCAAAGGTTCTTGAAGGGATTCCAACTCAGGATAGGGTCTTCTTCCAGTTAATGCTTCTAAAACAATACAACCAAATGAAAAAATATCTGAAGCAGTACTACTTTGAAGATGAGACATTACTTCAGGTGCAATATACATGCATGTACCGGTAATGGTTTTTTCACCAATTTGAGGTGAATTTAACTTTCTAGAAAGTCCAAAGTCAATCAACTTGGGAATGCCCCATCGATCAATCATAATGTTAGAAGGAGAAATGTCTCCGTGAATGATATCTTTTCCATGTAAATACGAAAGAGCTTCCACAATTTGTTTGGCGTAAATTCTCACAATGTTTTCGTGTAATCTTCCAATTGCACTATCTCGAACAACCTTATGCAAAGTATCTCCGTGAACAAGTTCCATAATCATTGAAATACTTCCATTGTTGTACTTATCACGATCTTCATCGCAAATTTTCGTAAATTTAAACAAGTCGCTTGCGATAAATTTCACAATGTTAGGGTGATCTCCAATGTCTTCTAAAATCTTAATTTCATTTACAATACGAGCAAATACAACATCACTCTTTTCGCTCTTGTACATGTGTTTCAGTTTGTCGAGATAACAAATTTTAAGGGCAAAATTTTGGCCAGTAATGATATGAATTGCGCTATAAACCACTATTATATTCACAGTAAATATAAGAAGTAAGTAAAAAAACATTTGAACGTACCTGAAAAGCCTCCCTTTCCGAGTTCTTTTCCAATTTGTGTTGTATCAAATAAATGCTTTTGTTCTTCGAATGTCGGGCAATATAATGAACTAAAATGATATATATCTCTATACCAAAGAGCTTTTTGTTGCTCTTGAGTGGACATTAAACTGGTTGGTGTTTGGCTTGATCTTTCATCCTTAACCTCTTCGTGTTTTGTTAGTTTCTTTTCAGCAGGTTTGAAAATGTCGTCCTCCGAAAAGCTTTTGTGTAATCCTGATTTCTTGACGATTTGAGTAGGTGGATGATAGGAATGGTATGATGCAGGAGGTGATATGGAGTGATGATGATGGTCATTAAAGTGATGGAAGTTATGATGTGAGTTTTGTCCATAGGTATGCGCTAAATACATGCCATGATTATTGTTATGACTTGGCTGTATCTGTTGAACAATCACAAGTGGTGATTGTGTTTCCACAAATATATTCATTCTCTCATTTGCAAAGTTTGTGGCTAACATTACAAATGGCTCCAAGTCCTGACCAACAAAGGATATCGATAACGAACTGGCTTCAGAATCTGCATCATCGACAAGTTGTGATTCATCGACGTGAGCCTCTAACTCAAAAGCTGGCTCATTTTGTTCGCCTTCACTAATATCTTCAATCTTGACGCCACTGGCCCTGTGCTTCCTTGATGTAAGATAATCTTGAATAGCTGTTTTCAACTCTTCTGTGGATCTAATAGTAATTAGTTCACCCTCTGCATCTCTGTATTTTAAAATTAAGGCATTGACATCAATACCTTCATAATGCTGTCCAGCTTTTTGATCTAAAATTTTGCGTTTTACATCGTTGAGTGCATCTTTAGAATCATCAGCATTCTTTTCAAACCATTCCAATAATGATGTCTTATTCTCTTCATGATTATCCGTATAGGTATAATCACTAAAGTATTGCTCTGGATTGAAAGTATCAACTGTTAGGCTTGGAATTTGTATCACAGTTGATCTTGAAGTTAAGGGTGTGGATGGTGAATGTGAATTACTATGGCTATTGTAAGTTTTAGTAACAACAAATGTCATTGGAAAAGTAATGGATGATACCTCTTCTTCTTGCTGGGAAGGTTGGAGTGTGAAATCATCCTCTTGCAGTGTCATGTCATGAGGCATCTTTTCTTCGTTGGACGTTGTACTGCTATGTTCTGTGTCTGTAATTTCTCCAGATGTTTCTTCGTTATCAGAACTGTCAGTAGTGATTCCTGCTTTTGATTGTTCTTTAACTGTCTCTACAGATTTCTCATCAGCATCATCTGTTTGTGTGCAAATATCAACATAATGCTTTTTTACCTTAGGTTTCACTCTCATATGTTTTGCACTTGTTGGAATGTTGGGAACTTTTGGTCGCCTCCTTCCGTTATTTTTTCTTTGTGCGTAAATTTCTGATAGTCTCCTTTCGGATTGTATTTCTGGTTCGTTCCACTTTACCTTAATCATTTGCACTACCACTGATGTTCTTTGTCCACCTGTTATCGAGGATCTTCTAGAGGATAAAGCACCATGTGTGTTTGATGTTTCATTTGGGCTTGTTGACAAAATTGCAATAACATTTCTCTCTTGTGTTGTGTCGATGTTTTGAGGAGTCATGTTTCTAAAACCTCGTCTGATATTTGCGTCTCCATTTGATGTGACACGAATATCCGGTACTGTTGTAAACGTACTAGAGGCTGAATTATTTGCATCGTCCGCCTCTTCGATCGTATATGGTATCTCATTCGAAATATTATTAGAGTCAGCTATGTTACCAGCATTTTGTTCAGGATATGTATCAGCAGATGTGAAATGCATGCTTGTTGCTGAAGAGACCCTTTTATGACCTCTTCCTCTTCTAGTTTCTGCTGTAGACGGAAAGGTTGGGGTGGTACTAATGGAAATGTGATTAACAGGTCCATTATTAGCAATAAGGGAAGAGCCTCTATTGTGTTTGTGACTGTTGTCACCAGAAGCTCGGTCATTCATAATTTGAATAAAAGAGGTGGAAGGAAGAGATTGAGAATAAATTCGAAAAATATGAGGTTCAGCATGGTTACTACTTGAACTAATTGGTGTTGTAGTGTAAATGTGAGAATTATAACCTTGAGGGAAGTAACTATCGCTATTGTTTCTGTGGTGATGTTTTCCACTATGCGTTATAGGAGATGAACTATTGCCAATGCTGATGTTGATGCTCGAAAAATGAGAATTTGATTCGAAATCTGCTGATGATGTTCGTCTGTGGTTAGAACGGTGACGTCGTGGTTGTTGTTGAGAAGAATGATGATAAAACCGTGATGATGAATGTTGAAGACTTTCATCATCATCACTATCACTAGTATTCTCAATAAAATTGTCTTCCTTTGTGAAGCTTTTAGATGTGTGTTTGGTTGATGAGGATGGGATTGGTTGATTGTAAGACTTTCGATTTGATGATTGTGATGGAGGTGATTGTTCATCCGCAAAATCATCCTCTTCATCCTCAACTTGAGGAATACGATACAAAGGAGAGTCATGATGATGATGAGTGAAAGATTCTACAGGACGAGGTGGTGGTCCCAAATAATCTATCAAATTAAATCGTTCTTCGTCCTCTCCTACTCCACTAAAATTAAAAGCAGTCCCTGATGATGATGATAATGGAGAATGATCATTGAAACGTTTGGTGAGCCTAGATTTGTTGGGTGGGGTTCTGCTACTTGATGGTTGAGAAATGTTATTGTTATTAATTGTTTTTTCCGCGTCGGATGAACAGTTTGTTTCAAGATCGACTAATTCGAAATCTAAATCGTCTTCATCTTCATCGTGGTGTAAAAAGCCTTCACATTCAAGAGGTTCAACCTTGGAAGGCATTCCTATTATTAATTTCAATAATAAACAATGTTGTTGTTAATACTAGTATTTGGAGTTATTCAAATTCTCGATATCGGGTTGGAAATTGCCAGTTGTGATGAGGCACACAAAGTATGTTGGTTCGTTGATGATGATGTAGAGATTGTGTATAGCCTCTCGTGTAGTGGCTACTACATTAAAAGACGTGCGGCAAACTTTTTTCTGTTTTTTTTGAGATTGGAAGTGTTGTTGGGGGACTGTCAGAGGAGAAAAGACTCTTCAAAGTTAATTCACGCCCCAATTAGTGTTGGCCGTGAAGCCTGAGACTCTTCTAATGTCAAACATCATACCATCCGTTACAATCACTACATTTTAAAGCAAAAAAATCGTTGTTGCTCGACCTGACCTCTCTCATCATCATCAACAACGGATGCAAAACCGATTATTGGAAGAAGAGGACGATCAACAGCTCCTCACCTCAAATACAAAACCAACGTCCACTTCCGCCCACAGTAAGTCTCATTCTGAATCATCTCCTCGCTCATCATTCCATCATGAAAATATATGATTGTTTGATGATGGTTTTGGTCGTTACTGATTTGACCTTCGGAATGGGTTCATCATGTTTGCAAAAATTTAAATTCACGATGATTACATTACAATTTAATGAATTGCTCTGATTTTGTGGAATATTGAATTTTTAAATTTGTCCTTTTGATCAATACTAGATCACAAGAATGATTCCCGATTTGCATGGTGGAAAATGAAAAAGAATAGAAGATCACATTTCATTTGTTGGCTCATGATTTTGACCAGTGGTGTCTTACTGACAGTGATTGGTTTAGTGAGCATGATTTTATTAGTAATTTATTCACCAACTCCAAAGGAAATGTAGGTTTGATGAAAATTGTTGTTGTTCATTATTCACTAACTACACACATGTCCTTGCAATCGATCGTGAATTCATTATTGTAAATAACCATCAACATTTGAAAATGGATCATAAATCCACCTCGATGAATCATTTAAATCAGTTTGGATGGAAAAGGTCCCATCAGTGACAAGCAATGGAAGGAAATTGTGTTGGAAACTTTTGGAATTTTGAGTGGATTTGTCATTGGTATTGGACTTGTCATGTCCATCACTCCGTTAATATGCAGTTGTTACATTATGAATCCAAAGGAATTCCAAATTCCTGGAATTCATGACGATGAAGAAGACGATGGATTGTAATGGATGAGTAATAAACTTCCTTAATGTGAGACATTTCAAGTCGTGTGTCTTTCGAGTCATGAGGAGATTATACAACCAGCCACAAGTTCCACAAACTCAACTCTATTTTGCTCATTAGAAGCCTCAATTGCACCCTGCCATACTATTATATTTGATCATATTATTATGAATGATCCATGTGATGTTGTTGGCCATGAACTTGGACTTATTTTTGAACTTGTTTTTTGAATACTTTCATTTGGTTAAATTCCACATTTGGTTTTGCCTTAATCAGATCTCAACAACAATTTAAAAGTGTATTTCACAACACACACACTGTTCTTCATGATGCTAACAACAAAAACTTTCAACGTTCATTCATCATGAAACCTTACGCACATAATTCCAACAAGATCAGACTTTCTAGTGGTGGTAGTCTCTTGTTACTTGTGACTCTGCTGCTCTTGTGCCACTGGTCCTTCTCACAAGAAATTTCGTTGCCTCTAACGTACAATGTCGCTACTCATCGATACAATACAACGATCAGTGTGAGAGGAACTGGAAAAACAAAAACAGCTGTCACCCAAGCAGATTTCACTATTGCCATTGAAGCTCAAAAGACTTCTGCTTCAGCTGCTCAACGAGAAGTGGGTCAGTCCTCCGCTCAAGTCATGGAAACTCTCCAACAAATTGAATATGTGTTCAAATTGAGAACTTCTTCCATTTCTTTATATCCAGTCTATGTATATAATGATACCACGAAGGAATACACAAGAGTGGGTTATAGATCCTCGAACAGCATCTCATTCAGTGTGAGTAATTTGGGAAGTGTGGGTCCAGTGTTGGACAAGCTCGTCGAGTTAGGTAAGTGTGTTTCAATGACAACGTTCAGATTCGTGTTCAATGATAACGGATGAATCCTATTTTATGATTGTGGATTCACCCACTCGATCATCACTTTGAAACCGCACACATACAATTTAGGTGTCACTCAAATCAGTAGCATGAATCTCGTAGCCAATGACACTGAAATTGAGAAGGCAAAAAACAAAGCTCTTCAATTGGCCATTCAAGATGCCATGACAAAGGTGGGAAATGTGTTGATTGCTCTCTATGATGCACCGTCCTTTGAGCAAATCAAGAACAGACTAGAGGTCACTGACTTGAATATTGAAAGTAGTAGCACCACTCCAGTATCGTATCCAAGAATGTATGCTCGTTATCAAGATGCTTCCCAAGGTGGAACACCCTCTGCCATTCCTGTGGTTGCAGGTGACATGGACATTGAATCCTATGTTTCCTTAACCTTAAAGTTCTAAGACACTCTCAAGTGACATGATCTTTGATATATTTCTCGAATTGAATTGGATAGATTGAGGTCGAGTCAGACTCTTGGAGAGACGGTGAAAAAGGCTCAATAATAAATTTGAAAGAAGAGATTTTACACTTTAAAAAAATGCATTCCTCACAAACTGAGGACATCCATCCCGTCCAACAATTACTACTCCCTTCATCGTCATCTTCATCGGAAGAGGTCAATTCAACAACTGATAATACTGCTACTACTCGATTGAATGATGATTCCTTATCCATGAATGATGATGGTTCAGAAAATACTTTTACTCATGATATGAATCATAATAACGATAGAATCACGAGTTCTTCCATCACCCCTTCGAGTCAACAATCATCATCTCCATTTGCTCATCATCAAGTTCCATTAGAATCCATTGTGTCGGAATCGGAAATTCATTTGGCAGCTTCAGTGCTCGAGAGGCTTTCCCATCACTCTTATCATTTACAAGACCCTCGATTAGCCCAATTAATTCATGCTGGATCTTTACTATTCAAAAGAAAGATTTCAAAAGAAGAACAAGCAGAAATGAAACGAGAATCAAGAAAAAAAGCAAAAGAAAAATTTAAAAATCATGACAAGAGCATTCTCATGCAATCTGTGATGCAAATGAAAAAACACAACGAAGTTCATTATTTGAGACAACAAATTGCAATGATTCCAAATGCACCAAATAGTGAAGTACCCAAACTCACCCATGAAGAAGATGAGGTTATTATTGAGAATATTCCAGAAGAAGGCTTTGCTTCTAATATTTCTGTTTCGAACGAGCAAAATGATAAACAGAACGTGACTGAGAACATGAATAACAAGGAACAAACTTTGACAACATTCTCGAACACTTCATCCCACAACTCTAACAACAGATTATTGCGAGCTGTGAGGTAAGTTTCCTGAATTATTTCAAACAACTTCCTTTTGTGACATTTTCATGAATTCCTCTTTTACAGATGCTATATTTGTCATGAAAAGACTCACGAAATACATCACTTTTATCATAAAATGTGCCCAAAATGTGGAGAGTTTAATTTGGAAAAGAGAAACCAAACAATGGATATGACAGGTAAAATTTGTCTTGTCACTGGTGGTCGAATTAAAATTGGTTTCTACACTGCACTTAAATTATTGAGGTGTAATGCTGAACTGGTTATTGTTACTTCTAGATTTCCAAAAGATTGTGCAAAGAGATATTCATTAGAACCAGATTTTGAAATGTGGAAAGATCGTCTCAAAATTTATGGCATTGATTTCAAACACATTCCGTCAGTGGTACAATTTACTGATCATCTCAATCACACACTTCCTCGATTGGGTAAGTTTCACATGCATTCATCTTGAAATTGTCACATTCCATTGACATCTACAATATGAAATTTCAACACCTGGACATCCGTTAATATCATGTATATTGGATAACATGTCCATTTCAAATAGATATTCTCATTAATTGTGCGGCACAGACCATCCGCAAACCCACTGCTTACTATGAGCATGTTGCAAAATATGAATTAACAACAAGTCTTGAAGACATGTCCGAAACTCAACGTAAATTATTACCACTTGACTTTTCAATGAAAGTCATGCCAGAACAAAAAGATATTGCACTACGAATGTTGTCTTCAATGGAAAAGAGAGAAGCTCTCGAATACAATCCAACATCAAGCAATGGTGCTGCGGAAAATTCTCAAGTTATCCTTCACACCTCTCATTCTCGTTCTTCTCTTAAATATAATGCCATGAGAGATGAAGTAAATGTAAGCTCAAGCAGTTTACTTTGCCAAATTCCCATTCTAGATGAGGACAAATCTTACAATGAACAAAGTTTTCCAAGAGATGTGTTCGATGTCAATCAAAATCAAGCAGACTTTAGGAACACCAATTCATGGATTCAGAAATTGGATCAGGTAAGTGTGAAATTCTTTGGTAAATTGTTCAAACATGTTGTTTTGGCTACAACACTTTACTTTTGTATACAATGAATATTCAACTGATGAACTATTGAAAAAATAATGAACATTTATGGTCAATTAGGTTCCTGTCTTTGAAATGCTTGAAGTTCAAACAATTAATGTCACCGCTCCTTTTATTTTAACTTCCAGATTGAAAAATCTTTTAGCCCAAGGAGCAATATATTCAATGAAGAACAATCTTAACCATGAACCAATGAGCTTTGTAATTAATGTGAGTTCAATGGAAGGACAATTTTATAGACGATCTAAAGGAGTGCATCATCCACATCTGAACATGGCAAAAGGTATGTTTTAATAATTTAAATTCGCGATTCCCTTAATTGCTCATTTGATTTTTTTGGAATTGCGTCATATTATCCATCATCGATTGTGAATGATATCGTTCAAAATAGCCTCTCTTAATATGATGACACGAACAAGTGCTGCTGATTATGCAAAAGACTTTATTTACATGTCCTCTGTAGATACAGGTAGGTGTTTAAACGATCGTCATCCAATGACAACATTTTCAAACATTTCCATTTGAATCATCGCTTCATTTTAACACCACTCTGCACACACATCCTTGCATCTCAAGGATGGAACAATGATGAAAATCCCTTGAGTGATCTTGATAACATTTCACAAACCTATTACTGCCCATTGGATGAAGTGGATGGAGCATCAAGAATCTTGGACCCAATCTTTTCAGCCTTGCAAGGCAAACAAAAATATTTTGGTGTATTTTTGAAGAATTTCGAACCTTTTCGATGGTAGACCCGTGAATGGACTGTGTGTGGTGCAAGGACCGAATGGGTTGTGTCTTTAAAAAATTTGCAAACCTTGTCACCACTCAAATGTTTTGACGGGTAAAAAAGGTTCTGCTCGGCATTGTCTTATTTGGTCAAGAACTATCTGAGCGAAATGATCAATCACCCATAATAAATTAGTGCTTACCAAGTTTACTACTCCGAGGAAACTGGCTTTGATAGAAAACGACGTGATGGGAGAGAAGTCATTTTCGATTCGATTAATCTGGCTCCATGAACCAATCTCAAACATCTTCGTCAGGTATTGTCCCATTGCTCCTCAATTCTCGTGCGAATGTCATTCCATTGGTGGTTGCTTTTGAGACTCAAAGTTATTCCTTTCAATATTCAACCACCACACGTTTATATAAAAAACACCCCAACTTGAAACTGTTGCTCTCTGAAATCAAACCCTTCCTTTTTTTTGAAAAAGGGAATAAGACAGAGCATTTTGTCGCACCCTATTTCTTCAAAGAATTCAAACAACTCTTCTTTTTAGCTTGTTATTCGTTCCGATTCCATCCACTCTCCTTCAAAATTTTGATTAGCAAAAAAGACACACCATTGTTGTGAGAGTATATATGAGTGACGAACAACCACCACCAACACCACCGAATGCATCTTCTTGTTGCGACCAGGACAACAATTCCAATCACAAACAATCACCACATGGTCACAACCATTCAGATTTCTATTCACCCATGATTCATTCATCGATTGAGTTGCATCACCCAAACGAATCTGTCTTCTATTTTCAGAAACAACCATTGGATAACGATCTTACTTCCTGTTCGCACTCCTCCATTCCTTCTTCAGCTTTGAATTCTTTAAACAGTTCAGCTTATTGGAATGAGAGTGGAGTAAAATTGAATTATCACAACCGCACGAGTTGTAGTAGTAGTACTCACACCAGTGGTTGCTGTGAGGATGATACCACACTCACCACTACCAGCAACAACACCAGCAACAACACCAGCAACAACACCAGCAACAACACCAGCAACAACACCAGCAACAACACCAGCAACAACACCAGCAACAACACCACCACTTCAATCCACAACATTGAGAGAAATAACGAGACCACATGCGAGAAGCAATTTCTTCAACAAGAAACATCCTCTCCATCACAACCACTCATGCATGAACAGCAACCCATTCAACAACAATCAAAAAAGATCTGCTCACATTCTCCATTAACCTCCCATTTGAGCTGTGGTGGTCATTCCACGACGATGGAAAGCACCTTATCCATGATGATGTTGATGCTCGAAGAGGAGTATATCCCATCACATACTAATGTTACTACTCATGCGATTCCTCCGTATGTTACTACTACTTCAAATTCTACAACAAATTCTACAACAAATTCTACAACAAATTCTACTTCAAATGCTCTCACATTAGCAACAACAATCAATATTCCAAACATGATGAATCAACATGCTCCCTCTCCATTGTCTTCAAATGTTGGTATTGTTGGTGATGGTGATCAATTGAACCATTTTAGTAATAATAATAACAGTACCCCGCATCGATCAACTCCACTTTCGAATACTTGTTGTCCTACTTCAAATTCCAACACCACAAACACCACCAACACCACAAACACCACAAACACAACAACATCCACTCCTTCCAACGTCATGTCCTTCGTTGATGAGACCACCAAGGTCAAATGCAAAGTGAAAATCAATCGAAGAAATAAGGAACACAACATTAAAAAGACACGACTTCGAAAGCCTCTTCAAAATGACAAACTCTTACAAAATTACTTTGAATGGAACAAGACACAGACATGTAGTGAAGAATTAACAGTTTACAAAATTTTAGAACCACCCAAACCATCATCATCACCACCACCACCACAAATACCAATTTCAGATGTACCATCTTCTTCATCAGTAGCCACCACCTCTTACTCTTCATCCTCAACCTCTTCATCCTCCTCTTCGAACAGTGATGATGGTTTTCTCAATCTCTCTTCCATGAATACTCATCATGACTCTCATCCCTATTCCAACAACAACATGATCCTGATGGACAATAACCAGAGTTCTTCCTTTCATGACAGATGTCTCAATAGTGTCAATGTTCAATATTCTCAAGAACAAGTGGATCAGCCAAGAACATCTTCTTTAGAACAACAACAAGTTGGAAACATGAATGTAATGACAAGTCAATGCAATAGTACCAGTACTACGACTGCTGCTACTTCTTGTACTCCATCCATCTCTGAGAGAGTCAAAAAGAAGAAGAAAAGAACCACTTTTGAGGGAAGTCAAATGTCACTCTCCTCTGATCCAACATGTGTTGAAAAAGATCTCGAAAGCAAACATATTGTCACTTCAGAAAAGGTCAAAATTCAAAAACCATCAAAAACAAGATCCAATGTCATGACCACTGTTGTGACTACTGAAAGTCATAGTACTATGACGACTGGCACACCTTCAAAACAACAACCATCAACATCGAGACGTCTATCACCATCCACCATGGTTGCTCCACTTTCCAATCATGGCGGAGGAGTGAATTTTGAATCATTTAACAGCAACAATATGAGAACTTCTCCATCCTCATCCATCACCACTCTCAGTAGTAGCAATAGTGTTGGAGAACCACCACATCATGTTTGTTTTGGATTGCAACAGCAACAACAACAGATGCCACTATTATCTCATCAGACACCATCAACCATGAAGAAGGGTATGAATGATTGTTTATCAATTCATAACGATCGTCATAGCTACCATGTCAATCATCACACGACATTTAGTTATGTCCCTCCCAATCGTGTGATGTTTCACAATCAGCAACAACAGAATCAATACAATCAACAACAGACAGTGATGGCTGAACAAGAGCATCAACAACAACAGATGGCAATGCTTTGCAACATGTTACAATCTGCCACCCAACACTCTCCATTCATGACTCAACAACAGCCACAGGTTGTCACTCGTCATCATGCTGATCAGTCTCAAATACTAAAACAAACTCAGCCACTGTCTGTGAACAATCCATCACCTCCGTCACAATTTCCACATATGAAGCCAACTATGAGTGGAGGAATGGGTAGCACTCATCCAGAGTTCAATGCACAGTCTTTGAATCAACCCTTCACTTCTCAGAATGACCATCCAACAGAAAGAAATTCCCTTAGCAAATTGATTGAAGTAGTGAATTCGACTTCAATTCCAAGCTCAAACTCCCCAGAAGGAGAAAAATTGAAAGCTATTTTGGAATTTATTGGCTTCCAAAATGAATCTGTTGGCTCTATCACTCACCCAAACCATTTGATGCATCAACAGGACACAATATTTGAACAAACTTTCCAACATATCTTGTCATCCAACATGACAAACTCGGAAAAATTGTCTTCCATCTTGTCGCTACTCGTGTATCAAAAGATGAAAAGAAGCGACAAAGACGAAAGGAAAAGAGGACCACCACAAAATCAACATGAATATTTCTAGTGGATAGAAATAACCATTTGAGTTGTGACTTTTATTAATTGTTGAATAAACAAATATTCATGACAAAATTGGATACGTAATATTGACAAGCTGGGCGTTGCCAATCACAGACAACCAGTAAATTGACAACAAAGATTTAAAAACCACCAACAATACAGAGACATGGATAAAGGAGCTAAAAGATAATTGAAAAGTAAGTTCTCGCAAATAATTTTCTGTCCAAAGTCGCCGTTAATGGAACTAAGGGTGGTGGTTGCCATCGCCATAGGTACAGAAAATTCAACTATAACATGGTTAAAATATTAATCTCTGGATTTCTACAACAAAAACAAACCTAAAATGGTAAGAACAAGAATTGGATCAGGAGGGAAAATTTTCCAAACAACAGTTCCTAAATAAACAACCCCAACGCCACATAGCGGCATGACTGCCAGCTTTACCACAATACTTATTAATAATGCGAGAGGATTATTAAAATTAATAAACTTTTTTCTGAACCACCTCAATAAATATAAAATATTAAGGAATTTTTTCAGTCGTTGAGACAGGGGAAGTGAGGATTCATTTTCGTCGACTGACGAGTGAAGAGAGGCTCTTAGTGTTGTTGCTACATTTGCACCTATTTTAAAAGTTGCATCTCTTGTTCAAAATTCATATAAATACTTACCTAAAATGAGCATTGAAATAGGGAAAATCGCGCTGTTCTTTGTGAATAATTTCATATGTTTAACTTAATTCAGGCTTACCTAGAAAAAAGTGTCAATGTATGTACGAATGCACTAACGATCATTGGTGGATTGGTAATTAAAAAAGTTTTCACAGGTTCAATTAGTCCGATAATAGTTCCTAAGAATAATGCAATCACAGGAGCATTGATGGTTTGTTTAAGAATAAACCTTGCCCGTTTCATCCTGTCACCATTGTAAAAATCTTTGCATTTCTCAAAAAATGAGCGTTGATTGGAAGTGCTTGGTGACTCCAAATCTTGCAAAACTCCTGATTCTTCATGTGTGCTTGCGTCTTCGAAGTGATGATTCATTTCTTCATTGGTGCCGTGCGCCTCCGTGTGATGAGGGCTTTCGATATGCTCTTTCATTTCAATGCTTTGTGAACTTTCTTCAAATTCCTGATGATTTTGGTCAAAATGATGTATCTCTCCTGTTTCCACACTTTCATTGTCCTCATGATGTTTCATCATTTCAGCATGTTCAGAAATTTCTTTGCGAATTGGTAAGGAAATTTTACCTTCTTCTTTCTTGGGAGGGGATAATGCAGTTAGACCGTAGCTCCAGAACAAGAATATTGAAGGTAAAGTATACACATTAATATAAGCAATTGCTTGCTCAACAGCCTTGTCTACATCAATATCAAACAATACTCCTCCAGCTGAAATTTTGCAAATAGCACTCATAAACACTAAAGGTAATGTAACTCCGTTGTTAAATGTTTGTGTAACATGTTGGACCTGTTGTTGTTCGTAACTTAATGTTCCTCTCCAAAACTTTCTGAAAAAAACAATTCTTCCAATTATATTTCCTACGATGGTTTGTATGAGGTTGATGATTGGCAACATCCATAAATGAGAAAGAGCCTCAATACTAATCGCACGAGACAAGGCATGTAAATTGAATGTCGGACTGAAAACAGTGAATATAAGTTTGCTCATAAATTGAACACGTTCCGGGGTTAAGACACCCACAAAAACTAGAACTGCTCCAATACTGCACGCAATAACTACTTCAATAGTTGCAGATAAAGAGGTCATGAAGAGAAGAAACGTAACATTGGCATCGGAGTGTGTTGAATTTGAAGATGAGTTTACTGAAAGCCAAGAAGAAGGATTATTATAAAATTCATGTGATGATCCTCCAGTAGCATGCATTAACGCCATCAAGCTGGTGCGGTAGAAGGCCTCTGCTGGTGAGGAATCATTGTGATTCAGCACGGGCACAACAATTCCTGCGTCCATTTTTTATTGTTGTGTTTGGCGAATTTTCGGAATAAAGTGCGAGAATCTCGGACGTACAAAACGTAGATCATTATTAGAGTTTCCGAACTTTTTGAATTAACACACTAAGAATATTTACAAACAAAATTGAAATCCTTAGATGGCATTGTAAATTATCCGATCAGTTCCAGTGGTTTGAAGCACGAAAATTGATCCAGCACATTCTGGAAAATTAAAAAAGCATTTCAAAAAAAATTCGCTCATTCTAACCTGTATCATTTCCTTGTATTGATCGCCGCTGCTAGCCTCATCATCGGACCAAACTCATCATGTCAAAGAAAAAGACCACATCCAATGAAGAAAAGCTTGATATTTGTGTAGATTTTTTTCTTGAAAATCGCGAACCTTTTTCGTTGAAAGAGTTGGAGAAAAGGCTCCCTAAATTCAATCCTGCCATCAAGTTTCCTCTCGTTAAAGATTTGCTCACTCAACTCACCGCCGATTCCAGAATTGATACCGACAAAATTGGATCATCAAATCAATATTGGTTGTTCCCGAGTGCAGCAAGCGAGTCCAGAAAGAGAAAGAAACAAGAATTGCAAACACAAGTAGATGCAGAAAATGTAAAGAAAGCAAAATTAGAAGAAGAAATTAAAGAAGCTGAAATAGGAAAAGAAGATACGGAGGAGAGAAGAAAATATCTAAATGAACTAGAGGAAATAAGAAAGGAGAGAGAAGAAGTAATGAAACAACTCAAAAGATATGAGGATTTAGATCCCGAACTGATTGAAAAGATCAAATCCGATGTCAGTGTTTGCAAAGATGCTGCTAATCGATGGACCGATAATGTTTTTGCGCTTGTCATGTATTGCAAGAAAAACTTCAACATGGATCAAAAATCAATTTATGAACGGTTTGAGATTCCTGAAGAGTTTGATAACATTGAATGAAAATCCAATTCAAAAGTCTGAATGTTTTTTAAAATTGTAAATACATGATGTAATTGTAATATATAAAAAGATCTTTTTAATTAAATTCATAAACAAAAAAATGGGCAATTCCGAAGTAACATTGAACTTTAAAACCCTCTCTAAAAAACAATTTCAACTCACCTTCAATGCAAGCGAAACGGTGCGTAATGATCATCTTGACTTTGGTTCCGATGTAACATGTCGACGGAATGAAATTATTATTGCTGATTATTTTCAAAATTTTCATGATTAAGCTCGAAGTTGTGAAAGAAAAAGTTGCTGTCCATGAGCATCTATTGGCATCCACTGTTAAGCTTGTTTATCAAGGAAAAGAATTAACTGAAAGCACCAAAACATTACAAGAATTAGGATTTGATCCAAACATTTCAATAATTGTAGTTGGTAAAAAAACAAAATTGCAAACCCAAACAACAAACAATGCCTCCTCACCATCAAATGTAAATAATAATATTACACAAATTGAAGAACAAATTCAAAAATCAACTCCAACAAAAGAAGAAATTACACTTTCGAAAATTAATGAAATTCAACAAAGGGCTGAGAATTTAGAACAAGAGGTTAAAAGTTTGAAAGATAAAAGAGAAGAATTAGGTGAAAAGAAATACATATTTGAAAAAAAGAAATGTGACGAATATCTAACACTTTGTTTGATAGATTTAGATGGAATTAATGTTGAGGGTAACGAAGAGCTTCGAAAAAAGCGAAGAACGACCATTGTTTTCATTCAATCAGTTCAATCATTCATAGAGTCCAATCTTTAATGTTTAGGTGAATAAAACGACAAGTAGACTTTCATTGTATCGATATTTGTAATTGTATCAATGTGAATATCGAGTTGCACAATTTGGATCTTTGCATCACAATTCTATCTTCATCACCCTTTTGCCATGTTCGTTTCGCAGTAGATGATGGGCTGAGGGAAACACCTTTGAACTTTGTTTTTAAAAATAGCAAAAAAATTTCAAGCAGCGGCTGAAGATCGTCTCTCGTGCTGCTCCATCTTGTAACAAAAATTCTGAACATCAAAACAAAGAAGGTATGTGTTTGAAAGAGAAGACGTCATCATCATACGGGTTTATTATCTAAATTATTCACTCTGATATGAATTTTCTATGATCTTTGATCGATTGTATGGATCGTGATGATGATGGCCATTAATGATCTATTATTTACGATCGTATGATGATGCTAATAATATTCCCAAACCTCGTAGTAGGAAAATGTCTTTGAAAATTCCAAAGAACATCCTTGCCAAAACGAAGGAAATGACTTCGGATGAGGCTAACAAAATCATGGCCACTATCACTTCTGCTATTGATGACATTTATAATGAAAAGGCTACAAGCATGGACTATCAAAAGTTGTACGAGTAAGTATATACTTACTATGAAATCGATTACATCTTTATCATTTAATTGTCAAATGATCATAATATCAATCTATATGCTTTGATCTTGTCGATCTTTTCAATTATTAACAGTCTTGCCTATCAATTGGTTACCAAGAAGTTTGGTGAAAAGCTTTATGATAAGGTGCGATCTACCATTTCAAAACACACACAAGGTGTTTGCAACGATATTAGCAAACAAACAGACACAACTTTCCTTTCCTATCTATTGAACGTATGGAAGAAATATAGAAAAGCAGCATGTACTATTAGAGATTTGCTGTTGTTTTTGGATGAGCAATGGGTCGAACGTCAATCAACTCATGACGTAAAAATCAAAACTGTTTTTGAGCAAGGTATTTTCATTTTCAGAGAGGAAGTATTGATCAAGTTGACAGATAGAGTTCAAAGAATCATGCTTACAATCATCAAGAAGGAAAGAGATAATGTCGAGATTGCAGACAAGTTTTTACTTCGTAGTTTAACACAAATGATGGTTGAAATTGACAAGGAGAAAGTTTACATTCCTGTATTTGAAACTAAATTCTTGGAAGAATCTCACCACTACTACAAAATTGAAGCTCAACAATTCTTTGATAATTGTACAGCTGTGGATTATCTCAAGAGAATTCAAGTTCGTTTAAGGGAGGAGACTGAAAGAGCTGAACGTTGCTTGGATGGTGACACAAAGAACAAAATTGAAAACGTTATCAAAGAAGAGTTTATTGAAAAGTATAAAGAGTCAGTCGTAAAGAAGGAAGGAAGTGGTGTTTTGGTAATGTTAAAGGATAAGAAAGATTCCGAATTACGTTTGGTTTACGATGTTTTGAGTTTGGTTGAGGGTGCCTTGGAACCAACAATTGAGATTTTCCGTGAATACATCACCGAACAAGGAATGGCAATTGTTAAAGATCAAGAGAAAGATAAGGACTTTTTAACTTTGGTGACTGATGTCATTGCTTTGAGAGTTTACTATGATGAATTGTTGTTACGCTCTTTCAGTACGAGACAAGGTGCTGCAACCGTTGGTGGAGGCGTCAGTAAGACAAGAAAGACCAATACCTTTATTCGTGATAAGGATTTCTCTAAAGCTACAAAGGATGCATTTGATAAGATTGTGAACGCAAATGAGCGTTTCCCTGAATATCTTTCATTGCTATTGGATAAAAAGCTTAAGAAGGGTAAACAACAAGTTGAAGAAGAGCAACTTGATCAATTCTTTGATAATGTAATTATGGTATTTAGACATGTCAAAGATAAGGACGTATTTGAAAAATACTATAAGGAACATTTAGCAGTTCGTCTTTTGGAAGAAAGATCTGCTTCTGATGACTCTGAAAAGTCTTTCTTGACAAAATTGAAAGCAGAATTCGGTGTTCAATTCACTACTCGTCTTGAGGGTATGTTTAAGGACATCAAGTTAAGCAAAGACTTGATGGTTCAATGGGGTGACTATAAGGAACAAAAGCATATTCCAATCGATATGAACGTTCAAGTTTTGACTCAAGGCTATTGGCCAAACACCACCACATCCAAATGTGAATTCCCTGAACAAGATTTGAATATTTCTGCTGACATGTTTGCTAAATTCTATTTAGGCCAACACAATGGTAGAAAGCTGACATGGCAATACAATTTGGGAAATGCTTCTCTCATTATGAATGGATTCCCTCAAAAGTATGAATTGTCTGTCTCAACATACCAAATGGCAATTTTGCTCTTGTTCAATGAGAAGGAAAAACTTTCTTATGGTGAAATTGAAGAAGCAACAAAGATTTCCTCTTACGAGCTCAAGAAGAATATTGCTCAACTTGTGAAACCAGTGGACGATGGTGAACAATATAAGAAGTACTCCAAGATTCTTGTTGCCAAATCTGGTACTGAAGAAGCAGGTGAAGCCAAGAAAACAGGTTTGGACAAGAATACAATCTTCGTTCCTAACACCAGCTTCAAATGCAGAAAGTTAAAGGTTGCAGTCATGCCTCCAATCAGCAAGCAAAGTGATGAGGGTGCACAAAAGATTACTGAACAAGTCGAAGAAGAACGTAAGATGGTAGTTGATGCTGTTATTGTCCGTATCATGAAGTCCAGAAAAGTTTTGTCTCATCGTGAATTAGTGTTAGAAACTACCAAACAGCTCCAACAAAGATTTATGCCTGCTCCAACTTTGATTAAGAAGAGAATTGAAAACTTGATTGAAAGAGAATACTTGGAAAGAGATGAAAATGACAGACAAACTTACAAGTATTTGGCTTAAATTAAAACTATTTCATTGTACTCTCTCGTTGTTTATGTGACCATGTACATATGAGGTTGTGAAAAAAATGCAGCAAAGACTTAGTCTCTTTTTTTTGTTTTGCATTATGTGTTGTTGTGCGGTGCAGGCCCTTATGAATAACGTCGGAAATTCAATTAATTCTCGAAACTCATTCAAAGAACAAATCATCAAACAAGACTATCACAATTCATATAAACATTTAGAGTATGGTAATGTGCTAAATATGATGGCAAAACCATTTTTCACCACTCGGCCAACAAACACGTTCGAAGGCCTTTCTCTTTCGAATTTTTCACAAATTCCTTCCTATCAAGCATGGTCTGACGCTATCAAAAATCAAATTCTTGAAGATATTATTCAAAGAGATTGGACATTTTCATGTTTGAATATCTTTCGAGAAGAGCCATCATCAAAAAATTCATCCTATCATTCGAACAATGAATCACTTTATGAAAAATTAGCCCAAAGTTTGGATATATTTATTGTAAATTATGGAAGTATTTTGTTTCACACTTTTAATCAACTAGAGGAAAGCCAAGTAATGATTCAGAGACCAATATCCCAGAATGGTGAATTTGAGTGGCAATGGATACGAGTTTGGATGGGATTATTGTTTGAGGTCGTTGGAGACTCTCGCTTGTTGTTTGACGAAGATGATGTACACGTACAAGTTTTAAATCACCAACTTGACTTTATGGAAGAGAAGTTTATTCAAAAGTTTTTGAAACAATTTAAACCAAAACCTGTGTTTCATTTTCATTTTGTTCCAAAATTTGAAAAGTGGTATTTATTGGGACGAAGATGGAAAATTGATGATGTTCCATCGTTACAACATTCAGAAATGAGTACGCTAGTACCAACTCGGACTACATTGAAGATCATGTCGTACAACATTCATAATTATGAGGGAAATTGGAAATTGAGATTATTCAAAATTCTTAAAACCATTCGAAGGCAAAATCCTGACGTTCTTTGTTTCCAAGAAGTACGTCTTGATGAATCTAAGGATGATTCCAACCTGAGTGATGTTTTCTCAACACATGTTTTACAAGATCATCATCAAATTAGCCATCTAAAAAAAGCTCTCACTCAATTGAGATATATTCATTATATTCACAGACCTGCCATGTCTTATTATTCTCCCTACTCAACGATGAGTAGTTTCCCCCCAATGATGCAGGAAGAAGGACTTGCAATTTTTTCTAAATATCCAATGGTGGAGACAGATCACAAGTTACTTTATCGAGACTTGTCAGATCCTTCCACACATCAAAGAATTTCATTAAGAAGTCGAATTTTAATTCCCTTTCTCAGAGAGGAGATGACATCTGATTTTATAACGGTGGACATTTTCAATACTCATCTTTCATTAAAAGAGCATGAAAGAAATCAAAATGTTTTGGATATTACAAATTTTGCTAATCAAGTAAGTACACTGGACTTCATGATGAGTAGTGTCATCATTGTCATGAAATGAATCACCTCCATAATTAAGGTTTTAGATCACGAGTCTTCACTTTTCCAACCCTCTTTTCAAGTGGTTTGTGGAGATTTTAATTTGGAACCACACGAACATGCGTACTCTCTTTTAAAAACGAGTGGAAATTGGAGAGATTCTTTCGAAGAAGCGAGAAGTGCATTTCTCGTTAACGCCACCACTGATGACCTTGAAACATTGAAAGACTTTGACTCTCATCACACGCTCACCTTCAGTACAGATGGTACCTTTAAAAAGAGAATTGATTACATCATGTATCGTCTTTTAACAGAAAGCCAGATTGACCATTATTACTCTTCCAATCATTTGCGAGTACGAGTGCAGTCCTACCAATTGGATGGAAGGGCTTCAGAATATCATCATGAGAGTAGTTCGACGAACCATTATAAGGCACCAAGCGATCATCATGCAGTCATTGTCGAGTTCATGATTGAAAAGGTGTAATTTTCAATTCTTTCCAATGAAAGTAGAGTTTTTTGGTGCCTCTAAGGATGGTTTGACGTGAACGAAGATTGCATTAGAAAAGTATGGATTTTTGTAACTTTGGAGCCAATCAATGATCGAATCCCTTAGCAAAAGTTATTTTTAACATCTTCGTGTATCAACTTGCACTCCTTCAAACATCAATGGTGGACATGAAAGAGGAGTGTGAATGATAAATTCTCAACACACTTCCCTTTCTCATTGAATCTCATACACAACAAAAAACAATCATTGAACCATCATCATCCACTAATCATGATCCCACCAACCTCTCAAAATCAACCACAGGAGAGGTGTCCTTATGAGGAAATTATTTCAACAACCACTGTTCAAGCTGCATCCAATGAGGGTTTTGATTACAGCAAATTAATTGTCCAATTCGGTTCGGAACCTCTACAACAAGATGTGGTTGATCGCTTTGAAAAATTAACCGGAACGAAGGCTCACCATTTCCTTAAACGAGGAATTTTCTTCAGTCATCGAGATTTGAACAAATTATTGGATCACTTTGAACAAGGAAAACCGTTTTACCTCTATACAGGAAGAGGACCATCCAGCGACTCGATGCATTTAGGACACATGGTACCATTCATGTTTACCAAGTATTTGCAAGAGGCTTTTAAGGTTCCTCTTGTGATTCAAATAACCGAAGATGAGAAGATTTTAATGCAAGAGTTGGATTTTCAACAAGTTCGAAACATGATGATTGAAAAATGTGAAAGATATTATTGCTTGTGGATTTGACATGAGCAAAACCTTTATATTTTCAAATTTAGATTATATGAGATATTTGTACAAGACTGTCGTTCAAATTGAAAAAAGTGTGACGACCAGTCAAGTGAAAGGAGTATTTGGATTTAATGATTCAGATAATATTGGAAAGATGAGTTTTCCAGCCATTCAAGCTGCACCTTCCTTTCATTTATCATTTCCACACATTTTCCCAGAACCTCAGAATTTTAAGGATAACATTGAGAATAAGAGCACACTCCAACAAGGACACAACCATCGAATCATGTGTCTCATCCTATGTGCTATCGATCAGGATACTTATTTTAGGTTAACCAGAGATGTTGCTCCAAAATTGGGATTTCCTAAACCTGTCCTTGTTCATGGCAAATTCTTACCCTCATTGCAAGGTGCAAAAACAAAGATGTCCTCCTCAGATAAGAGCTCTGCAATTTTCTTGACAGACTCTCCATCAATGATTGCATCTAAAATTTTAAGTGCATTCAGTGGAGGAGGATCTTCAAAAGAGCTTCATATCAAATATGGAGCAAATTTGAAGATCGATGTTCCATTCAAATTCTTGGAATTCTTTTTGGAAGATGACCAACAGTTGGAACAAATTCGAGAGCAGTATTCTCAGGGCAGAATGATGACCACTCAAGTGAAAAAATTGACAGCTTCAGTGGTGAGTAAATTGATCCAAGAACACCAAGAACGCAGAGCTCAAATAACTGAATATGAACTGAAGGAATTCATGTCCATTAGAAAACTTGATTTCTAATAGTCCAATTTTTCCATGCCATCCACGAATGATTAAACGTTGGGCATTTGACATTTTCAACAAATGGTTTGAAGTTTTTTTGCAAAGCTGAAAATAAAAAATGAAATCATCGTCGTCCTCTACTGTGAAGAACAAACTCGCTGCTGCATGGCAAAATGAAAAAGAGGAATATTCATCACCATCCGAAGAGGAAGAAACGACAATGAATGATGATGATTTTGATTTTAACGAAGAGGAAGATGAAAATATTCCATCTGAAAGTGTTTTAGATGGAAAAATTACAAAAAAACATAATGTACGTTGTAAATCTAAATAGATCATCTCAAAAAGTTTCGAACTCTCTTATTTTACGATGTTATGGTGCCTATCATAATCATACATGTATTAAATAATAGATTGATTCCGATGATGAGGATGATGAGGATGATGACACAGACTCGGATGAAAATCATTACGATCCACTCGCAAAAACAAATGCTAAAAAACAAAAAGTCACTAGCTTTTTTTCCAGCAGGAAGATCCTCGGAACTGAATCAACAACAGGATGAAGAATCCGAGGAATCCGAAGACTCTGAAGAATCTGACAATGACATGAGTACAGTGAGAGATTTAATTAAAAAGGCTTCTTCAACTCAATCTGCAACACAGGATGATGACGATGATATTCAATTAAGCGATTTAATTTCATCCACTCAACACGGAACGGATACAAGGTTAAATGCAGAAAAAACTCAAAAAGAATTGAAGAATATTGAAGAGTTGAAGAAAATTGACAAACAATACAAAAAAGGAGCTGGACTGTTCTATGCGCTTGAAGACACAGAAATTCAAAATGAAGAGAGAAGAGCTGCTTTTGATATTGTAGATGAAGGAATGGAAAAATGGCATTCCATCGTTGAAACAGTTGAGAATTCAAGACATGTTCCTCTAATTTACAAACATTTGCGAGACAAAACAGAAAAGGAAAAAATTTTGGAAAAGGGAATCAAAGGAAGTGGAGTATTTGACGATGCATCAGAGATTGAGATGATTAAATCATTTGAAGCCACCAAAAAACAGTTATCTAACATGGACAAAGAGTCTCTACTTGCAAGACATAAAGAAATTTTGGAAAAGAGAGCGCAGATGGAAAAACTAGCAAAAAAGAACAAATGGCTCAAGAATATTAAGAGCAAGACATATAGAAAAATTTTAAAAAAGCAAAAAGAGAAGCAACAAGAATTGATAGAAGAAGAACAAATGAAGAATATGGATGAGGAAGAATTAAAACAGAAAATTTTGAAGAGAGAACGAGAAATGATCACTGAGAGATTAACCATGAGACACAAAAATACGTCCAAGTGGGTAAGACATGCCATGAAGCATCAAGTTCACAATACAGGCCTTAGAGAAGCTATTGCAGACCAATTGAAGGTCCACTCTGATCTCATGAAAAAACAAACAAGGAAAGAAAATGAAGATGATAGCGATGATGAAGATGAAATGGTTGAACAAATGTTCCAAAACGATAGACAATCGAATCCATTTGAAACAATGAGACAGGTTGTCACTGAGGAAGAAGGAGAAAAGAAAGGTCTTTATGGAATGAAATTTATGAAAAAAGCTGAAGAGAAAAGGAAACAGGAACAATTAGACCTAATTAACCAAATGGAGAAGGATGTTAGTAGTCACATTGGCAATGTCTCTTCCACTCAAGAAGACGAAGAACAACCCTCGGGAAGAATGCAATTTGAAAAAGATAACAATAATAAGAAAACTAATTCTCGAGCAATGCATGAAGACTTGGACTCTTCATCATCTGGGGATGAAAATATTGAGACAAAATTTGATAAGAATACGATCGTAATTCCAAAGGCCACTGTAAAAGTTTCATCACAGGCTGTAACTGAAAAGACCAATTCCACGGAAACACCACAATCAAGCATTCCAGCACAAACTCCAAGTGTTGAAAATTCTGTGCTCAATACAACCAAGATCACATCCAAATCCTTTGGATCTGCATCCGAAACATCTAGTGCACCAGAAAAGAGCCAACAAGTCACAGTGACGAGTATTTCAATGAAACGAAAACGTTCAACCAAAGAAAACCCATGGCTGAATAAGGGAGGAAAAACAAAGAGTAGAGACAGTGATACACTAGCGGATGAAGTCTCCAAAAAAAAGAAGAAGATGAATAAGGATGTTGCCTCAAAAATTTTGATCAGCACTGATGAGTCCAAATTGAGCATTGAAACCAATGAAACTTTGATTGATGAAAATACACATGTTGAATCCACAACGGATGTCACCAAGTCAAGCAAAAAGAATAGAGAACAATTAGAATTTGAAAAGAAAGTGAAACAAGAAGCATTTGCAGGTGATGACTTGGAGCTTCAGTTCGCTGAAGATAAGAAAAAAGCAATCAATGAAGAGATTGACATGCCTGATTTTTCAACCACCTTTAAACCTGGTTGGGGTTCATGGGCTGGTTTTGGTCGTGAAGAACAAGTTAAAAAAGACTTGGAAAAGAAACAACGCCAAATTGCAAGAATTCAAAAGAAGATTAGAGACGAACAGATTGAACAACGTGCTGATACTCAACTTCATCATGTAATTATTCGAGAGACAGCTAAGGTTCCAGACAAATTCCTCATTCCAGTGTCGAATCAAGTTGAAGCTGCTGTGGTGGATAGTGCATTTGCTCATCCTTTGGGTCTTGAATGGAATACTTTGAAAGGCCACAAGACACAAATTGCACCTCGTGTTAATTTACAAAGTGGACATATTGCTAAGGCTCTTGACTATGAGACAATGCAAATCAAGAGTACCAAAGCAAACACTCAAGATCCTTTACTTGATGTTAAAAAAGCTGCCAAACTAGAGTCTGCTAAGGAACAACGGTATCAAAAGCTTAAGGAAAGGTTAAAGGACGATTATGAAGCAGTCAAATCTAAAAGACAAGAAGAACGAGAAAAACTGGACAAAGAAAAAGAAGAAAGCAGAAAACGGTACATGGCTCGATGGGAAAAAGACTTGGATGAAGAATAAACACGTGTTCTTTGGAAATCTCGAACTTTTTTGCATTCAAAAATTTGCTCGATAAAAAATAGTTCACCCAATAAACACTCACTCCTCGCAACAGGGTAAATAGATTGGCTTAATTAAACCTCCATCACGGAAACATCAAACTCTTCTTCGTATCGTATATAATGAAACCGACAACGACAATAACAACGAAATCTCGAGAAAGAAGAACATGTTCTTCGAATCACATTAGCCCCGATATGTTTAACTCTCAGGACAGTGTGAGTTCTTTAGGACACTCTGCGAGTCATTGTGATGGATCTGTGAGCCAAGAAACAATATCATCACTCATTCTCCCAACATCATCATCCGAATTTCATGAAACTCTTCAAACAGATCAAAATTCTCAAGAACAACAAAATCTCTTAAACGAAATTTCCAGCTTGAAAAACTTGATGAAACCAACTTTGAAGTTGAACAAAAAGGAAAGCAGTTTAATCACCTTGGATCAAGATCCATGTGAGCAAGTGGAGGAAATTGAATGTCCAAGTTATGTACACACTAAGAAGAGTCCCGAAAAGAAGAAACGAACGTTGGTGGTTGAATCCTTGCACAAAAATAGAAAGAAAAATGTAAAGAAGAAGAAGAAACAATGAAGAACACAATCATGAAGAACATGAGAAAGAGCTTGTCAATGTATTGAGATGATGTTGAAAATTGTTAAACGCGATCACGAAAGAAAATCATTTCAAGAAAGCTCACACAAGATAGGGAAGACCCGGACAATCAAGTCGATAGCAACTCCGAACACCCGTTTCGTGGTGATTGGTCCAGACATTTCTCACACATCGTTGATTTTCAAATCTAACAAAAAACGACCTATGCTTTGTGCTGCTTTTTGAAAATCAGTGGGATGACATCACATCGATCAATATGTAATAATATTTTATCCAGTAACAATCATTATGAGAAAATAACAGCTGACCATTCATTTCGCAACAAAATTTTGACGATGAAAATCATTCTTTTATTATCACTTACCACAAGTTTAATGTTCATTCCGTTTGCGCATATCTTTGCACAAACCACACGTACTTTCACACCTCATTATCAAGTCACAACAGGTATGTGTGAGAAAACAGATAGAATCATTTTCGTCATCATCATGATGATTCGATCATTCACAGTTGTTGGCAATGGAGACAGTGATTTTGCAGGTGATGGTTCAAACGCATTACTTGCAAGTTTAAACTCTCCAAAAGACCTTTTTCTTCAAGAAATTGCAACCAACACTCAAATCTTGTTCATTGCTGACACAAACAATCATGTCATTCGAAAAGCAATTGTCAATGGAACAATACAAACTGTTGCAGGTATTGGAAGATCGAATGGCTATTCTGGAGATGGTTTATTAGCAACAAGTGCAAAACTTTCTCAACCAGTGGGTGTTTTTGTGTTTCAAAATGATTTGTATATTTGTGACAGTGGCAACAATAGGATTAGAAAAGTGAGCTCATTCTCAGGTTATATTTCAACCATTGCAGGCACTGGTGTGAAAGCCTCTACTGGTGACGGATTGAGAGCTCAATATGCAAGTCTTGCCATACCTAAAGGTATTTTCTTTAATGATGCAGGTGATTTCATCATTTCAGAATTTGACTCTGACAAAATTAGAAAAATACTTGGAACGACAGGTGTGATTAGTACCATTAATAAGGATGCTTTTAACAAACCACAAGGATTATTTATTACTTCAACAAATGAAATTTATGTAGCCGATTCAGGAAATCATCGTATTCGAAAAATTCTACCAACATCGGGAAGTGTTGTGAATATTGCTGGAACTTCTAAAAGGTATGACAACAGTAGTAGAATTATTATTCATATTATCATATTGAAATCTAAATATGTGAAATTAATAATTATTCTTGTGAAATTAATATAAGCGGATACTCTGGAGATGGGCTTGTTGCAACATTCTCAAGTTTAAATACACCAAGAGGAGTGTTTGTAAGTTCCATTGGTGAGGTATATATTGCAGACACCAACAACAATAGGATAAGAAAAGTGACTAATAATGGATTACTGATCGATATTGTTGGAAATGGAAATCAAGGTAAGTACTCCTCCTGTGATGATTATGCATAATTATAGAGAGTTCGTGTCCAATATCCATCATGATCTTCATTTAGGAAAATCCATGGATGGTCCTGTCTCATCTAATTTTATGATTGCTCAACCTGAAGCTGTCAGTGTTGCATCTAATGGCGATATTTATTTCACAGATACAAATAACCACATGATTAGAAAAATCTCATGTCAAGATGGTTATGTGGGAAGTCAATGTGAAATACCTATTTGTTTCAATGTTTTGGGAAATGATACCATGAATGTTTGCAATGGACAAGGACAATGTAAATCCCCAAATCAATGCGAATGCAATGGAAATTACACAGGATTAACTTGCAATGTTACTGTTTGTTATGGAATTGCTTCAAATAACGAATCGGTATGCAGTCGCAATGGACTTTGTGTGGCTCCAAATCAGTGCAAGTGTAATGATTTTTACACTGGATCTAATTGTTCCATTCCAATTTGTTTTAAAAAGTCCATCTATGGAGGTTCAATGCCTTGTAGTGGACATGGCGTTTGTGTGGCTCCCAATCAATGTAATTGTTCTCTCAATTTTATTGGTAGAGAATGTGAATATCCCATTTGTTATGGTTTTCCATCCAATGACACTCTCAATAGTTGTAGTGGGAATGGTGTATGCATGGATGTGAATAATTGTTCATGTCTGGAAGGAAAATTTTCAGGTTCCAAATGTGACATTCCCATCTGTTTTGGACAAACGACGACAACAAGTGCTTGTTCTCAACATGGTACTTGTATCAAACCTGATGTTTGTCAGTGTGACAAATCTTACACTGGATTGAATTGTGAAATACCGATTTGTTTTGGAATTCCACAAAATAATTCAAAGGCATGTAGTGGAAATGGATTTTGCTCCAAAAAAGACACTTGTTCCTGTCATGAAGGTTATAAGGGTGAACAATGTCATATTGCAATCTGTAATGGATATGGAGCAGATGACACCAAACGAGTCTGTAATGGATTAGGAGTTTGTGTAGCTCCTAATTTGTGTGAATGTGTCACTGGCTTTGCAGGTAGGTTGCTCAATTTTTCAACAACACTCTCAAGACAAAACTCTTTTCAATGATTTACAACAACAACAACATGATTGATTCACACACGAGTTAGGTAATAATTGTGAAACATCGATTCAACTGGCCATAATTTTAGCGTCAGTGCTTGGACCTTCATTACTTGTCATTGCTTGTTTATTGATTATTGTCCTTTTCATATCAGCAACCATGGCTAGAAGATTATTAAAAAAGAGAAGAGCAGAAAGGGAATATGCGAAAAAGTTGTTGGAGAGTGAAATGGCTCTTACAGACTCATTGATTGACTTTGAAAATTATAGACCATCAGAATCGTATATTATTCCCATTGAGGATGTAAAACTCATTGCTCAACTTGGTGAAGGCTCTTATGCAAAAGTTTTTCGAGGAATTTGGAACAAGACTCCAGTGGCAGTAAAAGTGATCACTCTTGACATGTTAGAAACCGACGAAGAAGATTTTAAAAAAGAAGTACGAGTGATGAATTCACTCTCTCATCCTAACATTGTTGCGTTTTATGGATTGAGTATGTGTGAAAGAGAACGAAGATTAATCGTTGAGCTTGTCGATGGAGGTAATTTACAAAATTTTATTTACAATTTGAGAAATGGCAATGTGAAGGCAACTTTTGGAAGAAAAATTAAGATTTTACTGGATGTTGCAAACGGTCTAACGTACTTGCATCAAAGAAATCCTTCTGTGGTACATCGGTGAGTTTTAGAAAATGCGAACGAATCCGTTCATTTATGTTTTTTAAAGAGATTTAAAACCTGCAAATATTTTGGTGACAAGCTCTAATGGCTCTTGCAAAATATGTGACTTTGGACTTTCAAAATTTGGCCAATTAAGTTTAGGAACTGTGAGAATAGGAACATTCTTTTATATGGCAGTAAGTGTTTGTCAATGTTCATTGCAAGTGGATAATCTTTTTCTTTTTTGAATATACAAATCTTTAGCCAGTAAGTATTCAAATCTACTACATTCTGTTCATGATAACATTTTCATAATTTAAGGAAATTATTGCACCAAAATCCACATCGATGAATATGAAAATTCCTCAAACCAATCATCGTCACTCAACTCCAAGCGAGTCAGTTTTCACAGAAAACGAAGGATTCCAACTCGATCAAATGATTGACGAAGCTGCCATGTTCGAAGATGAAGCAATCTATGGTCCACCAGTCGATATTTATTCACTAGGAATTATATTTTGGGAATTGTTTTTTGAAGAGAATCCATACGAGTTTAAAAACAAAGACAAACTTTGTCTTTACAATAATCCAGAATTTGCCAAACTTCATTCATGTCCTACCCACAAAATTATTAATATGATTTCATGTGGCCTGAGACCTATTATCCCATTCAAGTCAGAACGTGAATGTTGTGAATGGTTACAATTGTATTACGGAGAAGATTTGAACTGTAAGGTACTATTTCCATTTGTGATTCGATATTTACAATTAATGAAAATGTGTTGGAAACAAAATCCTGATGAAAGACCTTCCGCCTCGCAAGGTATGTAAAATAAGAGTTCTATTGTTTGGATTTATATATTTTGCATCGATTCAATAATCACTTCCCAGTGGCCAAAACTCTCAATCAAATTTTAGAAGATTATGAGAACTGTTGTAAATAATGTCATTCGTCATAAATATGAATTGGAACAGCAGATCATAAAAGATCAATCTCAACACTTTGGTGGTGTCTCCATGTTCCAACAACGTGCAGTACATGGATAAGCATCTTTCTCTTCGCTGGCAACAAGATCACACACGTGGTCGTTGTAAAGGATCATGAAATTGTCTCGAAAAAAAAATCGTCACTTGGCTTGCCTGATTTGAGATTTGAATCGGCAAGCTTCTTCTTCTCAGCAGTGCTACTGTACAATAACCGAAACATCATCATCACAAAAACTTTTAAATCGTCTCTCATCACCACCTTCCGATACCTATAAATTCATCATCATGGAAACAGAATTATTTACGAGTTATATTGCTCTTCTGATACATGCTGTAGTACCCATCATAATCGGCAGCAGACAATCTCTTTCGTCCGGCCAAGTAGAATCTTTAGAAACCAAAGATGCTTTTATGTTTCCCGTGGTTGGGTCGTGTGTCCTATTCAGTTTATATTTATGTTTCAAATTCCTGAGCGAGGCTTGGATTAACTTTGTCATGAGCGCATATTTTACAATTTTGGGAATTGGAGCTATTGCAACAGCATTACATCCATTGTTGAATGCAATTGTACCATATCATATGACCGATAAGAGCAAAGAAGGGGCTCAAAAGTATCGTTACACCCTCCGCATTCCTGTTGTCGGTTGGACCTTTGAATTTTCGTTTGTTGACATCATTGGCACAATTATTGGAACTATTGTTGGTGTTATTTATATTTTCACAAAACATTGGATTACAAACAACTTGTTCGGAGAATGTTTCTCAATGGTCTCAATTCAATTAATTCAATTAGGATCTTACAAGGTTGGAGCCATTCTTTTGATTGGTCTTTTCTTTTATGACATTTTCTGGGTCTTTGGAACTGAAGTCATGGTCACTGTCGCCAAGAAATTTGATGCTCCGATCAAGGTTGTTTGGCCTAAAGCCGGTGGTTTTTCTCTTTTGGGCTTGGGTGACATTGTTATTCCAGGCATTTTTGTTGCGCTGATGCTAAGATTTGATTATTATCTTTACAAGAAGTACAAGAGAGGAGAGTTTTCAAAGACATATTTCATGGTCACATTCATTTCTTACATTATTGGGTTGGTCCTTACCATTGCCGTACTGCACATTTTCCGTGCTGGACAACCTGCCTTGTTGTACATTGTACCATGTGTATTAGGAGGATCTTTTATGACTGCTGTGTTTAAGGGACAAGTTGGAGAATTATTAGCCTATCATGATGACAATCTTTTAGAGATTGAAAATCCAGAACTTGCTGAGCAAAAGAAAAAAGCAGCTGAGGAAAAGAAACAAGATTAATTTATTGGACATTCAAATAAAAATACAATTCATTCTATTGAGACTTTTGACACCTCTCCACTACTAATAGTCAAGCAAGGCAAAACAGTTCCAAATTATTTGTGTCTTGTTGATAAAGGCGATGAAGGGTTCACCTAACAGTTTTTGAAATAAACTTTCAAAACAATCATTGTGGTGTGCCATGAAAGGCATGTACACCAAAAAGCAAAGTCAAGTCAAAAAAAGTCGCGAATGCGCAAGCAAAGCAACCAAATTCTGCAAAGAAAAATTACATGAAAATTAACAAGCACGGAAGAATGTACCTTCCTTGTGAATCTCTTTAAGAGGAATGCAGCCAATTAATATTCTTCACTAATCAATATAAACTACCTCAAAAATTATAGTAAAGTGGTGAACTGACTCCTTTCCTCACATGTTTCGCAAACAATAATAATAACACCTCAAGACCTCCACTTGTAACTACACAACCGCTTCACTGAAATTGTTGGTGTTGATAGAAGAACAGTGGATAAAGTTGTTGCTAATAGACCAAAAACAACCAATACCAGGACGACCAGCAGTTGTATTGTTTCAGGAATTGATTATTTGCATTGAAATGTATTTACTTTGTTTTCCACAGATCACTATTAAACTTCTTACTCATGATTGTCTTCTGAAACAACTTTGCCCAACTTTTAGGATGACTGGTCCTCCGAAACAAGATTAATCATGGAATTGAAAAGATCAAAGGTTGGTCGTGATAATGTATGTTGTGGTTGGTGGATGAGTTGGATTCAATAATTTCTACGTCGTTGTCATCACAATCTTCTTTTTGAGAGTTGCAATAGGTATTTTCAACAATGTGTTGTTGTACGACTGGTCTTGCAGACATTGGTGAAAAAATTTGATTTGCTTTCTCTTGCCACTGCTTGTATATATGTCAATTTTTCGGTGTTATAGCTTCATCTTGTCAGTGAGGTTGCCAGTGATTGCAAAGTGCTTGCCACCTTGAAAAATGCACTTTTTTTTGAATTTATGTGACAGGCGGCAAAACTTTTGACAGTTAGGAATTTGGAGGAGAGGGAAAGATAAATCAAAAGGCAATAAATCACGAATCTGATTGGTTGTATTCAAATATTGAGTAATTTATGTTTGGGAGTGTGAGACAAGGATCAAAGATTTTCCAGCTTCCATGGTTTTGTAGTGTTGAATAACCGTTACACAACATTCGAGCCTCATTCCAAATTAATCATTGATGTTCATTTTGACTTTAAATAGGACTTTGCAAAAAAAAATTTCAAAATAATAACACAATTTAATATTGGTTTGTTTTAACAATGACCAAACACACATTTGGTTTCTGTTGGTTCGGTAGAAAAAATCATTTTTATATGTGAAAGGAATGAATCTTTCAGCGCAAGACTTAGATCTAGAAAACTCAAGAAAGGAGTATTGCATGAGTATATTAGTCGATTAATTATGGAGAGTAAGGGATATATATGCCTAAATCCGAATCACAGGTATACCGATAATGGTTTTGATTATGTTTTCCAAAAAGAAAAAGGAGTGGTAGTGGTTGTTGAAACCAAATCAAAGCATACTGCTCTTTCTTCACGAAAATCAGCAAAAGAAGGAACTCCAGAATATATTAAGGATGTTCTTGAGGAAGGTAAAAGAGTCTATGCCAAATTAGAAAACGAATTTATCACAAGGTTGATTGAAGGGGTGCTAAATTACTGTATATTTTTCACGAGGTTTCATTTTCAGATTTTGGCACATTTAATCCTTACAAATTTTACAAGTTGAAGGATGATGGAATAACATTTCAAGAGTTTGATCATTCTCAACTATAATTTGATTGTCGCAAAATCAAGTGAATGTGATTGTAAAATAAACGTTTTTAAAAAGTAATTCTTTGAAACATATCTGAGCTGTTGGGCGAGTAGTTCTTTGGATCATTGATTAACCACAAGGCCGTTATTCAATGCCGTGTGGGTTGATCTTTACTGAAATTCCTCTTGAGATGAAATTTGGCCTCTCGCGCGTGCAATAAATCTTCAAAAAAAATCATCACATGCCTCTCCAGCAAGATACACACGAGCTTACGGAGACGTGTCAAAATAGTTCAATAGAACTCGGTGAACCTTTGAAAAAGATCAAAGAATCATCTTCTTTCATACATGTAAGTCTTTTGTTGTGAAAAGCCATGATGATGAACCTTCATCGTGATTTGTGTATAGACAAAACACAAGGATCCAAACATCATCTTAACAGAGCCAACGAGTGCCATCCATGATGATGCATCCTCCAACAACACCACACACTACGACAACCAAGAAAAGAAGGAGATTGAACCAAGCTCGTTAAATGGCAAACAGCCTGCAGACAACAACATTGACAGCCCGACAAGTTTGCCAAAACAGAGTGCAACGTTGCATTCAACACAAGAATTGGTTGCCAATGATGATGACGTCAATGTCTCTGTCGAGTTGATGAACAAAACAAGAAAGGAAAAGTTCATTTTTTATATCAAATTGCTGTTTGCGCACTTGTTAGGTGTGTTGAAGTTGTGTTGGCCAACAGTAGTGATGAATGTGTGCAACGTGACCTTAGGTTTAGAATCATTATCTTTCATTGGCCATATCAAAGTTGAAGATGAGACGATGAGTGCAGAAGAGAAAGGCAAAATGAGTGAACTTCACATGGCTGCTGCATCCTTGGGAAATTCATTCCTCTTTTGTTTTATTTATATTGCTGTTGGACTGACTCATGGACAAGATACATTGGGTGAGTATATTATTCATACAAATGATCCAAATGATTCGATCATATTGTGAACAATGTTCTGCATCGGATTGAACGAAATATCATCGTGATTATGTTGAAATTTCTGAACACCTGTTGTGTGTGATTGAATCATCATCTCTCATCATATTCATACTTCCTGAACTGAAATGGCCTTTAATTTGAACTCATATCGCAACACACACAGTTTCACAAGCAGTCGGAGCGAATAATTTAAAGAGAGCAGGTCAAATTCTTGCTCGTTCCATCACAACCATCATCCTTGCATTGATTCCGATTAGTGTGATTCTCTGTGTGGTTAATTATTCATTAATATTGATGAATCAAGAGGATAATCTAGTTCACTTGGTTGGTTTGTATTTGAGAATTTTGGTTCCAGGTGTGTTGCCATTCACTTTGTGTGAAGCTCTTTCCTTGTTTTTGGTCTCTCAACACATTCTCTTGCCCAATGTCATTATTTGGCTTTCATCCATTTTCCTTAATTTTGGACTCACTTATGTGTTTGTATTTGGCGTTGGATTTAAGGGATTGGGTTTTATTGGAGCTCCAATTGCCACCACCATCACTCGATACTTTATGTTAACCTGTTACATTTCTGTCATTTACTTTAAGGGATACATGAAAAACACTTGGCATGGATTTGTCGATGTTCGAAATGTCTTTCAATGGGCAGGATTTAAGGAATTCTTAAAATTGGCATTACCAGGTGCTCTCATGTTAACATTTGAGATTTGGGGTTTCGAAATCTCCACCATCACCTCTTCCTTTGTCAGTCAAACAGCCCTTGCTGCTCACTCGGTGGTGTTACAAATATCTGCCCTGACCTACATGGTACCTCTTTCTCAAGCAGCAGCCACTTCCATTCGGATTGGTCAATTATTGGGAGCTCGACAACCCATGCGAGCCAAGTACACTGCTTACAGTTCCATGATGTTTGCCGGATTGATCATGTTTCTATCAGGAAGTACTCTGGCACTTGCTCGTGATTACATTCCAATGATTTATACCGAAGATCCAGAAATCATTTCAATGAGTGCTTCTGTATTTCCATTGTGTGCTATTTTCCAATTGTTTGATGGAGTTCAAGTGATTGGTGGTGCTGTGATTCGAGGAATAGGAAAACAAGTGATTGGAGCAGCAAGTAATTTAATTGCGTATTATGTGTTGGGATTACCCACAGGAGCTGCTCTTGCTTTTGGAGCGAAATGGGGACTTGTTGGTATTTGGTGTGGTCTCGCATTTGCTCTTTTTGCAGTTTCCATTGTTTTGGCACTTTATATCATCTTTCGATTGAATTGGAGAAAGGAATCTGAAACAGCTTTTGAACGAGCCACAAAACATACAATGACAACGAATGAGAGTACATCCATTTCAACCAATGAGGACCATGTTGAGACTAAAATGTCAATAGATTTGGAAATGAATCCAGTGAATCTTGATGTGGCAGCAGCTCAACAACACTCTCCAATCCAACTTTTTGTTCAATCAGGTCAAGAAAATACTTCCTCAAACAAGACATCTCCGACTATTGTTGAAGACGATCAAGCCAGAGACGACTTGGTTGCAACTTGTCTGAAACTATCCACCAGTGTGGACGAAGAAGAAGAACCCATCGAAAAGAAGGCTGCTCGACGTTTAGAAAAATATCATTCTCGTTTGAAATTGCTTTCAGAGTCTGTCGATAGTTTGGAGGAGGAATGAGCAAGGAATGAACATGTTGTGTGAAATTAAGAATAATAAAAGCCAGAATTATATTTGCAAAATGTCATTCTGTCAAAGAGACATCTGTCAACAACACAAAAAAAATGGACTGTGTGTACCAAACGATTGACTTTATTCATTCCAATCGCGACCTTTCAGACAAGAACAAGGTGGCATTGTTGAGCGGTTGTTATGTTGGAACCTTTGAAAATAACTCGGTACAAAATATTATCAAACGTTTAGGCTCTAAAAGTGATCCTTCAGAAACAAATGACAAATTAGACCCCCTATTGGATTGAATGGCACCATCATTTGAGTCTAACAATGAAAATATAGATCATTATGAAACATTTATTTCCTTTAAATCTATTCCATACTCTGAGCCGAAAAACAGATTATGTGCTAAATTTGGAAGTGAAAACTTTATCATTGTGAAAATGCACGTTCCAACAATTTACAAGACCTCATACGTGCTACCTACGACGAAGTTTCTAAATATATAACAGACGAAGACTGTGATAATGAAACCCATTCCTTCATTAGAAAACATTTATTACTCTCTTTTGTTGGAGAACAGTTGACAGACAAGATCAAAAAGAAAGAAGATTGATGTACAAACAATTGGAAGGTTGTAATATCAAAAATATTTTACAAAACCCTGTCAAGATCCACGACAAGGAGTTTGTATTTTTGTGTTGCAATGCCACAGGTGCCCTCAAGCACAAGTATGTCTATGCCAATCGATCTATAATGCAGTCTATTTGTGAATGGGCTTTTAAAGATGATACATTCAATGCGAACAAGGTATTTAATATGGACAAACCAATGACACTTCCTTTAAGAATAAGCTTATTGAACTCTTTAGGTATTCGAACTGTCAACCATTTGAAGTTCAAGGTGATCCCAGATATCATTGAAGAACATGCAAACCATACTGATGGATCTGGCATTATTTTGAGTGAGAATGTTGTTCGAAAAATCATCGAAGCATACAAGAAAAACTTTTTTACTACAGGTTATCCAGTTGGAATCAACACAAGCGAAGAAATTATTAACACAAGTACAAAGAGATTGATTTTTCTACCAATTACAAACATCCGAAAAGGTTGTCCCATGACTTGCCAGATCTCTCTTCAGAGTATCCAAATTACATTCCTTGTGTATTTCAAATTCGATTTAGAGGATTCAAAGGAATGCTAAGATATTATGCCAATTTTGAGGATTTGAGAGATGAAACGAAAATTAATATCAATGAAGAGACGGAAATACTTTTCAGAGAATCGATGGAAAAAATTTCATACTCCTGAAAACGATTGTGATGTCTTAAACTCACTATTCGTTGTTGGACTTTCAACTCCAGCCCCTCATGTCATACTTTCTTCTGAATTGATTTACATGTTTTGTGGTCTAACAACACAACAGGAAAAGTTGTGGCACTATTTTGAGAAAATTTTGATCGACGAAAGAAAGGATCTTGATGATAAGCATGTCAGTACTTTAAAGACAATGGACTCGACGATGAAAGATCTGTTGAATAGAGGTGGAGATCAAAAAGGAATGGCCATGCAAACCACAATCATGCGATTGAAAATGCCTTTTTGAAATTTTTGGGATCCGATACATTTTGTTCCTATTTATTAAGACTCAATGTTCCAATGAAAAAAACAGCCTAACTGTATATGGATTACCAGATGAGACTGGAACTTTAAAAGAAGGTGAGATATTTATTCAGATCACACGGAAGGGAAAAGAAAAACCATCACAGGAACTGTCTTTGTTACAAAAACGACATCCTTATTTCGTTCGGATGTGCAACAATTCACAGCTGTTGACAATCCTAAACTGAGTCACTTATACGATACCTTTATATTTTCCACACTCGGTACAACATCTACTCCTTCAACAATAGCAAATGCTGACTCGGATGGAGATCATTTCTATGTATTTTGGGATCATGAATTGATATCTCTACTTAAAACCGGAATGGAGAAAAATGTAGAATGTGAACAAACAACGTCATGGGAGTAACAAGATAGCCACAAAGCCTGTCAATATCGTTCAGTATATGCTACTGTTAGAAGTGAAATGCGAACATGTAGAGCCAAATCCAAAACCAAAAACATCAAATGAAAAGCTATTCAGGAAAGCTGAACAAACTCAGATCAATACTCGAATGGGAGTTCAAAGAAGCAGATCAATTGATATATGGATGTGCATTCATGACCCTTTTTTATGTTATTCTATGTAATCACCTGCTACATATTTCCAAACACGTTTAGGTTTATTTGATAATTTTTACACACATTCAAGATCGATATCTACTCTATTTGATGCTTTTGAATCATTTAGTATAACATTTTCAAGTATTGAGCAAGCATTGAGAAATGTGAGATTGTATGCCCCAAGTGGACAGATTTTGTTTCCCAAGATTTTGAAATTAGCAATTCATTGTCTAGATAGTCAAGAAAACTCTGACAGAAATATTATTTTTGTGCCAAACGACATTGGATTGCGTCATACTTTCAGATTATGAATTACTTTCAAAGTTTGGATGGCACAACAATTATGATAATTTTCAACTCGTATCATGGGTCACTTATCACGACAAATATGATAACTCACGCAAGATTATTCATTTCAAGGAAGATGATCACCATTTGAAACAAGTAGTGTTTGTGGTCACTTCACCAGAAGAATAGGACATTCAAAATTTGTTATCTAAAATGTAAGTCAAATGAAATTTGTATTATTTTTTATTAACAATAGAGGATCATATTGTAGAATCACATTCTTGGACAAATCCTTCCTCCCTAAACATTCCATTGTGAAAAATATCATGTATCGAATTATAACTAAGGAACAAGACAACGAATGGCAAGCAATTGTAACTGTAGAAACTAAATTAAGGTTATATGCGCAGGATAGCTTTGAAAAAGAGTGTGGAGATTTTCTTGAACATCGTATTGGTGGAATGTATCTTCTTCCTTACGACAATATTACCCAAAATAATTTGCTACTTTTGGCACAATTGAGAGATTGTGGAATCAAAATTGATGCCATCTATCTCAGTACTCTATTTGATGCTGGTGAAACACATCAATGTCTTATTATTGATTTGGATGAAGATATATTGAAGGAATTGAGGAAATTGAATTTGGATGACTATTCTGTTCTGGAAATGCGTAATTGGTTAAGAGCACGCTATCGTCCATCAACTCACCGATCTTTTGAAGATGGCCAGGCATGAGCAATTTCAAATTGATCATATTCATCATCATAATATTCCAATTCTCAAGTGGTTCCGCTTCACGAAATAAATCATTTCAGTTGCTGAACCAGTTCAGCTTCGATCGACTCCGATAACTAACTCCGACACCCCCTAAAAAAAATGGCATCACCACTTGGAATCACCATCACACGTGGGATGATGGTGCTAATGCTAATGATGATGATGATTCTTTTGTCTGCATCATCACTTCTCGCCAAATCATTGTCTCGCGAACAAATTAAACGATCCGTATTCATGAAAGGAAGATCTCTCAACGATGAAGAAGGATATTTGAAGAGAATGGCTGAACATCCTATTTATTCAAAACAACCAGTTTCGATTGAAGGGAAAGGACCAGTGATGAGCATGGATCAAAATCCTTTCGCTCATTCTGGATTTTTCACAGTCAACAAGACAGTGGGTGGACAAATGTATTACGTGTTCTTTGAAGCACAAGATGGAAATCCAAATGCTCCAATTATTTTGTGGTTGCAAGGTGGACCAGGTTGTAGCAGTGCTACTGGAATGCTCATTGAGTTAGGCCCATATAGAATTAATAAGAAGACTTTGGAATTGTATCCAAATCCAAACACTTGGAACAAACATTATCATTTGTTGTTTGTGGACAATCCTCTCGGAGCTGGTTTTTCACACATGCAAAATCCACAAGGTATGTTTTTGTTCCATGATGATCAGTGCTTGCTCTAACGATTTTGATGTGTGTGGATGATATTTGCATTTCATGGCTCCTCTCATTTTGGTTGGTGGTGACGATGATGATGATATTTAGGTTATATTCACAATGAGGAACAAATGGCTAATGAGCTCTATTCCTTGTTAACACAATTCTTTGAAATGTACAAGCAATATCAACCAAATCCATTCTATGTTTTTGGTGAAAGTTATGGTAAGTGACAACTTTAATTTGAACGATAGATACCATCATGATGAATTGTTCACATGTTTTTAACAAAAAAAACTTTCAGCTGGAAAATACGTTCCTTCTATTTCATACAAGATTGCAAATGAAGGTTTCAAGATTAATCTTCGTGGATTTGGAATTGGTGATGGATTGACACACTCATTGGTACAAATGACCAACTATGATCAATACGCATATTCATTGGGTCTTATTGACAGTAAGCAACAATTAGAAATTCAAAAATTGCAAGACAATGTGAAATCTTTGATTCTTCAAGAACGATGGTTTGAAGCTACCCATGCCTGGGACTCTATAATGTCTGCTTTAAACAATTTCACAGGAGGAATTAATGTTTATGATGTTCGCGAGTATGGAGATTACGATTTTAACTATTTTTTGGCTTTCCTTAATCTTCCATCGACTAAGACACTCATGCACACTGTTGGAATTCAATATAATGATTGTGATGCTCAAGCTTATAGTGCTTTATATGCTGACATGTCCAAATCTGTCAAGTACAAGGTTGAAAGTTTGTTAAATAGAGGTGTGAGAGGTATTCTTTATAATGGACAAGTAGATTTGATTATTAACATGGTTCAAACCAAGTGGATTGAAGAAATGAATTGGAAATTCTCTTCAGAATTCTATAATGCTGCTCGAAAGCCATGGACTCTCAATCAGAAAATTGTTGGTTATGTGAAACAATATCAAAATCTTTACAAGGTTGCTGTGAACATGGCTGGCCATCTCTCACCAATGGTAAGTAGTGCAAGATCATGTAATGTTTTATTAATATTCAATATTTGATATTTTACTGAATCATTCAGGATCAACCTGAGGCATTGTATGACATGGTGACTCGATTCATTGAAAACAAACCTTTTTAATTGATTAAATTTTCATGAATGTTAATATTTGGCATTCTTGTTGCAATCCATGGTTGACTGATTATTGGAAATTTCGTCTTTTTTCTGAAAAAAAATGATTGATCCTCGTCCAAGGCCTCTCCGTAATTTCCTTCTACTCTTTGCTGATCCCTGCACTGAATCATCATCCTCCTCTTCCCCCAACAACAATCAACATTTAATTAAATTTCAGGCGAAAGATTTAGCATGGGTTCAAGATGGCATCGGGTACAAGACACTCTTCCTTCGAATTCTGTCCTTTTTGGATCAATATGATTTGGCGCAGAGTATCCAACCTGTGTGTAAATTATTTCAAAATTTTGCAAATTGTGATTTGTTGTGGGAACAATTATTTTGGAATTTATTCACACAGGATTTCGGGCTCACAAAAGAAGAAACTCAAAAGTATTTGAATCCATCAAATTTAGACACAATGGTAGGCATTTACACCGAACAGTCTCTCATTCCTGAAAACTCATGGAAATTCAAAGTGGTGAATGGTGTAAGATTATATTATTTGGAAGGCCATCCCTCAAGGGACTACGCAAGTGACACTCCAGGTGAAGCTGGGATATGGCGATTGGATTGTTCACAATGCGGAGCACCATTTCATCACAGAGAGCCATACATCGAGGAAGCTGACTCTGGAGATTGTCTACATTTAGATTGTGTGGATAAGGAAGAATTTAATGAAAAGATCGAACATTTTGCTCAAATTTATGGCTATATATCCCATTTTTCAAGAAATGAGATCATTTCAACCTTCTTTAAAAGACGTTTCATTCATTCCAATAAGGGTGAAGATGATATATCTGATGAATCTGTTGCAGAATATACGTGTGATGCCTGTGGTGAGCCAATTCACACTATTCGATATTCATGTCTCGATTGTGAATTTGATCTTTGTGGATACTGTTGTGAAAGGTTAGTGTATCATCAAAAGGGAGTTGATATGGCATTTTGTAAAGGTGTAGAGCATCCACACAATCACACCTTCCTCACAGTGGGAGAGGAATATTTTGATACCTATTCATGCAATGTGTGTAAGGAAAAGATTCGTGGATTTAGATACCATGATCCTACCAAAGACAACTTTGACCTTTGTACTTTGTGTTTTAAGACAAAACGTGAGGCAAATATTGACTATGACAAAATTGATCTCCATGGAGAGATTGTTACTGAATCATTCTATCAATTCCTATGTAACAAGATGCATCTCCAGGAATTGAAAGATGTTTACAAAAATGTATTTGATATGACTGTGAAGGGAGTTAAATCTCAACTTGTCGAAGAATTATTGGAATTGTTGGAAGAGAAAAAGGAGAAAAATACTCGCCCTAGATTGTGTACACTTGTTTCTAATGTTCCAAGATTTTGTTGCAAAGATGATGAATGTCATGTGTTGAAAGAAGATGCCATCGATGCCTTAGTGGCAAGTTTGGATCTGGTTGAGAAGGAACAAGTGAAACCTCCCAAAAAGAAATCAAAAAAGGAGGCCATTGTGAATGATGAGGAATAGAAGTGATATATGTTCAAATCATTCTTAGAAAGAGGTAGTTACAAATTGATTCACAATACGTGAATATACGTTAATATGTTTAAACTCCCAAATAAGATTGTACAATCTTTTTAATACATCCTAAATTATTTTAATTCGTTTCAATTATTAATAACCAAAAAAAATAATGGACAATCAACATTCTGAAAATACCGTGCTTCAAGAGGATGATGCTGCTCACTACAATCATGAAATGCTCGGATTTGAATGGATTACCAATGATGTGATCGAGCATGATATTATTCCATTTGTAGATTATTACAGCCTCACCACAGTAATTCCGTTAGTATCAAAGACGTGGTATCAAATGGCGAACAAAGTGGGCATGTGGTTTGCTATTGTTTGTAAAGAGTGCGGAATTCATGCAGAGAATCTTTCAAATTACGTTACATGCTGTAAAATTAATAATATTAGGAACAGAAATTATACAAGTTGGGATAGTTACTTGTTTGATGATGATTTGTACATATTGAAAAGATTGTATTATAGTATTCGTAAATTGTTTCCAACAAAATTTTTAACTCCGAGCGAGGACACGACTAGGCAATTTAGATTACCAGATTTGATCATGAGAGATCCAAATAATCCAAATATTTTGATATTCAACAATCAAAAGTATAAGGAGAATACGTTTGGATTTGATCTTAATGTAATGAGTGACAAAAGAATTCCAAACCTGAGGTTTCTTCAAACACCATCATCATCTCTTGGAGAAGAAAGTAATGAAAACCCAAACCCTGCTCCCCAAGAGAATAACAATCCAGTGCAGGACCACGATATTTCTCAATTGGTTCCTGTGTATTATTTTGAGATTGAAACAATGGAACTTGAAAAAGAGTTAAAAACACCAATGAGTTCAACGACTATTACTTCACCCCTCTCTTCAGCATCTCCCTTCTCTGCAAATATGGGATCTCCATTTTCTCTCACATTGAAACGGTTCTTTGAAAAGAAAGAAAAGCGTGGAAGGAATTCTATTGGAGTATTGCATGCATGTTATCAAACAAGAAGACAAGTGGGTTGGGATGAATGTGGCGCAGGTATGTTTACGATTTGTTTTGATTTTCACCAACACCCAATCAACAGGATTTCATAGTGATGATGGGAAAATATTTGTCGCAGAGGGTGGTAGCGACTTTGATGTTCTGATAAAGGAGAAGAAACCAATACTTGGAGATACATTAGGGTGTGGTATCTTGGCTAGCAATGGTTACGGAGTTGCCTTCTTCACGTTGAACGGTAGATTCTTGGCTTCACCTTTCACTGTTAAAACAAAAAAAGAAGATATGAGGTTGGGGCTTGGATTTTGGAAGAATGAAAAAGCACTGTGCAACTTTGGTCAAATGCCGTTCAAATACAACATTACCAATGTTTTTGACGATGTGGAACGATACCTAGGAGAACATCCTGTTGATAATATTCCAGCATTAGCTGATTCAGGATACTCTTATGAAAGAGAAACTGTTACTGGCCTTTTGGATAGGTTGTCAACCCTTAGACTGAGACTAAACAGAGCGAGCGAACATTTAAACATGGTATCTAGAGTTGTAAGAGGCATGGATTTATCACCCACGTGGTTCGAATCTGATGAAGAGTTTGAGAATGGTGACAATGCTGGCTCTGACTATCAACCCTCTGAAACTGAGTCAGATGATGATGATGTACAAGAACCAGCCCAGTTTAGCGAACCAGAAGTTGAAAGTGAGGAAGAGGTCCAAAACGATGACACTGAAATGGACACAAATGAAGAGTAGCAAAAGTAAAAATAATAATAATAAGAGTGGAATTTATGATTTTCAAAAACTGTTACTAATCGTTCTTCTTATTCTCGCCTTCAGAGGATGCTTGTGACGCTTGTTGAGGTGTGGACGAAGTGCCTGACGCCAATGAAAGGACATACTTGATTGTATTTCGATATAAAGCAATAATTATTGCGACATGAACAGCCCCAATTAAAAAAGCGTACTTGATTCCAACCACACTCCACACAAAAATAAATACAATATAAACATAAAGAACCACGACAGCTGCATGGAACAATAAGTTAAAATTGAAACTAATCGGACTTGAAGCAATTGTTGCATTATTTTCCTTTTGAAATGGATTTGGAAAAGCACCAGTCTTGGAGTGAGCCGCTGCATTGTTAATAAATGAAACTGCAAAATTCATCATGAAAAAGTGTAATTTGATAAATCCAAAAGCAGCCATAGCACAATTTTTGTAAATTCTTTGATTAATTTCATCTTCATCTGCATCATCGTTCTCGTTTATAAATCCATCAAATAATCCTGCAACATTATTTTCAAGACAATAAAATCTGGCCCAAAAAACAAGACAAAACATAAGTATTGTTCTTATAACACCAAAAACAATTTGTAAAATTAATAACAGAATTGGCCACTTCACTCTTGGTTCTGTTCTTTGATTTGAACCGGAATTTGGTATCGGATCGGTCGTTTTTGGAGACAAAGTGTAAGCTAGATAGCAAACAATAGGATCTCCCAAGATTGATCCCAAAGTCCCCGGAATAATCCATAAAGAATTGAAAAAGTCAAGCGGGGATATGGAGATGGGAAGCAAATTATTCATCGATTGTGTGAAGAAAATATTTTTTTGATATTAGACAATCTTTTCCGAAGATTCGACCACAGTGCTGTCTTCTCAACCCTGCTTCGAATGATTCAGGTGAAGTTGTTCCTTTACTCTCCGCCATGATGTTTGGTTTCAACATGCGAAACTTGACTTTTGAAGATCGCAAGATTTCCTTCTTTGCGCACGTTGCTGACGAAAGCGATCAATTATCCAACCAGGAAAAATCTTCTCTCACTCAACCGAAGCTGTGGAAAAGTTTACAATCACCAACTTCAAGCGTATTGCTGCCGTAATAAATCGAAAATTTTAAGGCGACCTTAATACAACTCAGTTTTATCAAAAAAAATTCTCTCTCGTTGAATCTCCCGTTCGTAGAAGAAACCAAACCAAACAATACAACATGGCAGAAGATATTCAAGCACTCGTTGTTGATAACGGATCTGGTATGTGTAAGGCAGGTTTTGCAGGTGATGATGCACCAAGATCTGTGTTCCCATCCATTGTCGGTAAACCAAAGCAAAAGTCCATCATGGTCGGTATGGGCAACAAGGACGCCTTTGTTGGTGATGAAGCTCAATCCAAGAGAGGTATTTTGACTTTGAAGTATCCAATTGAACACGGTATTGTTACTAATTGGGACGACATGTCATTGATCTGGCATCACACCTTCTACAATGAATTGAGAGTAACTCCTGAGGAACATCCAGTCTTGTTGACTGAGGCTCCATTGAACCCTAAGGAAAACAGAGAGAGAATGACAAAGATCATGTTCGAAACTTTCTCAGTCCCAGCCATGTATGTCGCCATTCAAGCTGTCTTGTCCTTGTATGCTTCAGGTCGTACCACTGGTATGGTTATTGACTCTGGAGATGGTGTTACTCACACTGTTCCAATCTATGAAGGTTATTCCCTTCCTCACGCTATCTTGAGAATTAACTTGGCTGGTAGAGATTTGACTGATTACATGGTGAGAATTTTGAGTGAAAGAGGATATTCATTCGTCTCCAGTGCTGAGAGAGAAATTGTCAGAGATATTAAGGAGAAGCTCTGTTATGTTGCTGGTGATTTTGAAACTGAAATGAACACTTACCAAACAAATCCATCCAGTATTGACAAGACCTATGAGCTTCCTGATGGTAACGTTATTACCGTCGGTAACGAAAGATTTAGATGTCCTGAGGTGTTGTTCAAACCAAGCATGATCGGAATGGAACAAGACGGTATGGCTGACACTGCTTACAATACTATTCAAAAGTGTGATGTCGACATCAGAAAGGACTTGTACAACAACATTGTCATGTCTGGAGGTACCACCATGTTCGAAGGAATTCCAGAGAGATTAAACAAGGAAATTACAGTGTTGGCCCCAGCTTCAATGAAGATTAAGGTAGTTGCTCCACCTGAAAGAAAATACTCTGTCTGGATCGGTGGTTCCATCTTGGCCTCATTGTCAACCTTCCAACAAATGTGGATTACTAAGGAGGAATACGAGGACAGCGGAGCAACAATTGTTCACAGAAAGTGCTTCTAAATGCATTATGGACACCATGTAACAGTAAATTGACGATTGATATCAGCAAATCTATTACTTACATGAATGTTTTATTTAAATACAACATCCACATCATAAAACACATATTTAGGAATTTCCTCCTCCTCTCTGATATTAAATTGATAGTGATAGATGTTGCCTAGATTTTGGAGAATTGGCATGCTATTCTTCTTGTCACAAATGTAAATGACAAATGAAAAGGCGTTTAAAATTGTGAGATCATGACTCCACAAAATTTTTGATAATGGCAATACTTCCAACCAAATGGGTTTTTGTAAAGATGCATACTCACAGATATTCGAGATATCATCCATTCCCATCATTCGTAACGTACTTGCATCTTCTCCTACTATGTGACGTATATAAACATGGTGATCTGATACAAAGTGAAAATATTCCTTTCCAAACACTTTTTGAATATTTTTGTTCTTCAGAAACGGAATGCTGCATACAGTTGTTTCTTGCATGTTCAAATCTGATGGTTCAAAATAATCCTTTGAATATTTTGTTGTAAATACACAATTGTCTGCATTCGCAAAGTCAAAGGATGAATAAAAACTGTTAACAAATTACAAACCTCCAAAGAAAAATACAGTATTGCACGAGGCGTAAATAGATCTTATGGGACAGTCGAGGATTGTTGACGGAACTAGAGTCCAGTGAGTTGCATCAATAACCTGGTTATAGCTAAGAGTTCCAGCTACAAAACAAAAACCCTTATCAGTCAGACAAAAGCTACTGAAGTATAATGTTTGAATGTCAACTATTTTTCCATATCTTGAGTTGGAAAATGCAGTTGATTCTAGTGGGCAAAATAAATAAGTAATGTCACCTGAAATTTTCCCCAACTGTGACTGATAACTGCAGCCTGTGGGCTTACAAATAAGATTTTAAAGGTCTTCCATTTAACTTACCAGTTCCATACAACTTTCCATCATTAGTTAACAATATTGCATGCTGATATCCGCAGCTGATTTTTACCACCGACTTCATCACAGAACAGCTATCAACATTTGGTGTGAATTTAACAGGAAGAATGTCAGATGACGAGCCTACAAGTAGAAATTGAAAAACGCAGCTAAAAAATTGCTTTGATTACCTACCTTGGCCAGTACCTCTCTAAATGAATAGTAAAACTATTAAACACAACAACAAAATATTTACCTGGCCACATTCATTGTTTCCTGTTAATGAGACGTAAAAAGTTCATGATGATGTCAACAATTAATCATAAAATACAATACATTGTGAATTTCAAACTTACCAACACTGTAAATAACTCCTGATTTGCTCTTAAACATGAAAAATCTCATACCACAAGCAACTAGTTCAACTGGCTCGGAAAAATCAACTATGCACCAATTAGCGTTATTCGGTAGAGTCGTTCGTTTTGAAAAATCCAAACCATATCCATACATTGTTCCGTCTGTATACACGTCGTAATCATTTGATATTTTCTTTCATCAATGAATTTATGTCAAAACATACTTTCATCTAAAAGCAACACAAAATTAGAGCCGGAGGAGCCTTGCACAAATCTATAATGACTCGGATGAGATATTGGTTTCAAAATAATTCGATCGGATAGTTCAAACGTATTTGTATTTTGTCTTTGATCATCATCATTGATTGAAATATCTTCTTCCTCTTGTTCGGTGAGAGCATTTTGTTTAGAAGCAATAAGAAGGAATTGATCTTGGTGCCAACAATTTGCCATTTTTTAATAAATTCAAAACGAATATTCAATTTGATCAGGAAATAATGACACCTCCAAAGCGTCACTTCATCCTTTTAATATCAATTGTCCAAAGAAGAAAAGAACTTTTTTATTTTCGACATCCACTTGCTTGTCCAAAGGATGTATTAATCTCATTCTTAAGAAAACTCCAGCCAGCTCCAGTCTTTACTTGAAATTCAAGTCATGAATTTCCACAATTTCCTGCGGTCGCACTCAAGATATCCCAGTCATGGAGTTTTATCAAGGATCTTCCAACAGCATTTCTGAATGACGATCTGCTTTTGTCACTTGCATTCAAGAAACAAAAAAATCAAATTAATCCTTATGTCGACCCAACCTCTCACGAACAGCAACAGCAACAGCACTGATTGCTCATCTTGTAGCTGCCACAAGCCAACCACTGAAAGCACGTCCACTTCCTCACTTGCTGCAATTGTCAACACAAATACTACTGGTTATTCTTCACCATTAGATGCCTTTCATCATGGCCCACGTGAGAAGATTGTCTATGTGACTGCGATCAGCACACAACCACAAGATCACCCTGATGCGATCATCACAGTCGATGTGGATCCACAATCCAAAACTTACTCACAAATTATTCATATCCTTTCAATGCCCTACAAGGGAGATGAGCTTCATCATTTTGGTAAGTTTCCTTTCATAGAAATTCGAGGTCTTGGTAGAGGATCACGATCTTGTTAATGAATATGATCATCCTTCCATTTCAGGTTGGAATGCTTGCAGTTCATGTTATGGATGTTGTGGAGCTGGAGAAACGTCTGACTCTGATAAAAGACGTTTCCTCTTCGTTCCAGGTGTGAAATCCAATCGATTCTACATTATCGATACAGTTACAAATCCAAGAGAACCAAAAATTCATCAAATTATTGAGCCTGAACAAGTTGAGAAGGTAACATCGTTGGCTTATCCACACACAGCTCATTGTTTAGCAGATGGAAATGTCATGGTCTCCATGATGGGTACCAAAGACGGTAAAGGAAAAGGAGGTTTTATCTTGATTAAGGACAATGGAAAGGGAGTTTTTGAAGTTGCCTCACAGTGGAGTAAAGATGAAGAGTCAAAGATGGTCTATGGGTATGATTTTTGGTATCAACCACATCACAATATCATGGTTTCATCTGAATGGGGAGCTCCTGAAGCATTCACAAAGGGTTTTGATCCATCTCAAGTGGAGACTCACTATGGTCATCATATTTATTTGTGGAATTGGAAGGAAAGAACTCTCTATAAGAGAGTGAACTTGGGAGAAGATGGTCTCATTCCTCTGGAAGTACGTTTTCTACACAACCCAAAGTCTGATCATGGATATGTGGCATGTGCTTTGAGTTCAACAGTGTTTCATATTTACAAGAATGGTTCAAATCAAAGCTCTGAGGTGGAGTGGAAAGTGAAAAAGGTCATTTCCATTCCGAGTGTGAGTGTGAGTGGATGGGCGCTTCCTTCAATGCCTTCTCTCATTACTGACTTTGTCATATCTTTGGATGATAGATATTTGTATTTGAGCAATTGGTTGCATGGAGATGTTCGTCAATATGACATTTCAGATCCTCATGAACCAAAACTTGTGGGTCAAGTATTCATCGGTGGAAGTTTGAGAGAAGGAAGTGGTGTTTCGATTGTTGAAAAATCGCAACAAGTGGAGAGTGAGAATGGCAATTTGGGAGTTCCTAAACAATTAATTCAAGTTCCACAAGTGAAAGGAACTGTTTTACAAGGTTCTGCTCAAATGTTTCAACTTTCATTGGATGGTAAACGATTGTACGTGACCAACAGTTTGTTCTCAGACTGGGATAAACAATTTTATCCTGGCCTGATTGATTCTGGATCTCAGTTAATTCAAATCGATGTCGACACTGAGAAGGGTGGTTTGACTGTCAATCAAAACTTTTTGGTGGATTTCAGTAAGACCAACAATGGAGTGAAATATTTAGCTCATGAGATAAGATACCCAGGAGGAGACTGTACCAGTGATATTTGGTTGTAATCTAAGCGATGTTTTCATCAAGATAATATGAGTGAACTCTTATTCATCCACCTTCTCTTTCGAAGGTTTTACGAAATAATAAATTAATCTTTTCATCAGGAAACAACTCAAAGACATCGTTGATAGGAATTAATTCTCTTGTTCGGAATTGCTGTGGAATCTGTTTGAAGTGGATTGTATTGGAATTGTATTGTTGTTTTGGTCAGAAATTAAACAATTCCAGAAGGGGTTTCATTCAAACAATATAATCCATAATATTGTCTTTTTCTGAAAGGAATCACCAATCTAAAAATACTCGTGCAAGCTTTTTCATCAAAGAAAAAAATGTACAATACTCACGATCTGTTCCACTCCAAAGACAAGCCAGTCACTCATCCTTCGGCACCTTTATTACAACACAACAATTATTCTGAAGCCCTTCCTTTTGAAGACCCTCTCAGGGATATGCAAGAGGCTCACTCTATGGGTACATCTATTATGGCTGTTGAATTTGATGGCGGAGTGGTGATTGGAGCTGATTCTCGTACCACCACCGGAAGTTATATTGCGAATAGAGTTTCTGATAAGCTTACACCTGTTCATGATAGAATTTATGTTTGTCGTTCTGGATCAGCAGCTGACACACAACAGATCTCAGATTATGTTCGTTATTTCTTGAAAATTCACTCGGTTGAAGTCGGCACATTGCCATTGGTAGAGACAGCTGCAAACTTGTTCAAAGATTTTTGTTATAATTATAAAGATCAATTGCTTGCTGGTATAATTTGTGCAGGCTGGGACGAAAAGAATGGAGGAAGTGTTTGGACGATTCCATTAGGAGGAACTCTCATTAGAGAACCTTTCAGCATTGGTGGATCAGGAAGTACTTATATTTATGGTTATTGTGATGCAAACTTTAAGAAAGGAATGACCAAGGATGAGTGTAAGCAGTTTGTGAGGAATGCATTGTCTCTTGCTATGGCTCGTGACGGAAGCAGTGGTGGTGTCGTTCGTCTTGCTGTCATCACGAAAGATGGCGTAGAAAGAGAAGTCCACCATGAAGGTCCAGGAGGTACATTACCAAAACACTACTCTGATTAGAAGATGATTACTATTTTGTAAAAATTGAATTTCAAATACATGATTTTTCCAGTTCAATATTCAAAGAGATAATAATTTAATTCAATTTGAGGTTTCCTTTGCTGACCTTTCCTTTCGTGATGGGCTTGTACTCACCAGTCACAGCAACGCCCATATATCCATTGAAAAGACGCAAGGAAGCATCGTCAATGACCAGACCAGGAAGATAGTATTCCAAATTGAATAAAGGAACACCTTCCGCAAGTTGTTGATTCAATTGACGAACAACACCACGTGTAACAACAATATTAACAATGAAGGCAAAGTTCTTAATGTCCATGTCTCCAATCCAACTTTGTCTTAAGGTTAGATTAACTGCTGGGTTGTCAATGACAGCAGTCAAGTTTACCGTTGTGGCATTGTTTTTAACATCAATTTTGTCCAAAGAAAAGCCAGCATCCACATTCAAGGAGAAGGCGTTTACAATATTGTTTGGTGAGTTGATAACTTGGAAAAGCAGTTCTCCCTTAAAGTTTGCGTTCATACCAGTTTGGGAAATGTTAAACTGAGGACAAGGAGAAGTGGCTGGGCTACTGGAGAGAAGAATTTGAACTAATTTGTTTGGATACTTTTCGTAAAGTTGAGGAAGATAAATCTTCAAGCTTGTAGTATTCAGTTGAATCATTTCAGTTGGAGGTACCATATCTGGTGTAACAAGATAGCTCAATTGATTTGATTGGTACAGGCTATATAAAAAACTCTTTGGAATAAAGTCAGTCAAATAAATTTGGAGTAAATCTGACATTTGAACTGAGGTTGGCAAATCGACAGGATCGAATGGTAATTTCTCGCCAAGGCTCTGAGAGAAAAATCTCACTTGTGAGGATGCTCCAATCGTCAAGTAATCAACCGTTTCAAAAGTGTCAAAACCAAAGTCAATCATTAATTGCTTGTCACCAAACGTCACAGGAACAATGAATGGTTGTTGAGCAATATAATTGTTCATGGATTGAACCTTTTCCTCAATTGTTGAAGTGATAGCTTTAGCAATCATCTTGTTGACTGTGTTTGCAAAAAGAGACTCCATCAGGTTGATAAACCATCCCTGAATACCTCCATCAGTAATATGAATTTTCATGTTATATAATTCTAATCCAATAGTCGACACAAATTGAGGCTTTTCATCGCTTGTTAATTTAAAAACAACTCTTATTCCTCCATAAACGCTCTCTGTATTGACATTGGCAACACCGGAGCCGCTCATATATGGAAATGATTTCTGTTTGTAAAGATATTTTGTGGACAATGTGATACTAGCCTGTGAGACAGCAATATAAAAAGCGTCGAGATTTGGATCCAATGTTGCTTGAATTTGTTCTCCCAAGTCAATTTTCTTGATCGATGTTTCTGTCAAATAAACGTCAACATCTCCAATCAGTGAAACAGATTGTGTCACGTTAAAATTAGGAATTGGTGTCTTGAGAATAAATTCTTCCAATTCAGCCTTGTCCTTCTTGATCACTTGATTCAAATACGAGATACTCAAAAATCCAGCAGCTGAAGGCTTTAATGGGACAAGTTTCATTCCGCGCAAAATATTTACATCCTTTCCGAGTGCTGTTGTTGTGGCGATCGCTATGATGGTCATCACAAGTGCAACCAACACGGCAAAAGAAGGATGATTCAAAAAGAGAGGGCGATGATGGCTCATGTTTCTCATGGATGCAATTTTTTCGGAGTGCAAGGCGTAGGAGGAGATTTTTTTGGAATGAGAAGAAACAAGAAGCAATTATAATCGAGAAGAAGAAAAGGACTGAAATCCTTATTCCAACAACAACAACAACGGGATTCGATGAACGATTGGTTCGTTTCCATGCATGGAATTGGATTCTAGAGAATTGCTTGATGTTCAACTACAGTATCTCCACATCTTCAAGTGTTCCTTTTGTTCTTAGAACGAAACAAGATGAGCTTTTATAATCCTCAGTTCAAGACAAATGAATTCACAGAGTAAAGCGTGCGGAAAAAACTAATTTTTTTCTTATTTTGGAATTTTACGACTTTAGAGTATATCATCCTCTCCTATGAATGGCATCCATGTTATTTTATGAAGTTCAATGAAATGGATGATGAAATTTAAGGTTCTTAACCTTAGATTATATGACGAACACAACGTGAACAAGCACCAACGACAATAGGGAGAAAGCAGCAGTAGGGATGGTGGTTGTTGTGGAGCATGAATTTGCAAGAAAAATTGCAGAATGAATCACTTGTGTATCCATCTCTGAAGAAGAAGCTTCTACAAATAAATCAATCGTGATGCTGCTATCCATTGAATTCTTGTTATCGTTTTCCTTGTACAACACCAATGACAAGAAATCCTTATAATAATAAACATGGTCATCTGAATGGTTGTTATGATTGGGAGAGATTTCAAAATCTCGTTTTGCTATCACATAGGATCCCTTTGAACAAAATTTAAAGGGTGGTTTGCAAAGCGACAAAGTATGAATGGTGGTGTTTGTAAATAACCTTTGAGATGTGTTCCATTGTTCTGAAGAAACATATCCATTAATGTTGGGGCTAAGAAAATTCATAATCTCTCCCCAATCGCTTTGATAAACAAATTCTCCAGCCATATATAATTGATCTTGATAAATATCCATTTTTCGAATGCCAAACATGGTCGAGTCGTCATCAAACACTTGAAATGGAGAGAGTAGAATTACTCTCTTCTTGAAATGTCGAATGTAATGTATGGATTTACTTGGCTTGTATAGAAATAGGTATTGCTTTGGAGCAGTAAATGCCCCACCAATAACAAACACATCTATATATGATTCAAAGAATTCCATCACAAATGTGTCATCTATAAAACTCCATTATTATCTTCTTACCTTCATAGACATGATTATTCTGAAGAGCAATTGATGTCACTGGGCCATTTAGTTGGCCTTGAAGTAATGTTTCCCATTTTCCATTTTGATATCTTTTAAAGTAGTCTTTTTGAAACATTAATCATCATGTTGAGAACTCACATGAATGTCACATCACCACTTACCTGGAAAATTCCCACCCACATAAAAATATAATTGTCATCATGAATTAGTACAGTATTGACACAAGTTCCTCTCACACCTCTCACTCCAGCACTAGCAAATAAATCCCACTTCAAAGAATTGGTGTCAATCATTACAACGTTATTAACGTTATCAATTCCAGCTGCCTTTGTAAATTGTCCAGCCATCAAAATTGAAGGTTGACATTGCTTGAACACGTTATTGTAAAATACTTTGATATCCAACACAGTTGCATTGGCCGACCATTCTCCCATATAAATATCACGATCAAATACATTCAATGATGTCCATAAATTTGATGTTGAATTTCCACTCGAAGCTGCAATTTTAACAGCAATTGGTCCAGTTTTCACACCATCAATACTCGTAAATCTTCCTCCCACAAATAACATGTCACATTTCGATTCATATAACACGACATGAATTGGACCATCGGGAGGTGTTTTATAGAACGGAGTGACTGAAGAGGTTTCAGTATTGTACAAGGCAAGATTTTGGATAGTGTTTTCAAAGAGATGAATTTCTTGTTGTTGTTTTGATGATGCTGACAAGGTAAAGGATCCTCCGAATAGAATTTGTTCTCCATTCGAAACCAACAGAACATGACTAAACAAGAATAAAAAGAATAAAACAACCAAGAAGAAGTGAAGAGAAAGACAATCATGTGATGATGATGATGTTTGAGTGAAGATGATGGAATTGGTGTTTGAAAAGGCTCGTATGGTTTTCAGTCTTGTGTGCATTTTGTTGAAAATTGTAATCATCATTTCATGATAACCATCTTTTGTGATTTCCTAAAGAGACCAAGAGCATTAATACATGAAAAAGAACTCTAGGAGGACAACTTGAAAAAGCCTCTCTCTGAGAAAAAATGTCATGTTCTCAAGCACGACCCTCATCATCACGAGGGATTCAACTCCTTTCCAATCCCAAGTATGAAGTGTTTCCGGTGCTCATGCAAATATTATCTCATTTGGAACCAGTGGCTAATTATGCCTTGTTCGGATCGAATAAAAGACGACGATCCGATGCATCATCTTTGAAACAACAAGAAGAAGTTGTGGATACGACAATTCATACTCGATCGCCCTTTTTTCAAGCCTTTGATCAATTACTGGAATATATTTGGAAGAGTCATGATGATCCTCAAGATCCATCAGAACAGCAATTAATGGAAAGATTTGTACAAACGTTGAAGGAGGCTTGCGATTCTCTCACTGACAATCCTGACATAATGGAATTGTATACATTGATTGTATCCTTATTGATGTTTGGACATCATGAATTGGAAAACGAATTTTGTGGAGAAATCACTACCACTTTGGGAGTATGTCCTGTTTGTACTTTTTCAAAACATCCTTGTGTGGAGAAAGTTCCAAAGTTGCAAGCGTCCACTCAATTGTGGAAGAACTTTGAGACAACTGGAATTATGGATTTTGTTGTGACTGAGAGCATTGATGAATATAGCTGTCAAGTGTGCAGCACAGTATACAATGTTCTAAAAAGTGACTTTGTTTCAAAACCACCTGAAATATTGGTGTTACAATTAGATAGATTTAATTTCAATTTTGAAACATTTACTGTCCAAAAATCTCATACACTGTTCCCATTGAATGTAAAAGCTCCTTTATCTTTAAGATATTATGGACAACAAGGAGCATTAATACAACAGTATGATTTAGTTGCTATAGCAAATCATGAAGGACAGGGAGTGAATGGAGTTTATTCATGCTGCTTCTGGAATACTGCATCACATAAATGGTATACGTGCCACGGAAATCAACTTCCAATCCCCTTCACTCAGAATCTTGAATACCTAATATCTCCTGCAAATTATTTGCTCTTTTTTACTAAGAAACAAGCGCAAGAAAAAACATCCTTTTTACGACAATTTGGAAATACTGACATTAGTTTTACATTTTCTGAATAACCTGAAAGTATACATATAGTTGAATAAGTCACACATAATATTGTTCCTCGTTTAGAATAGCAAGAATAATAATCAATTATTATCAACAATTTTATTGGTTACAATTAATTGTTGATGGAATGTTAAAATCATTCACGTTGATTACAAAATTCACATGTCACTTGCTTGAAAATTACACAAAAAATGCCCAGAGAACCAAAACCAGTGCTGCATCCTCACGAGCCCTATGATCCTTACAAACTCTATGAACAATCATTCAAACAAAAAGGACAAAGCAGATATGTTCTCTACAAGACGTACAATTTAGGAATGCTTTGGTGTTCATTGACATTTGGATTTTTTGCACTTGATGCATTCAATCCTTCACACTACATTAGTGTTCGTTTGAACATTTCGGAACAGGAAGCACAGGCCTATGATGATTTATTTGACTATCCTCTTCGAATTGCATCGATGGTGACAACAGGAATTGCATTTGTATTGAGTGGAATTTTATTACTTCGGTTCTCTATGCGACGATCGATTTATTCAAATATTCACTTTGTTTTACATTTCGGAACTTTGGCAGGGTTAGTAACGAGTGTCATTGTACAGTATCTATCGATTGTTGTTTTCTATATGAGCATGAATGGTGTAGTAGTAGATAATGAAAAGATGGTTTATTCTTTTCGTATTATCTGTGGCGTCGCACTGGCAGTTCATGAGCTATGTGCCTACAAATTGCTCTCAGAGATGTGTGAAACAAATGGTTCGAGTCCTGGAATTATCATCTCGTTTGCTCTCACCTCACGAAGTTTCAAGTTTGCTTTTGACGAAATAATTTCATTGCAGGATTGGATTACACCAACACAAGTGATGAGTGTTTTATTGTATTTGGGATTTATAGTCGTTATTTTAGTGATCTCGTATACAAGTTTAGAGATTTATCAGTACCTTCAAAATCATCCCTCGTTATTTGATACAAAAAAGCAAACCTCAGATTTGTTAAAGCATCACATTTATGATTCAAAGAAAAGGTTTTTTGAGAGAATCAAAGAAGGATTGAAAAGAAATATAGCATACATGATCATGATGATCTTTTTACTATGTATGACTGCATTGTTTTGGTTTGGTGTTAGAATCATGCCTCTCAATTCTGGGGGACAGTATTGGGCTGAGCGTGTCAATGTAGGGGTGAATGATATCATCTCATTGAGATTGGCCATTCACTTTCTCATCCTTGTCACACTTCCATTTTTCGGAGCACTACTTGACCAAGGAGGTAAAAACAAGGAACAACGAAAGAAGGAGTTTCAACTGTTGGAAATTAGAGAAAACAAAAAGACAAGCATTCCTGAAAGCTCAATTTCAAACAAAAGAAAATCTTCATTGCTGGAAAAGATTTCAAAATCATTTCGATTGAAATTTAGAATTGTTTTACTGTGTTTGGGAATGATCATTGCAATTAGTTCTTCATTTTTCTACACGATTGATTCTCCTCAAAATGTACCCCTTTATGATTTTTCACTTAATATTGTGACATTCATTCACTCTATTGGAACTGCAATGGCAACTAGTGCCATACATTTAATACCAAAATACTACTTTTCAGTGGTCAATAAGGACGAAATTGAAGAGAAGGCAATTTATTTGAAACGACGCTATTACCGAAATATTCCACAATATTTATTTTACCTTCATAATGTATTTTATGAACAAACAGAATTTACTGGAGTGAGATATTTGGCGTGGTATTCATTACTAAGCACTATTAAGAATATTTCTCTTCTCTATCACATGTATGCCAAGTTTAGCATGGAAATACTCATCATTGCGGCCGTGTTAATCTTTATACTTTCCTTGATTGCCTTTATAGTAATGACTGTATTATCCTATGTTGATTTTAAGTATTTAAGGGCGAGAACTAGCAATCATTCCTCACAAAAAGAGAGTCTTCTTGAAATTCCTCTCATCTCTCCACAGGAGGAGCGTCGAGGGGAAAGTATGGCTTCTCCCACGAGTACTTCTACTAACTTTGATCCATCGAGTTTCTTCACCAAGCATGTATTGCGATTTAAGGGTTGGACTCGATTAGCAGTGGTTGTGTTAACATGGCCCATTGATTTATTAATGACTGCTAACGTTACACTTTTCATTACGTGTCTTTGTGGAATACCCACAATCATGTTGTCATTTTACGAAGCGTTGGAACCTTCGAATAGACAAAGTAGTCATCCTGTTGAGATTGCCTTCCTATTTTGTCTATTCTTATTATTTCTATTTTCTTTTCTTTTTGTTTACAAGTCAACATTCCTCAAATTTATGGGGCTCCATTTCTTCAAGTGGACAAGAAGACTCTATAATTTAATATTTGATAGTCCTTATTCCACGATTAGTGGTTATGTGAATTGTGCTTTTTCATTTGCCAAGTATGAAAGCAACTTGTTGGAGATGAAAAAACAGAGAGAAAAGAGGGCAACGAATAAGTCAGTTCCACTTGTGAAAACTTTGCATAATTTTATTGACCCTGGTCAAAAGGACAGTTCCTACCAATCCGAGGAAGATGAGAAGCTTGGAGGATATTATGTTTCCTATGAGTTAATGAGTACAACAGACAAGGAACAACCTGTCATCCATAGCAATGAGGATAATTTGATTTTAGAAGAAGAAACGATTGATTCAAAGCTATTAACTCTTGCAGATGAAGTGAAAGAAGACGATTATGTTATTGTGACAGCCAAGGACGATCGCGTATTTCCATACGAGGATTTGGAAGACAACAAAATTGAAAGAGTCAAAATTCAACATTTTAAATCTAAGGAAGATTATGTGAATTATCTGAATTCAACAGAGTTTTTACAAAAGTTCAATGAGAGAGATTATTCATTCACACGAATTACAAACGGAACAGTTCTGTTCAAGAAGAGCAAATATAAGCATGTCTATACGAATGAGAGAAATTTGAATTACATTCGTTCCATTAGGCCTGGATCTAGCTTTACACTCTTTGTCATTACCTATTTTTGTGGATATTTCTTGATCCCTCAAGTGTTTTCTTGGTTCAAATTGGCACCGATTCCCATCGTATCAAATCCATACACTTTCTTGATTGTCACTTGTAATTTCGTATTTGGATTTTTAATGTTTTATCCATTAGTGGGTAAGTATAATACTCATGTGAAAGAGTGCCTTGATAATTTACAATTTTAATGAACCATTTCATGCAAAAAGCTGTGTGGATGGATGTAAATCAGTCCATTACTGCTTCACTCAAAGAAGCAATTGTCATGCTTGAAGACACAAAAGAAAAACTTCAAATTCATCATTCTTCAGAAAATATCGAATATGATCCGACGAAACAAGTGAAAATCAAATGTTCAAAGGATCAATTTTACCTTTTCGATTTGGACATGATCACCAAATGGTACAAGAATATGACTTTTATTCAGAAAACGGTGGATGCGAAAATGGCAACCATGAGACACAACCTAATTGTAAGTAAGACCTAAATGAGCTCAGTTTCGATACATGATACACAACATGACATTGCTGTGTATACTTATAGATTGTGTTTGTTTTGGCAAAGGCAGGTTCTGTGGTACTTTCATTAATTTCTCTCTTCACAAATATCGAATTCACTCCACAAAACTTTCAACCCATGTACATTGTACTTGGTTTGGATATGGCCGTCTTGTTCTTTGTAATTGATCCATGCGCCACACTCTACTATTTCCTTTGGAAGAATATTATTACCATGTTAAAGATGAGAACTAAGGTGACTGGATTGATTCATAACTATCCTCAAGATAATAAGGAGAAAGTGAATCAATTTGCGCAAACCTTCCACTACATTCAATATTGGAATGAGTTGCAACGAATGCAAAATATGATTGGATGCCGATTTGATATTAATGGATATCTATTTCTTGTGGTGGACCAAAACATGTACAAGAGTTGGTTCTATTCCTTATTGGCAACACTTCCTCCAGCAATTGTCAAGTTGATTATTCAGAAATTCTTCACGACGGGTGGATTTTTCAAAATTTAAATTGCTTTCTGTTAAATAGAGTTCTCTTATAGGTGACCTTAGAATCACAACAACAAATTCATTTATTGAAAACTTGTTTCACTAGAGTAGTTCTCATCCTGTGTGAAATAACCTGGAAAAGAGCTCTGATTTTCCAAAACACCAAAACCAGACACCAAAAGTTCAAGGATTGGGAACCACAAAACACAAAATTTGGTGTTCCATAAAAACAGAAGTGGTATTACAAAGAGCAATGAATAATAGCCACAATTATCGCTATCATTTTGCACCTTGATATCAAAAGTATTGTCTTCTCTTTCTTCCGAAACAATCAAACTTTTAAGCTGCTCTTGAGAAATATATGAAAAAGCATCTCCGAATTTTAGAGAATGCAAGCAGAGAGAGTCAAAGTGATGGGATTTTCTAATAGACTTCTCAAAGATTTTCATTGGTTGTACGTAAAGAATAGTTTGGATCAAGATGCCACATTCTTAATATTTTCTGAACGATTCTTCACCAATCCATCGGTTGTTAGTGTAGAAGAGATGAATGCCAAGAGTTAAAATATAAGAGAATGAACAATCGGTCTGATGATCATCACACGAAAAAACAAAACATCGATCTTTTGGACAAGCATGGATATTTGCAAATTCAGCACTCATCCAAATTGATTGGAGTATTTGATATCCTCACAAACACATCAATTATTGTTAAGATTCGGTTATTATTATTATTTTTTAATTAATATTTGAGAAATTTCATTCTCGAGAATTGCAATTATCAATCTGATAAATCGATGAAATAAAGCTGTTTAGAGGAAGAGGGATCATTGAAGATCCATGTATTTCTCCATATTTATCCATTCATTCATCCACTGTGCAGTCAACCAAAAAAAATGTCTGCAAACAAACAAGTTTTTTCTTCCGAAAATTATCAAGACCTTCCAGTCATCATCAACGGGGCTGGATTAGTTGGGTGCTTGGCTGCTCTTTACATGGCACAACATCACTCACAACGAGTAATATTGATTGACAAGAGACAGGATTATCGATCTCACCGATATGAAGGAAGATCTATCAACTTGGCCATTTCTCATCGTGCATTCAAAGCTCTCGGAGGTATTGATAAGAGTTTTATTGATCACTTCAAAGATGAGAAGATCGGATTAAAGATGACTGGTCGTGGACTTCACATGAAAGATAAAGTCAAAACAGCTGATAAACAAGATCAATTCGAAGAAGGCAAATTGGGATATCAACCTTATGGTACAAACGAAGACGAATATATTGTTTCTGTTGGTAGACACTATTTGAATTGTTTCTTGTTAGAAGAATTGGAAAAGAGATTTTCTAACAGAATTCAAGTGGTGTTTGAAGCTTCACCTACTCGATTGGAGTTTAGAAAAATTAATGACTCCCAGACTGGAAAGGAAGAAACCATCTCAGTATTGAGCTACAAGGATAAGAGCAATACGACACACAGTGTTACAGGGAAATTTATCATTGGATGTGATGGATTGAATTCTTTTGTTCGTCAACAATTGCAAATCAACCCTAATGCTCGATTTTCCTACTCACAAACCTATATTTCACATGCTTACAAGGAATTGTCCATTCGAGCTGACCCTAAAACAAAAGATTTTATCATGAGAAAGGACTGCTTACATATTTGGCCACGTGGAGATTTCATGCTCATCGCCTTGCCTAATCCAACCAAAGATTTCACTGTCACATTGTTTATGCGTCACTTGAAGAAAAAGGATTATGGAGAAGATGAAAAAACTGCCTATGGTCAACCCTCATTTGAAAGTGTTGAGCTTGGAGATTGTAAGAGTTATGATGAATTGACCGAGGAAAAGAAGGAACAAAATGTTCGCAAATTCTTTAAGGAACAATTCCCTGATGCCTATGATATGGTTAAGGATCATTTGATGGAAGATTGGAATACAAATCCAACAAGTGCCTTGTCTTACATTCAGTGCAATCCTCATCACTATGAAGGCAAAGTAGTTCTGTTGGGAGATTCCGCTCATGCAATCATTCCATTCTACGGACAAGGAGTGAATTGCGGTTTTGAGGATTGTTTGGTCTTCTCGAACATTCTAAAGGAAGAACAAAATAAGCTCGGATGGAAGAATGACAAGTTTAGCTCTGATTTGTTGGAAAAAGTGTTCACGAGATACAGCGAAGAAAGAAAACCCTCTGCCGATGCTATCCTTAACTTGTCGCTCCATAACTTTATCGTGATGCGTGCCAAGACAGCATCTCCCTTATTCCTTATTGAGCAGGCTGTGATGCGATTCTTGCATAGAAACTTCCCAACCGTACATGCCTTCAAACCATTGTACACCATGGTTGCATTCACTCCAGATAGAACGTATGCTGATGCTTGGAATGCACATGTGAAAAGAGAGGAAACCATCGAAAATTTGAAGAAATTCGTTGTAAGATCACTCACGACATGCACCGTTGCTGCTCTCTCTGTTTTTGTCTACTCAAAATTGTATTGCAAACCAACAACAACTTCCACACCATCACAATCGTCTGCCATTAGCTATGTTGGAGACTTGGCGAATGCAACAATGAAACGACTGAGCTCTATCTTTGGATACAACCAAACATCTCAATAGATCAAAACAGATTTAACTCTTTCTGATTTCCCTCTCGATAAATATTGAACAATGAAAATAAATCCTAGTGGTGTGAAGGGTGTCGTTGCAATGTATTTCCTTGGTACCTTATATCCATATGTAAAATGTTCTCTTGCCAAGTCCAGTAATTTGCTTGCAATTCCTTGTCTTCTCATGTGATTGCTCACCCAAATTCGGCTAACTCCAAGAACTGCCTTTGTGTAATCAGAAGAAATCTTTGAACAATCGGTAAGATCATGAAAATTCATATCTGACATGTCCAGGCTCGGATGATGATTACTACTTAGGTGAGTGGTGGTAGGTGAAGGTTGTACATCCAAGCTCAAACTGAGTTGAGTGTTCAGTGTTTGTTTAAAAATTTCATAGAGCTCCATATCGCTGGTAGAGTTTTTGCGTGACTCGAAAATAATTGGCTTTGCTTTCGTGATACATTCCGCGATCAAACATGCAACCATGTTTCTGCTTTCCTTATTGATGCATAGGAAAAGTTTGTAAGGCTTGGTTAGAAAATCCTCGTCTGACTCGTCATAATTTAACGAGCCATCAACTGCATGCTTAATTTCCAGTACTTTTCTTTTGACATTTGAAAATTTACTTATTTCAATAAATTCCAAATCATCGTTCAAATATCCAATAGACTCATAGTATTTGGCATTCATTGGTATTTTCACATAAGTTTCATCCCCAGAATTTTGGTTCGTGGATTCTTGAGTTGAAGAACCAGTTTGATTCAAGAACGAGTTCTCTTCAAAAATCGATTCGTTCGCATTGCTGAGATTTTTTGTTAATGCTGGTTCATCATCTGTTTCATATTCTTCGCAATCTTCATCAATGATTGTCTTTCGTTCAATTTTGCTCTCCTTTTTTTGTTTTCTAGAGTTAGAAGTACTTTTAACAACAATATCATCCTCACAAACGACTCCAATGAAAACACGTTTCTCTTTCTTCTTTTTAGCTTTGTATGTTTTGCGAATCATGGATTTTCCGAAACGAATGGCAAGTTCATGCTGTTTCTTCTTCTCATCCGAGGTGATGCCGCCTGGAGAAAGGCTTGGTTTCATTTTTTTCTTTCTTTTTGAGGAACAAGTATTTGAGGAAGGAACAGCATGAAGGATTGAAAGCAAATCATGCTGTTGTTGCTGTCCCGATCTTGCCTTTGATGAAGAAGGTTTAAAAATCCCAATAAGAGAGACGAAATGATTCAATTTTAAAAATGCATCAAGAGAATCAATCTCCCCAACCATCCAATGATGAAAGCGAAGACAATGAAGAATTATTTTGCAATGATATTTACCAGCTCTCGAACCATGAATTTATTTCAAAATATTCAACAAGTAGATCATCAAGTTATGATTTTACTTGTATTCCGACGGATGTTTTGTGCTTCATCATTTTGCAATATTTAGATTGGAAAACAGTTTTTCAGAGTTGTCTGTTGGTAAACAAAGACTTTTATCGGAAAATTGCAAATAATAGACAATTATTTATTAATTTATATAATGAATTGTTTGTTATGAAAAAAGAAGAAATTGAGAGCCTCACCCTTGAATCACCAGCTTTTAAACATAAAAGGATATTTACGGGTGGATTTAGTTACGACACAAAATTATACGGTGGATTGTTGTATCCCAATGAGCATTATCATTTCTGTGAAGATTATGAATATTGTAACTTGGACGAGAAAGGATTCCAAACCATGAAAAGAGTTTTAGAAAGGCTCTATATTAAAAATTGCACCATGACTGAACAAAAACTCATGTTGATCAAGAAAACTTGGGAAAACTCTGTGTCTATTCTAAGAAAGAACAATAGTGCTATTTCCTCAGCTCCCTCATCGTCGTCGAGAAGATTGAAAAAGAATGAAAATCAAGCATTACTTGCTCTGATTAAGAAAATTATCAAGGACAGACTATTCATGAGAAAATACTTTAATCATGAGTTGAAATCAAAATATTTTGGAAAAAGGTCCCATCACTACTATTATTATACACAACATATGAATAGAAAAGAAGCAATAGAATTCACTGAAACTTTGCCCGATGTTACACAACAACTTGAGGAAATATTTTATTATGCAGATTGTGAACAATATCAAGGATATCAGTGGTATGAACTCGAAGAGATTGTTCTTGGTCACAAATCTACGTTTAATGGCGTGGCGATAGAGTTTTTAAATTTCATGGAACCGATTCGTGAGGATTTTCCACTGAACAACATTGTTTCTTTGTTTTGCCGTAAGTAGAATAACTATCATTATTCCTTAACAATCATGGTTATCCTTCTCAACCTTAAAGATAATTTGGTGGATTACGAAAGCATGATATCCTATTTATACAATCCAGACCCACAACAATTCTTCAAATTGTGCCCAAATTTAAAGGCATTTGCTTCTAGAGGTAGATACAATTCATTATCACCCATTAGAAGCAATCATCTTTCCATTGTGGTTTTGGTGTCTGGGGGCATGGATTCGAAAACCCTCACCTCTGTATTGGATTGTCATTTTCCACATCTCAAACATTTAGAGCTGTGGTTTGGAGATACTAGATATGGCAACAATATATTACGTGAACATTTGGAAGGCTTTTTAAGTGAAAAAGAACATGGAAAATTTCCCATTCTCGAATATTTTGGAATTCGAAATTGTGAGAACATTCACCTTTTTATTCCATTAATTGGAAAATCTGCAATACTTTCTCGAATTAGAATATTAGATGTATCTTTGAGTGCCATTTACTTGGAAGACATTCAAGAGTTATTGTCTATTTTAAAGACGAGAACAAGACAAAGTTTTCCCATATTAGAAGCCATAGATTTTCATCGATGTGCACGAGTACCTCCTGAAGTCATCCAAGAGTTTATTGAACTCGAGATTATGATTGATGTTGGTTACTCATCGAGATATATTGCGGCTGGCGAGTAGTAACATCTTATTGAGGAAGGAAACTTAAATAGATCTGATTTTGGGATTGAAAGTTCAAAAACATTAATCATCATTCGCTGAAAGCAACCCAATCCATCGATCCTCTTGGTTATTTTGAATACAGATCAAGACTAGATGGGGTAAGGCAAGCGGCATCGAATATTCCCCTTGTGTTGTCCACCATTTGGTATCTCTTGGTATCTCGAGCACTGAACGGTCTGTTGAATGTTCTCAGGCTTTGTTCCTCTGGCCTACAAAAAACAACTCTTTTTGCCTTTTCGGGCAGAATAATTCCTTGTTTGAACTCGGCATTCTAAACTGCGATAGAAAAACACCATGTTTACCAATTGAACAAAAAAGCTGAATTTTTGTGTACATGGTGAAGACCCTAGCATTCTTCCATAGTTCCGCTTCCTACGGAACACATTCCAAAAATCTGCCATAATTAGATGTTGTGGGTTTCGCCAAATTAATACAAAAAAAAAGTCCAATCACAAATGCCACTTGTCACACACACAAGCACTGACATTAGCTCCAACCGATATTTCGGAGAACAAGACGACATTGAAGAACCCACCTCTGAGCACAATGACCTTTTTTCTTCCCTTCCACAACCTCTCTCAACTTTGCATCACCATTACCAAGCTGCTTCTAGGTCCGCTTCCATGATAACGAACCATCAAACACCTTCCATGTTCCACTGTGATGGTGGCCTTGAAACCGATGACCATCCTCATCATGGACATACATTCAAAATTTTAATAAGTGGTGGAGGTTTTGCTGGACTCGTTGCCGCCTACTATTTGTTAAATCATACCAATCAATTTGCAACGAACTATCATGGTAATTTACCAATTGAAATTACTATTGTAGAAAAAGCTTCCATGTATAGACAAGTGGGTGCTGTTATCACACTGGAAGGAGACCAAGTGTTGCGTACTTTGAAGGAAATGAATATCGAAGAAGAATTGAGTAGCATTGAGATTCCAAGAACAAAACAACATTTTTTCACACATAATGGTCGTCATGTGAGAAGTTTTGATGAGAGTTCAGTTTCAAAATATAAGGAAGAGGGAAGAAGATATGAAAGGCACAAATTCCATGAAATTTTGATGAAAAGAATCAAACCGATGATTGTCAGACGAGACGGAAATGTCACAGTTTTAACAAATGTTGGTGGAAATGGAGCAGACTCGAATCATGAAAATTATGATGATAATCATTTCCGAATGAATCGTGTCATTTACAGTATGAGACCAAGTTTGTTTAATAAGGACAAGATTGAGGTTACTCTAATGAGAAAAACTGATTGGTTGCATTTACAAAATCAGAAAGAAACTCAGACATTAAGAAAAACACAAATCCCAAGAAAAGCGCTCGATTGCAGTAACTTGGATGAGAAAAAGGAAACTCCAATGAACAGACTATCCAAGCTTCAAAAGAGAAAATCTACAGGATCTTCAGGAGATTTACAACAATTAGAAGAAGCAGCAATTGAAAAAGAAAAACAACAAACGACACCTGTGGGAAAAGAATCTCCTGGATGGAGAAGATTTTTCCAAAAAAAGGAAATTCTTGCTCAATCACCTGCTACAACAAGGAAAGAAACACCATGTTCTTCGCCTTCTTCTGTCACAACACACACGAATAGAACCAATTCATCAGAAAGCCCCTTACAAGTGAGAGATAGAAGCACTTCAATGAGAGACCTTTTCATTACTTTTAATGATGGTGAAGATTTTGAAAACGCAGTGTATCAAACGATGGAAGACCGTAAACTTTATAATATTGAAAAAGAAGAATTCGATTTGGTCATTGGAGCTGATGGAATTCACAGTCAAACAAGAGCACTAATATTTGGTGATGAAAGTAACTTTAAACACTTTTTAGGAGTTGGATACTTTTGTTTTATTGTAGACTTGGTACTTTGTGAAGACGATATGCAAAAGATCAGTGAAAAATATTGGAGTAATGTTTATGGAGATGCTAAGAAACTGTCGTCAACAGAGTCTTTTGATCCAGCACAAATTAACTCCATTCCTGGTTTGGAATCATTGACGCCCGAACGATTGTCACGTATGTTAGAAGCCTCAAAAAAGATTGCTGAGCATGTTAAAGATACTGAATCAGCGTCAGTTCTTCTCACTAACGGAAGATATCTTAATGTATTAAGATATGGATCAAAGATAGCTGTCACATGTGTAAATAGAGAACCCTCAGAGGAAGAAATGGAAAAGGACAGCCAAGTGTACAGTGTTGGAATTAACAAGTCCTTTGTAGATGAATCTCAACAAGAGAAGAGAATGACAGTCTCCATGAATGATTTGGGAAAGCATGAAAAACATGAATCTATTCCTGAAAAACTCAGAAAGCGGTTCTCTCTGTTTAAAAAGACGACTCCAGAAACCCATTCAAAACATGATACCTCCAACCATAATCCATCCATCACAAATCAATTTTATTCTTTTGATGCTAGCAAAATGCATGATTACCATTTTGACAACACTCTTACTCACGATAGTTCTAGTTCAAGCTTACACACCAGTAGTGGTGACAGCACTGAGACAGATCATGAAGAAGAAATGTATGAGGAGGATGAAGAAATTGCTGAAGCATTTATGGAAATGGTGAATGAATCTGTTGCTGCAAAACAAAGCATGACACCAAATACTGATAACACTGTAGATGCTACTACTCAACATCAACTCTCATCTACCGAACACTTCAAAGAGGTTGAATGTTCAGCAACGTCCAATGAATCAACGTCTAAAAAGAAAAAACAAGACAAATCTCATCACTCAAAGACGTTCTTTATTTCAGCAGAGAAACGCAAAACCTTTTTAAAAGAAAAGTTTAAGGATTGTGAATTTCTCTTCCATGATATCATGGAGCTCGTTCTTGACAGTCGAACTATTTATTATGACGATTTAGCTCAAATTAGAAATCTTGACAAGTGGCATAAGGGAAGATGTGTACTCGTTGGTGATGCCTGCCAAGCATTGACACCGTTGAGTGGTAAAGGAGGTGCTCTTGCCATTATCGCAGCCAAAAAGTTGGGCCAAGAGTTGAGAACAGCCTTAGAAATTCATGCATCCAAAGAAGGTGAAGAAAATTTACATACCATTCCATTGGAAAGGAGTGTTTTCTTTGGTAGTTGTTTGGAAACTGCGTTCAATAATTATCAATCAGCCATGCAAGAAAGAATCAAACAAGTTCAAAAGAAAACAGTGTGGGAAGGTGTGGATGTGTTTTTAGCAAAATCAAGTGTGAAAAGAATGGTTCGAGATGGAGCGTTGAGATTTTTACCAAAGAGCGTCTTGTTGAAAATGACAAAGAAAGAGGAAGAGAGTTATTAAGAGTTGAATCAATTCACATTATTGAGGAAAAGTCCATGGCATGCACAATTTTGTCAAATTTTGTAAATTTTGTAAATTTTATTGATTGACTTCTTTCAATTCATTTGAGGTTTGCAAAGTGTTTGTGTTGCTACCACCTTCATTGGTTGACTTCTTTTGTGTGTTCGCCTCTCCACCACAACAACAGCAAAGAGCAGACATCATCGTCTCCCAACAATCTTGACCTTCCTTCACATTAATGTCCTTGCTTATATTTCCTTCTAATTGATCCAAGGGGCCATAAATGAATCGAACTCCAAAAGTGAATAAAAACACCACCACTCTCTGAATACCATAAGCAAAGATAAACATAAAGTAATCCACAAATACCGACACTGAAGCCAAAATGACCACAATATTCACCAACAAGTTCAAAAATGCTTGAAGAGAAATGGCAATCATTATCGTTCGTTGAGCCTTCTTTCTTTTCGAAGTGACCTTTCCCATTTCATCATTCAACAATTGCTTGGTTAAAATGTTGGTCAAATAAAAGTTGATCACGCCACTAATGCATGAAAAGAGCATGATCAATCCAGATATGGCAATTGAGGCATAGAATATATAGAGTGATGCACGGACAGCACTTTCCACATCAAAAGACGGATTGTTTTCTCCATAATAAGGAACTGTCAAGGCAATTAAAATGGCTGGAACAAGTAATGAGAGCATTCCAACAGTGGCCACACCAGCCACAATGGAATAGGTTCGAATCACTGTTTGATGATTCTTTGTTTTTTCAAATTCTCCATTCTGCATCCATAATCGTTTGGGATTGTAATAGATTTCATAGAGAACTTTGGTGGTGAGACATTGACTCAAAAAGCATAGACCAGCAGTAATGACAATACCTATTATGGTTGTTGTGAAGGTGTTGTGAAATTAATTAATTGTGTTAAAGACGTAAGACATATTCATTATATTTTCAATATAAACACACAAAACACACTACTGAATATAACTTACATTCATAATTAATCATGAGCAACACTTGAGGAACAACTTGTCTCGCTTCCACTAATTTGGCAGTTGCTGTTGCAATGCCAGAGGCACTTGCCAAAATTTGAAGTGCCGACAAGGGAATAATCAAAGTCTGCAAATACTTGTTGTTTTTCACCAAAGTTTTCCATCTCATAAAGAGACGAAAAAGTTTGAAACAAACCAGGAATGAAAACACTGGAAAAGTGATGCCATCAATGGTGAGAGAGACAATATTTTGACTTTTGGTGTAGGGAGTGAGTGTCGAATTGTTGTTGTTGGTACTGTTGTTGAATAGAAAAGTGTTGTTATTGAAAGAAGAGTTGGTAGAGATCTCATGAGTGGTGTGTAAAAGAGAGAAGGCAAAGAATGGAAGAAGGAAGGGTTCGGTGGTGCCATGACGAGGGAGTGACATTTTGTTGTGTGTGAATTTGTTATAATTCCGAGTGAGTGACAGACAGCTAATGAATGATGATGAAAAGCATGATCAATTTCGTAAGGATCCTTTCATCGGACCTCTTCGAATCGAAATTAGGAAATCCGAACTCACGCCATTGCCTTCTATGAATGAATGAACTCGATGATTATGTTAATGTGACAGTGGCCTGTGCACTGATACCATCAAAGAGTCATTACAAGCCTATCAACTAGTTGATGCGTATGAACTATAGAACAATATTTACTGTTTCTTCATGAGGGGCTGTTTTTTGATTCGTACGATCCAATTGTTCTTTGACTTGTCAAATTGCAAAATTTGAGACGTGTCGTTCATTTGGAGAAAGTCCTTAAGTTTCATATTTCCCTCAATTTTCCAACCTAATTGTTTGATCAAAGTACCAACCACAGATAAATCAGCTTCGTATGGGTAATCTTTAGATAACTGCTCAATGATTAATAGAATACTGTGAAATGTTGCAATTTTTGGCTCTTTCTTTGAATCTAGTCCAGAGGATTTGTTATCTGAATATTCTACCATCATGTCATTTCCTCTCTGTACAACTGTTAAATGTGGCGATATTTGTGATATTTTCCTTTGCAAATGTTTGGTATTGTATCCAAGAGACTTGTAATACTTTTTTAGGGCCATGTAACTCATTCTTCGATTTGGCATTTCCTTCACCTTACTCTCCAACTCAAGTAATAAATCATTGCTAATACTCTTTTTGCTACTTGTACTTGAGTCTGATATTGAACTTTGAGTTTCATCTGTATCTTCACTGGAAGGAGGAGACTTTACTCTTTTTCCTGATTCCTCTTTTCGTTTAAATGAAGGAATTGGTAATTCTTGTCCACTTCTCAACAACAGCAATGTTGGAGAAGAGCTAGGTGTTTCATAATTCTTCTTTTGTAACAGAGTATTGGAAGATTTAGATTGGTTCAACACCAAGGATTGTTTTGGAATGAGAGATTGCATATTTGGTGATATTAAAGGGTTGGATGAGCTCATGGTTACATTCTCGTGTTCATCCAAACCGTTCAAATGGTCGCCTCCAATTTGTGAATCAGCCTGTTGAGTAGCTTCTTCAAGGTTTTGATGATTTTCTTGCTCGTCAAACAAGAGCATTGACGACAACGATGGATACTTGGGAGGTATGTATTCAACATTGTCAGGGATCAGTCTTAATACACTCTCTCTATCTGTTAAAGAGATTAACAACATGTTTCCTTTTTGCTCCAATTTGAAAATCCCAACAAGGTTTCCATTTGTGTCACCCATCGTGTTAAATTCAATTAACTTCTTTTTCAATGATTTTGGCTTAATGTTATAATTAAATAATCTACTGCTTAATGCACCTAACTCCATGCTATCTTCCAAGAGTAATAAGAAGCAAATTAAGTGCATATCATTAATGTCTAGATCGCGCTTGGTTGGAGGAGAAAGATATCGTAGCATATAATTTTCAAGACTCATATGACATGATGCGGAAGGAAGTCCCTCTTTGCGAGTATCGAGTACTCCATGTTCATGTCCATCCTCCTCTGGGAAGGCTGACTCGACAAGAGGAGTTTCTGAATTCAATAAATCGCTGTCTGTCATTATTGTTGGTTCTTCACCACTGACTCCAAGTGGTTGCAAGGATTTTGCGTCCACAGAAAACTGGCTCGATGACATGTCATTTAACAATGTTGGAGTGTTAGTGACCACTTCTTTTTTAGCACGAGGTTCTTTTGAGCTTGAAATTTCATGAGAAATGATGTCAGCACTACTGCTTGTTGCCTTTACAGGCATAGTGGAGACTTTGATATTGGAGGGTAAAAGCTTTAGCACTTTCTTTCTATCTACTAATAAGATATTTGTAGAGTTGTTGGCTTTTGTTAATTCTAAAAACTTTCCACTATCATAGCTTTCAATAAATTTCTTCAATTTCTTTGGCTGAATGTTTAAATTAAGCAATTTCGAGCTTAAATTTCCCAACTCTAGTGGCTCTAAATACTTCAATAATATGAAGCTAATAAGTTTGATGTCTTTTGGAATGAGTTCTCGAGGTGTTTGAGGAGCAATAGATTCAATATATTCATCCAGCGTCATTTGAGTTTTAGGTTTTGAAGGTTTCACAGGAGATGAAGAAACGTCTAGTGTCGTCGAGTTATTTGTAGTTTCCTTGGATAACGATATTTGGGAGCTCCCTCCTTGCAAAAGTCTTTTCTTTTCTTTTTCCATTCCAGAAATTGAGTCATTAAGAATATCTTCAAATGGAATCCAAAATGTACTGCTTTGTAATAAGGTATTCAGTGACTGATCCTCGTCAACTACATATCCTCCATGTTGACTCTGGTCTTTTTTAATCACTACAACACTTGGAATCGATTGATATTTCAACCTAGCCAGTAAATTACAAAAATCTTGATCTCCTGTTAATAAAATAATGGCTGAGCTTGGAATGGTATTGTAGAGTGACATGGAATAGTGATTTTGGCCAAAAAATTGAGGGAGAATTGGTCTGTTGTAAATATTCAAGTCCATTAACACATCCGTAATCATCATCTTATCAACAACCTCTTTTCTTGTTGTTCCTAAATGTGGTACATCAATGAGGTGACATCCATTTTGATAAAACTCAGTTCTTCGATATTTTGGAATTTGATACATGTCTCCATAGACCTAATTTAATTGGTATCAGACGAAACAATCGTTTCCAAAATTACTTACCTTTATAAATGGTGCATTAACCTTAATAATAGTATTTGAATTTGGAAATTGGGAGGCATAATAATTTGTTAATTCTTTTTCTAGTCTTGCCAATAAGCATGTTAAAAACAAGCTGGTTGTTGTAATGTTACTTTTTTGTTCTTCTAATTTCGAGACTATTTGTGAGGAAGGAATCATCATGTTTGAAGAAAGTGAAATGTTTTCATAATCCCAATAAATCAAACATTGAATAACGTGATATCGTGGTGGACATCCAAATGTATTATTTGGTAAAGGCAAACCATAAACATTGGATTGAGGAGTAGCAACATTGTTGTCGCCACTGTTAGTGGCATGGACGTCCAAATTATTTGCTTGGCTGGCAATTCGTGTGCTCTCCGAATGGTTGTGGCTCGTAGAATTCATTTCCAAAATTTGGTTCAATAGCCTATTGTTATATTCATGAATATGAAATTTAGTTTCTTGCATTTGTTCATCAACAACATTGTTCACAGAACTCTCAGGTTGCTTGGCGTCTTCTTCTTGGGCTGATGATGATGATGACATGGTGGAAGATGGCGATAACTCTTCAACCAATAAATTTGCTGAATCGTTAAAATCAATGGATGATGGCTGAGTTTTGGTAGGGTTTGTTTCGGATTCTACCTGAACATTGAGAGCATTTGTTGTTGTGTTGTCCAACAAATTATTGGATGTTGTTGTTTCTGACAAGATGACATCCTGTTCGTGAATACTTGAAGTAGATAAATCCTCTTCTTCGGTCGCAAGAGGCCAAGCAACAGACTCCTCAATAATTATATTTGCTGATTCATCACTCGCTCTAATCAAACTAAGATGCTCTTCTTCTTTCGGAGAAGATGGCAAGGCAGACGATGATGTCCCTTCTTCAGATTCATTCATTTTAAAGTGTTTCAATTTTTAAATTCGCAAATAAAATTAATTTATTGTCTAAACGATCTTGTTCAATCATGAAATGCATCGATTACTCACTATCTAATCTTAATCTCATCATCAATAATCAATCCCCATTGACCTCTTCTCGTTATCCAAGTGATCTTCTTTCCCTCGATTGCCATTTTTGCGTACTTGGTACCCTTGTCCTTGTTCTGTTCCATATACGTCACTTCACCAATGCGAACGAATCGACAAGCGCCGTCGTTCACAGAAATGTCGTAATCAACTCCCTTAATTGTGACCTTGGAAGCAGCTGGGTTGTGAATAGCTTCATGAACTTGTTTCATTTCTTCATCAGATAAATCGCTTGCATCGCCTGAATCGCTGTCTTGAGAGGACGAACCACCTGGTCGAACAATTGCTGACGATGATTTTAAGTGTTGTTGCATTGAAGGATTTGCCATTTGGAACTCTCCGGCTTCACGATAGCACAATCCTAAAAACATGTTTTGCATGCTGTCAAAGTCTTTGAGCTCAAAACGACGCCCACCAGTCTCATCAGCTAGGAATTGATAAAAGTCAGTGGCATAATCTCTTCCTTGACATTGAACAGAATGAATCTTGATGTGGTATTCATTGAAAAGTTTGGAAGCTTCTTCTTTGTAATTAATCTTCAAATATTCTTCTGTACTATGGGGCACATCGTCACCAATCACTACTAGAGTTCTTTGCGTGAAAGGATTATCCTTAGGAATCCAACTTAAGGTTTGAGCTTCCTTGAGGACCATCTCGTAACATTCTGCCGGGTCAAGTCCTCCAGTACCACGTAAACTTTGTACAAATGATACGATTTGATCAATGTCGTTGCTGAAATCTGTAGAGTTAAATGAAATAAATTTAAATAAATTTAATCAAATTATTAAATATTGTTAATACAAGAATGACAATTAAAAAACATACCTAATTTTTGCATGACATAAAACATGGAATAATCTGCATAATCTCCAAACGCAATGATACTGATTTGGATGGTTGGAATATCGTTCAATAATTGTTGACACATGTGTTGAAGTTTCCACTTTAAATCATCAATAATGTTAATTTGAGATCCAGTCGTATCGAATGCAAAGCAGATCTGTACAGCAGGTACTTCATCACTTGACTTGAGTCTTCTATTTCCCTCTGCATAATAGCATCCTGAAAGAATTTGTTGAAGTGTAATCTTCTTGTTGACCAAAGTATTGGTATCGAAATATTCCATTTCAGTCATTGGAAGAGATGAAATAGCCCAATGAGTGGCATCGACATCTCCTCGTTTGAATTCATTACCAGGTGTTTTCGCAAGCAACTTTCTAAGAGCTTCTTCATAATCAATATGTGAAGATTGAAACTCAGAAAAACGGTTCCCAGGAGTTCTCGAGCGCAATACAGCACTATCATCACTCGGTAAATTGTTCAATGAGATGTTTGTGGGGCGATTTGTGCCAGTTCGGGAAGGCGTGCTTGAGGATGATGAGCCAGCAGCACCAGTTCTTCTCGAAGGAGAAGAAGCACTTGCAGTTGCCTTCTTGGCTCTGCCTGCAGTGTTTGTTGTTTTTCGTTGCTTGGATTTCTTTGGTTTTACTTCAAAATCATCATCATCTACCATGGCATCATCGTCATCGTCCGACATTTCTGCTTCATCATCATCATCATCGTCTTCCTTCTTTCTCTTTGGAGTTGCTGCTTTCTTTGGTGTCGATGATGTTGCAGCCTTCTTCTTCTTTGGAGTGGATGAGTTGGAGCTGCTACTAGTGGTGTTAGTAACTTGTCTCAAATCGAAATCACCCACTTGATAATCCTCCAAATGAGATGGAAGTTTACCTCTTGTTGAACGAACAGGAGTGTATCGTTTGGCAGGAGTGACCTTGTTGCTTGGAGTTGTTGTTCTTTTCTTAGGAGTGGATCTAGAAGGGGTCGAAGGCTGTTGAGTTGGAGTTGTTGATGCTGATGCGGTACCATTGGTGGTACTTTCATCCATCTTTTCTGTGTGGGTAGAGGACTTGTCCTCAGTGGATGAGTGATCGTGATTAGGTTGAGACGACATTTTTTTTTGGTTTGGTAAAAAAAAATTCCACCTCTTATTTGAAAAACAATCAGATTGGAAGAAGAACGAAAAAACTCGACTCGTCGTTGAGAATAACGTCCAGTAAACATTTCACAGGAATGTCAAAAAATTAAAAACACCCTTGATGATAAAAACAACCCAACCAATAAAACTCATTTGAAAATGTGAACTTGATTACCTTCGTAATCAGAAACAAATAATTCTCCTCTCATTATCAACATGCATGAATAAGCAGCGTTTACATAAATGATCACATTTGAATTCACGGACTATTTTTCCGTTCAAATTTTTTGTTCTTTTCTTTCCCATCCACAGCATAGATTAGTTGTGAAATTTGATCAAACGTAACTCCAAGTGCAAACGTCTTATTTGTTTGATCACCTCTTGATAAGGGCGATAATGTACAAGCTTTGAATTCGCTCTCCACCTCCATTACATGGAGCTCTTGCTTAAATGAAGAAACAACGAATCTTAAGCAATCAATAGGTGTAATTCCCCAACAAATTGCTGAAAATGATGAAATGAGTTGCCCATCTAAACTATTGAGAACGAGAATACTTGCATTGAAAACTTCACAAACTAACACTTCATTCTTTTGATTGGTTGACCCTGTTGATGAAAGAGCAATTCCATTCACACTTCGTTGGTCGTCATAACTCCAGATCGAGCATTGGGTCTCAGCATACAGTCGGAGGCATCCTTTGATTTGTTATTTTCTTTTCGTTCGTGCAACTCTTTTGTGCATGCATCATTTAAAAGCATGTACTTGCAAGTTTCAATTTGGTTATTCACAAAGAACATCTACACCAACTCGCAGTTGGTATGTATGGAATGAGTTTTTATGAAAATCATCGCAAAGCTTGATCTGGTATACTCCTTTTTCAAGCCATCGAGAGATGTGTGTGTCTGCTCGTCATCCAGATTTGAGAGAACAAAAAATTACAACAGTTGCTGTGTTCCGCTCCGCGTGTGAATACAACCAATTGTGTGTGAGTGGTTCGATTGTATCATAGCGTCATTATTGTGTAAATCAGGAGGATCATTTGGAGTTGTTTTATATAACAACATATTCAAAAACGTGTATAGATTTATACCTCTAGACTCTAATTCTTACATTTCTCTCATCATCGTACCATCGTGGTCCTTGTAAATTTTGCTGTACAGAGAAACAGTGTAGTAGTACCGAAATTCATATCGAATTGTTGCGTGCGTTTCGAAATCCAAATCATCAATTATAATTTCTAAGTGGATCTGCTCTGCGAGGATCATATTGTTGAACTCAACAGCACTCATCACACAACTCTCAATATTGGAAACAAAATGATGAACAACAATGCATTTCCTTTCCCTTCTACTTCGGGTGGAAACTCTTATACAACACAATCATCATCACTATCCAGCAACAACAACCATCATGGTAGTACAATGACCAGAGCACCTGTTTTGAAGAAAATAACATCCATCATTACCAGTGGCGCTGAATTATACGGTGGATACAGAAGTAGCTCGGCACCACCACAAGAAAGTCTCGATGAGCAATCAAGTACACCCACAAATACGAACACCAATGAATTGAGTATTCGTTCAAACCCTCAATACTATGATTATTATTATTCAAATAAGAATCTCAATCCGAGACTACCTCCACCTATTCTAACAACAAACAATGCATGGAGAAAGGACACTATTCTGCCAGCAACAACCGCATCAACAGTGAATGAATTTAACCCTCCGAATTCACCTGGAGCTGTTGGTGATGAAAAGAAATACAAGGCAAGATCATCAGCTCTCGATCAAATTCAACAGGATTTCCCAAGAACACCCTCCCCTGTTTTCAGCCTATCCTCTAAAGAACAATCATCACCATCACAGCCATTTATATCCACGAGTCATCATCATCAGAACAATCACAACAATAATGGCTCTCATGTAACGGTTGCATCCATTTTGCAGCAACATGATATGGTTCCTTCAAGTGTTGTACACCATCATCAACAACAGCATCATCAACACCATAACAACAATTACGGAACTAAAGGTGGTAAAAAGAATGATAATACTCGAGGCAACAGCTATCATCCATCTACTCATACGTATGACCCAAACCAGAACAGAAATCTGCCTCCACAACAGTACAGCGTTCCATATCAAGTAATGTCAGCAGAACATAGCAGTGATATACATTCATCATCAGATGAACAACAACAACTCAACGAGCTATTCCAACAAATGAACATGAATTGGGATGCCGCTTCAAATAATCCTGGCTATCCGCCAATGATGTATCCGAATGGCCAACCTCCAGTGGAGTACTATCCTCCTCATCACTATGGAAGTAATGTAATACTTGTTAGACCTCAACCACAGCCACATTCCGCCGAGCAAGGTATGCGAGCAATACCTCCCACTTATTATGTGCCACCCAACGGAGTTCCATATTTCATTCCTCCATCTTATGTGGTTCCACAGAATTCTCAACCTCCACATATGAATGTTCCAGTTGTAGATAATAGTAGACAAACAACACAACACATGGTCCCTCCTCATGGATCCAACCCCCAATATCATAATGGCACATGGTCTGGTACTTCTCAAACGCATTTCCATCCTTCTCAAACATCAGCCAAAACTACCAGTAATAACAGTGGCCATATTCCTTCTACGGCAACAGTTGGAAGCTATCATTCTACTAGTGGACATCATCATGTATCAAATAATAACAACAATCTATCGTCATCGCCACATACTGGCTCACCAGTGAGCAATGCATCGAGTGGCAATAACAAACATAGAGGTGATAAAATTGAAAATCATTCTTCAAGAAAGCCGCCACGTGGAAACCACTCAAATTCCAACACCGCTTATAATTCCTCAACGACTGAACATGTACCAATGTCTGCATTAATGGACGAGTTTAAGAATGGTAGATCTGGTCGGAAATATGAGCTCTCTGACATTGTAGGTCATGTTGTTGAATTCTCAAGAGATCAGCACGGATCAAGATTTATTCAACAAAAGTTGGAAAAAGCTTCAAATAATGAAAAGGAGTTGATCTTCAAAGAAATTCAGCCCCATGCTCAATCTCTCATGATGGACGTATTTGGAAATTATGTTATCCAAAAATTCTTTGAGTTTGGAAACGTTCAACAAAGAAAAAAGCTTGCTAAGGAATTACAAGGAAATGTTCTTAATTTGACACTACAAACATATGGTTGTAGAGTTATTCAAAAAGCATTGGACGTTATTGACAATGAGGATAAGGAGTTTATTGTAAATGAATTGAAGGGAAATGTTATGCGTTGTGTTCAAGACCAAAATGGAAATCACGTAATTCAGAAATGTTTTGAAAGAGTTCCACACAAAATGATTCAATTTATAGTTGATGGATTTAAAGGAAAGGTTTACGAACAGGCTATTCATATATATGGTTGCCGTGTAATTCAACGTATCTTGGAACACTGTACAGAAACACAAACTGCTCCAATTTTGCAAGAGATTTTAGAAAACGTTTCCCGTTTAGTTGTTGACCCATATGGTAATTATGTTGTTCAACATGTGTTGAGCAATGGAAAGCCATCCTACAAGTCTCAAATAATTTCCGCCTTAAGCAAAGACATTCAAACATTATCATCGAACAAGTTTGCCTCAAATGTTATCGAAAAATGTTTTCAACAAGCAAACAAGAAGGAAAGGGATAACATGGTAGCAGAGTTAATTGGAGATTTGCAAACCCAAGACTTTGCAGATACACCCTTTTTCGCAATGATGAAGGATCAATTTGCGAACTATGTGATCCAAAAAATCATCGAAACTTGTGATCCTGCACAAAGACGAACGATTACAGAAGCAATTAGACCACATCAAGAAAAGATCAAAAAACTACCATTCGGAAAGCACATCCTTGCAACCATTGCTCAGTTCGAAGAATTGTGAACGAATGTTCAATAAATTACAATTTGTTTTTACTGCTGCAAGAATGGAGTTCGATCTTAAGCTAAATGCAAATTGTGAAAAACAACGTCAGATAGTCGATTTATTATCTTCTTCTTCTTCCAAATCTTCTAACCACTCGTTTCACAGCTTTAGCAGCCCTTGAAAGAATGTTTGGTTTCTTTTTAGCTGAACCTGCTGAGCTTGAGGAAGCTGGTTTGGAAGCTGGTTTTGCCGTTGGTTTAGCTGTTGTTTTAGGAATGTTTAGAGTCTTTGGTGCAGCAGAGACGCTTTGTGTTGCAATAGGAGAGGTCACAGGTGTAGTTGGTTTTTTGATCAACTTTGCAACAATAATCTTTCTTTTGGTGATCTTGGTTGGTTTTCTAACTGCTTTCACTGTCTTCGCTGTTGTTTTCTTGGATACTGAAGTACCACTTGCCTTTGGAGAAGGTTTTGATAAGAGAACAGACTTTGGCGTTACAGCAGTGGAGTTAGCACTGGTAGCAGATGGTGTGGTCTTTGGAATCGAATTCTTTGCTACAGGCTTTGGTTTCACAATCTTCTTGGCTGGCTTGGCAATAGCAGTGGTATTTGATGTGACAGGCTTTGCTACAATAGGTATTTTTGTTACAGGCTTTGGTTTCACAATCTTCTTGGCTGGGCCTTGAGCTGTCGTTGCTTTCACTGGCTTTGCAATAGCAGTGGTATTTGATGCAACAGAAGGGAAACTCTTTTTTGTGGAAATAACTTTGTTTGTCTTTGGCTTTGTTTTGGCTGGTGACGAAGCAACAGGGACTGACAATGGTGTCTTCACAGAAGCAGTCGTAAGGGAGGATGTTGTTGAAGATTCGACTTGTGTGGAAGATGATGAAGATGAGCCAGAGGTGGATGCTGAGGACTTGCTCTTCTTACTTCCCTTTTTGGTGGACGATCTTGTGTTTGAAATATTTTTCTTTCCACTTGTAGTGGTAGTAACGGACGATCTCTTTCCTGTAGATTTGTTGACACTCTTTCCACTCTTTCTAACCTTTCCTGCAGATTTCTTGGCAACCTTACCTGTCTTTGCTGTGCTAGTCTTTCTGGCCTTTCCTGTAGACCTTTTACCCTTCTTTGCTGACTTCTTAGCGGCGCATTCTGGGCAAAGCTTGGAGAGAGCCTCAATTTCGAATTTAAGAGTTTGTTCGACAGTAGACAACTCGCTCGAAACTTGATTTTGGTTTTGCACGTATGCCTGTGATTGCGCATCTGATGGCATTAGCTGAGCAGCACTGATAAGGGTTTGTACTTCCTTATTTCCTTTAGTGGTTCTGGCAAGCTGCTTCTTCTTCTTGTTCAACAACCTTCTTATTTTTGCACGTTCTTCTTTGGATGGTGTTGTTGTTGGAGTAGTCGTTGTTGGTGTTGCCGAAGGAACAGCATCAGCGGCAGTTACAAAACAAACACCAGCAAAAAGGACCAACAGCAATGATGCAATTATTAAGGCTGCTTTCATGATATTTTTTTTGGATGATAAACGCGCCCCTATTACGGTGCCTCAACACTACGGCCCTCGTTTGCCAGAACTTTCGTCCATCACATGATGTCTCTGGCGACGCTCTTGAGGTGGTTGGTCCTGCTTACTGAATAGCGGTGACAAAGTGGGGAACTGCAAATTTGCAACGTACTTGTATTGTTGGTCAATTTCATCAATAACTTGACATTGGTTGCTTCTTATCCAGGTGTTTAACGAACGATGAATGATTCTGATTTCCTTGATCAAGTGATCGAATGTAAAAAGATTTTTCAAATCCAACTCAAGAGACCTTTCATTGTCAATACTGAGCTCTTGGTCCAACAGTTTGTGTTTTCGGGTGGTTGATGACATTTCGAGGAATAACAATTTTTTAAAAATTTATTTTTGATAAAATTTCGATTTTTTTATCATCAAACAATAAAAAAATGAGTGATGCCAAGAATCGTCTTCAGGTGCTACCTAGCCGTATGACCCTGCAAAATATGAAAATTCGTCTTCAGGGTGCCAAGAAGGGACACTCGCTATTGAAGAAAAAATCTGATGCTTTGAATATTAAATTCCGTTCTATCCTGAAAGACATCAAAGAACAGAAGGAAGGAATGTCGGATATGTTCCGTAAAGCCTATTTTTCACTTGCCGAGGCTAGATACAACGCCGGTGATATTTCATATGCTGTGATTGAAAGTGTCAAGAGTGCTGCAACAAAAGTCAAGATGAGAGCTGAGAATATTGCGGGTGTTACTTTACCAGTTTTTCATCCTGATGATAGCGCACAGAGTGAGGAAGGAATGACATCAATAATTTCACGTGGTGGTGAACAGATCCAAAACTGTAAATCCATCTTTACTGAAGCTTTGAAAAATCTCATCAAACTTGCAAGTTTACAAACAAGTTTCGTTACTCTCGATCAGGCCATCAAAATTACCAATCGTCGTGTGAATGCTCTTGAAAAAGTTATTCAACCAAAGATTCAAAATACTATCAGCTATATTATCAGTGAATTGGACGAATTAGAAAGAGAAGAATTCTTTAGATTGAAGAAGATCCGTAACAAGAAACTCAAAGATGCCCAAAAGAAACAAAAAATTGCAGACGCAAAAAAGATAGAAGAGCAACAAAAGTCCACCAAACCTGCAGCTGCCGTTGTTGAGTCAAAGAGTGTTTTCGAGGCTGAGGATGACGATGTTGTTGTGTAATTTAATTTATCGATAACCATACAACTTTGAATAAATCATAGAGCTTTTTTGGATGTGCAGGAGCGAAACGGTGATGGTAACACAAAAAATGTTCATTTCTACAACCTCGCCTTCCAAGCAGAACACCACATCACCCCAATCCTCCCATCATCTCACACCTTTGAGCAACAGGGAGACTGCTGATCATTACGATCCACCCACTCCAACAACTGCTAATCTTGATATTGAGTCTCCTCTACTGCCTGTTCTAACACCTGCTCTGCATTCAAGAAGAGTTGGAGGAGCAGGATTATCGGGATCATCCATGCTCTCCTCCGAGGTAGGAATGATGTCCGATTCAAATAATAATTCATCGTCGTCATCCTCATCTTCTCATGATCATCATCACCATTCCCATGCACATTCTTCATCACCCTCTTCAAAAATAGATAATCAAGAAAAATCTCGAGGAGGAGCAATGAATACGAGCGTTCATCATCACCATCCGAATAACCAAAATAGTGTCCATCTTCCTTGTTGTCCAAATTCTGTGAAAGGCATTTATTTAAGTGCAATTTTAATTTTCACTGGAATTATGCTAATAGTCACAATGATTTTCATGTTTAGTGTGTCACACACTTTAAGTCATGATTCTCACATGAGAGTCGTTGTAGAGGATCAAAATCATATTTCTGATGAAGATTTACTTCATTCAAATTCAGATTTAAGTACACTGGAGGGTACGTCGATCTTTGTTGTTATGGGACCCATAATATATTAATATATTGAAATGTTCAAAAAGGGGATACTACACCAGATGGCAAGTTAAAAAGACCTCATCTCATGAAAAAAGCAAAAATCACTTCTCCTTCCATTTCATATCAAGTTCATTCATGGAATGATTTGAGACAATGGATCCAAGGTTATCAAAAAGGTGTCAGACATTTTAAAGTTGATGTTTATTATCATATTGACTACAAAGATTTTGTTGAAAAGTATGGACGTGCATGTAGAAGAAGCGTCCATGATATTGCTGAAACGAATTCTTTACCATCTACCACAAAAACATCTTGTTTAATCTTAACACACGATGCTCCAGAAATTGGAGGTATTACAAATGGAATTGGATATTTCGATACAATTGATCTTATTGATACTGTAACTGATATTAGAAAACGATTTAAAACATCTCCAAACGATGAATCTGAGAAAATTTATATTGCTCTTTGCATGAAATATCACAAATTAATGTTTAATAGCAATGCAGGAACTGGAACTTATGTCGTCGGAACCATGAAAAATCCTTGCTTACCAAAACCTGACAATGAATGGATTATTCTTGTGGATGACATGTATCAACTGTTTAAATCAAGAACTGAAAAGTTAGGTTTAAATGTGGAATTTATTCTGGACGAGAGTGGAACTCCTGGAGGTATTAAATCATTAGCAAGAAGATGTTTAGAAAACAAATGGCCTGATTGGCCCTATACATATATTTCAATGAGAGACCCTCCAGAAATTATGGAGAATCCTAATGAGGGTAAAAAATCTTGGATTCCTTCAATATCTTCTAAAACCGACAAGTACAGTAGATACAAGTATCTAAATCAACCAATTTTCGACGAATTCAAAACGAAAAAAATTGGATTACCAAGCCAAACTTTTTTCTTGGAGGAAGCACAACGTTATTCCTATGGAAGATTTAATGAAATCCCAGAGAGTAAACTGCTTTGGGAGCCATCACGTAGGTTTTGTTGTTTTTTAGAATAATAGATGAAATTTATTTTGAATCTTGAACGATACAAATTTGTCATGTCAATACTTTATGACGCTATTTATTCGAAATATTATTGAATGCTAAACAGATCAACAGGATATTTGGAAAACTCTTGAAGTATACAAGAAAAAACCTGTAAAGAAAGGTGTTTTGAGATTTTCTACAAATATTGACCCTATTCAGATGGAAGTATTTCTCTCCAAGTATTCAAAATATGGTAGAAATGAACCATTACCAAATACAAAATCTTCAACCAAGCCTAAAGTTGTATCTATCGATGACTCTGATAATCTCATGTTTGTTTATGAGAAGGAAAAATCATTGAGTTATTCTTTTTATGATTTTCACACACACCGAATTTCTCCATCATCTATTATTAAGAACAATAAGGGAGAAGCACTTTCACTTGACTCTGTGAATGTTGTCAATATTATGAGACACAAAATTTCTAATCAGTTACAACCACTGAAAGCATTTAGATTAGCTATTGTTTTCAATGATGGACAACTACATATCTACAAAATCGTAAAGAATGTGGAGAAGAACAGTTATGAACTTGGTTTAGAAACTTCTGTCTCGTTGATGAATCCATTGAAGACTTCTGATGAAATTCTTGCAAGTACTCTCGAGTCCTCCATGAGCACTTTATTGTTGTTCACAAGAAATACGCGATCAAAAGTATTATCTATATATGTTTATCGAATTTTACAGTCCAGTGACAAGTCAGTGACTGGCACAAAACTCATTCAGACGTTTACCATTCCAAACAAGTTAGAAAAGATTGATATTTTGAAACACTTCACCATTCACGCAATTTCATTAACACCACACGATGCCCAAGATTTACCTTCTCAATTAGATTTATTTGTTTTAATTGCATATTCCACAACAAATAACAATGTGTATGGAACCTTTGTTACTCTCCCACTCTCCATACAGTCAGAAGGAGAGAGCAAGACAAGTCAAGATGCTGCTCGCAAGGCAACTCCTCTCTCGTCCCCTGTGTATTCACAGCTTCTTGGAGTTGGTGCCAATCCATCCATTTCCTCCTTACGAATCACACAATCCTTGCAAACTCAAGACTCATCGACTCAACACATTGAAAAGACATTTCTATCCATATTTTGGGGTGAAGGTTTTTGCAATAATGCAGAAATACACAACGTGCAATCATTCCCATTCACGTGTTCTCTCAAGAGACTGTCATGCCCCAACGTGTTGCAATATTCCATGATGAGTGTGAATGAATTTGTGAAGACCATTCAAAGGAGTGGTATTACGTCTGCGAGTATCTCTGGTAGTAGGAGCAGCAGCAGTACTAACAGTGAAATCACAACCATTCCATCCTCACCATCATCTATCTCCTCTTCAGCAGAAACGAGAATGATGCAAATGAACAAGCCATTCGAGAATCCACATGTATTCTTTGAGAATCGATACTTGTTCTCTCCATGTAAGGAAAACATGTTGTTTGGACCGTATGATCGAGGATCCGATCCAAATATACTCCTTTTCAAACATGACCCGACTTCCAATCTTGTGAGTGCTCTGAGTATTCATATTGGAGTTCCTGAGGAAAATTATACATTCAACTTTGGGAATACTCAACCCGATCCACAACAAGAGGATTCTCTTCTTTCAGCAAGTAAGACTTTGGATCAACAACAAGTTTCAGAAAATTATGAGCTCTCCACCTGTGTTGCATGTGGTGATGCATTGCCCTATGATGGTCTTGTTTTTGATGAGCTTTTATTTTCGGTCAAGCACTTGAATTGACGACTCCATATATAGGTGATGCTCACAACGAGTCGATCATCATGTCTGAAGCGAGTCATTCTCCTCCTCAGAGAGTCATTATAGGTTGAGGCTTGAGATTTGCACAATCTATCTACGCTTCATACATCACCAGTATGATGTGATGGCCCATCAATTTCCAGATTAGAGAAGACTAGGGAAAGAAATACGAAGGAAATATTTGGCGCCCATCAAGTACGTATCAATAAAACCAAAAAAAAAGCCTTCTTGCTGCCCTTCTCCCTAAAAAATTATTTGAAGACCATTATTCCAAAAGACCTACTTCGGAGATGTCGGATAGAGTCCTTACAAAGAATTTTATTTTGGGTAAAACTCGACTGGATAACGTTGCCAACGTCAAGAATTTAAATTTTTGGGGTCAAGAATTGCAAGATGTTTCCGTGATTGAGGAAATGCCCAACGTAGAGGTTGTATCTCTGAGCGTCAACAACATTAACACCTTGAAACCATTTGAGCACTGTTCGTATTTTTAATGTTTGCATAAATTTTTATTCATGCAATAATGATGACCAGGCTTTAAATTAAGAGAACTGTATCTGAGGAAGAACAAAATTGCAGATTTATCAGAAATTCAATTTTTAAAAGACTTGAAGGCACTCCGAGTGCTTTGGCTTGCAGGTAACCCTTGTGCTGACTGTGAAAATTACCGTCTAAAGGTTATTGCTTATTTGGATGGATTGACAAAGCTTGATGATGATGGTAAGTTGTCCAAAACCACGGTTGCTAATACTAACTAATTGACATATCTCTCAGATATTTCTCCTGAGGAACGGGAGATGGCCAAACAATTTCGAGGTCTTGAATTTGCCACTGATGCTCCAAGAAGATCTCCATCTCCAAAAGTGAAATCAAAATCACCACCAAAGGCTGCCATAAAGGAAGATGATGAGCAAGCAATGATCACTAAACCTCGTCACAAACTCGCGAGAACTCCACCCAGAAAAGATGTCCCCAAGATCTATGACCCTGTTACAGTTACTGAGAGCTCAAATTTCGTTAGTAATAGGAGATTGCACAATGACAATACTCCAATAGGAGGAGGAAACATTGCAACTAAAAACGAGTCACCAGTTCCAGTCGCAAATCCAGGTGTGGTTAGTTCACAGCAACAACCATCGAAATCTATACCATCTCCTCAGCCTTCTCCGGTTGAAAGCGACTACGTGGTTCATGCAAAGCAAGACCTTCAGAAAAACTTACCACAACCTCAAGAAGAATGTGAGGAAGAAGAAGAACCACCCGTTGTTGTAAAAAGAGATGGAAACAGGCAACAACATGACCCTTATTTGAGAATGCAACGAGAAGGAAATGGTAATGGTTCACCTCCACCACAACAGGACACAAACAGAAGACATACCCAACAGCAACACATTAGTGTTCAACAATCATATCAAGGTTTACCTCAACACTATCAACAACAGCATTATATGGAACAACTTCCGTCAGCTCACCGTCAACATTCTGGAAGAGACATGACTGGATATAACCAAAATTATCAACAAAATGTTGACTATGGCACACATCAACGAGCATATGACGATAATTATTTGGATAATCAAATAGGTCATAATAATTATTCCCACCACATGAATTCAAGAGTTAGCACAGCTCAACAGGGCCAACGTTCCCGATGGGAAGCTTCTCAAGTCTCAAACATTCCTTACTTCCCTTCCTCTGAGAACTATCCACAACAACCTTCACGAGCTCGATACAATCAACAACAAGGTTATCAAAAATCACAGCCTCCTCAACTTCCACCTGTAAATAGGAATACGTTGCTGAATGTCGTCCTCGATCTAGTGAACGAGTTAGATCCAGAAAGATTGATTTTAGTGAGACAAGAAATCGACAAAATTCTAATGAACTAATAAGTCCGATAATTGCAAAGTCAATCATGCATACGTTCTGTAATAAATTAACAATAATTACAACACAAGTTCTCCAGTTCCTGTTGGTATTTCAACACGTTGCATCAAGTACTGTGCAACATACTCTGAAATCCATTTTCTTAAAAGGGAGTATGAAATGGTTGGTTGACGATAAATTCTATTTGGTGAGTCCTGATGGTTTGGGACAAGTATTAAGTACGGTATATTCTCCATATTATAATCCAGTTCGCTATACTTTGAATAAACTAGCCCAATATTATCAAAAAGCTCACTTGGAATATCATTATACTTGACATCAAGTTTATAAATATCCAGGAAAGGACTCATCTCTTGACTAATTTCATCAAGCATTGAAAGGTAGTAATTGGTGTTACCGAACGATGATGAAAATATGAAAACTAGTGCCAATTTTGATCTAAATTGTAAATTGAGAATTGATTTGAGAGCATTATATGAAATGCTGTCTTTGATTTGTAAGCTGTTGTGGTGAATAAATAAAGAAGGTTGATCAAGGAACTTTTGAAAGCAATGTTGATAAGCCTCAAATTTGTCATAAGTTCTTTCTAAACATTTGTCCAAAAAGTAAATAGTGCTATTCACTACAATCATTGCTGAGGGGAAGATATCTTCAGGCATATTGTAAACTGTCAACACTTGTCCAGGATTTGGTCCACTTCGAATGTAGCTTCTATATAAATTCTTTGCATATTCCCTCTCAATAAAACCAAATCGATATTCAACACCTTTAAAATGATTGTATGTTTCAAACGAGAACTTCTTGAACGCTTTCATTATTGCATCGTTTTGAGATGATTCCAAGAAAAGCATGACCTTATTCTTGTACTCTAAAAATTTTCTCGAGCTTTGTGACTGAATTTCTCCAACAAGTGGTTCATACTTTTCGAGAACCCAATCTGCCAATAATTTGGGCTCACTATTGTAGACATGTATCACATCCTTAACAATATTGTAGAGAACAACTGTCGAAATTTTTCTAAATTTTCCAAGAAGTGTTGAATGACATCCAAAATATTCTTTCAATTTGCTCTCACTTAAAACCTTTACGAACTTGAGGCGCAAAGGTTGCACATAATTGAAAGTAGAATTATAAAATTTCTCCAAATACATTTGCTCATCTTTGGATTGGTCTGGAAAATAGCCAATTAATACTTGCTCTTCTTCCAATATATGACTAAGAGCTTTTTCTCTGGCTTGTTCATTTCGTGTTGACTCGTTAATGCACACATCACGATACTCTTCCGTCAACATTTTTCTATTTAGTGAAATATTGATAAATCTCATGAGCATGGTTGAAGAATACTGGCTATAGAAATAATGTCGTTCTGATTCCAGGCCTTTTATGAATCGAATGGAAGGAGAAGTCAAAGTAACTAGTTTTTCTTTCAGATCCTTGTCTTGAACATTATGATAATTAATCACTCGTACAACAAACTTATTATCGGATGTGTTGTTATTATAAGAGTTGGAAGTGGTTGGGATGAGAGTTAAGCCATTCAGTAACTCTCCATTGTATTCCGTAAAGAGTCTATCGGTTTGAGAAAATTCCTTATAAACTTCGATAAGAGCCTGTTTCACCTCGTAAATGGTGATACTATCCCAAGGAAAATAAATAATTAATAACATGTTCGGAAAAGACTCAATCTGTGTCTTGTAACTGATGTAAGTATCAATATGTTGAATGAAGGGATACATTTCCGAGAAATCAATATTCGGTAAAGGAACTACTGTTGAAGGCTCGCCATGGACCTGATTGTATGATGATACGCCATCATTTGAATCCTTATAATTTATCGTCGTCAATATGAACGGAGAACATAAAAAGAGAATGATGATGAAGAGAGGAATTATAAATGTGGGAGAAGGTGATGATGATTCCATTTTTTGTGTTTGGGTTGATCCAAAATCAATGAATAAGCAATATATATATCTTTGAGCTCCACTTAAACAACCATTCAGACTTTATTTCTTTTCAGCCTTTGGATCAGGGTAGCACATGTCTTCTGCTTTGACATGCTTGTCGAATTCTTCTTCTGAAAGCAAATTCAAATCTTTACAAGCTTGTTTCAAACTAATATTCTCTTGATAGGCCTTCTTTGCGACTTTAGCAGCGTTGTCATAACCAATTACAGGGTTCAATGCAGTGACAAGCATTAGAGAATTAGCAACATATTCCTTAATCTTGGATTCATTGGCAAGAAGACCATCAATGCAGTGCTCAGCAAAGCTCTCACAAGCGTCAGCAATTAAGCGTCCTGATTGCAAAACAGAGTTAATAACTTGTGGTCTAAAAACATTCAATTGGAAGTGTCCATTGCTTGATCCAATTGTCACACCAACATGATTGCCCATAACTTGAGCACATACCATGGTCACAGCTTCTGGTTGTGTTGGGTTCACTTTGCCAGGCATGATTGATGATCCAGGTTCATTACTGGGAAGAATTAATTCGCTCAGACCACAACGAGGTCCACTTCCGAGCAATCTAATATCATTGGCAATTTTCATGAGAATTGTCGCACAGCAATTATAAGCTCCACTCAATGCTACAATTGCATCATTTCCACTAAGTGCCATAAACTTGTTGCGTGCTGATTTAAATGGCAATTTTGTAATTTTTGACAGTTCTAATGCAACATCATCACCAAAACCTTCACGAGTGTTGAGACCTGTTCCCACAGCTGTTCCTCCAATGGCTAATTCATAAACACCTTCTAAACTCTTCTCAATTGTTTCAATTGCAAAATCCAATTGGGATACAAATCCAGAGAATTCTTGTCCCATTGTTAATGGTGTCGCATCCATGGTATGTGTTCTGCCTATTTTCACAATATGAGCAAACTCTTGTCTCTTCTTTTCAAATGCATCTCTCAATCGTTTTAGCATTGGAATTACACGTGAGGTTGCTTGGGTTGCTGCAGCAATATGCATTGCAGTTGGAAAGGTGTCATTACTTGATTGTCCTCTATTTACATGATCATTGGGGTGAACTTTCTTTGAGCCCAAAGTTCCTCCCATCAATTCAATGCATCTATTGCTTATTACCTCATTTACGTTCATGTTAGTTTGAGTTCCAGATCCTATTGACAGCATTGATGACATCCATATCGATGCCATTTCACTTACCTGTTTGATAAATCTTGAGAGGAAATTGATCGTCAAATTTACGTTCGTCCACAATTTCCAAAACTACTTTTTGAATTAATTCTGCAATTTTTGAGTCGAGATCTCCATATTCATCATTTACTTTAGCACAAGCACCTTTCAAAGTGGCAAGAGCGTAAATAATTTCAATTGGCATACGTTCTCGTTCACCTCCAATTTTGAAATTCTCAATACTACGTTGTGTTTGAGCTCCCCAATACACGTTGGCTGGTACTTGGACATCTCCCATGGAGTCTTTTTCAATTCGGAATGATAGCTACCATTCCAAGTTGTATAAAATTGTAATCAGTTGATAATCTCCCATAATCAAATTCTTTGTATTCCTCTCCATGCAACCTACCATTTTGTTTTGTTGTTGCAAGGTTAACAAATTGAAAGAAAGAAATCTCTTATTCGAGAATAAGACACAACAATTTTCAAGAGAAATGATGGTGATGCTTTTTTTTAAACGTGGAGAGAATAAAGAAGAAGAAGCCTTGCGAGAGTCTCTCTCGGAGTGATGATGCAAACAAAGACTCCACCAACTGTTATTGCGAAGAAGAGGAGAGGAGCTGAGGCTTGATTTGGAAAACATTTGGATTGTCTATTAAAGGACCCGAAATGAAGTGTGGTGGAAAAAGTCGATCGCGACCAGTTATTGTATGAAATGATGAGAAGAGATCAATTTTTCAATTTTTGTTGACAACCTTGAATGTTCTAATAATAATATTAATGAGAACAATTTGCAGAAAGTTAAACGTGTGTTGACAACATGTATTGTCTATTTTTGAATAATCACTAGATTTGTTGCTCCTCTCGAGATTATATTCTCGTGAGTTTATATAAAATCATTATCATCTATTGCATACCGAAGCAGGATATTGCTCATCCAAATACTTGCCACACACGGGCATGAGTGGATACCTTTTGGTTGTTTTCATGCCAACATGATAGGAATGAATGGCAAAATCTGTTGTCAATTGCTTCTCAATATTTTGTTTAAGGTGTCTCGACTCGTGAATGGTTCTCAAACACGTGCATACACTTGGACATAGTCCTCCATTACTATGAAGAGCAAAAGGTCGATGAGGTGAATCGGTAAGAGAACATCCCCATTCTGAAGATGAATCTGATTTGACATTTTCACAAACACTGAATGGGCTATAGACGAGTTTGGCTTCACAATCGGTCAAGAATGGATACTTTTGAGTGGCATGCATATATTGATAGAGAGCTAGTGTTTGTTCAACATTGAATTTGTTTATGAACAGGTCAATGTTGAATGATCTGGATTGACTTACCTTGGTCTTCAATTCGAGGCTTTTGTTTTTGTAACCAATTTGTAGTTTTAACATTCATATGTTGAAATGAATATTGAGATGGATATAATTTCTTACATTCACTTTGTTCACTTACCTTTGGTTCTCCCAAAGTGACTTCTGTGAGTGCTACGTGGAGCATTTCTATGAAATCACGTTTTCTTCCCATCATGAATCCACTGTTAAGGTATATTCGCTGATTGGATCGATCACAATTTTGATGAATGAAATATCCATCTCTGTCGTAATAATGTTTTGAAACCATTTGTTCCTCTTTTTCTGTTTTCTGTGTTATGGACCATATTAATATTCATTCGTATTTCCATTGGTGTCATCAGAACACGTTATGTGTGTTTTAGAATATTTTGAAACAAGATGAAATATTCACATGACTTACTGCGAACATGTTTTGCATGAAATCATCTGGCGGCCACCGATTCTTCTCTGCACAAAAAACAATTGGCCATCGTTTTTCTGCGTCATTCTCCAAGTCAATACCAGCAATTTGCTTCATGTAATAGTTCTCAAATATTTCCTTTGATTTCTTAATATTGTTGACAAAAAACACGTCAGTGGCATCACTGAACATGATATAGTCATGGGGTCTAATATATTTGGATTCTGGACTATTTAAAAATTCATGCAGCTTTTCAACCTTCTTCCAGTGAGTATACGGAGCTGTTGATTATAAAAATATCGTTCAATTAACAATGATCATTTCGCAATATCGCAATAACATTTAACAATGATGTTTCACATGTAAATATTCATCCGTCAAACCAATTCCAACTCGTAAAAGAAACCATCATCCACTTACTAAATGTTTCACTCTTATCTGATTCAGCTCCAATCACAGTTGGAATAATAAAATCATCCTTCGAACTTTCTCTTGTGTTGAATGTGAAATATGAAAATAAATATAATTTACACAAAGCTTTCATTCGTCCAATATTAGCATTTTCTTCGACAGGCTCCAAATCCAGAAAGGTCACTGGATAAATTTTGGCATTCGTAAAATCCAACATGTAGTCATCTTGCCAATCATCCACAACACTTAAACGTTTACTCTTCATCCACTTTTTTCGAATTAAATCATGATTTTCTATAAATTGTAAATCGTTATGATGGACCCTGCTGGAGACAAGATGTTTGGATGTTAAAAAGTCTTCTCCCTCTCGAGAGAAGAATGATGAAGCTATAAAGTAAAGGAAGGCTGTCACGAGTAGCAGGATAACAATGATGGTCTTCTTGTTCGAGAAGGCACTCAGAGAGTGGGGAGAGGATGACAACGATGAGGACCTTTGATTTGACATTTTTTTTGTTTGCCCGTCAAAGCATTAATTTGACAAGGAACAACATTGTTCTATTTGAAAGAACTGGAACAAGAAAAAAGAGACAAATTATACATTATTATTTCTTCAACTCGATTCAATCCACTTGTGAATTCCTCCTCAACGGATACGACGATCGTGTCTCTTGCCTTCGCTGACGATAAGAGTAAATTGCTTTCAACTTTTATTCAAGAGAGACAATTTTTTTAATTTCAAAAAAAAAATACCAAGTTGTAGGACCATCATTATCACCTTGGACCAATCATCATCATCTTTTCTATCCTTGATCGTCCTTTTCAACACAACACCGATAATCCACCATCCTTGTAGTTCATAGAAGAACGAACTCCGAAATAATTTTTGACGTTACAAGAATGGTCAAGAAGAATAATGAAAGCAACATCGGATTGTCCTTGTTCTTGGGTAACTATGATGACTTTGGGGACAAGGACATGGTTCAAAGCTTGGGAGGTATTGGAAATCGATTCGGTCTTGGATTTATTGATGAAGCTGAAAACGCTGCAGAAGTTGAGAGCGAAGACAGTTTAATCAGCGATAAAGAAGATGAAGCTTTAAGCGAATCGGTTATGAGCGATCAAGAAGACCAAGATTATATTCCTCCGAAATATATTCTTTCACATGAAGGGACAGCTAATCCTTTACTTCGTTTCTCGGAATTATTTGGAGCAAAGGAGACAAAAAAACAAAAACATAAAATTTTCAACATGAAAGGAATTATTGAAAAGTTGAAAGAGCATGCAAAGGTGAGATACAATCTTGAGGATGGCGATGACGAAGAAGACGTTTTCTTTGAGAATGACGTTAAAGTTAGAGCCATGACAAAGAAAATATCTGAAATGTTGTTACAAGAAGAACAAATCATGAAAGATGAAGAAGATATTGAAAAGGAACAAAATAGAACAGAATCTGAAAATGTCAAGCAAATGATGATTGAAGATATTATTGCTCAACGAAGCTCTTTTCATAACTTGGATCAAGCTCATTGGGAAAATGACATTGTTTGGGATGTTACAAAAAAAGGAGAAGAATTAGAACAACAACTGAAAGCAAAGCAATCTTTGCAAACCCATCAGCATAGCGTAGAGAAATTACAAATTCCTTCTACTTTTGGATCATCCATTCTTGGCTTGAATCAAATGGACATGCTTCAATCTCATCATAACGACAACAAGATCAACCAAATCCCTGATCTTAGTGGTATTCCAAAATTAAACACTCCAAGCAAAGGAGAATGGGGAGAATATGAATCAGAAAAAGAAGAAAAACAAAAGACTCAGAAATCAACAACACCTGCTACCTCGTCAAAGCCTTCAATTTCTGCAACAACGACAAACAACCAAGCTCAAACTCCTTCTGGAAAAGACTTGGCTCAACAAGATGCAAACACATTTGACAATGGGTATGCAGGTGAGTCTGAGCCTTTGAATTTTGCAGATGAAAAGAGAACAAAACGAAAATATACTCGTCGGAAGAAAAAGGACAAGACCGAAGAAGAAGGAAGTAGTAGATACCCAAAATCTGTGGCTAGACATTTCATGACAGACTTTACAAATGATGACGAAGAGGGACCACAATTCAAATTCCTTAATGAAAACTTATTGAATGGAGAATGGCTGGATGACGTTTATTGGGACGACATTGGTCCAAAACCTCCACAAAAGTTGCTTCTTGACATGAATGACAAGTCAATGTTCTTTGTTGAAGCTAATTATCCTGATCAAGCTGAAAAGGAAGAAGCCTTTTATTCCATCGAACAAAACATTTATAACATTTCGAATGACTCCAAATATGAAGGTCAAAAAATTAAGGATCAAGGACAAAAGACAGGTGCAAAAAAGTATACTGTCAAGCACTCACTTCCTGCACTTAGACTTGATCCAGAACTGTACAGAACTCACATTCCTGACGCTGAATTACGTAGACTTCACCATCGAAAAACGAAATTCAAGGCCAATGAAGTCATGCCTGTTCTTTTCAGAAAGCCAAAGAAAGAAAAGAAAAAGTCAAAGAAAAAGAAGGATTTGGAGAAGAAAAAAGACTTGTCCGCTAATGACCACCGTGTAATTCTTATGGAATATGTGGAAGAAAGACCACCACTTTTGAACAATGTGGGAATGGGCACCATGATTATGAATTATTACAAGAAACCAAACTCTGCGTTCGAAAAAGTACCTGAATGTGAAGATGGTATTCCTATCATTGTAGAATCAGAAGATAGCGTACCTCTCATTACTACTCTGGTAGATGGTGAATTTGTGACGACCACTGAAAACAACATGTTTCGTGCTCAAATCTACAAAAACCAAGTCCCTTCAACTGATTTTCTTCTGTGCACTAGAAAGTCAAAGGATGGCAAGACCAAGTTCTACATTCGTGAAATTCCAAGAACTTATACAGTCGGTCATACACAGCCTCAAGTGGAAGTCACTCCTCCAAGAACTCGTGCCTCTGAAAGTTATACCAATAATCGTTTGACTCTTTTCATTTTCCGTTCATTCCTTGACCAAATGAAAAAAGGTAAAAAGCAACTCAAGATTAGAATTGATGATATCAAGGAGGCCTTCCCAGATTTTCCTCATCAAACAATTCGAGAAAGGCTCAAGGCACTTGCTACGTATGACAGAGGAAGTGGTGTATGGACAGCTGATCCAGCAAAGCCAATTCCTTCCGAGGAAGAACTTCGTAATCTAGTTTCTCCTGAAATGGTCTGTATTAATGAGTCCATGTTATCTGGAGATCTAAGACTGAACGACAAAGGAATAGATGATGAGGCGTCCATGGTAGCATTCGAGTTATCTTTTGCAAAGGTCGAGGAGAAGTATCGTGACACCATTCGATTTATTGAACGTGAAAAAATTGAATTACCTTGGGACAAAACTAATAACTTCCATCTCTGTTTTAAGGGTGGTAAAGAAGGCGTAAAATTACAGCTACTTAGCATTGTTCATCAAAACATTACAAATCCAGAAAAGTTGAAACAACTTGTTGATGAAACTGAAAAGAG